ATTTAATATTTGATTTTTCGTAGTTTTATTTCAATCTAATATATTTGATTATTATGTCTTATGGTTTTTTTGTAAAAATATCATTTTTCCTATAACGAATGATATTTCGTTATTTTTGCTATTTTAATTATTATTTTATTTTAGTATGTATTTTTCATTTTATTTTTGATGTTTTCTTTGAGTTTTGATTTTAAGATATGCTTTTGTTTATTTTTTATTAGAGTTCAAATTTTTATGTTTTTCCAATTATTCTTTTTTTTTAATTTAGTTTGTATAATATCTTTTTAATTCAAAAAAATGTTTTTTGGATTTATTTTGTACTTGGTTTCATTATTTTTTAGAATCATAGTTAAAATATAGTTTTTAATAAGGTCAAAGTATGATGCATTAAACTTTAAAAAATATAATTGCGAAATTAAAAATATAAATAAGAGATAAGAATTATATTATATTTTTTACTAAATTTATTTTTTTTTATAAAATTAAGTTTTTATATGAAACATTTTTTAAAAAAGTATTTAAATAGCATAATTTTATTTAGTAATAATTTTTTTATTTTTCAATAGCAATTTGTTTTATTTATAGTTTTTTCTTTTTATAATTTTTAATTTTTATTTTAGAATTTAGATTAGGAACATAGAAATATAAGAATTGTGTTATATTATAATAAAGACTAATTCCGTTTAGATTTGACATAAATGTATATATTATAAATCATAAGTAACATAATTAGAATACTTTTAAGTTTAATATTGCTATTTTAAATTTAAAAATTAATATAAAATAATAAATAAAAATAAATAAAAATAAATAAAAATAAATAAAAATTTAAAGTAGGTAATATATATATAGACATAGTATTTTTATTTATTATTTTTTAATATATTTTTTTAGATAAATTTAAATAAATTTCTTTTCTAAATATTTGCTTTAAAAGTATAATTTTTTACTATATTTAAGAAAAAATATAGTTATTTTTATTTTATTTTTTATAGATCAAATTTTATAAATATTATATTTATTTTCTAAATTTTAATTTCATGAAGTAGGGTTAGGTTATTTAATGTTTGTCTTTAAAATTAGGGTTTTTTGATCTGATCATGATTAAATGATATTCTAAAAATATTTTTGATAATATTTATATTTAGGTTTTTATATAAAAATTTATTTATATATATTAATCAAAAATCTCTAGATGGTGCTTATGGAAATATAGGATAAGCGAGATTAAATAGAGATAATATTTCATTTTTTTAGTTTAAAATTACTATTGAGATTTTGAAAAGTTGAATTTTATAATTTGTTTTTTTAATTAGCGTTAATGCTTCCTAATAATGTTTATGATACGTCAAGTAAAGTAATTGCGGTAGTTGCATCGCCATGGGTTGTTATACTAATTGCTTTGGTATTCATATTTTCACTTTATGTGTATGTATCTTAATGTTTGTTTTTTTTCTGTTAATATTTTTAGATTTTATTATCGTCCAAGACTTTATTATCCATATCCGTCATATCCTTCATCACCAGCTATATATTTTCTGCCTCCTTGGAAAAGAATTAGGGATTTTAACCGAAATCCTATACAGTATCTTCTAACTGCTGTTTCTAAAACATCTCATTTGGGTATGATTTGGATTGATGTTGTTAAACCATATACATGCCTTTCAATTATTTTACCATTGGAGTCTTGTGTAGGTAACCAATTCCTATTAACAGATGAGTCTGTATTATCTTGGGATGCTGCATTACGTCAAAATTGGCGTCATATATTTAAAGATTCTAAACAAATGGGTAAAATCGATAATTTTGGGCGCCGTTCACGTTTTTCTAAAGCAAGTAATTTATGTTTAGCACATGCATTTTCTCCTTCTCGTACAAATATTGGAGGACATTATTATTCATGTATTGCATCAGAGGCACTAGTTGCTTTAAGTCACAATGCATCAAATTCTATAGATTTGAGGAGATTTATTGATAGTATTGTTAGTAGAGCTTTGCTTTCTATTTTTTTTGGCTCTTATGAATCTGACTATGAGCATATATTACAGCTTATTAACACTATTCATAAATCTTTGGAAAAATCTCACTCTTATGATTCTAATGCTTTGAAAGCTAAGAATGAGTTTATAAAAGTTATTTCAGACCTTTTGATTAAACGGTCCGGTGATTCTGAAACATATATAAATAGTTTTGATTATGTTCAATGGTTATTAACTCGTGGATCAGAAAATGAGTTATCTATTGATTTTGCTATGCTTCATGATAATTTATTTAATTTTTCGAATAATCATAGTATTATTAATATAGAAGATCAAAAAAAAGAATGTCTTTTTGAAATCTTAAAAGTAGACATACCTGTTCATCTTCTGGTTTCATTATTATCTACATGGATTATATGCACTAACACTATTTTATGGATGATTGTTAATAGATATCGTATTTCTGAAAAAGAAGCTCCTTTTGATCCAAATCCACTTTTTCTTGTGAGACGTGCACGAAAAGATATTTTAATTGGTAAATTTTTGGTTCCAAAAAATACGTATCTTTCTGTTTGTTCTTCTGTTAGTAATTTGAGTAATTTTTTTATGAGTAAATCAGTTTCTTCTCAGTTCTTTGTTAATTCTGAAGTTAATTTAAAACACCAGTCTTTAGATAAATTAGCAATGAGGACTTCTATGAATCATAGTCAAAGAAATATTTCGTTTTCTTTTCAAAAGAATAAAGATAGTATAATAGAAAGTTCTAATTCTTCTACAAATTGTCATTACTCGCAAGAAACTATTGTTTCTAATTCGATATCAGAGAGCACTTTTTCAACTTCAGATATAGGATATATTACGCCTTCACTGGAACACTTTCAAAACTTTAATAATGGGACTAAGGATAGAATATACCCTCATCAGCATTTGATTAGGCTTATTATTACTACAGTATCGAATCATATTGCATCAGCTGTTGTTATTAATAATAAATTTGCTTTTGAAAAATTAAGTGTATTTTATACTGCGAGACATTTATGGTTTCCTATTCCATCCCAACCTATTTTTGTTTCTATACTACCGGATGCTTTTGTAAGATCAAATATTGATTAAAAACATAATACTATTTCTTTCTAGGATAATAGGATTATTATATAGGTTATTGTATGTAATTCCATAAAAGCAATTATTTACTAAGTAATAATAAATAATATAGTTGAAAATTGAAATATGGTTTTATTTTTATATTTATTAATGTTGATTTTTTTTACTTGGAAATTTTGTAAAAATCATAATATTGCTACATTTTTACATTCAATTTTATAAGTGAAAATTACTTTTGCATTATTATGATAACTGGATTTTATTAGGTTTTGGTATATTTGTTCTAATTTTAAAAGCATAATTCATTTGTATATAATATATAATTATTTTTATTAAATATACTAGTTTATGGTTTTTACACTTATATTTGTATATTATAATTTGAGTTTGCTTAAATATAATATTTAATTTTTATAAATTCATATTTATTATTAACTTTCAAGAGTTGTAATTTTGATATTTTAGTGTTACAGATTTAATATTTTAAAATTTTGCATAAAATTATTTTTTAGTTTATATTTATTCAAGAATATCATAAATTATTAATTAATTTGTTTTGGTTTTAAATTTAATTGTTATTTTAATATATATTTTTCTTTTAAAAAAATAAAAATATATTCATTATTGTTAATTCCGTTTAATAATAAAATTATAGAACATATTTTATTTAACAATATATAGAGCAATTAATTAAAATAAATGAAACTTTTTATTTTTTATATCTTAAAACGATTACAAGTACTATGTTTTTTTGATTATAATATTTGTGTCTTTTATAATTGTTTTATAGTTATTTAACAAATTTGAACTATTGATATTTTTAGTTATATTTTATATTTTTGATTATATTCTAGTGTTATTTTTAATTTTTTTAAATTTGTTTATATTTAATAAATATAAATATAATAAATATGAATATATAATAATTAGATATTAATTTTTAATATTTTTAATATAAAAATTTTATATAAAAACTTGATTCATTATTATTAGAATGTTAATAAGAAATATCTATTTAGTATTAATATATTTTATATACGTATTTTTTATTAACATGTCCTTTCAAAATATTAACATTAGCAAGTAAGTAATTATATATATTTAAGAACTACCTTATCCTTTAATTCTTTAATATTAAGTGTTTATAGTCCTTACGCATAATAAAAATGAGTGAAAAACTCCATGTGTCATGTCCTATATGTGGAAAAAATGTTGATATTGATTTAATAAACATTCATTTGGATAAAAAATGTGAAGATTACGGCAAAAAGTTTGTAGGTTAAATATTTATATTTAATTAAAAAAATTTTGAAATCTGGAATTAGTCTAATTCTTTAAATTTGACTCAACAAAAATTATATGACAGTGAAAATTCTATGAATTTTAAATCTTTTTTTTATAAAAAACATCCTAAATTTTCTGAAAATACTTTATCTTGTTCATCCTTATTTAAAAGAAAAACAGAACAAAATGAATTTGACTTAATGAAATTTTCAAAAAAAATCAATAATAACAATAATGTCGAATCATATATTCCTCTTTCAGAAAAAGTTCGCCCTCAGACATTTGATGATTTTGTAGGTCAAGAAGATCTGATTGGAAAACATGGTTTACTTCGGAAATTAATTGAAAATGATAAATGTCCATCTTTTATATTATGGGGAAGTATGTTGGTTATATTTATGAAAAAGATTTAATCTTCTAGCATCTGGAATAGGAAAGACTACATTAGCAAGAGTATTTATTTAATATATATATTTTTAGAATTAATTATTCTAGATAATTTCAAAAATTACAAATAAACAATTTAAGGAATTTTCCGGAGCATCTACTCATATATGTAATCTTAAAAAGGCTTTTGATGAAGCAAAAAGAACTTTGTCTTTAACAGGACGTAAAACAATTATATTTGTAGATGAGATTCAACAATTTAATAAGGTTATATTGACTTTTTTTAATATTTATACTAACTACGAATATAGATGCAACAAAATATTTTTTTGCCATATATAGAAAAGGGAATAATTACATTGTAAGTATATATATATATATATATATATAAGTATTTATTTATAAAGAATTGGTGCTACTACTGAGTAAATCATTCTTTGGAATAGATTTATAATTTTAATCATTTTATTAGAAATCCCAGTTTTAAGATAAATAATGCTTTACTTTCTCGATGTAAGGTATTTGTTTTAAAAAAACTTTCTTCAACACACATTTATAAAATCTTGAAAAATGCTATATCAATAATTAAACAGTCCTCAGAAAATATAATTAATATTGATGATAATATTCTGGAATATTTAGCAAATTTGTCTGATGGTGATGGTAGTTTTTCCTTTTCTTACTATTTTATTAATGTTATAAGCTCGAATTGCGTTAAATATATTGGAAATGATATTAAACTCTAAAGTTAATGATCGAGATGTAATTACAAAAGAAAATATAAAGAATATTTTTCAAAGGACATCCTTTATTTATGATCGTATTGGTGATTCTCATTATGATACTATATCTGGTATTTTAGTATAATTCATTTTTATACTGATTATTAATAGCATTTCATAAAAGTATTCGTGGTTCTGATGCTAATGCAGCACTATATTATCTTGGAAGAATGCTTCTTGGTGGTGAAGATCCTCTTTATATTGCCCGTAGGATGGTATTTTTTATTTTCTTTTTGTTTTTTTTTTACTTTTTTAGGTACGTATTGCTTCTGAAGATATTGGAACAGTAGGTTTTATAAAACAAAGAATTGCATAATTTGAATAAAATAGTCTGACAATAATGCGCTTCTTTTAGCAACGTCGGTTTATCAGGCCGTTCAATTTGTAGGGATGCCTGAAGCAGATATTTTTTTAGGTTTGTTGTTGTTGTTATTATTGTTATGATGTAATTTTTACGCAGCTCATGCTGCTGTTTATTTGTCAGAAGCAAAAAAATCAATTAGAATTTATTCAGCATTAAATCATGTTAAGGACGTTCTTAAAACAGAGGAGGGTGCATTTAGTGCTGAAATTCCACTGTAATATATTTGAATCTTATTTATATTTAACACGAATAGGCATATCCGAAATTGTCCTACGACTTTAATGAATGAGCTTGGTTATGGTGTAGGTTATAAGTATAATCCTCTTTATGAAGATGGAAAAGTAAAACAAGAAGTATAGTTATTATTAAATAATTATGGTTAATAATTATCTTAGTATTTACCAGCTACATTAAAAACACGAGTATTTTTGGATATAGATGAAAAAAAAATAGTAGATTCAGAACTTTTAAAATAGTTTCTAATCATCTAAGAATTTTACATTATTTAATAACGACTTTGTAAACGTATACTGTGTTATTGTATACGTGGTCGATTTGTATTTCTTAATTCATTTTGTTATGTTTAAATTTCAAAATTTTTTATAGATTTTTTTAAATTAGTTCTTATCGTTTATTTGTAAATTCACGTGATAACGTATTGTTTTTGTTTTTCGAGTGATAACAACTTATAAAAATAAAGAATTATAGGAGACTATAAAAAATAGAGAGTGTATTGAAATCTTTTGAGAACTATCGTTTAGATGGTTTCTCGTCTTGGTACTCTCTTTGTTCTCAGGAAAGGTACTGAGGAAGAATATGCACAATTTCCAATTACGAAAAGATTAAATACTTTTGGAAGGTAGAATATTGGTTTAAAAAAGTAAAAATAAACTGATGAATTGCTGGAGACATCTGTCGTGTGATGTAAGATTGTATGATGAACTTATTTCACGCCAACATGCCCGTCTTGAAATTGATGATAATGGAAATGTAAATTAGATTAATTAGATTAATTTTTCTTATCTTAGAATTAGGCATTTTTGGAGAATTTAAGCATAAACGGCACTTTCGTTAACAACAAGGAATTGAATATTTCTGAAAATAAGAGGTTCCAATTAAATACGGGTGATATTATTAGTCTTGCAGGCCATAAGTTTCGATGGGAATATCCAATAGACAAAAAAAAAGCTGATCAAATAGTGATATATGTAAGTTAGATATTTGTTTTGAAGTTTTTGTGTTAATCCGTAAAGACTCCTCAATCAAAAATGCATATTTCTATTAAATCAAAGAAAGCATCTTTATTATTTTCAAAAAATAAAGTTTGTAGTTTAAAGTCTTAAAATATTATTGACCATTTTAAGGATGTTGTTGTTACTCCTTCTATAAATAGAGAAAATCAGCTTAATCTACAAATATCTGCAAAAAACAATGTTTCAGAAAATATTGTATCAGAAACTAAAGATTCATTTGATATAATCGATTCAAAGTTAGAAAATGGAATGACATCCTTAAATGAGACTTTTAATTCAAAAGATTCGGCTTTAGCTATTTTATGTTCTCCAAAGAAATATAAATTTAATAAAAGTTTTATCGAAAATGAAATACTTGGTCCAGGAGTAGGCAGCATTATAGGTCGAGATGTTCAAATAATGGATAATTTCTCTAAGTCTGATTCCAAATCAAAAGGTATGATGCAAAGTAAAAGCACAAGATTTTTAATTGTTCCTAATATAGCTTTTGTTTTTACCGATAAATCTCCAATAGACGTTTTAGTATCAAAAAAGCCTTTCAAACCTATACCTCAGGATTTCGGTTTAATTATGGATTTTATATCAATTGAAAAGGATATTATTTTTTCCAATGAAGTTAATGGTAATTTAGAAATATTATGACGATTGAAATATTTATATCATATTAGAACTCGTGAAGAAAGATTTGCGTGATTCTTTCTTAAAAGAAAACCAGTTAGAGTTTCAAAAATATAAAGAAATATTATCACATTCAACATTTTTTTCGAAGATTCTTCCACAAAAGAAAATAAATACATCTGAAATCAATGATTATTCTTGTGGTTTTCGAACTCTTAAGTTAGAAGAAAATTCTTTTTTTAGTCCTCCAAAAGAAAAATCTTGTAGTATTTTGCCGAATAGTCATCCTTCGCCGTTAAAACAAGGTTCTCCAATTTTACATTTTACTAAGAAGTATTATATTGATACACGCGATTTACCACCTCGACTTGAAAATGTTATAAAACGAAATAGGTATAAAAAGAGATCAAGTTTTTCTTCTTTTATGGCTTCTAATGTCTTGAATAATCCTACACTTATGAATTTACGGCTTAGACGTTCAATATCTGATTCTTCTTTTGTCTCATCTACCTATATTACCAAGGTAAAATCAATGACTAAAAAACATGATAATTTACCTACAACTCCTTTGGAATTTTTAATTTTAAATGATTCCGAAAAAAAGCTTTTGGGATCAACACCACTATTTTCCTTGGATAGTGGTTCTAAGGAAAATAATGCTAATTTGTTGATGCCATTAGAATATAATGTATCTTTGAAAAATGATGCAATTTATAATACAGTTTTATGCGATTTTGATAAAATAAAACAACGTTATAATAATGATTTAGAGGATAATATTAAGCCAAAGACAGTTTGTCCAGAATTTAAAACATTTTCTCCTGGAAAATGGGCTGTTACATTTAATGGTAAAAAGCAAAAGCTTTATGAGTCACCTATTCACTCAATTAATGAAAATGCTTTATTAAATAATTTGTCAGTAGCCAATATGAATTGTTTGAATCGGCATCCCTCAGTAAGTCGGTTAAAAGATATTGATAAAGTTTTTTCTCCTGGTAAATGGGCTCTTACTGCCCCTGGGAAAAAAATGAAGTTGTACCGTTCTCCAAATATTCGGACAAAATCGATGGATAAATTAGCATGTAATAGCTTCAAATCAAAATTAGTTAAGGATGTTTCACGAGAAATGGGTGTTACTTTGAATTGTAATTTAGATAAATTTAATTTTGGAATTGATAGTTTTCAAAACTTTCATATTGATTATAGTGATAAAAAGAATTTTGAAATTACGGATATATCTGATTCTATAATTAACGAAAATGAAGAGTCTAATAATATTTTTCTTTCATTGAATAATGAAGAGAAGGATTTGCATTCTAGTAAGAATTTATACATAGACATGAGCGAGTCTATTGAAAATGGTATGAGTTCGGAAGTTATTACAAATAATATAGATCATAAGAATATCTTGAAAAATAGTCCGGATGACATACAAAAACTATATATAAATAATAGTGTTAGTGTAAATAAGTCTAAAGTTAAATTATTGGACCAAAATGTTAGGGAGATTAATATAGGAATTCCTAATGATCATTTACTTAATTTTGCTAAATTGTCTTGTTCAACTGCTATTGATCTGGAATTGTTTTCAGAAAATACTCAAAAATTAAGTAATAAGTTTAATTTTAAGGATAATGATTCTTTTTCGGAATTATTCAAGCATCATATTTTTAAGGAGGAACAAGAAAAAATGAGTTTGAATTTATTTCAAACTGATATGCAGAAATTTCAGTCTAATGATATGAAACTAGTAGCTCAAATCCGCGACTATGATCAGTATATTCCTATAGGTGAATGTTCTGTATATGGTTATGAGAAATATAATAGTTCTCGGAATATGTCCATTCCTTCATTAAAATATGATAATATTAAAAATAATGACTCTAATTTAAGCAATTTACTTCTTTTTGACCAAGTTGAAAATACAATTTTTATGGGATCACCAAGTAACATGTGTCTTCAAAATCAACATGTTCACGTTAACAGAGGGGATAAGGATGTCTTTCATAAGAATATTTATTTAACTAAGGATAATACTAATTTTTTAAATTTTCAGAAATATGATGAATTAAATGATTTTGAAGAAAATAGTGTTTTTTTTAATGATATTATGATAAATGAAACAAATACTTTTTCTGATGGAGTAGTGAATGAATTTACAAATGAATCTTTATTTATAGAAAAAAGTGACGAAAATATCTTTAGAATGCATAATTCTTTGGAATCTAACTTAGTTATTCAAGTTGATCAATGTTTCCAGCCTATGGCTATAAGTTCATTGTTTGTTGGTGTTGAGGATAGTATAAGTAACAAAAAAACTTCTATTTCGAAAGCACAATTGCAAAATATTGAAAATGTTTCTATTGACTTAGCAGAAAAAGCAACTAAACTAAATGTTTGCAAAGAAAATATCGAAGATTCTACAGTAAGGAAATCTGGTAAAAAAACACAACTAAAACCAATTCGTGCATCAAATAGAATAAAGGAAAGGTCTAAAGTTAACAATGATGATGCTAATAATAATCCTCTTAAAAATTATAAATGCAATACTACAATTTCTCAAGAAAAGGTGTATTGTAGTAATCGTAGAGTAACAAGAAGTCTTAAAAGATCAAATTGTGTAAATGAAAATAATGACAATGTTATTAAATTAGCTGAACAAGCAAAAACTTCTAAAAAAAAACGGAAAAAGTCATTGATAGAGAAAAGTTTTTTTATCGATGTTTCTGAAAAATTAAAACGAAGTCCTTCGAAAAAGCGTATAAGAATAACAAGAAATACTGCTGCATTAAATGGGAAAGCTGTTGAATCCAAAAATCATTTTGATTCTACGAATCTTACTAATGTGAAGAATTCACGAAATAAAACACAGGTTTTTCAAAAAAATGGTAATATTACTGCTGAAGTAGCAACTGAAATATCTCTAGAACAAAATAAAAAACAAAATTTAAAAAAAAGAAATATATCTCGAACTGTCTTAGATGTTCAAGAAAAAACATCTAAACGTCGCAATGTTTCATCTAACAATAATGATGTAGAACCTTCTTCAGAAAGAGTTCGATCTTTAAGAAATAGGCTTAAGTAGATCTTATAAAGCTATTTTTAAGATAACGTAACATTTTTTTAAAATAATATATTTTATTTAAAATTTATAACATTCAGTTGAGTTAAAATATAAAAATACCTGGTTTGGTATTGGAAGGTTGGATATCCCATCAAGGGGTTAATTGTTTATATTAAATGGAGATTTGAAAAAAAAAAAGTTAGAAATTTTAAAGATATAACAGGGATTAATTGTTCAAATATAAAATTATTTTTTTGAAGATAATATGTATGAAGTAGTTCTTTATAATTTGGTGATTTTGGTAGTTGTAAACATTAATTCATTTTAAATGTGTTGTAGTTTCTATGAATACTAAGTTTAATGCAAATTTTGTTTTAATATTAGTTTCTAAAAAATACTTTTACAACATAGATTAATATTGGATTAAAGTTGCCATGTAATATAAGCGTTTGTTGAATTAGTAATTTTTTATTTAGCAACTTTATTAATTTTAAGTGTATGAATTAAGATTTTCCGTTTATTTCCAGCAATTCGATATCACTAATATGTTAGATATTTGACAATATTAAATTTATTTCTTACAATATCAAAGTTGCATTTGGGGGTATTATACTATAATATTTAAGTATTTCTTGCAAATTCATATTTTCTACCCTGGATACCCTGCTTGACCATACCCATAATCTCCAGTAATTATAAGTTTAGCCCGTTCACCAACACTCATTTGAAGAATAGCTTCTTTAAAAAAAATTAATTGTTATTTAAAAAAAACATTTAAAAATATACCATCCCAGCCACGAATAACTTGCTATATATTTATGTTAAGACAGTTGTATATAAAAAATTATGCTTAATATACCCCCGTTCCAATAATTGTAGCAAAAGGTCTACCTCTATCATACGAAGAATCTATTTTTTTTCCATTCTCAAGTGTTCCTGTCTAATATTAAAAGTTATTGAGGTTTTTATTTTATACCCAAAATAACATACATAATGTATAGAAACTCTAAAAAAAGTAAGCTTTATAAATATAATAAAACAAAATTTTACCTATCTCCTTTTGTAGGATAGTCTTTTCTATTGCCTTCCTGATTATATTAGTAAACTTAATGTAATACGGTTATCTTGACTTTGATAGTCTCTTTAATAATACCCATTATGAGAAAAAGGATTTAAAGTGCAATCTTACTTTAGAAAACAGTGAAATTAAATAATTGAAATGATACGAATAATTCGGTTTGAGTTAAAATTCGATGTTATAAAAAAGTTAGCTTTTTAAATATAGAAATATTAAAAAGTAAATATTTTTAGAAAACATAAACAATAGAATAAAACAATAAAATATTTATATAATAATATTTAAGAATCCCAGTTAACCCATGATTTTGACATAACTCTCCAAACACAAATTTCACCACTTTTCAAATCACTTAGCTTGAAACTTGATTGAACAACTTTTTTTGAGTTTCGGCCTTGTTCCCATACTCTAATTTTCCTTTTAGTTCCGTCCCATTCCATAATTATGGCGACATGATCTGGTTTGCCTACCTCTGAGCTGTATTTTGTATGCAAGCTTCCTTTATGACCTTGAAATTTTGCATTTCGAAATGAAATAATGTCACCTGTTTTAATTTCATCCCTTTGATCAATAGATGCATTTGCTCTATTTTGATATATTAATGCACCATATGCTCTTACACCTGTAGATGGCAATGCATGTGGAATATTACTAATAATATTTTGTATGAAAGCGAATGGAGTGCCATCGCCAACTGTTATTCCAAAGTGCTGACTTGCCAAATTTGCTACTTGAGTCCCAAATTTTTCATATGCAATTTCTAACTGGTTTTGATTTGGTTTTATTGGAGAAGGTCGATGAATTTGTTTTAAGTTTACATTTTCTGGATTTTTTTTGTTAAATATTGCTAAAATATGTGTTTCACTGTAATCATGAAAGAGAATACGAATTTCTTTCGTGGTTATAGTATTCCCATCTTTTAAAAGATGTGATGATTCAAAAAATTTTAGAAGTATGTCTTTTCTATTTTGAAATACAGAAGGAAGTGCATCAGGAAGTGTCCACCATAATGTATTTTTTTCTAAATCGATATTGTGTGCAATGTATTCTACTTGATTAAAAGGATCATAATTAATATTACGTTGATCTATAGAGTAAGAAGTTAATTCATTTACAGGCATTTTACCGAGAACAGATAGCCTTTCTTCTGAAATCTGATAGTCATATGATTTTTTATAAGTTTCTGGTATATCAGGTAAAGAAAAATATTCTTCTGAGCAGTTATGCTGAAGCTGATAATAGCTTGGATGTTTTGTTGGTTTATTCTGTATGTTAAATGATATTTCATCAGTTTGAACGAATACATTTTCATTGATATTTCTTTCTATTTCTTCATTGTTGTTTGTAAAACTTTGTAAATTTGTTAAAGAAATAGGACTTATATTTTTAGAATTATAATTATCATTGTTAGTACCTAGCTGGTTGTCTCTATAATGAGTAATTTCATTTTTTGAAGTTTTAGTTTCTTTGAATTTATTTTTATCAATGTAAGATTGTTCATTAAAAATATATTCTGATTCGTTTTTAAAATATGGATATGGAATATGGTTTTCCGGTGTACCTTCAAAGATATATTCTGATTTCGGAGATATATTAGAAGATTCATTATTATAAGATAAGTTATGAGACGTCTGCTTGAATATACAAGGTTTTGGAATAAAAAAAGGTTTTAATGGTCTGCAAGGTGTAGAATGTTTTTGTATACAATCATTTGTTGCATTTTGTAGTTTCGATGAATTTGTTAAGTGAAGATGATCAGGTATAGATGGTGGTTCTTTAAGCGGTTTTTGTGGTAATTTTGAAGGCTTGAAAGTTTCAGGAAATTGTTCATCTGAGACTGGAGATATATATTTTTTATTTAAACTTGGGGAATTGTCTTTTGAATCTTTTCGAATTTCTGAAAATGATTCTAAAATAGGCATAGGAGTATAATAAGCTATAGAATTTTCTAATATTAATTAAAACAGATGAAGTTTAATCACATACCTAAATCATCATTTTCATCTTTGAAAGAAATATCGTTCTTAGAAATATTTATAAGATTATTATATTTTTGAGGAGTTGATAAATGAAACGATGAAAGTGGTTGTTCTATTGTTTCTAAAGAATTCATTTGATTAATTAATTCATCATTTGGATTTTGTCTATGAATTTCAGGTGTATTATCTGATTGAAAGTTTTTAATTGGTCGTTTTATAGGTGATGGGATGACTTGAACAGAAAAAATAGGCGCTACTGTTTGATGTTTATCTTCTTTACAACTGTGAGGTATCACTTTTGGAGGCGATTTAGATTTCATATGTTTATTGGATTCTTGTGATATTCCTAAAGCCATATGCATGTTCATACCAGCATAAGATATTCTCGCTATACGTTCTCGAATAGCAACACGACGAGCAAGTTCTTCTTTTATATTAGAATCATCATCTTCACTACGTATAGACTCTTGTGTTTTCTCTTGATTATCTTCTGATTCATCACCATTTTTTTCCTCTTTTATATTTTTTTGTTTATGAGATAAAATATTCTTATTTGACTTAATTAAATCATAATATATATTTAGATATACCTCATTTTTTATGCATTCATGCGTTATATCAATTTTCCTTGTATCTTCTTCGGAAACATTAGCTAACAGTAAATTATTTCTATGCGCATTTAATCCATATTGACCTACGTAGATCAACCTTTATATTCTTAAGAGCTGAAATTCTATTTTTGAGAGATTCTAATTGAGGTACATTTTCTTCAGTATTCTTGCACGGGGTAGTTGTTTGGATTGGTGTCAAACTATATGATTCTGGTTGCATTGTATTATCAATGTGTGTGTTAGATAGATATGATCTAAGTTTTGGTGTATATGAATGTTTATGAATTGTATTTTGAGCTCCTTGCTCTTTAAGACGATCAAATGAAGCAATGATTTCTTTAAATGACTTTTTTTCATCCTTTTCATCTTCTGGTTTTTCCGTAGAAAATCTATCAGATTTTTTTGAATCCATTCTTCTACTATTGTTTTTATCATTGTCATGTGTACTTTCAATATTTGTAATATTACTTTCTTTTGTGCTTATTTTTCTATTGTTTATATGAGTTGATACTTGTACATAGTTCTTGGGAAATATTCCAGTACAATGACAACCTTCTGTATCAACATATTCTCCAATGTACCATTCTGAATTTTCTATGCCTAAAATATTGATTATTTGGCCCTTTTTAAACTTTAAATCTTCTGGATATTCTGAAATATAGTCATATAAAGCCAGACATTGCATATTGATAGGTGCTATGACTTTAAAAGGTTATCGATATTGAACTTGTACATAATTATGTCCGAGCTTCAAGCAATTTTGTTATTACTAAATCCTGTAGATTCTGCAACATTATGTGCAGTAGGATCAAAGTTGAGGCCTCAGGACTATGAAAATGTATTATTAGAGCGTAATTTGAAGAAGTTATGTGGATATCCATTATGCCATAATCCTCCAAGAGTAAAGATTACAAAGTTGAGTTCTAAAGGCTTATAAAATAGTAGAAGCAGAAGCAACCTTATAGGATTTTGTATAGCAAATGTAAGATTTATGATCAGAGAAATTTATTACGTTTTTGTTCCGTCAATTGTTTTAAAAAATCCGCATTTTTCGCTGCACAACTGAATCCAGAGCCTCTTTGGCTAAGAAATGCTGAAGCAGTTTTGGACATTCGTCTTTTAGATGACCAAATAGGTGGTTTTACGAGTACATGTGATGTTAAATTGCATAAAGATATCACTGATCCAAGTTTAAATATTATTAGCTCGAATTTAAATACAAATGGTTTATTTGCTACAAAACATTCTAATTTGCGTATTTTACATAGAACTTCACAGCTCAATCCTTGTACGAGTTCCCTTAATACATCACTTCCTATTATTGAAAGATTACCTCCAACGATGAAGTCTAATGTTGTAGAAAGGTTTCCTAATGCAAAAGATTATGAGCATATTGAGGGTTTTGCTCCGCGAGTAGGCAAGTTGCCAAAATGAGTTATATGCATTTTAAGTATTAGTGGAGAAATGGTTTAATATGTTCACAATCTCTTATATAACATAACGTGATTTTCACTTTATGAAAATTGTTTTATATTAATATAGACTAAATTTAAACATCAAATTAATATGGAAGGACATTTTGTATTGTTCAATAAAAGATATTTATTGTATAGGGCTTAGATTTATAAAAATTAAAGGATGAATATTAAAAATATTAAGATTTTCAAATGGAAGATTTAGATTTTGTATTGTTTTAATGCAACTTAGTGTTTTTGGAAATAACTTGTTTTAAAGCTATAAAATGAATGTTGTTCTGTTTTTGGTTTTTTGGGTTATATTTTAATACTGTTAAATTTATATTTATGTCTAAAATTGAAATTCATCTCGATATTGTGCATTGATTTTTAAATCTAGACATTATTCAAATTTGAAGTTCTATAGATAGATAGAAAAAGCAGAAATATGCAAGATATGTCTGTTTTTAAACGCTATTTTCTTTCTTCTGGGATTTTTTTGATTTCTAATATAGCATTTTATTATTTATTTAAGCAAATTATAAAGAGTATGGATATATTTAGTGAACGTAAAGCACAAATGAAGAAAAAAAGCAATAATATTCTTCTTAAGTTTCAAGAAGAATTTGGAGTATCTGGGAAAGAATTGAATTTGAATGAGTATGAAAGAGATATTATTACCGAAGTGGTTTTAAATAAAGATATTAATACTACTTTTGATAGTAAATGATATATATGCTTTTTAAGTGTTGTTTTACTTTATTTAGTGATTGGCGGTCTTGAAAATATAATATCTGAGCTCCGTGAAACCGTTATTCTGCCTTTTAATTATCCAGAACTTTTTGTATCTTCTAAAATTCTTCAGGGTTTACCAAAAGGTGTTCTTCTTTATGGACCTCCTGGTGTTTTTATTATTCGATAATAGATACGTTTTAATTCATTTTAGGATGTGGAAAAACAATGATTGCTAAGGCTTTGGCATATCATTCTAATGCAACATTTATTAATATGCATATTTCTACACTTACTGATAAATGGTTTGGTGAATCAAATAGATTGGTTGCTGCTCTTTTTTCTTTAGCTAAAAAGCTTGAACCAACAATTATTTTTATTGATGAAATTGATTCTTTTTTGGGAAAAAGGCAAAAAATGGATCATGAAGCAACATCTATGGTTAAAGCTGAATTTATGAGGTATGGAAAAGTACGTTTTTTTTCTTTATTTTTTACCATATAAACAGTTTTTGGGATGGATTTTCTACTGATGAAAATTCCAGAATTGTGATTCTTGGTGCTACTAATCGTCCTAATGATATAGATGAAGCTGTTTTGAGAAGAATGTCGAAAAGATTTTTTATTCCTCTTCCAAACGCTTTTCAGAGGGAAAAGCTTTTAAAATTAGTTTGTTTATATATATATATATATTGTTATTTCCTGATTATATCTAGTTTCTTTCGGATATAAAGTTAGCACCTGATTTTGATTTTAATTTTCTTGTTTTAAAAACAGATGGATTTTCTGGATCTGACATAAAAGAGTTATGTCGTGAATCAGTGATGTCTCCTGTTCGTGAATTTATTTCATTAAATATTGGTTTTAATAAAAAAAATCTTGATAATATGCAAGTAAAAGATATTGGAAAACAAATACGTGCCTTAGAAACAAGGGATTTTGATACATATCTTCACTCATATAATGAATTTAGAAATAATTCTGATTTTTATAATAGCGTAGATTTGGATTAAAGATATTTATGTTTTTATTAAACTATATATTTTATTTATATAATTTTTAATAAAAATGTAATATTTCACAATTATTATATATAAAAATATATGTGTAAATATTTTAGATATATATATACCAGATTTAAGATGTTTTTATATAGAAAAAAAATTATATAATATTTTTATTAGTATTTAGTTAATTTATTTTTTAAAAATATTAAAAATAAAAACTCCTAAATCCTAAAATCATAGTTTGTTTATGCCATTTAAATATTTTTATTGTTAGGATGATGATGTTAAAAAGAATTAATTGAATGTTTTAGAGTACATTTTCTGAAAATTAGCATTTAGATGATTTGCAATCTTTAATTGAATCTAAAAACGTTACATAGACTTGTAATTTTCCTTCAGGTGATATTTGTGCAAATTTAGGAACTACTGGAACAATTCCTTCACGGATTTCTTTTATTCCATTAATAGATTTAGGTATTGTATTTTTTCCTAAAACATAAGCAACTATTCCTCCAAAAAGAACCTTTTTATCGTCTGGTTTTTTAGACAATATACGGGCTGGAAATGATCTGTTTCTTGACCTAAACTCTACAATAGGCGAAAGATAGCCATCAGTGCAATAATCTAGTCCTGAATTTGGAAGAGTTTTTTGAACTTTTTGATTGTTTTCTGGAATGTTTAAAAAATCCCCAATATATTTATTTATCAAAAAGTATGTTTTTTGTAATCCAATTGATTTAGAAAAGTGAGGAAGTTTTGTCTGTTGATATTCAAATAAAGACTCTTTTTGTTGTTGAATTACAAATTGTATGAAATGCTCTTTTTTTGCTTTCAATTTTTGAATATATTTTTTAAATTCTTTAAACGACATGTCTGATATGTTTTTGTGTAACGCGTTTTTTTTAGATATTTTAACTGGTACAAAAGGCGAAATTGGTGTTTTTAGAGTATTTTTAAGATCTTTTTCTTCCTTTTTATTATTGTTTATTAATTTTGTTGTATATAAATGTATTCTCATTTCCTTCCAGCGTTGAAGAAAGTTAAATTTATTGTTTCCACTTTCAAAAGGTGTTTGATGTTGTAGTGTATCAAGTGAATCAATAGAAATATATGAGGCTCTGATCTGCGGCATATCACGTTTAAGACCCCAATTTCCTCGGAAATGAGAACTAGGAGGTGATTTTATAATTTGATGTGTTGGATAATACTTTTCTGATGTCCGTTTTCCAATTGCTTGTGGAAGTGCTACTAAGCGTGATCCTCTTAAAAGCTGATAATAATTTCCTGGATCCATTGTTTTTTAAAATACTTTTTAAATATTTATTTAAATAAGATTTTTTAAAAAAGTTAAATGTTAATAAAAGTTATAAATGTTTTAAATATTATTTTAAAAATAAATTAGTTATTTTTGAAATTAAAATTTTAGAAAATTATTTTATAAATGTTAAAGAAATAAAATATTTATAATTGAAATTTCTTTAAAATGGTTTTTTACCATTTAAATTGTTATAAAAGTTAAAAATATTTTTAAAATATCATATTTGAAAATAATTAGATATGACTTATCTATTTATAATATTTGACAATGATTGTATAAGTTTATTTATGAGTCAATAATTTTTAAATTTTATATAAAATGTTTTTAGGTTTTAAACTTATAGTAAATATTTAATTTTTTTTTTTTGATTAAAATATTTATATTTAATTTTGTTTAAATTTATTTATGAAATATTTTTATTATTTTTATAAAATTATTAGAAAATGTTCATTTTTTGTTTTAAGTTTATTTATAAATATCAATAGGACGTGTATTTAAGAATTATTTAAATGTTTAAATTTTTATTTTATTAGATTTTTTAATAAGTTAAATATACAATAATTATTTTTTATACTGTCTTTTTAAAAATGACTAATATGTTTGTTATTTCTTTTTTTTTATTAGGTTAATATTTTTTTTTATAGGAATTCATGGAACTTGTTACAAAAGTATTATGATGAAAAAGGGAAAAGTCTTTTAGTTAAAGATCTTTTTGAATTGGATGAAAAGAGATTTGAAAAATTTTCTAAAGAGTTTGGTAATTCTCAGGATGATTATATTTTATTTGATTTTTCAAAAAACATTATTGATGATGAGTTGTTTAAATTACTGATCCAATTGGCAAAGGATGCGGATATAGAAGGACTTAGAGATAAAATGTTTTCAGGAGAACGTATTAATTTTACTGAAAATAGGTTAGTTTTTCTTTTGGAAATCAGTAACATATATTTGATTGGTTTAAGATCTGTTTATCATGTTGCTCTTCGTAATACTTCAAGAAAAAGAATGGAAGTTGATGGAAAAGATGTTTCTATTGATGTTTATTCTGTTCTTCAACATATGAGAGAATTCTCTGAAAAGGTTAGATCTGGCGAATGGAAAGGTTATACAGGGAAATCTATTAAAACAATTATCAATATAGGTATTGGTGGTTCTGATCTTGGTAAATTAATACTTGTCATATATGTAAGTAGAATTAATGTTCTAAAAGGCCCTTATATGGTTACTGAAGCATTAAAGCCGTATTCTTTAAGAAGTCTTCAATTATATTATGTTAGTAATATTGATGGAACTCATATCTCAGAAATTTTAAGACTATGTGATCCCGAAACTACTTTATTTTTGATAGCGTCAAAGGTATTCTTACTTTTAATACATTATATACTAATAAAAGACCTTTACTACTTTAGAAACAATTACTAATGCAGAAACTGCTAAAAAATGGTTTTTAGATTCATCAAAAAATGTTAATATTTTCTAATTTATCAATTTCATTTAATATAATTTAGAAAGAACATATTTCTAAACATTTTGTTGCATTATCTACAAATGAAAAGGAAGTTATTGCTTTTGGTATTGATCCTAAGAATATGTTTGAGTTTTTTGATTGGGTATATATTACATTTGGTCCTTAAGTAATAATTAATAGTAATTAGGTTGGTGGTCGATATTCAATATGGTCTGCTATTGGTCTTTCTGTTGTTTTATATATTGGCTTTGATAATTTTTGGCAATTTCTTGAAGGGGCGCATGCTATGGATAATCATTTTCTTGAAACACCACTTGAAAATAATATTCCAATAATTGGGGGGCTTCTGTCTGTATGGTATTCCAATTTTTTTGGAGCACAGACACGTCTTGTTTGTCCTTTTGGTAAATATTTCTATGTTTATATTATTTTATTTATATGTAAGATCAATATTTACACATGCTTCCAAAATATTTGCAACAGCTTTTTATGGAATCTAATGGAAAATCTGTTACTCATACAGGTGAAAAAGTTGATTATACTACTGGAACTGTAAATTTTTTTAAAAAAAAATCGTTATAATTATCTTATTGTTTTAGATTTTGTTTGGGGAGCCTGCTACAAATTCTCAACATTCTTTTTTTCAATTACTTCATCAAGGAACTAGACTTATTCCTGCTGTTTGTTTATTATTTATGTTTTATTGTTGTGCTGAAATATTTAGGATTTTATTATGGCTATAAACTCTCATAATCCTATTGAGGAAAATAAACATCAATTGTTTGAATAAGATTTTAATGTATTTGTGACTGATTGTGTTAGAATGCTCGCATCAAATTTTTTTGCTCAATCAGAGGCTCTTATGATAGGAAAAACATTTAAAGAAGTTGAAGCTGATGGAACATGTTCAAGATTAGTGCCTCATAAAATATTTCCTGGTAATAGACCAACAACAAGTATATTGCTTGAGAAAATTACACCGAAGACTCTTGGGGCTCTTATCGTTTATTATGAACATTTGGTATTTACTGAGGTGGTTTTTTAGAAATATATATTTAAAATATTTATATATATAGGGAGCAATATGGAATATTAATAGCTTTGATCAATTTGGAGTTGAACTTGGAAAAATTCTTGCAAAAGGTAAAATATTTTTTTAAATAAATCTATTTAATTCTAATTTTTTTAGAAATATATCAAGAACTACTTACCAATGAATATTCAACTAGTAATAATGCATCAACAAGAAATTTGATAAATATTTTTAAGATGAGATCATTTTACAGTATTTAAAATTTAGACTATAGAATGTTTCAACACATTAAATTGTAGTATTGATTAGATTTTTAAAAAAAAAATTATTGAAATAACATAATATTTTGATAAAAATTTTAAAAACCATTAGAATATATTAATTGTGATTAATAAATGTTTAAATATATACTTTATTGAATTTTTCTTATTTCAGTAATAAGTAATATAATATATATATTTAAATGTTAACTCAAAATATATGTTGTAGTGAAAATTGGTAATGTTTTAAATGTTTTTAGTGGTTTATAGACTTATTTAGGTTAAGCCTGCTACGTAAAACCCGACTATTTCGTATTTCTTTTACTTTAGAGCCAGGTATTAGTTGTGATGGTGTTTTGTAGTAAATATTAGATAAAGAACCTAAATTAAGACATAGTTCATCAAGAGTTCTTTGGTTAAAATTCTGAAAAGAAAAATTAATAGATGGCTTATCTCCCATAATTATTTTTTTGGCAACAGTGTTATTTTCTAGCAATAGTCTCCAATATATACAAGCACGATCTCGAAGATCTGGGTTATTTGTATCTTGGATAATTTTTTTTATTATAGATAGAACAAGATTTTGACTGTTAGATGAATTTTGAACAAAAAGTTTTACTGAAGCTGTTAAAAGTTCAAGCTGAACTTGATCAGATTCATCAGTAAATGTAGAAAAGAATTTATTCAAAAGTTTATCTGCATTTTCAATTATGCTTGAATATTGCCCTATTATCCATATCATTGCTGCTTTTGTTCTTGAATCATCTAAGTTATTTAAATTACTACATAATGTTAAAACTATTGATTCATATTCATTAGGATATTTTCGAAGTATATCTTTTATTGCCAATATGGATTCTTGAATCATATAAGGTTTCTTTTCTTCGATAAAAATCATTAAAATTTCAACACATTCTTTAGTTACACTTTCAAATTTAAGTGCTAAATTACCAATAGATTGAATAGATTTTTTAACAAAGCTTATATCTATCTCAGTAGTATATCTGTTAGACATTAGTTATATTGTTAATGAGAAAATAACAATACTCCTTAAGTTCTCTAATAATTTTATATATATTTTTTTTATTTGCCAGTTTTACAAGTATTTCAAGTTTTGTTAGTTTAATATATAATGGATCATTATATTTGCAAAAAAAAACATCTATGTTACTTCCTGTTTCTGGTATTTTTTGAAGTATTATTTGTGCATTTTTAAGTGCAATGTATTCTATTTCAGGTTCTTTTGATAGAAGAGTAACTGAAAAAAATTAATTAGATATCTAAATCAATAAATAAAAGTACCTAAAGAAGAAAATATTTTTTGAGACAAAACCTTAATAGTTTTTTCATTATGCATGTAATTCATTAAATATAGTATAACTTTTATTGACATCAAAATAATACATGTATTAGAATGTTGTAAACGAGGAGTAATTTTTTCTGCAAGGCTTTCTGCATCATTTCTTTCTTGAGGAACATAATTCATTAAAGTATTAAGGATATGTGTTTGGTTCCATCTAAAATAATAAATATGAACATAAAATTTGGATTATCATACTCGGCACATTCATCAAGCATATTTGCTAATTTATTCGCATATGATGTTGAAATATCTATTTCTATAGAATCTGAATATTCTATAATTTCATTTAATGACAATAAAGAACTAGATACAACCTTTTAGTCTATTAGTAATAGTTTGATTGTAAAACAATTTTTTACAATTGAATTAGTATCATGAAGTTTTTTTTTTAGCTCATCTATAAAATTGTTTTCTTCGATAATTCTTCTATTGATATGATAAAGTTTTCCAACACATATTGCTCCAGTCTTTCGAACATATGGATCAGGATCGGATAATAATTGACGTAATGGTATTATAATAGAATCATTAAATTCTTTAATATTAATATAAGACATAGTTCTTAAAGCTAATGCACGAATCAAAGGATTCCTATCATTAAGATCCTAAAAATGTTTACATATATATATATATATATTAAAAATTTACTTTAATTAAAATAGGAAGAGCCTGTACTGCCATATTTGGTCTTAATCTATTTTTTTTAAGAATAAGATTATATATAATAGATAAAAAATACTTTGAATAATTAATTAAAAATAAAAAACACATTTTTTTTATTTCAAGAACAGGAATTTCCATGCATCGAATGATATCTGGGAATAAAGATGACATATCATTCGACATTGTCATATTTGCTATAATTTTTTTAAGTGTTGCTTTCTTTTTGGTATGTTTTTTATCTTTTTTTTCATCAGAGAGTTCTGATTTTAATTTTTGGATTTTTTCCTATGAAAAATAACAAGTTTGCTTTTTAAAGTAATAAAAGGTTATCTTACTTTTACAAAAAATTTCTTGTTACGGTTCATCCTTAATAAATATTGTTTTTTTATAGTTGTAATTTTTCGTTATTAGGTGTCTTGTACATTAAGATTTTAGAATTTTTTTCTAATATAGATCTTCAAATGCGTAAAGATTGATCGAAATGCATATTTTGATTTATAAAAAGTTAATTAAAGTGTATTTATAATATATAGATAGATAATTTTATTTAATAATAATTATACAATAGTTTTTCTATAATACTTTTTTGTTTAAAGTTTATAATAAAAATTAATGATTAGTAATATATTAATTTTATAAGAAATTTTTGCACATTTATTTCTTTAATGAGATAAAAATACATTTAAAAATGCACTTTATGATTAATATAAATACGTTTATTTGTAAAATATAGCATTACGGTTTTTTGAATTTAAAATATTTTTAAACATACAGTAATAATATCTTGGTTTTATTGTTTTGTCATATATATGACAAAACAATAAAATATTTTTTTTGTAATTAGATCGTTTTATATTTTATGTTTAATTGTTTATTTAAAATTAAATATAAAAAATTGTTTGGTAAAATTTCTTTGAATGCTTTAAAAATATTGATAACATTGAAAATATAGAATTTTTATTTATTTAAAAATATTTTTGTTAGGTTTTCTAAATAAACATTTTAATAGAATTAAATATTGTACTCTTTTGATCTAAAAAAAACGAAAATATTTTAGATTTAAAATAATAAAGCCTAAGATTATGATTATAATAAACTAGTTGTATATAATATTCAAAAAGAATTTTTAGAACGCATATTTACTTAAGTAGTATATGTAGTGATGGATTCGTTATAAAATAATATGAAAAAAAATTGTTAAAAATAGTAGTTATGAATTTTAAATATATGTAGGTAAGATAACTTATGTGTATGAAAACGTAGAATGTTCAAGGTACTATATAAAATTAGAAATGATGACAAAAATGATTGACAAAACATTTCTTTCCCGTTCCCAAGCAAGCCAATCGCTTTTAGTGATAGGCAGAAGTCTAAATATTAGATAAAGTCTTTTAAAAAATAAACAATTACCCCATCCACTGCATCTTTATAAGACCTAAGCTAATCGTGATTAATTGGATAAGTATAAATGACAACTTGGGAAGAAAAAGTTTAGAATGTGTTGTAGGTGATTCTAAGTGAACAAAAATCGCATTTACATTAGAAATGCTTTTTATTGGGTTCCAGAAAAGCATAAATGTCATAATAAGTGAAAATATCTGAACACTGTTTCCTGACTAAAATTGTAAGATTTCGATTATCTCGTCTATTAAATACCATATATGCTACTATTGCAGACATAGGTAGCCTGTTTATAGAAATCTGTTTATTTCTTTCTTGAGCCTCAAGTTTCTTACATTTTAGCTGGTCCAAGTGCCACTTCCCATGCTTTTTTTATTTTCAAACGTTCTGTTTCTTCTGCAGAAAGGGTTGATGCCGATGATTGTACCGGTTTCTATGATTTTATAAATCTATCGTCATTAAAATATTTAAAATACCATTTGAATTGATTCCTCGTCTGAGATATAACCCGGAGGATCTGCAAGCTTTCGTTCGCTTGTTAACATCCCTCTGCATCTATTAATCATTTGTTATCTCTATGAAAGTACCTTTGCTCTGCATGCATCATTTCTTCGACCCATGCAATATTTGCCATGTCTGTATACATAATTGCAAGTTTTATTGGTTGACGGTTGTTTAATTTTTTTATAAAGTTTACGAAATTTTGATATACGATTAGCAACGATTTGACTTTTATGACTTAACAAAACTTACAATTGACCAAAATGACTGGTAAATCCAAAGATAATGCACGAAATATAGAAAAAAATCGGAATCAGCACGGTCTGAATAATATACCAACTTATTTTCCACGTTTTTCGCGGAAATCGTACTCAGGACGTTATGGAGTGCCTTTGGTGATGACAAAGGCGTCTAATACTGTAGATTTGGATGAGTCTGAAGGGAATGAGATGTCTGAAAACATCATAGAAGCGTCAAAAATAGAAAGTGCAGAGTGTCCAGATCGTTTGAGTGTGGTTGTAGGAGAAAAAGATGTATTTGTGAATACAAATGGATCAAAAACAAGTGTACGGAGCATCTCAGATGGGAGGCTATCGGATTCAAGTGAATCATTTGAGAAGGATATTCATGTATTTGGTGAATTGGAGCAGAGTGATGCTTTTTTGCCATGTATGCAGGAGAGTGAACAGGTAGTAGGTGATAAAGATGGCACTTTTTTAGCAACTGAAGAAGTGTCTGGTATACAAAGTGCTCAAAAAGCTAATTTTTTATGTGATACAAGTGTTTTTGAAGAACAAGATGTAGAAAAAATACCATTATCTTTATACAATGCGTATACAAAAGCAGATACAGAAACGGAGCAAGAAATGGTAAAGGATAAGCAAGTGGAACATGAGGAAGTATATGATGAGATAAAAGAAAGTAATGACAAAGATTTGGATGTTTCAGTAAGTATATCATGTGATTCTTCAAAGGACGATCAGATCCTACGGGGAAAAACTTGTGATCGTATTGTGCTTGATTCTAATGCTTTAGTTTATAATGATTCTTGTAATATTCAAGCTTCTCAGCAAAAAAATATGCAAGTTCAAGAATCGTGTATATCGCTTTCAGCATATCCTAAAGAAGAAAATTTGCTTCCACTAACATTGCCTGATGATTTTTCTGATCAAGAAAGAGCTTATGCTGTGCTTAGTGTTAAAGAATGGGAAGATAAAGGTTTAGAGATTTCAAAAAGGGGTCTTCAGTTGATTGAAAAAGTTATTTTGTTGCGAAAGTACTACTTCTTAATTTATTAATAAGACTTACGGAGTTAGACGGAAGGAAGAGCTTCTTTTTCAAGTACAAAATATGATTGATTTGCATGCTGAAAAGCTGATTCAACGTGAAGAAAGCTTGCGCTTGCGGGCATTAGATGTTAAAAAACGTGGAAAAGAGTTACTAGATGGTGTGTAAACAGGGCTTATAAGATATTTTAGGATTGATGTTTGATGCAATTTGTTTTTAATTATGCGAAATATAGATAATGGAAGTTTAGAATGTAAAAATATAGCTATATTTATATAAATAAAATTTGCATATTTTCTTATTTTTATTAAAATCTAAAGACGTCTTTGGTTTCTAAATGCTCGTTGCTCAACCGAGCCTGCAAGTGCTGTATTCACTGTAACAGAAACAGAGTCATACCCTAATGACTTTAACATGCTCTTTGTAGAATGAGTGATAGCTCTATAAGTTTGGTATAAGATATTACCTTAGTATCTGCATCTACCTCGAGGACATTGATATTTGTAAGAGCTGATACTTCTGGAACATATTGATCTTTTCGTTCTCTTTCCTCTTCTTGAAGTTTAAAACTAATACCGCATACTGGACCCTTTTGTATTCTTTTCATTAAATGTGTTGTATATCCTGCAATTTTATTTCTTAGTTTCTTTGAGCAAATAATAGCAATATCATCACAAATTCTTTTATTTGTATGAAAATCATTAGTCAGCCTTGGGTAATACTGAAATTCTTAGCAGTAAAAATTATATTTGTTGATTTTACTTTTTCTATAATTAGACATGATGCACGTTTAACTGTCTTAGTTCTAACACGGCCCTGAAAAAAATATTAATTTATGCTTAAATAAGGCCTATCTAAGTCCAAAAAAGCATTATTAAATATGTATAACTGTTTGTAATACTTTTTTACTTATACAAGAAAAAGTTGTTTTAAATTTTATAATTTCCAATATGAAAATTTTTGTTAATGAAAAATAGATGATACTTTTGAGGACTTTAATATAATGTTCTTACCATGACTTATAAAATCTTTTAAAGAAATATTATTAAAATTACTTGGCCTTTAATTATTTTTATGTAAAAGTATTTAAATATTTTTTAATCCCGTAAAAAAGTCAATGTAAATTCTAAAACTAAAATACAATATAGTATTAAAATATTATAAATATTATATATATTATATATATATATATTAGATTTTTATGTTTAAAAGTTTTATATTTAAAAGAGTTTTTGTTTAATTTTCAGATGCTATTTTTCTTATAATAAATTGTAAAAACAATAGAAAGTATTTATATTATTAGGAAATGTTTAAGTATTTCTCGAATAGTTGTTAAAGTATTATTTAATTAATAGAATATTTTATGTTTTTTGAGTTTAAATATTAAACAGGTGGAGTTGCAAAGGGTTCAGATACTAAACCCTTGGATATTAAGTATAAGTACTAAATTTTAGTTAGAAGAGTTCTTTTATAAAAAATATTTATACGTTTTTTGCTGTCTCAATACCTGGTAATTCATAAGCTAACCAAACTTCACATCTACGACAATTGTACATCCAACGTTTTTCATAACCATCTTCTCTATAAAAATGTGTTTAAATATATATAAACGGTTTCCGTAATACTACATGTTTTACCTTTCTAGTATTATGGGTTCTGGTTGTTTTATGAATTTTATACGAAAAGTATGTCTTGTTTTGTCAATCACTAATGCGTCGTCATGTTGTCTTTTTGGAAGGTTCTTGAGATTTGAAGAAATGGATAAAGAATATTCTCCACATAGGCAAAAATAGCTATTAAAGTCCTTGGAAATTGCTTCTTTCATATTATTTGGGTATAAATATGATTGTGATTTTATATGATTAAATGAAAAATATTTGTCGTATATTTTAGATAATGACTTTAAATTAAATATATTATTAAAAATAGATATAAACAATGTAAAGTATTAATATCTATTAATGATATGTGTGTATGAATGTTAGGAGAGATTAAGTAGATCCTTTTTTTTTAATCCATCCTTGATTAATCATAAAATCAAGGATTTTTGAAGTTTTATTAACATCAATTTTTATCAGTTCACGAGTTTTTTTTTTCTTTAACTTGCCCCTTGTTTTTATAAGTTTTCGAAAGATTGTTTCTTTAATAACGAGATACGGTTTTGGTAAAATGTGCAATTGAGTACAAAGTGTTTGTTCACTAGGTGTAAGAAGATGTTGTCCAGATGCAGTTAATAGTTTAAAAGAAGTTGTTTGTTTTTTTAAGGGCTTAGAATTAGAGTCTTTTGTTTGATTTGAAGCACATTCATCTGAAGATATAGTTTGTGGCAATTTTGATGAGTTTTTTGCATGACGTGAAATAGTTCTCTCAGAAGTTATAGAATTCCGTATTGCTAGTTGCTGTTTCAAGTTAAAGATGTATACTAAGATAATGAATTTTATTACTTTTTGAGCTTTATCGCGTTCATATTTTTGGCCTTCTTCTAATGTAGTAAATCCATTTTGTCTCCATTTCTGTAATTCTGAAATTTTTCTTCGGATTTTTAATTCATCTAAATCCAGTAAAAAAAAGTATTTAACATAAAAACAATTACTTAATAGTCCTTTGGAAAATGCATTATAGTCTGAAGCATTTTGAAGTCTAGCATAAGCCTTGATTTTATTAATTAGTTCTTTTTCACTTTTAGTCATTTTTTTTTCGTTAGCCATGTTTTTTTTATAATCTAAAAGTCCGTGTTCAAATATAATTCTTTTTCTTTCTGAACGTTTATTTAATTTAGAGTTATATATATCTAATATTGTTAATTTTAATTCAATAACATCTTCCGTGTCATCAGAAAGTTCATCGTCAAAATTCATGTCTTTAATTGTGAGTTCTGCATCATTTTCATATTCTGTTTCAAATTCAAGTCGACCAGGCATATACCCTTGTACTTCATGACATGATGGAGTAGAAACTACTGGTTTATGTTTTTGTAGAAAAGAAAGTTTGTTTATTAATGATAGTTTTCTAATTCTTTCTCTTCTATGTTTTAGAAGTTCTTCGTGATTAATATTAAAAGCTAGATGTTTCTTATAGAAAATTATATTTTGTTGAAAATTAAGACAAAAAGTTACCGCATATGGAAAAGAAGGACTAGATATATATATTTCATTATAGTGTCTTTCACATTCTTCTTTAGATCTACCACTACCAAGATAATCAGCAACATCTTGCCAGTTGCCAAGTCCGTAGCTATCAAGGCCTTCTATAAGCATTAACTCCTCATCAGCCCCCCAGTCCTTATCAAAAATAGGAAATATTGGCTGTTCAATAACACGGTATGAATGGTCAGATTTATGTGTACCTATTTCAGAACCTGCTGAAAAACATGATATACAAAGATCAAAGTTATCGCAATTTGCGCATCGAATATAAGTAACTCGAGAGATATCTAAGCCACAAATATCACAATGATATTTATTTAAAGGCATCTTTTATATTAAATATTATATGATTTCCCTAAAGAAAATGCAAATTTGTCGATCTAAAATAACTATGTTTAAAGTATTTTAGAAAGTATATTTTTCCTTAAATTATCAGTTTTTCACAATACAGTAATTTAATTTAATAGATCTCCTTATAAAAACTACATAATTAATAAAAGTTAATTATATATATTGATAAAAACCGTTTTGTTTTAGTTTTAATTTACGAAAAGTTCGTATCTTTTTTTATTAAATCATTAATAGTTAAGGTTAAATATTTTAAGAGAAAAATATTAAAGCGCATTACTTTAATTATTCTTAGTTCTGTGTTTGGAGTGTTAAAGATTCTATCTGAAGGTACATTGCTTGATTTTGGTTGAACTTATCGTAGTTGAAGTGTGAAAATTGAAGATGTTTTAAAAATAATGAAAAAATTATTTTTTGTGAATTTTTCTTTTTCTAAACTATATTCTCTTCCTTTTTTAATGCAGAACATGATAAGAAGTGGTGCAAGGCATATTTTTTATAAATCATATTTCCGTCCTTTTCATACTAGTTTTATACAAAGTTCTGGGTCTTTTAGTAATTTTTATAAGCACATATGATTATAATATAATTGATATTCTTTAGTCCATAGAAATACATCATATAATAATCCTGTAAGATTAAGATTTTTAAAATTGGATATTTTTTTGAAAATTAATATATGCTTCTAGGATATTCCATTTGAATTTACACCTGAAAACATGAAACATGCAAAGGTTATAATGAACAAGTATCCTACTGAATGGTCTGATTTAAATTTGTGCATTTATTTATATTTATACAGTTATTAGGAAAAAGGCTGCTGTTATGCCACTCCTTCATTTAGGACAACGTCAGTTAGGTTATACTAGTATTAGGTATATTTTTTTTAATAGTTTTTTTTTAATATTTTAAGTGTTATGGATTATGTAGCAAAACTTTTAAATATTCCAAAAATGCGTGTCTATGAAGTAGCAACTTTTTATACAATGGTATATGTTTTGATTTGATTCAAAAATATTTATTTTTATAGTATAACCGTGAACCAGTAGGGACTTTGGTGCAGGTTTGTACGACGACTCCATGTCAACTTTGTGGATCAGATGAAATTCTTAAAGCTGTACAAGATTATCTTGGTGTTACTCCTGGACATACAACAAGCGATGGAAAATTTACGCTTATGGAGATAGAGTGTGCAGGGGTAAGTTTTACTTTAATTTACATTTTTTCTCTAAGTTTTCAAGGCATGTGTTAATGCACCTCTTCTTACTATTGGAGATAATTATTATGTATATATTTTCATGTTTTTTTAGATCTGCTAATAAATATAAAGGAGGATCTTAATCCTAAGACTTGCATTGATATTTTAAAAATGGTTAAAGATGGTAAAATTCCTAAACATGGTCCACAAACTGGTCGCCAAAGTTGCGAGCCTAAATCAGGTCTTACATCACTCACTGATGAGCCTTGGACATCTTTCTCAGTACTTCGAAAAGATGGTGCTTTGTAATAAGGTTATGTTTATATTTTAGTTTTTGTGTTTTTATTGGCATTTTTAATATAATTTTTTATAATTTTTTTGTATGCTTCAATAACTTCTGTACCATAACGTTCGAATAGAATTTGGTTTTTAAAAATATATTATATGAGAAAAAGGGCATATATAAACAGATAAATGTCTTCAAAACTGACGAAAAGTGAGATATAATGATTTTTATTTTTAAAATAATAAACTAATATGTTTCTTTTTTTTGTAGAATTCAGGAATTCTACTCTAGGAATTTCCTTGAATCGAGTATCACCAATGATAACTTCAGATAAATCGATTTTGCAGAAATCTTTTCAGAATCAATATTCCGTAGTCAGACCTGGTATTCTTTCTGTAACAGTCCTAGAAGCTATAGATTTAAGTCTTCCACCTGGTATTTCTTCACCAGAGCCAGTATCGTCTTCAGAAAGGCATTCTTATGCAATGGATGAAAAAAATGAGTCTCATGGCCGTTCTTTGTCTTTTCCGTATCTCGTTCTTGAGTTTGATAGGAACCAAGTTTTGGTTGATGCTTTGGCTGGATCCAGTACAGTTTGTCATCCTCGATGGGAGTATAAAGTAAATTTGTAAGAATTAGATTTATATAATTAGAGCTTTTTGATGTATCTAATGTTAGTTATATAGCGATGTTTTAAAGCCTTCTCAGCTTTCTATTCAGTGTTATTTGCGTCAAACTCAAATACAGAAAGGAGATGGTTCTGGGAATTATATATATTTAGGTGGAATAAAATTTTTTCCTAGTTTTTCTGAAATTGTAAGTTAACATTTTAGTTTTTTAATCCTTATTCTTTTTTTAAAATAGTCATTTATGGATGAATGGATGCCTATCCATAATGGAACTGGGCAAATAAGGTTGCAAGTCGCTTATAAGTCAAATAAGGTTTAACTTTTTTTAATTTGTGTGCTCTTTGTAACATTTTATAGAATTCTGTTACAATAGATTCATTTAAATTGCTTAAAGTTGTAGGTAGAGGCTCATTTGGGAAGGTATATTTATTGTTTATATGATGATGTATTAATTTTTAAAAAGGTATTACAAGTACGGAAAATTGTAAGTTTTTATTTTTTATGAAAATTTTTAATACTTAATTCAGGATACCTCGCGCATTTATGCTCTTAAAACAATTAGAAAGGCACATATTGTTTCACGGTCTGAAGTAAATCATACTTTAGCTGAACGTACTGTTCTTGCTCAAATTGATAATCCTTTTATTGTTCCTTTGAAATTTTCTTTTCAAACGTCTGAGAAACTTTATTTGGTTCTTGCTTTTATTAATGGTGGTGAGCTTTTTTATCATCTTCAACGTGAAGGACATTTTGATCTTTATCGGTCAAGATTTTACGCTGCAGAGCTTCTTTGTGCATTAGAGTGTTTGCATAGTTTTAATGTGATTTATCGGTAAAAGATTCTATTGATAGTGGTGTTATTAATATTTTAAAGTGATTTAAAGCCTGAAAATATTTTATTAGATTATATTGGTCATATTGCTTTATGTGATTTTGGTTTATGTAAATTGAATATGACGGAATCCGAAAAAACGAATAGTATAATTTCTCTATTTCGGTTAAATAGTGCTAATTTTTAAGCATTTTGCGGTACACCAGAGTACTTGGCACCTGAACTTTTATTGGGTCAGGGATATACTAAGGCTGTAGATTGGTGGACATTGGGTGTTCTCCTATATGAAATGCTTACTGGACTTCCTCCATTTTATAATGAAAATACAAATGAAATGTACCGCAAAATTTTACAAGATCCTTTAAAATTCCCAGATGATATTGACAAAGATGCAAGGAGCCTATTAACAGGCCTTTTAATACGTAATCCTGAGAAAAGACTGGGTAATACTGGCGCTTCAGAGATTAAATCCCATCCTTTTTTTTCTAGTATCGATTGGAAGAAATTATATGCAAAAAAGATACAGCCTCCATTTAAACCAAATGTGGAAAATGCTGTTGATACAAGCAATTTTGATCAAGAGTTTACAAACGAAACACCTATTGATTCTGTTGTAGATGATTCACATTTATCTGAAACAATTCAGCGAAAATTTCAGAATTGGAGCTATCACGGGTCAAATGTAATTGATAATTGTAATAATGCGGTTAATGAGGGTCTTGGGAATGTTAGGGAATAGTTAGGGAATAAGCATTGGTTGAATATATGGAATAAAATACTAAAATGGTGAATATAAATCTGCGATTTAATGATTTGAGCTGTTAATGAATATTTGTGTCAAACTGGTTTTGCTGCTTTAGCTTGTTTTTGTGTCTTCATGTGTATTTTTGGGTTTTTGTATGAGTTATATCTACCATTTTTCTTTCCATAGCTCTTTATTATATCCTTCTGTCAGCTTTTCATCTTCGCCATATTTTTTTTGCCATTCACTAAATCCTCCTCGAAGTACATAGACATTCTATACAACAATAAGGCTTCTTATAAACAAGAATGATAAGATACTGGTAATTCTTTTTTCTGTAGATTTTCTGTATTTTGTTGTACTTTTTGTGTTTCTAAAAATAATTTAGCTCCTGCAGGCCCTCTGTATCTTATAAATATATTTTCATTACATAAAAACAAATGGTACCTTTTCTGAGAAAGAGAACAGTAAAATACTACTTCTTTTGCATTTCTTGTTTTTTGAACGAGATTTAAAATATCTGATGGAAGTTGGTATGACGGAATATGTAGTGCACCTTTAATATGCCCACCAATAAAATCCTCTTCTCGCACATCTACAATGACTAATTTCTCTTTATTTTCTGAATTTTTAAGTTTTAAAGAAAGTCTTTCAGGTTCAAGATATTCTAAGCTTTGCATCAGTATGGATATTTCATTTCGTTGTCATGGTGATATTTTAAAGTTATTTGTTTATTTTGGAAATATTTTGGAAATAACTCTTTATTATAAAATGGTAATAAAAAATATTGAAAATAAATGAATAATGATTTACATTTTAAGGATTCTTCAAATAGTGCTTACAAAGAGGCATTTTCATTGTTTGATAAGCGTGGAAAAGGCACTATTTCCCGTGATTGCATTGGAGATCTTTTGAGAGCTGTTGGGCAGAATCCTACGTTGTCAGAGATTTCAGAGATTGAAGAATCTATTCCAGAAGACAGTATTTCACTTTTTGCTTTACTTTTGTATAAACAGTTGGATAGTTGGTTTTGATACTTTTCTTCGTGTTTTAAATAGGCCAAATGGATTTCGTTCTGTAGGTGACCATGCAGATTTTATTCGTGGGTTTCAAGTGTTTGATAAGGAGTCCACTGGGCTTATAGGCGTTGGAGAACTTCGATATAGTGAAGATGACACTTTTTTTTTTTTACTGATTTAAGTAGTATTGACAAATCTTGGAGAAAAGCTATCAGACGATGAAGTTGATGAGTTGTTAAAGGATATTAATACTAAGGATGGTGTAGTGAATTATGGGGGTTAGTTTTCTTAAGTGTTTTGGATATACGGTTTAATTTAATTTAGAGTTTGTAAAGATGATTCTGTCTAATTAACATTAACATGTTACTGGGTAAACATGAATAGTGCTTCTTTAAGAATAGTACATAAATAGTGTATTTTCTAAAGATGTATGCATGTTTTTATTTTAATACTTTTTAATGGGCTTTATGCTATTATACTGTTTATTTTGTGTAAATTTTATTTGAAATGCTATGATTATTGATTTAGATTAGAAATTTCTATAATAGTAATTGTATTAGTTTTTTTTTGGCTCAAGTTCTTTAGCAGTGATATATGAATTTCCAATTAAAAAATCTGATATTTTTTCTAAAATAATTATATATATAATTAAGAAATTTCCTATACAAAATGTAGAAATAGTAGAGCCTATTTCAAACCAGCTTCCTTCATTTTTAACAAGATAGAAAAAATTTAAGGTTAAAATGTCAGACATTGTTAATACAATCATGAATAACGTTGAAGGAGGAATCTCTAATTTACGATTAAGAATTCCCAAATTAGCTGATATGATTATAAATGGGATTAAAAGTTTAAATAGTAAAATAGTTGCTTGAAAAAACGGATTAAATATGACGATTAATCTATAAACTGAGTCTAAAGAAAAAGATGATACAGATGCAATGTTTCCTGTCCCAAAAAATGCTTCTTGGATAAAAAAAAGATAAAACAATGATGTTCTTAGATTTTCTGAAAATAATTTTCTGTTTTTTTTGAATTCTGCATTTTTATCTTGAGCTTTTGTTAGTCTAACTTTATGTTCCATTTCGACCCATAATACTAAAATACTAAAAAAGCATACATAGAAAAGAGCCTCGTATGAAATAGAAAGAATAATAAAAATAGGTGAGAACATTAAAAAAATTATGAAAAGTTTATGAACGTAGTATGTTTTTTTTCTTACTAGTAGTGGAACTAACAATGATAAAACTATAATTAGTAAGATATTAGGTAAATTCTTGAAAATTTTTTATACCTAAAATCATCCATCCAAGTACTTGATTCCCAAATGGTAAACCTTTTTTAGCACGCAATGATAATACACTTAAATGTGTTACTATCATTGAAAGGATAAGTAACCCTAACTATAATAAAGTTATATTAATGTAATTTTAAAAGTACATATGTTTGTATATACTTGAAAACTAATGATAACTTTAGGCATTTTAGATATAATTTTACGTTTTTTTATTAACGAGTCTCCAAAAATTAAATATATAATTCCAGATAAAAGCATAAAAAAGCCTCCTGTTAAACTAATATAATTAATTGTTGTTTTTTTCAAAAAGATGAGTACATTAGAGCTAAATTCTCTTTTTTTACTGTATCAAGTAAAGTAAAAATGCTTATTGTTAAAGAATTTAGTATCCATAGAAAAACTAATGTTTTGTTGTTTTGAACAAATTTAATACCATATGTTAAGGGCCAAAATGAAATTAGAATAAAATATCCTGTGAAAATTTTCCTTTGAGAATATCCAATGACCTAAAGTTATTAAGATCATAATGTTGTATGGTATAACCTTACTATAGATTCTAAAAGACTTGAATATATTATAAAATCTAGAAAAAAAAATGCATTTTTATATGATTTTTTTATGTTTCTAGAAAAAAGTTCTAAACATTTATAAATAATTCTTCTATTAATAAAAATATGTTCCCAGAAAAAGATAGGGAAGACAATGTAAGCACAATAGAATAGAGGCGATTTTTCCACATATATTAATGTAAACAGGCCAAATAAAATGGACAAAAATACTGCAGATGAAAAAAAAGTTCTTTTAGTTTGATAAATATCTTTTGGAATATAAGAATTAATCATTTGAATAAACATAAATACTATCCAACCGACGTATCCTAGTGTAATAATTGAATGCAAAAATAGTCTGTCGTATCTAAAAAATGTGAAATTATCAGTTGATCTTGGATTTAGCTTACGTTTGAAAATAATTTAAGCCAGCTAAACATAATTCTATCATTTCTTTAGAGAGTTTGATTGCTTTATCATATTCATAGTTATCGATAAGAGTTTCGATTCTGTTTTTATAGATATCTAAATTATGTGTTTTGTTATTTAAATGTTTAAATGGTTTAAATGCAATTTTTGTTGAAGATTTTAGTTCTGTAATTGTATTAAAAATCAAAATAAAGAGAATATTTTAATGTTACCATGTTTCATTTTATATTGTTCAGCTATTTGTAAAGCGTTTGTGAGAGCGATTTGACTTTTAATATTAGGAGAACACGATAAATAATCTAGAGGTAATCGTCCGACAGAATTCATAGGAAAATTTAGTCCAACAAGATAGGCCTAATTATTTTAATATATTTTTTATTAAATTAGATAAATACCATAAGTGGTGCAATGTCTGCTTGAAGAACATCTATACGTTTTACTATGTTAACAGACCAATTTTTTGAAAAATTATCATGACCTGTAACATTTAGCTTATCAGGTTTGTTTATGCCAGGACCCCAGACGATTAAAGGTGTGCGAGTATTATCTGGATGACCATCTCCATGACTTCCTAGATTACTCATTCCATGATCAGATGTAAATATCCATGCAGTTTTATCATCATTGTAATAGTTTTCTACAAGTTTTACAATTTTTTTGAGACCTGTATCTACAACTTTAATATTATTTAGATATTCTTTTGAATATGGACGATATGAATGCCCTGCTGTGTCTAATCCAAGCAAATGGAGGAAAAATACTATTTTATCTTGTGATAGTGCTTTTTTTATAGTTTTATTTGATGTAGAGTTTTTAAATAATTCTGTTACTTTATCAAACACCCATGTATCTAAGATAGTAGAATCTTTAATTACTTGTAAATATGAGTATATTTTACGATTAAAAAAAGTACTTTTAGAAAAATCCTCCATCTTTTTTTCATACATAAATGTTTCAACTCGTGAAACATCAGATGCACCGTATGCAAACATAGGTAAAATATCAGGGGAGCCAAAAGACCATGTATGACGCGATTGATTAAAAATAGAATCGAAGTTAACAGGGTTGGTTTTCCAACCTATGCATAAAACATTAGTATTTATTTAAGTGTTTTTTTATTTCTATGCCTCTAGTTATTGCACTAACATCTTCATAAAAACCCGCTATAATAGCAACATGTCCTGGTCTAGATTCTGTTGGAACACGAGTATGAGATACTCCAAAACAGCCTTTATCAAGTACTATTGAATGTAAAAATGGCGCAAACGTTTCATATGTATTTGTCTCAATGTTTAAATGTGATTCGAATAATTTATCTGCTCTTAGACCATCTCCTAAAATAATATATTTTTAAAAATAAAAACTTTAAAGAAATTAGCAAACCAATTATAAGAAAAAGTCTTTTTGCGGGGGTATGACTTTCGACTTTGAATTGTTGCATTCCATGGACCAATGGTGATGTAAAATAGATATCAAAGATAGATCGAAGATAAATAAGATGAAATAGGACTCCTATAATTAGTATGGTTTTTCGAGAAAAACAGGACATTATGAATTATTTATATTTTTGTGTTTTATATGAATTATTTTTTTTGAAAAAGTAAAATATTTATTATTAAAATTGTAAATAAAAATTAATAGAATTTCTGATATAATTTTTTTTGTAAATTTGAAATTGTAATAGTTTTTTATATGAAATTTAAAATAAATTTTGCTTTTTTTTTTGCTTTTTTTTTGAAAAATGATATTGGATTCATTTGGAAATGAGATTTGTAATGAAATTTTCAAGTATTGAAATAAAATATAATTTTAATTTTAAATCATAATTTTTATGTCGTGTAATAATTTTGGTATTTTTGGAATTCTTGAGTATTATTAAATTAGAAGTTTGAAGAATTATAGAAAATATTTATAAAAATATAAAAAATTTGATGTTTATTTGATACTTATATTAGTATAATATATTTAACTTTATGTTATATTTCTATGAATTTTTTTTTTGTAAACTTTAACTTAATAGATGAGTATTTTGTATGGTTAATAATAAAAGTTTCTTGTTTTTACGTGTTTTAAAAATACTATTTTGGGCTCTAATTGTTTTTGTTTACTCTTATTGTTTTAAGATTTTTTTAATACTTAATAAAATGAAATTATAGACTTTAGAATAGATTAGAATGTTTATTTTGAAAAAAATAATATTTGAATTATTTAAAACAGTTTTATGTATTACAATCATTTGATTTTTGTAACATTTTTGATAATGTTTTTAGTTAGTTCTGTTATTAATATTTTAATGTTAAATATTTTAGTAAATTTATAGAATATTTATTTTGTTTGTATGTTATTTTTTAATAAAAAGATTTTTTAAAAAAAAAAACTTAATATTTTAAAATTTAATAAAGGTTAATTAAATAATTTCTTTTTAGTGTTTTGAAATAAATTTGCAAAAAAAAAAAAATAAAATTAAATGTTTTCTTTTTATTGTTATATAAATGTGTAATATTTAGTATATTTTATAGGGTTGTTTTAATATGTAAAGTATTAGATCTTTTTATAATGTTCTATTTTATTTATTTTTAAAATTTAAAAATTTTGGGTTTAATTTTTCAATATTAAAAATCCATTTTATTTTTTTAACCTTAAAATAATAAAAAGATTATATGTAAGATCTCATTCGCAATTTCTATAAAAAACATTTAAAAATAATGAAATTTGTTTTCAATATTATTATTATTATTAAATGTTTTTTTTTTTAAATTTGCAATACATATTACTATACATATTATTATACTACTGAAACTGAAATAATAGAACTTAATTTTTATGTTCACATTCGTCTACGTTTCATTTCTTTCACGATAGAAACCAAATAACGTATATTAGTTCTAAAACGTTTCCTATGTCGTTCACTACGCAAACGGTTTCTTTTTTTTGTAGGTTTTTCATAAAATTTACCTAATCTTTCTTCTTGTCGTACATTATTTTGTTTTAGAAGAATATCTAAAGATTTCCATGATGAAATAACATCCTGATTTCTTACTTCTCGAGAGGCTGCTCGGCGATAAATATATAATTTCTGGAATTTATTTCCTAAAATTTCTTCATTATTTAAAGAGTTAATCATTTCAAAAGGAAATGATAAATGTTTATTTGTATTTTCTGACAATAAATTAGGTTTAATTGTCTTTAAACGAGATTTGTTATAAGATGGTTCATGTGTTTTCTTCTGAGTAACAGATATTTTTATATTTTTTGAATCCTTTTCTTCGCACTTAAATGGAATTAGAGTTAAATGTCTTATTGTTTTGCTGAAACATTTTTTTATTAATAAGATTTTTTTTCTTGGTCTCCATAATATAAAGTTTTCATGTAAAAAATAATTTGAAATTTTGTAATTGAAAATATTTTTTGACATTATTTTTATATTAATCATTTTTAACTGTTTTCTTGAAAAAAGTATTTAGTTTTCTTAAAGTTATGTTTTTTATAGATTTTTGAATCGTTTCGAAATTTATGATTTAATAAAAATTTCAAGAGTTGTTATACTTTGAGCAATAATCAGGGAATTCTGGAAAGATATTTCTGTCTAATACTTACAGAGTTATGTATCATTCACAACAGTTACCTTATAGTTCAAGTAAGTTTTGTTGAATATGTAAATTATAAATTTTATTATATTTTTTAGATTCAGTATATGGATATCAAGGGTATCAAACATATCAACAGAATTTGCAAGCACCTTCCGGTTATGTTCCTGGTGTAGCACAAACTCAACCTTCAGGATATGGGCTTCCTCAGAATATATCAAAAATCGATTTTAATGCACCTATTATTCATTTTGGAGCAAATGCCGATCAAGTAAAATCTCAGGCTGCCATTATTACATCTGCACCCGTGCTTATACCAAGAGTTGCAGTTCCTCGTGATCCTCCGAATTTTTTACAGCCGCTTACCGTAGAGCAACAAATTAAAACATTATTCATTGGTTCTATTCCTGATTATCTGGATGATTTTTGGATTGATAAAATGTTGAAGGTATTCTTTGTCTTTTTAAATATTTATTTTAATATTTTTAAGTCTGTTGCAAAGCTGAAAGAATGGAAAAGAGCTAGTAATGCTACAGGTTCTTTTCGGAATTTCGGATTTGCTGAATATGAAGATTTTGAACATGTACAAAGGGCAATTATAGTTTTAGAAGATTTGACTATTCCTTCTTTAAAAAGAGATAGTGAAGGTTGTAAAATAATGGTAAAATAGTTTTTTTTTCATTTTATAGTTGATAATTAGTTAAGGTTGTAGTTGATCAGAAAACTCGAGACTATTTAAGTGAATGGAATGAAACAAGAGAAAATAAGAATCCGGTAAATGTTTTTCTTTTAACGAATTTCTAATTTTGATGTATTGAAGCAACGGGAACAGAGTCTTGTTATGCAAGCTAAAAGTAATCTTATTAAAGTTCTTGAAGATTTTAAGGATCCTAATAAACGTGATTTGAAGAAAGTTTCTTCTGATGATAGGTTTAAAGAAATGCAAACTTCTGAAAATAAGGAGGGGTCCAAAATGTTTACTTCAGCACTTAACGTTGATGATGAATTAGAAGATATACCTGCTGAACAACGTGAAGCTGTTGCTCGTGAAATTTCTTCTTTTAGAGAAAGATCTGCAAGAAGAGAATATGAAAAGTTAAAGAGAGAAGAAGAGGTTGAGAGAAGAAAGCTAGAGTTTGAAAGAATGGCTAAGTTATCTGTTCCTACAAAACCTGCTTCTCAGATAAAGAATTCTGTTAATCAAAGAATGAAAAATGAGAATTCTCAACTTTTAACAGATTCTGTTAATGATCGTAGGTCTAACCAAATCATTAAAGATTATCAAAAACCAATAACATTTGTATTAAAAGAAATTAATGGTTATACTCGAAATCATGAAGATGAATTGGATAATACAAGGTCTTGTGAAGAAATAGAAAAAGAAAGAAAAAATAAAAAACAAAAAGAGCTTGAAATTGCATTTTATGAAGTAATGTTACTTTATTTTTTACGTTAATCCTTACAATGTCTAGAGAGAAAAAAGGTGGTTAAATAGAGAAAAGTCTCGAACATCTGCATTGGAGCGGGAAATGAACAGAGATAAAGAAGAAGTGTCTCGTGAAGCCAAAGATAGAGAAATTATGTCTCGTCGACTTGCTGAATGGGATGATGATTTAGAGGCTGAAAGGGCTACTGAAGAATATTATAAAGATAGATCATCATGGTTACGGCATAGGATTGTATTTCGCAGTAGAGAAATGGAAATGGATGCACGTGACCGTAGTTTAGAAGAACGCCAAGAAGCAGAGAAATCTAAAGTTAATACTAATGCTAATTTTCTTCCTAAAAAGCATGTTATAGAACATACACTTGTCGAGTCTGGAATTAATAAAGATATTGGACCTATTAAACTTACTTTTAACTCTTTAAAGAAGCAAATAGATGTTCCGAAAAGAGTTGTTTCTGAAGTAGAAAAACTACTGGAAGATGATGATGATCTTTATACTAGAAATAAAAAACGAATATTATTACCTCTTGACTATGAGGATGTAGAAACAGTTGAAGATAATGAAACTAGGATTAAAAGAATTAAAGATATTGTTGCATTTGTTCCATCTGAAAAAGAAGGGTTATGGAGCTGGCCAATTAAATGGGATTTGTTAACTAATGTAAGATTTTTTTAATTAAAACATTTTAATGAAGTATTAGTCTATTATTGAAGATAAAATTCAGCCATTTGTTGCAAAAAAGATTGTCGAATATGTTGGAGTTCAAGAAGATGACTTAATTAAATTTATTATAGATCATTTATTAAAAAGAGGTAGTGCTGAAGAACTTGCAAAGGAGTTAGAAATGGCTATGGATGAAGAAGCTGAATTGTTTGTTAATAAAATATATAGATATGTCATTGTTATATTAGAAACCATTATATAGTTAAAAAAGTAGTTTTTTACTATTATTGTGATTATGTTTGGTAGTTGATAGTTTTGAATTATTTACATTTTGTTTTGATTTTATAATTTTAGGGTTATTTATAGTTTACTCTAGTAAGTTTATATTTACAGTATTTAAAGAATCAATCGCCCATTTGGGGTAATCCTTTTTTCTTTTAGAATATAAACGATTGAACGCTTTTTTGACAAAAGTAGGGAATTGGTCATGAATAATTGCATTTCTTATTTCCTTCATTAAGTTTAATTGATAGTGAACATTGTGAATCGTTAGTAGATGAGCAAAAACTTATATTTGTTAAAATAAAAAGTACCAATTACGATATTCTACCTGTTTCTTTGCATACAATATGGTGAATATACGCTCTTGTTATTCCCCATTCATCGGATTTACAACAAGGACATTTACAATCTCTATCGATAGGATTATAATCGTTTGCGAAACATTTATTACGAAGATTTAAAACACCGTATGGTGTAAGTGCATTACCAAAACGCTAAAAGATTAAAAAGAAAAAAGTATGTATTAATACTTACTGCTGTTCGTGTAGGATATACACAATCAAATTGATCAATTCCTAGTGCGACATTAACAATGAGATCTTCTGTGTAGCCCTAAATAAATTAGATGATAAATCATTTTGTATGTTGTTTTTTACAACTCCCATTAGATATCTTGGTTTGTTGGAAGGTAATAAATTTGTACAGATTGAAACAATTTTATACATTTGAGATTTTTCTTCGCCACCGCTTAGTCCGCCTATAGCTATTCCAGGTGTTTCTCTTTTTATAATTTCTAAGCAAGATGTTGTCCTTAATTCTTCATCAAGCCCTCCTTGGACAATTCCATAAAGACTTTGTTTTTCTGGATATTTATTTGCTGCAATACAACGATCGAGCCAGCGTATAGTTCTCCACATTGCTTCTTTCACTCTTTCTAAAGGGCTAAGAGAATGAACAACGTCGTCCAACTGCATTATGATATCTGAACCAATACTATTTTGTAAAGAAATAGAATGTTCTGGTGTAAGAAGCATAACAGATCCATCATGAGGACTATGGAATTCAACTCCTTCTTCTGTAACTCGAGATAGTTTTAAAAGGGAAACCATTTGAAAACTTATATGCATTAGTTAGATGTATTTAGGTTTATGAATCATAAATAGTACCCTCCGCTATCTGTTAATAGATTATGAGGCCATCCTTGAAATACGTGAGCTCCACCTATCATATCAAGAACCGATTGTCCTGGACGAAGACCGAGATGGTATGTATTGTTAAGCATAAGTCGACAACCAAGATGTCCTAGTTGTTGAGGTGTGATACCTTTTAATGTTGCCTAAAAAATTTAATTAAATTTATTATTTCTAGAGAAATTAACTTGTGTGCCTAAAGTTTTTAAAAGTGTTTTTTATAAAAAATGAGCTCTACCAACTGGCATAAATACGGGAGTTTCAACACTTCCATGTGATAGTGTAAGAAGACCTGCTCTTGCTTTTGACACTGAACATTCGTGTATAATATCAAAAGTTAGTCCTTTAGGAAGCATAGTAATAAACGTAAAGAATATTTGTCATTTATAGAAATTGTTTTTTAGATTGGTAATTTTTGATGTATTAATATATTATAAGATAAAAATCTTATTCTTGAATGTCCATTTGGCGCAATGGTAGCGCATTCCTCTCCTAATTGTTAGAAGGAAAGGTTGCGGGTTCGAGTCCCGTAATGGATGGGTCTTTGGTTTATTAAGAATTAAGTTTAGTATTTATGTAAGGGTAAGAGTAGGGTTTAGGCAAAGTTATTCGTGCAATTATATTATTATTTAATATATGAATATGTTTATTATTATACGTTAATATAGACATATAGTTGAATAATGCTCTTAATATTAAAATCTAAGGGGAGGGGTTTAATATTTTTAAAATATATTATGATATATGTGCTGTTTGTGTTTGCACAATAAGATATATATATTTTATAAATATTATTATAATTAATAATTGTTTTTAAAACTAAATGAGCTAAAATAAGGATAACATTGTATTTGTAATAAAAGATATGAATGATTGAATACTTTTAAACAGACATTTTCATTTTGATGGATTCATCAGGATGATAATCTTGAATAATAAAATCATTTAGTGTAAAATCTTCGATACGGGTAATTGAGCGGTTTAGAGAAAGGGTAGGAAAGGGATGTGGTGAACGGGCAAGCTGTTGTTGTAAAGCCTTAATGTGGTTTTTGTAGATGTGACAATCACCTAAAAACAGTTAACGTTTTTTTATTCTAAATATGATACTTACCCATGACATGAATAAGATCACCTGGATCTATATTACAAACATGGGCAATCATACACGTTAATAAAGCGTATGATGCAATATTAAATGGAACACCGAGCCCCATGTCGCAAGAACGCTGATATAATTGACATGAAAGTTCACGTCGACCGCCATTTGGTGGTATATGAACATAAAATTGACTATATATTTTGTAAATATTAGGTTATATATAGGATTTAAGATGTATTACCAAAACATGTGACATGGAGGTAATGCCATCTTTTTTAGATCTAAGTTATATTAAGAGGTAATATTAATTTAGTAAGGAAGAATACCTGCTGGGTTCCATGCCATAAGGATTAATCGACGATCATATGGAGATGTCTGAATTTTTTCAATGATATTGGCTAGTTGGTCAACTCCTTGACCTGTATAATCAGTTTTACAATCAATATATTTTGCGCCGAAGTGTCGCCATTGAAAACCATAAATAGGACCAAGATCACCTTCTTGGTGTTCTGTTAATCCGATAGAGTCAAGATATTCTTTTGAACCATTTGCGTCCCATATATGAATTTTTTTTTCTTTAAGTTCTAAAGAGTTTGTTTTTCCATGAATAAACCCTGTATTATATAAGGATAAGTTTAATGGACTTTAAATGAAGTTTACAAAGTAATTCCTCAATTACACCACGTAGAAAAATTCTTTTAGTTGTTAAAAGTGGTAGTTTTTTATTTCGAAGAGAAAATCTTAAGGGTGGTGGTGCAAAAATAGATAATGTCCCTGTTCCTGTTCTATCAGAACGATCTTCTCCATGGTCAATAATATATTGTATTAAGTTGAGATATTGTTGTTCTTCTGTATTTACCATGTTTTAAGAATATGAAGTAATAAATAGTATTTTTTGAATCTCTTAGTAATTAATTTTAAAATTTTTGAAATAAAATAATATTTTTTTGTATAGTTTTTTTAAAAAATTGTGTTCTTTTTTTATGAATTTTAAGATTTTGCGATTAATCGAATTATGTTTGTAATGAAAAATAAAGGTAAGTATTGTTTATAAAGATGCTTTTATTTAATTAAATTAGTTTTTTTTCTACTATGGACGTGTGATTGACTATATTCTTTTTTTTTTGAGAATTATAATATTGAACTTCATATGGGTAAAAAACAAGCTATTACATCTAAAAAAGCAGAATGTTCAGATGCTAACAATAATTCTACCATTCACGAACGAGAAGATAGTATAGATGAGTTAGCATTATCTGCAAAATTGAAAAAAAATAAAGAAACATCTCTATCAAAAACATTAACGATAAGAAAATTGCATTCATTTGATAAAGAAAATTTGCCTTTGGGGAATTCTGGAATTATGGAAAATGTTAATCGAAAAAAGCGTTCTCAGAAAAACATTTTTGTGGAAAAGGGTTCTAAAAGTAGTCAAAAAGAAAACGTTTTGCAAGAAATGTTTCAAGTTCAACTGAATGATTCAAAATGTACATTTATAGATGTGTACGATAATAGTATTGCTATAGAGGAAAGATTAGAAGAAGTAAAAGGTTTTTATGATTTTGGAATAGATTAAAATTTTTAGGCAATTAAAAAGATGGAAGAATTTGAGAAAAAATATATATGTCTTAAAGATCTCCGTCAAACAGAAGTTGAATCTAACTTTTTTGCTTATCGCGAAGTTGCAGAATCTCGATTTAAGGGTAAACTGTTTTATAGAATTTTTTTTCTGTTTTGATATAATTAGTTTCTGAAGTACTTATTGATAGTCTTACAAAAAATATAGACGCTAAAGACAAAAAGTTAAATGATTTATTATCTCATATTAATAATTTGGAACTAGAAAAGAAAGAATTTGAAAAGCTGTCTGAAAAATGTATGTTTTTAGTATGGTATTTGTATTAATTTTTTTAGTAAAATTTACTGAACAAGCTCTTGTTCATGCGAATTCTCAGATTTCATACTTAAATGCTAAGTTTTCTTCACGTTCTAGTGCTTCTATTTCTCAATTAAAAGAAGATCTTTATAGTGATCTAACAGGACTACTTATTCGTGATGTTAAATTAGAATCTAAGAAAACCGTTTTTGATTGTTTACAAACAGGTCGTAATGGAAGTAAGTATTGTTCTCATTTTTATTATTATGTTAATATATATAGCGCTTCATTTTAAACTTTCACTTTTTGTTGATCCCTCTTGTCAATCACAAGAGCGATTTTCATATACTCCTCTCTTCGATGAAGAACGAGATGCTCCACTTCTAAATTATTTACCTAATTACCTTACAGATGAAATTATATTTGAAAAAGATCAAGCTGCTATGTTTAATTGGAGATTATCGAGTGCTTTGCAAAAGAAGGATTAATTTTTTTAAATTGTAATTGCTTTAGTTTTCGATAGTTTTTGTTATATATATTAATATACATTAATAATGTATTTATATTGAATTATAACGTTCGTTTAATTTTTCTAATAATATTTAAAACGAATAATGGTGTAAATAATGAAAATTCGCAAAAAGATTTTTCAAGTTTTCGGTAGTTCGAAACTTGTTTCATATGTTAGCAATGTTCATCCAGTATCTAATCTTAGATATATAGAATATCCTTATGATGTAACGTCACCATTGTCTGTTAAGTTGCATGTATTTAATGTTTTGTTTTTGAAAGTTTTTTGATTTCTATTAGAAACAAAGAAAAGAAATTTTAAAGAAAGGCCACATTTTTTGGGAAAATAATAATACTTTTTACTTTAAAAAGTTAGAAGCATTTTGCAATGATGTTGTTAAAAAAAAGGGTTTAGTTACTGATGAGGATATGCTTGTGTTTTATAGAGAGTATTTGCAAAGTTCCAAGTTAAAAATGAGAGAATACCAATGGTCTTGGTATCAGCAAATTTTTGGTATTCTTGTGGATAGTTTTAAGGTTTGGATAAATAATACTGCAGATTGTTCGTCCTTTTTTTTTCATATAGATAGAAAAGAATGATAAATATGCTTGAAATATAATTTAGAAGCTATTTTTTATAAATAGATTGGATTTTGAGATTTTAATAACGTAAAAATATGTTTGATATCTAGATAAAAGTATGTTTAAGATCATATAATATTTTATATACTGGAAATATGAAAGGTTTTGGGAAGTTTTTTGGAGAATTTTATTAGTATATTGTTGATGTTTGCTAAGAAGAATTTATGTTTGCAAATTATATATTATTTTAGATTGATATTATTATATTAAATGTTTGAATTTTATGAAATCATATACATTTTTAAAAAAAAGTTATAAGTATTTATAAATATAATTTGTTGAAATATTTATTAGAATTTTTATTTTGTAGATATGAATATCTTGTATTTTATGAGTAAAAAGGTATATATAAATTATAATTAAAAATGAAATTTATATAATATTGTTTTCATATATTTTTAATTTTTTTTGCTTGTATAATTTGTATGTTTATGAAAAATAAAGTATTAGTTAAATTTAAAAAATTAAATTAAATATGATAAGGATTTTTGGTACATTTTAATTTAAATTGAAACTATAAAATATAGTCTATTAACAATATTTTATATTAAAATATCTTACTATTAATTTTATAGGAATTTTTGTATAAATATTATATATATATTTATTATAATAGTTAAAATTTAAAAAAGCTTATGTATTATATTAAAAACTAAACTTTGTAAACTTTAGATAAACTTTTTTAAATAATTGAATTATAAAATAATGTATAATGGATCTTATGAAAGTAACTTCTAGACATGTAAAAATATTAAGTTTTATTATGCAAAAAAACGTCTAATTTTTTAAATGAATTTAGGATTTTACAATTAATTAAATTTTTATGTATATTAACAATAATAATTGATTCCATATGCTTAAAAATGGTATTTTGAACCAAATTCGTATAATATATTGGATAGTTTTTGTGCACTGTGACTTAACACTTCCCTTAAAAAAGTATTAGTTTTATTTAAATATGATTTTATAATAACTTGATATTTTCAATATCATTACTTGTTGTTCCAGCAAATTTTTGAATAAATTCTTTGGCCGATTCTTCAAAATTTTTATAATCTCGTATATTTATATCATCTTCGTCTTCGCGTCCAAAATATTGGTTTGATGAAATAGACTGAGCACCGTCAAATTCTTGTAAACGTGTTTTGGCTTCTTCTTGAAGAAAAGAATCATATGAATTTCGCTCAAAATATCTATTTTTAGTCATTAGTATTCAATACAGAAATCAAACAATTAACTGGTCAGAAGAAATAGATTTTTGTCCAAAAAATTTATCACGAGCATAAGTAATGTCATCTGAAATTATTAGTATTATTTCTAATAATAAGTATAACATTCCACTACAAAAATTATTAGAAGTTGGTGTCTCTTTGGAAGATGTATTGTTATTTGTTTTGAACGATTTAGGTAGACTTGTGGTTTGCCCAAAACATAATTTTTGAAGCTTTGCTGGTTCATTTCTAACAGAATAACCAATTTTTAAAGATGGTTTCAAATCATGTGAATCGGATTTATTTGAATCATTTGAATCTTCGTTCTTTTTTGTTTTTATTTTATGTTCTTCAATTGTATGATTTAAATCGATAGAATTTTCTTGTTTCACGTTTTTTTCTACTTCATCAAAATCAATTGTTTCTGTTAGTTTTTTAGCTCCAAGTTTTTGAGTAAGTTTTGCTCCTATTCCTAATTTTCTATTTGCAGAAATATTTGATTTTAATTTAGATGTGTTTAAAATATTAGTTACTTTTGGTGAATTGGATTCTAAAGGTTTTTTATGGTTATAAATTTTCTCCGTTTCATGATCAGTAGAAATTTTAGTTGGCAATGAAATGTTTGTATTGTATATTGACGTAGATTTTTGAGATGTTTGATCGCTCCATTGAGCAAAAAAATCATCATTTGTATTATCATTTTCTAAAGAATGTTCTTCATTTTCTATTAAAACATTAGGATTACTATAAATATATTAGACGTTAAATTTTAAGTGAAAAATTAATACGATTTAGAATCTAAAAAAGCTCTTTGTTTTAATTCATCTTTGTATAGTGTGGCTACTTTACTAGTGTATTTTGCTTTTACATCTTTTGAGGTTAAAAATGAGGATCCTCCATGCTTGTTGAAGTATTCTAATGCAGATAAGTTTCCCCCTACTTTCATTATACGAAGTTGATCCCATGTCCATGAATCTAAAATAGTTGATCTTTTTGTTATAAATACATGTTTAGCCTAATTTAGTCTAATGAGGTATAATGATTTACCTAACGAATGATATATGGACGCCTAAATTTCTATGAATTGAGCTACAATCTAAACAAATGTAAATTCCAAAAGTTGTTGCTGCCCATGTTGCGCCATTTGCTCCACAGTCAAAACAGTTCTAAAAAATGTAAGCAACCGATGTTAATATATATATACGATTTTTTTAATAATATATTAATGTTTATTTTTAATTATTTTTACCTGATTACATTGCTGAGCTCTTAAAGTTGAAAAAAATTTTTGGCTCTCTTGTCTAGAAGCATGTTGCATATTTAATTGATTTTCTTTTTTTTAAAAGAAAAGATTAATAAAGATAAAAAGAAAAAGGAATATATTTATTGTCTGTTTTTTTTTGTTGTGTTTTGCTCGGATATTTCAGATAAATTTCTACGTTTAAATCCGGTGATTTTTAAAATTAATGTATTTTAAAAGCGTTTAAAGTTTTTCTATTAAAAAATATTGAGATTTTTGGAATGTTATATAGTTTAGATATCAAATCATTTGAAATGTATAGGACTATATGATTTTGATTGGTTTCAAATTTTAATATTTATAAAGCAAAAAGGAAAAAAATATTATTGTTTAATGATATAACAGAATTATAGAAATAGTATCCCTTAATAGTTGAAGCTTTTTAATAGTTTTAATAATTTAAAGCTGTTTGTTATTATTGCAAGTATATTTATTTTAGCAAATAAAAATATGATTTTTAAAATATATAAATTTTTAAAATTTTGGTAAATTATTTTATTTAGTTTTTTATTTTTAAATTTTTTTTGTTTTGCTTGTAATATAAAAAATAATGAAATTTTTAAAAATTAAAAAATTAGTATTAGTCATTTTAGGAGAATATTTTGTGATAATACTAGAATTTTTAGTGAACTTTTACGGAATTTCTTGTTTTATAATTTATATATACTGTAAATTGTTTTATTGAATATTTTTATAGTATAAATATTTTGAAGATTTTAAAAAATAAGTTTAGATAGTTAAGAATAATTATAGAGTTTTTATAAAGGGGAAATTGTATAAGAAAAAGTATATTTTAAAATTTAAGGCTAGTTTTTTTATTTATATGTTTTTTTACTTGTATTTAATGAATATTTGAAGATTTTTAATATCAATATTTATATTTTGATCTTATAACTATATATTATTCTTTATTTTTATAGAAGTTTAATTAGTAAAAATGTTAATAATTTATTTTATAGAATATGGTTAATAAATCCTGATTGAATTAAAAATATATTAAGAAAAAAATAACTGTTTAAATTTTAAAGGATTAATGTAGTAAATATTATTTTTGAGAAGTCTGATTTATGTTTAATTTTCTTATATTTCATATGGTACTTTTAAACAGTTTTTCTACTATTAAATTTATAAATTTAAGTTTTTATTAACATATTTTTGTAATGATTAATTTTATGTATAAATTTAATTAACAATGATGTTTATAGAAATAAAAATATGCTATGCAAATTATAATATATTGAAATTTATTATTCTAGATTAGCTGATTATAACAAAAAATAAAAAGAAAATAGTTAATATTCCGAATACCTATTTTAATTAATTTAAAAGGAATTATTAAGTAAAACTAACTTTTAACATAAGCCATCTGTTATTACTAATTTTTCGATAATATTTTAAGAGCTCTTGTTGTGCTGAGCTTACATTGTTGATTACGTCGTCTGTATTAACACTAATCCTTTGAACAGTTTCTCGTTGTTCTGCTACCATTTGAGCGAGTTGGGAAAAAATAGACCCCAATTCATGAATTGTTGATTCTATACTTTGAATTGCTGATGAACGAGAATCTATATAAGATTTCTGTTCTTCTAGCAGTTGTATTTGTTGAAACGAATCATGATGTGTTTTACTGTTAAAATTTTCATCATTCATGTCTAAAATAAGATAATCTGTTTCAGGTTTCATGAATTTCGTATTTTTGTCTTTAGAATCATACTCTATATAAAGAGGAAATTGATATTTTTTTTCTATAGTTCCCGAATGTGTTGTAGTTGCCATGAATTGTTCACTTCTTTTTTTATTTGCTTTCATATTCTTAAAAATAAATAGTTGGAGTTTTATAAATTTAACGAAATGAAATATTACCTTTGTTCTTATTTCTAATATATTTTTAAATGTTATACTCGTATTCGCTAACTTGTTCTTCAAGAGAGTAATTACATTTTCTGAATGTTGATGTTCTTTGCTTTTGTTTTTATTATTTCTTGATTTTTGTTTATTAAGATATTCGTGAAGATTTGAAATTTCAGAGTTTAGATCTTCAATATTTTGTTTTATAATATATATTAATTCTGAAATTTCACTAGGTTTATCATCAAATAATGTTTTTTTTCTAGCCACTAAATTTTGTAAATTTTTTAAGTAATAATAATAAAGAATGAAGCATTTACGTTGTGCTAGCCTTTGTAATTTTTCTCCAGTTTTATTGATATCTTTAGCTATTTTGCTTGCTATATTTCCAAAATCGTTTTTGATATACTTTTTTGATTCATTTATGTGTATACTTTCTTTATTCTGGGAATGAAATCTTTTTGTTTCTTTTGAATTTCTTTTTAATGTTAATGCACAAGCATGAAATTCTTTTGTACGATCTTGAATAGACATATTTAAACATTAGATGTATTTTTTCCAAAAGTTAACATTTCGTCGATTAATTTTAAAATGAGGTTTAAATCAATAAATCTGAAAATAGTTCCTTTTTATCAAATTTGTTATTTTAAATCTGTAACAAGGATATTTTTTGGAAGAGACATTCATTCATTAAAATTGAATAAAGATTATGATTTAATTCATATTCATTCATTAACTTTAAAATCTATAATAGGAAAGAATTTATGGGCTCAAAAATTACTTCAGCCTGTATTTCTTACTCTTAGTTTTAGAAAAAATACTACTTTTTTAGAGAATCTGGATGATTTGTCTTATTCAATAGATTACACAATAGTTTATAAAGAAGTATATAAATTAGTTGAAAGTTCAGAATTTCAAGATTTAGCTGATTTAGCTGATAAGATTTCTGAACTTGTCTTTAGTCACAAATGTAAAGCTAATTGGGTCAAAATAAAGATTGAAACACCTAAAGGGAATTTGTTTGCAGGAACTGGATTACAAGTTGTAAGAAGAAAAGATGGTATTGTGGAAGTGGATGATCAATTTTTTGTAAAAAAATTAAGTCTTTTTACAATCATAGGTATGAATCCAGAAGAAATGATTAATAAACAAAATATTATTATTAATTTAATATTATATAAATCACCTATAAATTTAGAAGATCGAAATTGTTCTATCATAAATATATATAATATTGAAAAAGTTTTAAAAGAAATTGTTAAAGTTTAATAATCCTTTATATCGATAACCTTGCTAATAAATTAAGCATGTAGAAAGTTCGTCTTTTAAAACTATAGAGGCTCTTGCATTATCAATAGCAAGAATTTTGTGTATTTCGCATAATATTGAAAAAATAAAAGTAAATGTGGAGAAACCTAGTGCTTTGGCTTTTGCTAGATCTGCAGGTGTTGAGATTGTTAGGTCACGATCATGTTTTTTTTCTGATGACTATATTAATTCTAAAGGACCTGTTGATAATGATGCTATTTATATAGCATTAGGTAGTAATCTTGGGAATAAGGTGAAATTTATTTCTGATGCCATTGAAAAAATGTCTATCAGAGGAATAAAGGTTTTAAAAACATCTATGTTGTATGAATCAGAACCTATGTATTTTAAAGATCAGCCAGTATTTTATAATGCTGTATGTAAGGTTTATGACATTTTTTTAACTAATAGTGTGCTAATGATTTAAGGTTGAAACTTCTTTAAACCCTAAACAGCTCTTAGATGAACTAAAAACAATTGAAAAAGAATTTGGACGAGTTAAGACTATTGACAAAGGTCCACGATGTATTGATTTAGATATTATTTTCTTTCGTAGGAAAATAATTAACTCTGAATCATTGATTGTTCCTCATCCTCAAGCACTTGAACGTCCATTTGTTTTAAAACCACTTTGCGAGTAAGTATATATAAATAGAATAATTATTTTTTAATTACAAATTAGCATATCGAATGACCTTGTTCATCCTATTACTGGATTACCTATAGTTTCTTATCTTAAGAAAATTGTTAATCCTGGTATTAAACCAGTTTTGCCATTTTTATATAAAAATAGAAGTATAAATTTTAGTTCTGAATTTTATAAAGCGCCTACACATATTATGGCCATTTTAAATCTTACTCCTGATTCTTTTTTCGATGGGGGTGTTCATTCATATGATTCTATATTAATGGATGTGGAGAATTTTATAAATGCAGGGGCGACGATAATTGATATTGGTGGGCAGTCTGCACGGTCTGGTTCACATGTTGTTTCTATAGAGGAAGAGATTTCTCGAGTTATTCCTGCTATAAAATATCTCTTAAAAGTATATCCTGATATTTTAGTAAGTGTAGATACTTTTCGTTCTGAGGTTGCAGAACAAGCAATTAAGGCTGGTGCTAGTCTTGTTAATGATATAAGTGGGGGAAGGTATGATCCAAAAATGCTTAATGTGGTTGCCAAGTTGAAAGTTCCAATATGTATAATGCATATGAGAGGTGATTTTTTAACTATGGACAATTTAACTGATTATGGTACCGATATTATAAAACAAATTACTAAAGAATTAGAAGAATTGCTTGTTTTTGCTGAAAGTTCAGGTATTTTTAGGTGGAATATTATTTTAGATCCTGGGTTAGGATTTGCTAAAACTTCCTATCAAAATATAGAATTGTTAAGAAGATTTAATGAATTAAAATCTCAGCATTGCTTTAATGGTTTGCCTTGGTTGCTTGGTCCAAGTCGCAAAAGATTTACAGGGTGTCTTACAGGTGATGTTATGCCAAAAGATAGGATTTGGGGCACTGCTGCTTCGGTTGCCGCATCTGTTTTAGGAGGCTGTGATATTATACGGGTTCATGATGTTTATGAAATGTATAAAGTTTCAAGAACTTTGGATGCTATTTGGAAAGGAGTTTATTGAATTGTTATTATTTATTTGTAAACTATAATATACATAATACTTTGGTTGATTGTAATTTTGCAATTTATATTTAAATATTATTTGTCAAAAATATTAATTCATAATAAAAAATATTTTTTTAATTTTGAAATGTATTCTGATAAATTATAAATTTATAAATAGGTTTTTTGGTTTTAAGATTAAATTGAAAATACTATAATATTGAAGTATTATTATGAATTTTCTAAAGAATAATAATATTTTAATGATTATATAGGTTTTTTTCAAATATAAAATTTACGTTTTTTTATGATTATATTCGTTATGTCAAATGGAATGCTAAGTATTTATTCTTACAGATATTTGAATTTGGTTATATGCTAAAGATTTGCAGAATATACTTCTGTTAGTATAAAAAAGCCTTTAAGCAAACTAAAACCGGGAAATGTTTTTGGGCCTACTGAGGAAATATCAAGTTCTCAAACTTCTGTAAGAAAAAAGATTCAATGGCCTGATTCATTGAAAGAATTTGTTGGGAGGTGTTTTGAAAATTGTTCCGACAAAGATAGGCCTTTTATAGAAAAAGAACTTAAAGAGATTATTACTAAGGCTTTTGAAGACGATACTGTTTTTTCTATTGATTGGAATAAAATTGAGCTAAATACTCTTAAAAAGGAAAGAAAGCAGTCTAATGAATATTTTCAGAAAAGTAAAATGAATAAGTAAGTTTGAATTTTGTTATATGTTTTAAATTAAAAGAATTTAGAGTGAAAGTTGAACGATCTGACCTTAATACTTTTAGAGTATTAGAAGATGAACATCAAAAAGAGAAAAGAATTAAGAGATTTGAGGAAAAGAACATAGCTAAAATTTCAAATGAGACATTAAATGTTGATATATGTTCTCATCATTCTGTATGGATTTTGTGTTTTTTAATCATTCTTATTTTATTAGGATGTAATTGATTGGGATGAACATACTATAGTTGGAAGGTCTCAACAGTTAGAAAAAAAATATTTGCGTCTTACTTCAGCACCTGATCCTGAAACAGTTCGACCTTTATCTGTATTAAAAAAGACTTTGGAATTTTTGAAGACTAAATGGAAAGAAGAAAATAATTATCTTTATATATGTGATCAATTTAAATCATTAAGACAAGATCTTACTGTACAAAGAATTAAAAATGATTTTACTGTAATGGTATATGAAATTCATGCTCGAATAGCTCTTGAAAAGGTTTGTTGTATGTATAGATATAAATATATACACATAACGTTTTTAGGGTGATTTAGGAGAATATAATCAGTGTCAGACACAGGTATATTTGAGAAAGAATATTCTAGTTTGTTAAATTATAATTAGCTTTTTTCATTATATAGTTATAATCTTCCTGGTCACCCTGATGAATTTTTAGCCTATCGTATTCTTTACCTTTTACATACACGAAATAAATCAGGTTTATTTTGTTTTGTGCTTTTTTTTTTATTAATTTATTTTATTAGATATTCATGAAATACTTTTGAAACTTAGTGAAAAAGAAAGAAAAAATAAAGCAATAAAACATGCTTTGGATGTAAGAGCTGCACTTGGAACGTCTAATTATCATTTATTGTTTAAATTATATTTAAATGCACCAAATATGGGAGGTTATTTAATGGATCGTTTTGTAGAAAGAGAAAGGGTTATTGCTTTATGCAAGATGTTTAGAGCGTGAGTTTTGTTTTTGGAATTTATTATATTGCTTAACAATAAAAGATATCGACCAAGTTTAAGTTTGAAATTTTTATGTCAAGAGTTATCATTTGAGAATGAATCTGAATGTTTTGAATTTTTAATGGTACGATGTAATAAGGATGTTTTTATACGTGATGAGGAAAGTAAATTTTTACATATCAATACTAAAGATGCTCTTGAATATTTTGAACAAGCTAGATTGAAGAATAAAGTTATTGATATTAAAGGGCAATTATAATGGCTTAAATTAGTATTTTTATACGAATTATAGAAGCTATGAGTACTTTCATTTTACTTTTTGTTTATCATAATAATATTAATTATTTTATTTTTTTATAATTTACTTTTTACATGTTTTTTAATTTTATATTATTTTTACGATAAAATTATCTTTTTGAAATTTTATTAATATAAAGCAAAATATTTATAATAGAAGGGGGAAATAGAAGAAATATTTATAATTATTTTCAGTAAATTGTTGTTAATTCAAACATTGTGTTATGGTTAAAGTATTTTTATAAATATTGATTACTATTATATTTATCTAACATATTAAGTCTCGTAAATTAAAAAATACTGATCGTCAAGATTCAGTAGGTATTCGAGCAAAATCAGCTATTTCTATTGAGCCTCCAAAAAAAGTTATTAGAGCACTTTATGATTATGTTTCTCAGTCTTCAGTTGAACTTGCATTTTCTAAAGGCGATTTTTTTCATGTAATAGGTAATGAAAATGATGAAAATTGGTATGAAGCATGTAATCCTGCAACTAATGTTCGTGGTCTTGTTCCAGTATCTTATTTTCAGGTTTTAGGACGGACTGAGAAAGATAGTTTGCATATTAAAAATTCAGAGAAATTAAACGAAAAAAATCATGTTACTGAGGCTCCTGTAAAGAATCAGTCTTTATATGGGGTTGTTCAGTATGATTTTCATGCAGAAAGGCCTGATGAGCTTGAAGCTCAGGCTGGAGAAGCTATTATAGTGATTGCACAGTCAAACCATGAATGGTTCGTGGCTAAACCAATAGGTAGATTAGGTGGTCCAGGTCTTATTCCTATTTCTTTTATAGAGATTAGAGATTTTTCTACAGGGAAAGCTATTACTAATGTTCAAGAACTTGTAGATAGCATGGCAATTCCAAGAGTTGAAGAATGGAAGAAAATGACTGCTGAGTATAAGAATAATAGTATTTCTCTTGGAAAATTTAATTTTGACGAGAAATCATCTAATAAAAATAATTCTGTTTCCCAAAATAATCAAAGTGTTGAATGTTCAAAGAAATCTATGCATGATATTAAATTGGTTTCTGGATCTTTTTATAATAATAATAATGAATATATTTGTATAGTTTCTTCACGTGTTATTAAGCATGTTTATATTAATGAGGGATATCAATATCTTGTTCACGCTGAAATGGAAAATTCTCGTTATCGCAGTTTATTTAGATATTACGAGGATTTTTATAATTTGCAAGTGATGTTGCTTGAAGAATTTCCTGTAGAGGCTGGTAGAACAGGTGAACGGCGTATATTACCATATATGCCAGTCCCTTTATCTTATGTTGATGATCAAATTTCTCAAAGAAGATGTATTGATTTAGATACTTATTTGAGGGATCTTTGTAGATTACCTTCTTATATTAAGCGAAGTTCTTTAGTAACGGGTTTTTTTCTCTTGAGAGATTCTGATACAGAGTCTGATACGCCTATAACAACTCAATTATCTAGTCCTGAGTTTTCTGGAAAAGTATTTGAAAATTCCGAGTCATATGGTTCTTTTTTGAATGATAATGATATATCTTTATTTTCGACTAGTTCTAAGAAATCTATTTCAGGAAATTTATCATCATCTAATGCATTTTCTTCACCTGTATCTTCTGGGAATTTTGGGTTTAGTTTTAACGCAAGACCTGCTGAGTCAGGATATGATTCTGAAGTGTCTAAATTGAGTGAAATGTTTCAGAATTCATCAATTTCAAAAAATGAGTATACTTATCCTCATGTTTCTCAAACTTTAAAAGAATCTCAAACTCAGGGTTTAAAACTTTCACAGGATAATACTTTGCATAGTGGAATTTACTCGGATTCTCTTTATATTAAAATAAAAATATTTTTTGCAGATGATCTTATTGCAATTCGTGTACCACGGCAAATTACATTTATTCAACTTATGGAAAAACTTCAAGATCGCTTAGGTATTGTAATAAAGTCTTTGCGATGTAAAGAAATGAATAATCATTCGTGTTTTATAAGATGTGATGATGATTTACGGAATGCAATAAATCAAAATTCAAAATTGGTTTTGTATGTTGAATAATATATTTAATGAGTTTAGGATATGATATTATATAGTGATAATAAGTCTTTTACGCTAACGTTTCTTATATTTCTGAGATTTAAAGCTTTTAGAATTAGCATGATATTTTCTTAATGTAGTTATATATTTTTGATTAACTTTAGATAATATGTATAATTTAGAAATATTGAAATTAAATATTGAGAAAATAAAATTGATTCTTTTGTACTTTATTTAATTTTGCTAAATAAATGTTTTGTTTTTGGAATAATTTGTGTAGTTCGTAAACATTTTTATTCTAATAAAGATATTAATATTTTTTAAAAAAAAACATAGTTTGATTTTTAAATTTTGAAAATTATTTAAATTATTTTATATTAATAAATTTAAACATTAAAAATTTAGCTAAAATTTAGTGACAATTTTATAGAAAAAATATTTAAGAATTAGTGAATTATAAATTGTTTAAAAGCGTATTTATTAAATTTGTTTGATAATTTTAAATAATATAGAATTTATTTATAATGAAAACATAAACTTTTAATTTTCAGATTGCAAATTAATGTCTTCAAACATTTGTGACTTGAAATATTATCTAAATTTAATCATAGCTACTGTAATATATTAAAAGTTAATAGATTGCTAATGAATTGTTAAATAACGATACTATATAAGTGTATGTAAATTTATTTTTAATAGATTTAAATATAGGTTATATTTAATTATATAAATTAAAAAAATCATTCTGAATATCCAAGAAGTTTAAATTTTTCAATAAATACAAAATAACGGTCCATAAGCTCAATATATGTTTTAGGAGCAGCTATAGAAGAAAGCATATTACGAATTTTTGTAATGCCATCACATGCGATCATATTTTGCAAATGTCTTAGTAAATCAGGAGAAAACTGAAAAAGAGTTATTTAAATAATTGATATATATATGTATATATTACTTCAGAATACCATCTGCAATTCCATGCATTTAATTTTACAATTGCTAATAATACTTCTTCATGATTTCCTTGTTCTTTATAGAATAATAAACTCTTGTCCCATGCTTTTATTGAAAATTTTAATTTAAGACAATTTCTAAATGCTTCTAATGATTCTTCCTGGTAATAATGTAAGAAAAACTCAAATAAAAAACTAATGAATACTTTATATTGTAATCTCCATGCAAGATTACCTAGAATTTCCCATTCTGCTGCTGTTTTCTTGCATTGTGCTTTTTGGGCATTAAAATGAGAGATTTCTGCTCTCCATATAGTATATACTCGTAAATCCTATTATTCTTAAAATATAGACAATTATATGGAATTCTGATTACTTCATAAAGAACCATAAAAAGATTATCTAGCCAACGCTCACATAGTCTTTTTCCATAAAATAAAAGGCTATTATTTTTTTTATTTCTATAACACTTTTCGTTTGAAATGTGATTGTCTATGGAGTTTTTTTTTTGCATTAAGATTTCAGTTTCTGTATTCAATTGTTTTTTGCAATTTTTGGATATGCTATTAAATTCTGAATCTTCAGCCTTGTGAGTTTTTTTAAGACTATTATTTTTGTAATTGCTGAAAGCAGTTATAGATGCTGATTGATTTGATGTTGTATTATCATGATTTTCTTTATGTAATTTATATTCTTCTTTCATAATAAATACTAACGATCGAAATTTTAAGAGTCGATCCCATCCTATTTTTGTTACTATTTTTATAAGAAGATCATATGCACGCGAAAAAGTTCCTCTAAGAGATGGTGATGGTAGTCTTAATAAAACTGGATCAATCTATGATATTTAAGTAAGAAATAATTATGTTTAAAATAATTACTGTATTGTTATTTTTATATGTTTCATTTGGAGTTAATTCATAGTCGTTTATATCTATAGGAACTGGAAAATGAGCTTTAATTGGCTCCGGCATTCTATAACTATCTTTTTCATAATAAGTATATATTGGACATGAATTTAAAGTTAACAAAGCCTTTATATAGTTTGAGTAATTTTTTCATTAAGACTTTATGACTAACCATTTTGTAATCTTCAAGAGATATATATACTTGAGTAAGAATTTCCCATGTAATGAATTCAGAAGGTGCATAGTTAACAGCTTTTTTTGCACATTGAAGAGCTAAATCGTAAGAATTTTTTTTCATAAGATATTCTGCTTGAATAACAAGAGATGAATAATTAACAGGATTTAATTTTAAACTTTCATTTAAAAGATTAATAGCAATAAATTCTTCATCTAACAAATAAATTAGTATATACTGACTTTTTTGCTAAATTACCCATTAAAAAGTATAATTTTGCTAAAAAGGGTATAATTTCCGAGTTTTTATAACGAAGTTTTTCAAAATGATTAATTCCGACTGCATAACGTCCAGTCATGTTTAGATATTTTAGTATACCATTTGTAAGATTATTATTAATAATATCAGGAACTTGTGTTTCTGAACTACAGCCTAATTTCCAACCTTTTAAAATAGTTAGTGATCAAATTAATTAAAGAATATTTATTACCTTTTAAAAATAATTGAGAACATGCATCTAAAAATTTTTCCTCGAATTCTGTAGATATTATTGGATTTAATTTTCGGAATCCTGAGGGTTGGTATGTATAATTGTCTGAAAACTGAAGCCATCGTAATACTTCACAAAGGAATGTTTCAGTCCACATTTCAGGTGTTACTTCTTTTCTAGTAAATTTAAATAAGAAATATATAGCTATAGTAATAACAATACTTATTCCCATGCTCGTCAATAGCAATGCTTTCGATTCCTCCTGGAATTTTCATTTCAACATGAATATCGAGTCGTGAAAAAGCATTATATATACTATTTTTTGAGTAATTACAGAAAAAAATGAATTATTACCAAAAAAGACCAGTATGTATTTCCCATGGCTGATTTTTTCGGAACCACGCTTGTTCTTTGTCAACAGAATATGTTAAATTGTTAAGATATGCTGCTAAAGATGCTGATGAAGATGCATCGACTCCCAAAACATAATGATAAGTGCTAATCTAATTGGTTTATTTAATAATCTTGTGCAAAAAGTTTTAGTAAATAATTACATCTTTGTTTCCTAATTGTGGTTGATGTTTTATAAGATGTACGAGATTTGGAGGGCCAAGCTCCCTGAAGTTTGCTAAAGATTCTGTCCTAGAAGCTATAGATTCACCCAGTTCTGATTCCATAAATCTTTGTTAAATTTTAGTGGTTTTATAAATAAAAAACAATAATGGGAATATACTCTGGAACATTTTTTAAAAATTCAGTCATTGTAATTTAAAAACTTTAGGTTTGTTCGGTATCGTTGGTTTTTATATCGTTAGATAAAAAAAAGTTTAGGATAATTTTTAGTATGATGTTTTTATTTTACACTATATGATTTTATGATTTTATGAAAAAAGTTATTTGAAAAAATACTTTATGGTAAATTTTTATATATCACGTTTTTTTTAAATGTTGTAGGTTAATTTTGTGGCACTTAATACACTTCCTGAAACAGCCATTGACATTGAAAATCACACTAAAGAAGTTCAGGTAAATTGAAATGTTTAATTTTGTTTTTTTTAAAAAATAGATTGAAACTGGATTGAAATTATATCAACGAGCTCTTTCATTTCAATATGCAAAAAATTGGTCTGCTGCTGCTAAAGTTTACGAAGAACTTTTAAATTTAGATATATTAAAACCTAGTTTTATTGAGGTTTGATTTATATACGTTTGTATGTTCAAATAGTTAATTGTAATAAGGAATTATGCAATGTCGCAAGTGAAAGAATGACACGTTTAATTTATCTTGTATATAAAAATCATGGATCTTTTATCTTTGATACCATGGTTTCTTCTAATTTTAAGGATGATCATGGATTATTGATGTTATGCACTTGTTTGAAGAATTATTCAATTGTAAAATAATTTTTGATTTTTAATACTTTTTTTAAGTATATTAGGCTTTAAAATATGATCATGATGATTTGGCGCTATGGATGAAAGTTTCTAGAGTATCTGAAGATTTGGGTTTGAATAGGATTTTCCGTTTTTCGTTGGAAAGTATTATATACAGTGAAATAGGATTATTAATAGACCGTGAATATTCTGTTGATTGTACTTCATATGGGAATATTTTGTCTCCTGAAGTTTATAAATCATTTATAAAATTAAATTCTGTAATTTTTATTTTTATTTTTCTAATACTTACAAATAATAGCTATTACATTCTATCAAAGATTTTAGTAGTTTATTAAGGGTTAAAATTATATTTTTATGTCATAATGAAAATAATTAGCTACAGATTCCTTGTTTTGATATGAAAATAGCTTTTCAAGAAAAAAAGTTCATTAATTTAGCAAAAATGTATAATATACATATATCTTATATGTTACTAATGTTTTATTAAGGGATTTTTATTTTCAAAATAATTTTTCTCTTATATTAAAATTTCCAGAAAGAAGTATTGATTCTATTACTACAATGTTGACTTCCTTTCTTATAAATAGGTTTGTTTTTGATTTGAAAAAATTATATCTTTTTAATTATTTTTAAGATATGAAAAAAGCGATTTTGAGTTTTATTCTCGTATAGAATTTATAGAAAATCAAAGGCATATTGATAAATGTTTATCTGAAACAAATGACACTGAAACTCACGGATCACAAATTATTGTAACTTTACAGAATGATTTCGGATTTTCCGAAATGTTTCAAGAGTTGTCAGTTGATGTCGATAATTCAAAAATATCTTTAGAACCTCATTCTGATATTAATAACATTAATGATTCAGAACTAACACTTTCCAAAATTAACTTGGATAATGATAACATTGATTCATTAAGAAATTCAAAAAAAAGGCATTTGAATGATGAAAATTATGAAAAGGTAAATATAGTTTTAGTTTTGATTATATATAAAATATTTTTAGTCTCTTAGAGTTAGTAAACGAATACGTGATAAAGATGGTATGAATTTGAATCATGAAGAAAAGGATATTTGTTTTGTTAATTCTTTAAATGAAATTTTTAGTAAAGTTGAAATGTATTTTGGGGAATATTCTAAGTTTACTTTTTCTTCTACTGATACTTTCGGAAATGACGTAGCTGACAAACTCAGACAAAGTTTGTATTGTGGTTTTTTAACTGAAGATGTTGTAAATGATGTTATTCAGGAAAAGTAATTTTTTATTCTTATTTATCTTTTTTAAAAAGTTTAGAAATTTCTCTATGTTTCCTAGAGTTTTTTACTTAGATCTTTCTAAACATTTAGATATTTCAGTTAATATTAATGGAAATGAAAATTTAGCAGTTATTGATGAATTCGAATCTTTTATCAATAGTGATAAATATTCATTAGAGGAAATTTCTTTAGAATGGTTTAAAAGGTTTACTTTTTATTCTTATTCTGGTTTAGATACATTGTATTTTCAGAAAAAATGGTCCTCAAGACTTAGTAATGCAATTATTGAGATTGCAATAAATGTGGAAATAGAATGTTTATGTTTTTTTAAAAATGTTCTTAAGAAAAAAATTTTTTGTGATAGTTATATAAATGATGGTATTACAATACAAATAGAAACAGGCATTCTCCGAATTTTGGAAGTAATAATATATTTTTTTTTTTTTTTCGGTAATTTTTATAGTGGGCACAAACTATTTTAGAGTTATTTTTAAATTATTATGTTAAGAATGAGCGTAGTGATTATTTTGAGTATTTTCTAAACTCATTTATATTTTTTTTATAATATTTATAGAAAAACTGAAACGGATGATTTAATATTTCAAAAACAAAGAATATGTCGATGGAAATTACTTGTTAATGACTTGATGTTTGCATATGGAATTTCATTTGACAATTTGCAAACAAATAGTGATATGATAAATCTTTTACTTCGGTTTGTTTAAAATATTTTATTTTGTTTTAAAAATAATTTTTCAGTTATAAATTTTGTAATGCAATTATTCTTGAATACTTTGGTGCATTGCATGAGTCAGTTATAAAAGAATATCAATATATTAAAGATTATATGTTGCAACTTGGTGATGTTTCTGTGATTTATTTTCCAAATTGGTAAGGGTTTCTATGTAAGAAATGAGTTTTTTGTTTATAGGTAAGTGAGGTTATTTCAGAAATTTCTCTCTTCCGAATTGATCTGGAGATATCAAAATTAAAGACTGTTGATTTTTTTACTTCTGTTTTTGTGTCATCTAGATTAATGGAATATAATTTAGTTATTGAAAAATTGAGGCCTGTTTTACAAGGTTCTTCTAGACTGAATAAATTGTTTCACTTTAGTTTAGTGGATGAATTTTTATTAAAAGCTCCTATTGATTTTAAGTTGCAACTTTGGAGTTTGCTGCAGAATGTAATTTAATATATAAAAGTTTTGAAATATATTAATTTGGGAAGGCATATCATAATTTATCTCAAGTTGAAGATGCTTTATGGTGTTGTTTAAAAGCTCTCTCCTCTATAACTGCATATTTTGATTCTTCATTGTATAAAAATGCTATGACGGAACAACAAAGAACTATATTTATATTAAAACGTTTGTTTTCTGTTGGTTTTTGGATATTCTTCTATCTAAGATTAATGAATAACATATAGGCATGTCAATTGATTTCGTATGCTTTACAATGTTTAATCGAACATGATAAGATACTTAGTATGCTTTTTAAAATCTATATATAATACTTATTTAATAGGTTCTTTGAGTAACGATATCATTTCAGAGTCACTTTCATCTCTTTTGGTTATTTTGCGTCTTCTTCTTATTTTTTGTTTTTTTGAAGATTTTATAATAGACAATAATTCATGTGTTCCTAAGTTTTCAAGTAACGAAGCTTTCGATAATAAGCTTCATAATATGCAAGTTCAATCATGGTGTTTTGCATATTGTTTATATAAAGAAATTCTTTTGGTAAGTTATTTATTTATTTATTTATTTAATTGTATTAGAGAAAAGAAACAGATAAACGTTCTTTTTATATGGACATAACAAAATTTCTTTGTCTCATACATGAGGAGCTTGGAATACGTGGATATTGTTCGTTATCAGATGGTTTGTAGTTCTGAGTATATAATAACATAGTTTATAGAAATAGGTGTGCTTTTACGAATCCTTCAGACGGAGCTTTTAAATTCAGGATCCTTTTTTCTTACATCTGAAATTATTCAGTGTTTGCATTGTCGTTTTGGTTTGTCATTCGGGGTATATTGTTTAACTTGAATAATTATTCTATTAATAAAATTAAGACTGAAAGTTTTTATCCATTTGATCATTATACAGAGCCTTCTAATATTGATTATTTTTCTGCTGAACAGATTTTGCCCTTTATTTTATCTCTTATAAATCGGAGACGTTCAGGGCTTATTCTTCCTAGAGCTGATATAAAAACTGCTTTGGATAGAATATATAATGTATTGGAAAATATACCTAATTCTAAAGGTATTGTTATGCTGAGTTTAGTTCGGTTTATTAAAAAAACAGTTTCTAATGCATTTAATTTTACGCTTATTGATGCTTATTTGTCTGAAAGTATTCGTTTAAATGATATTATTGCATGTCAGCATGGTTTATTGAAAATTAATACTATGGAAATTAAAAATCTTAATAATAATTCTGGTAAATATATTTTTTCTAGTTTATTTTTAGTTTAATATTTTTATTTTTTTAGAAGCTTTTGCCTTAGCTTTGTCTGATATTAATTTTATACAAGCTGAGATTCATATTAGCATGTTTCGTTCAAGAGGAAAGACAACTTCAACTAGGGGTACTGATGATCTTGAATTAGCATTGAAATATTTAATGGTAATGGTTTTATTAATATTTTTTAAATACTAAAGTAAAAGGCTGATTTGTCTTTAAACCCATGGAGGATGTCGTCATGGCATGCTCTTGGATTGACTTTTGGTTGGTTGTCCGATGATGAATTAGCTTGGAGTGCTGAGTATATATATAATGAACAAAAATCTATTTCTGAGTTAAGAAAAGTAAGTTCAAAATCTGAAAATTATATTATTAGTTAAAATTTTTTTAAGAAATCTCTTAAAGCATATATGATGGCTTTTAGTCTTTTTATTTCTTCTTTTAATAATGATATGAATGATAATCTTGTTTATTCTTTTTCAAATTTACAGTATGACTTTGGATTGCAGCTCTATACATCCGTTCATCCTCCTCTTGATATGGAGCCTTTTATTTCAAGATATCTACAATTTTATAATGGTCCTGATGGACTTTTGAAACGTGAATTTATAAACGATATTTCTTATCATAAAATTATTGAGCTATCGATGAAATGCTTCTTATTTGCTTCAAAGAATATGAGTGGTGATTGGAAGTATGATTAATATATAGTAGTAATATATTTTAATGATTAAAAATTTTAGATGTTTTTATATGTTAGGTAAAACATTGGGGAAACTAAAACATGATCCTAAGGTATATTATATTAATTTTGCGAAATTTGTTTAGTTTTTTAGCAAGTCCTTGATCAATATCTTCGTGCCGTTAAATTAGTGCCTCGGAAAACTGCTGTTTCTGGACAAGCTATTATTATTGAACCTGATTATAAATTGGTGTCATCTATTGTAAAATACATTGAAGGAGATTATATTGATGTTTTTACTTTGTTTTTTTTATTTGTTCTAAAAAAATACTATAGTTAGAAACTGCTATGATGTATCTTCGAGAAATTGGGTATAATGATGGTATTTCCGAGTTAGAAACTCCTGCGAAAAAAGATGATATCATCGAAATATGTTTGATTGTTTTAAAGCGAATACGACTCGCTGATAAAAAACATTGGCATCATAGACCAGTTTTTAGGGTTTATTAGACATTAACTGTTTTATCTTTACTTATGATAGTTTAGTGTGCAAAGATTTTTGAAAGTCAATTTAAAATTCAATCTGCTAAAGATGAATTGGAGAATCTTTTTTCTATAAGAACCTTTGGAAAATCTGTTATTAATATTTGGCGTCCTGACTTTGAACGGTTTGTCAATTTTTGATTTTAAATATTTAACTTATTTTAAGTCCTGGGAGACATTTTTATTATGCTAAAAAATATACGCTTTATTTTATTACACTTTTAGATAAAACTAATGATAGAGATGGTCTTAAACTTTTACTTAAAAGGCTTCGTAAAGCTTCTTCTTCTATATATCATCATCGGTACGTATGGGAAAAACTTTGTACCGTTTATTTGGATGTATTTTTTACTTCATATTATTTGAAATTAATGCTTATTTTAGTTATTACGACGTAATGCATCTATTCCTGAATGTCCTAATATTGTTTGGGATATTCCTTTGGTAATTTTTAATTTTGTTGCTACAAAATTTGAAGAATTATTTTTGAGTAATACTATTTCTGATACGTATGGAATTGATAACATTCGAGATGTACTAGAATTGAAAAAGATAAATAGCGGTTTATTTAACGTTGAAATAATTGATCAGTTCTTAATAGATATATATTTTAATATCTATTTATCTTTTTCTAAGGAAATTAGTATTTTGGATAATTCTTTAATTGATTTAAATAATATGTTTAATAAAAGAGAAAATATATCGAATTATTTGGAAGAGAGCAATACTTATGTTAATATAAATAAAACAAATATTGCATTTAGTGATACAACTAACAATTTAGATAAGTCAGTTTTGGTTAATAATAATAATTTTGTTTTAGTTTCTCGAAAAGATGTTCTCTCACGCCTTTCTTTTTTTTGCAAAATAACTAAACAGGTAATTAATTATTAGTAGTTAATATTTATAAATAAATGTAATAACAGAATAATTAATTTAAAATTTTGTTGTATTTTTGTTGTATAATTTTTTTATTATAGAAATAGAAAATTTATTCAAATTTATAATTTTTTAATTAATATAAATGTAAAATAATTTATCATTTTATATATTAATTTTTTAAATTTAAATATATTACATATTTGAATATATTTCTATTTATATTCATTTATATTCTTGAATGTATACTGATCTAATGAATATAATTATATATAACACATTATATATAACACGAAATTATAATTATATGTTTTCTAAAGAAAAAATGCAGATTTTATTTTTAAAAATATGATTGTACTGTATAATTATTTGATTTTTAAAATATTATATATTACTAAATCTTATTATATAATTATATATTATTATTAAAAGATATATAATTATATGTTGAATATGTAGAAAATGTCATATTTATTGAATTGTATTATTATAAATTATATAATTTTTATAAATAATTGTCTAAAAAATTTATATATTAATATAATATTACAAAGACATGGTTTTAATATGAATTGATATTAAATTATATATAAATTATACATAATTTCAAATTTAACATGATATAATGAATGAGAGAAATATGGTTGGTTTTTAATAAATTTGTAAATTTAATTTATATATTTATAATAAATATATATATGTGTATTTAATATTTTATATATTTATTTTTAAATTTAAATATTTTAAATCTTTAAAACAAATAGCAAATTGCTTTTAATACTTTAAAGTTAATAGGTATTATCTACATATTCATTATTTTAAGAATTTAAATTATTAGAATCAATAAATAGTTTCAATAAAATAATTCATTTGAATCTAAATAGTTTTTATATGCTTTTTTATATTTTATATATTAATTACTTAAAATAAGATATAAAAGATATAAATTACTTAAAAATTTATGTGAAGTATTTGTAAATTTGTAAAATTAACATACAGAAATACATGTATATCTTTTATTATCTATCTTAAATACTATCAATTATTTAAATTAATTAACATGAGTTATTTTTAATTTATTTTTTAATAATTGTATTATCAAAAAATATGTTAATATAAATAATATAATAATATAGAGTATTTGCAGTTCAAAGAAGTATAAATTAATTAATGATAATATGCAATAAAATTATATTAAATTATATTAATCATAAGTCATTTCATATAATATTAATTACTACGTATAAACCTTCACTTAATGCATGTCTATTAAATAAATTTGTTATATTAAAAATATCATATTAAAAAATATATATCATATTAAAAAATATATTACATACATAATGAATTCAAATTTATATCCTATTGAATTTACAATTCGTTATAACTATATTATTTAATTATTTTATAAAAAATAATAATTTTTATTAATATTGTCAAAATAAATATTAAAACATACAATTTTTTAATTATCGAATCTTTAAACAAAAATTATAAAATTATTTTTACTCAGCAATGGAATCATGTGGAAATCCGTTATACCTTCAATGGGTAAACGAATGGATGCAAGAAGCAAAAGAAAAAAATCATAAATCTTATAACATTTTTAAAACAGTTAGTTATAATAATATTTTAAAGAATTTCTAAGACCGATCTTAGGCATATAACTCATTATTATCATGTCCCATAACATTTTCAGAACCAAGAGAAGCAAAAAAACTAAAAGGAATAGGAAACATTATATGTGGACGTATAGAAAAACGATTAAAAGAATATCAACAATCTCATGTAAATAAAAATACGGAGGATCAAAGTACAAGTATTAATTTTTACTAAATTATACTAAAAACAAAAGATAATACCAAAGAAATTGATATTAATTCTAATTTACACTTAAATCCAATAACACAAAATTCTCAACAAAAAGGGAATAAAACACGAACACAAAAAACATATATACCTGGATATGGATCCAAACCTTTTGCAATACTTATTGCCTTATTTAAGTTTAATGAAGACACATCTGTTTCAAAAGATGAAATATTAAATATTGCAAAACATTATTATGATACCAGTGATCACAAAAATATATATTCATTATGGTACGGAATGAAAATTTTACTAGAAAAAGAATATGTATATAAAACTGTCAACCCAACTAGGTACTATCTTACTGATTATGGAAGAGAAATAGCTACCGTTATTTCTAACATAACATTTTCAAAAGAAAAAATAACAGAAAATAGCAATTATTTATTATATAAGAAAAATATTAAACAAAATTTTATTAACAAAGAAAACACCATTAAACAATCTCACATATCAAAGAAATTTAGAAAACAAAAAAACGAATATCATGATAAAATGTATCTAACTAAAGTTTCAAATCAAATTACAAAAATTACTGCAAAACAATCACCAGAAAATACTCCAAGCACATTTATGCAAAATATAGCCGTAGACTCCAAAATAATTCAACAAAATTCATATTCTATTATATTATTATTGGATTTACGAGAAATGAAGACAGAAAAAGATAAAGAATTTATCCAGAATCGTCTAAAAGAAGAATCTATCAATTTTGAGTTTAGAACACTAGAATTAGGAGACATTTTATGGATTGCAAGATGCAATATAACTAAAAAAGATTACATTTTAGATTTTATTATTGAAAGAAAAAAATTAAGTGATCTTGCAAGTAGCATCAAAGATGGAAGATTTCATGAGCAAAAGGTATAAATATTTACTTTATACTTTTTTCAAAAGTAACTGTTTAGTTTCGTCTTTCTAAATCAGGATTAAAACATGTTATATATCTCATCGAGAATTACAATTATAATTCAACTGACTTACAAATAGAAACCATACAGTCGGCTATTTCAAGTACCCAAGTTATTAATGGTTTTTTTGTAAAAAGAGTTGCAGGATTAACAGAGACAATCAAATATATATCAAGGCTTACAAGATATATACTATATACATATCAGGTATTTAAGGCGCATTATATATTCATTTATTTATAATTATTAGACTCAAGATCTATACATTATCCCTAGCTATCATATCAATTCACAAACATATATAATTCAAAAAAATAAAATAAATTTAATTTATCCAGAACGTTCCTACGTTATCGAATATAGTACATTTTCAGATTTTTTATCAAAAACAACATCACTAACATTAGGCGATTTATTTCTTAAAATGCTGTTAACAATCAAAGGAGTAAGCCCGGAAAAAGCAATTGAAATACAAAAACATTTTCCAACCCTAAGTGATTTATTAACATCATATTCTAAGGAGACATCAGAGTATCAACGAGAAATCATGATAGCAAAAAAATGCGTAAATTATGGTAGAAAAAATATATCCTATTCATTATCTTCAAAAATATACAAGATATTCCAATAATTATTAAATTATTACAGAGTATACCCAAAAAGAAAACACAAATTTTGCTATATATATAATACAACAATAATACATACACCAACACATTAATTACTATATACTATTGTATCATATTTATTATTATATTTCAAATCATTCAAAAACGTAACATAAAAAACACATTACGCTATATAATTAACCAAACTATATGCATTTTTTCCCAATTTTCCTAATTTTAAAAACATTATATCACATAGCCATAGTATTATCAAAATAATACTGAGCTACACTGCACACAATGGTCGTTTATATCAGAAATATCAGAATTTAAAGTCACTATTCATAGTCATTTATTTGTAGCGTTCATAAATAGTCAAATTTCAATAAGAACCCAATTACATATAGACATTTTCAAGTACGTATGATCAAAAAAGACATCAAGCCAAATTCGTAAAAAAACAATTTTATACCCTGTAACAGAATATATAACATACCAAAACACCTATTCTTCAAACAAATAATTCAAGGCTTCATAATTAATCTTCTTAGAAAATGTTCGTTGCTGTAACATTTTTTTTGCAGATTCTACAGGATTAGATGGCAAATTCAAACTATTAGAATCTTTCGATTTATGTTTCTTACGCTAAATGTAAAGGTTATTTAATATTAAACAATACTATAAACTATACTCTTTTTGTTTGACGATTAATTCCAGCTTTAAGATCAGACTCCAATTTTAAACGTTTCACTAAATTATTTTAAAACAACAAATCAGGAAATACATAATATTACCTTCTTGTGCAGCAAGATATTCTCTATTAAGTTCCATCCAAACTCGAGTTTTCGCTAAAACCTCTGGCTCACTTAAAATAATTTGATTGATTTCATCATCATCAATATCGGAAAGAGTTTCACAATATTTTCCAGTTTTTTTAGTTTCTAATAAAATAATTATCTCAAAGGAAATTATATAATATTTTACCCTGAATAGCCATAGACATTCTTTGAATATCTCTATCTTTCAAAACTGATTCCATTTCACCTTTCAAGAAATTATCATTCAATTCAGTAACAAAATCACCAGTTTCAATTAATTTTAACGGTAACATTTTTTCTTTATTATGATAATAATTTGTCGTAGACGCATCCAAAATATCTATCTCATGTTCTTTACTATTCAAAAATTCCATAGCTTCAATATCCCTTTGCCTTCGTTCTTTTTTTTTTCCCTGAAGATATGAAGGTGGATCGTGAGTTTGTTCAAGCCATATAGTTCTAAAATCTTGAACGGTTAAATCACCCGATGCAGTTGTTTTGAACTCTTCTAATCTTTTCCTAACAGTAAGATCACCCACTTTAACTACATGTACGACTTCTTCTACACTTCTACGAAAATTATTCATACGTGCAGCTATTAAAAGACCTAAAAGAAGTAAACCAAATTATCTAAATCAAACATGATACTAACATGCACCACATATACCAGCTGGTCTTCTACCAGTCTGCATCCAATCTCTATTCATTCTTTGAACCAATCTAATAGCATCTGTAGCAACTTTATGGGTTTCTGCTCCAAATTCCAAAAGAGCAGCGAATCTTGTTATATAAAGAGATGGATCAGCAAATGGTAGAGTAATATGAAGAACTTGAACTAATTTAAGAAATGTTGAACCGAGTGTAAAAACATTAATCTTATTTACAATTAAATATATATTTTTCAAAATAAGATTTACCTGGAGAATATCAGAAAAATCAATAAGCATATGAGATGTCCTTTCTAGCCTGCATACTATATATAGACATGATGCAATAACATATTGTGATCGACGACCTTGAATAAAATTATGCGTCACAGCAAGAGTAAAATAACGAACAGCAGTTTCAGAATGTCTTTCTGACAAATGCAGTGCAGCTGCCAAAGCATTAATTCTACGGCGGCCTAAAAATTAATATTTTTAGAAAATAAAGAAAAAAATTACCATTAGCTATAGTTTGTTCTCTAGATTCTAAAGAACTCTGCCTACGATAAGGACCATTAGTACGCGCATGACCTTAAAATTTTAGAAATATAAAAAAATAATTAAAAAATACTTTGATCAGCGCCAACAAAAGATCCTTGAACAATAGCAGCACCTGAAGACGCTTCACCAAATGTAATTTCCGAAACAATCACATTCTCTTCAATTACATTCCCACAAGAAACACAATATGTAATACCTGAAGATGAATCCGCTTCAAGATTAGAACTTCCACAGCTTAAACAAGTTGACATTAAAAGATAATTATCGATATACTTATTTTAAAAATAAAAATTGAATCAAAAAATTCCGAAAAATCGTTCCCACGTTTATTCATTGTCAAAAAAGTTAAATCTTTAAAAAAACAGTTACGAGATAATTCTATATTTTTTCCAAACAAGAAAATAATTAAATTATTTTGAATATTTTATACTATTTTCAATTTTAAAATACACATAATAAATATCGAAAACACAAACTATATTATATTTATAACATTATAATAAAAAGAAATCATAATATTTTAATTCAATTCATCATATGTTAACTATATTCATAACAAAAAAAATAAAACTTAATCAATATTTTAATTTAAGAGAATAACCGTTTCAGTTTCTATTATCATAGCTATTACTAAGCGGTAATTTTTATCTAAATTATGAACTTTTTGTGATTTTTTTTAAAAATTATAAAAATATTATATTATTATATAATCATATAATACTAAAATAAATTAAAATATTAAATTATAATATTATACTTGTATTAAAATTAATTTCAATAAATTTAATAATCGTGACAAATTAAAAATATTCTTAGAATTTTTAATTATGCAATTAAAAAAAAATACTCTTAATCTTATTAAAGAATTCTCAGAAAAGCATCCCAAGCCAAAAAATGTTTTATATTCTTATGGAACTGCAGGGTTTCGTATGCAGTAAAAATAACGCTATTAGTTATTTTGTACTCATTAAAGATAGTTATAAGCTTTTAGATTCTGTTATGTTTAGATCTGGAATATTTTCAGCTTTAAGGTCCAAAAAAATGCAAGGGAAAACAATAGGAGTCATGATAACGGCATCTCACAATCCTCCACAAGATAATGGAATAAAACTTATAGATCCTAATGGAGAAATGTTAGAAATTTCATGGGAACAACATTTTAATAATATTTCAAATGCAGAAAACACAGACTATTTAATTCTATCAATTAAACAAATAATTATTTCTGAAAAAATAAACCTTGAAATAAAATCAAACGTTATTTATGCAACAGATACAAGGTAAAAGATATCTTATAAATACAAACTAATTATATAGACAATCAAGATTACCTTTGATAAGTTCTCTAGTGGATGGATTATCATGTTTTGAAACATTATGGACAAATTATGAATTATTAACTACACCACAATTACATTATCTTGTACGTAGTATTAATACAAAAAATACATTTGAAGCCTATGGGGAACCAACAGAAATCGGGTATTATAATAAGCTTTCAAAAGCATATCAATATTTAATGGAAAATCAAACCTGTCAAATACCTCTTTTTGTTGACTGTGCAAACGGAATTGGTGCTTTAAAACTAAAAAATCTATGTCGTTTAATAAATAAAAATATATTAAATGTTAAAATTGTAAACGAAAATACAAATAACCCTAATGAACTTAATAGAGAAGTTTAAATAATTAAATAACTTTATTTTTTTTTAAATAAAACTAGTGTGGAGCAGATTTTGTTAAGCTACAAAATAAATTGCCATTAGGGGTTGAAGCTAGTACAGAAGGTCACTTATTAAGCTTCGATGGAGATGCAGATCGCATCTTATATTATTTTATAGATTCAGGTATTTTATTTTTTTTAATTTCAATTATAAAAATTATTCTAGATGGAAAATTCAAATTACTAGATGGAGATAAAATAGCATCGTTAATAGCTATATTTATTATAGATCTTATTAGAGTAGCATTTATCGATATAAATATTGGTATAGTGCAAACAGCATACTCTAATAAAAATTCTACAATCTTCATTTCAAAAACATTGGTATATATACTTTAATTTTCATATTTAATTCTAAAAATATTATTATTAGGAAATACCAGTAAAATGTGTGCCAACTGGAATCAAACATCTTCATCATGCTGCAATGCAATATGATTGTGGAATATATTTTGAAGCCAATGGTCATGGAACTGTTTTATTTTCTTCAAAAATGCAATCAATTTTATCATCCTGTAAACCGAAATCATCTAAACAACTAACTGCTGTAAATCATCTTAAAGCACTAATCAGTTTAATAAATCAAACCGTAGGAGATGCATTATCGAATATGCTATTAATAGAAGTTATTCTTGCACATAAAAATTGGACTATAGAAAAATGGGATAACATTTATACAAATTTGCCAAGCAAAATGATAAATGTTATAAGCAAAAACAAAGAACTTTACAGAACTATAGTAAATATTCTTAAATTTCAAATTATTTAATAAAAAATACAGGGTCCTAATTACAAAGTTATTAAGCCAGAGGGAATACAAGAACAAATTGATATGCTAATTACAAAATATAAAGAAGGAAGGGCGTTTATTAGAGCGTCTGGAACAGAAAATACAGATAAGTATCAAGTATATCTACTTAGTTAAACTAATATAAATTTACTTAGAATATATGCAGAAGCATTCACAAAAAAAGATGCAGATGAACTTGCATTTAAAATTTCACAACTAATCTATTAGTATTGTTTACATATATATATTAAAATCTATCATTTATAATACCATATAAAACTATTATATAAAATATTTTATTTAAAGAAATTCAAAAGTAAACAAAATTATTATACAGTCACATATATATCAATCATTCGAATATAATTTTAAAATTTTTGGACTCAAAATTACTATCTAAAATCAAAAATTTATACCAATAATATATAATAGGAACAGTTGCCTAGTCTAATAAGCTATTCAGCCAAAAAAACGGGAAGTATACCATATGCCATAAACTATGTGCATCAAACAAATATAAAATAGGAGGAAAATCAAAAAATTCCAAACACATAGCAATTGTAATAGCACATACAATATACAAAGGCCACAAAGCAAAAGATCGAGAACCATAGTTCGATAAAGAATAATATACCCACAGAATATTCTGACAGAACCCAACAAATATATTAGCAAACATATTATATGAATAGTTAAATTCCACAAAAGATAAATACATAATATGAACTAAAAAAGCAGATATACAAACAAATGCCCATAAGTAAACAAAAAAATTATAGTTTCTATAACGATCTAATCGAAAAATCCTAATTGGAGTAAAAAAAAAACTCCACAAAGTTAATGCACCAGCAGAGAAATAGTCAGCCCTTTCAGTAAATTTGAAATCCCTCATATGGAAAATAGCACTCCAAAACCACGCATTTAGCCCTAAAATTGAATATATAATATAAAATTTTTTTAACATATAATTAGAAGGAATCAATAATTTTATCCAATGAAAACCAAGATAATGAACATAACCATTTAATATAGAAAAGAGTACACTTGCAGGCTCCTGCATACCAAATATTCTAACGAAATACCATTTACCCCAAAACTGTTCTTCTCGTAATCCATTTCTTTTTCTATACAATGTTACAATTCTTTGACATGAATAATCACATTCACTTTGACAATTCCACATCCCTATTCTTAAAATAATTGAGAGACTACCATGAATCAACTGTGTAGGAGCATCCTTTTTGCAATTTAATGTAACGCAAGAAGCTACACAATTCTTAAATTCTAAAAGCTGATTCCCTCTACTACATAAGATAGAAACAATAAAAGACACGGATAACAAAGTAAACACATGCAAACTAAACATATACATTTTTTAATATAAGTCATTCAATGTTTCTTTTATTATAAACTTCGTTAAATGCATATCCCGAAAGATTCAAAGCTTATAAATTTTCAAAAAATAATTATATATAATGATATTATTTTAACAATATATTGAACTTTAAAATGTCATCAATAATCACATTCACTATTTTAATATAGTATATTTTACATCTAAATCAAAAATAACGGATAAAAACATCCCTCGATGCCATTTCTCTGACTAATCAGCATATAAATGTTAATACATACATATTTATAGCTATTTTCCTAATTAAACGCATTTTCTACACAGAAAGTGAAAAAAACAGGAAGAATAAGTAAATATCAGCATTTTTTACACTTAAATAACTTTTATAGACTCTAATACATATTTTTATCAGAAAAAAAAATAAACATGTATTAAACGAATAATTATTAATTCTATATTAACATGTCAAAAACATGCACCAGTTCACAAAATCATTTTTCTCTTCAAAATTAAACAGCAAAATCCCTTACATAAATCAATTTAAATCAAATCATTTAATAAACGAATCATCTACTTCTCAACTATCTTCTGAAACGTCTACCAGTCTTACATGTAAAAAATCTAGGGAATCATTTGACAATAATAATAAAACATTTGAATCAAATTCTTATAATAAGCATCATACTATAAAAAACGCGTCTCAAGTAAACCTAAACTTTTAAAGAGTTCAAAACTAACATAAAAGGATATAACTCCTTCATCTCAGCTTTTAGATTCATTTAGTACACAAGAGTCTTCATTAGCCTTATCAGTAGGCCCACCTAAAGGCCGCTTAATTATAAAGATAATCCAAGCAAAAAATTTAAAAGTGAAAAACACGAATGTATAGAAATTTATTTAAAATTATGATTATTAACTATGCTCTAGGCAGAACCTTATGTTGTTTGCACATTTGAAAGGAATGAATACATATCTCAAGGGCCTATCATGGAACATAATGAATCAATACGCGGAATAGCTATTCCAAAATCCCAAAATTCATCATCAGCATCTCTCTATAATATGTATAGAAATAACATAGAAAGTAAAAATAACAATTTTTTAAATGTTCCATGTACCGCTAATAATCCTTTTTGGATGCACCAAGTTATATTGTAAGTATTAGGCCTATTCATTATTTTCTTATAAATATTAGTGATGTTATTGATTTAAAAAGTAGTATTGACATAAATGTTTATGATAGGAAAAATCAAGAATGTTTTCTAGGACATGTACATGTTAAACCTATTTTTATACATAAAAAAGTAACAAAACATTGGTATAAGTAAAAAATCCATTAATAATAAGAAAATAAATTCTCTAATAGCAAAAGGCTTGATATTCCTCAAAAAGAAAATGAAAGTATAGCAGAAATTCATTTAGAAATGATGTATGAACAACTTGATAAGCGGCATTATGGTCCTGATGATTTTGAAATACTAAAACTCATTGGAAAAGGTAAAAAATTATAACCATAACCTAATAAATGTCCTAAGAAAAATTAAGGTACTTTTGGTCAAGTCTATCAAGTAAGGAAAATAGACAACAATAGAATTTATGCCATGAAAGTTCTATCTAAAAAAGTAATAGTTCAGAAAAAAGAAATTATGCACACTATTGGTGAGCGAGATATATTAGTGCGAACTACTATTTCAGACTCTCCTTTCATAATTGGTCTTAAATTTTCCTTCCAAACACCTACAGATTTATATCTAGTTACTAATTATATGAGTGGAGGAGAACTGTTTTGGCATCTTCAAAAAGAAGGAAGATTTTCAGAACCTAGAGCTAAATTTTATATAGCAGAACTAATTCTTGCACTGGAATATTTACATAGCCATGACATAATATATAGGTTAAAATAATTTCATAATCTATATTTTACTTAATTATCTAGGGATCTTAAGCCTGAAAATATATTACTTGATGCTAATGGTCATATCTCTTTATGTGATTTTGGATTATCAAAAGCAAATCTGTCCTCTAATTCTACAACAAATACTTTTTGCGGAACTACGGAATATTTAGCACCTGAAGTTCTTTTAGATGATTCTGGATATACTAAATCGGTAGACTTTTGGTCTCTTGGAGTTCTTGTCTTTGAAATGTGTTGTGGCTGGAGTCCATTTTATTCAGAAGATACACAACAAATGTATAAAAATATTGCATTTGGAAAGGTACGTTTTCCTAAAGATGCATTAAGTCTTGAAGGAAGAAATTTTGTAAAAGAGGTAAAATTCTATATTATTATTGTATCATAACTTACTAATTAAAACAGCTTTTAATTAGGAATCCAAAACTCAGACTTGGTGCTACTAGAGATGCATTAGAGCTTCGAGAGCATAATTTTTTTCGTGATACAGACTGGGATGCACTGCTAAAAAAAAAAATTCCACCGCCATTTAAACCTATAATCTCAGGAGAACACGATGTTAGTAATTTTGATTTAGAATTCACTTCTGCTCCAATACAAAAGCCTGAAAATAATATTCATGCATCTACGCCTTTGAGTTCAACTTTGCAGGCTAATTTTAAAGGATTTACATTGTATAATTATATATATAATTTTATTTTCTAATTTTTTTTAGTGTGGATGAAAGTTCATTTGACGATCATTTCGAAGACAGGAAGTTTTACGAGCAATCAATCATAATTGATGATGAAGACCAAAGTTCAGGTCATTGCAGTATGGATGATAGTGAAGATTACTATAAATATTATGATCATATAAACAATAATCAAAAAAATAACGACAAAACAATAAATATTATGCAAACAGAAGATGGAATTTTTCAGGGTAATTTTGATTAAAGAATATTATTTTATAAAAAAATATAATATTAAATGTTTTAATTTCTAATTGTACATTAATTCATTCTTAAAATTTTTTTTTTTTTATTTCGATTATTTTTTAAATCCTTTTCTCATCCAATAAGAATAGAATCAAGTATAAAATGTTTACAGGTATTATTGAAACAATAGGACTTCTTTCTGAAATCAAAAACCTTAATGGTATATCTTGGACTATTTCTGATACATATAATATAATATCAGATATACAACTTGGTGATAGCATTTCTGTAAATGGAGCATGTCTTACAGTTACTGAAATTAATAATAATTTATTCAGAGTTAATATAAGTCCTGAAACTTTAAAAAGAACAAATTTTGGTAATATGGTAGAAGGAGAAAAAGTCAACCTAGAAAGAGCTATAATGACACATAAACGATTTGGAGGACATTTTGTTCAAGTAATTTAATTTATAATCTAGAACCATATTAAAAATTATAGGGACATATAGATACTACAGCAACTATAGTTCAGAAAAAAATCAATAACGAAACAATTATATTTACATTTGAACCCGATAATAAAAATATTCTAAAATACATCATAGAAAAAGGCTATATAGCAGTAGATGGTATTAGGTTGTATTAAAATTTTTATATAGAATATTACTGATTTTTCAGTTTAACTGTTACACAGATTAATAATAATACTTTTAGTATAATGTTAATCCCTTATACTCAAAAGAAAACTGCTACATCTTCTAAGATAATAGGTGATACTGTAAATATAGAAGTAGATCAGATGGGTAAATACATAGAAAAATTATTGCATGAGCATATAAAAAGACTTAATCTATAGATCAAAGTTTATAAATTAAACATAGATAATTCTACATATTAATACTATACAATAACTTTTAATATGATATTAATGATTTTTATCAAGATCCATAGCATCACGTTTTCTCTTTACTGAAGTATTTGCATATTTCGAGGATTGCTTTTCATATTTATAACTTTTTTTTTTCACTCTATTATGCATATCTTTCATTTCTATAACTGCTTCTCTAACTCAGTATTAATTTTAAAACTTTTATGTTATAAACAATTACCTTTGAGCCTCAGTAACTCTTTCATTTAACAACATCACAGTCTCTTTATCTGTAGAAAACTCATTCATTTTATTCCCAAGTGCCTTTTCAATTCGCAAAAATAGTTCTAAATCATATTGGGTAACCAAAGAAAAACTTTTTCCAGATCTGCCTGCTCTAGCAGTTCGACCAACTCTGTGAATATATGTTTTTGAATCAGTCGGTATATCATAATTTATAATACAATCAACGAGAGGACTTTATTAATCAATACACAATAGAAGAAAAATATTTTCCTTACATATCCAATCCCCTAGATGCAACATCAGTGGCTAAAAGAATATTAAATGAACCGGATTTGAATTTATTTAATGCACCAAGTCTCGAAGATTGGCTCATTTGACCATGTAAACATATAGCAGAAAACCCTAAACGACGTAACAATATTGCTAACCTTTGTGTATCATTACATGTACGAGTAAAAGTTATAATTGATTGGCCAATAAACTCATTTATAAGAAATACAAAATATGTATCTTTATACTTAAAAGGAAAAAAAAGATATGATTGAAGTAATGTTGACACAGTTGAATACCTAGTAGATACTGCTATACGCACAGGATTTGAGAGAGATGCCCTCTGAAGCTTTTCTACTTTAGAAGTCATAGTTGCAGAAAATAAATAAGTATTTCTTTCTCTAGGAATAACTTTCAATATCTTTTCAATAATAGGACCAAAATTCATATCAAGAAGCTTATCAGCTTCATCAAGTACCTGAATTAATTAAAGTAGAAGTCAAATAAATACAATTTTATACCAAATATTTAATTGTTCTAAGAGAAAAACCCTTAGTATTTTCTAAATGATCCAATAAACGACCAGGTGTGCAGACTATAATATGCGGTTTTTTATTTAATGCTACTGCTTGAGAAACCATATCCATACCACCAACAATTACTAGACTTTTCAAACCAAGATCAGAACCAAAAGCAGAAAATTGTTCAGAAATCTGTTGAAATTTAAAACAATATATAAACAATATAAAAAAAACCTGATAAGCTAATTCTCTAGTAGGAGCTACTATACAAGCAAACAAAGGATTCGGTTTTTCCCATAAAGCTTGAATAATAGGCAATGCAAAAGCGGCGGTTTTTCCTGAACCTGTTTGAGCTAAACCAATAATATCTCGACCTTGTATAGCCCATGGAATTGCTTCTTTTTGAATAGGAGTAGGTACTTCAAACTTAAGAGCTTTACATACATCACAAAGTTCATCAATTAGTCCCTATAGCATTTTAAAAAAATAACATCTTTAAATAACAAATATATATCCATACAAGATCTTTAAAGCTCTTATTGAAAGAAGAATTACTGTCAACCAAACTTCCAGAATATTTAATTATTTCTGGCATAGTTATTCAGTATACATAGTTTTTGATTTATTTAACTTAAATCGTAATCTAAAAATTTAAAAATGAAAAAAGTAAAGACATAAACCAATAAAAATAATAATTACTGAAAAACATAGGAAAAAAAAGTACATACAAGAAAAAATGAAAATTTGTCAAATAACCATATACCAAAATCAGTACTATTTAAATCTTCATAAAATATATTTCTTAAAATTTTAGATGGTTATACGTACTGAAGCATCAAATGTTGGATCCAGTATATCTCAACTTACACAAGATATCAGGCGTATGATGGGACCACATACTGCTATTCGATTAAAAGTATTAATGTTACAAAAATATAACGCAATAAATTAATATATAAAGGAACGAAAAGCTAATAAGCTTAAAGATTATATTACAATGAGTGGTCCTTTAGGTGTTACTCATCTTTTATTATTATCAAAAACAGAATCAGGTCCCAATATGAGAATTGTTCGAACTCCACATGGTCCAACTTTATATTTTAAAATAAAAACATATTCACTTTGTAAAGACATTATAAAAACACAGAAATATCCTAAATCTCCAGGTTCTGAATTTCTAACACCACCTTTGGTAATATATTCCTAATATAACAATAATATTTACTTTTCAAGCTTATTTTAAATGATTTTATTTCAGAAAAAAAAGAACAACCTCATGAAATTCTTTTAACCTCAACATTTCGTAACATGTTCCCTAAATTATCATTTCAGAACGCCCAAATGTCGCATGTTAAGAGAGTTTTACTTTTACATCGGAACGCATCTGAAGATTGCATTGATTTACGTCATTATGCTATTATAACAAGAAATATAGGAGTTTCTCATTCTATTAGAAAAATTTCAACTAACTTGGATCCAAAAAAAAAACCTTTACCAAATCTAAGTCATATTAAAGATATATCAGAATACGTACTTAATACAGAATCTATATCTTGTGGAAGCGATTCAGAAATAGATGATAATATAACTATTGAAGTAAAAGAAAAGAATAATATAAAGAATGGCGCAAAAGAAAAAACACAAAAAAAAGCTATAAAATTAATTGAACTTGGCCCTAGATTACAATTGGAACTATACAAAATAACAGAAGGAATTTCAACTGGGGAAGTCTTATTTCACAAAAATATTACTAAAACACTAAATGAAGGATTAAATTTTAAAGAAAAATATTAGGAAATAAAAAGAAACAGAAAACAACTAGAAAATATAAAATAATAAATGATCAAAACTCAAAAATGAACACATGAAATAATAATAATATATAATTGTAATTAATCAATAATAATAATAATTTTGAAAAATTAAACAGTTATTAATATTTTTCTTAAATAAAAAACTTTAAAAATTATAAATAATTTATTTTACAAATTCGTAACATTTCTTACGAACCAAATTTTAAATTATAATTAATATAAATGAGCACTTTAGGTATTTAAAGTATATCTTAGTATGCAATGTTGATTATAGGGACTTTAGAGGATCTTGAGGAAATTGAAAAAAATAAAATTTCTAATTCTACAAAAGAAAAATTTACATCAACAGATAATAACAACATAATAGACATAGAAATTTTAAATGCATCTATAGAAGAATTAGTCAATAGGACAAAATTAATTGAAAATGATATAAAAGAAGATTACAAAAATATATTTATCATTAATAATACTTTTTTAGGTTATGCGTTCAGAATATCAACGGCTCATTCATGAACAAAAAACAATGGAAGAAAAAATTAAAGACAATGAAGAAAAAATAAAAAACAACAAACAATTACCATATCTTGTAGGGAACATAGTAGAAATTTTAGATGTAGGGCCCGCAACTGAAATGGAAGAAGGTGCAAATATCGATTTAGATGCGACAAGAAAAGGAAAATCAGCTGTTATTAAAACATCGACACGTCAAACAATATTCTTGCCTCTTATAGGTCTTATAGAGTCTGAAAAACTTAAACCAGGTGACCTTATTGGAGTCAACAAAGATTCATATCTGATTCTTGACACATTACCTACTGAATATGATAGCAGAGTTAAAGCTATGGAAGTTGATGAAAAGCCTATGGAAACTTATTCAGATATTGGAGGATTAGATAAACAAATAGAAGAGCTTGTCGAGGCCATTGTTTTACCTATGAAACAAACAGATAAATTTAAATCTTTAGGTATTCGACCACCAAAAGGTAAATAATTATTTTTACGAATTTCAATATTCTTATTAGTCAAGGGGCATTAATGTATGGTCCACCTGGAACAGGAAAAACTTTATTAGCCAGAGCATGTGCAGCTCAAACAAATGCAACATTTTTAAAGCTTGCAGCACCTCAACTTGTCCAAGTAACATTCAAAATTTTTAATATAATAATCATAAATGCTAACATAATAATTCTAGATGTTCATTGGAGATGGTGCAAAATTAGTAAGAGACGCGTTTTCTTTAGCAAGAGAAAAAGCACCTACTATTATTTTTATAGATGAATTAGATGCTATTGGAACAAAACGTTTTGATTCAGATAAATCCGGTGATAGAGAGGTCCAAAGAACTATGCTTGAACTATTAAACCAATTAGATGGATTTAGCAGTGATGAAAGGGTCAAAGTTTTGGCAGCGACTAACCGTGTTGATACTCTTGATCCAGCATTATTACGAAGTGGAAGATTAGACAGAAAAATAGAGTTTCCTTTACCAAATGAAGAAGCAAGGTACTGACATTTTTAATATATATATAATTTTTACCTGATTTAATATAGAGCAGGAATTTTACAAATTCATTCAAGAAAAATGACAATTGATAGTCAAATTAACTGGAATGAACTCGCACGAAGCACGGATGAATATAATGGAGCTATGTTAAAAAGTGTATGTGTTGAAGCTGGTATAACATATATTATTTATATTTAAATATTTATAATATTCAAGGAATGATCGCTTTACGACAAGGAGAAACTAAAATAAGTCATGAGAACTTTGCAGAAGCGGTCAATGAAGTTATGATGAGAAAAAAAACTATAAGTAATTTCTATGCATAATTATATTGTACAATACCTTTTTAATATAAATATTCTTTTAAAAAAATAATATATAACAGTAATAATTCTTTTGATTAGCAGTAATTTAAAATATACAAAAACCAAGAAAACTAAATAAATAATCTTAAAAATAATAACAAAAAAAATATTTTATATTATAATAGGAATTTATAATACTATAAAGACCTGTACTATTTCTGCAATAAAAAATAAAAATATATTTCTATTAGTATTAAAGTTATAAATTTTACCTTAAAAACTAAAAATAAAAAATAAACAATAAAGACATTATAACCCGAATACTGAAATTTATAATCCTAATAATAACTCAAGTTTTTAAACACATTCACCAATTTTCCAATGTTCATAATTTTCTTCCTCTTTTTGTCTTTCTTTAATTGCTCGTAGTATTTCAGAGGAACAAACCCTGTATACATCTTTTGGAATATCACTTAAATGTACGCATGAACCAGAAACTGGTTTTATTTCCATAAGAGTTTCAAAAACTACTTTTGAATCAGAGCTAACTTCATTTCCTATTTTACTTTGCCATTTTACTGAAGTAGGTTGAGAAGTAGCAAATCGAAGATGAGTATTTGTATGAGGCTCATAAACACCAAATGCCCATTTTTCTCTTCTTTGAATTGTTAAAAAACTATTATATCGACTAAAACATAATTAAAAACCATTAAAAAAAAAAATAAACAACCTAGCAGATCGAGCATGCTCTAACATCCAATTTTCATCAGTAATAACAACCTTTTTTTTCTTTCTATATATCTCTGATTCAAACTCCGGATGATATTGATAAATTGAGCTTGCACCAAGCCAAGCTACATGTTGATTTTTATCATATTCTAGACCTTCAAACAATGCTTTATCATCAGGATTCGCAAAATCAGAACATTTATAGCCTTTAGAAATGCTAGAAGCTTCCCAATAATCATCTACAACCCATTTTCCTCTAATTATAATACGGGCACCAAATTCACGGAAAATAGATCTTGCAGTAACTACACCAACAGCACGCCCTTTATATGACTCAGGAATAATGCCCCTTTCTATTAAATCCGACTTCTCATCCTCATTAATTATAACATTATATAAGGATGTATGCTTTAAAAAAAAAAGATATGGATCACGGTACCCCATAGCATGAGCTGGCTCAGTCGAAAGCATATACAAACGGCTACCACGCCCAAAAAGAGTAAATGTCCTGCATCGATATTCCCTTTCGCCTGCCAAAATACCAAATTGATCAACTTTTTTTTCCCCAGAGGGATCAATTTCATCTAATACAACTTCATCATTAACAATTTCTTTTTCACTCCATAATACATCTTTTGGTGCTTCTGAAATATGCAATGAAAGACCCTTTGGTTTTGGAGGTCTACCTCTACGATTAACATTCTTATTACTTTTTATTGAAGTAACATAATCATCATCAGAAAAACCCAAACTCATATGCTTAATAGCTCTTTTTCTACCTCTACGAGCAGATATAGCAGATGTTTCATCATAATGATCACCATCGCCATATTCTGAACCACCTGGAGAACATAAATCATTATGTATAACACTCATAAATCTAATAACATTTTTAGTAAATTATTTTAAAAAGCACATATAATACTCAATAAACTTTTATATAAAAGTAGTTCCCTAAAACTGAAAATATCAAACAAATTCTTATATTTTTTTTTTTTAAACTAAATTTTTATAAAATATTTACTGTTTTTAAAAATCTCGATTCTTTATTTTCGAAAACTTATTTCAAAATTTATAAAATTCAAGCTTTATTTCATCTTTTAACACATTAACTTTATATTTTAAATTATAAATATATAAAAAAATAAAATTTTTGTAATTTCAAAAAAAGATAAATATTTTTTTAGATATCAACTTATTTAAAAAACAAAAATATCAAAAATATTTTAAACATCAATATATATTTTATTAATCTTTAACTTCTAAATAAAATATACCTATTTTTTATAGGTATAAAAAATGAAATTAATAATCATTATTTTAAAAATTTAAAAAAATTAAATTTAACAAAAATTTATACAAAAAATAGGTTATATCTAAAACCCAAATCTTTGTTTAAAAAAAGTAAAAAAACTTTATAATAATATTAAAGTATAAAACATAAAAATATGGCAGAAATTATGTTATATTTTAAGTGTACAGATATATTTAAAAATACCTTAATATTTAATCAACGTCAAACCAAACAATTTGACATCAAAAAAACAAAATTATAAAAATACCAAATATTTTCATTATATTTGTTTTAATATATATATAGAATATTATTTAAAATACATACCTAAACATCAATTTAATATAAAATAAACTTATTTTAAACTACAAACTCAGTCTTTAGAAATAATTAAAATAACAAAACTCCAGAATAAAAAGTTTTGTAAATTTTAATAAAAAATCCTTTGCTTATTTGAAATTAATGAGAATGGAAAGTATGAATAAAATACCTTATTTTTTATATTGAAACAAAAAAATTAAAACAGTAAATATTAAATATTACTATTCAATCCAAAATCAATAAATTTATAACTTTATGAATTATTTCCTTTAAAAAAATAAATACTAAATAAATAATAATCTTAATAATCTTAAATTCAAGAAAATAATATCATGTTTATATAGATAAAAAAATCTATTAAAAAAAAATAACATTATAACCCAAAATTATTTTCAGTAAAATGCATAAAAAACTAAAACAAAAAATAAAAAACTATATAAGAATAAAAAAACACTAAAACATATTTAAGAATTTTATGGCTATAATGCAGAAAAAATGAAACAATTTAAAGATAGAAGAACATCTAATTCCTTCAAAAATTAAAAATTCAACTTATAATGTTTACTATACTTCAAAATATATAAAAATATTAGCCTTTTTTAGTTATTCATATAAATATAAAAAACCTAGATTATTAAAAAGAAAATATTTCTATAATATATTTTTTAAAAATTTTTAAAAAACAAAATTATATCGTCTTTTATAATAACATAAATTTTTAACAAAAATAATATAATATTATATTCAATATTTAATGAGAAATAACTTTAAATATAAACTAAATATAAGTTGTAAATAACCCATGTAGCTTTTACTCTATAAGATCTAATTGTATTCTTTTCTCATAGTCTCTTTATTCTATATTTATAATTATTACATAAACAAATGACCAGACTAAAATATATCAAATATAAAAAATATACATTCTAAAGAATTAATCTAAAGAAAGAAATATTAAACTACATATTTCCTTATTTTAATTTTATTTTACTTATTGACTATCATTTTTTTCAAAATTATCTTCTAAAAATAATTTCAATACAAATATTTTTACTGAGCTGTCTTAGCAATCTTTCTTCATAAAGTAAATAAAAAAACCGCTCTTAATCTTTTTTTAATATATTCATTATTCATAATTTTTATCAAAAATTCTAATATTATAAAACAAAAATTATTCAATTAATATTTTGAAAATTAATATAACTACAAAAACATTTAAGATAATAATATAGAATACATCTATTCTTAAAAATTAAAAACATAATATTTATTTAAAAATATCCAACAATTATTCATTTAACACTTTTTATTTACTAACTTATAAAGATATATTATAGAAGTTTTAAAATCATTAAATTCAAATAATATTTATTCATATGAATATAAATAACTAATCATGTATATTTAAAAACACTTAAATAGATAAAAACTCTATAAACTCAATCATTAAAAAACATAAAAACCGAATTGTATTGTGATGTGTTCGAATAAAAAAAAAATACACTCTATATACTTAAGATTCTTTAAATAAACGTAGTGACATTTTATTAAATAAAATAAATAATCCTATAAATAGTATTTTAATAAAATGTCTAATCAATATTATAAAGAAAATCAACAAATATCAAGTGAATATATTACAGAACAATATAAAAATCAAGAATCAAATGTAAAAAATACAAAATATAACTCAGAAGCGAAGCAGCCATTTAAACAAGACCCATTATCTATGTATCAGCAAGAAAAGAAAATGCAAAAAGAAGATATCCAAATTCAAACATTTTGGGTAAGTGTTGAGTCCAAAGAAAACAAGTTATATTTTTTAAATTTTTACATACTAATTAAATAATTTGAAACAGTCTCAAACGGATAATGAATTCATACAAAATCAACAAAAGACAGAAACACATCCAGAAATAGAGCTGAACACCAAGGAATTAAATATAGAACTGAAATGCGATGAAGAAATAGCACCTACACCAATTAATGTATCCGGAGTAACAAAACATAAAGGTATAACATTTTCAATAGTCTAATTATAGAAAAATCACTTAAAAGCTGTAACTTATACTGTTTATAGCACGAAGACAAAAATATTCTAAAAACAAATTATCTCAGGGATTAAAAAATACACCTCGAAATCGAAAACATGATACTGTATAGTTAATTATTTTGTATACACATTATTTAATATAATAAATAGGAAGATGAAGACGAAGATTATAATATGGAGGGAACTAAAACAAAATCAGGGAGAAAAATACACCGTCCTACTCAATTTAATCCAGCAACAAAAACCCCTAGTAGTTTTACTGCTTTATTTCATTGAGTACTTAAAATGTTTAGGTAAAAGACGTGGGCCTGGTAGAAGATCAGCTCAAGATTCACACTTCTGTATTATATGTCAACGTGGTCATAGTCCATGTTCTAATAGAATTGTGTTTTGTGATGGATGTAATTTCCCATACCATCAATTATGTCATGTGCCAATTATAGACGACCTCGTTATTAGTCTATCTGATTCAGAATGGCTATGTTATAGCTGCAACAAAAAACGCACCAAAAGAACATTATTAACTGGTGCAACTGGTGCTAATCTAACAGAAGAAGAGGTTTTCTTTCTAAATAAATATAAATTATATTTTTAACTTTCCATTTAGAAAAAAACGTACCTTGCATCTCTTCCTTTATCTCATCTGGTCGAACTTCTATTTTTTTGTGAAAAAATGTGCCCAAATATACCATTTTATGCACCTAATACTCACGAAATTTTAATGGAGATTCGACGTGCTAAAGAAGAAGCAATTATGAATGAGAATTCGATTACAGAACAACTAAATGGGGAGAATTTTGATCCAGAATCAGTATTAGACGAGGATTCAGAATTAAGCGATGCAGTCGATTCAAATGCTGATGCAGATAATCTTAAAGATCTTCCAAGTTATGAAAATATGATCGTAGAAGCATTAACAGCAATTCACGACTCTAGAGGTGTTCCTCCTAGAATTATATATGAATGGATGGAAAGGTAAATTAATAATTATTATTAATTAGTCATTTATATTTTAGCAATTATCCAACCCTAAATCCAAGATTTAGAGCATCTGCTTCTCAAGCTTTACAAAAAGCAGTAAAGAAAGGGAAACTTCAAAAAGATGGATCAAATTACTTCTTAAATACAGATTATAATGGAAAATTTGTAATAATTTAACTACTTTTTTACATTATCTAATCAAATAAAGACATACAACTCAAAATTGTCTCAACAGCTACATGAGTCTATAGGTAGAAATTCACCAATTAATACAGCATCATCTATTTCATTTTCAGAAAATCAATTACAACTGGTATTATCTAAAAATAATTAATTTGTTCTAACTAATATATATGCTCAGGGAACACTTCCGCACCACCAAGGATTAAAACTCCCAGCTGAACTACAAAACCCTCAAAATTTCACCATAGATGATAATAACGAAGTTTTTAGTCATACTGTTAATCAATCGCCTCAACAATCAGATGATAATTCTCAAAAACAAGACATGTCTAGTATATTAAAAGAAAGTTCTAATTTAGAAAATAAATTAGAAGAGGATACTGTGAATACGCCTCAGGAAAATGCAACTAATCAAGCTTCACAGACTGAAAAAGATATAGAAGTTGACAACTAACTTTCAATGTTTTTTATAGTTTTTTAAAATAATTATAGTTTATAATATCATTCTTTCTGTAAAATAATTTTAGTTATTTTAGGTTTATTTATAATTTTATTTTTAATTATTTATCCGAACCTTTTTCAATTAATTTAATATTAAGTATAAATTATTATCATATATTTAAAAAATAATTTATAATTTTTATATTCAATCTACAGCGTTTTAAAATATAATATTTTTCTAAATGTCAGATTTAACAAAAATATTTTTCGAATATTCAAACAAACATAACATTAGCATCCCAGAAACAAAAAAGAATATACAAAAAAAAAACAGAGAAGATCTATTTATTAAAGAAGCATATCAAATTGTAAAAATATAATTTTTAAAAATATAAATATAATAAATATATAGTTTAAACATATCAAAGAACTAAAAAAGTTCTTAACAGACATACGACATGCATACCTTAATATCGAATCTAGAGAGTCTATAGATTTTCAATCATTTAACAAACAAAATACTTCTGTTCTTTCATGCAGAGGTTTAAAAACATTATCAGATAAACAAAGAGAAGAAATCGATACAAAATCAAGAATAATTATCAAACAAAGTAGAGAAAGAATACTAAAACTTGAAAATCTCGAAAAAAGTAATAATATTTATATATTAAATTTAAAACATAACTTTATTTAAATAGATAAAAAAGCACAGCGTAAAAAAACAATAATTTTTACATTATTTTTTCAAGATTCTTCAAAAAAAATTAAAGAAGAATTAATTTCAGAACATAGAAATTGCATAACATGGTTTCTTAACAAGAAATTAAAAGACGTATCTCTTATACACGAACAACAACAGCGAATTAAACTACAACACCAAATTGAAAAGAATAAAAGGTAATTTTAAATTATAATTAAAATTTCTAATGTATAAAAGAATTATAAACTCTGCAAATATACTTTCTATTCAAGCAAATAAACAAAGTCAAGATGCTTTAATATTTAATTTAAATACAAACTTATCAAAAGAACAAATTCAAGTCCTTGATACAGAAAATAACGAAATATATGAATATTTTCAATCAACTCTTGATCAAGTAAGGTATACATGTTTTAAAGTTTAAAAATACTTTTATTTTTTAATAAATCCTAGATCAGTGCAGAAATCTTTATCCGAAATTTCAAAAATACAAACAGAATTAGCATCTCATATAGAAGAACAGTCATATATAACTAATAAGTTGCATGAAGAAGTGTTATATACATCAGAGTTAATAAAGAGCGGAAGCACTCAATTAATACATACTAAAAAAATAAATAAAACATCATCACGATTTATTACATGGTTCCTTCTTATATCATCATCTATATTACTGTTACTAGATTGGTATAATTGAATTCATATATTTCAATATAAACTACTATAGAAAATATTTGCCTTAAATATAAATACATAATTTTAAGCACTATTTTCTTTATAATTTAGGAAATCCTAATATTCTATAACAATTTATATATTTAAAAATTAATTATAAAAATCAAGAACATAATTATTTTTATTTGGATTCTATTTTTTTAAAGATGCTCAATAATATTTATTCAAAATATCAAAATATATTAACAATACATTCCAAATTTTTAAAAGAATTTTTAAAACTATATTTTAAAATATTAAAATCTCAAATGCTTTAACTGATTAAGATTCTATTTGAAAATAATAAAATTCATAAATAAACAACTCTTTCATCTATAAACAATAAATAAAAAAAATAAAAAACAAGTGGGTTATATCATTGAAACTTTTTTTCTAAATTATCATATTTAATTTCCATAATTTTAAAAAAAATTAATCATTTTTTGTAGATATAATTTCAAAATGAGTATCATAACCATTACCATACAAATTTTCAATACGATCGCGTATTTTTAAACCTAAAAGAAATTTCCTCCATCTACCAAGCACTTCTTTTTCACGTTTTTTTAATTCCTTTTCATTCTTTTTTTGTTTATCAAATATCCATGCCTCGAAACACGCATCAGCATTTTCAGTAGCGACCAAAATACCTGTTATAATAGGAATTGCACGTTGACTTTTAAATTCAAATCCAGTAACAGCATCAGAATAATCAAACCCTAGTCTCTTTGCAATTTTTCCAATTCCAGTATAGGGCAAATGTGTAGCACCTTCAGGTATCATAGAATCAGTAAACAAGTCTGTATTCCCATATTTATTCTTTGGAACAACCCCATTAACCACAGGAGGAGGAATATATAATTCTGTTTGAAATTCTGCGTACAATGGTTGAATAGCAACTTCATTAGTTTCAGAAGCAATAAATTCATTTTCTCGTCTTCGCCTTAGAGTAACACTCCTTGGTTTGACAATCTTAAGAGGTAATTCGCCCGATTTTATCTGTCTACCTTTTCGATAATAATATTCAACAGATTTGCACAATAAAATATCAGATCTATTGAAAACTTTTTCTTCCTTTAACTTATCCCCTTTACCATGCATAAATACATATATTGGAAATGCTCCAGGACGAATAATTTCTTCCCTTTTAAGATGACGCTCAAGAATATAACTAAAAAGTTAATATAAACACAATAAAACAGTAGTTTACTCTGGATGAGTCCTATATTCATTTATAGTAATACTATCTATTTTTTTACATAATATTTTTGACTGCAAATCACTATTTTCTTTAAAATCTATATCCTATAAAAATATTATAAATTATTGATGAAAAATATTCATTACTGATGAGAATGGTCTTTTAAATATATTAAGAAGTTTTTCAAATGAAACATATTTATCCTTTTGAGAAACGGGAAGTTTTATTCTATTAAGTTTTAAAATATTATTTGCATATTTAAGCGTAACATCTTTCGCATATCCATCAACTTCAAAAGCCACAATATAACTTGCATTCATTTTAGTTTCAATAAGCATTTTTCCTTTAGGTATGAAAGCACTTCTATCTGAAAATGCAACAACACAATTTAAAACCATGCACTCAACAGAATACCATGTAGTTGTATTAATATCATAAACTTCAGTCCAAAAGACAGGATAAGGAAAACTAAACTCAGATACTATTTCAAATATTAAAAAAAATATTCCCTTAATCTAAACTTTACTTAATTTAGCTTTATTAAGAGATAAATCCTCTTTAAACTTAGTTGAAATATTATCCAATTCATTCTTAGAACTTCTAAAAAATTAAGCATATATTAAGTAAACAAATTCATACATAATATGCACTTTTTTGAAATTCCCTGATCCATTATTCAGAGCACAAGCCATTGATTTATAACATTCTTCCTCATAAATTTGATATTTTGAGTTAAAATTTAAACCTAAAGGTTGTAATGAGAAAATAAGTCTAGCATTAAAACCCAAAGCCCTCAGCAGAGATGTAAGTATTTGAACACCAGAATCCCTGCTACCTTTTAAAAACAACGCAATTTTACGAAATTCAAAGATTGAATTAATAATTTCAAATAAATGTGTCTAATTAAATCATAAGTTATAATAAAAAATATATATTCAGAAAATACGCAATTTTCTAAACTAAACCCATATTCTTTAAAATGACAAGAGCCTCTTCCTATTCCCAAAGCAATTATTTCAAATTTCCGTTTAAACCACTGTAAAATAGATAATAATATTTTTCCCAAATCATCAGATCCTAATTGTTGGCTAGAAAATCCCTGCTTATATTCTTCAATCTGCATGAAAAGCAAAGGACATTCATCCTTAAATTTATTCCGTAAAATATTTTGTGTTTCTATATCATTAATCCATTTATTCCTTAGAAATCCATGAGAAATCAAACATGCTAAATGAAGTAAATGCATTTGAATTCTAACGCTCCGTTGTAAATAACATGCATTCAAAGTTTTTCTATAGACTCTTGAGAATATATAAAATATCAAAATACAGAAAATACTTTTGAAATTTTGGATATTTTGAGGCATTTAAAATAATATTAAGATCTTCATCACAATTTTTCACAAAAATTTCATTTTTCATTAATAAATCTGAAGAAATAAGAAATTATTATCAAACAATATAGTTCACCTTGATCAATTTCCATATCCTCCCAATCTACTGAGCTTTCATCGGGATCCTGAAGATGAAAATCTAAAGAATTAACTACACTTTTATCGCCTAAAGATATATTCTCTTTAGAAAAATCTTTAAGAAAATATTTACTAGTCTGATCATAAATATCTTTTTTATTTTTATCTAAAAAAAATATAAAAAAAAAATAAAAAATCTATAAATACTTTTTTTCTTTAAAGAACCCTTTCTACTACCTAAAGAACTATTTCTATTTTTCAGATTTTTTTCTTTATTTAATCTTGGCATTCAAATAATACGTAAAGATAATCGTAGACTTAAATTACATAAAAAATATTTTAATAACTTTAAATTAAATAAATATATATACAAATAGACACATATATAAATAATTAATATAAATCTTTTATTCCAATTAAACAATTTTTTAAAGTAATATAAAATAACAAATATTAAATCAAAAATTTACAAAAACCAAATCTAAAAAAATAATATATAAAATACACGTTTATAATAAAAATGCATTCTAACCATATTTTAAATATTCCTTTTTCTAAAAAAGTATAAAACTAGATTTTTCAAATCGTTATTTTATAAATCAAAATATAAAAATCTAAAAACATTTTTTATTTTATAATATAAACCATTTATATGAAAGACTATCTATTACCCAAACACCTTGAATTACCATTTAAAGCAAAACCTATTTACTAGTCTTCTAAAGGGCAAAATTCTTAAAAATTATTTAATCTTTTAAAATGATTTTTTAAATAAAATTAGTAAATATATGTTTAATTCAATATATAAAAAATATAATACTCAATAAAGCATTAAATCCAAAACAATAATAAATAAATATCTTCCAAATAGAAAACACAATACCATCAAATTATACAAAACTCGTATAAAACATAGAACAGTTATTTTAACAATAAGTACAAAGAATTCACACCAAGACCCCCATAATATTTTGATCTAAATGCTACTCAAACGAAAAACTGTGCATTAAATAGATGCCTTTTATTCTAGAATGCGTATAAATCAGCATTTGTGTATTTGAGTAATAATATAAAATCGAGTAGCCCCCAATTAACTACTCCATCTCCCCAACACATCAAATGACTAAAACACATTTTTAACCCACGAGAATAACTACGCTTAAGTAAAGGATAGAACCCGAAAATATAAAAATCTCTCAAGATGTACTAAAACAGGCTACACTGACTTGAGAAAAAATGATTCAGTGGAAAATAAACACCATAAATCACTCCAACTTCATCCAAATAAAAGTCTGGTGAATGCATTGGTGTTATCAAAAGAATAATCTAGAGCTGGAAAACATGATTTATAATAATATAATGGAGAAGCAGCTGAACATGATGAATTTAGTCTCAATCGCTCCGAAAAGCGGTGTTTCAAGAAATCATCATATAAAAGAGACTGTAATACGATTAAAACTCGTTACCTATAGTTCGAGAACATACTGATCCATTTTGCTGCTCATCTAAACAATTACGCTGTAAACAAGAATGAGAGGAAACACTTTCGTTCGAAGCATGGATCTCAGATGAGTTTCTTTTTTCAAGCTGCTGAAAAGCAGCAGCAGCCAAAACATGCATATCATCAAGTGGTACAGGCATCAGCTGTGAATGCATTACAGGTGCTTTCTGAGGAGCACTGGACCCATAAACACATCCACCGGAGCACGCTGGAATATGTGCAGGCGACATAACATTAGCATAAGGTAATCCTGGAAAAGCATATTGCTGATACCCCTGAACAGGAGAAACAATAGGCCTCCGAACACCATATGCAGCAGGATTAGTATGCATAAATTGCATATGTTCCCGCTTAGCATGCAAATTAGCATGAATCCTTGCATGCCGAGTCAACTCATCCGATCTACTAAATCTCTTTGCACAGCCAGGGAACGTACATGCATGAGGCTTCTCTCCAGTATGTGTTCGAATATGGCGAGTCTGATGTTCCAAACGGTAAAACGCCTTCGGACAAAAAGGACATTCATAAGGACGATGTGCCTTGGAAGCATTTTCTTTTCCAGAAGATTTTGTAGTACTTTTTGTATGTAAATCCTTAATTGCCATGTTCTTAAACCAGAAAATATACGCGCACCAAACTTAAAAATCTAATTTACCGCAACTCCTAGATAAAAATACCCAATTATTCCAAACCAATGCCAAAAATACACTAGTTGATATAATTGAAAAACCGTTACAAATAATAACACAATACTCTACGGTTTTTCCTTCGAATAAATGGTTTAGTATTCAAATGAGCTAATATATCAAGACCGCCAATGGAGCACTAGAGATAAAGCAAAATAGGCGCAAATAAACTAATTAATATTTGCAAAACTGTTTATACAGATACTCAATCAATCTAGGTCCAAGAACTGAGGCGAATCAGCACCAAAACCATATAAATATCGAAGAACTCGGAAAATAAAACGATAATTACAAAGAAAATTAAAGGATCGACTCAACGTAATGAAAATGAGACGCAATATATCGGCAGTAACACCGAATTCAATAAATCAAAAGTAATTAACACTAAAAAAATTAATCCGCCGTTAAAAAATATAAAAATTACCGTTCACGTGTAAAATAACCAGTTAAATGTAGAAATTAATCACCAAAGGTCAAAAATACATATAATTCAAGAGAATAGCCTCTCTAGACAAATCTATAGATGTACAACAAATGTACCAATAACAAATACTGAATGTTAAATATTATATATATCAACCACAATCAATATAAAAGGAAAAAATGCTCAAGATATATCCACTAAAGCCAAAATACTGTCCTACCCATACTTGTAGAGCAAAACTCAAACTTCCCGTGTATTAAACCAAGCCTGATAATAGTGTTTTCGTCAAAAAAAAGTACAGAAACACAAAGCAGGCAAGACCCTAATACACTTTTTAAATATAAATAATTTCTACATACTCCATGCCACGTTAGATATATAGCCATCCTAGCTAAAGTTCTATACAGCATCTGGTAACAACCTTAATTAGTACAAAGTGCCTATATCTTAAAATCGTTAACGACTCAACCTAATACAGTCTAGCGATAATATCTGCCAGCGGGAACCGCATTTTAAATATAAACAGAACAGGACAAAACGAAGGAAAAGCTAACTAATTTTATATCTTTATACAATAAACAATCTAAACGTGTAAATAACAAAAATTTTATCAAGTAAAACACCAAGAAAGAAAACGCCTATTCACTGCGGAGAAAGAAAAAGATAAAATAAGCGTTTCTACCAGCAATTTACATGCCATCCCTTACTTAGTATAAAGATCAGACCAAACGACATTTAACCCAATAAGCTATTTTTTGTAAACAAAGGATACTTTAAAAAACCGCTCTTTTTCCACAGCCCCTAACACTTACAAATATCGGTCTATATTAACAACAGAAACAGTCGCTCCGAAGATCATTTGAAAAAAATATTAAAAATATTTTCCAAATCGATTATAAATATCTAAAAGAGTTTAGAAGTAATTCATATATGTTTTTCTATTTATCCGTTTAAGTTTAAACGTCTATAAACATACGGATGTTAAATAAAATACACCTCAAAAGCCATTCACATCTATAACATTATAAGATCTTATCAAAAATAAAATAAAAATGTATAGAAATGAATATCTCTTTAAACAAAGATGAAAAATAAATACAAAAAAAATAATCCGTTTTTAATTTTTTTTCATTCTGTATATAAAAATTAATGAATATCTATCATCAAGAACACAACTAAAATTATATAACGTATTTAACAATAATAATTTTCAATAAGCAAAAGCCACTGCTCAGGTTTTCTGAACAGCATTTATTTAGAACTTGTAAAAATATATAAAACTATACATTATTTTCAATGCTTTCATAATAGTTATCTATTATTTTTTTAAAATTTTATTTAATATATTTTTTGTTCAATTTTAAAAATACAAATGTCTTCGCCTCATGTTTATCTTTCTTCTTTATATCGTAAGTCACTTTATTTTCATAGTTCAGCTTACCAGAAACATGACGTTACATAGATAGATTGCCAACTACATCTGCATTTGATGCTTTAACATCAGACAACACTTTATCATTTATTAGTTCATCAATATCAGAATTGGATAAAATTTTTGGAGGAAATGGTTTCAGAACAGGACAAATCACAGAAATATCAGGCCCACCTGGTTCGGGAAAAACAACAATGGCGTTTGATCTACTTTTTTTATATTCTAAACATTTAATATACATATAGATTACAAGCAACTATCAACTGTCTTAAAAAAAGAGAAAAAATACTATGGATAGGTATAATCTTTTTTTTGATATAGTTAAGTCTTATTAAATTAAGAAACCTTTCAACCATTTCCAATGAATTCTTTAAAAAGAATCATGATGCTAAATAAAAAAACTAAAAAAACAACATCTATTGATAATACATATGAAGATATTGATCCACTTAACTATTTAACTATTCTTCATGCACCATCTCTTAGCAATCTTATAGCACTCTTCTTACATAGTTATAATACAGAATCAAGAGATTTGACTCAACAAAAAAAATTGATCGTCATAGACGACATAGCTACACCCATTATTGCAGCTTTTCCAGCTGATAATTTCGAGAATCAATCTCGAAATACAACATATGATATAGCTCAATTAAAAAAATCACAAATTCTGGCAAACCTTCTAGTATCATTCAATAGAATAGCTGCAAAAAATAATGCCAGTGTAAATATTTTGCTTTTAACTATTAAATAATTAATGTCATTTTAGATATTAGTTTTATCTAAAATGGTTATAAAAATAAACATTCTAAATGGAAGAGAATGTCCTATCTTATCATCACCTTTAAGTAATTTATCTTTTTTTATTTTTAATAACTAAATCTATTTGAAGGCCCAGTATGGTCTCAGAATTGCCCGAATAGAATATTATTGTTACGTAAAAATATTATTTTTGAAAACACTAATAATTCGTGGAATAATACTCAAGTACGTTTCATTTCTATTCAAAAAGTTAGCGGTGTTACAATAAATTCTAATACTTTAATACCATTTATCATTACTGTAAAATTCCACCAAAAATACCAAATTTTTAATCATAATCAGGACAAAGGAATTCATGATATAACAAATAATTCAAATGATATATTAAATAATCATGATCAAATTGAATTTAAAAATAAAACAAAAAATACAAATGAAAATGAATATAATAAGTATAATTAAAACTCTAACAGTATTATTTATGTTGACTAAAAGCAAATTGTTTTAAAAATACTCATTACTATTTTCATTAAAAACCAATAACTTTAGCAGAAAAAACAATAAAAATTCCCATATAATTAATTACTAACTAATATATGTTCTAAAAATAACTCAAATATACTTTCAAATACATCGAAAATTCTCTCAAATACTAAAAAAGTTACTAAAAAGATTATAATTCTTATAATAAATACATGAAGTTTCTTTCAATTGTCTTGAAGCATATTTCAAATCCAAACAATTTGCTGATTTTTCGCATAACGACAAATATTCTTTAGTAGCCCTTTTAGCAACACCTGCAATATCGTCATCGACTTTATACAAATCACACTTTGTACATTCAGTACATTTTTTTCCAGGAACAGGACGGAAATGATCACAAAAATGCGCATAAGACTCCTTCTTAATATTTTTCCTACAAATATAACTAAAAAATAAGAAAATATTCTAATATCAGATCCATAGAATTACCATATTACATACCCACATTGACAAACGAGCTTATTACATCCATCTGATTTAACAAAACTTAAATTACAATCAGGACACTTAAAATATCAGAACTATCAATTAAAATTTATAAAGTATTACCGTCCTTTTTACAGCATTAGCCATTTCCTTTTCAACATAAAGACGAAGACCATCCAATTCTTTCTCAAAACATTTATGTAAAGGCAACCATTCTTTTTCACATTGATAACAACTATATTTTCCACAATAATCAACATTTTTACATTTGAATAAACAACCGCTTTTTTTACATAATATACGATATGCAACTTTATCAATCCATTTCCTTAAAAATATCGATGAATTATTAAAAATATAAAAAAACCCACCCAAATAAACCAAAGTACCAATTATAAAACTAGAAATACTTATAAAAGATGAAAAAAGTATCAACAACATTATAAACAACCCCATTATAGATATCGAAATAATTTTTTTCCAACAAGATTTAATTTTCCAACCTTCAATAAATTCAACATATCCACAAAATGGACATGCAATAAAACTCCCATCAAAAGAATCACGAATAGATTTACGTGCCATAGAATCTTCATAAGCTTTAAGTAAATCAGCAGACAAAGAAATCTCCAAAATTTCTTTAGAATAAAATCCAGTACATAATGTTTCAGGCTGTGAAGAAATACATCTTATTTGAGATTTCTCTCTAAGATTTCCTTGACCATAAATACCTTCTTGAACAGTTCTTTCAAGACATTTTCTACAAACAATATGTCCTTCAGAACAATACGCTAATGTCTCCCATGCATACTCAGAAAAACAACAACCACATTCTATTAAAATCCCTAACTCAAAATTTTCTTTCCAATTCAGCTGTACCGCAAACTCAAAATCTTTTTTTATTAACTCATCTCTTTGATTTTTTTCTAAATCAAAAATTTCTCGAGCTAATTCGTCACAAATAACATGATTCCCTTTTGAAGATATTTTCTTTACAAAAAAATTCAATGGTTTCCAGAAACTCTCACTTTGTATTCTAGATAAACTAGTTTTACTCCTATAATAATCATTATTATTTTCTGCCATTACAGCCTTAATGGTAGAAGAAGGTATATCAGGAAATTCAGAAATAAGCTGAGACTTAACAGAAGAAATATATTCATTCGAACGGAATCTTTGCCAAGGCTCAATCTTCCCAATTACTAAACGTGATGCGCCATTTGATTCAATATCTATATTTAATAAAGATTCAATACATTTCAAGAAATATGTGTCATCCTTTCGAATTATTTCATTTCTAAGAAACTCTGTATCAATATTTGGAAACATTTGATTTAGAATATCTAATTTCGCATTCTTCTTTTCATCTTCACGTGTATACATCCATGGATCTTTCTAACATATTTTTAGCAAATAAAAATAAGAATAATATAAAAACCTTAGGATACTGCTCATAACAATGAAATATAATTTTTAACGTTGATCTTTGAACAGCATCTTCCTCATAATAAGCAAGACATTCAGCTAAATATAATGGATCCGCATCGGGGAAAATTGACTCAAGCTGTAATAATTCAAAATCATTCTTAGAATGCTTTAAAAATCCAGACTTTCTACAAATTTTCCTACTAATAAAATTGTCCTTCTGCATATTTATATCTAACAATGCATTACCAAAAAATAAAAAAAAGATTCATAGCTAACTTTCGATACAGGTTAGAAAAATATAATGAAATAGATTATATAGATAAAATTCACATAATAATAATACAATAATATAATACATTCAACATCTAATACATTAAATACCATTTAACATTCTTGAATTAAGTCCCATTTCAGTGCTAATATTTGAGGTAAAAGGTGTAAACCGATCTTCCAAAGCATCATAAATTAAAAGGAATTCCTTCTAAATAATGTAAAAAAGAATATAAAAAAATAAAAATACAAACCTTTAGCTTTTCCCATAACATATAATCAAAAAAAATATATTGACCTCTTTCATATTGAGATGTTCTTTGAATAGGTTCTACACCAGGTTCTTTTGTAAGCCATAACTTTAACTCTTTGTGGTATCTCCAATTCCTATTTGTACTATAATAATCAATCTTTTTACAATACAAAAAACAAAAATCCTACAGTTCTTGAGCAGCAGCTTCTTGCATCGCATCTCTAGGCATACTATAAAATATATAAAAAAGAGTTTCATCTGAAAAATTACGAATTTTAGACAAAGCAGGAGGCGCAAGTTGAACATTATAACATGCAGGGAGATAAAATTTTGGCTCAATCCAAACTTTTGTTGCATTAGAATCTATCCAAGGAGACAAAAATGACGTGCATAAAAGCCGATCGCTAAAAATAAATGAGCATATAAGATAACTGATTCTCCATAGTCCTTACTCAGGTTGATTAAAATTTAAACCTAAAGTTGTCAAATCAGTTCCCAATGCCAACGTATTCAAATCAGGATTCTCCATTCTAAAAATATTTAAAAGACCTTTTAAAGAAAATTTTTCAACAGGTGTTAACGATGTAGACGGTTGTTCAATAGATAAACCTTTTGACTCTATAGTAGAGGTGTTTGGTGGAATATCAGAAGTCGATAAGGAAAGTAATGCATTAGCGGCAGAATTAACAGAAGAATGAGGATCAGAAGATAACTCTAAATTCGCCTTTTGTATATTCTATAACAAAAAATCAGTTTTTAGATGAAAGAATATCTTTAAACCATTTTTTCTTGCTCAGTAGCAAGATTATATGATTGAACATCAGGTTTTAAAATTGAAATAAAATTATCTTTAAAAATATTAAAAAAATCATAAAATAAGACTCAATATAACCTTTAAGCATATCTGAAGAAACAGTATTCTGTCTAGCATTTTTCCTTGTCTTTTGTAGTAGTCCAGAGCTATCTGTCATAATTGATAGAAGAGATGATCGGTTAGGAGATAACACAGATTGAGTTGTATTTTGCTGTTTTATTACAGGAGATAAAGTAGAAGAATATGCATCTGAATATGAATTCTCAATACTAGAGCTATTAGACTGTTGTCCCAATTTCATCATATCAATCCCAGAGGTAATAGATGAAAAATCATCTTGATTATTAGAAAAACCATTCGTATTTAATTTTAACAAAGGACGAGCAAGCAATGCTTGGGGCTTCTGATGTTCACTAGCAGCAGAGAACGCATACTCAGAATACTGATTAGGAGTATGTGCTAATGAAGCGTTTGAAGATGAGCCCAGAGCTGGAAAATCCGAAGGATCTAAAGGAGACACCTGGCCTACCAAATTTCCAGAAGATATAGGCTGAGAAACAACTGTAGGAGAACGAGATGGATGAGGCGCATCTACAAACTTAGGAGACGAAGATTGAGAAGGCAGCACTTGAAACGTAGCCGCTGGATTAAGAGTCCATGACGATCCTAAAACATATTAATAAGAAAAAAAAACAACAAAACATTTAACCAGAAGAAACCCTCCCTTTAGATATCCTACTTTGATTGTTCACAGAAATAGATGTTATCTTTCTTGAAATATTTGGGTTTGAAGGATATCCCAAAGACGGTCGGATTTGTTGACTGATACCTTCAAAACCCAATAAATTTCTAATACTTTCATGACAATCTTACCATGCCTATTCATTTTAAAAATACTGATGTTATCTAAGTGTAGTCCAGTGAATATAAAAAATGACGTTCTTAATCCACCTTTTAAATACGTTCAAAAACAGAAAGATTCGATTTTAAAATATATTTTAGACAAAAAATACAAATCAAAAATACATACAGAACAATTGAAAACTTATAAAAAATGGTAGAAAATCCAAAAGACTCTTCTAATACACTCAAAACTAATAAACACTTATAAAATCAAAGCAACTAAAGTTGAAAAACAAGAAAATTTAAAATTAATAAAAAATACATCAAATCATATTATATATATTAAATCAATAATACATTATAAGCCCCCATTAATAGATAAAAAATATTATAAAATCATAAAACTGCACAAAATCTTTAAACCTATCTTTAAATCATAAAATAACCAACACTACCCAGCAAAATCATAAAAATACCAACCCACCAGACATAATCAGGATCAGGAATTCTAAAAAAAATATGACTCTGAAAAGATCGTTTGTAATTTTTTTGAGAAACAGAATTAAACACAACAGTGGGAAGCATCTGAGGAGGAAAATAAGCAAGATATAGTGGCTGTACAGGTGTTCCATCAAATTGATAAAGTTGAAGTTTGTATCCTTTATAATACTGATCAACCACTATATCAAATTTCTATATTTCATTTTTAAAGAACCAACAAATAATACACAGCACTTACGATTATCAATTCTCTAACACTAAACCGAGTATAACGAGAAGTCATACCTAAACACGGGTTGGATAATATCTGTCGGCCATCATTTGGAAAAGGATTCAACAAAAGTGAACCATTGTCAAGCTTTTGAAACGTTCCATGTTGCCATTGCAAAACGGAAATAGAACATTCAGGAGTAGTAGCTAAAAACACATGTAAGTACCAATGGATTAAAAAACATCCAATTACGGTTACTACTAACTCGGTAAAGAGATTCTTCAAAATACCCATCATCAGTAAAACTATACGAAATACCAGTTAACTTCGGAGGAAACATTTTATCTTCAACAGGATCATAAAACCCCTATCAGCATTGTAAGGAAATCAAAAAAAAATTACACTATTTATACAGGCCCAGTAAACACGCTCCTGCTCTTTGATGTCCATGTCCCAGTTAAGCTTCTTTCTTGTAAACAACATCCTGTCATAAATAAAGCTAAAGATATATATAATAAATATATAACAATCCTCATAACATGTAAAGTATTTAAGCAAAACAATGCTTATACAAACTCTAATAAAACATCTAGATATCAATAATGTTTATCCAATTTTTAATATCGTAAACCGATCGTGAAAAAAAATATTAAAACCTTAGTATCTATAAAGAATCAAAAAATATATGTCCTTTCCAATCCAACCGTATTATTAGAGACAATAAAGAAACTGTTTCTGTTTTTGCAAAATAATTACATGTATCCAATAGAATTTTTAAATGATGAGAAAAATTCTCCTCATATTTATGTAATATGTCATAAAGTTTTTTCATTCTTGTAAAGTCAATTTGAGAGCTACCAGAACCATCACCATCTATAGAAGCCAGTGACCGAGTCAAGTATTTTGTATTAGATGCAAACATAGTACATGTTGTCATTAACTTTGCCTGAACCTACTCAGAAATAAGAATCTATCGAATATAATAACAAAAAACTTACACGAAGTAACTTAGAATTTGTTAACATACATTCTTTTAAACATGCATCAAGAAAATCGATATGATCTTGCATAAGTTGATCAACTGTTGATATTTTTGAAAGTCTTGCTTGAAAAATTAACCAATTAGGCTCTATAACCTCATTTGTACAATAATAAAAAAGTTGTTGAACAAAATTAAGCATCTTCGAACGCAAAACCCAAACACGATTCTTCCAATTTCCAACTTGTTCATAAGAAGAATTTTTTTTCCAAAACATATTTTTAGAGTGATCCAGCCATGCTAAACCCAACAATTGTTCAAGGTACTTTAAGCTTAGTATATGTCTAAAAATAAGTTGGTAACGTAAAACAGCCTTACGAGAAATAATAAGTGAAAGCGGAAAAGGTACGGTATAGTCAAATTGGAGCCCGTTGAAACCTAAAATCGAATAAACTTAATAATTTAGCATTTAAAACAATTTACCGATAAAATCTTTATCTTTTTTTTCCGTACCATATATTTGATTTTCATGAACATCTATACATATTGTTCCATTTGCAATTGCATCTTCATCTATACCACTTACACTCACAATCCGCATAAGCCAATCAACTAGACCAATATTACTCATTTGAATTTTAATATCTTCTTTAAAAGGATCATTAGCAGCTACACTTCCGGGAATTCTAATAGAGATTTCTAATAAACTTTGAAGTTTTGTTAAAGAAATATCTTTAACAGGTTTTTTTAACTCATGTGACGCTAAATCAAGAAAATGAGTAAAAAAATCAGATCTATCAAGAAAGAAATAATGTTTTAAAGACTGAAGACGACTAGATAAATTATGAGTTGTAAGTAATAAATCAAGCAAAAATGCATCAGCATGATCATATGCAGCATTAACGTTATCTAAAAACCTACAGACAATTAGCTTTTATTTAATAATAGTTAACTATAAATAACGCTATATCATCAAATGTCAAAGGAATATTATCAGCCAATTCTTTAGATATATCTATTCCACCACATTCTCTAACAACATTCAAATATTTCCCAGCAATCAACACTTTCATTTTAACAGATTCCAACTGAGACGGCACTTCATTATCCCTAATTGTATATCTCTTTTCCCAATATTCATCAATATAATCATCTTCAAGTCTATCTTTTTTAATACTTTTCTGTTCTCTAATCATAAACTCAGAATAAGGATCAGAAATCTCCCCACGATGCAGCCATGAATTAAGCATCTTCATATATGGTTTAGATGCTTCTTTTAATAAGCATTCTAAAAGCTTTTTTGCATGAGGATCACCCGATAAAGACAAAAGACGATTTGTTATTACTTCAAGCACAGCTCCACCTTTACATATTCTTGAACCAACAATATTAGTAATACTTTTATCCTGAATAGAATGCAAAAACAATTCAACATCCTCAATACTGTCTTCACTATTTTCCTCTTCAAGAACACATCCTTTTTTCAATATATCATGAATTAGTGCTTGCATTTGAAATAACGATTGGGAAGTAGCATGCATATGGAGATGAAACATATGTATTGTAAAAGAGGGATTAGTATTAAATTGGTATTCTAGTTGAGCAATCAAAGTAAAATAACCCTTTGTTTATAAATAATACAAAACATAATATTTTCATCACAAACATACCTTCAACAACTTTCTAACAGTTGCAGATAATGCATGATTAACCAGTCCACATTCCGGCCTACTATATATCTCAATAAAAGCATCAATACTAATATAACACCCAGCATTCTTCAAAATCATTTTTATTAAGTCTAAAAGACTAGGATCTTAAAATATCAACGACTAAAACATTTTATATACACCAATTACCTACTCCATTTGTTATTTTAAATTTCACGCCTGCTAACCGCCTATTCTGATCATACCGATCATCATCACTTTGATATCGTATAAACCTCCCTTCTACACCCTACATTATTAGCTTTATATTTATAATCATCATATACAAAACCATCAAGACTGACAATATATCATCCATAATGTACACTTCCTGTAAATTCGGAGGAACTCCTTCAAGAGAAACCAGTGAAACAGAGTCCCACGACATCACAACTTGCCTTGCAAGAGGTGCCATAGTATTTAATACCCAATTTACTTCATATGCTAATATTATAATCAACATTAAAAGATTTATAGAAAACAAAAGATATACATGATTTATCTTTTTTTGAAGAAAACAAAGCATACCCATGCCCTTCATTATGAAACTAAAAATACATATTAAATTACAAACAATAAAAAAAACAACAATATACATGTTCTGTATCACTCTTCTCATTGTGTTGAGCAGATCCTTCTGAAGCCTCTAAAATTGCCATTGAATCATGAAGAATATAATTAGAACGCCATTCTGACGATAAAACACTATCTATAGACGGTTTTGACGGTAAATCTTGCGGATAACTTGGTGAATTTCCTGTCAACGACGTAGATCGTCTCATCAATTACGGCAACGTTAACAAAAAAATAATGGGATAATTAAATATTTATATAATTATATATATATATATATATAGAAAAATAGTAAAACACAATACAGCACGAAAACAAGGCTGTTAGTAAATTTCCATCAAAAAAAGATTATTTGCGTGCCCGCTTAGTGTCATCTGTAAATTATAAGTAAAAATAAGAAACAAACAAAAAAAAATGCCTCGAGCTGCTTTCTTTTCAAGTTCATCCCAATCCTCTGCATCACTAACATCCTCTTCTTCAAAATTCGATTCCTCATCTGATGCATTCTCATCATATTCTGATTCTTCTTCACTCTCCTCATCTTCAGAAGCAGTAAATTCACTGCCCTCTTCTTCACTTTCAGCACTCTCTTCATCGGATTCATTATTCACTAGTTTAAAATTATCAAAAAATAGACATATATATAAAAAAAATTACAAAATGCCCATCCACCTTCTTCAAAAAATGCCAGTGGATCATCATTAATAGTCTTCATAATTGTTGCCCAATTAAGATTTAAAACACCTTCTGTATATACGATATCAACAGAACTAATCATCAGACAAAAAACTATAAAAAAGGACAACTCACTCTAACCAATCCTTTACATTATCCAATTGACTCATTGGAATAGTATTAATATGAGCAGGAGATCGACGAAAATCCTTAAAAACAAAAACCTAGAAACCAAATAAGTCCAATCTTAAATAAATTATAAAAAAATACAAGATCAAAATTCTTCAGCCATCATTAGTCAATATATAATTTTTCATATCATCTTTTTACCTTAAGACCGAACTGTACTCTTTCTAAATGAGCAATTTCTATATCTGAAAGTGTTATAACTAAAAAAGGAGGATCAGTAAGATGAACTAAACATTCGGTTGTCGGTTGCAAAAGAACATTGCTTCGAAACGGAACACCAGTAAAACCAAGCTCGCGTACAGGAATATCAACATCTGTCTCACCTTCATTCTAAAAAACAATAAATAACAAAAAAAAAAATCACAATTTTACTACAGATTCGGATATTTTTTCACTAAAAGCTTTAAACTCTCTATTTAATGCAGCTCTTCTTCGCCGTTCTTCTTGTTCCAATTCTAATTCATCATCATCGCCATATCTATACTTTCTTTTTTTATTTCCAGTTTCATCAAATTGCATATCAGATGCTTCTCGATAAAATTGAATATCTTTAGCTCTTCTTTTACCAACCATAATAGGATTCTTTAAATGAACATGAATCAAAGCGATCAATTCATGATCACAAGGCTGAAAAAAAAGATGTTTAATATTGCTAAAAAGAAGATCAATCTTATGATCAGATCTCAATGGGGACTGATAACGCAATCCATTTTGATGAATCTCCAATTCACCAGGAACACGTTTACCATCTAAAGCAGGACGAACAAATACATCGACTAACTTCGGAGACCTGTGATCTGTAATTATTAGAAATATTTGCCAAAAAATACAAAAAAACACTTTTAATTTCTATTAAATTATCTTGTTCAATAACATCAGCCATTTCTTTACGTTCAGCTTCACGCTTAGCAACATTTTTTTTCATTTCTTGAATTGATGTAAAAATTTCAGATATATGTCGAGCATCAGAACTTCTAAAGGTTAAACTTCTTATAAAACTTGCACTAAGATCATCAAACGGCTACTCCCAATAAAAATAAATCAATTAAGAATTCACGAGAAATACCATATCATCTTTTTTTCCAACACCTTGACCAGGAGTAAGAAAATTAAGTCGTAAATAAACATATTCTCCTTCATCATTTTTACTTGCATTTTTCAATGTTAGTATATGGAAAGGCACAGGCCGACCATAAATCGGAACAATAATACTGCTATTTTTCGTATCAACCACAATTTTAAGACTACTTATAGAAGAAGGCATTTGAGAATCTCTCTTATAAGACTCAAATTTCTTAAGAACAGGCTTTTCTATTCCATTCTGAACCCCATTTCCATTTGAAAAACGACTTAAGCCCTCATCTTGCTTTTTCTGTGCTAGTTCTTTCTGATGCTGTTTCCGTCTCTGCTCAGCAGAATCGTCAACCTTTTAGATTAAGTAAAAAATTCAATAAATACAATTTTATACATCTTTATTTTCTCCTCTGGTTTTTCTTTTCAAAATTGCAGAATTGACAGCAGATGCTTTACGTTTAGGCCTTCTTTTAGATATTGTCTCTTTTTCAGATAATTCATCAGTCTATAATGCTCGAATAATATCAACAATATTTATAAGAACTTACATTATAATAAGATATATCGTTATAAGATTTCGGATTATCTGTATAAACAACAGGAACATCTTTTGTAACTCTTATTGTATCAATTAACAATAAACTATATGTTCTGTTTCTATTATGCTGAGGTTTAGGATTTTCAATACCATTAAATCCAATACTAACATTCAAAGTCATACCATCCTTTAAAACTCTATTATTCTTTGAATTCAAGATCAAGTTTCTATCTTGAAACTCTATTCCAATACCAAAACCAATATTACGAACAAATTTGGACTCAAGTTCAGGGTATTTCACTCGAATCAATCCAACGGCCTTATTGTATACATCTTTAATAACAGCACCATCCTTAATATTTTCAAATACTTTTTTCTGAAGCAATAGCAAAAAATTATAATAAATTTCTTGAGACTAACATTTCCTCAAAAACATAAATAAATCTAAAAAAATTACCTTATTTGGGTCAATCATATATGTTCTTCCAATATTCGAACAATAAGATTTATAACGCAAACCAAGTGAACACAAAATCACATCACCTTGAAGCAAATTATCATCAGAAACAGCTGACGGTCTCAAATCATAGTTTCCAGAACTTTGAATAATTGGGGTATAACACCATTCAAGTTGTTCTGGATCGAACTAACACATAATTAGTTCTTAATAAAATAATAGGTTTTTGTAAACATCAGGGCTTATTTTCATTTCCTTAGATCGCATAAATGTATCATCCTCAAGCGTACGCTCAACCATTTCTGATAAACGTGAATGTGGAACTTTATCATCTTCATCAATAATTGTAGACATCTTATCAACAAAATATGTAGAAATTAGAACAGTACTTGCTTTACACGCCATACGTATACACTTCTATTCATTGATCAATCAATTGCTTCATCTAAATTAAAAACTAAACCAATTCATCATCCTCTTTCACAGACATAACCATCGCAATACCAGAGGAAACATCAACTTCTTCAAATGCCTCAGATTTATAGATAGAACGCCATTCATCTGCAAACTTTCCCTTAAAAACATCTTTTGCCAATACACCCAAACGTTTCTAATAACATTAATATTAAACTATAAATCAAAAAACAACCCCTGATTTTTCCATTGCTTCTATAACCTTTTTCAATATCTCTGTGCTTTCAGGCGCATGTTTTGAACGTCGTAAAATAGTCATCGGAAAACTCTCCACACCCTCTCTTAAAGTCTCCAAAATTGTTGCTGCAACAACAATTACTAAACACGAATATCCTGCAGCATATTTCCATACCCTTCTTATCACTTGCTAAAAAATAAACCATTTCCAATGTCAATAGCATCAACATATCTGGAAATTCATAACCAAGAAGCCAATTCTAACAATATCAAAATATAAAAACAAAAATATAATACTAACATGTAATGAGGAAGTCTTTGAATAGGGGTTGTCTTCATCTAAATTTCCTTGAAGCACTAATAATGAGGAAACCTCAAAAAACACATGGTCTTTAACGTGCAGATAATCCTAAATAAAAATTAATAAGAAAAAAACATAAAAAACAAATGCAACTAAGTTAGCTGCATTACTTCCAAACCTTCCAAAATGCAAGCAATAGACGAATTCTCCGATCAAAAGTCTTAGCATCTAGTCGGATTTCTGCCATCTTCACAACATCATCGTACACGGTAACGGCAATTAAAGAGATGCCAAAAAAAAGAAAGAAAAAAATATACAAGAAATAAGGGACAGGAAGTGAATATAAGACATTATGAACGAAAAATACTGTTATGTTGCATTTCAGAAAGTCTATATGCAAAGATAAGCACTAAAAGACGCAAATCGTCAAAAAATATACTGTAATTTATTCAGTAATAATCAATAAGGGATACAAAGCCTACAGGAATGAATATGTAAGGACATTGCCGACAATACTCATCCCAGTCTTTGCCGTACTTAGCCTTACAACGATGTAAATCCCGCGAAACACGATGAATCAAGACAATAAAGAAGAAAACAGGATAAAAGTACGGTAAAGGACTTGAAAATCCAGTAATCAGGCCCCATGAAAGTGCTTGAATAAAATCAGCCTATGAAATTTAGCCTACCATTAACCCTCGAACAGAAAACCAACAGTATAGTGAATTTTTCTAGCAAACCGATCTTAAAGAAGTCAACATATAAAAGAAAAAGCAAAACATACACCAGCCTGATGTCAACAGTGTGCCCCCATTCGCACATTTAATATAAGTAGGGTTTTCTAGTGTTTGCCAAGGTAACTGAGGAAACGTCTTACGCAACAATAGCTCACCCTGTTGCTGCTGACGGAAACGATTTTTTTGACTAAAGGACAAAAAATATTACGCAAAAATAGATAAAAAACCTTACCTATTACAAGTATCAAAAACATAATAGGAACACAGCAAAGTAACAAAGCAAAAAATATTATAAGCCGTAGACCATTGATACATATAAGGAGAATGATTTGCCAAAAACAAAGTACAATGACAATAGGTAAATGGAACCCCTGCCATATTCCAAAAAATAAGCATGAATCCCCATTTCTCATAAGCCATATCCCTATATAAAAATAAAATAAAGAAAGAGAAAAAAACACCACTATACCATGTTATAACAATCAATTCCTCACCTTTTGCACACGCATTCGCATACAAATAATGAGCAAAAATAACAAAACAAACCTGTGGAGAAATATATCCATAAACCTCATATTGCTTCACACCAACTGCAAGAGAAATAAAAAAAAGGATGAACCAGGGTATACGAACTTCAAAAAACATCTTAAGATCAAGATATTTGCCTATGCGTGGGTTAAGAACAGCACCCATAAACAAATCATAAACAAAACAGCCCGACATGCGATGCTGATTTCCAACAAAAACCCCATAAAAATAAGCAACAATAGAAACGAGAATTCCTGATAATATAGAAACAGATAAAAGCGGTCCAAACTCCGTCACCAACGTATACATATCAAATATACCCGAAACATGAAGTACAACCATTCCTATAAGTGAAGCATAAAAAGACCATGCCGCATTACAAAAATACGTTAATCTTTCCTGATTCCTATGTGATAACGGCAACCCCTTCGAATATACCCCTGGTAACGTCACTGCCAAGAGTGCTTGCACCAGCAAAAAAGCCCAATATATAATCCATGCACGAACATGAGGAAACGCCCCTTCTACAACATGTCCTACCATTCGACACAAAAAACCCCAGTATGATTCTCCCTTTGTTCGCCATACTAATTGACTGTCGTAAAACGCAGAACAAATCCACATATAATACATTAAACATGGGAAAAAAAGCATTATAAATGCCACTCCTATTGGTCCTCCAAACTCATAATACTGAAACATATCCATTTCTAAACTACGCTGGCGTGCACGAGATGTAGACCGTGTTACACGCTGTGTTTCTATATCTACTTTAAAGGGCCGCCTTGACCGTGAAGTTTTTGGACTTTGCTGACGCAAAGCTGTTGATGAGCGCGTCTTTACTGGTGTTTTTGCGCTTTGTGAGCGTGTTTCAACCATGATTAGACTGCAGGGACCTTTAAATGCTTAAATATACACCCAATGCAAAAATATGTATGCCCAATGCACGTTATATGCGCAAATACGCAAAATTATATGCGCTTTATATGCGCTTTATATACACTCTACCTGTGCCTTACAATGCACACTACTAAAACAACCCGCGTAAGCCGTCAATAGCAACCCGATCGGCTTCACAGACATGTAGAGGGTTAGGGTTAGAGGAACAAGTGTTGGCCGTGGTTATTGAAGAACCGACAGTAATAGACGAGCTATATAGAAATTACAGAAATATTAAAATGTGTAAATAGGGAATTAAGGAATTATACAAAAAAATGATAGACTATATAAACCATAATACAAAGTAGAAAAAAGTATATATAAATAAAGAGATATAAAGCCAAAATATAATGGCAATGATAAGGATGATGTAGAGGATTTAAGCCTAATGTAAATAATGAAGGCAATAAAGTGTAGATTATATAAAAATAAGAGTTATGCAACAAAACAATGAAAATAAAAATGAACACAAAAATTAAATCTGAAAAAAACCGTGAAAAATGGAAAAGTCTTTAGTCATGTAGATAGAAAAAAATACAATCAATGTAAAAATCCATCCTGAAACGGAGACACATTAGAATGCTAAATAAAGATTTCAAAAATATTCAAAAAAACTGTATAAAAATTGCCTGATATATTTTCAAAATCATCTTAAAGCAGTTAGAGAGCCGTTAAAAATAATAGAGCCCTTGATAAATCGTTTGAACATGATGAACATCTAGCAAAAATACTACAACTCAAACATTGTCTTTAATAACCCGCAAAAACAATACACTATGATGCACTAAAAGATACTATGTTGTAGAAAAATATACAAAACATAATAGTATTTTCCAGAAAAAACCAGTTTAAGTCAAAAAACCCAAAATCAAGAAGTAATATACAAAGATATTAATGATTGAATGTAAAATAAAATGTTAGATGACTTAAAAATAAATACCTAAAAAACCAAAATTACAAAGAATATTCAATAACTAGTAATACACAAAATGAAAAAATAAACCATAAATCATGAACGGAGGTAAAAAAGAAGATAAGCAAATCGATTAGGCAGTTCAGATGATGACGGGATAACGTGTTCTGGAAGAATATATGAGATATGGGTATCATCTACACGAATCCAAGACAGAGTATCTTGACGGAGATCGACTGTATAGTGACCACCAGAAGCAGACATCCCATGATGATATACAACTAAAAAAAAAATCAAAACAAGTACAAGTATAGGATAGAAAAATTACCAGCAAAAAGAACGAATTTCATATTTTTCTCAAAACGACGATGAGGACTCATAACAGTTGGAGGAATTTCAAATTGTAGAGGATAATGAACATTTTTATAAGATTTCTGAGTACCACCAACGTTATCATAAACAAAACGTTTAAGATGGAGAATAAGAACTTGCGGTAATGTCTCAATGAAAACTTGCTTTGTTGCTTTTAGTTTTTCACCTAAAGATGAATGCCAGTCTCCATTAAGAACTTCTGGTTGTGTAATATTCTGAAGTGCTTCTTCTATGGAATCTATATGAAAAGGCTCAATATCAAGTTGTAAAGATCGGTAAGGCTCAAGAGTAATCGATGGTTTCATTCCAGATACACGCAAAATAGAACGAAAATTCCCAGTAAAAATGGGGGTTAATGGAGATTCAGATACATTTGCCTAAACATAGTCAAAATAAAAAGACCAATTTCCAAAAGATATGCAAATACCGATCGCATAATACTTGTTTTCTGCTTTGGACCTACTTCGACCCATTCATTGTCATTTTTGTCTTGAGAATGATCTGAAAAATCGGTAAAATTCATACAATTCATACGATTGAGCGTGCAAATACTAGAAATAACAGGATCTGATTTCATTTTATCAAGAAATTCCTCATGAAGTGCATCAAGCAAAAGCCCTAAAAACTCTTCTGCATCTTCTTGATGTCCTCTCTAAAAACCGTAGTAAGATAACCCATAAAACAAACAATATAAATCAACAAACCCTCATCGAATCAAACAGTTTGTTTCCTCGCATAGCTATATAAACATATTCTGGAATAAAAGGTTCTCCAAACTCCTCGATGTTTTGTTTTTTTGCTTGAGAAGTACCATTTAAAACAGGTTGGGTTATAACTGAAAACTCACGAATAAAAGAAATCCTATTAAAATTATTAACATAAAATTAAACTTAAACTGAACCATCTTACAATGCATTTATCAAAGATACATCATTAACAGAACTATTTACCATTTTTTTACTAATTTCATCCAATAAATTATAAAAGGGAGGACAAAAAGCCAAAACTTGAAGAATCTTATAATGTTGTCATTGAATACCCATAAAAACATATAATACAAACCACATTCATAAAACAAACGTTACCTGTATTAATGAGACCACGCGGCTGAAGAACATAATGCTTTTTCTCAGGACTCAACTTAATTGCATCAAATGCTTGATTCAAACCGTTTACCACTGTATCGGAAGCAATGGGAGAAACAGATTTAGATGGAAGTACAGCCGCATAAGATGATCCATGACCTTTAAGCAAATCTGACCATGATCTTGGAGCAGTACGGGATTGTGGAACAGAAACATCACTTTCTAAAACCTCTTCATCTACAAGTACTTGATTTAACGGTGAAATTTCGTTTGATTCCACCAATGTCTCAATTTGAGTTTTTTTTTCAGAAACAGGTGCTGTCTGAGCTTGATTATTGAAAAGCTGTTTCTGGATTTCCTCGCACTTTAAACACTTGTACTTCCTACGAGGAAAAGGTTTATCTGGAGCCGAGTACCATGGAAGCTGATAATTCGTTAATAGAATATCTTTAAAAAAAAGATTTTTTTCTCAGAAAAAAAACTTACCACAGGAACATGTCTTTGAGGATATCCGTTTATTTGTTTTAGATCACTTTGGGACTCATCAAAGTCTTGTTCGCCCATTTTTTCCAAAAACCTCGTTTCACTTTTTTTTATACGTTCTATATGTCCGTTTTTTAACCTAAATTAACCTACATTTTACGTCATTATTTAACTCAGATAAATTATAAATCTATAGACTTATAAAAAGTATTTTAAACAGAAATAAACCATAAAACACTTAAAACTCAAGGTAAAATATATTATTTTTTCCAAATTAAATAACATTTAATGAACATAAGAATAAGTAAATTTATTTTAAAAATCATCTCACAATAACTACATTTGAGTGCTTTTCTCAAATAAAATATTAGTTTACTTATTATTTTTTCCAAACAGACCTTAACTATATCTTACCCTGTCTTTAAAGGATTCATTTAAAAAACAAAATTAAAGATTTAAACAACTTTTATACCTAGACCTTTTTCAATTAAGTGAATGTTTAATTCACTTAATGAAAGCAAAACTGTATTATTGAGCCTTTGAAAGGAATATAAGTACTCTTGAAAAAAATATTTATCATTTAACCAACTTTTTAACAATATGGACATCAAAAATCATGAAATCACGAAAAATCACATTAAAAAATGGTGCAAAGGTAAGCTATATTTATGACAACACATAATTTCTTAAAAAAGCAAAGAAAATGATGATAGCAAGCAAATTTGTTTTTTACAAAATACAGATAATAACAAAGGTAACAAAAACCAGCCTAAATCATCACACAAAAAACAAAAAACATTTTCTAATAAACTGGAGAAAAAGAAAGATATTTTTTTAGACTATAATGTTAAATCCTTTAATCATCTTGAGAAAATATCACTAACGCATCTATTCAACTTCTCATACCCTCAATTATTTCATACTTCACAAGTAGCAATACATTTAAATTGCAAAAACACAAAAAATCAGCAAAAATCTAGAGACAGTTTTCACTATAAGGGAAAGGAATATTTCATAAATTCTAATTATCGATTTATTGTGAATCCATATGAAGATTATCGTGTACAAACGCTAGATCCCGATATACCTATACCTTGGAAAAACATATTCCAAATACTTATTTCACGACTTGCACAACATAGACCATGTCCAATATGTTTAGATGAAGATCCTATAGCACCACGGATAACAAAATGTGGACATATTTTTTGTTTACACTGTATTATATCTTATTTTGAAAACAAAAATGAAGAAAATGATAAACATATCAAATGGAAAAAATGCCCGATATGCTTTGATGCTATCTATATTCCAGATTTAAAACCTATACGATGGTATGATAATGTTTCGTCAGAATTACCTATTGAAGGGAAGGAAATACTTCTTCGTTTATTTATACACAAACAAGGATATATTTATGCATTTCCATATGAAAATTTCTCAAAAAATACAAGCGAAGGAGTTATTCCATGGTATTTTGAACAAGATGTTATGGATTATTCTCGTATCATGAAAGCATCCGAAGATTATATGATTGGCGAAATAAATCGTGAACTTGAGCAATTAGAAAAAATAAAAAACAATGAAAAAGAACATATAGAATTAGTAGAAGGCTCAATTGATAAAACTATACAATGCATTCAACAATCTATATTATCATTTAAAAAAATGCTGGATGACCATAAAAATCCTTGTACAACACCAATATCGTTGAAACATAAGAGTAATATTGAAGAGCTATCACAAGAAATAAACAAAAAATTGCATATGCAAGACAATACATCGAACAATTCAACCAAACCATCATACGACATACAAAAAACCAATTCATATCTATTTTATCGACCTCAAATAGTCGCACATTATTATTTGTCTATGCTGGATATCAAAATACTTAAAGCGGCATTCGGAGACTACAAATTTTTCCCTCCAAACATTATTGCCAGGGTAGAAAATATATCAACTGGCCATGTTGTAGATAATCCACTGCGAAAGCGAATAAAATATCTTTCCCATTTGCCTTGTGGCTGTGAAGTCTCGTTTCTGGAATGCGATTGGTCAGACGTTATCGACGAATCGATTCTGCACAGGTTCGATAGTGAAATCTGCAAGAGACGGCAAAAGAGAAGAGAAAAAATCATGCAAGAATCAAAATGTGCATATTTCAGAGAAAAAAACTGCCAGCCAAAACCGTGACATACCGTAACATACCGTGACATAGGAACACTCCCTACCTGCCCTCTCCGCCCACCATGCATCTGCGACTTTCTTTGCTGACTTGGCATAACAATGGTTAACTGCTAACGACCAATAAAATACATCTACTCCTAACACCCCAAACCTAACACCCCAAAACTGTCCCAAAACTGCCTCAACCTCACCAAGTATGCACAAAATACACAAAAAGAAACACCGAAGCTTTTATAAAGCTTACAAAGTCAAAACCATGCACTCCAATAAACTCAAACAAACACCGCTGCTGATTCAGCCCATTTCCTGTCCCGGGTATCTCGCCATCACTGCACACACCTCTCCAAACAAAATCACCCAAAACCCCCCAGTATACTCGCTCATGCGCCCCCACCCAACTGCAACCCAATTACACATCCAACCCGCTTCATTAATCCTCATCTCATTAATCCTCATTAATCCGACCAAAAACATGCCATGCACAAACCCTAACCCCAAGAACCCCAAACCCCCGTTAATATAGACCCAAAACGCTGACAAACAAAACAAACCACTCTTCCAAAACCCTATCTCTCCTAACCCTAACTACCCGCCCTTACCCATACCACACCCCGACACCCATACACATACACGTGCACACATACACATACATATTACGTATACACATATACACGCACGCGTACACGCCCATGCACGCAGGGCCCTAGTCCAGCCACCCAACGCGCTCAAACGCCTGCCAGAGCCTGCTTGCCTTATTCACGTCGATCCGCGCACACCTCTGCGCGTCTGTCCGCCGGAACCCAAGCCCTGCCTCCTTCCTTGCATGATACTCTGCAAATATCCGCCGCTTGTTGTCCAAATACACCATTGCTGGTAGCCGCAGTTGCGACGCCAGATACACCTCTGCCGGGTGGAGCTCTCCCACGTGCGGATCGTTTGACAGATCCAGCGGAATCCCCTTCCACTCTGCTCGTAGCGGCCGCGGGTGGTTGATCTTATCGAGGGTCGATGTTGGCGGGCAGAAGTCTGGTAATTCCTCATACGGCGTGTTTGCCACGTCAAACGACTGTGTGTGTGCATAGTGTTCCCGCGACGACTGCTTCAGCTTAGGCACTGCTGGCAACGGCGCCGGCAGTGCTCCTCGCACTGCTGCCCGTGCCCGCGCCCGCCGCACCACCCGTGCCCGCTTACGACCTCTCTCTCCAAGGGCCAGCCACCGCCGTTCGTTCCGCAGCATTGCGCGCGGATCCTGCTTGTACAGGTCAAAGACCCGCGCTACAAACGTCGCTGATCCGCCGATCTGCACTGCAGCCCTCTCTGCTCCACCGGCGCCTGCAGCGGCCGCTGTCTCCAAGTCCCTTGGAGACGGCGGCGGAGACGGGATAAACCCATATATCTGGCGTATGCGCTGATCGCGTGTCTCATGCGCAGCGCCCTGCTCTGCGTGGAGCGTGCGCGGCAGCTCTACCTTGGACCACTGTGAGCCCGGCGGCGCGTGTGTCTCCGGCGGCGAAAGCATACTAAGCGCGTCAGCAAAGGCTATTTTTGTGTGCAGTTTACCTCATCGCCGTGCTCGAGCGGACGGCGCCGGAAATACCCGTTGCCCAACCCTAGCTCGGGCTTAGGGCTCGCCACCCAACACACCCCCCAACGCCCCAACAGCCACGCACCAGCATACCAGCCCAGCAGCACAAATAGCTGCAGCATGCGGCACGCTGCAACTGCATGTGGCGCATGCGATGTATGCGACATATGATTGTAGTTGCACAGCATGGCGTGCATAGCATGGGGTGTGCGCACAGCAGAAAGTGTACATAGTGAAAGTGTACATAGTGTATATGGCAGTATGGCAGACAACATGCAGTGTGTATAGTGTATACTGCTAGACAGCATAGACAGCATAGACAGCATAGACAACATAGATAGTATATATAGTATATATAGCATATATAGCGTATATAGTATGTATAGTATGTATAGTGTATATAGTGTGCAGTGTATGCACAGTGAGTGTGCACGGGGGCGTACAGTGTACAAGTGCATATGGCTGTGTATATGCGGTGTGCAGTGCGTGCAGTGCAGTGTATGGTGTGTATGGTGGTACAGCACGTATAAGTGTATATAGCATATACGGTGTACCGTATGCAGTATGTATATAGTTATAGTGCATGTAATGCATATCGTTACAGTGCATACAGTGCAGTGCATAGAGTGCATAGTGCATATAGTGCAGTGTGCATATACGCGTGTATCTGTATATGAGTGTAATATATGAGTGTATATGTCTATATATGTGTATGCGCGTGTATATAGCGGGTGTATGCACACACTGCACAGGCAAACGGTATGGGTGTCAGTATGTACAGTGCACATAGTGCATGTACTGTGTACACCGTGTAAAATGTGTATACAGCAAATATAGCGCACACTATACATATACAGTGCACCGTATGCATCATATGCAACGCAGACTGACATATGCACTGCACATATACATATGTACAGATATACATACGTATATACACACGTATATACACGCATATATATACATATACACACATATACACACGCATATATGCACATACATATATACACTGACATACACATGTACACATATACACACGTATATACACATATACACACGCATATATATGCACATACACACAGCAGCCATATGCACTTGTACAACTTGTACACTTGTGTACCAACGCTGTGCGCTGTGTATATATGCACTGTATGTATGCACCTGTACGTTATTATGCACACTACACTATACATATACACTGCACATGCCATGCACTATACATATTGTACACACTATATACTGTCTATGCTATACATACTATATATATGCTATACACACTGCACGTTACAGTGCATACATTGCTACACTGTACGGCGCATATGCTGCAGCGTTGCGGGTACACTGTGCATATATTGCGAATATACATGTACAGAGCATACAAAGCATACTGCATGCATAGCATATATAACATAGCGTATACAATGTATATAGCATACATAACACACATAACGTGTGTAGCACACATAACGTGTAGCATAGATAGTATATATAGTCTGCAGTGTATAGTGTATGTAGCACATATAGTATAGTGTATGCTGTGTATAGTCATAGTGTGCATAGAGTATAGTGTATGATGTGTATATATAGTGGTATATAGTATATATGGTGTGTATAGTCTATATAGTTATAGCACATATAGTGTATATATAGTGTATGGTTATAGTGTATATCTGTAGTATATGGTATAGCGTGGTATATAGTGTATAGTGTGTATCAGTATATAGTATACACAGTACATATAGTGCATATAGTGCAGTGCACAGTGCATACATATACTGTATAGCATACACTGTGCACTGTACCTGTATATGCATTTAGCCGTACATACACCTGTGGACACACCTTCCGCGTGTGCATGCCGCGTGTGCATACACGTTATAGCTGTGGCCAGACACAAATTGGCGGCACACACCGCATAGAGCAGCGCAGCAACGAGTACCCTGTGCATGCAAAGCATACCCTGCTGTATACTGTACACTGCTATACACTGCTATACACTGTTATACATTATGTTATACATTATATGCTATATGCTGTACATATATGCTGTACATTGTATGTTATATGTTGTACATTGTGTTGTATGTGCATGTGCATGTGCACGGGCTACTGCAATGTGCAGCACGGCGGAGGCAGGGCGGCGGCAGGGTCTGCTGTGTGGCATGCACTATACTGTGTTGTGATACACCACGTGGGCAGCAGTCTGTGCGTGCCTACGTCGCCATGGCGACTGCCCGCCCAAGTCCCACCTGCGCTCAGCTTATACCTATGCAGTGCGGTGTATGCAGTGTATACTATATACAATATACAGTACATACAATATAAAGTATATGCACTCCAAATACACTCTAAAGCATGCATAAAGCATGCAAGGCAATCCTGCTGGCCATACGCCACAACTTATAACGGCAGAAACAGTGCATCACACCACGTGGTGTGTCCCGTCTAAGAAGAGGGTGTCCGTACATACATCAGGAGATAGGCCTGCTGAGCAAGCACAGTCTGCAGACCGACAGTCGAGACCTACAAAGTCAGCAAAGCCAGACAGAAACAGTGCGAGACAAAGTCGTCATTGAAGCGTGACCATGTGCCATTGCTTGCCCTACAGAAAGCATAGTAGTGGCCAGAACGTGTATCACTGCCTGCATGGACAACAACGGCAGCCAGGCGGTACTGCACGGGGCACGTGCGCTGCAACATCAGACGGTGGCCGCCAACCGCAGGGTAGCTCACCACAACACTGTAAGGGCGCTCTGAAGGCGCAGAGGCGTGTCCCGTCTTTTCTGTCACGTGAGAGCGTGTCCCGAACACACTCACTCTCGTCGATATATCAGAGTCACGTGACACACTGGTAAAGTCACGTGATCTCATAGGGGAGCGGCTGCGAGAGCGAGACGGCAGTCGACGTGAGGCACGTGACTTTTTGGGCGCCCTTTCAGCCGAGAGAGTGTCCGAAGAGCTAGCGTGGACGGATGCGGAAGGCGTGTTTCGTTGGCCATTAGCGCGACGCGTAGCGCGACGCGCATCCGGAGGCGCGTGTGGAGACATGTACGGAGAAAGATCGAGTATCTCGGGATAGCGCACATGGCGAGAGAGCTTTGCAGGCCTGGGAGCACAGGTAAAGCGCTTGAGATGGAGGGTGAGAACAGGAGGAGCAGTGTAGATGGTCGACTGTTTGTGAGAATCGACAAGAACAGCACAGATCTCGCAGCGGTAGCGGTTGGGGCCAGCAAGTCTCTCGGCACAGACATAGGCAGCAAGTGCATCGTCGAGAGAGGCAGCGAGATCGAGAGAAAGATCGAGATAGACAGGATAGGTGGAGGACACGTGACCACATCGAAGGCACGTGACCTGCTGGCAGAGGTAGCCGCCAAAGATACAGTAGATGACCGAGGTTTCCTGGCTCGCAAAATCGAGGTTGCTGCAGGTGTCAGTACTGCAGGAGCCGCAGCAGCAGTGCAGTGGCATCCTTTGGTTGCCATAGCAACCCTTACACAGCAACAGCTGCAGAGGCAGGTACCTGTAGGGGCGGATGCAGGAGCGCTGCATTTCTCCAAGCAAGCAGCGGAGAAACTCGTGTGCATCTTCCTGGCGATAGGGCTGGAAGCGGCTCGAGATCCATCTAAGAGCACTCACAATGTGCAGAGGCTTGAAAGGAGCCACAAAACGAGGTGCGTTGCCGGGGTAACACTGGACGACATGGTGCTCAAGCTTGCAGAAGACGCAGTTATCGAGGCGGCCTATAGGAATTAATATATAATGTAAAAAAACAAAAAAGAGGGCAAACAATTGAGTGAATGATGACCGGTAAGAAGATACTGCACAAGTGGAGGAATATGTGAAAGAGCCTGAAGAACAGCATTAAGATAACACGAATTGCCGATATTAATTAGGCCGGGCGGAGGCGGACGAACACTAGTCCAGTCAAGTAGAAGACGGTCGGGAGAAAAAAGAACAGTAGAAGGAGTCTTTGGGAGGGGAATGGGTGGAAGAGAGGGTTCAGAGCGTGGAGATAACGTAGACAGGCGAGGAGAGGCGTCAGAGAGCGGATCTGAGTTAAGAGGAGTATAGAGAGGAGCCCAGTCGGCAGGAGACTCGAGAAAGCGTGGGCCAAAGCGGACAGGATTCATGAGCAAAGCACTAAGGCTGCAGAGGCCAGAAAGGTCCAGAGAACGGTCCATGGGGCCCAGAATTCGGCAACAAAACCTGTGGCGCCAGATTTGCAGCAACAGGATTTACAGCAGCAAAACCCGTGGAAAAACCTGCAATCAGCAGCTCTACTGTCTGTGTGCCTTTGATGGGCCCTGAGATACGATTTCTGCTACAGTTTCTTCCGCAATAACGTCTTCTGGTGCAATTCCACGCAGAAACTCTCTTGAAACACTTTTTCACGGTTCCCGGCTGTGTGCTTTTTTTGGAATGGAACCACGTGACATTCACGTGACATATACTCAGCCCACGCAGTCGACCGAGCAGAGCAGTCAGTGTCAGATTGATGAGCGATCCACAGAACACATCCGATACACAATATACAGAGTATGCTGGGCAGCATGAGGCCATACAGCACGAACAGAAGCATGTTCACGACGTTTATCAGGCAATTGCACCGGGTTTCTCAGCAACACGCCGGAAGGTAAGTTTGTCCACAGCAGTACAATATTAACAGAGACAGCCGTGGCCTTCCGTTGTGAATTTTCTTATGAAGCAGCCAAAAGGTGCACTTGGGCTTGATATTGGCTGTGGCAATGGCCGCCATCTCTCTGTACGCTCAGACATCATTCTTATTGGCCTCGACAGGTAACACGCACTCTGCCTTAACCCTGACGCAATAACCTGGCCCTACACTACACAATGGCCCAGACCTAACCCTGACTGAATGGCAAACAGTCTGGACCATAGCTGACTGAAAAGCTGCAGTTAAATACAGACAAGTCAGCACTGAGAAGCGCCTTTGAGCCATTACAAACAGATCAAGGACTTAGAACAGCGTAAAGCAGCAGTTTAAGCGTTAGCTGTCTGGACTATGTACAGAGCCACAGAACGGCTTATACTGGCCTCAATGGCTCCATATTAGCATAGAATGTCTGAGGTGCTGTTGCTGCTAGATACTATGCTGATGATCCAGCACACCAGCCCAGTCCTAACACAGGTATAACCCTGATCTGACATTCTAGTAATGGTTTGACTCAAAAACTAAGCATAACAATGTCTAACAATACCATTAGGTATATTTTTGTCTATACTGTGTCTTGTGTTATATATATATATACACAGAGCTACAGTGACTCAGAATTGGTTGCCGTGGTTGCAGTTGCCAGGGTTGCAAGTCGACACTAGTGGATGACTTACGTAAGCAGATGCGAGGCGCTAGTGCGTCGGACGGTTAGTGCGTCGAACACAGACGTGCTCGTTGGCGACGGGTTGTCAGTGCCAATGAGACCGATATTTGATTTTTGCTTGTCAATTGCAGTGATTCACCACTTTTCAACGGAAACACGGCGAATTGCAGCATTACGTGCATTATTAGAAGTACTTCGGCCAGGAGGAAGTGCGTATATAGTTGTATGGGCGCTGGAACAAGCAGATTCTCGCCGAGGATGGGATGCAAATGACAAACAAGACATCTTTGTACCATGGAAAAGAAACGAAGGAAAAGGTTCATCAGAACATAAAGAACGGTATTATCATTTATTTCGAAGTGGAGAACTTGAAAGATGTATTCGTACAGCCGGCGGCACGGTTATTGCTAGCGGTTTCGAGCGTGATAATTGGTGGGCACAAATGGGGAAATTTTGAGGGTTAAAAAAAAATAAAAAGAAAATATAGTAGAATTAACAGAAAAGAAGCAGAAATACCTAAAATAAACAATTATAGGTGAAAATAGAATTTTTGTGTATAAATTTTCAATCTCAGTTTGAGAAAATAAGAGCTAAAATTACACTGACAGGCAGGAATACTTAATGCAAAAATTATAATTGAGAATGAGCAAACAGAATTACGGCAGTATTTTGAATATTAGTAAATATCATAGAAAGTCAGATTAAATAAAATATTTGAGGAATCACTATAGATACATTTAAAATAGTGCACAAACGGGTCGACAAAGACTGTATATTCTTTATATTATTATTTATCGGAACACCCAAGCAGCATCGACAAGAGCAAGAATAATAATTTATAAAAAATACAGCAGATGGGAGTGTTGGTGCAGATTATCTCACCAGAACGGAGTGTTGAACGATATGTTGAACCGAACTGGACAGTAGCACACCTAAAAGAACGGCTTGAACTAATTACAGGGATTCCTATGGAAGCACAACGATTGACCTTATCTGATGATACAGAAGTGACAGATACAACCATTACACTTAATGCACTTGGGATAATTCAAAATACAAGTCTTTATGTATGTTCTAATCATATTACAAGCGGTCGTTAAAACTCTAGGTATCGGATATTAGAGAGGAGACAACGGTTAACAAATCGAATGAAGTGAACAGCCCGTCTGAAGATACAGAACATTTCAAACTAAGTAATGAAGCATACGCAGCACGACCTAATACATTTACTAAGTGGCGAGAAACACATTTTGAAAAAATGAATGACAAATCAGCTTTTTTTAGAACAAACCGAGCCTTACAAAAGATACATGAAAAAGGTATCTGTATTGGTGAAAAATGTATTATCAAAAGCACAGACCAAATACGTAATGGCTGGGTCCGGTTTATTGGTCATGTCAAAGGATTGCCTGAGGGTATCTGGATTGGTGTCGAATATGACGCACCTATTGGCAAAAATGATGGATCATTCCAAGGTGTTCGCTATTTCTCCGCTAATGAAAACTGTGGATCATTTCTCCATCCCGATCGAATTGAAATGTGCCCACCTTCTCCACTTATGAATGCGGATTCAGAAGAGGAAATATAAACTGACATCCAAAATCCATATGTACATAAAAATAAGAAATAAGCCATTAAACAGACAATGCTAAACACGCAGCTCTTCGTTTTCTAATGTATCAGTTGCCTGTGTAAAAAATAACCTTGACACTTTATTTGCAATATTTCGTATAGAATAATAATTGCCTAAATATATTATAAACGAAAAAACAGTACTCAAATGGATACCTCTAGGTACAATAAAATGAGAACCTCTTTTTAATCGGAACGAAGTCTGATGCACAGTAGCTTCTACTGCACCTTCAAGAATAACAAAAGTCATAACATTATGTTTAGAAGGTTTTGTTGTCTTTTCACCGCCTCTTGGTAAGTCCATCACACCCGTTGCAAAGAAAGGAGCCTCGTCAAACGTCTTTTGAAACTTAATGATTGCATTTGCAACATCTCTCGGTGCATATGAAGATGCAGGATATGCAATTCCTAAACTCAATATTAAATACTAATATTTACCGAAAAAAACTTACGTTTAATAATAGGCTTTTTGTCATGCCAATTAATTACTTCGCATTCAACATCCACCTTTTCTTCCCATTCTTCATCACTGGTACTCTCATGTTTAGCCATTTTCTTCTTGAAACTAGTATTTTTCACTCGACCAGTCCCTTTAGACCTACTTGGTATACTTATAGGATCAATACGAATAATTTCTTTAATTTTCGGCATGGCAGGACCCGATTTTCTTCGCTCACCAAGCTCATATACAATCCTTTCATTTCTCCAGTAAGCTAACGGAGCAACTTTTGTCCGTAAAGATCGTCTTGTAGCATTTACACGAGGAGAAAGAGCAGTTGGTGGAGAATCTTCCGAAGAATCAGAATGTTTAGAATGCTTTTTGACCATCTTAGTTTTTGTAATTATTTTTGAAGAAACATCTGATGATTCTGCTGAAGAATGAGATGAAAATGAATGTTTTTCAGGTGAATATTTCGATACAACTTTTTTCGATTTTAGTAATGGACGGGATGCCTTTTGTTTTTTACGAGAACCATCAGTGTTTGTCAATCTTTTCTTAACAGGGGACTCTTTCCTGGGTTTGCTAACCATTTTATCATTAAAGTCTTTCTCTATAGACTCTTCTGTATCATGTTTAAATGATTCATTCCAATCTTGTATATTTTCGTAACCGCCATTTTCAACATTATCTTGTAAATCAGCCTCACTACTTTCTGAATTGTTCATAAGACTAAACGTTTTTTGTCTTGTTTTCTGCTGCACTAGTAGACCCCGTTTAGTACTCATATGGGCTTGAGTAACAGGCTTATAAGTCTCTACAGGCTCATCTTCTACCTCAGCAGTAGCAGAAAAATCAAGTCGCCGAGCCACACCATCTGACCAATCCAATTGTCTAGGCGATATTAGACATTCCCGTTTCTGTGTCGAAGGAACACGAAGAGCTGGCGACTTCAAATTCGTTTTAACAGGAGACCGGCTGATCCATGGTGATTCTCCTTTATAGATCCGCTGATTTGTCAATGCATCTGGAAGTTTAGATCCTGGCCATGCATTCAACGGTTTTCGTGAAGCAATGACATCTGATACGTCACGGGACGGACCTGGACATGTCAATCCATGTTATATGCCCCAAATAAGAATTATACTGTTAGCAACATCCATACTCTGTTCTAATGAAATCGTTTGATCATTCTTATAAAACACTTCTTGCGCAGAAACAGCCATTTCATTCAATAATGGTGGAGTAACTTGAGAAAAAAATGCATCTATATCTTCCATCCCAAAAGAATCCCGTTGAATATCTTCATTAATCTTTAAACCTGTTTTTCTAAGAAAATCAGTATAAACCAACCACTTTTCCCGAGAAGACATTGTCAACTCGGTTCAATATAATATACCTCCCAACAATACCAATTTCCATAAATTGGCCATTAGGACGCGTAGCAGAACCAGTCTGCCGCATCGATGCAGACTGCCAAATCATTGTGTTTTAATATTCTTTATCAGTATTGAAACTATAATCTATAATGGTCCTCAAAACACAAGAAAAAACACTAAACGTCTAAAGAACTGTTCCCTAATATAATAAACAACTCTAAACCCTTATACTGCAAAAAAAAAAACAAGATATCTTCTTCACACGTATTCCTTGCTTACAATTTAGCAATGTCTTTCAAAAAACAGTATTTTAAACGGATTCAAAAACGTAGACCACTGAAAACACTGGAAGAACTAAATATATCTATTTATATACTTCAGATATCAGAATCTTGGCAGAGTTACTTACATTTCAATATTCACTTTTTTTGTTGCTGTTATAATCACTCGACACGCAAACGTGTACGTCACCATGGACAACCATTGCCCTAACAACGATCTCAATATCATAAATTAATCTTTAAATAAAACCAGTTAAAAAACATTTGAGCAAAGCTTTTTTATATATTAATACAAATGAATTGGAAGAAAAATAGTTCATTTAAAAAAGAAAATGAAAAAACTGTTTTTCCAGATCTAAATAATGACTTATATGAACCGATAAAAAAAATTATTCATTCAAAAGAAAAACTCTGTAAATCAGACACCTGGATTGCAGGAATAGATGAAGCAGGACGAGGACCAGTTAGTATTTCTTTTTTAATGCAAAATAACTCTAATTGCTTATTTTAACTAGGTTCTAGGTACACTTCAAGAGCATATTAAATATCACTAATAAAAGACTAAAAATAGGGCCAATGGTGTATAGTGTTGCTTATTGTCCTCAGAATTATGCAAATATATTAAAAGAATACGGATTCTCGGGTAACTTGTGTCTTTTTTACTAAAAAAGCTAAAACAATATCAGATTCAAAAACTTTAACACCAGAGCAACGAAAACAATTAATGCAAATGCTTTGTACACATAATGAACTGAAAAAAAATGTAGGATGGTCTATATGTATAGTTTCTGCCCGTGAAATATCTCAAGGAATGCTACGTCCTGATGGATCATATAATCTGAATGCACAAGCACACGACACAACAATTCAACTTTTATTTGAAGTTTTCAAGCGTAATCCTGGTATTAAAGAAGTAATTTTACATTATTGGGTTACTTATTCTGATTCAAAAGGTCTATGTTGATACAGTAGGCCCATCATCTTCTTATCAAATTAAACTTCAACAGCTATTTCCACAAACTAATGTAATAGTTACGGAAAAAGCTGATTCAATCTATCCAATCGTGAGTACAGCAAGCATTTGTGCAAAAGTTTCGAGGGATAATGCACTTTCTAAAGCAGCTATTCATGGAGAATCCTGGGGAAGCGGATATCCATCAGGTAGCAATCCGTTACACAGATTTCATTGGATTAATAGATATAGATCCAATAACATGCAAATGGCTGAAATACTCAATGGATCCGATTTTTGGGTGGCCATATGAAATCGTGCGCTACTCCTGGCAAACAGCTAAAGATCTTTTGGAAAAAGATGCACAGAAAAAGGATAATTCAAAAGTTCATGTTGAATGGTATAAAAAAAACGAAAAGAGTAGCATGCGAGATATTCAAAGCTATTCTAAAACCTCTAAAACCACACAAGAAGGCATCAATTTATCTTGGTATGGCCAAAATATCGAACATGATTTTTAGTCATTTCTAGTTAACATTTTTTTAATTATTTATCCAAATATCCCAATCAAAAATATAATAACTATTAAATAAATTCAACAAATAACACAAAGTATTTAAAAAAGGTTTAACTCATTTAAATCCTAAATATCTGTTATATATATTTCTCTAAGTCCTCTTTTCGATAAACATATAGACTATTTAAGGGAATTAAAGGATATAAATGAACTTAAAGGATAATCGACATACTTTTCATGACAAAAATATATAACATGCTATATAACTCTCATCATTTTTCTAATATTTATGACATTTGAGTTTTTAAACAATATTTCATGTTTCAATCAATCCTAAATATTTATACAATATATTAACTATTTATATTATTCATTATTATCCGTTAATTATTTTTCCTCCTATTGCCCCTTATTCTTTTCATTAATCTTATCATCCAAAGTATCATCTGTCTCATCATTACTCCTTTCTTTATTCTGAATCTTATTATCGATAAGCTAAACATATTTAGTTAACTCCATAAAAATAATAAAATATTACATCATGTAATGACATCACACATCGTATAATACTACTTAAGTAGATGCACATTAATTGATCATTTGTTTTTACACGAAACGCTTTAGTCAAATCATTATTAGGATCATATTTTTCGTTATTCCCTTGAATAGAAGATATTTTTGTATCGGGAAAAAACGAAGAAAGATTTGGAACTAAATTAAAAATGTCCTGCATGATTTCAAGAATCATATGATTGACAGGAAGCTTTTTATCAAGAACTTTACCAAGATATTGAGAAATCTCACTTAATCGTTGACTCAATCCACGAAGAGAATGAAGCTGATTTGTAATACGAGTAGAAAGCGTGCCTACAGCCGCATTCTTGATGTCTCTAAGAAGATGCTCTACACAAATTTCTTCAACTTCTTCTGCTTCAATACTCGATGAAACATGAACAAAAGTCTTTGATGTCATTGTGTCATCCTAAAAAAGTAAAAAACAATAAAAAACTCAAAAAAAACCTACATCCCTAATCTCCTCTATTACAAAGTATGCATCAGTAGGAATACCAAGTGTTCGTGGCTTCACGTTAATAATCACCAATAAAGGATCAGGAATATATTTTTTAAAAAGTTCATTAATTTCAATATCAGAAGATCTTAGCTTAGGTCCTGTATGATACCACCCAATCATTTTTTCTCGAACTAGTTCATCTCAAAAATAAAATAACCAAAATTATTATAAAACATACCATTAATCTTTTTAAACATCTCATTCATAGATTCCATATAATTGTGGTCCAAAAACCATACCTGTGGATCTTTCTCATCCTCTTCAAAGGGAACTTGCGCATTTTCAGACGCTTTTATGTCTCTGACAATATATAATACTTACCCACAAAACTATTGGCAACATTTACAATTTTACCATTTTTTTGACCTAAAAGAACACCTACCACACGTTTTGAAGTATTAAGTGCAACTCTATTAAACGCATCGACTACAGAAAGCAAAACAAGAGGATGAATAATCTATATATACTGATCAATCCTTTTTCTCTCAAATTCTACCCCCTTTTCACTGGATTTCATACAACTTGAGTAGTCATCCATGAAAGAGTCTCTGAAGGCGTTTTTGCAGGCATAATTCACAAAATTCTGCTCGTTAAAGCCCCAAAATCAGCAGCTTTCTATGCTTACAGTTTTTTATGTCGATCTTAAAAATATCTAGTGTGCCAAGCAGATATATTTCCATGACTACAGTAACCATAGAAACCATGTCTCGATAGCATCAAACAGAATACAACTTTGAAAAGTTAAAAAATCATCTTTATAGTCTTTTTTATAGTATTTTATTAGATAACATGGAAATTATTCAAAGAGAATTAAAAAAAATTCAGTCTAATTTTTCATCATTTCAGAATTACTTCCAAGATTCAAAAAAAAAAGAGAAACAATCTCAAGAACTTCGAATGATTCTCATTGGGCCTCCAGGTTCAGGTAGATCAAATTAAAAACAATTCAATTAGTGTGGAACAAGTAGTATATGTAGTTTAGAGGACATATAGCCGTTTTATCACACTAAAACCACAAAAACAATGCCAAATAATGTAAAACTGATAAAAAATAGGCAAAGGAACACAGGCACCTAAAATCAAGAAAGAATTTTGTATTTGCCATTTGGTAGGGCCTAGGGAGTATTTATAAGTCTATTAAGCCATTTAGGCAACAGGTGATATGCTTCGTTCACATGTTGCTCGAAAAACAGTGTTAGGCAAAGAGGCCAAGTCGATTATGGAGAGAGGCGAGCTTGTAAATGATGATATTATGGTTGGCATGATCAAAAATGAATTGGAAGAAAATGAGGAGTGTAAAAACGGGTGTGACTAAACGCTATCTAATTGTAATTTTAATTGGTGACAGATTTATCCTTGATGGATTTCCACGCACCATTCTTCAAGCAAAAAAGTTGGATGCTATGCTTGAGAAAAATGGAAAAAGAATCGACCATGTCCTTGAATTTCAAATTGATGATGAACTGCTTGTTCATAGGGTGACTGGTCGATTAGTTCATCTAGCAAGTGGTCGAACATATCATAGAGAGTTTCAGTACAAATATTTAGGATTTTTTAGCTTAAAAGGTTTACTAATGTGTACTAGACCGCCAAAAGAACCGATGAAAGATGATGTGACAGGTGAACCATTGATTCAAAGATCAGATGATAATATTGAAACACTCAAAAGTAGACTAAGTTACATTTTTACAACACTTTTCTTTTGCTACATACTAATTTTTCTATGTAGAAACTTACCATGAACAAACATCTCCCGTTATCAGTTATTATAAATCTCATGGTATTTGGTCGGGCTTGGATGCAGCACAAAGCCCCTCCAAAGTCTGGCAATCAATGTTAAACATATTCACACATTCATGTAAAAAAGAAGGAGTCTCAATTCATTGAATTTTTATTATTTATTTTCAAATGAAAAATATTTTTTTCATTGATATCAAAATTATCTTTTTTTCAAAAAAAGAAAAAAATAAAGATAAATTGTTACATTCACTATTTATACTATCCATATAAACACTTTTCTTTTGTATATTTCTTTTATTTATTTTTTCATCTCCTATTCAACGGAAGACGCTCGACCACTGACTTATTTCATACAAAAATGCCAGGCAAAACTGTCAGTTTATCAACAAGTGAAAAAGTAGATGATACGAATAATTCACCACTTCTGTCTGAAACAGAAGCAACCAGAGACGTGACATCAAAACGCCAAACAGGAAGACCAAAGGATTCAGAGCAATCAGCAAAAGTTTTGGATGAAAATCAAAGTTCAGATGATTCAAGTGAATATTCAGATCGTCCACCAAAAAAACATAAAAAAGAGGAACAGAATAGGGAAACAAGTGGTTCCGAAGAAGAAGAAAGTTATTCTGAAAATGATGTTGTAAGTCAAGTTTTTTTTCTAAAAAAGCATATTAATTATTGACAGGATACACAAGAAACAGAAGAAGTTGACTCATTGAGAATATTTAACACATGCTAATACTATTTAAAGGACTCGGATGACGACTATGAGGAAGAAGATAGTGAATAGCTGTGGGTTTTCTATCATACCACACTTTATCGTATCTGCCTTGTTCCCTCCCCCTTTATTCGAATTTATAATGCGTCATCTTTCACACTAAAATACTTTGACATCACCAACAGTTAGAAAATGTTAGTGTTTTTATATCTATTTCTAATTCGGCATTCCATCTTATTGTACAGTTAAAGATGTTCAATGTATTATAACATCCCCTTTATTATATGAGAGATATTACTTAATGCAATATTACAATCATTATATCAGTGGAACAGATGTTATGCCCAAAACAATATGCTAAATATATGATTTTTTTATTCACCTATTGTCTTTCTTTTTCCCAGTACAGTATTTGCTGATTTTTCATTTTCAACAGTTGATTCTAATGGATTTTCCCTTAAAAGCGATTGACTGGCTACGCTTGCTTCAGATAAGCAGAGTGCATGATATACAACGTTTTCTATAGAAATCGCATTTTTCCATACCCATTCTTCTACATCTTCATTCCATACACTCACAAACTTTTCTTTACATATTGGACATGGTTCATTTAACACATTAGGGTCTGTGGGCACAAGAACATATGACTCATCCGGATTAAATTCATTTTCTTTTTTAGGTTTTTCTGAATTGTTTTCCAAGGATTCTGGAGTTATCGAAGAAACATCCTGATATGTATATTTAATCCATTCCTATCCAATATTAATAACCTAATATATTACTTTTATAATATTATTTTACTTCTTCATCAAAATACCAACATCTGCTTTGACCTCGTAATGAAATCTCTCTCAGTCTATTATTAATACGAAAATGCCAATCAAGATGTGCATCTCTTCTTTTCCTACCATCATCTGTATCTTCAAATCTTTTAGCACATGTACGACATTGCAAACTCATGCATTCATATAACAAAACAATGAGCTCGGGGCGATGTCTTTAGAATTTAGTTAAAATAATAATAATTAAGAAGCATACTTTGCAAGGGACGACGATTTAAGCTCAATATTGTTCAAGCTACTATTTAGTATTGCAAAAGAAGATAGTGAAAGAGTACTAGGATCGATAGAAATATAAGATTTTGCATCATTAGTCGAATTCGTAGAATCATTCGTAAGCAAACCAGCACTCCTTAAAGAAGCCAACAAAGTCTCAGTGTCTGTAGATTGCATATTTGACGGTATGTTTACAGATGAATTAATATATGGAATTTGAAACGGGTAATAATGAGGTGCTTGAGATGTATTTTGTTGTTGTTGCAATGATAATGCTGATAATTGCTCTTTAATAGCAGATAATTGATTGGGAGGCAATGTTGAAACCTGAAGTATCGATTGTAATTTTATAAGTGCAGGAATCTGCTTTAAAGATATTTCATCATTTGGGTTTAAAAGAACACGTTTTTGAGCAGCGGTTAAAAGGGAAGAAATATCAACCAAAAGAGAATTCACAGTGACATTCGGTATTATAGGAACTAAAGCCTGCAATGACTAAATATTAATCATAAAGAAAAAAACAGCACAAAATTTACATGATGATTTCCCATATAACTTGCATTGTTAGAAATATTTCCAAAACTTATTACCCCAGAAGAATGATCGGTAACATTTTGTGGTAATAAAGAAGGCAATATTATAGATTTAGGAGCAAGTAATTTACGTTGATCATGATGTTGACGCAACTGTCGGATTTTATTTAAAAGACCATCAATTTTGCGAGTAATTTCTTGAGAGAACACTGGTGTAAGAGAATTTGTCCCAGGAACTGGTTGTTTCCATGTTTGCAATAATTCTTCCATTTTCATACGCAAATGAGGTTCCATGAGAGTATATGTATTAATAAATATTTTCGAAAGGTTATGACCAAAATAAATAGTATATGGACTTCCTACGTTTTTACATATAGAATCTAAAAGATAAAGAGCATGCAATTTGTGGGGAGGCGGTGCCTATAATTCCATTAGTAATTTAATTTGAACATTATTTATTCTAAGACAACAACATAATAAAGAACTTACCCGATTTATATGCTCTTCAATTGCTTTTACAATATACTGTGCAGCATAAAGTGTCTCTTGTGCGATCATAGTAAGGTCTCGAATCAACGGTCTGGAGTTAATAGTTAAATCTTGTAGTGAATCAAGATAATCCTGTTTAATCTCCTCAAGTTCTTCTTGAGCAAGTGGCATTTTTGAGATAAAATAAATACTATTGACTTAAACAAAAATCAAAATAGATACTGTACAAGCGTTTCACTATTTAAGATTCTAATTGTTATAAAAAATGATCCAATGCTTATCGCTATATAGTAAAAAATTATCACCTTTTAAGGAATTATATTTCTTTTGGAAAATAGAAACTTCTTAATATATATCAAAAAAAGTGTTTAAATATAATAAAATCTTTAGAACCGTTTAATCCTAGGAAGAATTTCCAATTCACAATAATGAAAGTATATAAAAACAAATGTTCTAGAAAATAGAACAAAAATACTTTCTTAAGACACTTAAATAAGAGTACTATTATTTCCCGAAAATTTAAATAACTTTAAACAGTGAGTTTTAACTTAAAAATAACCGTTTTAACACCCAGTTTTTTTAAATTTTCACACTGAAAACTTTTTTGTTCTTTAAGAACTTTATAAAATAAATATATTCTAATATTTCCCTATTTTTCTTTTTAAAAACCTTTTTTATTTTAATTTTTTAGTCGTTCAAAATAACTGACGTTTAAAGACAGTTATTATAACAACAGTTGCTATGATCTACAATGTGTTACTGTGGCAACAGTCTTAGACGACATAAAAGACAAGCAAAGAAAATCTTCTTGAAATTATAAAAACCTGAAAAAATCATACAAAAACTTAAAAATATTAGTAATTTCAAATATTAGGTACATTTTTTACAAGTATTTCATAAACTAGTAATTGTTTATTTGGTTTGAACCTTGTTTTAAAAAATTATTAATTAACTTCGTGTATATATAGAAAATAAAGGTTATATGGGACTTGCATTAAGTTAAAACACAGTTTTCAGAAGCCTTATAGATAAGAAATACGTCTACATAGTTTATTTTTCGAATACTATTGTTTTAAAACAATCTATACAGCAAATTATTTGGAAAACTGTCAGTGTTATACGATTTACTTAAACAGGTGATTACAAAACTTTATTATATATTTTTCATGAGTATAGTATAAGAAGTGATCTTTTTTTGACATTTTTATATAAAACATAAATTTTAAACAAAAAATAGCATATTAATTTTAATATTTTGAATATACACATGTTTTCTATTATAAGAAGCTGGCGTGTGCGTGTATGGAATGAAGTGTTTGCATCTTTTGCAAAACGTGCATTTTCTACGACTCAGATTTCAAAAATGGAAGTAGAAATTGAGATTGACGGGAAACCAATCATGATTGAACAAGGATCTGTACTGGTATGTACATAAATATATTAAATCTTTTATATAAAATAATAAATAAAATAGATTCAAGCATGTGAAAAAGCAGGAATTCAAATACCTCGATTTTGTTATCATGAGCGCTTACAAATTGCTGGTAATTGTCGTATGTGTTTAGTAGAAGTAGAAAAAGCACCCAAACCTGTTGCTAGTTGTGCAATGCCGGTAATGCCAGGCATGAAAATCAGAACTAACTCACAAATGGTTCATAAAGCACGTGAAGGTGTTATGGAATTTTTACTTGCAAATCATCCTTTGGACTGTCGTAAGATATCAAAAAGGTTTAGTTAATCATGCTAAAAATATAAGCTATTTGTGACCAAGGTGGAGAATGTGATCTTCAGGACCAATCTATGCGCTATGGATCAGATCGAGGACGGTTTTATGAACATGTAGGAAAACGTGCTGTTGAAGACAAAGATCTTGGTCCTCTTATAAAAACTACAATGACAAGGTTCAACCGTAGATAATATCATATGCTAAGTATTAATTACTTTTAGATGTATCCATTGTACTCGCTGTGTTCGTTTTGCAAACGAACTTGCCGGTGCTGCAGAGCTAGGTACCACTGGTCGAGGTAATGATATGCAAGTATGTATTTCTTACTATTTAAATTATTCTGATTAATTTATTTAGATTGGAACATATCTCCAGACTCATCTTAATTCTGAAATGTCTGGAAATATTATTGATTTATGTCCAGTAGGTGCACTTACATCAAAACCCTATGCTTTTCGTGCACGTCCATGGGAATTAAAACGAACAGACTCAATTGACATACATGATGCTGTTGGGTCTTCTATTTCTGTGAACAGTCGTGGATTGGAAGTTATGCGAATTTTACCAAGACTTAATAATGATGTTAATGAAGAATGGATCAATGATAAAACACGGTTTGCAAATGATGGATTAAAAATTCAGCGTTTAGAAATTCCTCTTATTCGTAAAAACGATAAATATATTCCTGCAACATGGGATCAGGCATTATGTGAAATTTCATCAGCCTATAAACGTATTTCGCCTATAGGCGATGAATTTAAAGCAATTTCTGGTCACTTAGCTGATGCTGAGTCATTAGTTTGCTTAAAAGACTTAACGAATCGTTTAGGATCTGAAAATCTTGCTCTCGATCAGCCTAAAGGAAATGAACCTCTTCCACATGGAATCGATATTAGAACAAATTATTTATTCAATTCTACTATACGAGGAGTTGAAAAAGCTGATTTTATTCTACTTGTGGGAACAAATCCTCGTCACGAAGCAGCAGTTCTCAACTCTAGAATCAGAAAATCATGGCTTCGTTCTAATAATATTGAAATTGCTATGGTTGGAGAAAACCCATTAACTACTTATCATTATGAATATATTGGGGATAATGCCATTGCTCTAAAAGATGCATTAAATGGAAATATTGGAAAAAAATTAAAGGGATGCAAAAAACCTATGATTATTATTGGAAGTGCAGTAGCAGAACAACCCGATGCTAAATTTATCTATGAAACTATTGGAAAGTTTATTAATAAAAACAAAAACATTTTTTTAACGTCAGAATGGAATGGATACAATGTCTTGCAAAGAGTATGAAAATAATTTCATTTTATATTGTAATCTAAATTATATTAAGGTTGCATCTAGAAATGCAGCATATGATATTGGATTTGTTACATCATCTCCTAAAACAGTATCTGTTAGACCAAAGTTCATCTATCTTCTTGGCGCAGATGAATTTGCTGCTAAAGACATTCCAGAAGATTCATTTGTTGTATATCAAGGACATCACGGGGATCTTGGAGCACAATATGCAGACGTGATTTTGCCTAGTTGTGCATATACAGAACAATCTGGGACTTATGTTAATCTTGAGGGAAGAACGCAAATTACACAAGCAGCAATAAATTCACCTGGTGTTGCTCGCGAAAATTGGAAAATAATTAGAGCATTATCCGAATATCTTGGTGTAACCCTTCCATATGATGGTATACTTTTTAGAATTTATGATTATGCTTATACTTTTTAAGATATTCATGGTTTACGTAACAGAATGAATCAAATTGCGCCCTCTTTAACTCGTTATAATGTTATCGAATCATGTTCCATGTCAGATCTTGGTATGAAAGTTCAGATACAAGATCATAACGAAGAATCACAAGCAATCGGTCATACACTTATGAATCCAATCACTGATTTTTATCTAACAGATGTCATTTCACGAAAGTAAGTTTTCTCTTTTTTTTCTAAATTTCATAATTTTAGTTCAAAAACAATGGCAAAATGTTCAGCTCATTTTTCAAAAAAAGAATCACAAGATAAAATATTTCATTAATGTATTGGTATCTTTACTGCTTTTTTTTATCTAATTAATTATTCACAGAATTTTTTGATATTACAAAAACATCAAATCATTAGTAATTAATTCTATTTCCTCTATCCACCTCTGCATGTATATTTTTAATTAACAACATGTCTACTTTGCATGTTTGTATTTTTTACATTTTAAACCTTTTTGCTTGTAATACCGATATAACATGATCTTCCAAATCTTATATACTTTTTCAATATTTATAAGTTTGGTATCTTCAATAGATTTAAAAGGTTCTATTCTTCCAAATAAATTCCTTTCTTCAACAAAAGAATTATCTCCTTCCACAGTTATTTTATTATCAGCAGCAAATATCCTAAAAAAAACACGTCCAACATCAAAAGGGCATTTTTGTATTGAAAATGTTGAAAAAGGCTCTTATTTATTAGAAGTTCTAAGCTTCACTCATCGTTTTGATCCATTAAGGGTTGATATTTTTTCTATTGAGGATGTACTAGCAAAGGGATTGAATGTATCTACCAAAGATCAGGAAACCCAACTTCCTACATTAATTCAGATATACCAAATATACAAAGGCCATGCATGGGATGACTTTGGTCCAAGAATGCCGTATCCAATACAACTTAGTCCTACAGGCATAGAATCTTATGATCCTGTAAGTATATCTAACATCTAAAACAAATTTTAAAAATATACAGAAACGAGAATCTCTAAAGATTTTATCACTTTTTAAAAACCCTATGGTTCAAATTATTATTGTAACAATGATTTCATTGTTCATTTTTCCAAAATTGATGACTATGCTAGGTATTTTATTAATCAGATGAAATATTTACTAATTAATTTAAAGATGCAGAACAATTAACAGAATACCAAAGAATGCATTCACAACAAAAAAAGGATAACCTTCCTGGCAAAACTCAAGACACTGAAATGACATTACGACTTTCTAATAAAAAGTTTAAAACTTCAAAACTAAACAATAAAACAAACTAGTCTTGAAAACATTTATTTTAAAGAATGTACATGATGCGTATATGGGTTCATTTTCTCTAAATTATAAAAACATAACTAAAAATTAAACTTTTCTTTCTTTTGTTCATTTGCCTTTCTTTGTCGTTTTGCATTTTGCTTAGCCGCCTGTTCTGCAACCATTTCTGACAAATCTTCATTCCAACCTTTAGGATCTATACGCTGTATCCTTTGCGCTTCTTCATATTTTTCTCTAAGTTGTTGTTCAGCTAAAGAACGATTTTCGTTTTCCAAAAGTGATGGATCAAGAGAAACATCTACACCATTTTTCTTCTTTATACAATTAATATATGAAAAAAAAACATATATACAACCTTGCGTGGTTCTGGAGCATCAAGAACAGGAAGTTTATTTACATCAGATAAATCATAAATATACTCACTAATAAAAGTTAAAATAAAACTTATTAATACACATTTAGTTTTGCTTACCTTCCCATGAATCCTTTTATCCGTGATTGTTGTTCTGCAATAGGCTGATAAAATGTTTTTCCAGAATCAGCCTCAACATCAGAAACTCTGAACATTATTAGTACCATTATATCATTAATTAAACCTTAAATACCTTTGCTTCCTCAATTCAATATATTCTGGAGTTTCTATACCACTAGGAACAGATGATACCATTCCAGATGGTGTTTCTACACCCGAAGACGTTTCAATACCATCAAGCAGTTCTTGATTAGTCAAATCAAAATCTTTGCCTTCATCTTCTCTATATTCTTCATCTTCTTCTTCTGATTCATCTTCTATATCTTCAAGTTGTCCCCATAATTGTTTTTCAACAGGTTCACCAGACTAAAATATTTAGAATTACAATATATTGCAAAAAATCTTACATCAGGAGGTGGTTGAGGATGCACTATGCCAAATACATCACCATATAATGGCCTATTAAATTCGTCAACAGGAGGTTTTCCCCAGCCTCCAGGATGAAATCCAAATTGTGCACTAAATAACATTAAAAAGAAAAAAAAAGGCAATAAAAGATACCCAGAAGGAATTGGTGCATTAAGACCAGGTATTTTTAGCGCAGGATAACTGGGTGGTGGTCCAAAACGCTGCATATTAATTAACCATGGAGGTGGAGCACCTGGAGGAATATTTAAGGCTTCTTTAAGTTCTTCAGAAAGGTCACCAGGTCTTTTTTCTTTAAGATTTGTTTCAAATTCTTTTCCCTCATAATAAACTTCACCATATTCTGTCATAGGTGGTTTAGTCTGAAATCTAAAAAATGCATTATATAATTTTTGATAATCAATATCAAGTTTCCCCATCCTTGGTTGCACTCTAGCACGCATCTTCTGTCTAAGAGTTTGATTGTCTTCCTTTTCCCTTACAGAATCCCTCATTTCCATAATACCCGTAGCACGGATAAAATCAGGAAGCTCAAATGGAGGTTTCTCGATACCTCTTTTGGATGCTAAATAATCACGCTTTTGTGTCCAATGCCCTGGAACAGGAATTGTATTTCTATATGCTTTAAGATGGGCAAGAAGCTTAGGATCTTGAGCAGATACATCAAACCACTAAATATCTTTGTTAATAAAAAACATATTTGTTAAGAAAATATACCTCTACAACTTCTGGATTTTTAACAAGTTGCTTTAACTCTGCTACACTCAGTCTATTTTGTCTTCGAGCTTTTTTTCGACTAAGTTTTTTAGGTGTTTCTTCCTCTTCTTCAGAAATATTATCATCCGAATAAAAAATTTCTCCTTTATCCATATTTACATCATCTTGATCTTCCTAAAACACAATAAAATTTCCCTATATTTACAATAGATATCCACATACTTTATAAGAAGCATTAAACTTATCAAAAACATTTTTAAACGTAATATACATAGGATCATTCTCATCTAATGTAAATGAATCAACAATAGAATCATCATCATTTTTCCTTTCGTCTTTGTGACGTTTATAGGATTCTTTTTGTAAATCTAAAGATTTATCAATCACAATCTAATAAAAATATAAGCATCTATATTTTCATATATTTAAACATATAAAAATAATAAAATCAAAAAAGGAGACGCACATTATTTAAACCATTATCTAATACATCTGATTCATTCTTTTTTCTTTCTTTTTTACGTAATTTCTTCTCTCGTCGAATCTGTGCTTTTGTTTTAAATTGATTTTTTCCATTTTCTTGAATTACAAGACCATTTGAAACCGGATTTTCAACAGTTAACATCCTAAACCTTCTCCTATAAAAATATCACAGCTCTACTGCATTTAAACAAACTTTTTTGACCTATTTCCAATTTTTATGTAATTCAATTTTTTAACAACGTATCGATATCTTTTATGGTCGTAACTGAATTGAAAACAGCTTTTATTTAAAAGCAATTTACAAATAATATCTTTGTTTTTATGAGTAAAATATATATGCTTTTTTATTTTTATATTTTTCTGTTTTTTATTCTAATGCTAACATTTAGTCTGATTTATCACTAAAATTTTGTAAACATAAATTCAATTTCAAGTTTTTCATTTAAAAAAGCTATATATTCATCCAAATACGTATTTCTAAGGATAAAAAAATATAACTTAAATGTTCTTTACTTATATATTATCATTTTTTGTAATTGAACTTGCTATAGTTTAAAAAATTAAAAAACAATTGAAACAAAAATTCTTCAAAATATTTTAATCTCTCTTTTTTTCCTTTATATATATAGAAAAAAAATATTATAAAATTTTATATAAAAAAAAATGATATAATTTATTTATTTTTAATTCTAAAAATATTATTAATGACTTTTGCAAAGAATAGATACACAAAATATAAATATTCTATTTAAGAGATCAATTTTCATATATTTTAAATTAAATCTTTTACAACATTAACCAATAATAGTAAATAATATAATACTCATTAATTCCTTATAAAATAAATATAACCCATAAAATTTAATAATAAAAAAAATCATCATATACTCTAAGAGAAATTATTTTTTATTATACTACTGAAACAAAATATTGCTAAATTATATTCTACAAAAAATATCTTAAATCTAATAATTAAATAATGTATAAAATAATATGCAAAAGCATAGATTACTAAATTCAATCAAAAAACAAGATTTTTAACATTTAAAAGAATCTTATCAATTAATAATATTTTAGATAAAGCAATAAAAAATAAAAATATACAAAGTTATAATAATTTTTAATTAACACACATTTCTAGAAGGAAAATTCATCATTTTCAGATATATTTATCAACTCTTGTTTATCTCCCGTTTTTAACTTTTTTCATTAAAACGTACGGAGCTCATGACATAAAGCTATTACTCATTTACTTAATTATCCCGAGGAAATTAGAGAGCAAAAACAAACAAAAACACGTATTTTAAACAAAAAACAAACACAAGAACATTAATATAATATTTTTTCCCGAAAAAAAGCATGTTTTTTTCTTTTCTAAAAAATGAAGATCATAAATATTGAAGAAAAAAAAGAATATACTAGAAAACCAGTTTCATTTTTAAATATAATTCTTGGAGCAGTTCTAAACATGTTTGAAGTATCAACTCTTGGGCAGCCTTTTGAGGGTTCTTCCTATTTTTAGCATTATTTTATCTCATTTATCTACAGTAATTAAGGTAGGATATTTTGCTTCAAACAAAAAAAACCACATTCCTAGAAGAAATCTTATAAATACGCCTAGACGCATATGGCAGCAAATAGAGAAGATTCTATTGGTACAAGTATCAGAAAAATATGGAGCAGAGGACGTATTTTAGGATTTTATCAAGGTTTAATTCCATGGGTTATTATTTTACATGTTTAATACTTGGGATTGATGATTATTAGGCATGGATTGAAGCGTCGACCAAAGGAGGAGTTTTACTATTCACTGCAACTATGGTAGAATATTATGCACAAACTATGGGTGCGAGCCCTTTTATTTCAGGCATTATTGGAGGAATGGGTGGTGGCATTGCACAAGCATATGTTACTGTATCAACCATAATTTGTATATTATATTCTTATGAAAATAGGTTGGTTTCTGTACTTTTATGAAAACTGTTGAGTAAGTATTAATGATTTCATACACATTTTTTTATAAAAATTAGAATAACACGGACAAAAAAAGCAAGTAAAGGAGTTAAAATACCAAGTACGTATGAAATATTTATGGATAAATATCGTAAAGAAGGTATTCGTGGTATTAATAAAGGAGCTAATGCAGGTTATAAAAAATGATATCGTATTTATATAAATTCTAATATGAATAGTTGCTCTTCGTCAAATGACAAATTGGGGAAGTCGTATTGGATTCAGTCGTCTTATTGAGTCACAAATTAAAGTATTTAAAAATAAAAATCCTTCAGAAGAACTTTCCGCATTAGAGAAAATTCTTGCTAGTTTTCTTGCAGGAGGACTTTCATGCTGGAATCAACCTGTTGAAGTATTCTTTAAGAGATCTAGTACACTGTGTATATTTATCATGCATAGGTTATACGAGTAGAAATGCAATCAGCAAAGATAGATTCTAATCGTCCTTCTAAATTAGGAATAATTTCAACATTGAAGTATGTTTACAAAGAAAACGGAATCCAAGGACTTTATAGGCATATTTTTTTACTAATATTTTTCTTACTAACTTTTTAACTAGAGGAGTTACTCCAAGAATAGGTTTAAGTGTTTGGCAAACAATTTGTATGGTTGCTCTTGGTGATATGGTTAATAGATAACAAAAAGCTTTATTTTCGTTCTAATTACTTACTAGGCTAAACAATATATAAAAAAATAGAAAATTAAATACCAATTAATATTCATTAATCATTTGTGTAATAATATAAAGTATATAAATGGAATCTTCGGCTTATCAATTTCTAATATGGTTCTACTGCTACCATATAATTGCTAATGTAATTTATGACAATTTTACATTTGTATATTAATATTAAAAATATCAATTTTTTCTTAAAAATCATCAAAAATATAAAAACTTAGTCTTATATATAATAAAATACCTGTTTGTAGAGTCTATTATTACTTATAATACTTTAAGATTAAAAATACAAAAATTTAATATTGTTAAGTATTAAGTAGTCAAAAATAAGTATTTATAATTTATTAAACAATGAAAATTCATTAATGTAATATAAAATTGTATAAATAAAAGAAAAATATTAACGTATAAAATCATAAAATATCCAACTTCTTTTCCCATTTATAAATAAAAAATCTTAAACATTTGTATAAATAATAAAACAAATATTATATAATAAACAAAGATATTAAATGAACAGATATATAGTTAATTATAATCCACGGAAATTGTATAAACATGTAGAAGCGCAATTCACATACCTTCTAAAATGTACAAAGAATATAAATTTTAAAAATAAATAATTAACTAAACAGCAAACCATTCACTACTGCTTCTAACTGTTTCTCCGCAAGTTCAACATTTTTAGCCTCTCTTTCTGATTTATAAACCAATTTTTGCCATTCAAACATGGACAAACGCTTTTCCTTTAAAACTCCTTTAGATTTCTCATCTAAAAGAGCCAATTCCCTATTCAACCGTAAAAACTAAGACAATTAAAAAATCAAAATTATTATTTCACTTGTAAACCTCCTTTTCCTGTTCTTCAACAGGAGATGTAAATATTCGAGCTGATATCTCCAAAGCATACGTATTCGTAGGAATCTTATGTAGCCGTGATTGTTGAGAACTTCCAGTAAAATTTTCTCCTAAAGAAACAGTTATAAACCTCGAAAACCCGCAAATGACAAATCGTGCACTGATAAATTACCTGAATCAACAGACAATTGTCGATAGGATGAACTCTCGCCTTTATAGGCATTTGAAGATCCATAAGAAGTTTTCTCCTTTAACGCTTTATATGTCGAATCTGCAAATGAATGGGGCAATGAAGAATAATACCGAGAATCCGAAGAATTCCGAAATTTCTGATTCTCTGAATGAGGAGATGGTGACCTTGAGGTAAAACGTGAAGACCTCTCTCTAGGAGAGGCACCTAAATCATGTCTTGATGATCTGAAATGCTCAAAATTCCTGGAACTAGAGCCCTTAAAAGATGTTTTTGAGTATTCTTTGCGTCTATCCAAATATTCACTTGAATCTCTACCAAAAGCCGACGACCGAGAACCACCATTATGTCTAGGAGACCTTAAAGACTTATCTGAAGAAATATAACCACTATTATGTGTATTTTTATTCAAATGACTATCATAGTCATTTGTTCGATGATAAGTATAATCTCGCCAAGAATCAGACGATTCTTTTAAAAACTTATCTCCAGTAGAAGGATCTCTATCTCTAAACAGTTCAATATATATTTTCATACAAAATAACCTTTCTTACCTGTATTTTTGTCTCATACTTTTCAAGTCTTTATAACGTCATCTTGAAAAAATATAAATGTTACCATAGCAACTAGATAGCTTTTTCAAAAAGTGTATCCTATATAATAATCTAACACGTTTTTAAAAGATAAAAAAACTTATAAATGTAACTAAATAAATGTTTCTTTGATATTTTTTTAACAATTTTTCTCATGTAAAAATAGATTGATCTTTCATCAAGTGTATCAGTAGAAAAACAACCCAAATATGTGTGTCAGTGTATGATACAGTTTATAATACCAAAATGCGTAGATTACATATAATATATACGATTTTTATAAATCCTTTGTAAGTTTTGTTATAAATTTCAATAATAAAGAAACTTTTTTTGAATGAATATAAAAACATTTCTAAATATTATTTCAAATATTACCACTGACGATAAATACAATCGTATATATCGTAGTAACCTCAACTTTTATAAATCATTATTTCAACAAAAAAGAAGAACATTTATAGCTACATACACAGAAAATACTTGCAGTAGCAAAGATTATGGAAACAGACGAGAAATCTCTTGAAACAGCACTTTTATATTGGGTATTAAGATAGATTTAACATTTTTTGATTTATACATCTAATTTCTATATGTCAGATCAACACATTTGATACAGACGATACAACACATGCAATTCGTTCTATGGATAAGTTATGTGATGGTGTTGTTATTTATCGGATTCTAATTGATATTGATTCTCTTTTTTTCCATAGTGCAATTGGCGCTACACCTACTGAAAATGGGCCATCCAACTGGGTATTGCGGCTAAATAATAGTATCTAAAAATTATTAAAGATATTTGTATCTAAGTAAAGAAGTAAAACGGCTATATAAATATCTTTCTCGTTATTATGAAGAACGTCTAAACCGATATTTTCCAGAAACGAATGAATATGTTCCAGACTTGGAAGCCATTGCTAAAAATTTTTCAGAAAAAGAAACAATTAAATTTCTAAAACTTGTACTAGCATGTTGTTTTTTATCAGATCAGCGCAAAAAATATTTAAAAAAAGTTCAAAACTTAGATCTTCAAATACAAACAGTATTAGAAAAAACAGTTCACGAGGTAAATATATTTCATTAGATGTTTAAAAAATTAAACAGTAAAGATCATAGAGTTAGAAAAAAACGAGACAAAAAATAAAGAAAAGTATAAAAATATATTAAAATTTATAACAACTTATATTGAATAAGTGAAAAAAAAATACTACAAACAGAAGATCAAATGGCAATTCTTAATAAAGAAAAGGACATCTTAAAGAAAAACTATAAAGTGATTCTAGAAGAAAATATTAAACTTAGAGAAGATCAGGTTTACTATCTATTTCTATCAGTTCTTTATTCTTACTTTAATTATATAGCAAACAATGAAATCTAAACTTGAAATAATTTCAAAAAAATTAAATGGAACAGAAAATACATTTGAAAATTATAAATATCAAATAGATAGTCTTCAAACACAACTTAATCAATCTAAACAAGAATTGTCAGTCACTATATATTCGTATTTATATATACTAATACGTTTAGAAATCAATATAAAAACAGTATGGTAGAAAAGAACATGGAAATTGAACAAAAGAACATATTTATTACTTCTTTAACACATAAAGTAAGTATTTATTTATAACAAGAACTTGAATATAATTTCATATAGAATGAGGAACTTATGGAGAAAACAAACGAAGTTATATTTTTGAAAAAAGAATTACAAGAAGAAAAAAACAATATTGAAGAGTTAAAGAATATCATGAAAAAATATAAAGAAATTAAAAGTTCACATATTCCGGACCAAAATAAAATAAACAATAAAAATATTTTACATGAGTATTAAAATATAAAATAGCAAAGAATAATCATTTTTTTAAACTAATTATTAAATAGAAGCACGGATAAAACATGTCTATTAGTTAATGATAAAGATGTGAATAATTATAAGTCTGAACTAAAATCACTCGAAATTCTTTATAATCAATCCACCGAAGAAAAGAAGCTATTAGAATCTCAAATCATCCATTTAACAAATTGTTTAAATATTATTAAAACAGATGATAGAATAGATATATCGGATAAAAACATACAAAAACTAGAATCATATCAAGAAATTTTAAACAAGTCTACAGAGAATTGCTCAAAATATTCAAGTAATCAATTTAGAAACCAATTAAATATTCATCTTGAATCTCAAGTATCAGAACAAGGACTTAATATATCTAAAAAAGAATCTTCAGAAAAAAGTATCGTAGTTATAAAAAATATTATAGATAATTTTAAAAAAACTAAAAATAAAACCGAGAATAAATATTTAGAAGACAAAAAAAAATACACATTAAGTTCTCAAATAACTGATAAAGATGAGGGTAATTTTTCTGAGTATGTTTCATCAAAAGACTATATAATATTAACTAAAAATAGAAATTCACTATTCAATTCGTTATATATATCGTCCAAAAAACTTTCTGAAAATCCCTCAAATTCAGAAATTCAAATACATAAATCAGAAAATTCATCTAATTTGGAAAAAAATATTATTATGGAATCAGAAAGTAAACATATATTTATTATTAACTTATATTGATTTGATTTAATAGATCAGGATGATATTTATAATTTAAATTCAATTGATAGAATAAACGAACATAAGGAATTGCAAACTGAATTAGAGGAATTAAAAAAAAACATCAAAATTCTTGAAAATAAAAACCAATATCAAGCAGTTTTAATTAATAGTTTATATACAGAAAAAGATAAATTAACACAAGAATCAATCAATAGCAAAAATGTTTTGTCAAAACTGGAAGAAGAAAATAAGTAATTTAATGTTTAATTCCTTTAGTTACCATATTAATTCTTTTAAGTAAATTAAACTCAATAATTATTTCTATTTCAGAAGATAGAGATGAGGAGAAAAAAAAACAATTAGAAGCTCAGAAAAAAATAGAAGAACTTCAAAATGAACTTAACCAAAATATAACAGGTACTTTGAAAGCAAAACAGGTAACTCACATATTTTATACTTGATACTATTTAATAATTTAAAGCTTTTAAAAAAACAAAACACTATGATAAAAGAATTAAAAGAAAAAGTAAAACAGATATTCTTACTTTAATAGTTATTCTAAATAAAATTAGGCATTATCCGGAAATATAAATGAATTATATAACGAACTTTCACTTAAAAACAAGCAAATAGAGGAATTGAAAGTCAGTATACATTCTAAGTTCATCATTATATTAATAATAAAGAAAACTAATGTTGAAGAAATTACAAGACTGAAAAAAGAAAATATGCTTATGAGCAATGCTTGGTGCAATTTAGCATCTCATATAAAGCAAAACGACCCAACTACACAGTACCCTTTATTACCATCAGATTTAACAAAAGCAAATCGCAATCTCAAGTGAAATTTTGAAAAATTATATAATCTTTGAATCAACTATTTAGTTAAGTATAAACATATTAATGATATAATTAATTTTTATAACAAAATATTCATAACATTATCTACAAAATATCTAATGCATAATTTAATTAAAACATAATACTGTATAAATTATTATATACTAATTATTTCATGATATATAATCATATCCATTCTTTTGGATTTTTAAGAATTTCAATTAGTCGTTTTTCACGAGGATCTTTTGGAACATATTGATATTCCCAAGATGCAGTAAAAGGCAATGCTATCAGAATCCTTTTCCAATAAATCCCTAAAACATAAACAATAGAAAAACTTACGATTCAATACGAGAGCTTGGAATACTGAGTCCAAATGCTGTACCTCTATCATATATCATATTAAATTCTACATATCTCCCGCGTCTTATTTGTTGGAAATGTCTTTCTTCAGGTGTATATTCCATATCCTTATAAAAAAAGTCAGCTAAAAAAAAAGAAAAAAAGCGTTACCTTTCGACGTAAAAGAATTGGAATATAAGAAGGCAAAAAAGCATCAATACAATCCTTAATAAAAGAAAAAAGTTCTTCTGGGTCCTTATTATCTAAATCATCAAAAAAAATTCCACCTATTCCTCTAGTTTCTCCTCGATGCTTAATATAGAAATATTGATCACACCATTTTTTGAACTTTGGATAATACCCTTTATCGTAGCGATCGCAAACTTCTTTATAAGTACTATGAAAATGAATTGCATCTTCATCAAAAAGATAAGATGGAGTAAGATCTGCACCACCTCCAAACCACCAGATTTTTGGAGAGCCATCATTATCTTCGACTTCAAAATAACGATAATTTATATGGATACTTGGTGCCATAGGATTATGAGGATGTACAACAATTGATAATCCACATACATGAAAATCCAATAGTTTTCCTAAATTTATCAAACATTGATGATTTTGTCGCATTTTTTCTATAGTATCATATGGTAAATTTCTTTTCACTACTGATATATTAACACCTGATTTTTCAATAACATTTCCCTTTTGAAGAACACATGTTTTGCCAACTATCCCATCTCTTTCCCAAGAATCTTCTTCAAATTTTTGGCCATCTATCACTTGTAAAGCCTCAATAATTTCTTTCTGTTTTATTTTGACTAACTCTTCCATACGTTTAAATATGGAAGTATTTTCACCAGTTTTTGATTCATTCCCCTATAGTCCATATTAATATTCCAGATATTTGCAATAATATACAAACAATCAGCTCTTGATTAATAGACTGGCATTGGACAACAAAATTCTGCTATATTTAGTCAAAAAAACTCCAATTTAAAAACATAAAATCAAAACTGACATTCTTGTTGACATATATAAATATACTACAAAGTACAAACCATGTAAATCTCATTCCCCATAAAGATAATTTTTTAGAAAAAACATTTTGAAAAATAAAATGCAATTGATTTCTAAAGAATATATAAGCAATCAGATTAAGCCGTTTATATATAAACACATTACATACAATTGTATTAAGTGCGTTGGATGCTCTAAATAATGAGTAAATGAGAATAGAGGTTTTTCAAATAAAAAAGAAAGATTCTTGTTTAAATATAGCCATGAAGAAATAGAAAAACGCTTAAATTCATTTATTGGAAATATTGATAAAGGCTTTGGAGCCTGAATATATCTAAATAATATAAATGAATTCTCAAAATTAAAGTGAAAAGCTTGACGATGAATCATAACCTATTTCTCAGAAAATATTAATAATTAATGTATAAAAACTCTAATAATACTAACTTAATAATATTGAATTTTCTTACTGATGAACTAATTTTTTATAAAACCAAAGTCTCTAAAAAATAATAAAATATTATAAAAATAACAGTCTTTACATAAAAATAAAGTAATATAGAAAACTAAATTTTTTATTTACTAATAAACTAAAAGTTTTAAGAAACATTTAATATGTTCAAAGTAGTATGTTTTAACTAAAAAATACTGAAAAATTAAAAAATAATTTAAACATTAAAATCAAGATTTCAAAATCCTTTTTTTAAGTTCAATTCAAATTCAAAAACAATTTTTTAAAAGTCTAAATTTTAATATAATATTTAAATCATATAATAACAATAAATTCAAAGATAAGAAAATAACAAATAATAATAATTGCAAGAATTCAAATGATACAATATTTTATGAATAAAACAATTCTTTTAAGGAACCAAAAGAAATAACAATAAAACATTAATTTTTTTTGAAAAAATAAATGAAATATATTTATTTAATAAAGAACCATATTTCCAAAATTAAAATATTTTATACTAAAAACTAAAATATAACATTTTTCCGATAAAATAATTATATTCATATTCCTAAATAATCTTTTTATAACTTTACAAATCAATCTTTTAAACATTTATAATTAAATCAGTATATAAGCTAATTTTAATTAAAAATATTTTTTTAAAAAATAAAAATTGAAATACAAGTACTTCTAAAAAACATATTAAAATTACTCTCTAAACCAAAAAAACATAAGATAATATATTTCATAAAAGTATAAATTAATTATATACTCATTTTAAACATATTATATAAATTTCAGTGACAAAACATTCTTAAATTATCTATCTAAAAAAATAGACATTTAAATGAGTAGAAAAAAATATGCGTTAATAAAAAAATAAATATTATCAAAACATTTTTTAATCTTAAAATTCTACAAAGTTTACTTATATTCTTTAAAATATATTAAAAGAAACATTTTAAAAAATTACATTTCACAAATAAACCAATTTTACCTAAATAATTCTTAATAAAGCATATTTACAATTAAAAACTTCTATATATTTTATATTATAAACGCATTTAAGAATTTCAGAAATAGAATGAAAATACTCATGTTAAATTTAAAATATTTAGTTTTTAAAGTATCTTTTCATAATTAAAATTTATCATAAAGTTTATATTATTTAATCTTTCGTAATTATAAACAATTGTCCTAAGAAAACTAAAAACTTATTTTGTAATTTCAAAACAAACAATAAATTATACTAATCGGTCTTTTATCTAATAAAACATTATCTTTATCAATCTATATTAACAATAACATATTAAATAATATAAACCATGAAAACTACAAACATTTACTTGATTAAAATAAATTGAACATCAATACATACATATATTATATATATAATATTATATATATACATATATATAACTTTAGGACTAAATTTTCCAAAAATGATCATACTTATACTTTCACCAAAATCATTACTACATATAATACACTTAAAAGAATTGCTTCTGAAAATTTAAAGAAATCTTCTCTTTAAAAATGTTTTTAAGGACAGAAAAAAGCATAAAAAGTACACAAATAATAAAAAAAACATATTTCTCAGAAAAAAATTAGTCCTTAAAACAAAACATTTTGTTCAATTTTTTTATATGTAGAACTGTTAAAACATCAGAACCACACTTATATATCCCTTTTACAAGCTCTACTAATTTATTATAAAAATACACACTCACAACTATTGTACGTCATACAAATTGATATAAAAATAAAAAACCCAAATATAGCTAAAAATACTTATTCAACTATTTTCCCATTTTTTAAAACTATAATAACTCAAATTAACACTTCCCAAAAATAAATATTGATGAAAATACATATCAAACATACTTTCATCAACAGAATACCTACAATCTTTTTTCCTTTGCAACAATTCATTCAAAGAACAATGCTCTGGACGCGGATGATTTCTTTCATACAGAAAATAACTAAAACTACCTACACCCACAGCAAAAACAGGATCAACCCATCTAAAAAAACATAACTAAAACTATAAAAGCCACAGAATCCAAATACCTCGAAATTAAATAAATATTTTTCGAAACAATTGACATTTTTGTTTTTTTTGTAATTTTGCGAACAAAAAATCAAAGAATAAAACCATTATTATTCAAACAACATATAAACACTTTTTACAAAATCTCCAACAGAATCCCAGCAATTAAAGTGAGTTTAACCACTATAACTTCACATTTCATCTATAAAAACACTCAAAACTGCATAACATTTCCACTAACGCTTTTTCTGTGCAGTTTTCGCCTCTTTTTTAACTAAAAACATGTAAAAAAAATGAAAAATACCAAATTACACCATAATATACCCTTAGACTTTGCTGGTGGCCCTTTACCTCGTCGGCGCCGTCTAAACACTTAATAATACACTATTTTCACCGGAAAAAAAATCCAACCTATCTACATCGGCCTTACGAGCTTCTTCAACAGGATCTGACAGTTTAAGCTCTGGAAACGACCGAATTATTGTTTTAGGATTAATATCCATCCTCGAATAATAATCAAGTATAGCTGGCCCACGAAATCGTTGGCGAAGAATACGGTTTCCGTTCCGACGGCAATCCACATTGAAAGTAGTACCAAATATACGTGAAACAACAGTTGCAACCTCTTGTAACCGCTTTTTTGACGGCAATTTAAACATTTGTAATTTTAGTGAACATTATTGTAGTAATCGATAAGTTCTTGATGACGTCAAAAAAAAGTATTAAACTATAAAGTATGTCAAAAGAGAAAGAAAAAGCAGAAAAGACAGAAAAAACAGAAAAAAAAGATAAATTCATATGTGTAAAAAATATATATCCTTTTAGAGCGGTTCAAATAGAGCTTTTAGGAGAAATTTTGGGCAAAGTTTGTTTTTGAAAAGTTGGTGGATTTTGTGACACAGAAATAGAAAAAAACAGCACAAATTTCATCTCTTATAATACATGGATATCACTTTACTGGAAAAACAAGTATTTTACGGGCAGTTCTTAAGTCAATGGAGGCGGATTTTATATGGATTGACTGTCAAGACTGTTTTTCTTTACGTATCCTTTTTGAGCGCACAATATGTCAATTGAAGAAACTAGTAGGCCTAGATGAGCCTTATGAAAAGCTCAAGTCTTATGATTTGACAACTTTTACTGTTTCTATTCAAAATATCTTTTTAAAAGCTAATTGGACGAGCAATATCATCTTGGTAAGTTGCTTGTCTCTTTTTTTACATAAATAAACAGCTTTCGACATGAAAGATACAAATAAACATTCAAAAAGTCTTTTTCAATAAAACACTTACATCTGTATAGGTTTTTGACAACACTGAACAATTACATTATTTTAAGGTCAATGTTCCCACAATTGTCTTATTAAGATTGTCAGAAATGGTTAGATCTTTAAAACAGTATACAAATACTTAGTATATACAGTCTTTTGTTCCTTGGTTAACAACCGTTTTAATAACAACATCATTAGACAACTTGACTTGGGGATCGTATCATGTTCCTATTATTCATTTTCCATCCTATTCCAGATCAGAATTTCTTGAAGTAATATGCAAACATGAAGAATCACTTAGATTATTATCTGATACTCTTAAATTTGAAAAAGAAAATGCAATGACAAGTACCGATTATATTAATCTTTGGCAAAAATTCTGCGGGATTTTATGGGATACCTTTAACTCAATTATAGAAGGTGATTTTGATTTATTCTTTTCTATATCGAAAAAGCTCTGGCCTATATTTATAAAACCTATAGAAGAAGGCAAAGCGAATAAAAAAGATATCATAAAACTTTATAAATATAGTCAACAAACTTCTATACTTTCTTCATCTAAAGTAATTCTTGAAGAACTCTCAAAACTTACATATCTTAATACACTAAGACCTTATCTAAAAAACATAGGTATGATTTTGAAAAATATATTACATTTAAATAAATCATTAGATATTATGGATCTTTCTTGGACCTCAAAACATCTCATTATAGCATCTTATTTAGCATCATATAACTCTCCTTTACTTGATTCCACTCTTTTCTCTAAATGCAAAAGTAGTACAAAAAAAAGAAAACGAGTAAAAAAGTCAGCATCTATAGTAAGAAACTACTGTATAAAAAGTCAAGCTAACACACCGATAGATGACTAACCAAAGACTTATAGGACCTAAATCATTTGTATTGGAAAGAATGCTAGCTATATTTTTAGCAATTCAATCAGATGAAGATGTATTAACTTCTGATATTTATAATCAAGTATAATTATTCTAATGTCATAAAACAAACTAATAAATACTCAAGATTGAAGCATTAGCTTCTCTAAAAATGCTTATTAGAACATCATTAGCATCTAATAAACTAGATAGCACAAGCCGTTGGAAAGTCAATGTTGGTTGGGATTTCATCCAAAAAATTGCAAAAAGTATAGATTTCGAGCTAGAAAATTACTTAGTAGGATAATATCTTTCCCGCTTTATACATATAATAGCAAAACCATATGAATAATATTAACTAGAACACCACCATTCCAAATGTGTTTCATTTGCAATACATAACTCCTCAAGCCATCTAGTCGACATTTGGCAAAATTTGAATGCGCGTGGCGCCTTGTTAAATTCTATAGGTTTCTTCCGCAATAGTTTTCCATCTAATGTAGACCAAAAACGTACTTGGTCTTGTCCCGCTTGAAATAATTAGTTAAAAAATACAAATGTATTTCATTCTAACCTGCTGCAACAATTCTTTTATCAAAACTAATATCAAAACCAAGCCCAAAAGAATATTCATTTACATAACCATTAAATGATAATACAGATTGAGAAAATGAATCTCTAGAACGAAGCATCCTTATATCATACATATCAAGCTATAATATTTAAACAACAAGCAAATAACATATTCAATACATACAGAACTTTTCAATCCTGCAACAATGAGATAATAATCCCCAACCAAACCAAAACTTGCAACACTAGATTTGTGTCGAATTCCTGATTCAACAGAACGTAACAGAGCCCTCTCTTCACATCGAACATCAAAAAAATCTACCCATCCATTACGACAGCCAGTCAAAAATACATTTAAATTTAAAAAATCAACAGCAAAAACATCACTTTTAAGATTATAAAAATGTGTAATACATTCAACATTATTATCAATTCCTTTAATCACCATAACCATCTTAGATCCGCCTAACATTGTCAAACAAATAAATATTTTATAACTAAATCCAAACCAACTGCAGCTAATTGACCAGACGGGGAAATAGCAGATGCCCATAAAGCATTTTTCCTTCGAGGTACAATAGTTATATTAGTATCTACTAATTATAAAAAAAATACATATGCTCATAAAATATACCGAAATTAAGTATGTTTTCTTCTATATTATTTTTTATAACACCTATTTGAAAATGACCGGGATTTTTCTGATCACCCATAAATGTACAACTTCAGAATCGTCAAAAATTAGACAAAAACTTCGAAAACACTATCTTACATAAATTTTCCTCCAGAATCAATATCCAAAGACGTCAATTCCGAAGTAGATCGAGAAATATTCCACTGAAAAGGCTCATAAACATCTTCTGTAGATTTTATTCTAATAGCCCTAAAAATATGAAAAAGAGAAATAAAGTGAAAAAATAACCCCAATAAACCATAAGATGTTCCAAACAAAATATGATTCATATCAGGAGTAAAATTTAAACAAGTGATCAAACTACCACGATCAATATTTGGCTCTTTAATATGATGCATAAAAAGCCGATTTATCCATAAAGTATCATAAGAACGAAAAATAGACTGTTTTGTATATCCTATACGTTGCTTTCCAACTTCCCGATCAATATTTCTTTGAAAAAAACATGTTTCTACTTTTTGAGTCATTTGAGCCAATAGAGCTGCTTTTTTCTAAAAAATTGATAAAAAACCAAGAAAAAGCACGAAATATACCCTTTCAAATTCTATTTTGTTCTTTTTTCGTATATTTTCCAAAGAATATGGGTATGAAGCATCTACAAAATGGTTTTCAAAAATCTTAAAATACCTTCGTTTTTTTTCATCTAAAATAATTAAAAAACATCTTAAAATAAAAAAAAAACGCATTTCCATAAAAAAATCCAGGAACATTTAGCCTATCTCCAGCCATTTAACAATCTATTTAGTAAAAATCAATAATATTAAAATAATAATGGTCGATAGTCAATAATTAAGGAAAAAATATAAATAATTAATATAAATACAGAAATAATGATCCATGTTATTATTTACAATTACTAGTATAAATATTTCGTCATCTTGAATAGCAAAAAACAACATACTTATTCATTAAAAAATTGTCTAAGTTCACTAGCAAAATGAAGAATAGACAAGACAATTCGTGAATAAGAAACTCTAGGAACAACCTGACGCAGCCGTTCATACAAATTATCCATTCTATTTTCAATCAAAATGAGTATTTTCGAAGTAATTCCTGAAAAATGATGACTCTAAAAACATTAGTTAATATACAGAAAAAAAATCAATATACCTCCATGCCCATCAGTAATTTGAAACAAAGTTCTAACCATTGCAATTTCTTTTCCATCAATGGGTCATCAATATCATCCATCATTTCGGATAATGTATTAGCTACTGAAAACAAAATAATATAACTAGCATTGGCTAACATAACTTTAGGATCTATAGTAACATAAATATCAAATAATTCATCCTTATACGGAGATTGAGCCCACTAAAACACATTAAACCAAAAATAAATAAAAGAGAAAATACAATCGCTAAAACATCATTATAATAAGATTTGGCTAGCAAATCTTTAACTGATGACATAACTTCTTCTTTAGATTTATGAAAATCTCCTAAATATGGTTAAATATATTTCTTAAATAATTCATCTACCTAAAGATTTTGAAGTATTTTCTAAACCCATATCAGATTTATCTAAATTCATTTTAAATAACAAACTAGAAACATGCATTTCTAATGATGAAACATTTTTTAGTAAGACCTCAATATTAGAAAGATCCTTCTTTCTTTCTTCACAGATGTATTTTAATAGAAAATCTATTTTTTCATCGTATTTGTTTTCTATTTGAGCTATTTTCTGAAAAAAAGAATTTTCTAATTGAATAATAACTCCTTTTATAAAAGACTCCATTTCAGAACTTAACCCCTTAACAAGTACCTTTTCAAGATTTTCAGATATATCCCGAGCTAAACATGTTTTATCCATAGATTTCATATAAGTATTATGAATTTCTGCAGCTAATTCATGACTTAATTTTTTTATATACGACATTAATTGTGTCGGTTGTCTATCAGTAGTTGAAGAGAATTTATTAATAATAGGTAAGATATTATTCTTTACTGACAAAGAAACATTTTTTTCTATTAATTCTTTCATATTATTATTTAAATTTTCAAAAACCTTTATCTAATTAATATATATATATATATGATTTTAGTAACTTACTTGCAGCAATAACTTCTCTTGATTTACTCTGACTTCATCCCTCTGAGCTATAATTTCCTCAATTTTTTTGCCTTTTTTTATGAGAATAAAACTTAAAACATTTAAGATCTTACTTTGCTTATTAAACTCAGTAGAAATAAAAACTTTAATAAATTTTTTCAAATTTACTTGATCAAATGTATTGAAAGAATTGTCATTAATATTTAATGCACCGAGTGAGAAATTCAATTCAGAAGATTCACCAATATCATTAATTTCTTTTTTATTCACAGAAGAAATATCATCATTTTTTAATTTTTTCCTTTTATTAATTCTAACAGTCTCCTGTTTCAGATCCTGAGCATTCTGGAACCTAGTATCAGAAGAAATTTTTTGTTCAGTTGAAATTTCTTTATTATGATTCACAGGCTTTACAACATCATTACTACTATCACTTATAACTATACTTTGAGGCGTATACATATTTATATTCGATTCACTCAATTCCTCTTTTGCTATTTCTTGTTCTAAATTAGGAAGATGTAGAATTGTATAACCCTTATCATGTGCAGCAAATAAATCCAAAGTCGAATCATTTATAGATACAACATTAAAATTATGAAGAATCCTTTTCGAAACAAAACTAAATACATAAAAACTATCAAAAAGGGACCAATTTTTAGAAGAAGCATCAATAGTAGTATTTTTAGAAACCAAAGATTTAATATAAGAATCTTGCGTCATAGATGTATCCAAATCTTTATTATTATAATGAAATCGATATAGAAAACCAAAATGATCATTAACAATTAAATTTTGTGAATCACTATCATATAAAGCAACAGAAGAGACTTCGGAATTACTATTTTCACTATTTCCAGTTAAAACAAGCTCCTGAGAGATTAAACCAGAATCTAAATCCAAAAGATATAATTTCTTATTATTCCTCAAACCAAATACAAGATGTTTAGAAAGAACACCTGGCTGTTTTAAACCTATGAAAGAAACCCAGCACAAAGGCTCATTAGAAACAGCATATGAAAGCAAAGGTGCAGATATAACGAACTTAATGCTATGTTCTATATGTTCGTAAACAGTCCATAATTCGGCAGTCCCATCCTCATGAATCGTAACAAGAACTCTCCCATCAGGAGAAAACGAAAAATCCTCAATATATTTCTCTGCAACAATAAAACCAATATTAGCATTTGAAAGAGAAATTTCATATCTTTGAAGCTCTTCAAACCGATCATGACTAAACTTAAAAAAGTATATACGATTCAAAAGCTTAATAGCAACAATATTTGGTATTGGACAAAATTTAGCTCTTATTTCTGTATTAGACATAGAATGTTCTCCATTAAATCGAAAAACCATTTTAACACTTGAAAAATATTAGAAGAATAAAAATGTTGAAAAAATTCATACGATTTAGAAGGATTATTGAATGACGTTTTCAGAATGTTCCATATAATAACTCCACCATTTGAATTTGTACTCATAAGATAAGTAATATTATCAGGATTTATAGCATATTTAGAAAACGATATATCATGTATTTTCGATCCAAGTTGACCTGTTAATAAAATATGAGAACCATCGTCTTGATTCATAAGACGCAAATTTCCATCTAATAATACCTTAATATTTTAAAAAAAGAAAAAAAAATCACCTACCCTTAGGTATAGCGTAAGCCAAATAATTTTTATCGGCATCAATTGTGTGATTATTTAATGAATCAAATGTTATAGTCAATCGAGCAATTTCTGACAATTCGATTTTATCGCAAAACCCCAAGTTTTTTGCAAGCGGTATCACTAGTCTCAGGAAAGGTGCATCTGGAAAAATAATCCTTCGAACGCCATGAGGCTTTCCAAGATCATAGTCTTTTTTTAAATTGATTTTTTGAACCGAAGAATGATCAGCAAGATTTTTTACAGGAATAGATTCTCCTTCAAGCTTAGGAACACCAGATTCATTCGTCCTAGGAGGCGCTTTGAGTATTTTTTTTGGTTTTAAATCAGACATTCTAGGATTTGTAACAGACAACTGATCAAAAATGTTAGTCGTAGCAAACAATGTTTTTGGTGTTTTCTCATTTATCGGTAGTGTCCCAATAGACGTAGAAGATGCAACAGGAGCTGTTGCAGTCAACGGTGCAGCAGCAGGCACAGTTGCAGAAGCACCTAATGATCCTCCACTTACGGGTGTACCCACTGTCCATGCATTGGAAGATACATCACCCGTTGATGAAACTAAAGGCACAGAAACATCAGAAGGTGGAACGTCAGTTAAAAGAATCGACAAAAGACCATTCTGAGATGGAGTCATTGACACTGCAGACGACGAAACACCAGGTGATGCAGCTGATGGAGAAACAGTCGCAGAAACACTCCTGTCTACACTAGGTGCAGCTGTAGTACCAGATACATTTACAGGACGCTCAGATGCAGACACAGAACGCTCCTTCTTAACCACATCTTTCAACAAACCCTCATTCTTCGATTCAATGAAACTAGAGATATATTCCGGCTGAAACGCCGGCTTAAGAGACAAAGATCCTGATTTGTCAAGTGCATCTCCAGGCTTCCCCATCAATATCGACAAAAAATTACTCTGAACATCACTAATCCCCTTTGATGGTCCTACAGATCCCTGATTATTTCGCTCTTTTGAACACGGATTAGGTCGTAAAAGATCCAATAAAGAACGACTTGCATCCATTAAACAAAATAAATGTTTTACAGACGTTCAATCTTCTTATTCTCTATAAATTCTTCTTTTTTTAAGAAATATCTTTTTTGTGAACGTTAAAGACGGACGTTAAGGCAAATGAAATCAACCAGCTTGTCACGTGACTTCTCGAAACATGGCACCAAACGCGTTGTATCACGTGACCCACGTCAGAGAAGGACGAGATGTCAGAAAAGACGTCAGAAAACAAGAAAATCTATTTTTTTTTAAGATAAATCAAAAAAGAATAAAAAGAATAAAAAAAGAAGCTGAAGAAGAAGATGTATTGTCTATGCCATTTTCTGCCGTTTTTATTTGTTCCAACAGCAGCATCACCGTATTTTTTGACTGTTTTTCTAATATCACTTTCATTATTGCATCGGCCATGGTAGGCATGTTAGTAAATATGAAGGATCTGATGGGAAATAGCATCTACTGTTCGTTAATATTGATTACATTATTTAGTACAGCATGCTACTGGCGAGATAGCTGTTTTCTTGATTTCAGCGATCGACGGCTGTTTCAGCCACGGTTTTTGAGTACACAGAGCACAAATGCATTGGGGTTTAGTAGGTTTCTAAAGCTTAGGGAAATATTGAAACGCAAAGAATGGCATCAGTCGCTCCTGGGGGTCACGATCCGTCTATGAAGAAGAAAAAAGTGTACAGGAATAAGGACAGAAATGATGTAGTTGGGTGCATAGAAATAGTATTTCTGGAAAAGATATAACATGAAAACGAAACGTTTTTACTTTATGTCCTCAGAAAATAATAAAAAGTACTAAATACGATATCTGTCCTTACTGTTCACTTTTTACTTTTCAACTAGATCGAAATATACACGTGAAAAACAAACTTTTTTAATAGTTAAAATAGATTTTCTTGGTAGATATATCCAACAGCATTTTCTAGAGTTCTATATTTCAATTTAGTCTTTTAATCATGTCTTTTAATCACAATTTCATTTTTTAAACAAAATACATATTTCTTTTTATTTTTAATATGTTATAATATTTATACGAACTTTAGAAAAATCTTAGAATCATATATAACAAACGGCAGAATACTTGATCAAAAAGAGGCCTCTTCAAAATAAATATCAGAGAAAATACAAAAAAATATTATGTATATACGAATTATTTAGAAACAATAAATTATAATTCTGATTAGTAATTATAATATTATTGTTAATCATTAATGTGAATTACTAAATATTCACTTAAATACATAGTATAATAATGTAGAATGGTATTGGTATATATTTATTTTGTTCGTAATATAAAAGATTCTTGAATAGCATGCATAATGAATGTCATAAGACAGAATATTCATGGTATCACATGTTAAAAAACTTTTCTACAATAACCATATATTTTATATGTAAACTCGCTATATACCAATTTACAACTAGTAGCAATTATACAATAAATAACTAAATATATCATAAAAAACAAATTCACACAAAAAATGCATTTTACATAGAACAAATTTCAATTAATTCTTCAATAATATCCCACTTTTAATATGTTATTTTTTCTGATTTCTTTATCATTAACACTATAATATTATATATACATTATCAATTTCGAAAATATTTACTAACATAACCAAAAATATATTTAAATAAATATTTTATAAACATTTAGTACTCGAAACACTGCGTAAATAAAAAGGAAATAAATTTCACATCAAGAACCTTTTAATCCCTTATCAAAATTCTGCATCAATTAAAAATATTTATAAATAAATTATATAAATCTTATAAATTTACAAAGAAATATCTAATATAGATAAAAAGATATAGAAAACTAAAATCAAAGCATTTGTACAATTCCTAGTAGTTTGTATTCAATATAAAAACATACATTTTAATATCTTTTTTTAACTTGAACGATTATACAATTCAACGAACATAATTTCAAAAAAAAAGTAAAATCAACAAATAACAGTGTTTTTAAATCTTTATAAAACATAGCATCACAGAAAACTCTCATGTCAGCGTATTCAACAAGTATATTTAAAGAATCACTTCGAAAACGACATGAAAACAATGATTCAAATAAGTTATCACATAATACAGAGCAAGAATTATTAGAACAAGATAATAAAAAAAAAGATTTTATAAAAGAAAAGAAGTGTTTAGTACAAGTAAGAACGTTTAAGAAAAATTATATATTAACAAAATGATTTTAGAAGAAAATTTCAAAATGTATAGTTCTTGTTATAGTTCCAATTATTTTATTTGCATTGGCCTTATTTACAAGATTGTATCGTATTTCGTATTCCAATCGTGTCGTTTGGGATGAAGCACAGTAAGCTTGCACTTGAAGCATATTAAAGACAACGTTTCTAATAATATTTTTTCAAGTTTTGGAAAATTTTCATCTTATTATATTAAAAGAGAATTTTATTTCGATGTATGTAAATAAATATAGTCATGTATGGCGTACTTTTACTAAAATTTTACTTTTAGGTTCACCCTCCTCTTGGAAAAACACTAATTGGATTATCGGGATACTTGTCTGGCCACAATGGAACATTTATATTTGAAAGCGGCACAAAATATCCAAAACCTGTTAATTATCAATTTATGCGCGCATTTTGTGCAGTATTTGGTGCATTATGTATACCTTTAGCATATTTTACGGCAATTGAATTAAATTATTCTTTTTATGCAGCATTTCTTGTAGGATTAATGGTCTTATTCGGTAAATATCATCTTCAAATTCTTTAGCTTCTTATATATATAAGATAATTCTCTTGCAACAATTAGCAGGTTTATTCTTTTAGATAGCATGCTGCTCTTCTTTTCTATGACCACAGTTTATAGTTTATTTAAATTTCATTCTTATCGCCTTAGACCATTCTCATACCGATGGCACAAATGGCTTTTTATAACAGGTGTGTCCATTGGATGTGTTTGTAGCATTAAATGGGTTGGTATTTTTATAACAATTTTATGTGGTTTATATACAATTGATGATCTTTGGGTCAAGTTTGGAGATTATAAAATGCCAAAGGTAAAGATAACTACATACACTCAAATATCCTTTTAATTTTTAGATGACATATCTAAGACATTGGATTACTCGTATTATAGCCTTAATTATTGTCCCATTTTTATTTTACGCTCTAACTTTTTGGACTCATTTTGGAATTTTAAATAAATCAGGCACTGGTGATGCGCAAATGAGCTCTTTATTTCAAGCAAATCTTGAAGGAACAGATATCAACAAAAGTCCTATTTATATTGCATATGGTTCCAGAGTAACCATAAAAAATATGGCTTATGCAGGAGGGTTACTTCATTCTCATGTCCAAACATTTCCAGAAGGATCTACTCAGCAGCAGGTTACTTGTTATCATCATAGAGATGGAAATAATGATTGGTATGTTCATCCTATTCATGGAATGAAACCAGTATCTGACGAGGATCCCATACAATACTTACAAAATAATGATGCTCTTCGTTTGATTCATAAGTCTACAGGATGCAACCTTCATAGTCACAATATCCCTGCTCCTGTCACCAAAAAGAATAGTGAAGTTTCATGTTATGGCAATCTTACTATAGGTGATACTAATGACCACTGGGTGATAGAAGTTATCAAAGATCCAGATTGGCAAGACACTCGTATCAAAACTATAAAAACTGCATTCCGGCTTCGACACACTTCTCTTAACTGCTATCTAAGAGCATCACGTACTCATTTACCTCAATGGGGATTTAAACAGATTGAAGTTACTTGTGATAAATCAAATAATCCCAAAGACTATTTTACACACTGGAATATTGAACATCACTGGAATGACCGATGTAAAAGAAGAAATTAAAATAATTTATTATTTATTAACTTAAATCAGTGCCCGCAGGTAACGTTAATTTCTATAAACCTTCCTTTTGGCATGATTTTGTCCACGCCAATATAGGCATGATGAATACAAACAATGCACTTATTCCTGAAAAAGGAAAAAAAGATGAATTAGCATCATATGCATGGCAATGGCCTACAGCTATAGTTGGTATTCGAATGTGCTCATGGGATGATCAAGGTTTATCTCAATTTATATCTCTAGAAATAGACTCAGTAAACTGATTATATACAGTTGTCAAATTTTACATGCTCGGGAATCCAATTGTTTACTGGATATCTACTGCATCTATTCTCATCTTTTTTGTACTTGCAATATTTTATACTGTTCGTTGGAAACGACATTATATTGATTTCACTCAAGGCATATTCAAAAGACACTAATTACTAGTAATACTTACAGGGCTTTAGATAGCTTTGATCATTTCCATTATTCTGGTGTTTATCCTGTATTGGGATGGGCACTTTATTATCTTCCATTTTTTATCATGAAAAGGTATTTACACATACTTTACAACATTACTAACTATTTCCAGAGTTTTATATCTACATCATTACTGTATGTAAAATAATCAAAATTTTCTTGAATTTCTAATATTTAGTTCCTGCACTGCTTTTTGCAATTTTAACAACTGGTTTCATTTTCGATCATTTTACTCGATCTGCATCGACTATTGTACGAAGTATTATTTTTACCGTTGCATACATAGCCATTGTCGCAACATTTATCCATTTCAAAGTCTAAATCCTATAATAATATATTTATTATCCTAATTTTATCAATAGGATATTACATTTGGCATGCTAGGACCATCTACTCAATGGGCTCATTTACAATGGCTTTCTTCTTGGAAAATTAGCAACTAAAAGTCAAAAAATAACAATGGAGAGTATATCACTAACGTATAGCAAAACATAAACAAATAAAACTTCGGCAATATTAAGCAAAAATGTATCAAAAGTACAATCAATACACATTTAACACATCATTAAAAAATATTCATTCTCTAATACTCTCCAAAGCCTCGTGGTGTCCTCACTTATTCTTTGTCAAGGTTTTTTCCATATTTTTTTCAACTTATCTCCAATTTATCAATTTTAAATTGTTTTTCATAACAATCTTTTTATACACAAAAAATATAACTAGTCCAGGATCGACATCTTTCTAGATCCATCTATTCCATCATCTCATTATTACTTCAATTAACCATACTTTATTTACACTTAGATATCCGCTTTAGCATCTTTCCGTTTCAACATCGATTTTGATTTTACGAAAATCAGCACAAAATGTCTTCTGTTAATTCAAAAAAAAATCCATATATAGATGATTTCATAAAATTCCTGTAAGAATAATGATATATAGAAAAGATTTTTATATATATCTGACAATTTTTTATAGAAATAGTTCACCTACACCATTTCATGTTGTTAATACAGTCAGCAAATATTTATCTTGCGCTGGGTTTAATGAATTGAAAGAATCCAAGCACTGGGAGAAGAGTATTGAAGCGGAAAATAAGTATTATATTACACGAAATAGTGCTTCAATTATTGCTTTTAGTATTGGTATATTTTTTCCAATTGAAAAGTAAATTTGTTAATTTTTAAGGTAAGGATTGGAAACCAGGGAATCCGATAGCTTTTTCAGGTGCACATGTGGATTCACCATCACTAAAGTACCATGATCTTATCTTTTTTGTTTTAATAATTTTATTTTAGAATTAAGCCAATTTCTAAAAAAACATCAGAAGGGTATCTTCAAGTCGGCATTGAAACATATGGAGGAGGAATTTGGCATTCATGGTTTGATCGAGATCTTGGAGTAGCAGGACGTGTTATAATTCAAGACAAAGATGGAAATATCACACAGCGTTTAATTGACATTCAAAGACCATGTAGGTTTCATTAGTGATCTACCACTGCAATTTTATGCAGACTAATTCATTTAAAAAACTATACTCAGTCTTCTAGTAATGCGTATTTCAACGCTTGCAATTCATCTTGACCGAGAAGTTAATCAAAAATTTGAATTCAATAAAGAAACACAGTTACTACCAATTATGGGACTAGAATCAAGAAAACAACTAAAAGATCAAGAAGATCTAACTAATACAACCTTAAGGCATCATCATGAGCTTCTCGATTTGATTGCTCGAGAATTAGATATTGAAAGTAGAAGAAAAAGCTTTTTTACTTTAATATTAAACAATTTTTTAGAACATCAAATCATGGATATTGAACTAATACTGAAAGATGTACAGCCTGCTTGTATTGGTAGAGTAATTTTTTCATTGTACTTGAATTAAGTTTTATAGGCGGAATTAATGAAGAATTTATTTTTTCAGGGAGACTCGATGACCAAGTAAATATATAGTATTCTAGACAACCCAATTGCTGAAAAGCATATTAGGCGATGTGTTATTCTATTCTCCAAGGCTTTCTTGAAAGTTTTGAGTCAAGAAAAGACTCAGAACCAGATTCTATTATCAGATTGATGGCATTATTTGATCATGAAGAAGTTGGCTCAGTAAGTGCTCATGGTGCAGAGTCAACTTTTTTACCATCAGTGTTTGATCAAAATAATATTTTTACAGTCTTTAATAAATCTCTATAGAATAAAAAGACTTTTTAATTCTAAATTGGCACAAAAATACGATAATTCAATAAGTTTTGAACAAACGATATCTAAAAGCTTATTAATATCTGCGGATATGGGTATGGTTTTAATAATTTTTTTTTATTTGTTTACTAAATACAGTAGGACATGCAATTCATCCTAATGTAAACATAAATAAATTTCATTATTTATTTTAACATATGAAATAGTATTCTTCCAAACATGAATCTAATCACAAACCTAAATTAAACCAAGTAATACAGTTAATATAATTTTATAATACTTAAATAATTTTCTATAGGGACTTGTGTTAAAAATCAATTCTAACCAACGTTACGCAACAAATTCTCCAGGAATAGTATTTGCACTTAAAGTTGCCAAAAAAGCGCATGTAAATCTTCAATGTAAATTTCATTATCTTTTTCTTGTTTATAATATTGTTATATAGTCTTTGTAAATTCAAACACTATGCCCTCTGGAAGTACAATTGGACCTTTATTAAGCGCATCTCTCGGAATCAGAACAGTTGATATCGGAATTCCACAATTATCAATGCACTCTATTCGTGAAATGGTAATCATGGCCGTTTTTAATTTTTTTATACTAACAATTTTTATAGGCAGGTGTAAATGATATTAATAGTTCTATTCTTTTTTTCAAAAGTTACTATGAAAATTATGCAATTATACAAAAAGCAATAATGCTTGATTGAAGTAAATGTAAAAATGAAATATATTAATCACATATCGCCTTTTATACAAAAACATACTTTATAATTATATATTTTAATAATTAAATACACATTACAATCATATTGTTAAATCTAACAACGCCATATTAATACAAAATCCCATATTTTGGAATTTTTATATATTTTAAAATAAAATTCCTTTTACAAATACATAAAATTCCAAAACAGATGCCTCATTAATTTTTTATAAAAATGATGATATATCTTTCAATGTATCTAGCATAGAAACTAAACCCAACCAAAGACATAAATACGGTTGTTTCCGATTCATCAATCTCAGACTATTAACCAGTCCAAAAAGATTCGAAGCAGAAAAAATAAATAAAAACAAGCCTAAAAACACTAAAGTTGCTACCGTAACGTCTTATATGCATTATTCTCCTGAATAGCACCCACCCATGGAGAAACAAGTGTAGATGGAGGTTTTGAAGTGGGCTCCGGTGCCGGATTAGAACTTTGCTGATGCTTTTGATTTACATTATTTTTCTTATTTTCACCACGCACTGATAACTGCCGTCTACCCGTAGTTTTTGAATTAACAACCATTCCAATTTCAATATCAGGCTCTTCCATAATGTATCCCCCTTCGAGTGGTTGTCCACCAGTTCCGCCCCACTCTGCAAACATACACCAACGACGATCCGCATCTGTTAACCGCTTTATTGGAATTATACTGATACCTGTCGTGTAATTGCTACAATCCCTAGGTCCAAAACCAACTCCCCATTTTGTCTATATTAAATTAATACAGATTTTATATCGTTCTAAGAACATACTCTAATGACTGTATTATCATGAACAAGCATTTCCATACCAGCACGCGCTGCTTCTGCATCCTTACGTTTATACATCTTAATGAACGCATGGCGAGCATTATGATTAATAATACAACTTTGAATATCTCCATAAGAAGAAAACATACGCTGCAATTCTTCTTGAGAAATACTACAAACTGTAAAAAAAAATACAAAACATATTGTACATACCTTTGTGAAACACCGCCAATGAATAAAGTTCTACTTAACACTAAAACGTTAGCCAAAACAGAAATTTAAAACAGTCCAGCTGATTTAAACAACCAGACTGTTTGATAATATACACACCTTTAATTGAATCCTCAGGAACCGATGGATCCCGGACATAATGTTTCAAAGAATTAGATGGCTGAGATAATTGAGATGAAACATGAGATGATTGAGACGGAGCATGAGAAGATTCAGAAGAGGGTACTGTGTCAGCTAAAGTACGATCATAAGAACCTGTACGTACTAGGCGTGGTGTACCAGTAGCTGGATAGATTCTCGTAGAAGGTGGACTTGCACTACGTTCATTGGACTGTCGAAAAGCTAGCTTAGATCTTCCACGATCTTCTGAAGGGCGAGAAGACCTTGACAATGGCTCTCTTGAATCCTTTCGCCTCAGCAACGATGGAGGCCGACCAGAAATGTGCAAATCAGATGATATCCCACCAGATATTCCTCCAGATACATTTCCTTGAGCACTTGTTGCTCCTGAACATTGAACGGATATTCCACTATGTTGAGCAAGTGTTGACGAATGCTGTGCCACAGACGAATTTTGCAATATAGTTGAATGTTGAAACACTGAAGATGTGTCTGCTGCTCGTTGAGTACTATCAAAAGACTGTAATGCCTGAAGTGCAGACTGCGTATTCCCATGCATAGTTTGAGTACTATTGAATAAAGGCAGTACTGGTGAAGGCTCACTAGGTGTTTGCGACTGTACATGTTGAATAATTGACTGAATCTGAGCCGCAGAAACACCTTTCTGTGTAAGCAGCTGAAGTAACGCCATTTGCTGTGCTTGTAAGATATCTGATGACTGTGGAGGAAAAGAAACAGGTGGCGTAGATGCCGATACATGTGAATCCGACGATTGAGAAGAAACAGGGAAATATGTATTCGTACGAGGATCTGCAGGAGATAAAGCAGCTCCTGAAGCAGTACTTAAAGAACCCAAAGAATCCTGAGCTACAGATGTACCTGCAAAACCACTCAAACCTCCAGAAACCCTAGAAGAAGTATCATTTACACCCATCATTTGCAATGGCATTTGCTGTAAAGTCTGTTGCCCTTTTTGCACTTGCTGAGCCATCAATGCTAAAGCTTGCAATACAGCAGGCACTACAGGCGTTGTAGAAGCACCTGTATCCCCTAAAGTAGATGAAAACGACCCCGTTTGCGCAGTATGACCCACTACAGACTCTGTTTGCCCTATTGCAGAACCAATAGACTCTGAAGGAAGTGTAGGAGCTGCATGTACCCCCGAAGACATAGAGGAAACATCTCCAGAACCCGATTGTGGTGTACGCGAAGACTCTTCTGCAAAATGTGCAGTCCGAAGTCGTAATAATAGTCCTGCAGGAAATGTTGCCGCCTTTTCCCATATATTTACAAGTTTCAAAACCTTCTCCCGATGTTCTACAGGTGCATAAAGCATCATATCATTCATCAAACTTTCCAAAAGCTGTGTTAACTGCTGAAGACCTCCTGCAAATGTCCCATCTTCTGGTGCATTACTATCTCCCCGAGACAAATCCTGATATGCACGTGCAACTGAATCCAGAACATAAAGAACACCAAGTTTATGCGTTCCAGGTGTCTTTTTAAAATGTTTATAAAGAAGCATTGCCATTTTCCCACTGTCCTAAAGATATAAGATAAAAACAAAAAAAAAAAAAACCAGCACAGCAAAAACCAAAAGCAGAACATCATGAAGAGAGCAAACAAAACAAATCATCAAAAATATACAGTGCAGACACCGAGGGCATATAATACGTATACAATACGTATACAAGACACGTATAATACGCAAAAAACATGTGTACAACGCACACAAAGCGTATATAGCCCCGTACATGTATTCCACAAACATAGAAAATATACCCTGAATTAGATCTCATAAACTACGTAAAATCAAAAGTTGAAGCAGATGCAATCCAATAAATCCAAATAAAAACACCCAATATACACACTAGATACTTCTATTCGACATAGACAGCACATAAATACCGTATATAACGAATATATAGCTGATTTTAAAAAACATCTACCTATGCTTCAAAATATCCAGTTAATATTCCAATATATATAACTCAGAATTTCAACATATATACCCAGAATTTCTGCACATGTAGAGATAATTAAGGCATATACAACTAAGACAATGATGTCTCCTCTTTCATGTTCTGCAGCCATAACACTCTTACCCCTTAGCCACCACTGCTATTTTACCGTGCTTGAAACAAAATAGCAACTTACCTTAACATTCTGAACAGCAATCTGCGTAAGCCGTTGAACCTTAGAGCCTGAAACACCTGGTGGACGTGCCTGCCAAAGACCCTGCAAAATGCCCTCAAACGTCTCCATCCGATGAACTCCCACCAACACCCACGCGCACACAATGTGTTTTAAGGACACATACGTGCACGCAAACATTGAAAAACCTCTGTCTATGATAAAATGAAGCAGAAATGAATATGTAAAAAATACACAAAAGTGCTATGATAAAACACGAGGAGTGTTCCTTATCTGCTTCTTACTAACACGGATGATACTAAAAAGTTAGAAGAAAAAAACAAAGGGAAAGACTTACGGAATAAGACAACTGAGAGGCAAAGATTTGTCAAAAAAACCATGAAGAAGAAGCACAGAAGCAAAAGGACGACGATCAGGATCAACTTGAAGAGTCTGATTTAAAAAGTCACGAAAAGAAGGACTAAGATTCTCAAGCTGAGTAATACGAGGAGTTCCGTTAGTTGCAATGAGATAAAGAGCCTGAAAAGATAAGATAAAGAAAAAATAAGAAAAAAAGAATACTCTAAGAGGATTTTCATCAAGATAAGGTGGTTCACCATCAATCATTTCGATACACATGATGCCAAGACTCCAAATATCGACTTTTGGGCCATATTCTTTACGAGTAATAACTTCAGGAGCCATCCAATATGGTGTCCCAACCATGGTAGTACGTTTAGCACAGGATTCATTAAAAAATGCACAAAACCCAAAATCAGCTGTAAATTGAAAATTAAAAAATAATAAAAACAAAATATTAACATACTTAGTTTAATGCGACCTTCAAGAGACAATAAAACATTATCAGACTTGATATCTCGATGAATAACACCTTTCGAATGCAAGTATATCAAGCCTTTGAGAACCTAATAACTCAATGAAACTATAACAAAAAACAATATACCAACATACCTCTTTTACAACAGTTGCAATCTGACTTTCTGTCATAATATTTGACATTAAAACATCAGTCAAACAACCACCTTCCATATATTCCATAATAACCCATAAATCGTCTTTAAATAAAAAGCTATCAATATAATTTACAATATTTTCATGTTTATTTTGCTTCATAACAAGAATCTCATTTATAATCAAATCCCTCTTAGGTTGATGTTCAAGATTAATTTGCTTAATTGCAACAATCATATTTGTACCAACTTGATATGCTGTATAAACACCGCCAGATGCACCTTGACCGATTTTCACAAGGTTACGATATAATTTAGTCGGATCCTGAGTATTACATATAAATTTCAGCTTTAATAACGCATGAGAGTTCGTCCTCGATAACTCCCTAGATACAGATGATTTTAATGAAGTATCTTTCAAACTTTGAGGAGATTTTGATATAGAGTTATCTGAAAAGGGTGGTAACTGAGAATCCATTTCAGGTTCTAAAAATCTGAAACTAGGTACTTTTTTCAAAGATGGTTCTTGTTTCTTATGACCTAAATTTAAGGTTTTTGACTTTTTTAGGACCGCAGGAAAATCTTTATTTTTTTTAGAGGAAAAATGAAATTGTTTTGAAGATAATGGATACAATGAAGCACTAATTCTTTTATTTGTTCCTAAAACTTGCTGTTTCGTACCAGAAGGTAAAGAAGGAATATCCGACTATTTTATAATGTAAGCAAATTTCCTCATACATGACAAAATCTTACAGAAACTTCAGACTTTTTTGGAAAAACTGTCGTTGATGACAATATTAAAGAATCTTTAAATGGTTCAGAACCAAATAAATCTGAATTATCTCGCATCGTTTGAAAACTATCATCTATAGATCCAAAAATAGGTGAATAGGTTGCATCGGCATAAAAAGCAACAATATCCATAATTGCGTGTGGATTTTCCTCTTGTTCTTTTTGCGAAATACCGTTTTCAACAAGAATCTTCTGCCATTCCTTTGGCAAACCCTAAAAAATTAACATGTAATTGTAAATGTACTAATATAACATACAACAAATTTACGTGTCTTTATATCAAAATCAACATGTATAAGATGAACAGGATCATATGGAACAGATATCACTGCTTTCCTTTGAGATCGCAAGACTTCTGTCATACTATTGACAAAATGCCCCAAAACATTCTTAACAGATTTAGTATTACCAGTCCTCGTCGAAGACCGCATAGTATGATTAGAAATGTTGCGATATTCACTACGTGTAGAATATGAAGACACTTTTCTAGATACGTCCACAGATGTATGTCCTGATCTATGAGATAATGGCGAAGTCTGCGGCAAAACATTTGATTGCAGTGAAGGTGATGTAAAAGAGCTTAATGTCGAATCTAAAGTATCTGACATAAGGTGAGAACGGTCAGAAATAGACGAGACTTCAAAAGCTCCAACACTTTTCCCATATTCTATAGGAGGCTTTGGTGCTGGGCGATGTGGTATCAGATCCAAAGGTGACAGATCAACAGTAATCTTTGTCGGTGTACCACCATATCTAGACTTTCCATGGGCAGAAAATACACGCTGATTCTTAGTTGAAGGAGACCGTGACGATATAGACGATGAACGAGAGCTTGATAGGCGCTCTTGCAGTATCATTTTGATACGACAATACGTCCTTACAAAAACACTACAATACCAAAAAAGCTATTGCTTTTCCCTTCAAAATGTAAAACCCAACAAAAATCACAATAAGTCCTTATCTATATCTCCCACATCCAAAAAACTTCCCTTCTTAATATAATTACAAACTTCTACCTTGTTAATCTTTTTCTACAAAATCACTAAAAACTCACCGTTTTTAATACTTCTTTTGCACCATACCAATAAATAAAACTCAAAAAAGTTAAAATAAATCTGTATCTCTCCTAAATTTACACTTTCTCTACCTGAAAAACCCACACAACAAAAATACTTTTTTTCTGATGTTATCCACCCAGACGTCGAGACCGTTCTCCAAACTATCATAAGAACACATGAGTGTCCCATATATTTGACCCAAAATACCTTATAGTTCACAGTAAAAACGATATATCTAAGGATATATCTAAGAAAAAATATACAAAAAAATACAAAATATTTGCAAAATAAGATGGAAAAACAGCTTATATTTGTCGAAGAACATTCATCTTATAAAAAAGGAAGCCTTTCAGAGAGTGATTTGTGCAAAGATCCACTTAAAATGTTTAAAATTTGGTATGAAGAAGCAGTGCATCTACAGAAAACAATGCAACTACAGGAAGCAAATGCAGTGACATTATCAACAGCTTCTCTACCACTAGGCCGTGTTTCTGCACGAATTGTATTATTGAAAGAGCTAGACTCCCGTGGATTTGTTATTTATAGTAACCTTGAAACATCTCGTAAATCACAAGATCTTAAATCAAATACCTGGGCAGCATTAACATTTTATTGGGGACATCTAGAAAGACAAGTACGTGTTGAAGGGAAAGTAGAATATCTGTCTGTTGAACAATCACAAGCATATTTTGATACACGCCCTTTATTATCTCGTCTGGGTGCATGGTCATCAAGACAAAGCGTTCAGTTAAATGACCGGTCCGAACTAGAAGAAAAATTTAAAGAAGTTCAAAAGAATTTTTCAAAAGTTTTAGAAAACAAAAATGAAAAAATACCAGTTCCGCCATTTTGGGGAGGATTCCGAATCGTCCCTGAGTCCATAGAATTCTGGCAAGGACGTGAAAATAGACTACATGATAGACTCATGTATACAAAGAAAGACGATGAATGGAATATATCTAGACTATCACCATAAGTTATAAAAAAATAATACTACTTATATAAAGTCTTACACATATATGAAATCAAAGTACAGATGGTGGATTTTTAAGTAAAGATTCAACTTGCAAAACTACAGCTTGAGAATATGAACATGTCTTCATTTTCTCCAAAATATTTTCAGCAGATGCTGTATCATTAATTGACAAATAAGCACGAACCATTGCTTCAAAAGTCTCTGGAGTTCTTAATTTACTGTTTTCTTGTGTATCAAATAAATCAAAAATCTTCCTAGCTTTATCTATTCGATGTTCATGAGTCCAACCATGAATAAGTAAATTAGCAATATCAGCAGTTAAAGGAATATTCTTTTCTTTCATTTGATGCAGTAATTTACATGTGTTTTTTATACGTTGGTTAGCAACATATGCTTCTATTAAAGATTGATATAAAATTTCGTCAGGTATTACTGGTTTAAAGCTACGTTGAGTAATAGTGTCAAAATATTGTCTAGCACTATTTAGGTCTCGATAAACGCACCCTTTTGCATATATAATTGCTCCGTAATGTTGAGTAGTAATAGGAACATTATTTTTTGTCATCTCAGTTAATACTTGAAGTGCCATATTTATATCTGGAGGGTCATTTATAGTCCAGCAGTCAATCAGAAGTTTATACGTATGTGCAGAGGGAGCTATAACCCGATTGCGAAGCTTCTCATAGTACTTAAGTGCCATTTGTCTATTTTTTTTTGTATGCACATAAAACTGCATCATTATATTATATGGAGCAACTCTAGCATAATAACGAGGACTGTTTTCCATCTCTATAAACAGCTCATTTGCTAATTCTTCATTTTCTACTCTACAACACGCATTTATGATAGTTCCATATGTAATACTATTTGGAAGAATATTATTCATTTTCATTTCTGAAAAAATCTTAAAAGTTTCTTCTACTCTTCGTGCTCTAGAAAACTTCGATATAAGAACATTATAAAAATATGTAGATAACTCAATATTATACGATTTCGCTTCGTTATAAATTTCCATGGCATCATTAGCTTCTTGATAAACATCAATTTTTTTTAAATTTATAATATATGCAGCAAAAACAGCTGCACTCGGAGAAAACCCAATTTCTAATAATTGCTTTTGATATTCTCTTGCTGTTTCTATTTGACCAGAATATATCTGAGCAATAATCATGCTGTTTAAACAAAATCCGTGATAACACAATTCAGTATCTCCAGTAAAGTTTTTAGAAATAGAATTCTTTGCAAGCTTAAAAACCTCATTCACTAAATCCAACTTTTTTTCTTTTCCAAGACGTTCCAATAATCTACAATATGCTTCTGGAGTAATATCTTTTCCTTTTTTATATGTTATATATATATCATGAACCAAAACGGAATAGTCATTAGTTTTGTTATGACAAATAGAATCATTTAAAATTTTTTGTGAAATAGAAAAATCTATATCAGGATGGTTTTTAACTTGATTCCAATCACGCATAAGATCAATAGAAAGAGGCCTTAAATCCCGAAAACAATCATTTTCTACATTAACAGAATTTAAAGAATTGGATAATTTATATTTTTCAATATATTTTTCCCATTGAATAGATAAGTGCTTTTTTCCTAAAATATTTAAAGTATCAGAAACAGCTATTACAAAACCCGGTGTGATAGGAATATTTTCAGACATTATATCTTTAACAAGCTCCGGTAATACTTTACATGCATATGAATCTTTTTCTTGTTTAATAGAAAAACATAATACTCTAATACTTAAACTTAATATAGTCCTTTCCCATAATTTTAAATTAGCTTTCCATATTTCCAATGAGTCTTTCTTTTCAATAAAATAAATCTTTAAAACATATTCAAGCATAGGATAAGGTATATGAAATGCAGTGTCATAAACATCCATAATAATTTTCAAAGATAACTTAAAATCAAGAAAACCTTTTTTTTTTAATTCTTCCATTATAGAAACACCTACCAAAGTAAATCCTCGACGAATATATCTCGTAGATCCAAAATGCTGAATATTAACTTTCATGCATGTTTTATACAACTCAAGCGCAGCATTTACGTTCCCATTTTCAATCATAGCATGAGCAATCAATTGAGTAGTGACTTCGTCTGGTCTAATTCCCTCAATAGAAGCTGTATTAAGAATATTACTTGCGTAATCATCTTTTTTATGTTTCAAGCATAAAAGTATAAATTCAAAAATAACACTTCCAAACGGTTTTATAGATCCAATAGAAGAAGAATAATCAACAAGTTCAGTTGCAACATCTAAATCATTTGCTTTGATAGCTGCACTTATAACCGGTATTATACAAGAAGGTGTAGGATCAGGAAAATTTTTATCTTCTTTCATGCGATCAATCCATGATTTAGCAGTCAAATAGTCCCCATTAAAAGAAAACCCATATATTATTGTTTTCAAAATTTTATACGGAACAAAAGTACTATTATCAGCAATTAATTTCTCAAAAAATAAAATTGCACCAGAAAGATCAGACGATCTAAAATAGCCATCAATCAATGCCGAATAAACATCATATTTATCATGAGGCTCCATTTTTGAAGCAAAAAATTTATATTCATTAAAACATTCAACAATTGATCTGATATCTTTGTACTTAGAAAACCCCCTAATTAAAGAAATAAATACTTGTGGGTTTGGAATAAGATTATGATTAATAATTTGCTCATATATCATAAGAAGCTCATCTGTTTTTCCAACCAAAGCACAAATACGCATCAATTCTGAATATACATTAGAAGGATAAGGCCGAAATCTAGCGCTAACACTAGCTTTAAATATCTCGCATGCCATGCTTAGATTATTTTCATTTTTCAAAGCATTTATTCGTTCTTGAAAGTAAACACTATTTGAAAGACCACGTTTGACTTTATTATTTAATGCTTGAAGCTGAGAATAGACTTCTTCTTCACGCATACAAAGCACTAAAATAAGAGTTGAATATATTGATACACTCGGCACCAACTGATGTTCGAGCATAGACTTATACGTATCAAGAATTGTATTTATCATAGCTACAACACCAGGTTGACGGATTTTAACCATTGACTGTAATATAATATCATAAGATTCAATAGTAGGGATAACAGATGAAGCCCTCATTTCTTCATAAGCTCCAATTACGTTAAAATATTTATTTTCTGAAAATAAACTTAACAGTTTTTTTTCATATTCTAAAGCAACTGCTTCCTGAGGCACAGGTGACCCCAAAGACGAAAATTGAAGCCCTTCTGGTCTACTAGAAGATACTTCTAATGCAGTAAACCCATCTGGAGCTTGAGATTTCAATATTCCATTTGTCTTCGACCAAACACAAAACAGGTGCCTTTGATTCACTGGAACTCTTAAAAAATACCCTAAATTACATAGAATCTGCACATTAGAACACTTTCTACTCCGTTTTTCCTCCCTAATATACACTTCCCACGAAAAATTTAAAATCCTATGTATTCCTCTATAAATCATCCAATTTCACCACTTGAAAACACACATTAATATTCTCTAAAAATCAATCAAATATACCATATTTCATAGACAAAATATAAGCCAAATCTTTCCAAAATTCTCTTTAAATTCTTTTTTTAAACTTCAATCTACGTTAATATTTCTACATTACTCATCGATCTCAAACTTCATCACCAGATGTTGCTATGGAAACATCTGGATGACATTGCTGGCAACCGTGCTCAGACAGATCAACGTCAGCAATTAAAAATCAAAAAGATTTGTACAAAAAAACAGGTCTTTTGAGGGTCATTTAAGAAGAAAATAAATGAAATGAAAGAAAAACGGACAGCAGTTTCAGCACCGGGAAAAGTACTTCTTGCAGGAGGGTATCTAATTCTGGAACCAGAAAACGAAGGGTTTGTTCTTACACTTTCAGCAAGAATTGTATGTATTGTTGAAAACCGGGAAAAAATCGACGGGAAACCAGAGATACGTGTCAGGTGTCCTCAATTCAAGCAACCAGACTATTTTTTTCATGTAGTTTTTGACCAGAATGACCTAGTTTTGGGAATACAAGAAGTGTAAGAAAAACCCTATCAAAAAAGCTTTTTTCATACAATAAAGTAGTAACAAGACACGAAATCCTTACGTATATTATGCACTAATTTATTCAATACTTTATTTGAATCCAATGACGATGCCAAACCTTTGTATTACTATATTAGCAGATAATGATTATTATTCACAGACAGCTCCACGTTCAACGCTTTGCAAGTATAATCGGTTCGATGTTCCAATAGAAAATGTTCACAAAACAGGAATTGGCTCTTCAGCAGCGCTCATGACAAGTATGATTGCTGCTTTATTAGTCCATCTCTCTGACGGAAAATTTGACGTCCAAGTAACGCAAAACAAATGGATTATACACAATCTTTCACAGATAGCACACTGTTGTGTCCAAAATAAAATAGGAAGTGGGTTTGATATTGCAGCAGCATGTTTTGGGAGCTGCTTATATCGAAGATTTGACCCGGCTATTATTGATAGCATTGCAGATTGCACATCAGTTCACTTCAAAAAACAATTAGCAAAAGTTGTCGAAAGCTTATGGGACATATCTATAGAGGAGTTGAATTTTCCTTCAGGACTTAAAGTTCTATTAATTGACAGAGATAAAGGAACATCAACATTAAATATGGCCCGGGATGTTCTTGCATGGAAAAATTCAAATGCAGAAGCTAATGTTATATGGGAAGAATTAAAAAAAGCAAATGACATGTTCTATAAAACAATAAGTAAATTAACTAGTGCCAGCCAAGAATTTGAATCAGATTATTATGATGTGTTAAAAATCACAGGACAAGCTCCATGGGACAAAAATAATATACAATTTGAGAAAGAAAGCACAAAACATTTTATTTTCGAACTTTTGGATGACTTATATTTTCAGTTAAAGGTTTTTATATATCTTTTTACCCACTACATTTAATTATTTATAGTTAATTCGACAGAAATTAAAAATAATAGGTATTAAAGCAAATGTCCCGATAGAACCGTCATCACAATCATCTCTTCTTGACAGATGTATTCAAATCCCAGGTGTTTTAGGTGTAGGAATACCAGGTGCAGGCGGTTATGACGCTATTTTTTGTATTATTATTGAACAAAGTAACGCAAAAAATGATATATCTAATATAAAAATGGAAGAAGACAACACAAATTTTTCTATTCTTTTATCTAATGAAGAACATTCTGGTTTAAAAATGAAAAATCCTAAAGAATTTGAAGTTTTTTTGGATTAAACATGTATTAATATCATATAATATACAAAATAAGTATTTTACTTAATATATTTAATATAATGTACATTATAAATATCTAGAATATATATTCCTAATGATTCAAAAACTCTAGCAGAAAACATCAAAATATTTTCTTAAATACAATCTTCCAAAAATACATACATTTTTAAATAATAACGTATAATTCAAAATAAATAGTAAAATTCGCTTAAATCATATAATTCCTTTTCTCCTATTTAGCAATCATAATCATAATAGCTTAATCATATTAATAAATGTAAACTAAAATCAAAAATTAAAAAAAATATCCAAATCATATTTTCATAACTCCGAGTTTTTTTTCTTAAAAAAATAGTATTTATAAAAATAAACTGCACTAAACAAATCCAATTTACTTATTTTAAAATACTATTAATTAAAAATCAAGATGTTTTTATATATTATTTGTTATATTATAACTGGTTAAATAAAATAATCATTGTAAAAATGAAAAAATAAACATAATACATTTTACTTCTTCGAAAAAAACGAAGTGATTTTTGTTTCATTTAACTTTGTCTTATTTTTTACAGTTTCTTTAGGTCCTTCAACATCGAGTTTTGATTTTGGCGGAATAAATATTTCATCTTCAGAGAATGATTCCCATACGAATTCATTTTTTGTAACTACAAAAAAAATCAAAAAAGATAAAAAACAAGGTATAAAATAAATTACCAAGATAACCTTTTTTATCACGACATGTAACTTTCTTCAAAACCTTTCGCCGCCCTCTTTTCTTCTTAATTGGATCTATTTGATCATTTTTAACTACAGATGACTTATCATCTTTTGAGATATCTTTAGAAGAATCAGGCACATCATCTTTTTCCTCTATAAAATATAAGCAAAAAAACAAAAAAAAAATCCAAACCTTGGTTAGTCATCATTATTTTCTTTAATTCATCAATTTCTTTCTGTCTTTTAATAATATTTTGTTCATTATGCACCTCTTCAGCTTCTGATAAAATTTCAACTATATTCATCATTATAACAATCAAAACAATTATTTTTTCTACCTGAAGTAGTAGGACTTGAAAGAGACGAGTAATTATTTTTCAACTCTGTATTGATGCTTAAATTAAAAAACGATTCCATCGTACTTAGTTTCTTTTTAGCCAATTTGGGGACATTTTTATGAGTAGTTTCAGATAAAGATCTGAAAAATTAGCCAAAAATAAAAATAAATCAAAATATACTTTAAATTATGCCCTACTTGAGAAAAATGACTCTGAGAGGCAGTTTTTTCCTTTTCCTTTTCTTGAGAAATCATAGTGTTAACTTGAGGAAGATTTGTTTTGGATGAAGTATCTATAAACTTTGTTTCTAAAACATCTTTATTTGATTCCTGAAGAACAGGTGATACCATCTGAAACTTATTAATAAACAAAAATATATTTGAATACTAACCTCCACATTTGGATGATAAATCATTCCATATTTTCTACATATTTCTTTTGATGACAAAGTTTCACTGTATTTCATATAAAAAGGCTTCAAAGAAGCATCGGAAAGAACAGAAACGTCCTAAAACAAAGTTTAAATAATTTCCATAAAACATAAGCCCTATATCCTACCTTATATGGGGTATATTCAAGAGCATAAATATGCATTGAAGTAATCTCGTCTAATTTTTGCTTCATGTCTGATTTCAAGTATCAGACATAAATAAAAAAACGGAAATATGATAACCCTCAATATTTTCCTCTTTTACCAAATAAAAAACCTTCATCCGTAAAGGCAAAGGCTCACAAGACATGATAGATGTATCTAAAATATCGCTGGACGAAGATATTGTTTCTTCCCGCAATAAAAACTCAGTATCCATAACTTCTTTAGTAATATACCCAGATACCATGTATATTGCGTGGCATTTCTTATTGTTTTCTTGACATTTTTTATGATAATTTAAAAGTGCTCTTAAAATAAATCAAATTAAATAAAAAAAAAAAGTTCTACTCTTTTGCATCTTCTGCATGAATCCCCATATTTTTACATAGAAAAAGATATGTAATCTTCTATTTTTTAATTTTTTCTATTAAAAAAAAGACAAAAATACCACTTTTTGCTCTTGTTGAATCCATGTTTCAAGAAGCTCCATACACTGGTTCATCATTTATATAAAGAATGGCACTAAAACATTGAAAATATCAAATTCCAAGAGCGCTTTAAAAAAAAACAATTCTTTGACGTTATCAATCGTTCAAAAACAGCGAACAAATTTTATATAAAAAAATAAAAGAAAAAACAAAGACCAATTGCATATAGATTATGTATTTTATTTATATTTAAAAAATATGCCTTTTAAAAAAATCAATATTTATATTTTGTAGAATAATCTAAATCTAAATCAAAATAATAATAATAATAAGATCCAAACCCTTAGGACTAATAACCAATCCCCTTCCTTTACGTGCTCCCTTGTACACAGTTTCTATTGAAAGTAAGAACAATACAACAATATCAAAAAAATACCAAAAATATCGATCAATTCTTGTTTATCTTCAAGCGCCCAATTAATTTTATTATTATTTCCTGTTCCTGAAACAATATATTAGGAATATCGGAACATCAAAGAAGACAACTCACCTAAATCAATCATCATATGTTTATTTCTGTAAAAAAACATAATTGTGCAACGATCATAAAGTTCATACATCTTTTCTTCTTTTTAAAAAGGTTCTAAGCAAAAATAAAGAAAAAATACCTGTTTAAAGTCCGGAACCTCATCAATATCGACAAGATAAATAACCTATAACAGTGTTCAACCATGATCTCCTAAGTAATCTTGCTTACAGCAAAATTGACAACTTTTTCTGCTATTTTATATAAAACTTCATCTTGCCTCATACATTCTTCATCCTAAAAGACATAATTCAGATCTTCCACAACGTTATAACAATCCAACGTACCCCATCACGACCAAAGCGAATAACAACAAGACGCTCTTCTTCTGCAAGAAATGTGAGCAAAAAAGAAACAAAAACACATATGCTTCATGTTACCAGATAAAATAGCTTGGTCCACATGCCTAAAAGGCATATTAGCCATATAATACTCTAGATAGCTCTCTTTTATTCACCATCCCCTAAAACAATTGATATTAGCCATAAAATCCCGGAAAAAAAGCAGAAAAAACACACGTTCTTAAATGTGGCAAAAAATAACTCATCTATATACTATTATACCAAAAGTTAGCCAGAAAAATACTGTTTATTGCCGCCCAACTTCTAATACTTAATATCGGACGTTCGATATCGATTTGAAAAATCGGTCGATATAAGAACAAAAGACGACATAAAAAATCAAGAATTTATCCAAATGGATCCAACCTCTAATGATAATATTCATGAACTACGACGAATTCTTCTTGATAAGAACAAGGAGTTTCCTCTAGGTGAACGTTTTCGTGCACTTTTTTCGCTGAAAACACTTGGAAGTCAAGGTCATAAAGAAGCCATTGATATTCTTGCAGAAGGTGCAAAAAACATGAAAAAGAGCTAAAATTCCACTAGAACTAACATATAAAAGGTTTTCAGGATGATTCTGAGCTTCTTAAACATGAAATCGCATATGTTCTTGGCCAAACACAAAATAAAGATGCTGTTGAATATCTTGAAGAAGTATTAAAAAATCCGTCACAGGAAGCAATGGTCCGGCACGAAGTACATATATATCTGTTCTTTGTGCCTGATTTTACCTGTTCTTAGGCAGCAGAAGCTCTCGGTGCACTCAATAGTCGTAAAAGTCTCCCGCTTCTTAAGTTCTACCGGGAAAAAGATCCCCTGGAAATCGTCCGCCAGACATGTGATCTTGCTATTCACCGGATAGAGTGGTTTGACTCTGAGCAGTGCAAAACAGAAACCCTTATGCAAAGGTATGCTTTCTCCCTTTTACTCCAACAGTTAATCCTCCCAGTTTATTCACATCCATTGATCCAGCACCACCTCTTCCACATGATCCACTCCTTACTCCCGATCAAGAGGTCCTTAAGCTTAAAAAGCAGCTTGTCGACCAGACATTGCCTCTTTTTTACAGATACCGTGTCATGTTTCGACTCCGCAACATCGGCACAGATCTTGCTGTTGACGCACTTGCCCTTGGCTTTACTGATCCGTCTGCACTTTTCCGCCACGAGATTGCCTATGTCTTTGGACAGATTTGTTCTCCTCTTTCAGTCCCTTCTTTGTCAAAAATACTTGCCAATCCTTCAGAAGAACCAATGGTCCGTCATGAAGCTGCCGAAGCACTCGGGTCTATTGGCATTCCCGACACACTGCCACTGCTCAAAACGTTTTCCCTTGACAAAAATAGAGTCATACGTGAGAGTTGTCTTCTTGGTAAGTCTTTTTTCTGTATTTTTTTTCATAACACCTCCAGCAACCGACATGTATCTCTATGACCATCCCGACCACCCACTCCAAATACCCACCGTGCCAAGTCCTATCTACGCCTAGCATGTTTTCATATTCTCTGCAGTCTTTTATGTATCCACATTATGTATCCACATAATATATATTGTATATATTATCTGTCTCAGCGTTGCCTCGACAACCCTCATCACTTAGTCGTAGCTTCACTGTATATTACACGCAGTACATGTGTCTCGGATATATCATATATATTGCATGTGCTGCATATGCCGTATATATAGTTGTAGTATATATCATGTATATCATATATATCATGTATATTATATGTATTGTATATATTGCATATACAGCATATATTGTATGTGCTGTATCTACAGCCTGGAACACTACACGTTTGCACACGCCTGCATATTCCGTGCGCCCCATACACATTACAGATTACGTAGGCTATACATAGGCTATATATATTATATACATATATACATATATTATATATATAATGCACACTATAACACCACATGCATTATACACACCACACGGCACGCACTGTACACTGCACACACTGTATATATTGCACATTGCATGCATCATGTGCAGCCGCATTCACCGTATACGCCAATATATACAACGTACACAGCGTACAACGCATGCTATATAATGCATACCCCTATAGAATATACTGTACAGTATATACTATATAGTATATACTATATAACCGATACTGTATAGTATATTCTATACCAGTATATACTGTGCGCCAATGCACAATACATACAATACATACAATACATACAACACACTGTGTATACAATACACAATACATGCAATACACAATATATACATACAATACACATCGTATCTTGCCATGCACACCCAATACCCATTGCATGCTCGCTGATACTACTCGTTCGTCGAGAACCGATATCTTTCTCCTCAGCACCCTCCGCTGCATATATTACTTACCCGCAACGCTTGCAATCATAAAACACTGTTGCTCCCTCGTCTGCACTGCGCATTTGCAGTGCACAAAACTGCATTTCTGAATGCCCGCATGATGGACATGTCTCGCTAATCTACATGCATTAGCGGCACCTGCAGACATACAACTACCGTAGCGCCTGCAGGCGCAGCTGCAGCAGGTACTGCTGCGTGCCGTGCACGCCGCAGCCGCAGCGCAGAGCCAAAGCCCGGCGGCTGTCGCGTTGTGACCATCCGTATCTCCTCGAGAACTGGCATCAGCAGAGCACAGAGAAGGGCATACCAGTGAGCGGGAAACATGCACAGCAGCTGCGGCAGACGAGCTCATCATCTGTAAGGTCAAGGAGGCAGCCGCAGTAGCGGCAGAAGACGGCTGAGCCAACGACAGACATGGCGTGCAGCGCAAGCGGGTGTGCTGCATAATGCACTCGTAATTACAGTTCAGAGTGTATACACAGCATATATAACAGCATACATGCACAGCATATAACATGCAATGTGCAGCGTGCATATGCGCGCACACGCATTATATGCGCTGTATATGCATAGATAGCATATACGCAGTACGTATACGCTATACGTACATGCATACCGTATATAGTATAACGCATACAGTGCATACATGTAGCATATAACGTGCGGCACAGTGTATAGTGTATGGTATATACAGTGTATGCAGCTATATACATAGTGTGCATATAGTGTGTATATATAGTGCACATAGTATATGCAGTGTATACGACATGCAATGTGCAGAGTACATTCTACATTCTATGCTCTGCACTCTTGTATGCACATTGCATCTGCAGTGTCACAATGTATGCGTTATATGCACACCGCATGCGTACTTGCTCAGTATATGCTCTGTACAGCACGTATGCAGCGGCACTGAGCATATACAGAGTATATACAGAGTATATGCGCCATATATGCGCGCTGTATGCGTCATGTATGCGTGCTCTATGCGCATTATATGCGTCTTGTATGTGCATTGTATGCGTTGTATGTGTGTTGTATGCATGCTATATGTGTGGAGTATATGCGCAGGTATGCGGAGCACAATAGAGGCAGTGCATGCAGCATGCATAGCACACTTATGCATATAATGTGCATATAATACGCATACAATGCGCATACAAGACGCATATATGGTGCATACAACGCATATAGTGCAGCAGCACTCACAGCGTCTGCATACAATACTGTTGCACACCCTCGAACCGACACCGGACACCCAGTGGTACTTGGATGGCCGCTGCCGGCACTCTCTCCAACAGGTGAACTGGACGAGCAGCAGCACTCTGCGCACAGTGTGCCGCCGTCTGCCGCACATCTCCTTGCTGGAGCGTAGGTGTATCTTTTCCAGTCCACGCTGACTATATAGATGCGGCGGAATGCTTGCAGCCATATGCACTTCTCCACTCGATATTATCCGCACACGTCTTCAGAGCGATCAGCGCCAACTCCTGCATACACCTCTCCATCTGCATAGACACAGCGGGTTTCTTACTCTCCGCCATATTATGTATGTCAGTACGGCAGCAACTGCAGTGTGTATTTCTATACAATTATATAATTATACAATTATACATATTATACATACTATACGTGTTGTATAGATATTGTATAGACAAATATGCACATTGTGTGCGTATTTTATACAATATAGTGTGTATACTGTACAAATGTGTATACATATATATAGACAGAGATACAGAGATGCAGAGATGTATACACAAATATGTATAGATATACACAGATATACAGACAAACAGTGCAGTGATGCAATGGTAACACAATGCTGATGCTTGAAAGGACAATCTATTACAGAGAAGGCACCTCATCGCTATTCAAGGGCTTGGGACCGAGCCTTGTAGGTGTAGTTCCAGCAAAGTATACACAAAAAAAGCAAAAATAGGCGGTGACTGAGTATATAGAGCAATTCACTTCTATACGTACGGAAACACAAAGACTGCACTGTCTCAACGGTTTGGAGACTCAAGTTGGATCCATGTGATATCAGCAGTAACAGCAGGAATTGTTACAGCAACAGCAACCAACCCAATTTGGGTCATTAAGACACGATTACAGTTGGACAAAAGCACGTATAACACGTATACGAGTGGATGGGAGTGTACACGGAAGATTATACGTGAAGAGGGGATACACGCTTTATACAGAGGAATGAGTGCGTCCTACTTGGGGGTTTCAGAAAGCACAATTCAGTGGGTGCTGTATGAGTGGTTTAAGAAAGAGATTGGCAAGAGGCGGACACTCGATATACATAGCACAAATAATGCAAATAATACACAGAATATACACAATACATGTAATACGTATAATGTGCAAAAAAAGTATTGTGAGAAAAGAGGAGAATTGCAAGGGAAATGGAAAGAATGGCTGTGGCAAGTGGGCGCAGCAGGAGCAGCCAAGCTCATAGCAACGGTCGCCACATACCCACATGAAGTATGACATAGTAACGATTACCAGGACAACACTCTAAAGAATATAGGTAATAAGAACACGGCTACGACAGGCACCCAAAGAAAGCGGGAAAGGCAAATATAGAGGACTGGTGCAGTGCTTCCAAGTAGTATGGAAAGAAGAGGGGCTTTGGGGGCTGTATGGAGGGCTAACGGCACATCTGCTGAGAGTGATTCCGAATGCAGTGATTATTTTTGGATCATATGAGCTAGTAATGAGTTTTTTTGCAGAACGGGTGGAAAAAAGTAAAGTAAAATAAAGTGGAAAACAAAGAAAATAGATACACAAACTATGTGTATAAAATATACATATAAAATATATGTATAAAATATATGTATAAAGTATATGTATAGAGTATATGTATAAAGTATATAGAATAAGAGTACTGAAAGGACTGGAAAAAAAAGATGGATTAAGAGGATTGGGAAAGGGAATCGACTGTTTGATAGAATAATGCCTTTTTGCTGAGGACTTTGTCCTGATACTCAACGTCCTGGAGTGTATGGAAACCTGTTTTGTTAGCAAGAAGATGGAGGGGGGTAGATGTACCCTTAAGAGCAAGATCAAGAAAGTGGTGGATTTCATGGCGGGTTGTAGGATCCATTTGAAGATCTCTGTGTTTTTGATGATGGCCAAGCATGGACTGAGCCATAATAAAATAAGCTAAACTCTCGTGTTCGAGATCGGATGTTTCAAGGAGTTTCGGCATTAAGCGCTGAACAGCATCGTATGCAGCAAGAAACTCTTCCAGATGAAGGAGTATCTGAGAAAACAGTAGAACCGCTTTTATTATTAGAGACATGTTGTGATAAGTCTTTGCCAGAAGGATGCATTTGGATACAATTGAAAAGGCTTTTAAAGGCTGTTGGCACTCCTAAAAATACCAAGTGATTAGACGTATTGAAAGGAAAGGATAGATTCAATACAATGTAGAGTTGTGCAGATACAAGGAGCAGCGTCAGATGATATAGCCCTTCAAACTTAGCGGTCTTAACACGATTCTGCATGTCAGAGAGCTTATCGAAAGACTAAAAAGCATAAACAACATGAATCAGGTGCAAAATTACAAGTGTACCAAAGAAAAATTTCCTTTTTTCGCTTCAAGCTCTATTTCAGAAATAGAAATATAAAACGAGATATCACCGTCAACATCAATCGAAGATAGCTGGCTATATAACTTCTCTGCATACTGAAGATCTTTTCTAGTAAGCTTAAATTATACTGTTTATAAAAGACATTTAAAAACGAACCTTCGAATTGCTTGTTTTAATTCTTGATACAAGAAATAAGATGACCATACATGATATACCTTATGGGATTTAAATGCGATTTCTTGAGTCTCCAGCATTAATTTTTTGCTTTCATCGAATTTTCCCTGTTTGGATAACTTGTATTTTTTAGCAACCAGAGTGAAGAAAACATATCAGCATACGTGAAACGCATAAGCACAACGCATCCTGACGACTTCTTCAACAGACATGTCATCAGAAGGGTATTTCAGAAAGATGGATAACAAAACAGAGCAAAGATAAGAGCAACCTATTCCTTTAAAGGACAATTCCGATTCAATTCACCAAATTTACCTAAATTCAACCAAATCCCACTTTGCATAAGTATACAAGACGAGACTAAGCTCATAGAACATGACTCTAAAGCCAAATTTAAAGATTTCATAACCATTTCAAAGGCTCTATCTATCATAGCCTCCTATAAATAATATTACTAAGGCATTCTCAATAAGTGGAACATTTTACCTCCAAAAGAGATCTCCTGGCTTCTGCTAAAAAAGTTACTGCCTGAAGATGAATCATTTTGGTTTCCTTTGTTTTCAGCAAAAGATAATTCAGAACTTGTTCATCAGATACACTTTGTCCAGTTATACCTTCAGCTTCTTTTCTTTGAAATTCAATTAAAAAGGATAAAGCATAATTAAGGCAAGCGTGATCTTTATTTTCCCTCGCAGTGTCAATGGATTCCTGAATGGCCTGAATTACCGGTCAAAGTATAAAACTATGCATATAAGAATATACCCAAATAGCCTCCTTATTACAATAAAAATCAGCCTGTAGCATTGCCAAATCCAATAATGCATACTGATATCCCGTTCTACATTGTTTTAAAAAGAAAAAAAACAAAATCACCAACAAATATACTTGTCCCGATTACGCATTGTGTAATCAAAGTAACGAAAAAGATAGTCAAACGATGTCCTATAATCACCCGATCTCCATGAATCAAGGAATCTTGATATTATTAACAATGTAAATATAAAAGTATCCATACTTGACATAATTTACTACATGTGGAGCAGTTACATTCTGCTTCATAAAATTCGTCAACTGTTCCTTCATTTCTTTGCTTAGTCTACATTTATTTTCTGCTTCAATGTTAGTTCAATACTAAACACAAGCAAAGCATACTTTGCATCTTGCTAACATGAAATTCAAACAATCTTTCAATATCAGAAACAGATAAACACTCTAAAATATCAATTCAACCTAAACACAATAATTTTTCATACCTTCAAAATCATTCTGTATTTTCTGAGAAGAATCTCCCTCCCATAATGTTTGAAGAGTAGTGCTTGTACCAAAAGACGTTTTTTCAGGATTCTTTTGCAGCCACTTAGGCACAGAAATACTCCTATACGTAACAAGACTTTTCCAAAGATTGATTACATCGTCCAGTGGCAGATTATTAAACTCAACCACACATTTCCTAACAAAAGACCCAAGAAATGATGATGGACTTAACAACAAAAGCCGCCGACCAATGGCCGGTGGCGATTGCCGCCGTGATATCAGCCCAGGAATGCTTGAAAAAAAAGAAACAAGGTCATCAAAAGATTGAAGATCCCATAGCTACTTAAATAAGACATGAAAATCCAAACATTAACCATACCCTTTTAAGAATCATATCATATATACTTCTTCCTGGAAGATGACTTGCTTTATCACTTGTAAATTGTTGAAGATGTTTCAAAGTAGAAGGTGTTCCACATGACGGCTATCTCCATGTAAATACTATTGCTAATAAATATACAAAAACTGCCTACATCCAAATGTTCCATAACCAATGTTAATACTGGGATTGTGTGTTTAGGTGGAAGAAGAAAGCTACAATATAGCTCAACTAACACAAGTAGAGCAATCTTATGCGGCGTCAAATATTTCCCAAAAAACGCATGCATAGTTCTTAATAAAGCCCTTAATCCAGTTTTTATCAGTTTTTATAAAAAATATCTCCCAGTTTCACTCTTATCAGTCAAAACACTTAACACGTCAAGAATTCTCAAGATTAAATATTTATGTCCCTGAATAAAAATATATACGTCAAAGAACAAACAGTATATTCTCTATATATGTATTAAACGTATTGTACATATTATATTCAGTATATATACTATGTATATTATGTTCTTTGTATATTAATGCCCTATAGATAAATCGCCTAGACAGAATAAAGATAAAAACCATGCAATGAGTACATGCCCAGTAAAATAAAGCTCCAGAATATAGAATTATATAAAGAAATCTCTGTATTATTAAAGAAAAACAATGTTTAATTAGAATAAAAATACCTTAAAATTATATTAATATCTAAACACCAGCACCAAGGTAGTTCCAAGTAACGGGAACATGATAAATGATAAAGATAAAACAAGGAACAAGGAGTAAAAATTAAAAAAATATATTATACAAGAAAAATATTTCCATAGATATATTCTGAAAAATATAAACAAATATGTGCAGTAAACAAAAAGTAGGATGTCCTAAATGCTCTGAAGATATCCTATGAAAAACGACAAAACATTAATAATATGTAAAATGCCTATTTAAAGGACCAATAATGCCTTGAAGATATTAATTAATAGATCCGGAAGAATAATTAGAAATGACAATGAATAATAAAAAAAGCAAAATTAAATCAAATCATATTGACAGGCCATGTAGCCGATGTTAACATCATTCCTGGCCATCGAATGGAATTATCTAAACCTAAACCAGTGCCAACAACACAAGGATATGAATTAGTAGAAAAAACAGAAGTTGAAGGGTTCGTAAGAGGATAGTTATAGCCGATATCCAGCTGATTCATATCATATGGTATAGAAAAGGTGGTATCCTTGAAGGAACAAAGAGTGGATGGACTCGTCTTCCCCATAAATGGGTATCCTGCGATCTCTAACTGCCCAGCCGCCCCATATGAAGGATCAAAAAGATCATCATTTGATGACTGAGGAGATGAAGATAAATGTGTCGAAATATCAGTATTTGCAAGACCCAACGTAGCATCTGGTGAAGAACTATACAACATAGTCCCAAGAAACGGGTCTGTATAAGGCGTAATGACTTGGTTTTCTTCAGATGAAACCGAAACTGGAGCTGAAGCCGGACTCGGAAATGTTGGCTGAGTATATGATATTGCTGTTGGTTGAGACTCATGAGACAGTGAAGACAAAGCACTCTGAGACAATGCTGGCGATATAGGGGACTTAACATCTGGTCCACTACTACTCTGCACAGTGCGATCTTGTTGCAACCGCTTCATATATTTGACCCATTCAAGTGCAGCTTGCTTAGCATAATATGCATGCACCACATCAGACTCTTTTTTCCACATTTCACTGACTAAACTCGAAATATTTGATTCACGGACTTTTAATGCCATTGTTTCTTTCAAAAGCTGGCTAACATGCGACCGATACAAAATAAAAGCATTCTTAGGACGTGGAATCCGGTTCTTTGACGCTGTTTTAGAGGCTGACGACGCCTGTGATGAACAAGACAACGTCCGTGTCTCTATTGCTCCACTATGTGTCGCTGCCGCCTCTTTCAAATTCTCTCGTGGTGCCTGAGACTCACTCTCCTCCCAAACCACAGGCTCTTTGCCATTCATCATCTGAATCAATGGAAACGTCAAATCATTCGTTGCAGGTGTAAACTCAACCGGTGGCGGCTGAAATGTCAAAACACGGGAATACCCCTGCTTCTCATCAGCAGCCTTCCCCTCCACCTTGCTTGTCCGTCTTGTCCGTCTTTCTGCCCAGGGAAAATTCAATACCCGGCATCGTGACATAAATTCTGGAGACTTTGACTTCATTTTCAACAAACTTTAGATATAGTTTCTCAAATATCCTGCTTTCCAAATGCAATTATAACTCCACTCAAACAACTCCAAAAAACAAGTATATTATACACTTTATCGTTTCTGCCTTAACAAAAACTCGGGCTCCAATAACACTTTTTATTGATTCTTTTCCAGAAAAACACTATACTTTCTTTATTGCTGCCTAACTGCACTGTGCTCCCAAATACTGTTTTCCCCGCTCCAAAAAGGCTTCCTATTCTTCTGATCCCTTATAGACTACTTATTCACACGTACGCACTGTCCGTCCGTGCGATCAACAATCGTCTCTGCCCTTAAAAGTGGGATCCAACCAAATGTTATCTAAAATTGCCGTTTCTGCAGCAATTTGACCCGGAAAAAAAGCAAAAACACTTAAAAACACTTTCTTCACACCGTCTTCACGTTTATTAGCTGCTTTTTCCGCCTATTCTCAGCGATATAGCCGTTGATATCTTTTTGACTCGAAAAAACGGTTCCTCGACGTTTCGCGGAGTTTGAAGACTGAATAAAGACCGATAGACCAAGAAAACGAAGAGGCCCGACCGGTCCGGAAGAGCGTCAAAGAAAGCCGTGTGAAGTCTGAGCAGGCCCAACATGAGCAGAACAGACAAATGAACCCATTGGATATACCGTTTGACAGGTTAAACGTGTTTGCTTATGAATACTATGTGTTTAAACAGTTTTAAACGGTTACCTGACAGCAAAGATATAAGAATAAAAGATAAAAAACAACCAACTTTCAAGAAATATAGTTAATCCAACGGGTATGCAAATCCTGAGGAGCTAGAGTAAGAAATATAAGCATTTTTCTGCATCTTTATCCTGTTTTTTTCCAATGTCCAAGCTGTTTCACAAAAATAAAAATATGTAAAAATATTATAGAGCTAGTTATGAGTAAGCCAGAAGGGAGATACTATTGCCGGTTGAACTTGATGAATTCAGTGAAATTCTAACCTTCAACAGGCAGCAGCAGACCAACAGCGTGCTCTCCGGTTTGAAAACTAAAAAAATTAGCTTGAAATATATATGTATTTAAAACTCAGACCCAAACACCAACTTGCCGAACAGTTAATCCGCAACGACGAGCAAGCATTGTCTTTTCAGTCGGATTAGGCCATGGTTTGCACTGAAACACCTTCTCTAGCAGCTGCTGTACGTCTTTACGAAAGCGTCGGCCGGCTGGTGAGGCTGTAGCAACTGCTGCAGCCAGTGAAGCAGATCCCTCACAGCTTAATGACCGTACTAGCAGCTGAATACTTGCTGTACGTGATTGCTGAATATTGTTCCACACATTATATAAACTGACGTCTTGGCACCATGCATTTTGTGTAAGCAAAATCGAAGACTCGGTTGAAGAACGGTCAAAAATAGCACTAACAGTCTCAAAAAGACGTTCATATGATGCATTCTGTGTATTTTTTGTATTGCAACTTATATCTGCTGTATTCACTGATTCTCGGGGAAGCGATGACTCTGCAGAAGACCTCATGAGATGCTGCTGTGAGCTTGGAAACTGTGAGTATATTGGAGAATGGCTGCTTATTTGGCTTAACAACTGATTTGGTATTTGGCTCGGCAATAATTGTTGTTTTTCTATCATATAAGACTGCATTGGCATCTAGCACAGGTTAGACATTGACCACCGTCAAAATTGCAAAAGGATTGCATCCAAAACACAGAACTCAGTCTAAGCCATTTTACAGCTTCCAAAGCACTCTTCATTTAAAGCTATAGCAGTCGGCCTAGACTTTGCACACCCAGTAGAGCCACTGCTGGCTTCCAACTGGTTTCAATCCTTCAACAACCTACCTGCTGTCCTGATGATTGAAGAAGCCGGAACTCACAGATTGAACATTCACAACAAACAGACTCTGTCAAAACAGAAAGCTCAATGGCAAGCGTCTTAAGAAGCTGCCACTCATCCAAAGAATTCATTTCAGTCACCATAGATTCAGGTCAAATTAGTACTTCAATGCCACAACTTTGATATCTGCAAAACACTGTTAACCAACACAGTCGGTTTTTTCTTCAAACCACTGACGTAGATGTTCAAAACAACGGGTATTTGTTACTCAAAACTCGTGTTCTGGGCCCTGCACGGACGTATTCATGGCTTTGTCTTCAACACTTGTGCTCAAAGGGTCTTTGCACATGTCAATTATGCCCTGTCTTTACACAATAATCTACAACAAAGCATAACAAAGCACAACAAAGCGTTCTACAGTTTTTCTATGAAAAAAAAATAATGGCACATAGCACAATTGGCACTTTAATCCCCGATCCATTCCCGCTATTCCTGGCATGCAGCTTTGGCATCTTTCAGCCACCATTAAGCACGCCGTGACATCACTTATCTCTAGGTGGGCTGGCTCTTTTTCTTTAATCGACGTGTTGGGCAATATAGACACTTTTAGCGGACAAGTCTCTAAGATTGAAACGGGCCGATTAATGTAGAGAGGAAAAAAAACAGAGCAAAAAGATAGCAGGAGAGGGGCAAAAAGACGGAAGAAACGGCAGGAAAAAACAGATAATTTCTAACAGGAATCGTTGGGTTTTTTTGGCATTTTTTTGTGTATTTTTTATTATATGATGTAATTTTTAATTAAGATCGGCGTCGACCCGTCTGTTGACATAAAGTACACTATTGAACTGCGACATAAAAACAAATAGACAGTATAGAGACATAATAATGTTGAAATATGAATGAAATAATAGTAAAAATGACAGTATAGTAGCTAAAAAAGAGACATATTATGCATGGGCTTAATTAAAAAAGATTGGAGGAAAATTAAAAAAATTGAAAGGAAAAGATAAATACGATGTTAAATTAGGGTTAAAAAGGGTTTAAAACTAAACAGGCATTTTTAATCTGGGGTTTTATTTAAATGCTATTCTAAACAAATATGAGCTTTATTTTGGATTTTTTAGGTAGATTGACATATACACTAAAAAAGAGGGGATAAGGAAAAAATAAAATAAAAATAGACTATAATAAAATTATAGTGGGGATCGTCAGAAAGAGTTAGAAAAAAGATAAAAGAGGGGCTATAAAGGAACTATAAATGAGGCTATAAACTAAGATATGAACTAGGCCATGAAGAGTAGAGTGGAAAAAAAGAAAAGAGAGATGATAGAGGCTGTAAAAAGCATAAGGACTAAAGTAACTAAAATGGGGGCAAGATAGTGTTTTGGCGGGGCCCCGACACAGTAAGATCAATGTGGCTCAGTAGAATATACTAGATCCATCACAAGATTATGCAAAGTGGTCGATGTTTGTGGGGTTAAAATAAAGCAGAGATACAAGGTTAAAAAGTCAAGGGGATCAGAATTAAGGATTAAGCATATTAGTACACGAGGATTAGGCATTTCTACAAGTTGGAGTGCCGTTATTAGCAAAATTATCGGAACAAAACATACTGGAAGCATTTGGTATCTTTATAAAGGGATTTCAAGGGATCCTGGGATTTATTTGAAGCATTTTAAAAACATATTTTGGGAATTTAATCAAAATTGTATATATTTGTCTAAAAGACAATGCATGCACAGTTAGAATTCAAACTACCAAATGAAACAGAAACACGACGAGCAGTATTGCATCCATATTCAATCAAAGATGCATCCCCATACTTAGATGAAAATAAAGGAGCGGCATACTTTGTACCACATGGATATCAGCCGATCTTGGTGCCACAAAATGATGAAGATGCAACAATTCAAGCTTTACTGGATCTGGCAGTGCCGACAGTACAAGCAGTGAAAGTGCAAATACCATTACGGCAAACGCTATTACCACACTATATTATTAAACCATGCAAGAAATCGAAAACAGTGAAACCAATACGGCCACCACGGCCTCCAAATGCATTTATTTTATATAGACAAAATCAACAAGCACATATTCTTCGGCAAAATGCCAATTTATGCAATAATGATGTATCACGGATTATTGGGAACATGTGGAACGGGGAATCACCACTTATTAAGCAGCGGTTTCATCTACTTGCACAAAAAATGAAAGAACAACATCGTGCAATGTATCCAATGTATCGGTATTGCCCTCGAAAGGCCTCAGAACGTAAAAAAAAGGTTAAAACAAAAGTACCACAAGAACAAACGGCGTTTAAAACAATGCAGCCAGAGCAGCAACTAACAACGCCAACAATAATTCAACCACCGCAATGGGACCATAACATAGAAACGGAAGAAACATTGCTAAATACACAGAACTTAGCGCTAGGGACAACTGCATTAGATATAAACGAGTTCACAACAGCCCCACTGTGGGTATGATTTTGAACTCACATAATTTAAACAAAATTCAAATAAAACATTTAGCGTGTAATAAACAACGTGTATGTATTTATCGGATATAAATCTAGAAAAAATGGAGAGCGGATGTGGGGTTAAGTTATGAAATATTTATGAATTTTTATTATATTTATTATATTATTTTGACAAATGAAATGAACTACTTTATTGTATTGTTTTAGACTTAAACATGTATATTTTACGTTTGTTTTATCGCTATCTTAATTTTATTATCATTTCTCTTAATTCTACTTTTAAGTTTTCTGCCAAACTTTACAAAGTATAAAAATGTAGTTAATATATTTAGGGAATAGCGTACACATTAAAGATTAAACAGATTTAGTATATACAAAATACATCTTAACGCAAAAGGCAGGTAACTATAGATTATTTAGAAACCGTACTAAATTAATATTATCGATACATTAGGACATTAACAGCGATAAAATATTTAATATCCAGTTAGAAAAAAATTAGTGAACTTTAAACCTTTAATATTCTTTTTACATTGCGTGCTATGCTTCATGTGCTTTTAAAAATAACTTGTCTAATAACTTTTTATATCCTAAATTATCTTTTATGAATATTCATATTTGAGGATAAAGCGTTAGCACATAAATATCTTTATTCTGTTGCCTCACGATAATAAGAAATCTTCCTCATTTCACCCAGTTTTTTCCTTGAATTTGCAAGCTCATTTTCGAGTTTTAAAATTTCAACTTGTTGCTCCATTTCGCGAACTTTAAACTCATGTAGCGTTAATTTCGAGTAATCAAATTTATCTTCATTTTGAAAACGGACTGCTACTGCGTCTTGTACTTGTTTAACCAGCACTTTGCATGCTTGAGAAACAGCTTTAGATGCATCTTCTAAAGTCTGCTGTGTCTTTGACATAAATTTTGCCTTGACTCTCGATGCTGAAACAAGTTGAGCTGTAGCTGCAGCCATTTCATTTGATGCCACAATCAACTGCTCTGGACTATTCCCTCCATTAATCATACCATCTGCAGTTTCAATAAGAATATTTGTTGATCCAGCAACAGCTTTAGCTGCAGAAATAAGTCCTTCCGTCCACCGATTATTCTTTTTATAAAACGCAGCTCGTGTATTAGAACCTTTTCCTTGACTTACAATTTCGTTTTGAGAGTCTGTTGCTGCTTTAATTAACTGAGAAACAGCATTTGTTATAACAATTGCAGCCTCAAGTATCGTATCATGTATCAATAAATCAGGACTCATGGAATGTAAATTCTTTGGGCGATCCTTTAACTTGTCTAAACGCATTGCAGCTTGTTCAATCGCAGATAAAGCGTTTTCGAGTTCCCTATTTACTAAGTCACCTATATCTTTAGAATTTGCAATCATATCAGCAATATCTTTAGGAACAAAGCTTTCTACCAATTGAGCAAGCTTTTTTAAACTTGACTGAATATCCAAATTTCTTGAAATAACAGTTTCAATTTTCTTTTCATCAGAAAATTTTATCAATCGAAAAGATTGTAATGCTCCTAAATTCTTCTGTGAAACAATAGCAAAATCTTGAGCATATGAAATTAATTTTTCTCCAACAACATCATCATTAGCCAATCTAACAATTCCTTTAACATTGCTAAGAACTTCCCCAATAACACTTGTAAAAATATTAATCAATTTAATAATTTCAGGATGGTCACCATTTGGACCATCTACAACAAAATTATTAAAAGCAGTAAAAAATTCCATAGCACTTGAACTTCCTTTTTCAATTGTTGATAGCAAGTATTCAGGTGTTGAATTTTGATTACCCGTTTGCATTGGGGAAGCTAGCTCATATAACGAATTATCAATTGTTTGTATAGCACTTTGCAAAACAGAATCTAATATTATATTATTATTTATTTTTTATAAAGTCTAAATCTTACCAATAATACTATTAAGTTTTTTAAGATTATCTATTAGATATCGATCAATTTCAGAATTAATAGCAGAATCCATATCACGATGATCCTATAATATTTAAAAAATAATTTAAACAAAATTAAGAAATATTCACCATATGTAAATCATTAAGTTTCATAAATGTGGATTCCATTTCAGCTTTATAAATATCTAATTCATCATCTTTTTCTTTTGTTACTTTTTCTAATTGATCATAAGATTCTTTTAATTTCATTGACATTTCATCAATCATTTCTTGTTTAACCTATTAAAATATTAATTTTAATAATTATAAAATATAAATTACCGCAAGAGACTTTTCCAATTCTGAAACTTCTTTATTATATTTAGAAGTTAATGAAGAAAGCTCATAAGACTTAGATTTCTCCGAATTTTCGGTCTTTTTCAAGCTTAATTCCAAATCTTTATTAATTTTATTCATTTCTTCTTTTTGATTCTATACTATTTTTCAATATATATATATATATATAGAAAGAGAATATTATACTTTTAATTTATCCATTTCGTGTTTTAAACGATCTCTTTCTCGAGTAATATTAGTTAATTCTGCAATTTTATTGCCCATTTCCTTTTCTATTTCTTCTTTTTTTTCAATAGATTCTTGAGCAGATGCTGCTTTTAGCTGGATTTGTTTATATTTAGAAAGAAAATCTATGTGTTCTTCACGAAGCCGAGTATATAGTTCAGCAAGAGACTCATATTTATTTTTCCACATAACAGCTTGATCTTGTAATAATCAATATTTAAGAATTAAAAACATTTTATTCGTAAACCTTGAAATGATTTAATATAGCCATCTTTACTTTCAATTTGTTGAGATGCATTAGCATTTAAATTCTGTAGCTCATTTTCTAAAACTTTAACCCTCTACAAATTAGATAACTTTATTAAAAATAAATAAAATATTAACCTTATCATACTGTTCAAGCATAAGTTGATCTCTATTATATTGTCCACGCATATTTAAAATTTCCTGTTCTAATTCTAAAATCCTATTTTGAACATGCAACTGATATTGTTCATTTATTAATTTTTCTTGTGCTAGTTTTTGTTCGGCTTGCATTCTTTGTTCATTAAGTTCTTGTTGTTTTATATAATCTGCTTCTTTTTGAGCCTGAAGTTGCCACTGTTGTTCTTGATAAGCAGAGTCATCTCTTACTTGACTATTAGACCAAGCATTAGAAGCCAAATCATTATCATAATTATTTTCATTTTTAGATGATCCTTCGGATAATGAATCCTTATCTTTTACAGAAAACTTCTGTGAAGCTAAATCGAAATCATCTATTAAGTTTTCCGGGTCCTATACTACTTAAATATTATACATACGTTATCATATTAAATCAAACCTGAGGCAATTTTGGCACTGATATTAAATTAACAAGGTATCTAAGATTAGAACATTCATAGTAAAATTTAACAAGTTTGTGGTGTTGAGAATTATATCTCAATCTAAGAGGCTTAATAACCTCATCTGACTGAGTGCCTATATTTTGTCAAATTCCATTTCATAAAATAACAAAAAATACTATGATAAATAGCACGAATCATATTCGTAACAAACTTATATATTCCATAACTCTCCTGAACTAAAGGAACTAATGCTGCAACTCGGCATTCATTGTTAGATCCATTTCTAAAGTGCAAAAATATCGTTTTTTGAAATAGGTCAATTCGGTCTTGTAATTGCATCAATTCCGTAATCGTTTCATATCTATTTTAAAATCTATTACAGCTTATACCAAGCCATTAAAAAGACTCACCCTTCATTAGGATCATTCGTATTTTTCAGTGTCAAATATTCGTCATATTCAAACATACCTTGCACGTCAATTACCTTCATTCGTTCACACTTGTTTACCATTGAATTCTGGATGCAACTTATGAAATGATAATTTTGCCATCAAAAATTCCACATACTCCTTTACTAAATTCCCATAGCCTTTTTATCCATTATATATACATTTTCAGCGCAAAAACTTAACCTGCCTTTAATACTGCCTCCAACAACTGAATGAGAACACAGCTCAAGCCAGGGCCGTTGCGCCTGCGCCTCCTGAAGTGTAATAGGGTGACCCTCCTGAATAACTTTATGCATACATATTAACGCCTTAAAAATCTGAATATCATCTGATAAAATAGGCTGTGCTTTAAGTCCTGCCCAAAAAGATATAGAAGACTTGTGATCCCACGTATAAACAATACAGCCTATATTAAAGGTTCAAAACATAAGAATTGTTATATAAAATATACTTACTACGAACATGTTTTCTTTTAGGTGCTGTTTCTTTAATACTTGTTGCTTTCTTAATATTAACAGCCAAATCAGACTCAGAACGATTCAAATCAATATTACGAGATACATATGGATCTTCTTTATAAGATTCATGGAAACGATAGTTCCTAAAGACATATTAACTTAGATATTTCTTTGAATTCAGAGATTTACATTTTTTATGATCAAAAGGTTTACGATAAAAATTATGGGTCGTCTTAAGTATTAATAAAATAAATTTATTTTATGAATTAAAGTATAAATTAAAATTAATAAATCTCATCAGCATCAATGTCTTCACACATTGAGTCATCGTCCATGCTTTCATCACCACCCATATCAGAAGTTGATTCATGATTGGGTTGAATATATATTTTTTTTTCGTGAAAACAAATATTAACAGTTTCATTATCTCTAATTTGTCCACGTAACATGAAAATTGAAAGTTTGTTTAAAATCTCATTCTGAATAATTCTTTTTAAAGGTCTTGCACCATAAGCAGGAGAATAACCAGCTTCGCTAAGATAAGCGATTGCAGCATCATCGACTTCGATTTTGATTTTTCTTTTTAAAAAGATTAAAAAGAAATAAAAAAACACTAATATACCTATTGTTATCTTCAAGTCTTTTTTGTATTTCTTCAATTTGTTTAATAACAATTTCGCGCATGTTTTTCTTTGTTAGACGGTTAAACATTACTACTGTAGTGCGTCTTAAATCAATTAGTCCACAAATCTTTAAACTTTGATAATATAAACCCTAAAAATTCAGGTTTGAAAAATTTACGAATACTATCCATAACCATAGCTTTTGTAATTTCATCAGTCTTCCCGTCTGGTGTAGCAACAGTATTTGTAAGATATTCAGCACCCTTGATTCGTCAGAAAACAAAAACTACAAAAAAAAATACCAAATTGCTTGTCATAATAATTACCGCATTTTTAGCATCTATTGTTTGACTTTGTCCAGATGTCAAACGACCGTCATCAAGAACCTGAAGTAAAACAGTCAAAACTAAAGCATGTCAACCAAAAATAAACATGAAATATTCGTAATAACCTTCCTGTGCGGCTTTTTCTATCTCATCAAATAATATTACAGAAAACGGACGTCTTTTAAGTTGCTGCATTTATTAATAATAATATTGTTTTATTTGAAGATATACTTCAGTTAATTGTCCACCTTGATCATAACCTACATATCCAGGAGGCGCGCCAATTAGACGGGAAACGGCTATTACATCAATAAAAATGACAAAATATCAGAGTTTGTTACAATGTTTTTCAGTATATTCTGTCATGTCTATTCTTATCATAGCATTTTTATCATCAAAAAGAAACTCTGCTAACTAAATTTGGTGTTATTATATAATTAATTAATAATTATAACACACTTGTTTAGTCAACAATGTTTTTCCAGTTCCACTAGGACCACAAAATAAAAAGCTAGCAATTGGTTGATTAGGATTGGAAAGACCAGACCTATAAATCAAATAAAAATCCAAATATATTAAATGCTTATATTAATATCGTACCTGCTAAGACGTATAGCATTTGCTACTGCCTTTACTGCATCTTTTTGTCCAACTACATATTGTGATAAACTTTTTTCCATTCTTAAAAGCTTTTCTTTTTCACTTAAAGTTAATCGTGTTACAGGAATTCCTAGTTAATGGTTATTTTAGAAATAAAAGTAAAATTTTGAAAATACCTGTCCATCTAGCTACTATCTCATTTATTTGATCTGTTGTTACAACATCAGTAAGTAATAATTTCGGTTCACTTGATTTTTCAATCACTTCTGCATCAGCCCTGGCCTTTAAAGCTTCCAAATCTTCAATCCTCTTCTGCAAATCCGGAATAGCTTATTTTTTTTTAATATATAAAAATAAAGAATCAAAAATACCATAATATGTTAAATCAGCAGCTGTTTGTAAATCCATACGTCTTTCTGCGTCCAATGCTTTAGCTTTTAACTCATCTAATCGCTTTTTTGCTTTTTGAATATCATTAACTCTTTGTTTTTCTATTTGATACTACAAAAATTTAAAATATAAATATTTACTTAAAAAAATACCCTTTCTCTTAAAGGTAATAATTTTTCTTCTACATTTGCCATTTCAAGGCGAGCTTTTGCTAAACGTTCTTTTGATAAATCATCTTTCTCTCTTTCTAAGGCGTGAATCTCAACTTGAAGCTGTCTTAATTGACGTTCAAGACTAAATTTCATAAATATATGTTGAATTTTAAATAGGAAAAAACTTGTCTAATTCTTCAGGCGCACTGTCTCTTGCAACACGCACAGAGGCAGCTGCTTCGTCAATAAGATCAATCTAAAATTTAGCTAATGAAAAAAATACTATATTTCTTACTGCACTATCAGGTAATCTCCTCCCAGTAAGATAGCGAGACGCAAGAGTCGCAGCAGAAACAAGACTAGAATCGAGAATCGTTACACCATGATGAACCTCATACTAATATTTTAAGAAAAAATATAGTTCATATGAATTTTTAAACCTTTTCTTTAAGTCCTCTTAAAATTGAAATACATTCTGGCAAAGAAGGTTCTTTGACCTAAAAAGTAAATATCTTTTTTTAAAAAAATAATATTTTAATACCAATATTTGTTGAAATCTTCTTTCAAAAGCAGCATCTTTTTCTATATACTTATAATATTAAAAAAAATAAAAAAATAAAAACCATACTTTACGATATTCTCCTAATGTTGTAGCACCAATACAATGAAGTTTACCTCTTGCTAACATTGGCTATTTTTATCAATACTGAAGCACTAAATGAAATGTAACTCACCTTAAGAAGGTTAGCTGCATCCATACCTCCTTCTCCAGTGTTTCCGGCACCCATAAGTAAATGAATTTCATCTACAAATCTATAAAGTATTCAATATACATGTATGTGTTAATAAATAAAAATACAAAATAATTATTTCTTGAGAATCTTCAACTTCTTTTAATACAGACTTAATTCTTTCTTCAAATTCTCCACGAAATTTACTTCCTGCAACCAAAGCTCCCACATCAAGGCTAAGTAATTTACATGTTAAGAGGTTAGATGGAACATCAGAATTTACAATTCTCTATATAATCAATAATAGCTCTTTTATAAATATTTTCCTACTTGAGCAAGTCCCTCTATAACACTAGTTTTGCCTACACCAGGTTCTCCTATTAAAACTGGATTGTTTTTAGTCCTAGAAAAATTAATACACAGACTCATTCCTTAAAATACTAATAATAACCGTCTAGACAGTACACGAATCGTGCGACGTATTTCATCCTCACGTCCAATTACAGGATCAAGTGTGCCATTTCTTGCTTGCTCAGTCAAATCAACAGTATATTTAGAGAGAGAATCAAAGCCAGATTCTGCTGATTTTGATTCTATACGGTGATTCCCTCGTACTTTTTGAATTGCTTGATCTAATAACTGAGATGTTATTCCCATCTCACTTAATATTGCTTTAATCGCTGGATCTTCTGACAGTGCAGATATCAAGTGATCCTGAGCCATATATACATCACGTTGACGCTTTTGAAGCTCATGGGCCGTTCGTAACATCTTCATACATTGTGGTGACAAAGACACATTTTCCGGCGCCGGTTCCTGCACTGGCATCCGTACCAATAATCTACGGACATCCCTTTCAAATTTACTAACGTCTCCGCCAGATTTCTCAATAATAACACGCAAAAGTTGCGGATTTTCTTCCATCAACAATGTTAAAGCAATATGTACTATATTTTTATCATTAATCACTCTATTTTCTCTGCAGAAAAACTTACTTGGTGTCAACTGACTATGCCCATGGCTCTGAGCTAATGAATATGAATCTGAGATAGTTTTCTCTGTTTTATCTGTAAATTGATAATTCATCACTTTTTATGTCGTTGGGCCCTCGCTAGTTGATAACTTCGAGACTGACATGCCCGTGCCAACATAACGTTCCTTAATTACGTGTCCCCCCTCCAATCTTGCATTGAGTAGAAAAAAAGTATTTGACTTGTAAAAATAGAAAATTTCGAGTAAATTGAATGAATTAGAAGGCAAAAAGTATATTTTTATGTTTTTTTGGGGTTTTGAGTGAGTTTTTTGGGTAAAAAAAAGTAAAAAATATTTCTAACAAAAAAGTAGAAAATGTTGTCTATTGGGTCATTAGATGTTTCATGTATGGATTCAGTGAATGAAAATAGGTCGTATGAGCCAGATGAAGCAATTAACGTGTTAATTTTTCGGCGGCAAATGCTTTTAAAACTAATTAATCAAGTTATCGATATTCGTGATGACATGCTTTATTCGTGTCACGGACAAAACAATAAAGAGCTATCTGAAATTATCAATTCTCTTAAGGAAGTTTTAAAACGAGTTGGGGACCTTAAGGCAGAAAAAAAGTTTGATTCGTCTGAGTCAATTCTTGTTTCTGGCATTTATCATTTATCAATTCAAATTTCCCACTTGTCTGACCTTTGCCGTAATGTGTTTTCAGAGATATCATTGGCATCTCAGCGTTATCAACAAGATTTAGCAATGGATATTTCAAAAATAAACAAGGTTCCATTATCGACAATTTCAAACAGTTCCAAACCAAAACATACTACTCATCATCCTGAAAATAGGACAAGATTGCTTAAAGACTGGTTCCTTGAGCATATCTCATACCCCTATCCTAACAAGGATGAAAAGCGCTTACTTTGCCGTCTTACTGGATTAAAAATAAATCAACTTAATATGTGGTTCATTAATGCGCGAAGGAGGTCTAATGGGGGCTTGAAATTCAGAGAACAGGTCGTCTCTGATAATTTAGTACCATTGGTGTTTTCCAATTCGGAATAATTTTCATCATTACATTTAATAGCATTTTATATCGAATTTCATGCTAATTTTGAAGCTATTTTTTTAAAAATCGGTCTTATATATAGTAACATATTAGTTTTCTGATTCACAATGCTTTGATTCATTTTTTCATGTTTCTGTTTCATTTTTCAATTTTATATAATCATGTAATAGTAAAAATGTTTTTATGTTTTTTATAAATAAAATATAGATGTTGTTTTTTTTTTTTTAGAAAAACATGTTTTTATTCAAAAGCATTGCAGTATCAAATTCCTATATTTTAATTGGATAATAAAATAGTTATATTTTCATATTAAATGATACCGATAATGAATTTAGAATTGTCAAAAACATAAAAATGAAATATACGCGTACAAAATATTCCATTTTATTCCATTACAAACCTATTTTATAATTCACAATGCGAACTGCTTACATAATAAAAATATATCTAATAAAAAGACGAACCAAAACTCCTCATTAAAAAATAACAACTATCATTAACATACATATCGTGACAGAAATCATAAAAATTTCTATTAAATATAAAGCCTTGTCTAAATTCTTTATATTTTTTTCAAAATATATCCTTAAGTCTCAAGATTAATTGCTTTTCCAAACTTTTTATACAGATCCTTCTTTAATTCTTCCATGTCATTATTCAACTCTGATATCTCCGTTTCTAACTTGGAAACCTCTTCATTTACTTGACTTTGCTCCATTTCCAGTCGTTCTTGTACTTCATCAAATGGTAACAAAACAAATGCATCCCCCACTTTATAACTTTTAAAACAAAAATATTAGGACTCAATAATAGAGTTCAACTGATACCACTCACAATAAGGACTCATTTTCGTCTGCTAATTCAAGTTCTGCAACAATATCCTCCATACACTCTTTTTCAAGCTTAAAAACACTTAATTAAAAAAGAAAAAAAAACATTTCTCAAATACTTACTGATCTATCCTTTAAACTGCGTGTCCTATTCTGAAGACGTTGATTTAATTTGCTAAACGTATTGATTTTACACTGATCATTCCAATTTACATCTGCATCTGTCTCATCTGCAGGATCAAGCTTAAAAAAATTATCAAACTAATAAAAAATATGTATTTTATACCATCCTATTCATTATTTTTAAGTAAAACTTGCTTTTTAAAGCTCTATTTTTAACTTTTATTAATTTTTACTTATGTCGACGTAAAGTCCGATATCACGAGATTAACGGTTCAACAGTAAAAAAGACAAAGTAAATTAAAAGCTATTAATTGAGACAATGTAGAAGAAAAGATAATAATAATGGGGCCTGTTTCAAAAAGAAAACGAATAGAAGATATGCAGCGGCATAAGCCGTATTCCCGGATGCCAAAAAACATAAAAGAACAATTTTTAGATAAAAAAGTTATTATTAAGATTGATATTGAAGTATCTTATGGTTTTAGGAAAAAAATATGCTAAAAAACACACTTGGGGGAGTTGTCACAAAGCTTGTGTCAATGCTTAACTGGACTTACACATCTGTCTTTGGTAAAACAGGATCTAGTGATTTACCAGAGTCACCAAAGAAAAATGATTTAAAACAGTTATCTTCAGACTGTCTTGAAAAAGATGCAGATGAGAGCATGTTTTCTGCATCTTTAGCACCTCATTTGCTTGGATATACACCGTTAGTAATAAAAATACTATTTTTTGTTGTTGAATATGCATAGACAAGCAGTGCGTATTCGTCAGGATCATTTTAAAAATGAGTCTAGTCAAGAAGGATCAAGGAAGCAAGGGTAATGGGAGATAGAGGTTATTTAAGAATACTAATAGAAGGAAGGATTTTAACAGAGTCTGCTGCGATAAAAAAGCAAGAACCACATATAACATTCATTTCTTCATATAATACAAATGGTACTCAAAAAACACAAGATCCTCTTCGTTCTACTATGTGTACGAATAAGGAGAAATGCCTGGAATACAATATAGGAAAAGTTAGTCCTAATAAAGTTACTGAATTTTCTGCAGATCACACTGTATGTATAATATTATTTTTAAACATATTATTTATTATCATACTTAGAATTATGGGTTAAAAAATGATTCTAAGAAGCTACAAAGAAAGAACAATTCTATAAATAATCATATGGTATTTGATTGGACTCAATGGCCAAGAAATTCTTCTACAGGGATTCTTACAGCTTGGCGTGAGATTTGCCGACAGCAAGAAATCACCTTAAAAAATAGTATTACAGAATTACAGCTTTGTAAAAGCAAATCAATGTTTATAAAAGAGAACACGCCAATGAAAAATTTAACTACAAATCTAGAAACAAAATTACTGAATACAAAAAGTAATGATACAAAACTTAATGATTTCAAAAAAGAAAAAAGGAATATAATTCAAATACCAGAAAAACATAAGAATTTTCATAATAGGTTCAATGCATCAAAAAACAACGTTGTATGTACTGCACACAATTTACAAACAAATAATATTGAGAATTTAAAATCTTCGGTAATATTTTTCAATAGTTACCTTATTCTAATAATTTAGAAGAGAAAAAATATAAAACCAAGAAAAATATCAGAAAGCTATCGAATGACAAATTTTACTAGTATACAAGATAAGGAAATAAACCATAAACGAAATAAATCATGTAATTTTTTACAAAAAAGTAAAGAAATGACTATACAAAAAGAAAATTCGAGCTCTCAGCCAGCTAACGTTATAAAAGAATATAAAAAAACATATATTATGCAGGAGAAACCAGTATTGAATTATAATGTGCAGGAGAATAGAAATTCTGAAAACATTAATAACAAAAATATTATAAAGTCAAATGAAAAATTAAATACATTACTGGAAATATCCAATTCTCAAAATAATTCACTTTTTGTAAATAGTCAACATAAACGGAAAAGATCAGGATATTTTTCAGCACTAGAAGAAGATTTGGAAGAAATATTTGGTCCATATGATGATATAGATGATGACAGAATAGTTTCTAAAAGAAAAAAATATAATGAAACAAATGATGTAGATTTTAAAGGATTAACTAATAATTTACAAAAACGTAGTGCAAACTATCAACAACCATACTTTCAACCACGAATGCCGCTTTTAAAAGAATCTATAGAAACTAATACGCCTGAAATCCAGAATTCTCATAACATAAATAATACAGAAAAATCAAATTTATCTATATTTTCTTTGAAAACTAAACAAATGTTTAGCGACAAAAACAATGATATTAGTAATTCTGAATCGAATTTGAATACGCAAAACAATAACATTATAAATTTTACTGAAAAAAGCAAAGATAATAAAGAATGCAAAATATCACAGTTTAACACAAACACCGACTTTTTAACAACGACAAAAAGTGACCAGAATGACAAAAAATTACTAGAAGCTAATAATTTGATAATAGCAGAAAATCAAACACCTATTAATATTACAAATTCTTCTCAGCATAATTTAAATGATACTTCTGTTCCTTTTTCGTTTAATCTTGATAAAGAGAATCCTTCAGTTGAAAAAGAAGCACATAAACGTACTTCTATCTCTTCAAACCAACAATTTACTTTCAATACAAGCCCACAAAAAAACGAAGACTCTTTAAATGAAAAAAAGGTTGAGCCGATAATCACGTCATCTTTTGAGTCCTTCATTACCGATACAAATAACACAAAGCTCCAAAACACTGCACCTTTGGAGCATAAAGTGCCAGTTTTTACATTTAATACTAACATTAACAAAGCGTCAGATGTTTCACAAATTGATAATGTTAAACAAACAAATAATTTAGAGAAAAAAACACATACTTTTTCTCTAAATACGAACACTTTTCAGCAATCACATGATCTTACAAAAAATCATGCCTCAATTCCCATTAAGTCTGCAGCAGATACAGTTATGGAAATGGATTCTTCTCCTGAAAAAAAAGAGACAGAATCACAATCTAAATTGACTAACTTTAATTTTACAACTCCTGTGCCAGATACAAAGAATATATTGTTTGAATTTAAAAATAATCAATTAGATTCTTTTAATAAAAAAGATTCTAAGGCAGACGAGTCTTTAAAATTAAATTCTAATAAAGATGCTTTTAAACAGGAAACTTCAAACAGTTTTACTTCTGTATTAAAAAGTCCAAAAATAGTTACTAATACTTCAGAGATTTTTGTTGAAAAATCATCACAACCAGAAGTACAAAATGATGAACAAAAGACTTTACAATCTAATAAAGATAATGTAAAAAAAGTATCATCAGAGCAATCGTTTTCAATAGACAAATCTTCAGAACTTTCTAATCTAAAAAATGTGCCATTTTCATTCAAACCATCAACTACAGAAGACAATAAATCACAAACTTCATCGTTTTCTTTTTTTGAATCAACTAATAATTTTACTTCTCAAGAAAAACAATCTGCTCAAACTAATACAACTAGTGGGGAACAGAAAGATGTATCTTCCAGTAACAAACATGAATTTAATTTCACTAAACTGAATCAATCGAAATCAACATCTTTAGAATCGAACCAAACATCAGCAGTACCTTTTGCATTTGGACAGAATACTCCACCAGTAAATACTGCATCTAATGTTACTACAACACCCATCTTTTCTTTTGGAACAATGAATCAGCCTAAACAAGAGTTTTCATTTGGCCAATCAACACCTAATACTTTTTCATTTCAGACAACGTCAAATAATCCTCCTGTTTTTCAATTTGGCGGAAATGAGAATAAGACAAATACTCATGAATTTACGTTTAATCTAAATAATCCGACATCATCTGGATCATTAGCTTCACCTTCATCACCTTTTGTATTCGGACAGTCTATAACTAACTCTTTGAGTCAGCAAACAGCGCCATCTTTCAACTTTGGAGTAAATACGCCTACACTCAATACATATTCTCAATTTCAACCACAGACGCAAACACCAAATACATCTTTTTCATTTGGCACTCACCAAAACACTGTATCACAAGAGTCTGGTGTATCTAGTCCAAATCCCTTTGCATTTACATTTAACACGCCACAAAGCTCTATTTCTGGACGTAAAATCGCCGCCCCAAAAAGTAGGCTACGGCGTAGATAAAGTAAATAAGTAAAAATGAACATTATTTAAAAATATGTAGTTATTATTAGAACTATAACAATGTTATATACATAAAGACTGCAGCCTCTAAGCAATAATTTATTGATTCGCCATAATAATATTCAAATTATCATGTAATTATTAATATTATACATAGTATATATAACATATTTATCCATATATAGTATGATTATTACTATGGTTATTACTATTATTATTACTATCATCATGATCCCAAACATTCCATTTTTATATTACTTTACCCGCCTCATCTTAGAGATTTTTTTATGCATTAATATTTTGTTTTTTATGCATTGCGATTTTGACATCGATTATTAATTTTTTTGACTTTCTCTCTAGAAAAGTTCAATAGTATTCTTGTCCTACTACATATCCAAATAACACTTAAATTATATATTTTCAACTATTTCCATTATACTTTTTATATTTTTTCTTTATCACTAATACTCATTCTACAATATGCCATAAACTATTTTATGGTGGCTGGTAAATATTGGCATCATTTAAATGTCACCATACTTGGCGACTACATATAATGCATCAATTCTCTTGCAGTTTTCTTTTTATAACACCTTCCCACTCTTGTTAGCCACTAATCTCTTCTACTTACTTTGCGACCACCAATTAAAAAATAATAAGGATCATGGGAGGCGAGTGTTCATTACCTGGTTGTACCCTCTGTTTTCTCCGCTTTGTTCTTCCAAGAAGCTTTAGTGTTACCTATTCGCCAGAACCTAATGATGGAACTGGTGTCAGGTAAGATTAATAAATATTAAATACTAGAAATATAGACAATACAGTAGCTAACTATTGCAGTGGTTTGATTAGTGTTTTGGCAGATGGCGCTCCAACATTACTTTCTGGTTTAACGGAATGCCTTAGTAGCCACAGTTTATCTGGCCCTAAACACAATAGTAATGAACAATGTCCGCCATGTCAGAATCAAGGTATGTGTCGTTAGTAGTTGTGAAAACACTGAGTTAATGTGATTAGATACAAACCAAAATGGTCCAAAAAATAGTCAAGAAACACAAAATTCCAATGTATCTAAAAAGGGGCTCTTCCAGTTCTGTAATGTTATGTAATATGAACAGAAAAACCAAATTTAAATAGAACAGTAAGAAGGTAGTAGAAGAGGTTAATCTTAAGTGGCGAAACTTTATATAATAATTTGAGGCATGGATTGCATTGTTTTTTTTTTTGATTGGAAAAAACGTCCTGTAGATTTAGAAATAGTGATATTGAATTAATGTATTGTAATTGCCCCAAAAGCTTTTTTGTTTTTTATTGCCTCAAAATAGTGAAATAAAAGCTTGTCTAACCATGATAAGCAAATGAAGTGTAATATGTGAATTGAGAAAAATATGTAAATATCTACTTAATAAAAGAGAAACAATGCTTCTCTTGTCTAGAAAGCTATAGATAAATAGGTAATAGTGTTTTAATGATTTTGACAAGATCTTAATCAATTGTATCGCTATCAGTTGTACTGTTATCATATGCACTGTTGCTTTCGTAATCATCTTCAAGACTGCTATCATCAGATGTGTCAACGCCATCTTGATCAATAGGATAATCAGAGGTATTTTTATCAACTTTTTGATGATTTGATGAGTTTTTGATTTGATCGCGTAAAGCCTCCTTTTTATGGACAGTATTATTTACATTGGTAGATGTATTTTTCTGTTTAGCACTTTCCTCTACCTTAAATTCAATATTCCTTTTTAAATCTGTTCCAATATACGTATCTGATTTGACTTGAATTTGAAAGGTATGAACGCCTGTTTGAGATGGTGCTTGAAAAGATACACGAAAGGTATGAACACGTTTGCTGATATTAGTTATAGTAATAGGAGGAATGATGACACGATCATGCTTAATATCAACCACAAAAACCCACCATTTGGGTTTATGTTTCTAAAGAGATTAAAAATATATATTTAATATTAAGATAAGTACTTTTGGATAAAATGGAGTATGTGCATATGGAATAGTTGAATCTTCTTCATCTTTTTTTTTCTTACGTTTTGACGAAAACTCCACATCATCATCGTCTGTTTCATTTTCAAGATCTGATTTAGTAACTTCAGGAGGTTCTTCCCCTAAAAAAATGCATCTAGCTCTAAAAACAAACTGAACAATAGACTCTGGTGGAATAAACTCATTTCCGGGAACTATTATAGTGGTTACTAAACTATTAAAAAAAAGATAAATACCTTTAAAAGATGCATCAACAATATTAAGAATAGGAATTTTAGATGCAATATTAATGATTAAGGAATATTCTTCATTAGTATATGATGATAACAAGGCTCGCCTTTTTTCTTCCGGAATTTCCAAAAATTGCTGAATAGTTATAGGATGTCCAATTTTCTCAACTATTTCTTTAGCAACTTTTCTTGAAATATAGGGAAGTTGTAATAATGAAGACCCATTAGAAGGAATAGCTTGTACAATAGCCTGAGATAATTCCATAATATATAAAATTGGTTGCAAGAAACCGTAAATTATAGATATAGACAACAATCCGGATTGAAGTATCAATGCTAATTGAAGCAAGGTAATTTGCTCTTGAAAATTAATAAAAGTATATTAATTTCATTAATCAAACCTTTTTTTAGTTTAAAAGAGTGTAAATTAATGCGATGTAAATGAGCATAAAGTAATAAATAAGCTTTTCTATATGATAAATCTTTCTGAATATGTAATTGATACTTGTTATCTTTTGATATTATTTTCTTTTCAATATTCTTAAGCTCATCCTCAAATCCTGTTAAAAATTTATATTCTTGACTTTGAGAAATCAAAAGTTCTAATTTTTCAGATGTCATTATTTCTTCAATTCCTTTAAAAAATTTTTCAGCACTCTTAGTATGAATTCCGTCTTTAGTATATAATTTATTCCCATACCACCATTTTCCCTAGCATTTTTAATATACAATAACTAACAATGTTTACATACGACATAATATGGAAGAGCAAACCCAAATGCAATTGCATAAACACCTAGAACATAATAATTATTTTTAGTCTCAACAATCCATTTTGGAAGAGCTATTCCAATTGAAAAATCCTGTTTACCATCTGGATGTCCATATTCAATATAATTTCTTCTAATATCTTCATCTGTCAATCTAATTTTAAAATAAGAGCCAATAACTATTAAGGAAATAATACTAACGCTTTATAAGCTTTTGTGATTTCAACATATAAAGATTCAACGGATTCACGAGTCTGTGTTTTGTTAAGACGTACTTTATCCGGATGTCTATTTTAAATTCAATAACAATAAATAGAAAAAATAAATAGTACAATTTCAAAGACAATTTCTTATAATGCTTCCTTATTTCTTTCTCTGAAGCTGACTAAAGACAATAAATTTTATGAAATATAACTTACTAAGATTACCATAGATATTCCCAAAATTTCATAAGGATCCCAAACTTTATGTTGAACTTTAATTTCCGATATTTGATAAATAATATATACAACAAGAGACCAACCAATACACACAAAAACCGCTCTAAAAAATCAATATTCATATCATTAGATCATAATACTACTTTTTTGATATTTTTGGGTTTTTAATTGTCCTTTTTTTATATTCACGCAAAACTTTATCCTGTTCTTTACAAGAACCACAAGAACAAGGTATAATTGTTTCCTTTTTATCTACAAAAATAAAATTAAATGATTTAAAAATGCAATTTTTGAAACTAACATCGATTATGTAAGAATGGAAATGTAGTAGGTATTAAGATAATAATTAAAAAGGTAAGTACCACAAATGGAAAAAAATGCCCCTAAATATCAAGATCAGCTAATATTTTCAATTATTTTAGAAAAAAACTTCTTCATCATAACTATAGTGAGACATTATGGATCTATTGAAATCGTTGTCAAAAATTAATAACGATTTTTTAAAATTTTTATAAATAAGAAATAATATATAAATAAAACAATATATTATAAAAATGCTATTAAAATATCCAAAAATTACCTAAATATTATATGTTATTCCTAACCAGAGGATTTTTTTTTTTTTTTAATAAAAATGGTTTAACTTTATCTATATTTGCATCTGGTAAAATCCAACGCAAAACAAAGAGTAATAAATAGTCTGTTGCAACAAGAAAACAAAAAAGCTTTCCAGCCCACATGCCGCAACCATAATATTTTTTTAATCTGTCAATTAAAGGATGAACATCAGCTGAACATATGCGATCATAAACATGTTCAGTCCTTTCTGCTACATCAGACCATGAATACATTGTCTTAATTTCATTATGAAATGTATCAGTGCGAATACGTTTCTCCCTTAATGCATCAATAGCACGGGAAGTTGCAGAAACAAGATCTAATTCTATTAAATTAAATTAAATATTAATATTGTACCAAACCATCTTCTTCTGGCTCTGAAAAAATAGTCATATGAGGTGGTAAAACCTCAGGAACACCCCCTACACGCGTGCATACAACGTAGAGACCACAGCTTGCAGCTTCTACTAATACTGTCCCAAATGCTTCTGTGAGACTAGGATGAAGATATATATGTCCTCGGACCATGATCTGATAATTTAATAAAAAAATATTAAGAAAAAAATACTTACATTTCTAACATCTTCATGACGGATAGAACCAAGCATTTCAACTCTATCCTGAAGCATATTTTTTTCCCTCATTTGTTCTATATCTATTGCTTTAGGACCAGATCCAGCAATAATAAATTTAACATTTGAATACAACGAACAAATTCGAGGTATTGTTGCAATTAAAAGATCAATTCCTTTATTATAAAATAGCCGCGAAACAACAACAATTGTTACTAATATAAATTAAAAATATTAATAATCAATTAAAATTACTTGTATCTTTCGATGCTTTACTAGAATCAGGACGAAAATTTTCCGCTACAATAGCATTAGGTATCACACTAACCATGTGTGGATCTAATGCTGCTCTAAGAACTGTATTTTCTTTACTAATAATAATGAATTTGTTATAATGACTAAAATTCTCGGTACCCTGTATGAGAAACACATATTACATGATCAATATCACTTAATGTAAACTTCAAAAGCTTATTTGTAAAAATAGATACTGCATCTGCAAATCCAAACAATGAATGATCTGTAAAACATGTTCGAATACCCATAGTTCTAGCATGTAAAATAGCTTCATGACAAAAAGACGACAAAGAAGCATGTCCATGAATAATATTTATCTCTTCCCTAATGACAATGTTTCTAAATAAAGGAAAAAATGAATAAATTAAAGGAAATGTTGACTCTCTCTTAACAATGTTAACTATATGTTTTCTTTTCATGGCTTTATACATATATTACAAAAAATGGAACATAGTAAGCTTTCACTCCATTACATAAATATCGAATCCCTGTACGATTATTATACGCATGTGTAATAATAATAACTTTATGGCCTCGATCAAGTAATTTTCTATATCATTTATTTTCTATAAAAAAAGAAAATATAAACGCACTGTGAAAGTTGGTAAATATGCAATTCAATGCCTCCTGGCTGAGGGAAAAAGAAGTCGCAAACCATACTTATATATTAGTTTATAACTTTAACTTTTAAGAATAATTTACGCAATATTATACGGCATTGTAAAAATTAAAAAAAGCTGTACTTTGTACTCATAAATATTAAAAGAATATATATAAAGCGACAAATGTTTCTTTTTTACTTTTCATATGAATTTAAATGATTTTTTGATCTTTTTAAATATATTAAGTTTTTAATGTTCATCGTAGATTAGCGGTGGTAATGTTAAAATATGAAAGATATGATCCAGTAGTAAATAAAACATCAAAGAATACACGAGATTTTGTTTTATCAAAACTAAATGAAAAAATTAAAAGAAAACATAAAGAAAATCAAGAAAATGAAGAGGTTTAACAATATAAACATTTAATTAAAAATTTAATATAGACTTATGCTTAATTAGCAACAATGTAAAAAAAAACAGAAAAAAAATATATTAAATGAAGACAATGAGCAAAAAAAATCTTGCTTAGATGCTTTAGAAGTAGAATTTGTATCAGATTTTCAAAAAAATGATACAAACAAACTTAACGTGGAATGTTCATCTCAAAATAACCAGTTAATTGAAAATCATAATCAGGAGGCAGAAAAAGTACCAGAAACTACAGAAACATGTAATAATATCTTTGGTTTATTTTCAAATACAATGAAAGTTGCTTCAAATTCTAAATTACCACTTGACGACCACTCTATACATTTAAGTAATGAATTTAAATATCAGTTACGATCTAGAAATTATACAGAATTGTTTCCTGTACAAAAAGTAACAATTCAATTGATTCTGGATAATCCAAGTAGTTGTAAAGAAGATCTTTTTATTGGCGCACCTACAGGAAGTGGAAAAACTCTTGCATATGTAATTCCTATTATTCAAGTTGACTTTTTTTAATTTTGAAATAAAAACTTAGAAATATATAGATGCTTTTGAAAAGAAAAATTATTCGTTTACGATGTGTGGTAATTCTCCCTACAAAAGAACTTGTTTCTCAAGTTAGGGAATGCTTTGAACAATGTATAGGTGGAAGTGGATTAAAAGTATTTAGATAATGTATTATATTTAAGTTAACAAAAAAAAGATAGGCATAAGTACAGGACAAAGATCTTTTACTCACGAACAATCTAGACTTGTTGGAAATATAAAACATTAGTATATTTCTTATCTTTAATTAAATATATTAATTTAAATAGCTTTGCTGGAGGACAAAGTTTAGTTGATATTTTGATATGTACTCCTGGAAGATTAGTTGACCATATTCAAAATACTCCTAACTTTTCATTACAACATTTAAAATATTTAGTTATCGATGAAGCAGATCGTTTACTTAGTCAAAGATTCCAAAATTGGATTGAAATTGTTATGAATGAAATTGAAAAACCTAAATCTTATAAAGATTCTAATTATAAATTAGCAACGTATATAAAATAATATTTATTTAACAGTACTAACAATATTATTTTAGAGATCTTCCTGATGCAGTTAATGATCCTCTTAAATTAATATTTCATGACGATTTTGTTGTGGAAAAAAAGTCTTATATTACTCAGAAGTTAATTTTTTCTGCAACATTAACATGTAATCCTGAAAAAGTAATAAGTTTACGATTACGAAATCCACGATTAATTCTTATTGAAGAATCAAAATCTAGCTTAAGTAAATATTTCTCTGAAAATAAAGTTTCTATAAGAAATGATGATATATGTAAATTTTTTGTTCCTTCTGCATTAAATGTAAGTAAAAATATTAATATTATTGTATAACAATGTTTTAGGAATATGCTGTTTTAATAGAATCAGATGCTAAGCCATTGTATTTATATTATTTAATAGAAATACATAAAATGAAAGGTGTATTATGTTTTGCTAAATCTAATGAATCCGCTGCACGACTTTTTAAAGTATTAGTTTTCATTCATGAAAGTCTTATATCAGAGTCATCTAAATTAAGTATAAATAATAACAACATAATAAAAAACACATTTGATACAGGTTTATAGAATATTTTTAAATTTATGACATTATTAATTAGTCTAGTTGAAACATTTGAATTGTTTACAAATGATGTTTCTAAAAAACAAAAAAATATAGCTTTGGAAAAATTTAAAAATGGTAATATAAAAGTGTATGTTTTAGAACTATTTGAAATTAAAATAAGTTTAATTATTTTTTTAGATTTATATGCTCTGATATTATGGCAAGAGGAATTGATTTACCGCAAATTTCTCATGTTATCAATTATGATATCCCTCAAACACCAAGACAGTATATTCATCGTGTTGGTCGTACTGCTAGAGCTGGAAAATCTGGACAAGCATGGACATTATATCAAGAATTCGAATTTAAAAAAATTCAAAAAATATTAAAAAATATAGGACGTGAAAAAGAAGTTATATATGAAAAAATATCAGCTACAATTTTTACTAATGAATACATGATAAGTTATAAATCAGCTTTAAAGAAGTTGAAACAATATATTAAAAAAAAGACAAACTAGTTAAATAATTATCAAATAAATACATAGATTTTGAATAATTAAACTATATAAAAAACAAATAGCCTCGAGAATGATTAAGTACTATTTATGGATCTGTTTTGAATACAATATCATTATTTTTAAAATATTACATTACAAATGATTAATAAAAATATAAATATGATATATTTTATATAAGTTCAGGAATAAAGTGTTAAGTGTTTTTAAATGGTATTACTAACAATTATATGTCATTTGTTTTGATTTTCATTATTCATGTCAAAAAAAAATTCACTTAGAATTATATTTTTATTAATAAATATATTTTAACACAGTATGATTCTTGAGGAATACCGATTAATTTTCAAATTTAAAAACATTTCTTGTTATCATTGCAATAAGATTTTTGTTTTTTATTATAGATGAATATTTACATAGATAATGGATTTAATGGAATCTCGTTTAATACTAAGAAAATTATGTAGTTAGATTATTTGGCCTAGATTTAATAATTGCATTATTCATTTAAAATATAATGGAAATATTTCTTTTCATAGGATTTTTAGAATTTAGAAATATTAATCAGCTATGGGAAATTATTGAATTAAGATTTAAATCTTGTTAAGATACAATTGTTTTATCAATTGAAAAAAAAAATATCTGGGATATCATTTATGTGAATTATTTAAAAAAAATTACTAATAATCATTTAATATATTTTATTATAGTTAATAATATGTTTATTTTTCAAATTAAAAATAATGATATTGATTAGTTATAGAAAATTCCTTTGGTAATGTCTGAATATTTATTATTTTTATTGTATTTTTAAAAAACGATCAATTTAATATTTAGATTAAGTCGTTTTAAAATGATTTTAAACAAACTTTGATTTATATTTTTAACAACAAAAAAATTAGATAGATTTTTTTGCTTTAATAAAAATATATTTTTATATAGAATTTTGACAAGACTTAATGTAAGGCTAAATCTTTTAATAATTTTGTTTATTTCAATTACTTATATTTCATAACTTTCTATTTATAAAAAGTACTGAAGACTTTAGTATTAATAATATCAAAATAATATCTGGGTGATGTATTATAGTAAATATAACATTTTATGAATTATTTGTTAATATTATAATTGGTACATTCCATATTTTTAAATTTTAAGATTGTCAAATTTTTATTTTAAAATAAACATATACATATAATACCAATCTGAAAGAATAATTATACATTTATAATTAAACTATATAACTCTGTTTTTTAGTTTAAACAATAAATAAAAATTACCATACTATAATATTATTACGTCTAGAAATATTTAATATGTAATTATTTCCAATGATAAAAATATATGTAAGTACTAAAAATTTTAATGATCCTCTGTCAGGAACACAGGAATTAAATTATATATATTTATAATAATATTACATTGTACTAATGATCTTGATTTAATTTTTTTTTGGAACATTTATATATATATATATATATATTAATAAAAAAAATAAAATTGCATTATATAATAACTGGTTTTTATGTCTTTTTGAATTTAGTTATCTACTTATAAATAATTAAAATGAACAAAATAATAATTTATAAAAATGAATTATGCTTTAATTACAACTCAATTATACTGATTAAGATGAATTTCTTAAAATAGTTAATAGCTATTCATATTTAATTGCTAAATGATTAATTTTTAATTAATAACATGCTTGTATCTGAGAATATTATCAATAAGACAAACAGTAAATTATATAAATTGATAAAAAAATAAATCTATTTAAATATTAAAAAAATATTTTTTTTTAATGATCTTAGATTTTAAAATTTTAATTTTTATTATGTCTAAATATTTCGAAACTAGTTTAATATTTTTAATTTCTATTATATTTATTCTTAATATTATTATTATACTTTTTAAATTATTTTTAATATTTATGTTAAATTTTAATTAGATGAAAAAGTTATATAAAACAAAATTAATTTGTTTTTTATAATATCAGAATAATTGTTTAATATCTTAATTAATATAATATTAGAATGACAAGTAAGAACATACAATTGTTTTTGAATGTAATTTTTGAATAAAAGTGTGACTATTAATTTAATAATTTCATATTCTTTATATTGATTGTTGCTTTTTATTATTATATCATATATATAAATAAAAATTAACGATGAAACATATGAAATTGTTAAAAATACAAATCGTGGAATACTCAAATATCTTTGGAAACATCCAAGTATAAGCGAAAAAATACTTTCAAGCATGGTTTTCTTTAGATAAAAATCTGTAAATGATCTAACTAATATTTATAAATATATTAGAAATTTAATATTATAATCATTTACATATTCAAAAATCAATATTTATACGAATCGAATGGCCAATATTAACTATAAAATATTTTAAGGTTTCACTAAAATATTAACAACTATATTAATTAGTTATATATAATTTTACTTTATTATAAATTTTTTGTTTTTGGAAACCTTTATATATTAGTATCCAAAATAACTAAATATAAGACTAAATAACACTTACTTTGCTGTATAGACAGCATCGATAAGGAAACTTGCACTAATTGTTCTTCCTCCAAACCATCTACCATTCAATCCTTGAATTGCTCTTTCTCCAGCAACAACATTGTCGAATTTTATATAGACATCACCTGGGCTATTTTCTTCAACATGTATATGCAAAACTTTACCATATTTGTTTTCACATTCTGCTTTTACATCATCTTCAAGCTCACGAATCCAATTATCTCCACTTTCTCTGAAAAAGATTAAAAACTTAAACACTAAAACAAAAACATACTCTTGGGGATTAAACATGTTTTTAAGAAGAACACAACGACTTGTCATCTGCACAGCTGGGGTAGGTTTAGGAGGAGCTAACCCAATAGATTCTTTCCCTTCTTCTCTAGCTAACTTTCTCATCAAAGCATCACGTGAGATATTATTGAAAGAAACACCACCAGCTTCATTATCATCTAAACTAACACTACTAGATCCATCTCTGGGACCACCAATACGCTCAGTACCTCCCCGGTTTTTATTTTCAAATGCAGAACCTGTAAACCCAGAAAAACGCGCAAGAACAGCCGATGTACTTTCAGGAGTAAATTTATCATTTCCAAGCCCTACACGAATAGCACGACCTGCTAATTCGAATCCATTCATTTTTTCTAGTGCATCCCTAGCTTGTGCAGGATCTCTATATCTTTAGAAAATAAAAATAAGTCTATATCCATCATGATCATGAAACATACTGAACAAATCCATAACCTCTACTCCTCCCTGTATCTGGCTCTTTTTGTAACTGGACAAATTCAAGCTCACCAAAAGGTTCAAAAATTTGCCGCAAATCATCTTCAGTTAAATTAAAATGAATATTTCCAACATAAAGACGATGAAATGGTGCATCACTTTGACGTCCTCCTGAGCTTCTAAAAATTGTTAACTCAAAAAAAAACAAACAATGACTAACAGCATAGCTTCTGCTTTTGCTTGACGATTTTTTTCTGCTTCAGTAAGTTGAACGATGATAGGAATACCCAAAAGCCTTTGCCCTGTCATATTAATTGCTTTATGGACAGATTCCTCATCACGGAATTCTACATAACCAACACTACAAACAAATTAAAACTGTTATCCCTTATAACAGTGACACAAATACCCCTTGGAACGACCACTTACACGATCTTTTACAACTTGTGCATCCCTAACAGGCCCTACTTTTTCAAAAAAAGCAATCAATTCACGTGTACGTAAACGAGCAGCCAATTGTTGCACAAAAACCGTTCTTCGATCTCTCTCATCCTCAGTTAATTTTGGTGACTCCTCTCTAACCATCCTATATTCAGAACATGTGCAAAAATGCCTAAAAAGTACCTAACTGGTGGTCTGCTTTCTCGTGTTACTGGAGAACGACTCCTTCGATGCTTTTTAGAATCATATTCATCACGCTCATCATCATGAGAGCGTCTCCGCCTATTTACATCCCTATGGCGATCATCTTTATACCCATGCCGGTCTTTGTATTCTTCATGATCATCTCTTCTAGAATATCTTCGGGAACGTTCTCTACTACTCGATTTATTACGACGGCTTCTCGAACGAGATGAATGTCGAGACGATGACCGTCTCCTATATCTGTTGCAATGTATCAGCTCACCTACTTCCATATATTGATTCTATTACGACTCTTTATCCTCTTTTCGTTTCTGGTCTTGGTCTCTGTTTTTTTCATCATTTCTTCCCTGCCGTTCCTTATACTGGCCACAATTACACATACAAGTCCAATATACAGATTTCTAGAAGGATTACCTGTGTATTTTTTTGATAAGGCGCCTCTACTAAAGCTTCAACATCAATGATATCCGACATAATGTAAAACGCTACTTATTTGACCGTTTTGCTTCCTGTTTTTTCCAAAAATACTCTTTTTAACAGTTAGAATTTCGTTTTTTCTATCAGAAACTTACAAAACCCAATACAATCCTTCTAAATTGCTCTTTTTTTAATTTTTTTATTTGTTGGACGTCTCATCGACGTCTCACAGGTCGGAACGATTGAGACTTTTTTCACGTGGGCACCCAAATCTTAAGGCCTACCAATTGTATAAAAAATGCATAAATAACTAAAAAATCAAAGAAAAGTACCATTTATGTTTCTTAATGTGCCTTTATTTCTTAAAAATATATACGTTTCTTTTAATTTTTAGAGTTTTTTTTTTAATATATAGATTTTTTCACTCATCGATAATTTCCAATGACCATCAGACAGCTTTTGCAGTTTTTTTTTCTTATTTTTAGCATTTTAACAGCTATTTCTGCATTAAAAACGTTTAATGATGATGATTTTGAAAGTGAATATGAAAATCTTGAAAAGAATGAGCAAAAACTGCTGAAAACAGGGATATTAAAAGAACCTTCTGATGGATTAACAAGATATACAACGTTAATATTCCATTCAATAGTTTCTTCTCTTTCTACTTTTACAAATGATGTTTCTGATATTTGGGAATGGGTTTTAGAGCATTTTCCATCAGTATTTAGTGATGATCCTCCAAATATACACCATGTGGTTGGAGAATATATTAAATCAAAGATGTCTAGTTTTAATGAATGGTCAATTTTTACACATGCAGCGTTTCCGGGTTATCAGCTCCGTTTGAGGTCCTTGGTTGATACGAGGATTGATTTTGTTAAACAAGTATAAAATTAATATAAAATCATTGTTGAATTGTCTAACAAAACAGTATGCTGGGTATATTGATATAAAAGATAAACATTTTTTTTTCTGGTTTTTCGAATCTCGTTCAGATCCTTCTAGAGATCCATTACTTGTATGGTTGAATGGTGGACCCGGGTGTTCATCTATGTATGGTAAATACATTTTTTTATATTTCTTTGACTTTTGATATAATGCCTTATAAAGGTCTTCTTACTACAGTAGGACCGTCAAAATTAGATCTTAAAACAGGAGAACCTCACTATAATCCATTTTCATGGAATCAACATTCTTCGATAATCTTTTTAGATCAACCAGTAAATGTTGGGTTTTCGTATTCTGAACAACGTGTAAAAACAAGCTATGCAGCAGCTGGCGATTTTTATGCATTTATTTGCATGTTTCTTACGAAATTCCCAGAATATTCTAATTTAGATTTTCATATAGCAGGAGAAAGTTATGCAGGACATTATATTCCAATCTTTGCATCAACGATTTTCATGAACCAAGATGAATCCGAGGAGGCTCTTTATAAAATTGAAGATGAGAAAAAGGTTCCAACTATTAATCTTAAATCAATTATGATAGGCAAGATTTATTATATGATTTTTTAAAAATAATATTTATAGGAAACGGGCTTGTTGATCCTATTAATCAATATGCATATTATCATTATATGGGGTGCAATGGCAGCTATGGTCGTGTATTACCTCAAGATGTTTGTGATAATATGCTAAGAAAATATCCTGAATGTTATCGTTATATGAAGCTTTGCCGTGAATTTCAATGTCCTTGTGTATGTACATTAGCCTATGACTCTTGCACGGAATTGCTTTTGATGCCATATGTTCATGTGAATCAAAGAATGTATTTTAAAAGCTTATCTAATTTGATTTTAGCATAATATAAGTGTTTATGATATTCGTCGATCTTGTCATGGTAATTGTAATTTAAAGGAAATTAGACTTGTTGAAAGTTTTATGAATAAGGAGGAAAATAAACAATTATTTAATACTACTAGAAATTTTACTGAATGTAATTACACCGTATTTGATCATTTTCGCGCTTCAGGAGAATTAATGGAATCTGTTGTTGTTTATATTGAGGAGTTGTTAAATGTAGGAATTAAAGTACTGGTTTTTTCTGGTGATGCTGATGTTATATGGTATACTTTAAATAATAGTTTTTCTTGCTTACTAGTTTAGTAATTGGTATGGAACTCATTCATGGGTGCATAAATTAGAATGGAGTGGTGCTTCTCATTTTAATAGCCAAAGATATAAACCTTGGGTTCTTTGGAAAAAAACAGGAAAAAGAAAATTAGGGGAATTAGTTGGAGAAAAGAAAACATGTAAGTTTTAAACAATATCATTTATATATCTAACGAATATCCAAAAGATGGCGATTTAACTTTACTTAGAGTATATAATGCAGGGCATGCAGTTTCTAAGGATCAACCAGAAGCTGGTTATGATATGTATACAAGGTGGATTTATAAAAATTATTATTTTGATTAAATTAAAAATAATTTTTTAACGAATCATCCTTTTTTATGATAATTATAATGATTTAAAATTTTATTAAATTATTATACATTAAAAATATATAATTATTCTTATTTTTGACGTGCTATTAAAATAGTTTAGAAAATCATATTTATTTTTTTAAACACAAGCATGCATTTTAAGTAAAGTATGTTATTAGATGATTATTGATAATTTTATATTTTTATTGAATAATTTAATAGTTTTTTATAAAAATATCATTTATGTAGAAAATTTCAGAAATATTATAAAAAAAATAATTAAAACCTAGTATGGAAAATTTAATTGTGTTACAACAAAGAATAAGACAAATCTTGAAAATTGTTATTAAAATATAAAAATTATTATTATTATTAAAAAATACTAATAAATAATACAAACTTTGAAGTGTAATCAGGTTTTTTATGATTTTTTTAAAAATATAAAATTTATAAACTTATATATTAAATAAATGATAAATAAATTTTAAACATTACTAGAAAATAAGAACTTTTTTAATACAACTATAAAGTAGTATTTATTTATTTATTTTTAAACTATAAATACATCAAATATTTTAATAAATTAAAAAATATATTGATAATAAATTTTTCATATTATAAAAATAAATAAGATTATTTGATCTTGATAATTATTGTAGATAATAAAATGGTAAAATGATTTGTTTTCTATTTTTAAAATTTTTCAAAATACCATAAATCAATTTATATTTTTGAATTAGTTTTAAATATATATAAACTAGTATAATTTTGAAATATTGATAATACATAAGATACTAAAAACATGGCTATAATACACAAAAAAAGTATATATATTTAAAGACATTAAAACATTTGTTCTTCTATTATTTCTTTTAAGTCTAAAACTTCAATATAACCTTTATCTTTGCTTTCTTGACGAATAAAATCTATAATACGCTTGTAATCTCCAGGATCAATATATGCTATCTAAAAAATATAAACTATTAAACATGGAATAGAAAACACTACCGCCTGAAATTCGTCATTCCATTCTTCATCCGTTATATTAATAGACAACTGTTCTAATTTTTCTTTTAATTTTTGGATTATACTTAATGGAGATACAATACGAACACGCATTCTTGCACGTTCGATAGGAATTATATTCTTTTCTTTTAAATGCTTAATCACATCTAATGCCTTAAAAATTTTTTTACTATCAAGTTAAAAAAAAATAAATCAACTTACCTGGGACTTGACATTTTTATTTAAGTTTACACTAAACCCCAAATCTTTAAGTGCCTTTTCAATCATAGACGCTGTATACGCTTTTTTTGTCGTTGGATTAACACACATGTCTACAATTGTCCGAACAATATCTTTATATGTATTCTCAATTTGATGAGACCGTTCTTTTTCCCCAACTTGAATATCTCCCTTTTTAAGAATCTAAAATTATCTACATGATTTCTAAAAAATTAAAAATGATCGTTACTTCTTGTAAAATCACATTCATATCACTCGTCTGGAAGACCCGTTTAAGGTCCTCCATACATGCAACTTTTCCCTTAGAAACATTTGTAAAAACATTGCTTATCTGAAGAACTTCATCAATATCTGTCTCACTGATATTCCTTTAATATCAAGTAAATATTATTAAACAAATTTACACTCCACTACGCCATTCCAATATCTTATTTTTATAACAAGCTACCTCAAAACTTAAATTATAAGCCATTATATGGTTAAATTGCTTGTATTTTTACCGTTTTCCACCTTTTTTCAGCCGTACAACTGATACATTAGTTAATCTAATTCAGATCAGTTACAAAAAGAAACAAAAAAAAATTACTTAATTAAATTAGATGGCTAAATGTGTTAATAAACATGTTATTTTCTTTGAAAACTCTTATATACCTGATTAATAACAACCATTTTTTTAATATAGATATATGTCTAGAATTTTTCGAACGTTAGATGTCTCGGAACTACACCAAAAAACAGCGTGTTCTATATAGTAAAAAAGTGGAGGAAAATACAGAGTATTATAGGCTCTAATTACCTCTACGGATATATATTTCTTGTTTTTAGCTTTTTGAAGTTTTTTAACGGAAAAAAACGGTTGAAAATGGCAGGATTACCATTGTAAAGTAGTTTTAAGAGTGATATAAATGAACTAACAGAATTTGTGCGTAGAAATGAACGACAGTGGGGAGTTACACCACCTGTATCTATGGCTGGACCTACAGAACATGAAATTGCGGTGAACGCTGCATTAATTGATGAATTAAAGTTGCGGAAGAATTTTGAATCACCAGAGGAATCAGATAAGAGGTTTTAATGTTTTTTTTTGCAGAGGAACCATGTATAAATGTATTTAGAGCAAAAGTTTTAGGAGAACTTCAGAAAATTACACTTGAGTTTGTGCAAAAAGTAAGCTTGGATAAACATATGACTGAAAGTATGGCTCGAGATGCAGGTGGTAAAATATTTACATACGGAAGTTACCGGCTAGGTGTATACAGTCCAGGTAGTTTTATTCTATAGTTAAAGTATATCAGTTGAGGTTTTTAAAGGTTCTGATATTGACACGCTGATGGTTGTTCCAAGACATGTAACTCGCGAAAACTTTTTTACAGATTTTGAACAGATTCTTCGGAATCGTCCTGAAGTAACAGGAATAACAGCAGTTCCAGATGCTTATGTTCCTATTATAAAATTTAAATTTTCTGGTATTCCTATTGATCTTATTTTTGCTAGACTAGCTCTTGCGCAAGTTCCTATGGATCTTACCCTTGAAGATAATAATCTTCTGAAAAATGTTGAAGAAAGATGTGTTCTTTCATTAAATGGTACAAGAGTAACAGATGAGATTTTAAGACTTGTTCCAAATCCTACTATTTTTAAACATGCTTTAAGAGCTATAAAGCTTTGGGCTCAGCAACGAGCGATTTATTCAAATGTTATGGGATTTCCTGGTGGTGTAGCATGGGCTATGCTTGTTGCACGAATTTGTCAATTATATCCTAATGCTGTTTCTGCTGTAGTTATTGCCAAATTTTTCCGAATTCTTTCTCAATGGAAATGGCCTCAACCAGTTTTACTAAAGCCTATAGAAGACGGTCCTCTTCAAGTACGAGTTTGGAATCCAAAAGTATGTAAAAAATACTTTATGAGTTAATGTTTTTTATGAGATTCATTAGATTTATAAAGGTGATCAAGCACATCGTATGCCTATTATTACACCAGCATATCCATCTATGTGTTCAACCCATAATATTACAGAATCAACTCAAAAAGTTATTATTAATGAAATGAATCGTGCAGGTGATATTGCAGATAAAATTTTAAATGGAACTCTTCCTTGGTCAACATTATTTGCGAAACATACGTTTTTTCATCAATATAAGTATTATCTTGTGATTGTGGCTGCATCGAAAAGTGCTGAAATGCAACTTAAATGGTTTAAAACAGTTTATTATTATTATTATTAATATTTTTAAGGTCTGGTCTAGTAGAATCAAAGGTACGCCAATTAGTATTAAGACTTGAATATGTAGATGAAATTAAACTTGCACATCCTTTCAATAAAAGTACTGATTCATTACATTATTGTAAAACAGAGGAAGAAGCTAATGGTGTTGCTCATGGCGAATTAGTGAGTACTAGAATGGAAAATATAAATATGCAACAAACAATTAAAGAAATGGAAAGTACATCTAATATGGATATGAAAAATTCTCAAAGTGATATGATATTAGTGTATGTAACAACGTGGTATATTGGATTAGAAGTAGATAAAAAGAATGGTAAAAAATATACATTTAATTATAATTTTCATTTAAATATTTTATTTAGGCTCTAAAAAATTAGATATTTCTTGGCCATCTCAAGAATTTTACGAAATGTGTAGAAAATGGGATAAATATAATATTGAATCTATGAATGTTGTAATTAAGTATATTAGAAAGTTGGATAATTTTCCTATTTGTAAAGAATTGACATTTTTTAGTTTTGATTTACCTGATAGTGTTTTTACACAAGGTGAACAGCGGCCAGTTAGATCCCTAAAGAAAACGAAAAAAAGAAAATTACAACCTGATGAAAAAAAAGAGGTTCATTCTAAATTTTTTTGTTTATAAAAATTAATAAACAACAGAACATAGCCGAATCTCCTGATAAAGCAGTTAAAATGGACTCTACTGTTTCTATCCGTGCTTAATAGTTTTCTATAAAAGACCATATCCATCCAAATATGGTATCCTATTAAGGTTATAAGTAAAAATATCTAATTAATGCATCATAAAACTGTATTGCCTAAACATAACTACAGTTTTTTAATGTGCTAACCCTATAACCTTTAAAAATAAAATTTTAAGCCTTTTGAGTTAATATTGGGTAAAAAATCTACGGGAATATGCTAGATTTAATACGTAAAAATATAAATCTAACAAATAATATAAATATATTTCGTTTAATTTATAAAAAAATCATATCTAGCTTAATCTCATCAAAATTATGAATATATTTTTTCTACTAATAATATTTATACATTTATAATAGTTATATATTTTTTTTTTTAGCAACCCAAAACTATAACATTAGTAAATTAACTATTTAACATATTAATATACTTCTGTTTCATATATATATTTTAACATAGAACAAGGATTTCCAATATACGTAGTATTAATTGTTTTTCTTTTCTATAAAATGTAAAAAAATATAAAAATAGCTAAAATTCATACTTCTATTTCAAATCCAAGATTCTTTATTAATTGAATCAAAGTCTCAAGACTTAACTCAATACTGCAAGTGAGATTTTTATCTTCAGGTGATTTTTCTGTGTATGTATTATCTTCATAATGCCAAAGAAGAGGTCCTAAATTTATCCAGAATCCTCCAGGTTTTAAAGAGTACCATATAGTTCTAATATAAGAAATAACATTTGGCGAGGTATCTATAAAAAAACATGTAGCAATTACATCAAAAAAGGATTCCATATCACTATGGGAATAAACTTCAGTAAATTCGCCCATTGATGTGGAAAAGCTGGAGCCAGAAGAAATAATAGATCTTGGGTTGATATCGGGAATAGAACATTTATAAAGCAAATCTTTGTTTGATCGATGGTTTGAAAAAGTATGAATAAAAGGAAATAAAAAATAATCATTACTAGATTTTAAACAATTCAAGACAAAAAAAGATGAAATAAGCATAAAATAGGAAAACTCGTTCCCCTGTACAGAAAATCCTGTCATAAAATTAAATTTTAAGTTAAAAATAAAAACAATACCTTTGAGTGCTATATCAAAAGGAAGCCTACCTAAACCTGCACCTGGAACCAAAACATTTATTTTATTTCTAACATAATATATTAATCTTGAAAAATATATAAAAAAACTTTCTACCTTTTATTCATGGGTATATCCATAAATTTTAATTCAATTTCATCAATAATAGGTTTGTACGACATATCTCGTTCGAGCATACCATCTTTGCTCCAATCACGCCAAAATTGTTTCATTGTTGTCAACACTTTATCCACATATCTTTTTATATATTAACAGTTGTAACAATATGTTTATAATCAAACCCTGGCCTCAGGGGACGTGGTAGTGCATACTTTTCTCCTGGAAGAAATTGATTTCTTCCAAATTTCTCTATATCATTTGCAAGTTTACAATTAATTATAACAGCTTCTTCTAATTGATCCAAATGATCTGAAAACTCTATCAATAATGCCTGATCCTCCTTTTTAAGTGATTTCAGTCCATGACGACGCATGTTGATCTTTAAACCCATAATTTCTCCGTATCTTCGAAATGCTTCAAGAGTATCTGCAATAACTCCTTCTTCGTCCTCATCCATCGCTTAAAAATAAATATAAACAGTCCTCCTTGAATATTTATAATATAATGATCTATATTTAAACAGCTTCTCAGTATTTTTTTCCAGCAATTCACTCTTTTTATATTTAAAAGATAAAGTATTTTAACCGGCTAAAAAAGACATATTGAAGTAATTCAAACAATATATATCTAAAAAGAATAATAAATTAAGTAAATATACTGTTAATACATTCTTTCTTTTTTTTTATTTAACCTTAATTTTTCATTTAATTATTTTATTTTAAATGTTAACTTGTGCGACTGTCTTTTAACAGTTTATTAAAAAAATCAAAAAATAACACAAAACCTAAAAAATAAAAAAAATACTGCTTAATATCAATTAAAATGGTATGTATTAATAAAAATCTACAAAAAGTATTAGTAATATATGTTTATTAACGTTTAAATAGTCCCTTGTTTTTCAGTCAAGTGTATTTCAACATATTCTCCGTTTACTCAATACAAACGTAGATGGACGACAAAAAGTTATATTTGCATTAGTAGACACTTCAAGCACTCTATATATATGTTTTTAACTTTGGCAGACACAAATTAAGGGTGTTGGTCGCCGTTATGCCAGTTTAGTTTGCAAAAAAGCTGATATTGACACAAATAAAAGGTAAATAATACATATGTATTATAAATTAGTATATTAAGCTGGTATAGAGCAGGTGAATTGACAACAGATGAATTGGAACGAATCGTTACGATTATTCAAAATCCTTTGGCTTACAAGATTCCAACATGGTTTCTTAATTCTCAGCGTGCAATTGTAGATGGAAAAAATTCCCAAGTACTTGCAAACCAACTTGATAACAAGCTTCGTGAGGATCTTGAGCGTCTTAAGAAGATTAGAGCACATCGAGGGCTGCGTCACTTTTGGGGATTAAGAGTTAGGGGACAAGTATGTTTATATAGCAATTTTTATAGGCTAATTTTGTGTTTTAGCATACAAAAACAACCGGACGGAAAGGAAAGACAGTGGGTGTTAGCAGAAAATAATTTTTTGTTATTTTTTTGCATTGTCAATAAAAATAATTGATCATTTATTTTTTTGTTATAAATATTATAAATATTTTATTGATTTTAATATTTATATGTATTCACTAGTATAAGCCTCAATTAATTCGTCTAAATTGTTGATGACATCGTCTTTATTATGCATTTTATGTTTGTTTTTGTAAATATATTGTTTTTTTTTTTGAGATAAGAAAGTCTTGGTATCTAAAGAAGATGTTAATGCCTGAAAAGACAATTCCGATGAGTTAAAAATGCTGGGAAAAGATGCTGGTGAAGGAAGTTCTGTAGAATGACAATATCTAATCAAAAATCAAAAAAATAAAAAAATATATAATAAATAAATCCTACGTTGTTGATATTGAAGAATTTTTTATTTTAGAAATAGCTTTTTGGTTTTTCTCATTTCTAAATATTTCCAAAGAACTTTCAATTGAATTTTCTAACTTTAAACCTAACCATCCAGATTTAAAGTCTTTTGAGTTTATTTTTAAATATGTCATTTTTCTATAAGAATAAAGATTTATTAAAGGAATTATATCCCCCATAGACATGAAGTTAATTATAGAATGGCAAGGTATTAATAGAGATTCGATTGCTGAAAAATGAAAAGCTGATGTGTGCCATATAGAACTTGGATCGAATTTTTTGGAAGTATAATCTGGCTTTTTATTCAAAGCGAAAAGTACTGAAGATGTTTCATGCATTGATAATAATGCTTCAATATCATCATTCATTCCAGTATCTATAGAAAATGTCCATATACATAATTTAGGTATTTCATCTCTAATAGAATTAAGGAATGAACATGCAAATCCTCCCCAACCATTACTAATTTCACTAAAGATAGTTAATCCTTGAATATTATCACATTCTTCAAGAAAAGGTCGAAAGTGAGATTCAAACAAATCATTTTCTTTTGAAAGATCACGAAAAAGATCTTTTCCTTGATCGAATGCATGAAATGGATTAAAAGTTTCATCATAAAGATCATATTGACATAATTGATTTAAAGAATGAGGATGATATTTTGTCATATTATAATCAGACCATGAAGTAATTGTTTCTGATGATAAAGACACTTTTGAATGTGGATTTCCTAATGAAAATTGAAAAGGATGTATAGGGTATTTTGGAGCTTGATAAACCTCTGTAACTAATTCATTTTCTCTTATAAGAATATCAACAACTATAAATAAAAAAATAAAGTACTTACTCATCTATATCTTCATTCTGTAACTGATATAAGTCCATATATTTACCAAGGTTCCCAAAACTATTCCTTAAATCATAAATAAGAACACGAGGAGTAAAAACATCTTTTCCGTATTTATTGGAATTTAATCTATACATAACATGATAATCAATCAATGATTCTTGCGTATCTTGTGTAAAATATGTTTCTTGTGCATTCCAAAAATGAGTTCCTAAGTAATTTGCATATTTTCCAAACTGAAGAACAATATTTTCTCTCATAAAAAGACTTTTGAATATTTAATATTTAAGAAATAATATTATTTAAATTAAAATATTTCAAATATGCAGAATTAAATATAAAACAAAACTGTAAATTGTATTATAATATTAATCTTTATAGATTTCAAGTTTTTTAAAAATACGAATATCTTAAAAAGATGGAAATTATTTCTTAATAGATTCAAAAAAAAATAAATAATATAAATAATAATTTTTTTAAAAAATATATTTAAAAATTTAGAAATAATTAAATACTCAATTATCTCATTTAATAAAATTTTTAATTTCTGATAAAAAAAATCTAAAGTATAAGATTCATGTTTTATTTATAATAAATTATAAATATAGATCTAAAATTTGAGGCTTTAAAAGTAATCGATTAAGACATTTATATTTTATACATTTGTCTATATATAAATTTATTTTTAATTCTTATCATTTCACTTTTTTATAAACTTCATTGCTTTTGTTTTTTTTAATTTTTATATTTTTCTTGCATCTACTAATTTTCTAAAAACTTATTCTGTTAATTTGATTTATTATATTAATATTTATGATCCAACTGTTCATTGTTTTTTTGACATTTTTTTAACTTTATTTCATGTTTTCCAAATCTTACATCAATCCAAAACATATTGTATATAAATTATTTTTCAAATGATGACATTATTTAAGATAATGTTTTGTACAATTTAATAAAAAAATATTTACAATAACATTTTAACATTCAAATTTCCAATCTCATCTTTTCATTCTAAAATCATAAGAATACAATTTAAATTAAAATTTAAATATATTTGATCTCAAAATAAAGATTCCTGCTTTTTAATTCATAAAATATAATTTATAAATATTGTTTAAATATAAAACTTAACTTCATTTTAAGGTTTAGGGTTAGATAAGATTTAAATATGTAATTTTTTTAAAATTAGTTTTAAAATTTAAAATAAAATCATTATTTTTGCCAATAAAATAACATCAATGGCAAATTCTTCACTAGAAAATAATGAAAAAGACATAGAAGAATATATTGTCAGCTTTAAAGCAGGAAAAATGATACGAGAAGGTAATTCTACTCTTGTAAAAGCTGACACAAGAAAAGGGTAAATATATTGATTTATTGGACAAAAAAGTTGATTTTTATTTATAGAATGGTATTTATGAAAGTTGGACATGATGATTTAGTCCATTTTTGCTGGAAAGACAGAACTACGGGTGTTGTAGAAGATGTTTTTTTAAAAAATAAATAGTTTCTATGTTTTTAATTAAATTAGGATTTCATTATTTTTCCAGATGAAGCAAAGATTTTTCGTATAAAAGAATGTCCAGGGAATAGAGTTTTTGCTCTTCGATTTAAGTCTTCTATGCAAGTTCATTTTTTTTGGATGCAAGATCTTAAAAGCGACAAAGATCAATATTACCTTGATAAAATTAATGAAATAATTAAAAACCACGTAATGGACGGTAGAAAAATAAAAATGCATATCAATTCAATCTGAATAATTAAATTAGATGTATTAGATTCCGATGAACAAGATATAAGTTTAAAGACAGAAACAGAGTATTTTGATAATCAAAGTAAGTTATTTGAATTATACCAATTTCTTCAACTTTTTAGATAAAAAATCTGATGAAAATATATCTTCAAACAGTAAACAAGGAAATTCCGAAACAGAGACACAAAATATTCTACATATAAGTGCATGTAAAAATTATTCAGCATTATCTGAGTATTTTTCATCTTTGAAAACATTTTTATCTAGTGTTTCTGTTCCTGATAATTTTTCAAACGAATCATTTATTTTAACTGATATATTAATGCCATCAGAAATAATTAGCTTATTACAAAATAACTTTATTCAAAAAACATTATTTCCTAATCTTCCATCTAATATTCTTTCTCAAATTGTTAATCTTAATGAAAAAAATCTTGAAAATTTTATTTCAGAAACATATTTTCAACAGGTAAATATTTAAAATAGCTTTTTTTTTTTTTAACTTTTAAAGGAACTTCGCTCTCTTCATTACGCTATCTATGAAGGAAAAGCAGATACTATTATTTCAAAATTTTCATCAAATAATTCTAAAACACTTGATGTATTTTTTCGTGCAATAATACGTTTACTTGAAGATACGGATCAAGAAATGAATATTACTGAATAATTTTTAACAAAGTTTTATTATAATTATATAATGAAAATATGTTACAGTATTTTCCTATAAATTCTAAAGATTATAGTTTGGATTGTTATGATATATAGACTTTAAAATTAGAAAATTTATAGTTCAAAAATTACTTTTATTCATTTAATATGTATTTCAGTATTTATAAATCGTAAAATACGACAATATTTTTATATTTAATCAGATTTTAAATTTAAAATATGAAATAAGTATTTTTTCTAATTATAAACTTCGAATAACAAAAAATAATCCATAATTTTTACTTAATAAAAACAATTGTACTTATAAATCTTATAGAGTAGTATATTTTTCATCTTAATTCTTTTATTTAATAAATATTTTGTTTCTTTTAAAATATATTTGGTTTTTTCATTTTATAAAATTACATAAATTTTCCTTAATATTTATGAAAAAAATAATATACTACTTAAAATTATTTTCTTTTCACTTATTTACCATTAAAATTCTAAATTATTGATAAAAATTTAAATTTATGAAATTAATTTCTAATTTAAATATCTTTAAAAATATTAAACCTAAAAAATTATTTATTTCATTAATTTTTTAATATTTATATTTATTTATTTCTATCTCCTAGGTGCTCAGATATATATTTTAAGTTCATTTACATAAAATAAACTATCATATAAAGCCATAAAATAAAAAGCAAATGAAAAATAAAAATGAAACACCTAAAATGACAAATATTGTGGACGAGCTCTCAATAGAAGGAAGTAAAGAATCTAATTCTGAAACACCGGAAGTAAATACTTTTTATGGTTTTTTAAAATATACTTTTTTCTTAACTAACATATTTAGAAAATTCCTTATCATCTAATGATTCTGAAACAATGACATGGTAGCTTCTAAATACAATACTTGTCAATACTAATTTTTTAGGATTTCATGGTGGTGTTCTCATGTAGGCCATGATTATTTTGCAGAAGTTTCAGAGGAGTTTATTGAAGATAATTTTAACTTAACAGGTCTCAGTACTCTTATTCCGTTTTATAAGGAAGCACTTGAAATGATATTGGATGTAGATTCAGGCATTTTTCAAACACTGTTGATTATCAAAATAATTTTTTCATAGAAAATACAGATGAACATGTGCGAGCACCTGATCAAAATATCATAGAAAGCAGTGCAGAACTTTTATACGGACTTATTCATCAAAGATATATAGTATCTAGGTCTGGCTTGCATGCAATGGCAAGACAACATATTTTTTTTAAATTAAAGCCAACTTAAATTTCTTAGGCTGAAAAATTTGAAATGGGACATTTTGGACATTGTCCAAGAGTATATTGCAATTCCACCTCAGTGGTACCTTGTGGAAGATCTGATCTCCCTGGTGTAGAAACTGTCAAACTCTTTTGCCCTAATTGTTTAGATATTTATGTTCCTCCAAACTCTAGATTTCAAAATATTGACGGTGCTTTTTTTGGAACAACATTTCCTCATCTTTTCTTTCAAATATATCCAGAATATAAACCAACTATTTTACAGAAATGTTTTCGTGTTTATCAACCAAAAATATATGGTTTTAAGATTTCTGAAAGAAGCAAATCAGGACCTCGAATGACATGGTTAAGAAAATTTTTAGGGAAGACAGAGCCAGAAAAAGAAATGATGTTATTAGATGAAAAAAATGATGATAAAGAGATAGACAGAAATGAGGAACTTTCATGACATTTATTATAATATAATCCTTTCACTCTAGAAAATAATAATGAATCTAATATATGAAAAAATACAAACCATAAAAAGAGACATACTGAAACTGTATTGATATTCTTTCGTAATATTATGAATATTTAAAATATTTTCAATTTTCTAAGACATTTTTATATCAGGTAGAATAATACATGTTTAAAAGTATTACATGTATAATAATATTTTTTAAATACCTTTTTTAAATATATCTATTTATTAATCAAATTCTTTCATAATATTAATAGATAACCATACATGTCTGCTTTCCCGAGATTAAATATATTTCTATTTCTAAACAAAATTTGCATCTAAAACCAAAGCACATTTTTATAACATTTATTATTTATAAAAAACAAAGACATTAATTACCACATATATTTATTCATTTTTTTAACACTACAAATTAAAAATTCATGCTTTAAATATAAACAACATTATATATAGTTTTCTAAAATACAAACAATTCATATAATTAAACGACTAATTATATATTTATTAATAATACGTCTACTACGTTTTTTAAAAATCAATATCGAAGCTCATAAAACCACAAAAAACTAAATTTCAACAAATTTTATTATTTATTGAAACAATTCTTTTATATAACAGCTTATAACTATAAAAAATAATCAAAAAAAACTAATTGATCAATATAGTTTTTTTTTTTTTTATTTAATTATATCAAAATGCTAAAACCATCCCAACCAGTTTTTGGAGTTATTACAACTTATGCATCACGTATAAGGACAGGAAATACATCTCTTATTATCCCTATTCAAGGACAGTCCGGATCTAGGAGTACAGGAAGACTTTCTTCTCGTGGAGGCATTATATCATATACAGAAAAAGATGATGATGACTGGGATCAAATAGCAGAAAATGGACAAGAAACATATGCAGTAGAAGCAGATGATACTGGTGATAATAAGGGATATATTAACGGGCCACCTCCAGATAGTGTTGTTAAAAGAAAACCTGCAGTTAAAACAAGACACATGTATAGGTAAATATTAAGATAAAAGCATTAAAAATATTTAATACAGTAGATCTGATGATCAAATGAAATTTGCAGCAGAGAACGAAGAAGTGTTGATTCCAATTAGACTAGATTTAGAGCTAGATAATTATAGATTAAAAGATGTTTTTACATGGAACATGAACGGTACTTTTTTTCTTTTAAGAAATTATACTGATCTTGCTTTAAAGAGGAACTAATTACACCTGACCTATTTGCACAAATTATGTGTGCAGATCTGGATATACCAGCATCGATTTTTGCACCACAAATTTCTTCTGCAATACGCACACAAATTGAGGAGTATGCTCCAGTTGCGGAAATATCTTTACCTGAAAATAATGATTTAAGAGTTATTGTTAACTTGTCTTTACATTTATCTAGACATCTTCTAACAGACAAATTTGAATGGGATTTAACCAGTTCTCTTACACCAGAGGTTTTTGCTGGCCAAGTATGTGCAGATTTAGGACTAAGCGGAGAATTTTATCCAGCTATTGCACATGCTATTCATGAGCATGTTCTTAGATTGAAAAAAGAAGCGTGTGAAGGTGGTTTGCCCTTTGAATTGGACAATGATGCTGCATATGGTGCAGAAGCTGGCATCCGCGTTGAGCAGGAAACACTAGGAGCTAGTTGGGCGCCTCATATCGAAGTTCTTAGCAGAGAAGAAATAGAAAAAAGAGATGGAGATCGTGAGCGCCAAGTCCGGCGAACTCGGCGAGAAGCATCCCGCTTTGGTGCAGGTTCGATTTCTAATTTTGGTGAAAGAAGAAGTGGACGAGATAAACGTGGACGAAGCTTAAGCCCAAATAGTAGAGGAGCATCTGAACAATCAATACCAGCAGGCGTAAGCGGTGCACAAACATTATCTGATTAGTATGTTTAATTTTATAAACTACTTTATTAATATTTATAATAGCGAACGCACACGTTGGAGATGTTCTTATTGCCATTGTTCAGGTACAGGCACTTGGGCTGTCCGTAGAGGTCCTTCTGGTAATAAGGTAAAAAAAATATAATTATTTCATTAATCTCAAATATCTTTAGACACTATGTAATCCTTGCGGCGTTGCTTATGCTAGAACAAATGAACTTCCTCTGTGGAGAAAAGGCCTTTTTCGCTGAAAATAGTAATCTTAGATATATTTGGAACATAAAACACATTTCTTATAACCTTAATATTATTATATAACAGATTATTTTACAAACTACTATACAACAGTTCAAAAACATTTTATTGTCTTAATAGTCTTAATACATAAGCAAATATATATATACAAAACCATATTTTTTCAAATTCAACATTACCTTCCTTTTTAAATTAAAAAAGGTAAGTTACTAAAAAACTGATCAACTTGATATTCAAAAATAATATAAGTTTGACTTTAATGATTACATTTTCTACATTATCTAAACTATCTTTGGTTTATCTTATTAATGGCATCTCTATACTGGTACCTGCTAATCCGCGATTTAACCCTAAAAGGTTATTAGTTTATACCTATTTTTACAAAAAAAGTACCTATTACCGATGTGACATTTTTACGATTCTTACTCTAGTTGGTGTGATCCACTCTCAACACATCAAATAGATTAACAACTCTTAAACACTGATCCTAGATCTATCGTAGTGATCAATATTTTTTCTCTCAAAAAACGTTCATAGAGTAAAAAATATTATCAGTGGGATTCTGTAAGGATAAATAAGACCTTGTCTACATAATTATTGTCAGAAAATATTTTTTTACGTAAAAACTAATAATTTTTAGATGGAAGAACAGAATAAAGAGCTTGTAGAAAACCCAGAAAAACCCCATGAAAATGTTCTGGATGATACAGAACCTACAGAAGAAGAGATCAGCACTTTACGACGGGTTTCAGATAAAATACCATTTTCTGCCTATCTCGTTGTCGCAATAGAATTTTGCGAACGATTTACTTATTATGGATTAAGTAACCCTTTACAAAACTGCATTCAATATTCGCCAACAGATATGATCCCGGGTGTTCTTGGGCTTAAACAGAGCGGTGCAACAGCACTTAATAGTTTTTTCTCATTTTGGGTCTATGTTACACCTATCATTGGAGCAATTGTTGCAGATCAGTATTTAGGCCGATATTGGACTATTCTTTGGTTTTCATGTATATATTTTGTGGGTCAGCTTGTTTTAATATTTACGTCTTTGCCGTTTGCAATCGAACGCAATTTATCTCTTGCTGGAATGATCATAGCAATGATTATTATTGGATTAGGAACTGGTGGTATCAAAGCAAACGTCTCACCTCTTGTTGCAGAACAATATCATTTAGAGAAACCTATAGTTAAAACGTTACCAACAAATGAGCGTGTTATTATTGATTACGATGTTACTATTCAGCGTATTTTCTTACTCTTTTACTTTTCAATTAATATGGGATCATTTGGAGGCACTGCTACAATCTTCTTGGAAAAATATGTAGGCTTTTGGGCAGCATTTTTATTACCGGCATGCGTATTTATTGTTGGAATGGCAATTTTAATTGCTGGAAAATCACGATATACTTGTCAAGTTCCTGAAGGCTCAGTTGTTTTAAATGCTATAAGAGCAATGTATATTGCAGCCAAAAATGGGTTTAGTCTTGAAAAAGCTAAACCAAGTAAATCAAACGGAAAAGACAAATTATATTGGGATGATACGTTTATTGATGAGCTTGGAATTACACTTGTTGCTTGTAAAATATTTATCTATTATCCAATTTACTGGGTCTCATATATTCAAATGGCTACAAATTTAATATCTCAGGCAGGAACTATGCAGCTGCATGGTGTTCCATCTGAACTAACGCAACAAGTAAATCCATTAACATTAATTTTACTCATTCCTGTTTTTAATTACTATGTTTATCCAACTCTGAGAAAATATGGGATTTTATTTCGTCCTATTACAAGAATTACTATGGGGTTCTTTTTCGGTTCAGTATCTATGGCATATACAGCTATAATTCAAGCTAAAATCTACAACAGTCCACCTTGCTATAAGTATCCAGGAAAAATGCAATATTGTGATGCTATCACAAGAGAAGGCCAGCCCAATAATGTACATATAGCTTATCAAATTCCATCATTCTTTTTTGTTGGGGTTTCGGAAATATTTGCATCAATTACAGGTTTAGAGTCAGTACAAACATATTCCTTTTTTTGCTATTAATATATCTAGATATGCATTTACTAAGGCACCAGCTAGCATGAAGTCATTTGTAATGTCATTATTTTTATTAACAAATACGGGTAAATGATACCAAACGTTTGATTTTATTGTGTATTTTAACACTTAAATTAGGTGGTTCACTTATTCAGATGATGCTTACACCTCTTTCTAGAGATCCTATATTAGTTTGGTTATATACATCTGTTTCAATTGTAATATTCATAGCTGGATGTTTATTCTGGTTTTTATTCAAAAAATACAATAAAGTTGAGGATGAAATGAACTCTTTTCAAAGAGATGTTAGGACTTTAAAGAATAAGCAATCAACTAGGGTAAATAAATCTAATAATGAAACAGCATAGTTCTATTTAGAACATTGCTTTTTAATGCAAAATAGATAGCTATTTTTCAGTTTATATAGCTTATGTAACTCAATATATATCATTTCAAAAAATATTTAAAAACTTGTCTACTACTAAATCTTATACCAATTTATGAATTAAAGATTCTTTGTATCGAATTAAAATTAACTACCAGAGCATATTCTAAAAATAAAAAAATTAATGAATAACATCGCTAGATCTTTAATATGTTCTTTATACGAAAAACCATGGATCTAGCATTAAGCCTTATAAAATCCATAACTATACAATATTTAAAATATTAAAAATATCAATATATATAAAACACATCATAACTAAGTACCAGACGATATCGATAACAAAACATCAATTGCAGAATCAAGTTTACCATTTTCAAAATCAACTACCATTTTAATAACATCAAGATCAACTGCTGGGAACATTTGATTAAGGGTATTAAGAGTTTCCAATTTTACTTGAACTTGTACATCTTTTGTTGCGACAAACTTAGATCCTGGATACTGAGCATTTATTTTCGGATATATCAACTTATTTTTGTTCAAAACAGTCTCAGACGCCATATTTCGGGACGACTGATTAAAAAAAAATTGTTTAGAAAAATTAGACTGATATGATTGTTCTGTATTTTGATCTATAAATATTTTTCCTAGAGAAGAAAAAGGTTTTTGAATATTACGAAATGCATTAGATGATTTAGACACAATATATTCTTTTGTTGGTTTCAATATAGAAGAAGATATTGAATGATTATCTTTACTTTTTTCGACTGCTTCTTTATTTTTCTGTTCATTCACTTCAATGATAGCATTTTCTAAATTCCTTTTATATGTAAGAAAATATAGAATTCTCCAGAATACATACTTCTCAAATTCTTCATCGGAAATCGTTAATGACGATTTATCTAAATTTTCAATAAAAGCAATAGCACCTATCTTAATAACATAAATAACAAAAACAGTAAAAAAAAAAATTACCAAGCTAGAAAAATAATATCCTGATTCCCCAGAAAGTTTTTCAGGATTCCTAAATCGAGATATATACCTTTTAATAATTAAGTAAATAATAAATAAAAAAAGAACATACTGAATATTTGATATTATATTTCCTGGATTAGTCTTAAGTATTACAAAAATTAAAATAGGAATAAATTTATCTGCAGATTCTTCGATTCCCGCATGTTTCAATAAACCTAGATAATATTAAAAAACAGAATATCATCACGTAACATACCAAAAATAACCTTAGAACAATTCAGGATACATATAACTTTGTCTCTTGGCGAATGATAGGCATTAACTTTCATAAGCTCTATATAATAAACAAAAATACATTTTACTATTAAAATGTTATACCTTGCCCAGCTAGGTACAAAAATTTTTGATTTAAATCACTATGTGGAATTTCCATATGCTCTTCTTTAATCCATGCAAACATACTAATCTTCTCTCGTAAAATTCTGTCTCTTTCTAAATCATCGCTATGTCCACTGATATCGTCATCAAGTAAATATGTTATAGCAGGAGAAAATGTATGATCATATAGTCTAGTCATAATCAACTTTTCCATTCCATCCTTTGCATTATCAAATTCAGCTTCCGATGTATTTATCCAAGGCTCAACAAGCAACATCTTTTGATATATAAACTATATATAAACTATTACATAATTATACAAATACAAAAATACATACGTCTAAAAAATCACGAATAATCTTCACTTTTTCTCTAATTGTCCAATGTCTTTGTAAAAACTCATAGATAAAACTAATATCATTACAATTATTCAATCAACTAAAATAAAACAACCTTTTCATATACTTTGTTATAGGAATAGCAGATTTATATCTTAACTGACCAAGAAATTTGTGAAAATCAAGAGTTTGTACTAATTTCAGCTCCGGCAACTTAAATCCAATTAATGTATTTTCAAAAGTATTTTCCTTCGTTGTCTTTTTCAAATCTTTCTCAAATAAAAGAACTTTTTCTATATCGTGAACCAAACAGTCTTCTACTTTTTCATCTTTTTCAGAATCTTTGACGCCATTTTTTACATTATTAGATAATGTTTGTTGCACAAACTGTTTTTGTGATATTACATTCAAATCTAAGTCTTTTTTCTCATTTAAACCACTATATGGTGCATCTAGACATTCTGCATCTACCAGCAATGAAAATGTCCCAAGAATATGTGTTTTTTCCGTCTTAATAGATGGACTTCGTTCTAAACATTTCTGATGTTTAGATAAATTATATTGATGAAAACCACCCAAAAATATCTCTTGATCAGATAAAGACATCCTATCATTCTCCTTCTTATTGTTTAACGCGCGTCTTATCTCTTTCATTCTCACAAAGACATCTTTTCTTACATCATTTTTTTATCAAAATTTTTGTCATTTTCTGCCGTCTCAAGCTTACTACAACGATTTTAAAAATATTTAAATATTTAATAGATTAACCTGTTTTTTTCTGAAAACACATGTTTTGTGTTATTTTTTCATTTTTAGCATTTTTAAAGCATTAAAACAGTAATCAACAAGTATAGTCAGTGGAAAAAAACAATTTTTAAATGAAATCTGTATTTCAACAAAAAAAGACAGATATTCTACGTAAATTTAATACAGAAAATCTAGATGCATCACCAAAGGGATCACCAGATGAAGATATACTTGATCTTTTGAACCTTATTAATAGCCATGCGGAGCTCGTTACAACAAGCTCTTGTTCAGGTAGAATGTCTGTATATGTTGAGAGTGAAATAGCACATAATATTGGAGGAAAAGGCGGAGGGGGAAAATGGTTAATGGTTAAACATGAACCATGGGACATACCGGCTAAAAATTCAATGGTTTTAAAAGAACTTTTTGGAAAATACTCTTTAAAAACAAGTGATTCAAAAAACTCAGAAAAAGGGCGATTAATTCATTTTAAATTCGAACCAATGGTACTGGCTCTTTTTTCGTATTTTCTGCTTTAATTAATTTGAAGATTTTGCATATTCTAGCAAAAACAGTATCAACCGCACGTACTTTTTTAACTACTGCACTTTCATGTAGTTTTAGAGAATCAGGGCTTATATTGTCAAAAAAGAATATTGTAATTGCAGTAAGGTCTTCTATAGGATTTAGTTGTCCTATAGGCTATCTTAGGAAAGAACAAGATATTGAATTTATTCAATTACTAGTGAATGAATCGTATCTTTATTTATTGATAGATATGGCGAACAAAAGATTTAAAGAAAATAAAAAAAGAAAAGAAAAGTTGTATAAAAGTATAGCGAGTTGGATTACGGAAAAGTCTAAAATAAATATGGAAGACAATAATGGAACCTTGATAGAATGATATAAAATCAAAAATAATCAAAAATAATCAAAAATAACAATCGAAAATAACAATCAAAAATACCGTTATTATATTAGTTATTCGATATTTAAACCAAAATAGAATACAATGACTTGTATTATTCATAAAGTTTGCAATAATATATTCACAGAAAGTATGATCACAGAATTATGTCAAATATAAAGTATTTAATACTTTTATAATAAAATTTATTTAAATACCATGTTATATTTTATAAAGATCAATATTGAAAGACTTATCATCTAGTAAATATCTTTTCATAACATTTTTTGGAGATAAAATTAAAAACAAACTTAATATATAGATATAAAAGTTGAAGATAATCATTGTTTTTGATATTATGTTAACCAATAGAATTTAAAAAAACATTATTTTTCAAATTTATCATATCCACTAACCTTTTTAGAAATATTTGTTTCCATTTTTGCACTTCTACTTCCAAATTGAATGGCTCTTTTCTTTTCTTTACTTGTACATATTAACCCAAGTTTTTGACAAAGTTTCCTTAATAAAAGTTTATCTCCATTTTGTATGCTGAAATCCATTTTTCCTCGCACAGGTAATTTACACAAAAATTTTACAACATTTTCATCAAGATATGGGTATCTTATTTCCTTACCATGGTGAGATACAATCCTATCATCTCTACCTAAATTACGATATGATAATCTTAAAATATTGCAAGAAAGCTAATTTCATAAAAATATAGCCTACGAATACTTTTTCTATTCACCTCATCAATTACTTCAGGCCACCCACCATTTTTATATCTTTTTAAGTATTGTAAGTATCCCCTAAAATGCTAAACGTAATTTAACAAACACTTTACTATATACCCTAATTGTTCATCTGCTCCTAAACTAAAAAAAATAAATTCAAATTTAAAATAATATTTAATAAACTTTCCCACTAATTAAAACTTTGGATACAGAATTATACGTTGTTAAAGAATTATCTGCGGATTTTAATAATCCATGTCCTCGTGAGGCAAAATAAAAAGCCGTTGAAATACTCTTATAAATATTAAAAACATTAAATTATAATAAGACTCACCAAATCCATAAAAGTGTCATTAGGATGCATTAATTTTACTATTGTTGATTTGTGGTAACTTACTTCAGAATATGGAACATTGATCTAAGAAATTAAACTAAAATATTCAAAGTTAGAGAATACCTGAATAAATCTCCACAGCCTTTCATTCTTAGTTACTTCACACAACTCTTTATATGCATTCAATCCTGTTATTCTATCCGGACAATCATAAGCTCCACCAAAATTTAAATTTTCAGAATTTTGTTTTTTTTGTGCAGAAAAAACATGAGAATTTTCAAAAGCTACATTCAATAAATCCACAGGCTCATCTACAGGCAATATTTCATGAATTATCCTTGCTAAAACAGATGAATCAAGTCCACCAGAATAAAGTATAGCCAAACGGGGTTGATTTACAGACTCTAAAGGTATAGATATTGTTCTAACATACAATGCCTGCTTTAAAATATGATAAAACTCATTTACATAAATATCTAGTTTTTCATATTCGATAGGTTCAAGAGATGTATTTATTAAAGGATAAGGATATTTCTAATATTGATGAGTAATAATAAGAACCCATTTTTTTAAAATAAACCAAACATAAACCCTTTGATTGATCAAAATCATAAACATAAGGAATTTTTTTTTCCTCAAACTTTACTTGTTAAAGATATTTCCAAGTAATAAACATAATCCAAACCTTATTTTTGAAAAGTTGACTCAAATCAACACAATAAAGACCATTTGCAGGGACCTCTTTCCATAATGGCTCCCCATTAGAAACACTAGATAACATGAAATGAAAAGAATCATCTACTTCTTCTGAAATATGCTTCAAAAGCGACCTTCTTCCAAGACAATCTCTCCCATACCATAGTTCCTCTTTTTTTTTCTTTAAACATCAATAAATATATACCTAGCGTAAAAAACAATACATCAAGATAAATGAATGAATAAGGACCACGAATATCACTAATAATCTCAAGAATATCCGCCAACGGCTTTGAAAAAGCTTTCATTATTTGCACAGTATCATTATCGGAAAATGCCATTTCTAACCCATCCCAAACCTCACCATTCCAGCAAAGTATATCTCCACAATCATTAATAACAGGTTGAAGCACTGCTCCTTTATTTCCTCGTAAATTCAGCACAGAACAACTTATTTCTAGCTTAATATTTTTCAACTCAATTTCAATAGTTCTAAGTCCATCTGGACCACGAGAATTCACCAAATCAATAATCTCCTTATAATCATCTCTAATCTCTGATTGAATATATGAAATTCTTAAGAAAATACCACACATTTAAATTGTTTCATTTGTTATATTTATTTGTAATCACTCAATCTTCGGTACTTAAAATATTTAATATTTTTAACAGTTTTTAGAACAAATACTTTGAGTTTAAAAAAAGATATTCACTTTTTAAAATATGAAAAGTATTCTATTGCTATTTCTTTTTCAATTTTTTTCATTAATTTAGATACTTATTCAAGATCCATATATTTTGATGAAAATAAAGTACACCTTAGTAATTTAAAACAAGATATATTAGAACTCAATAGATTATACAGAAATGAAGAAAAAATGTCCTGGAATAATATGTATCCTTTGAATCACAGTGAAGCAAGAGCATCTAGAGATAAATTTACGGTTATTACTCAAGAAATTGTCAATCAAGAAGACAATTTGTATCCAGAATATGGGAAAAATATTTCTAAAGAAAGCATGGACATGTTTAAAAAAACGGGAAAAAAACTTAATAGAAACAATAAAGGCCTAGATTCAAAATCTAGGAAATTGCCATTCAGCAAACCACTGCCTGTTCCAGATATTATGATCAATGAAAGAAAGCCAAACGTTTGTATTATTATAATCTTGCAAATAATCATATTTATTTTTGACAAAGAAAGAAGTGGTTATACCTCCTCGACCTTTTCCTAAAAATCACAAAGTAAATCCGGACTTTCTGTGTGAAACATGTCATAAAGACCTAGGATCAGGGAAAGTAATATCAGTAGCAGAAAAAAAATACCATTTGGATTGTTTTTCTTGTGTACATTGCATGACAAACTTGGAACATGTTGCCTTTTATGAGCATGAAAACAGATTATACTGTCACTTAGACTATCATGAGCTTTTTAGTCCAAGGTTAATCTAAAACATTAGGTTTTAAAAGATTTATGATGACTTTTAGATGCAAATCTTGCGGGACTTGTATTGAAGATGTAGGTTTTATTTGATTACACTGTTTCATAATATATTTATGTACAATTAGCAAGCAATATTTGCTCTTGAAAACTACTATCACCCACTCCACTTTTTTTGTGCGGGATGCGGAGAAGTATATTTTTTTAATCCAAGACAATTGTATACTTACAACTACTCAAGCCTTTCGATGCAGATACACCTTTTATAGAAAGAGACAAGTATGCATGGTGTCAGCGATGCTTTGAAAATAAATATTGTTCAAAATGTGAAAAGTGTAAAAAACCAATTGTTAACGACCTCGTATGTGCAATGGACTTAGAATGGCACTCAAAGTGCTTTGTATGTTCTGTAAGTGAAATAATATACCCAATTTATATGATTAAATATTCAAGATTTGCAATTCGGAATTCAAAGATGGATTTTATATTTATAACGATGATTTTAATTGCCAGTCATGTTATTCGTATATCATTAAAGAACGCACGTAAACTGTACATTTTTGCAAAATATGTCTTCATATGATAAAACTAAAATAGCTTTAAATTTCATGATTATAGTTCCAATATACAAATAATTAGCCATCATTCAACTAATAATGCTGTCTTCTAATGGAATACTATTTTTGATTACTTTGATTGACTTGTTATTTCCCTATTTTAATACAGTGATGTCAACTTGTTTTTTTGTATTTCTTCTTCTGTCCAGAATCAGAAAAAAGCTCGTATTCATCATGTTTTCTTTTCTTCTTTGAATAACGCTTGGTATCATTGATAGATCTTGTACTTTCACGGTCTTTATTATCATAAAGCTCATCTTTTTCCAAACTTCCGTATTCAAGAATATTAGAATCAAGCTACACCCTTTTAAAATTCACCAAAGATAATCAGAACTAACGTACATGTGAAACAGGTTCCGGTTGAAGCGTAAACGCCATTTCAAGCATCTCTGGATCCAAATCCTCAATAAACTTGTTCGTTTTGTCTTCTTGTGGTTTCAAAATTAAGTCTCTGATAAATCTATCTTTGAGGATAACATTTTCTCCTATCCAACATGCTTCTTCAGTACTTTTTTGGAAACATCAACATATTCTTACCCGGAAGGTGTTGAATATGACCTTTATACGATTGCCGCATCTTTCTTTTATTCCCAAATTCATCCACTCGTGCTACCCGCTTTGCTAACTCATTCAAACCATATAAACATTGTAAATCCTCTGTTACAGATGGTATTGTTTGTGAATAACTCGAATGATTAACAAAATAAAATTCTTCTGCCATTTTTTTAAATGTTTGACTTGTTTTTCATACGAAAAAAATAAAAACATTGACACTCACACAGTCTATTTAGTGATACATAATTGCCTCTATCATTTAAGTAAAATGTATGTTTAAATTCGCCTTAAACACTTAAATTCTTTCAAATATTCAATTTTTTTAAGATCCAGCAAACTCCGATACACAACGAATGAATCAATCCATGGAATCCTCTGAGTTAGAAAAACAAGATAAATTGATTAAACCTGTGACATCAGATAATTCAGCTCTACGCATAACGCCAAGTACACGGGCAACAGGATTACATGCAATTCTTGTTAACCCTCGACAAAAAAAGAATCCAGTATTAGTATGATTTTTTGTATTTTTTCAAGAATTCTAACATTTTAAACAGGAACATATCCGTAATGTACCATGGGTAAGACTATACGGTGTTTTCTTAATGCCAACAACCTAGGAATATGGAGACAGTCCTGCAGATTATGTGCTAGGTGCAGGAACATGTGCACTTTTTCTGAGGTGAATAATAATAAGTATTGCCATGGAATGTTGATAAGACAGCCTACGATACCATTTATTATACCCGGGATACATCTACCATCGCCTACAGAACTTGGGGAAGGGGTATCGACTGCGTATCCTTCTTATTTTAGTTGATTATGTAAAACATGATCCTATAGAAGTATTAAACTTATTGTTAATAACCAGGACTGCCACGAAACAGCCCTCCGTGAACTTACCAAAACGTGTATCATCAACGATGCAACGCTAATACTTTCATGGAGGTTACTGCGTGCACATTTTTAGCACAAAATACCTTTTAGCCATATTTAACCCTTCATAGTTTTGCAGAAGCAGGTCGTTATCTGGAAACATACAAATCGCTTGAACACGCATCATTCAGTATAATACAAGGCAAATCTCATGAAGATTATTATAGTAAACTTGTGGAATGTTTTACCAGTATACGCTATATTACGAAAGACGACACATATGCCATGCTTAGCAATTTCCGGAGTATCAAGAAAGCTGTAAATGCCGAAAAAGAAGAAATTCTAATGATCGGTGGCTGGGGTGAACAAAAAGTATGTTTTTAGAAACACTGGTGCTTTTTTTCCTCTAAATAAGAATAACCCTTAGGCAAATCTGTTCAAAAAGACTGTAACACAACCGTTTATTGTAAAGGATTCGGAAAAACAGTAATTCGTATACACCATCATTGAATTAATGAAAAAATAGTCAAAAGTTGAACATTAAATATCATTGCCATTTATAATCTACGTTACGGTTTTCCCTGTTGTGCTTTTCTTTTCTGTTTTTTTCCGAGATATAATGTAAGAAAGACGTTTTCTTTTTTTATCATTTATTTCATTGGGATCGGAATCATCATTTCTTTTTCTCTTTTTTTCCGTTGTTTGTACCATTTTATCCTCAATTTTTAACTGAATCTTTTTTCTACTTTTATTCTCTCGTTCTTTACGTCTATTAACGACATTGATATTCTTTTTACGTTAGAAAATACACTGTATTACAAAACGTGAAAAACATGTATGTATACCTCAAGAGCAAACTCAACAATTAAGCGTTTTTTTACATTTTCATTCTTTTTTGAACTAATTTTTCTCCCATTAAGCCAACGAAGTCCCATCAAAGCCCATCTATGCCCGACATACTCGATAAAACCACACCCACGCGCTTGGCCATTCTTTTCTTGAAGAATTTTAGCTTGCCGAACGATTCCTTTTTTCCCTTTTTTAGGATTACCATCTCGAAGATTCTCTTCTCGAGTTAATGGTGCACGTTTTTTCTCCTTTACTTCCTTGGCAAAGTCTACACATGCTTTCCTTGCTAAAGCTTTCAAATCTTTATCAGAAATATCTTTGGGAATATTTCGAACAGCCAATCTGGTAAGAGATATATACAAGGATGGATTTTTTTCCAATAATTTTTTCCTTTGAGTTAAACTTTGATTCCTCATATCGCGTTCTGTTTCATTTAACAAGTTGAACAAAGATGATTTCGGGTCTATATAGCCTTCATTTAGTAAAAATATATTCCTTTTATCAAGATTTTTTTCGACTATATGTTTTCTTTCTTTCCTATTGTTATCTTCAATTACAGAGATATCCTCTTTATTTAAAGCGGGAAAAACGGATACTAAATGACCATCCAGTGTAAACTTTTCAATGTTATCATCGAGTATTTGGTTTTGAAGCACAGTGGATTTTTTATTCACCGATAAAGCAGATTGTTGTGTTAAATCCCGGTAAACGTTCAAGCAATTCTCCATGTCCATTTTATGATGAAAGCAAACAAAAGCCGTTCCTTTGGATCTCCCTGTAAATGCATCCATAACGACACGTGCATATTTTAAACGACCGAATTGACAAAAATGGGAAAACAACTCATTATCCGTCGTTTGAAATGAAAGGTTTTTTACAAACAAAGTTCTTTCATTACTGTCGTATAAAGCAGTTGGAGGTTTTTGATCTTCCTTGATTACAGAGCCTTTTTCGGATGAATCCGACTTATTAACGAGTTCTGTATTATTAGAAATAATGTCCTTGGTTTCCATAAAAGACGATACAGAGTCATCCGTATCTATATCTTTGGCTGATTTTTCCTCCTTTTCCAAAAAATCTTTCCATTCACTCTGACTTAAAGCCCAATCAACAGCAACGTGTCGACCCTCCAATTCAACTCCGTTTATACATTTTATTGCTTCCTCAGCTGCAGACATTTGTTTCATATGAACAAACGCAAACCCACTCATTTTCCCTCCCTTTTTCCTCGGAATAATCACATTTACAACTTTCCCGTATTTACCAAACTCTAAAAAAAATGCATGATCTTTTTTTCTAACGGACCAAGGCAAATTCCTTATGATTAAAAAAGGCCTCAATTGCTTCTTTTTCACCTTTTCCGTCTTCGCTTCTTCTAACGTCTTCTTATCACTACGGTGTCTAGGTTTGGCAAACTCTGCTTTTAAAAAATGCCCACTCAATGTCCGCTTTTTTAGCTCACATATCGCCTTTTCGGCATCAGAATGTGTCGAAAAACTCACAAACCCATATCCTTTGGACTTTTTTGTTTCGGGATCCGTTACAATCATAGCATGTTTAACCCTTCCTATTTCCTCAAAAAAGGACGTAAAAGACGGCAAAGAAACATCCAGAGGGATTCTCCTTACAAATATCGATGTATTATGTACATTTTCATTGCCATCCTGCGTCATTTGTGCGCCCTATAACCCTTAATCACCCTGGACAAAGTGGGTCTCTTTTTTCATCAAAAATGGCCCAAAAAACCCCGCTTTTTTTCTACCAGGCCTCTTTACACCCTGTAGAACCCTCTTGATTCAAAAGTACTGCAATTTCCCGCTCCTTTAGCCCAATTTTCGCTTTTATTCCTTTTATTCATACATTGACGTTCCACTCGATCGATCGATCGTGCTCACCTTCGGTCTACATTCTTTTATATATAATATACTTGTATACTTTTTCCACGTATAATTTCCAACACATTTATATCCACAAAATCTATACATCTATCAAAGGTAATTCCTATCTATTTCGATTTATTTTCTCTTACTCTTCAGCCTATATGTCTACACACCCTTCTGTTTCTCCTTGTATTTCCACTATATATAATACCCATATATACATATACACCTTCTAACACTCTAAGATCGACCAGCGTCTCCCCGAGATGATCCTATTTCTCTTGACTATCTTTCCCGCTGTGATGGAACCGATGCTACAATGCCTATTTATGTTGCAATCAAAGGCATTGTTTTCGACGTAACACGTAAATCTGCGCTTTATGGTACGCACAGACGACGATACTCGATAGACAGCCTATAACTAAACAAAGGTCCCGGTGGCAGTTATCATATATTTGCGGGCAAAGATGCATCTAAAGCATTTGGCAAGAGCAGTCTTAAGGAAGAAGACGCAATAGCAGACTATTCATCTCTGAATGAATCTGAGCTGCGTATACTTGACGATTGGGTTACCTTTTTCTCAAAGGTATGTTACTCGGTGCAAATGCATTTGGCCAATGAAAGCAGAAATACGACATTGTAGGAAAAGTCACCCATGAAAAATAACACTGTACAATATACTATAATACACAGATGATCCAAAACATATAGACTATGTCCAAAGCCGAATCGTTGCATCTGCCCCGGAAGAAAACAACCATGGTTGCCTCGGATGCCATTGTACATCGAGTATCCCGAGAGAACATGTAATTTCGTGTCCCTTGAGAATCTTCAATGGGACAAGGAGGGGATTCTGCATCAAGTCGTTGTATACCATTCCATGGAAAACATGAATGGATCCGTCATCGCTTGCAGAGCAAAATAGTGGATAAATTCCCTTATGAAAAGCTACGCTTCGTAAAGCCTTTGTGTGATAACACAAAGTTTTGTATGGCCGAGGAGACAAATCCATATCGATCCATGCGAGCTTTTTGTCATAAGACCCAAGAATGAGGTTGTCTCCTTGAGGATGGATATCGATCGACGATATCCACCTTAATCCGGGCTGAATGATCTTTACCAATTCCTGTTTTACGAGATTGTAAACCCTTACGTATCGTTGCGTCTAATTGTATAAGTAAGCGTAAAACAATACAAAAGAAAAGCGAAGTTACCGCTACGAAAAAAAGAGGCTTTGTAGGATGGAAAGCCAGTGTTTGAACGAGTCCTTTTATTTTTTTGAACGGTGTTTGCGACTGGTGTTTAGAAAGCAAATGCACCAGAACCGCGGTGTTCCCGTTTTCCGGTGCAAGTGTAACAAAGTAATCGCCCTGACGATGCCAAACAACTCGTCGAACACGCTTCTTGACATTTAACGAAAGAACCAGTCCTCTGTCGACTTGTGTAGAACTGGGTCTGGACCAGGTTGCGAGAGTCTTGGCGGTTTGTGACGGGTCTGTATTGAATCCGGAAGTGGAAAGCTCTTTCGCCGCATCTTTAACCTTATCGTTGAGTACAGAGGGTAAAAGCATGTAAACATGATTCCCACTGCCGAAAAATGGTTAATCAACTCTAATCCCTACATATCACCAAAATGATTACCATGATACGGAAATCAAATCCGAATTCTTCGTGGGCCTCCATGCCAAAGAGTCTACTGGATTGTCGGTGTTTTCGATGTGGAAACGCCACATCTCCTTGCCAGTGATGACTTCCCAGACACGGACCACACAATCGTCACCTCCACTTGCAAGCCACAAACCGCTTGAATCCACGTCGATCGAACGCACACGTCCTTCATGGCCTTTGTACACGGTTGAGCACCTTGTCGGGAACGGACGAAGATCCTCAGGCGGTGGAAGCTTTGGGAGAAGAGAGTCCGGATCTATATTCAACTAAGCCATTGTTAACCCTTGACCAGAGATGAATAAAGATGCTGAAACCCTATTTCTTCGCACTCGAGGTGCCAAGTAAAGATCCAAACACCGTTCGAAGCGCTCTTGCATGAACCGATCATACCCAGGGACAAGCCTTAAGGACCGGTACTTTGATGGTAAATAGTTGGTTTCCCGGTCCTCGGGAAGCGTATGATTCCACTTGTCTATCTCGTCGTCCGATGGTAAATATTCCTCGGGAGGATTGTAACTTTCGCTGTGAATAGGCAGCGGCATTTTTGGTGCAGGAATATGCATAATGTGCTCATGTGTTTTGGCAGACGCATCGCTCCAAATGTCGTAAAACACGGGATGCTTTTCCCAATCGGCCTCGGACTTGAGTACAATCCTGCCCTCGCGAATCGCTCGGACAATTTTTATTATCTTCCAAGCATCAATTGAATTGCCCGTTTGATTTTCCACACTCTTTGAAGCATACCTTTGCTTGTTCATGCTTGCTCGGCACAAATCGCCTTTTTGGCTCAGGACGGGCACTCAAAGGCATCTTTTCCACTTGTCCGGAAAAATAGTCGATATATGCCTGCTGAATTAGCCTGTTTCCCGCAAAACCATCAGCCAAAATCTACCTCGTACGGATCAAACTCGTCATCCGGCACCCGCCCCTGCTGTATCTTTCTGACGAGATCGAGTTCCTCTGCCGTAAGCCTCACTTCTTCTCCTGTCTCCTTGCTTATCACTCCTGTCCTTGAACCGTCAGATCCGCCTAGGCCTGTCTACATACTACCATCCCTCTTTGTCCATTGCTTCAAGAAGAGAATCAACGGCTGTCTTTGTTGCTGGCCTCATGATTTTCCTCCCATTGATATCATAACCCTTCCGCCGTTAGCTTTAGCACTGCTTCCCGCCAGCCAGACATACAATGTGTGGATACCCTGCATACTTATCGAGAGATACGCCTCCAATCGTGTTGCGTGTCTCCTCTGTCGAGCTTTCCGACCCATATCCCGCAATAACCTCACTGTCTCCACTGCTCACATACTCGGTATCTTCTATGCTATCTGTATCCTGTGCACCATCTGTATCCTCCGACACGTTCTGCAGTCCCCAGTCCAGGGACTCATCTGTCTCTTCTGCTGGCTGTGCCGTTGAGTGCACGCCCCGCCTGCTGCCTGCCACCATACACTCTGTGGCGCCTCTGCTATGCTGTTCCCCAATCCTCCCGCGCCACTGTCCTGCAGCACTACGCTGTGTCCCGCGTACCGCGGCTCTCTCTCTGCTAACTCTTTGTCAACCTTTTGTCTAACCTTCGTTTGCTTCCCTTTTATACTTTTTCCAACCCTAACCCACCAACCCTAGCCCTTGCCCGACCCTGCCCACGCCTGTCCATCCAACCCTAACCCAGTCCTACATGTAGCTCCGTGTCCAGGGGACCCCTGTTTTCCGAGCAGCTTCCAGGGGTATCCCTGATGCTTTAACCCTTTCTGGCTGGGTGCTGCTGCTTTACTGCTCTGTGCAGCAGTCTATCCGTATACACCTATGTACGCATATATAAGCATACACAGTATACACAGTATACACAGTATACACAGTATACACAGCATAGCATATACACTGCAGTGTACACACTGCAATGTGTGCCGGGCCCACCACTGGTGCTGCAGATGCGCTACTCACATGTACACGCACTATATGCACACTATATATACATACTATATATACATACTATATATATACTATATATACACTATACATACTATACACACTATACGCACTGTACACTGTACACTATACACACCACACACCGCAGTATGGCCGCAGTATACAACACAATAAGAGGTAACCACGGCAACCGCTGCGAGTGCTCGTATGCTTGCCATGCATCATGCATACGACATACACCGGCATCAGGCAGACTGCACGGTGCACACTGTACTGTACATACCATGCACTATACATACCATACACTATAATCATACACTATAACTATATATGCCGTGTATGCTATATATACTATATATACTATACATACTATACCTATGATACAGTGCATTCATATACATTATACGTTTATGTACATTGTATACGCCATGTACACTGTATACTATAGAACTATAAATACCATATGCCATATGCACTATATGCACTATGTGCACTGTAACTATACATACACACTATACACTGTGCACACACTATACACTGCATATACACTGCACACCATATATACTGTGCATATTATACATACTGTATATGCTATATACACTATGTATGCTACACATTGTGTATGCTATGTATGCTATGTATGCTATATTATATACACTTATATACACTATATATGTTATATATGCTATGTATTATGCTTTGTATGCGTTGTGTATGCGCCGTGCAGTGTAGCAGTGTATGTACTGTATGTGTCTAGTGCACACACTGCGCATATAAAGCATACTACGTGCATATAGCATATAGCATATATAGTGTATAAGTGTATATAGCGTGCAGTGTGTATAGCATATATACTATGTATAGTATATAGTGTATATAGTGTGTACAGTATACAGTGTATAATGTGCAATGTATACGTATAGTGTATATACACGCAGAGCACACTGTTGGCGTAAAGTGCATGTGTTACAGTGTGTGCACTGTGCAGTGTGTGCGGAAGGCGATGCCATGGCGACGCGTTGCCGGGCAACACCGCCCTAACCCGCAGCGGAGCCACGTGCCTCCCGTCGAATCCTGAATCCGCTCACAGCCGCCGAGCGACGGCTGACGAACCGACACAATGGGGCTCTCGCTGTCGAAGATGCTTCAAGGGCTGTTTGGCAAGAAGGAGATGCGGATCCTGATGGTAGGATTGGATGCAGCAGGTAAGAGAAAAGCAGGAAAACAGGGCTGAAAAGGCAGGAAAAACAACGATCCTATACAAGCTGAAGCTGGGAGAAATTGTTACAACGATCCCAACAATTGGTAGGTGAATAGAGGGCACAGAGGCATAGGCTGTGCAAAAGAAGAGTGCTGAGAAAGCAGGATTCAATGTAGAAACAGTAGAATACAAGAATATCTCGTTCACGGTCTGGGATGTGGGAGGACAGGACAAAATCCGGCCACTGTGGCGCCACTACTTCCAGAATACGCAGGGGCTTATATTTGTTGTGGATTCAAACGACCGGGAGCGAGTGTCAGAGGCTCGAGAGGAGCTGATGCGGATGCTGAGTGAAGACGAGCTGCGGGAGGCGGTCCTGCTTGTTTTTGCAAACAAGCAGGACCTTCCGAATGCAATGAACGCGGCAGAGATTACAGACAAGCTTGGACTTGTATGTTGTGAGAAGAAAAAAGCAAGTTTTGACGTATATAGCACTCACTGAGAAACCGCAACTGGTATATCCAGGCGACCTGTGCAACCTCTGGAGGTGGGAGAGTGCAAGGGAGAAGGAAGAGGCTGATGTGTGTAGATGGGCTGTATGAAGGCCTGGATTGGCTTTCAATGAACTTGAAAAAACGAAGCTCGAGCTGTTAGGCAGCAGGAAAGGTGGAAAAGAGAGAGCATATGGGGGCCGAGAAGGGCATGTGAAAAATAAAGATATTTAAAGTTATTGTTGTATAAAGCTGTTTTTTTGTATTACCTTTCATTTTTTGCTGATGCCTATGTATCGATGCTACCGATGGCGGGCAGCGCAAGACGGAGCAGCCATACGGAGCAGTATGTTTTGTATATTTATACATGTGTTGTGTGTATTATGGCTGTCAATGAGGGCTGGAAGGCATAAGCAGTCTGAGACAAGCAGGAAACGGCGTTAATATTGAGCCGGTGCCCTTGATGCTGTCGGTATAGCCGATGCCGTTGATATCGTCGATATAGCCTTGGCAATTTTTAGCAGTTAGAGATGCAGGGATACAGAATGCTAAACAGTAAAATCAACGCCCTTGCTTGAAACAGTCTGCTTCTAGGGAGCTTCGTGAGTATAGCATGATTGGGATAGGATCAATATGCGTAGATATATATCAAGTATAATATTTGATTTAGTAAAAATATTAAAATTAAGCTTAAATCAGATGATTGTATTAGCACTTTATACACAAACTTAGCAGTACTTAATAGTTATAAACGAATGCACAAGACGATCCTTTAAAGAAAGTAAAAAATAAATTTGGTAACAAATAACATATGCTATCTGATAAATCAGTATCAAACAACTATGATCATCAGCAATTATCCGTTGGCTTTGCTAGAAGAAGACTTCTTTGTTTTCCCCAATTGCTTTTTCTTTTGCAATCTGCAGGAGGCATAGTGTTTCCAGAAGACATTTGCTTGGCATTGTAAGCAGGTCCTCGACAAAAGGGCAATGTTCTATGAGCCGGTCCATGTGGGCCAAAAGGGTTCATGTGAGGCTGAGTGTAGTATGGTATCCGTTTGTACGAAGGAAGAAGAGGCTGCTGTGAACTGTCACATTCATTGTTCTTTTTCCGAATGCGTTTAAAGAAACGAAATAAGCAAATGACAAATGAAAAAAATACAAGAACAAAAACAGAGAATGATACCGTTAAAAGAAACGTTGCAGTTGAAACTAAACACATTATAAACAAAAACACTCAATCATAAGAAAATACTACTTTGACATCCAAATGTTGCTCCTCGAAACTCCCATCTCTCTGAAATACCTAGTGAATACGAACAAATAGACTTATTATAGAAAGGTTCAAAGATCCCATTTGCTGCATACACACAATTGCCCGACTATATTGTATAGTTAACTAGTTATCTCGAAATGCCTATCAACACTACCAAAGGACACCAGCCATGCTTCTTGGACATTAGACACGTTTTACAGGACATTTCATGCTCTTTAACAGACATTCTAAGCATCAATAATCAAAACACTGCGATGTATGCGTAATATAAAGTATTTACTTGTTTGAAAGCGTATATACTCCAGCAAAATACGCTGTTAAGTCCAATTTTCAAACAAAATACAATCAACAAAGAGAAATACGTGAAATATATTCAATATAAAGGTCTGAATAGAATCTTAAATAATATCAGAATATTCCAAAAGTAAACTTTCAAAAACCTGCTTTTTAACCGTTTTAAACTGCAAAAAAAACAATTAACTTATCTTCAGAATGGTTTTTGTTAAGTTCTTTGATCATTCATAGTCTATATATGTATGTCAATATAATAATCTTGCCAATGGTCTTATATGAGCTTTTTGATTCTTCGATGAGCTGAGTTGCTTTATGTTTCGTATTCGATATCACAAAACATTTAAATTCATAATAAAATTTATAAATGCAATAAAATGTAATAAAATTTAATAAACTTGTAAAAATATATTTTACTGTTTTATACTGTTTTATACTGTTCTATATATTACATTATTTTATATAAAAACAATATTTTTTATCAAAAAACATTTTTTAAACATAAGAAAATGTATATTGAAAATCAAACAAAGGCATTTCTATCTGCTGTACAAAAACTTGATATTTTACAGCTCTAAAACAAAGAATCTATGCTTAGTAATTCAATTAAACATTTAATTTATTTCAACATTTCAACAAAAGATTAGAACCTATACTATCGAAAAACGGGCAGCAGATGCCATTATATAATATATAGGGTGTATACTATACTATGAGGAACAAAGGAGATATTCTATTTTGTTTTTTTTTAAATTTAAGTCTTAGTCAATGGAAAAACAAAAAATATTACTGATTAGTTAAACTCTTAAATTAACGTATAATTGAACAGTTATGGGCTTTTTAGTATTTGCATAAAGAATATTTTTCTCTAGAATTTGTTAAATTTCAAAAAAACCGTGTTTTCGGTCATTATTTTTTAACAGATTTTAAATGATAAGGATTAAGAAAGGTTTTTACTGAGGATTTAGTCTTCAGTCTATATAAAATGGAGCTTAAAAGTTGTTTAAGAGGCACATTTTTTAATCAAGTATTTTATTTGAATTCTAGTTCTATAAAACATGAACGAATGCCATTATTTTTTAATCATAAAAGTACATTTTTATTAGGAATTAAACAATATTCTCAGAGAATGCGTGCATTTAAACTGAATCCGTCTCAAGAAAAAGGATATGGATCATTTCTAAAAGAGCATGGGACTGATTTGACCGAGTTAGCAAAGTTAGGAAAGCTGGATCCTGTAATAGGAGTAAGTGGTTTGTCATTCTATGCTTTGAATACTCAGCCTTTGTAGAGAGGAGAGGAGATTAGAAGGACTATACAGATTTTGTCACGGAGAATTAAAAAGTGTGTTTGTAGATCTAATATTTCTTTGTTGGTCTAATAATTTTTGAGTAATCCAGCATTGGTGGGACCTGCAGGTGTAGGAAAAACTGCTATTATAGAAGGGCTTGGTATAAATGACCATGACAAGTACTTTGTCTATGTTAAATATTTTTAGCACAACATATTATTAAAAAAGAAGTTCCAGAATCTATGAAAAATAAAAGTGTAATATCACTTGATTTAGGATCTCTTATAAGTGGATCAAAGGTGCTTTTATCTTTAAACATTTGATTTTTTGTTAAGTAATGTCAGTACCGTGGAGAATTTGAAGAACGATTAAAAGGCGTTTTGAAAGATATTGAGAATGCCAATAGAAATGTAATATTATTTATAGACGAATTGCATATACTTTTTGGACTTGGAAAAGCTGAAGGATCAGTTGATGCATCAAATTTATTAAAACCAGCGTTAGCACGTGGTCAACTCCAATGCTGCGGCGCAACGACTATTGAAGAATACAGAAAGTATATAGAAAAGGATGCTGCACTTGCAAGAAGATTTCAACCAGTTTATGTTAACGAACCTACTGTGTCCGATGCTATTTCTATTCTTAGAGGATTAAAGGAAAAATATGAAGTACATCATGGTGTAAGAATTACAGATTCAGCTCTAGTAACAGCTGCTGTATATTCAAACAGATATATAACAGATAGATTTTTACCGGATAAGGTTTTTTCTTTTTTATCATATTCTTTTATTAACACCAAAAGGCAATTGATTTAGTTGATGAAGCTGCATCATCTCTTCGTTTGCAACAAGAATCTAAACCTGATTCTATTCAAGAATTAGACAGAATAATAATGACACTTCAAATAGAATTAGAAAGCTTGCGTAAAGAAACTGATGCTATTAGTATTGAAAGAAGAGAAAAATTAGAAAAAAATCTAAAGGAAAAACAAAAAGAAGTTTCTACTTTAAATGAAATATGGATCAAAGAAAAGTTCTCTTCTATAGATTGTTATAAAATTCGCTAATATCATATTAGAAATGAATTATTGTCTATTAAAACAGCTCAAGAAGAACTTGATCGTGCCAAAACTGAATTGGAACATGCACAACGTGAAGGAAATTATGCACGTGCAAGTGAGCTTCAGTATTCTATTATACCGGAGTTGCAAAAAAAGGTTCCTAAAGAGGGGGATTTAGATAAAACTAACTCTCTTCTTCATGATTCTGTAACATCAGATGATATTGCGTTAATAGTATCAAAAGCTACAGGTATTCCAACATCTAATTTAATGCGTGGAGAAAAAGATAAGTTGTTGTTTATGGAAGATGCTTTAAGAAAAAAAATACGTGGACAAGATCAAGCTCTTAAAGTTGTTGCAAACGCTGTTAGATTAAGTCGTGCTGGTTTACAAGATGAAAAAAGACCTCTTTCAAGTTTTCTATTCTTAGGGCCAACAGGGGTCGGAAAGACTGCTTTATGCAAGGCTTTAGCTAAGTTTCTTTTCGATAGCGAAAATGCTATGATACGTTTTGACATGTCTGAATTTCAGGAAAAACATACTATTTCTCGTTTGATAGGATCACCTCCAGGATATATTGGATACGAGGAAAGTGGTGAACTTACAGAAGCTATTAGAAGGAAACCTTATTCGGTTATATTATTTGACGAGTTCGAAAAAGCACATCGTGATGTTTCTAATTTATTATTGCAAGTTTTAGATGAAGGGAGTTTAAAAGATTCCCAAGGTCGAAAAATTGACTTTAAATCTACTCTTATAATTGCAACTTCTAATTTAGGGTCTGATATTTTAATTAATGATCAATCTCCTGAAGGAACAATAAGTGAAAAAACAAGAGAAGCCGTTATGCAAATTGTACAAGCTACTTATCCTCCTGAATTTTTAAATAGAATAACAGCTATTCATTGCTTTAATAAACTTGGGCGTAACTGTTTAAAAGATATAGTAAATATTCGTCTTCAAGAAATTCAGGAGCGGCTGAATCATCGTAAAATTATATTAAACCTAGATGATGATTCAAAAACTTGGTTAAGTGATAAAGGATATTCTTTGGCTTATGGAGCAAGACCGCTTAATCGTCTTATTGAGGAAAAAATACTTGTTCCTATGTCTTCTTTACTCATAGAAGGAAAAATAAAGTCCAATGAAACTGTTTTTGTAAGATTAAACAAAGAAACTTCAGAAATACAAGTGCATTCAAATCATTAAAAAAATCTTTTTACTAACATTATTATGGATATATTATGAATATATATATTATTTATTTCTAAAAAATACTAGTTTTAAAAAGTTAATCATTAGCATATTATGGTCATCATATTTAATTTATGTTTACATGTAGTTTTAATTGTAAAATGATCTTAATAACCTAACTTCATAATTTTATTTTTTATAAAACTTTACTAACTATAAATTAACTATATTAAAAACAGATAAAATAAAAATCTTATAATTTTGTTAGTATTTAATAAACTACAAAAATTTATTTATTATTAAATATTTCAATATTTCATAATAATAGTTTTAAAAGTATAACATAAGTTAATAAAAATATAATAATGATATCTCAGCAATTTATTCTTTTGCATGGCAAAATTTTTCTTTTTTTAAATACTTTCTTACAATTCGATCATGAGTCATAGAAACAAAAGGAAAAATAATTGATGCAATATATCCATAAATAGTATCAGTGATTATACTATTTCTTGGCGTCGGTCCTCTCATATTATTTTTAAGAAGATCACCAATAATTTCAGTGGTAATAAAGAATCTCCCTTTTTCAAGATTTTTAATCATACGTAAAGCCACAGTTTCCGGTGTTTGACCTTGATCAACACCTTCAAGTTCTTTTGTAAGTTCTGGTTTAGTCAATTGTTCTTTCTCAAACCCTGGAGTATAAACAGTTGCAAGAAATGCACAATGCACTTTAACTCCATATAGAATACCCTCTTGACGAAGAGTATCTGTTAAACATCGTAAAGCAGATTTGGCTGGAGAGTATTGAGAATACCCTGCCATACCTAAAAACGCAAGAACTGAAGAACAAAAAATGATCCTTCTTGGAGATGCATTAGAAGGCAATGGTTTGCAAACCATTTTGCGAAGAGCTGCCTATAAAAATAATTTAGAATATTATTTCAGAACATATGAATTACATGAGCCGTATATGCTGCAGTTAAATAATTTACTTTAACGCCTTCCTCAATTTGCTCAGGCAATAAATTAACAAAAAATCCAGGTTGTGCAGCACCTTTTTATATTAATAGATTATTATGAAATATGGATGAATACCTACGCAACAAAAGACAATGTCTGGAGGATCCTCATAAGACTCATCTAATGCACGCTTTGCTTCAGAAGCAATTGTTAGATCTGCGCTAATCATTTGTAGTTTTTGATCTGGATTACGTCTTGCAGACTGAAATTTTCATAAATTATTAAATAATAAAACATGAAAAATATAAAACCTCCATCTCCATAAGTGTTTCACTCAATATCTTTTTATTTCTAGCAACAATACAGACATGGGCCCCTTTACGTGTACAAATCATAGCTAAGGCTTTCCCAACACCCTGTGAGCCTCCTGTAATAAAAACATTCTACACAAAAACTCATTCAATAGTCCTAAAAATATAAAATTAACATACACGTCCTTCCAATGGCATCTTATTTCCAAATCCCCAAAAAAAATGAAAGACATAGTATATAAGAGCTGAAAAAAACAGAGCTACCACAATACAAATAATATACTCGTTTTTTCCTACACCATACTGATCATAGACTGAAAAAAGAAGGATATCAAGTATTTTTGACATAATTTTACACTTTTCCAATAATATTAAATCAATTTTTTAATTTAAAATAATAAAAATATTTCAAATGGTTCTTAAATATATTTAAAAGCGTTTTTCCTGGAAAATATGATTTAGAAACAGAAAGATATAACTTTCCCTATAAAATATGTTAATAAAACATGTTATTTTATTAAAAAAAATCATTTCTTACTTAAATGAAATTATTTGTAGTTTAAGTCGAATGACACATGTACGACCAACTACACAGAAAAGATGAAAAAAAAGAAACAAGGAAAAGGCGTTAAAAAAGAACAAAAATCCATTGATGAAAGTGAAAATGAAGACTATAGGCTTCGTGCTATTGAAAAATATCAAGATATTATGGATTCACAAGATGAATGTAGAATTTTATTATCTTTTTTTAAAATATAAATGAAGACAAATATCTAAAAACTTTTAGTTGAACTAGGAAAAGATGAAGTTCTTTTGGATCAAAAGGATTCATTTGATGAAAATGAAGGTATCTTTTTCTTTTTTCAAGCAAATTTTTGATTTGTTACTGCAGATTTCATGAGTGCTACGGATGAAGAAGTTCTTCGTGTAAATACTGAATCTTCAAATGAAAGAAGTGATGACAATGCCTCAGTAGATTCCCCTGGTACAGAAGATAGTGATGATGATGATATTAATATGCAAAATTGGGGAACATCTAAAAAAAATTACTATAATGCAGATTCATTCTCAGATGAAGAAGATGCTCTTGAGGAGGAGAAAGAAGCATTAAGGCTCCAGAAACAGCATCTTTCAAAGCTGAAAGAAAGTGATTTTATAGATGATTTGGTGGAATGGAAAGATCAAGATACAGATAAACATAAAAATGTGATTGATAAAAAGTATAAATTTCAATATCTTGTTTATCTTTTTAATTCTATTAGTGAGATAATTACGGAAACACTTCAGTTTAGTATTCCGGATAATTTGTCAGATGAAGAAGCTATTAATTTTTTAAAAAAAATGTATCCTGAATTTATTTTACTTTCTAAGGAGTACCAAACTCTTTTTCCATTATTGGATCCATTAAAAACTTCCTATGAAAAAGCAGATTCTTTTCAAATAAAAAATATAGAGCAAAAGTTTTTCAGTTTATCTGCATATCTTGGTGTATTGGCTATGTATTTTTTAATTATATCAGATCCAGATAAAGACGTTGGATCTATGAAAGATCATCCAATTATGATAACTCTTATGCGTTGCAAAAAAATGTGGGAAATGGTAAAAGATATTGATATTAATGCATTAGAAACTACTGTAGAAACTCAATCAGAAAAAACCAGCATTGTTAAAGATGATTTGTCTTTAAATATATATGATGAAGAAGAGGAGAAGCAACCAGAAGAAGATATTAGCCAAAAAATAGAGGAGAAATCTAAATTGAATTATACTGATCTCAATATATTAGATGTTGAAAAATCACTTCGATCTATAAAACATATTTCTAGAGACAAATTAAAAGAAGAAAATGATTATAGAGAACAAGATACCTTTGAAATACTTAATCACGACAAAGAAAGTATTAAAAAGAAATCAATTAAACTTTATGTATCTCAAATTAATCAGGTAATTTTATTACTTTTTTATTTGATCAAAGTTTAATTTATTTTTACAGAAATCTAAAAAAAAAGTTAGATTTTTAAACTCTGGAGATATGGACTTACCGTATCCTGAACGTAAGAAAGAGCGTATGATACGTTCTATTCAAGAAGCAAAAGCAAGAATGGAAAATCAAAATGATAATTTTTCAGAATCAGAATCTGATTCACAGAGTGACGATTCAGACAAAAATTACTATCATATGCTATCCGAATCTAATAAAAGGAGAAAGTTAGAGAAAAAAATGAATTATGATATGAATAGGGAACGTGAAAAGCAGGCCTTGATCGATGCAGAAAATGAAGCAATAAATGGAAAACGAAAAATTAGATATGACATTGAAAAAAATAAAGGATTAATTCCTTATAGACCAAAAGGTATCTATACATTCTCTGTGGAAATTGTTTTAATTGTTTTATAGAAGTTCGTAATCCAAGAGTTAAGAAAAGAAAGAAATATGAAGCAGCTAAGAAAAAACTTGCCAGTAAAGTCTCTATTTATAAAGGTACACCGAAAGATGCATATAAAGGAGAACCTACGGGTATCAAAACTCATTTAGTAAAATCTATAAAGTTTCGATAATTTTCATTTATATACACGATATACCTGTGTCATATATTAATTTTTATTAATAATAGTAACAATAATGCCTACGTTTTTTAAAAAATAAATAATAACTTTATTGGAAAAATCTTTTATTAATTAGAATATAATCTACACAACTTCTATGTTTTATATTTAAAAATGTATCTGATGTTAAAATTAATATAGAGATTATTATATATTTTTTGGATGATAACAGGTCAATGGTTAAAAAATTAAGCATTAGAAATTGTTTTTTTTCTTATTTTTGGATTTAGAATTGTATTATTTTACTTTTTAAAATAATTAATTTTAAAAATAAAAAATAATATTTAAAACTTCTTGCTAAAACTTAACATATTATAGTATCTATATTAATAGTATTTTGTATTATTTAAATTTAAGTAAAATTATAGGATATAAAAAATACAATATTTGTATTTAATATTCTCGACTTCTATACAATTGATATTAAAAATATTTTGCTGTTTTTCATCAATAAAACATTTTGTGATTTTAAAAAAGCATTTGAATACAAAAAGGGTCTAATTATTAATTATGGGAGTTTTTAGTCGAATATTATTATTAATAAGTCTTTTCATGTTATTTCATGGCGGATATTCTGCACATGAAATTGTATCATTAATGAAACCAATTAATCAAGAGGAAATAAAGATTCCAACAGATGTAAAATGTTTTTATTTTGAAAAACATATTTCTAATTTCATAGATCATTATTGAAGTAATTTTGTCATTAATTATATTTTGTATTGAAAGAGTACTTTATGCTGGAGAATTGCAGCCAATAAATTATTCTGAATATGTGGATATGCAACACAAGTCAGACGATGTGTATGACACGTTTTTTTCTTTTTCTCGGCTAATTTATAAAGAATACATAGTGTTTTAACTTATAGACCTGGTTTCCTAGATATTCGTCAAAAAAGAAGACTTTACAAACAATCAAAAATAAAGCCACAATGAGTAGTATATATATTATGTTTGTAGCATATATTTTTATATTTAACAAAATTTTACATAATTTTTCTATTAACATAAAAAAGTAAGAATATTTTTTATTAATATTTAAAAAATAACATAAGAAGTAAACATACAGAAACAATGCATGTTCAAAGAATATTCTTTTTATATATTTATCTCCACTTTTTTAACATAGTCTTTTATAACTTGAGTCAGAACAATCGATTAAACATAATTTTTTTGCAACAGCCGACGCAGAAAATCAAGTAAAAAAAAAACTTGAAAAGAAATCAAATAACATGACGTCATTGGATCCTAAATTAAAAGATTTTTATTCATCTGTAAATTTATAAAATTATCTAAAAATCAATATTCTAAAAATTATTTTAGCTTAATATATTTCTTCAAGACAAATCATATATTCAAGGGTAAGATTTTTATAATTGAAATATTTCATATTTTAAATATGATGATACACAATTGGTCCGTGTATATGAAAATAGATTCAGGATTTCTGATTAAATCTATAAATATTCATATTTCTGACTTTTTTAACAAAAAAACGGTATTTTTTTGTCTTTTTTGGCTTTTTACGGACTATTTTTATAATATTTATGGCATTTTACTTATTTTTTAAAGATACACACCATCCCAGGCAGATGTTTCTGTTTTTAATGAAATACAACAACCGCCTATAGCTACTGAGTTTCCACACCTTGCTCGATGGTACACACATATTTTTTCATATAAACAAGAGCATTCTGTACTTCCTGGTGAACGAGGAAAATCTGCTTGTTCATATGTTCCTCTTTCTACATTTCAAACTGAAGAAAAAGAAGAAGAGGAAGAAGAGGAAGATATTGATCTTTTTGGAAGTAGTGATGAAGAAGATGAAGAAGCAGAAAGAATGAAAGCTGAACGAGTTAAAATGTATAATGAGAAAAAAGCTTCAAAGCCCAAAACTATTGCTAAGTCACTTGTTACTTTGGATGTTAAACCATGGGATGATGAAACAGATATGGTCGCTTTAGAAGAAGGCGTTCGGGCTATTGAAATGGACGGTCTTGTATGGGGTGCTAGCAAACTTGTTCTTGTGGGTATGTTACATATAAGCTATTTACATGATATACTTTTATAAAATATAGGATATGGTATCCGTAAACTTCAAATTACACTTGTTGTTGAAGATGATAAAGTCTCTATTGAAGAGCTTCAAGAACAAATTGCAGAACTGGAAGATTACGTACAGGTTAGAACACATGAGAAATTTAGATGCATAGTAAAGTATTTTAGAGTTCTGATGTTGTTGCAATGCAAAAACTTTAAATTTTTTATTTTGTATAACCCCAATTTACCAACAAATCTAGTTTATACATTTCAAACACCCTTTTTCTTGTGGCAGAAAACATGCCTTTTTCAAAGAAAAAAAGATGTTATTGAAGCGTACTATTAATATTAAATTTTAATCAAATATTATTTTTTACATAATCTTTTCAAAAATGTTTTTAATCGCCATATATAGAAAACTAAAACGCATTATTTAATGAGCCACGTTAAATAGATCATATCAAATAAACCGCATCAGACTTTTATACATAATACATTATCCATTTACATCACTTATACACAATCATATATCATTTGTATAATAATTCTTTTCAAAGGAAAAGTGTATAAAATTCCAGTCTATCTCGTTCACATATTCAAATTAACATTTTACTTTTACAAAACACTCTTCCAAATATTATTTTTTTAAAGATCAAACAACACAGACCTCATTTTTCGCTTGAAACGTTTCATTCAAACAATGTTCTACGACTTTCTACAGGTAAAGGCGAACTATCCGCTATATTTCCAAACGTATCACGACGTGCTGTACTTGTATCTGCACCCGCTGTTTGCAAAATATCATCAACAACATAACGTGCAGCCTCACGTGCAGGCGTTTTAAGTAATTTAGAAGGTGGCAATGAAAATTGCTTAATTCATATTAATAATATCACAATATACAAATACAGCTACCAATGTTACTGGAGGAGATAATCCCGCTGGTAATGATGTATCTAAATCATCATCATCATCATCACATGTGTTAATTGCAGGCTGAAAAGGCGAAGACGTATCAGATCCGCCCAAACTACGTCGTTGAAACATTAATGAACGATGTGGAGTTGCTTGTAAACGCCATGATGCATCTAATACACGGTGAAGCAACGGATTCTCTTTTTTTGTACGTGTTGCAGGCGATGACGGTCCAAGACGTACTGTACTAGGTGTATCTGACATACCAAGTGTATCAAGAGGCAATGTCGAGTGAAGTGCAGACATATCAAGCGGTGTTGATGTCCATCCAGGATCCAGTACATCATTAGGCATAATAGATGTATCCGAGACAATAGAAGTATCTTTTGGGATTCCTTGAGTTGTATCTAATACATTTAACACATCAACACCAGCTTCTTCTTCATGTTCTAGAGATAAATTTTGTTGTGATAACTCTTCATAACCTGATAATGATACATTTGCACTTGTTTCAAAAAATTGCTTCCAAAGCTATGGGTCATCAGAATATTTACCAGAAACTTGTTGACACATAAAAGACCTTTGAGCCCTCCCAGACACGCCTAGAACTCTCTGCATAACGCTCAATTATAGGCAAAATCTTTGTTGTTACTATTCTATGACACTTATTGAAATTTGCATCAATTTCATATAATGTTAATGTAATTTTTTGCTCCAAACGCTCAAGTTCTATTATTATTAGTATAAAATATGAAAAAACAGATAAAACATGTAAAAACATGTCGGAATATGTATAAAACACACAAATTACTTACCTGCAAGCTCATCCATTTTGTCTTGTAAAATGTGTAGTTCTCGATGCAGCGTCTTATATTTGAAATTAAGTGACAGTGTAATAAAAATAAAAAACAAGATGGAAATAGAAACAGAAACAATTTTCTTAGGAAATCCTGCTTAAAGGTCAAGTTTTTTCATGGGCTGAGTTTTTTAGCAGTATTTTAGGTGCCTGAATGAAAAATAAGGAAATATATAGAAATATATAAATATAAAAATATATGGAAAACCAAAAAAACTACTTAAAATTCAGAAAGGTTAAGAAAAATAGATAAATCCCCTAAGTGAGCTTCTTGTGAATATTGAAATCAAAGTATGGTATAACCAGCACCTCTTTAGATTAAAAAATTGTTGCAACTTAATAAATAATCCAGAGTCGTAGAAACAATAGTGAAAGAGACAAAAATTACCGGAATTCTTTTGTCGAAAAAGTAAAGAGACAAATAAATAAAAAAAATGAATAGTTATTAAACTCTGTTTAAATGGTGAAGTTGGAATAAATATAAAAATAATTAAAGACGCTTAAGGCCTCGTTTCCGGGTATCGATTTTTTTCCTCTCTAGAATTTTGTTTTCTGAAGTATAATTATCTTCACAGACAGGAATATTTTCACGACCTTTTGCAAAACGCTCCGTAACGACTGGATAGTTTAGAGCAGAATTGCTCTGATCCAAGGGAACAAGTGCCGAAATATCAGAAGAAACACGAGTGCCATTAAGTTCTACCAGAGCAGTTCCTGGCTTGACTGAGTGAATAGACGTGATCAAGCGTGCATGCTTAAAAAAAGAATCGTAATTATCAAGCAACAGTCGGCCTGCTTCCTCATTCAATGCTGATTCTGGATTTGGATGGATCAAAAGACACTTAATCGTCTACTACGTTAGACAAATTCCCATAAACCTCATCCTACCAAAAGAATATGTGACACATGCACAGTAGGCTGCCAATCTTTCTTAAGAATACTAACACAGACGTCTCCTTTTGATGATATGTTTGGATGAAAAATTTTTGTAATAAAATGACCTGAATCCGTCAACTTTTACCAATAATTCCCACAAAACATCCTACATTTAGGCGGTACGGCTGGATATTCTGCTCCAAACTGCATCCGTATTTTAAACGCCCCTCCTTCATACGGTGTACCTTCTACTCCACCCATCAACCCTATTTATCCCCTTTAATCCTTATTTTCTCTATACCTGGTCCAAAAATATACGCTTGGATATTATTAAACGTTCCATCTCCGCTTTCAAGCAGCTGCACCCCTTCAAGCGGCTGTGCCCATAAAGACTGAATTTCTTTAGAGATCCTGTGAGCAATAGGCCAAGAAAGTGTCTAAATCTTCACTTATTTCCGCCAAAAATATAAATCTATTTCTACCATCAAATAGGAAAAAAAAACCGTAAAAAAGGCCCAAATAAACCCGGAAAAAAAACCAAATATACTATAAAAGAACTAATAATACTCTAAAACACTGTTTTAGCCTCTTATCTCGCTCGTATAACTTACAAAATACACCTTATCAGCCACTTCTTTTTCACCACTTTTATGTGTCGTCACAAGTCCGCTCAGCGTTGCTAACGGAAACACGCTATTCAAAAGCGTACGATACTCTCTGAGCGTGTCGTGTCAGATCGTTTCGCGTTATAGGCAGAGTCACGTGACAACGACATGCATGAATAAAAGTGAAGATAAAGGGAAGAAACGATAAGATATTATAGGGAAAAAAAGAAGATAAAAGAGAGGTACAAGAGGAGTAAAGGCTCTAAAAAAGAGCAGAACGGGTAGGGGAGAGGTGGTTTGGTAGGAGTAGTCTTTTGAACGGGATCAAAAGCCCAAATTATCGTCAAATAGTGAGTTGAAATTCTAGTGGATGTGTCTTTCGCCAAAATGGATGGAGAATAAGGGAGAAGAACTTTTTTCAGCAAAATATGGAGACACAGTGGTTCATATTGGGTCATCAGTGATGCTACGTGTTGATTCAAAGATTATAAAGTTGTTTTCTGTAGTATTGGCGCGGCATTTAAAACATATTACAATGTTTACGAATAATGCGGATTACCGGAAGATACATAAGGGAGTAGAATACATTCTTACACTTGTTGAGGAAAAAGAAGTCTTGGAATTTAGTTTCCTGATGCAGGTTTTACATGATCCTACAACGTTTTCATGGAAATTAGAGTTTCACTCACTATTGAGGATGGCGGCAAAGTATGAAGTTTCTGAGCCGATTTCTGGATTCTGTCTTACATATTGTATAAAATTTCATAAAAATCCGTTAGCAGATCCCCTCATGCTTCTCCATGCATCTTTTTTTTGTAAAGATGATGAAGTTTTTATGGAGGCTGTTCTTGCTATTCTTAAAAAGCTGGATTTATACAGGAATAACAAGTCATTCCAAAAGCTTCCCTGTCATTTGGGTTTTCAAATCATGTCTATGTCAGAATCTTTATTTCGTGAATATACTAGTCTTTCTGACTTTTCGAATACTGATAACTGGCCTGACTGTGATATTGAACTCTGCACAGAAAAGTTTAGATATGCTTGCAAGAATGTCTTTGACTCGTTTGCATTACCGGCTGTTATTTTCTGGGACGGTGAAATGCTTTCAGAGTGGTACAGGAAAACAGATGAAGAAATTATCGAATTAATTGGTGTATGGGAAATGTCATTTGTTACCGATCCCGATCATATACAGCAATGTCGTCAAAACTGGACGAAAGCTCTTAAATCAAATGCAAAATGGTTAAACCGTAAGTTGCAGGGTCAACTCTGTAATATTTCAATTGAATCAGTACTGCAAAAGTAAACACAAACGATTCGTTAAAAACAGCACATTTATCTATGTCTTGAGATAATTTACCACTAGATCATAATCTATAAATATTGTGCTCAATAATCGCATTGTTTGTATGGCTTTAAACTTGTAGTTTCTAAAAATAAGTACACTGCATAACTTGCAAGGCGTTAAAAGCATATTTAAAATTCCATTCACACATTTTGGAGAGGACATATTCTAGATGACAGGAAGCCTATTTTCAATAATACAGGACGTATTTTAGGGGCATTTATGAAGATTTTTAAGCATTCACTATGTATTTTTTCTAAAACATGTTTTAATACACTCGTTTTTCATATACATATTTTTATACTTTTCTTATTACAATCTTTTTTATTTAACGCTGCATTTTCTTTATATTTCCTTGCATCCTACGTACCTATTTTTTTGAATTTTAGCCTTATTTTATGTATTTTTATACATGTCTTACTATTAATAACTTATATTAAAAACTTTGTTAATCTCATCGTATTCAACGACTAGTAATTTTAAACGCAGAATAACACTCAAAATAAACATAAAATAAGCAGAAAAAACTGCAAATAACTAAAGGAAATTTAAAGAGAACGCTTTTTGGATAGTTAACTTTTTTTTCACCTTTCAAAGGGCTTTTTTCGTTGATATATTTCATTTTAAACCATTTTTAAAAAAAACACAAAAAATGCATCTACAAAGATTTTATCGGATTCCCTTTAGACTCGAAAGCATTTTAATTGAACGTATAGCAGTTTTGGAGACATCATTACCTTTTGGAGTTGGATTTAATACAGTTTCTGGACATATAATTTTAAACAGATCTTTTAGAAAAAAAGCAGCATTTAGCATATTTACAAGGCAAGAGTTACCTATAAAAGAGAAAATAAGGGTTAAAAGTACTTTATTTATTTCCGGTGATTCTATTTTTGATGGTATATCTATTTGGAATAATTTGTCTATATTAAATAATACTACAAACCAATGGGCAAATTTATCAACTATAACGAATGCATTTCTAGAAAGAGCATCAGAAAAGAGCACGTATTTAATGGAGGATACAAAAGATTCTCTTCAGCCCTCCAAAAAAACATCTACAAGAATTTTCGGTACCCGTCCAATTTATCTTGATATGCAAGCTACTACACCTGTTGATCCACGTGTTCTTGATGCCATGTTACCTTATTATACATATTTGTATGGAAATAGTCATTCGCGAACGGTAATTATTCATTTAAAGTTTTTTTCAAAACTTCTGAGACTAATCACGATATATTTAGCATAGTTATGGCTGGGAAACAGATAGAGCTGTCCAGATAGCACGAGAACATGTTGCAAACCTAATATGTGCTGATCCAAAAGAGATTTTCTTTACATCTGGTGCAACTGAGTCAAATAACATGATTATTAAAGGAGTAGCACATTTTTATAGCGGAACTAAAAAACATATCATTACTGCACAAACAGAACATAAATGTGTTTTAGATTCATGTAGAATATTACAAAATGAAGGATTTGATGTAACATATTTACCAGTGAACCAAAAGGGATTGATTAGTTTAGAAGAATTAGAACGTACAATTCGTCAAGATACCATTTTAGTGAGCATTATGACAGTAAATAATGAAATTGGAGTAATTCAACCGATTGAAGAAATTGGGAAAATTTGTAGGTCAAAAAAAGTATTTTTTCATACAGATGCAGCTCAAGCAGCTGGAAAAATACCAATTGACGTAAATGCATTCAATGTAGATTTAATGAGCTTGTCAGGTCACAAAATATATGGTCCCAAAGGTGTTGGTGCATCCTATGTTAGACGACGGCCTCGAGTACGTGTTGAACCATTGATTAATGGTGGAGGACAAGAACGGGGATTGCGTAGTGGTACAATTGCTTGTCCCTTAGTTATTGGAATGGGAGAAGCCTGTCGAATAGCAAAAGAGGAACTTGAGGTAAGTTAAGTATTGTTTTCTATTTCATAATGATTGCTCCGTCGAGGATGATACTTTTTTAATTATTAAATATTCATGTTAACTGACTGTACTAATTTTTATTTATTACATACAATGGAGGATGTGCAGGGGTTCTGAGATGGAGTTCAACATTTTGATTCATTTTCTTTATTTTACGTTTTTTTTCTAACCAAAAAAGTATGATTATGCACACGTAAGCCGACTTTCAAAGAGATTAGTGGAACGTCTAACACAGCTTGAATATGTTTTCTTCAATGGTGATCAGGAGCATCGCTATCCTGGTTGTATTAATGCTTCTTTTGCTTATGTTGAAGGTGAATCTCTTTTAATGGCATTAAAAGTATATCTTTTCCTATCTTTATTCTTTTTTAAAAATGTTAGGATATTGCATTGAGTAGCGGAAGTGCATGTACTTCAGCGTCTCTTGAGCCTTCATATGTAATTCGTAGTTTGGGAGTACCAGATGATATATCTCATTCATCTTTACGATTTGGAATTGGTAGATTTACTACAGATAAAGAAATCGATTATATTTGTGATACAATAAAAGATAAAGTAAATTTCTTAAGAGAACTAAGTCCACTATGGGAAATGGTACAGGAAGGAGTCGATCTTTCTACAATTAAGTGGTCTTATCATTAACATTATATTAAAAAATAGGATAAACATAAGTCTCATTTCAAACAAACCGTAAATAATATTCAGTAAATCCCTTTGTATTACCATACATATTTGTTTCTCATTAGCTTTATTTCATTTTTATTCAAAAAAGTATTATGACGTTTTAAAGTTTAAATATTATGTAAATATTTAAGTCAAATAATGGCGTTAATAAAATTTTAAATGATTTAACGGAAATTAAAAGTTTAAAGATATAGTTAAATCAGCCTAGGTTAAGAGGCACAGTACTTCCGCCTTGTCTTCCACTTTTAAATATTTTTTGTTCACCTGAAAATGTACGAGGTATGGGAAACTCATCTTCACTCTTAAACCTCCATCGAGAATCATCAACTAGAACATTTGTTAATCCATATCACAAATATGTCATCTTACTTAAAATATTTACATTACTTGGTTTAATACCAGGTCCTGTATAAAGTGTAGAATCCGAAAATACATATGGCCTTTGTGGCTTTGAAACAGGTTTTTGAGGAATAGATGTTGATAATGTCGAATGAAAACTTGGGTTTCTAGTAACATTTACAGAGGCAGATGGCGGAGGCGGTGGTGGCGGTGGAGGTCTCGAATTTAATTTATTTGTCGTAATAGGTGGCGGAGGAGGCGGTGGTAACTGTGCAGTCATTAATACAGATGTAGGCAATGAAACATTGCGTGTTGGCGGCGGCGGTGGTGGAGGTACAGATGGCGTAGAAGTATTGCTTTTTCTCGCAGGTAGAGACGAAGTTCCAGGAACAGGAGGAGGAAGATGATTAGAATGTGTAAAAACTGATGAATTTGCCTTCATATATGAAGTCTCTGGCAAATCAGACACAGATCTGAAGGAAATGTTATTTTTCGATATAGATGTTCCAGATGAATAAGTCTTAGAAAAATGAGGTATTTGCGTATCAGATGACTTCTTCATAGGAGAAATACGTGCTTTTTGTGAACTTCCTGTATTTCCAGATGTAACCGCTTAGATGTGCATCAATTTAAATACAATTTTTTAAAAATGCAAATTACCTCCTGTATCTATTCCTCCTTCGCGATGTTTTAATTTTGGTATGCCATCTGCAAACAAGCCAGAGAGTTTCTGTGCACCAGATAACTGTTTTGAATCATTTGAAGCAGATGAATTCAAACCAAGTGCTGTTGATACAACTTTACTTGATACTTCATGAGAACATGCTTTTCCTAGCAAAAATAAGACAGCAGTAACAACTAAAAGTGAAACAAACGTATCATAGGCGCACTTCTGTCATTTGTTACTGTTTTTTTAAGGGCTTTTCCTATATTTTTTCAGAATATTCTTTTAAAAAAAAATATAGCCTGCCTTTCTGAATTTGAACCAAAAGTGCACTGATATCATGTGTGCCACTTACTGCTTCAGTGTTTCTATTTCAAATTAACACATAAAATAGCTTTTTCCTTGCAATTAAATACTTGTTTGGAGGTAATGGAGGAGGAACAAGTTTTAGGCCTTTTGTACTCATTTTTTCCAGAAAAAAAAAGTAAAACAATAAACCAACGACTTTTATATAGAGAAGCAGTGCTCAGTTTATCTTAAAGTCTACTAATCCAAAAACAATGAACTTTAACCTTCGTTTTTATTCCAAAATTTGTCTTTTTTTACGCGGTTTTTTTGCTAAATTCTAATCCTTTGTTAACTAAACAGTAAAAAAACACTGTAAAAACCTATAACTCAATTCATACCGCCTTTATTTAATTTAAACTTTAAAACAAGCTGTTTATTGTCAAGATGAATGTTGGAAATCGGTATAAACGTAGTACAACGACGGCATTGAAAAAAGTGGTGAATAGAAGAAGAAAAAGAAGGAATTTTGCAGAGTAAATTACAGAAAAATACAGAAAAATAATGGCTAACAGGAAATAGAACGGTTAGTATTTTTTTGGGCTTTTTTTGTCTCTAAATTGGCGGCAAATACGTGAAACAAACATTGATTAACAAACAGTTTGTTATTTTTTGCCATTTTTCAGAAATAAATATACGCACTGTTTTTGCTTCATGAGTGCACTTCAAGCATTTGTCAATAGTATGTTTTTCCGGGTGAAATACGCTTTAAAACGAGTTAACAATTATATTTTAGAAAAAGTTATGATTGTTACATCAGATGGCCGAATTTTAACAGGACATTTAACAGGATTTGACCAAACAACAAATCTTATTATTTCTGAAGTTGATGAAAAGCTATTTTCCATGGAAGGGACCCAAGTAACCAAAGTAGATGGAGCATACTTGGTTCGTGGGGACAATATGTGAGTTTTTTGGCAATTCAACATATATAACTGGATAATATATGTTGGAGATAAAGTAGCATTGTCTAACAGACGTATCTAGTGCAGTAATAGGCCTAGTAGATTCTGAAATTTATGACCAGATTGATTGGACTCAAGTAAAAGCAGAAGGAATTAAACCAACAAGAACATATTAATCTATAAATACATAGAGACCAGGAAGAAACAACAGTTATACAAAAAGACGACATTGTTTGCCATATTTTTGTTTAACACTATTGATTCTTCCAAGACGATCTACAGTCGTTTTTTAATCCCTAATTTACTGTTTACTCATGGATATCGTCATGTTGCTATATGATTATGCAATAATCCCCATTTTTACCATTAAATCAATTAAATCACGTAGAGGATCAATGTCATGTTTATCTAAAAGTTCGAATTCTTTTCCAAAAGATATAAAATGTGCGAAAAAACTATTCCAATGTGCTTCAAGAGATAAATGGAGAATTTGATCAAAGTGTGAATAATATATATGTGCAAAAACTCGGAATAGTTGTTTATACATAGACTTTACAATAATAAAAAAGTTAGGAGGGAATGCATGACCTATATATCGTGTCAAGTATAACTATTACCATAAAACAAAATTTACCCGCTTTCGTTGGAAAGGTATTTTCATCGCTAAGTCGATTATTAACCCATGCTAAGACACAGTCAATATATTGGGGTGCCGACAGTTGTATTTGTTTCCGATTGTTATCAAACCACATATAATTTATACTATGATTATCAATCAAATATAAAAACACCCTTTTTCATACTTTGTACCCGCCGACATAGATGGACAGTTTTGTGGTGTACAAAATTCCGCAAATACTGCATAAAACTGATTCAAATATGTAAAAAACTCAAATACTAGTACTCATTAATACACTAAAAACGACGATTCGGTCAAATTTGCTTCTGGTCAGATTTGTTATTGCTACATTCTTCAAACAGAGTCTAACTTTAAAAAAAATCAACTAATATATATTCATCAATCACGTCTACATCATATCTGTGTTTTTTCTGATCATAAAGCATTCATACTGTCCTACCATTTAGTGCAAGCCATTCATTCAAATCAATATATTTCGGAAGTGCTACAATTGTTGCAAAATTCCCTTTAACAAGTGCTGTCTTAACAAAAGGCTGGCATAAGAATAGTTTTCGACTATCCTGCTGAGATCCTTGTGCATAATTCCCAACAGAAGACTTCTTAAGACGTGAATATCGTCCAATCTTCCTGTTAACGCTCAGTCAACAGATTTTTGCAGAAAAAACGCACCCAAAGCTATTAAAGAAACTCATTTAAGCTGATATATATTAAAAATAAAACAATTTTCACATAAAAAGGCCTAAATAATGTAATTCATATTATATTGATGAGTGGACGTTGAAGTTCTACGAAGAAAAAGAACGGGAAAGAGGGTTACCGAGGCAACATTGAACGTCAAGAAATTTTAAGGTGGAGAAATTAGAAAGAAAATAGGAAAATAAAAGGTATTTTTTCAAAAAAAACACATGGAAGATAGTGGTTTATTTGTCTATTTTCTAATATTTTTTTCTGATTTTTTTTTACAGAAGAATCAATGGAAAAACAAACAAATAAAGAAGAGATCTTGAAAGAAAAAATAGAAGAACCAAAGATAGAGGAAACAGAGCAATTTAAAGACCATTCAACACTTTTTTATGATCCATATGAGAAAAAAGATAATAATTTAGTTTCAGATGAAGAAAAAGATGATTTATTTGGGGATCATACAGATGATGAGAAAAATAATGATATAAAAAGGTTTAAGGAAACAATGGACTATTTTTACATGTCTGACAATAAGAAAGTAAAGAAATTATAGAAGAAATACAAGGGGAGGCACAAGAAGAGCCAGAATACCAAGAAACAAGAAAGATTCTGGAAAGTACACTTGTAAATCGTGCAGTACCTGAATCAACTGATGGAGAAGTATTTGCAAGACATTACTGTTATGTATTAATAGGAATACAGCTCTACTATGTAAAAATGCCAAACTTTTTAACAATTGTTCAGAAACCATTTGATCGAGAATCATATTTAGAAGAAGCACAATCAGAACGTGAAGAGACCACGATTCATCAATATGATACTAATCAAAGAATTCGACTAAAAGTGGAGAATACAATTCGTTGGAGATATGTTAAAAATAAAGATGGAACTTATGTAGGTTATGATATGTGTTTTTTCGTACTTATTCGTTTAGTCTAAACAATCAAATGCACGTTTCATAAAATGGTCAGATGGATCATTGTCACTACTTTTGGGGTCAGAACTGTTTTCAGCAGTGACAAAAAACAGTTTTTCTGAACATACATATTTATGTCTTTCTCATGAAAGTCAAAATCTTCTTATGTCTAGAAAAAGATTCACAAAAAATATGACATTCTTGCCAATTGATACAGGAAGTTCAACGCACAAAAGGCTAACTGAAGCTATTCTTCGTGGAAATATGAAGAAATGCAGTATTGTCGAATTTGTTAATGTAGAAGACCCGGAAAAAGTTAAACGAGAAGCAGAAAGGGTAATATCATACCACAGAAACATTTTATGGCTTATTCTACTTTTAGATTGAAGAAGAAAAAATCCGATTTCGTCGTCGTCTTGAAACTAAGCGTCGTGCTCAAGACGCAAAATATTATGAAGTCCCTATATTAACAGTCGAAGGTTTAGAAGCGGAAGAAGTAGGAGAACACTTTTCCAAAACTTCATATATAGATAAAGATGATGACGATGATTTCATTGTTGATGATGAAAGTGATGAAACTGAGAAACTAGAAAGGCTACGAAAAATCAAGGAAGATGGGATCAATATGTATAAAAAACAACAGTTATCTTCAGACAAAAACGAGCAAAACAAAGAAAACGACGACGAAAGCAACCATTCATTCACAGAACAAGATACTGATGATGATGACGATGATACATTCATTAAAGAAACTGATGCAGATAAACAGATCTCTCGTAGAATCACAAAACGGCGCAGAATCTTCAGCGATGAAGAATTATCTGAAAGCACAGAAAACACCGCTCCTGCTGACGAGCAATAACTATCCATTCCATTGCCATCTATTTCAGCATATTCTATACATAATTACTATTTTTCCTTCTTTTCTATACAAAGGCTTCTGCATATCGGCATTCATATATCTTTCATATATATCGCTTTATATCCATATACACATATACACGTCTATACATATCTATACACACTTATGCACTATACACACTTATTTAGACGTATCTGCAGATATATACATTGATTGAGGCCTAATCTTTGCCATACACTATATATACACTATCGTTGTATACAGCATATATACACTATATACACTGTATACACTATACACTATGTATACCACGCATTATACAAACAAACTATATACAACATACACTACATATAACACATCATATATAGCATATCTGATATACATTGCATAGATTGCTGGGCTGTCTGCATTAGCCCTATCGTCTCGAAATAACGAGACATTTCGGACGTATACGCATAGATTTTTATTGGAGTCGGGAACGACAGACAATATATATATATATTACTGTAACTTGGCCTTAAAGGCAGACACCTCAGGTCATTCTGTGCGCATACACAGAATATCCCGTACTCTATAGACATTAGTATGCTAATATACGAAATATATGCGCAATATATGCGCATTAACTTACGATGATTGGAGAATAAGTCGAAGAAACACCACTTTAACTATAAATGTTTAAGCTCCGATTAAAATGCGTTAGAAGCAATAAATAGAGGAATAGATAGATAAAAAACAAAGTGCGACAAAATAGAGGAAAACGCGATAAAAAAGGTCTAAAGCGCCTTATAAGGCACTAAAAAACAGCTAATCGGTCAAAGGAAACGTGCTTATTAAGCGTGCCAAAATATAGCTAGAAACAAGTAAAAGGTGGGGACAGGAGAAGAATATGAAAGGAAGGAACAAGCGGTAAAGAGGAATCTATGTGCATATAACACGGAAAAACACAGAGAAATTTGCACCAGAGATAGAGAAAGGCGCATATATAGGGAGAAAAGGGTTTTTTAAGTGTTTTTATTGAAATTTAAGAGGAATAATGTAAAATATGTGTTTTCGTTTAAACGATATGGGTGTGCATAGATAAGGACAAGTTTAGAGAACGAAGCGTTAAGAGTAGATAATTATAGATAATTGGTCCACGGTGTGATTTGGAGGGAAAAAAGACAAAAAACAACGCATATATAAGGATAAAAAGCAGTGGAATTAGGAGAAATTAATCTTTGTGAAAGATAGATTTAAGGGGGTTATTTTTTGCAGGAATAAAAGTGATTATTGTGTGTCAAGAAACAGAATGCAAAAATAAGTTTAAGAGGATATTGAGGCATACATGGTTAGGACACTGTAGGAGAAGAGTACAGAAGGAGTTTATTCTTTTTTTTAAGCATTATAGCATTTTTCAGCAATATATGCCTTTTAATTGAAGGACGTGTGTATTTGTTGGAATAGCCATTGGAACAGGGATTCATATGATATCAAGGGATTTTAAGGCCTTTTCTGTCTTTAATAAAACAGTTTATATGGCTTCTAGTGAACGGCATGAGCCAGATTTACTCAGGATGATATGTCATCCTGATGTAATTGAAACCATTGCATCCTATATTCATTTTAAAGACCTTGTTTCTTTATCGTGTATTTGTAGGATGGCACGGCAGGTTATTTATGACAATGTTCGGTGCTGGAGAGTGGTTGATCTTGGGTATTCTAAGGGAACTATTTTAGAGAGATACCAAAATGCAAAAACAACGCATTTGGCGACTTTTCGGACAGTACAGTATCTTTTCCGCCGTAGTAATATTCCTTTTGATTGTTTGACGGCAATTCTGTTAGATTTTTCGGCAATTCAGTATCCAGCAGTACGGTTTATTATTTTGCAGGCAGGGTTAGTAAAATTGGAGAAAATTAGCCTTCGGCATTGTCGATATATATCTCTTAAAGATCTAAACAGTATTCTTGTATCGCTTCAGCGAGCATGGACAGGGGAAACAAGTTATTATAAGCAATCATCGTCTACGCTTGCGATTAAGCCATACGTTCTCAAAGAATTGAGAGTTCGGTATATGAAAGGGCTTCCGAAATGTTCCAAAGATCTTTACTATAATTATAGTCAATACAATCTTTTGTATGCGTTTAGGAATATCGCGAAACTTTTGCGTCTGGAAACAGACGTTGAAACGTGTTCGATGGTTTATCCGAATGATATATGGCATAGCAGAGAAATATGTATAGATTATTGGAATGATCTTGATCAAACGGATTATGATATATATTATTCTACAGGGAACCCTTTTTTCGATTTGAATAAAGCATTTCGAAAGTGTGATGTTCACCCGGAAATTATAGATTACAAGTTCTGTTCCATTTGTCTTCAAAGTTCTCAGTGTGCGAAATGTGGAGCAGGTGTTTGTCCTTTTTGTCAAGGGGTGGATCAGTGTAATTTATTTTATTTAAATGCACGAGGACAAAGTTTGAGTGAGAATGCGCCGTTGAAGCTAGGTTTTTGTCAACAATGTGGTATATTGTGCAAACAGTGCAGGACTAGTATGATTCCCAATTGTTTAACGTGTTTAGTGCCTTATTGTCCGACTCATATGTCATCTAAAATTGCATACCGCTGCGAAATTGGCGGTGAAGGAATGTGTAATAAATGTGTTTTTAAAAAGCCATGGCTTAAGTATTGTTTTGGTGGTTGTGGACGTATGATGTGCAAGAAAGAAGTATCAGGCAAATGTTTTAAGTGTCAAGAAAACATTTGTTGGCAATGCATGAAGCTACCGGCGCCTCTTGCATCGTCGTTTATGAAAATATCTTATACGGATCATTCTTCACTTTGCTCAAATGTCAGTGATGCTTTAAGCGATCAGGATGCGAAAAATATAGTTCCTGGGGACGAAATGGTTCTAATAAAAACAATATGTGCACCATGCAGGGTGCTAGTTTACTTAAGGAAGCGTAAGCTAGAGTCTCGGAAAATTTGCACGCTTTATGGGCCATTAGTTAAGCAGTTTATTAAGTATATTAATAGGAAAAGGCTGGCATTGAAGCTATACAAATATGCGGCAAAGCAGAGGCAACTTTGGATCAAAAAGCTGGCTGTTTTTTACAAAAATAGCAAAAGTATACTAAAATCACCGAATATCTCTTCTGTCAACTGCAGTATAGACTTTAAAAACATTTTATCTCTCCCTCAATACATAAAATTTATTAGCATTATTAAACTTGCAATTGAGAGAGAATTAGCGAATGGCATAAGCAAAAAAGAATTAGTGGATGTAATGATTAGCATAATGAATAATATGCTGAGCAGCTAAGCATACTTGCATTTGTAATACTATTTTGTTTTAATATTCTATTGTTCTCGAGTCAAACAGTTTAGCTAGATGCTGGATATATCATATATACTTATACTATATTATAAAACGTAATCGTAATATACACTAACCCACTGTATCACTAAACCGCAATAAACCGCAACCCTATGCTATGCCAATCCTTTATCCAAGCTGGCACTTGTGGGCACCCGTGTTTTAATGCTTCCAAGTGCTCTGCACACACACCGTGCACAGCCTGAATAAAAAGCCGATCCAACCAGGAGTCGAACCTGGAGTCTCATGATCCGTAGTCATGCGCCTTAACCATTGGGCCATTGGACCTGCACTCAAAAACGCCCAAAACTACTTATAAGAACAAATAGCCAGGCGTTTGGAGACTTTGTGTTATTGTATACCACCATACATATACACATATACTATACTTTACATCACACACTATATACCATATATACTATATACAACATATACAACATATATACAACATACATACAACATATACAACATACACAACATAGCCATGCATATTATACGCTTTGCACACTATACTGTACATATACACGTATACGTATACATTTGTACACTGGAAACATCCCCTAAGCCTCTTACACCCTCTGCGGTCTATTGGGTGTCCTCTACCGAGACATATATACACATATACATATATATACACATATATACACAAAATACACATTGTATACACTGTATATACTGTATACACTGCAGAAATGCCCTGAATGCGCTCTGTGCCTCTGTATCCTCAGACACTCCGCTCTACTACTTTTGTTTTCTCGGACTTCGATACGCTGAAAATATTTTAAAAAATGAGGTAAGAAATCAATCACAGCAGAGACTGCATTGGCGCACCAGATATCTCTGTGCACTCTGCACAGCAGCACAGAGACCCATTCTAAGCTGTATATGCGCTCTAGCACTGCATATACACACTATGCACTGTGTATGCTATATATGCGCACTATATGCGTATTGTATGCGCTGTATATGCATACTACACTGTATGCACATACACGTATAATGTATAGTATGCATAATACATGTATACCATATGTACAGCGATGCACTGTGGACTTCGGTACATACTATACACATTGTGTGCATATAGCATATATATGCTATATGCACTGTACATATACAGTGCATACATATAGTGCAATGTATGCGCTGCTATATACATAGCAGGAGATATGCACATTGTGCGTGCAGTATATGCGTTATATATGCGTTATATATGCGCGCTCTATGCGCTCTGCACTCTTCGGCCTGGCTCTAACGGCAGCAGTAAAGTCAGTGTGCTGACTGTGCGCCAAAACGTCAAATTGCTGCTTTCCTCCTCAGAAGAGCACAAACGTAACTTTCTCGAGACTGTTGAGCTCCAGATTGGCCTGAAAAACTACGATCCACAGCGTGATAAGCGTTTTTCCGGCACTGTAAAGCTCCCTACAATTCCCCGCAACCTTAATGTGTGTATACTGGCGGATGCATATGATCTCGACCGTGCAAAGGACCTGGGCGTTGATGCACTGTCTGTGGACGATTTGAAGAAACTCAATAAGCAGAAGAAACTTGTTAAAAAACTTGCAAAGAAATATGATGCATTTATCTCCAGTGAGTCTCTTATTAAGCAGATTCCTCGTCTGCTTGGGCCTGGGCTTTCAAAAGGTATGTGGTGCAGCGCATACACAGCGCATACAGTGCGCATATACAACGCATATAGTGCGCATATAGCGTGTATATAGCATATAGTGTGTATATGTGGCGTATATGCAGTATACACTATGCTATAGTATAACATATACATATACATTATGTGTACATATGCAATGCAGGACTGCGTATACATTATATGTATATACTGTGTATAGCACATGCATATGCATCTGTATGCTGCATACAGATGCATATATTGCGTACAGTATATACAGTGCATTTGCAGCATATGGTGGAATATACACTGTATACTATATGTGTGCAGTATATACACTGCATACACTGTAAAGCAGATACTATGAAGTACGTACAGTACATACATAATATATAGATGGTACATAGTGTGTGCAGTTGCAGTACATACAACATGTACAAAATGTATATACAGTCTGCATAGAATGTATACAGTGCAGAATACATGTATATTGTGTGCTGTGCGTTCAGAGTGCATACTGTGTGCATAGTGTATATCTGCTGTATATACTGCAGAGTACATGTGTATAAAGTGCGTATAATATGTATAGTGTATACACAAAATATGCAAAGTAGATGCAATGTGTACTGCATATACGCTGTACATATATTGTCTACATGCTATGTACACATTCTATGTTATATACTATATGTTATACATGTGTTGTGCACTATGCTTGCAGTGCGTGTTTGTGCGGTGTTTGCATGGATATTGTGGTGTAATTAACATGTATAGCTGGCAAGTTTCCTACGCCTGTATCACACGCAGAAGAGTTGTCGGTAAAGCTTTCAGATGCAAAAGCAACAATCAAATTTCAACTTAAAAGTATGTATTATATGTTTTGTTATATGCTTCGTTTTATTTGATTACATCGGGTTTGTCTAACACTATCTATATAGAAGTATTATGTTTAGGGGTGGCGGTTGGAAATGTTGGGTTGACAGAAGACCAATTGGTTGCAAATATTGTGATGGCAATCAATTTCCTTGTTTCTCTCTTGAAAAAGGGGTGGCAGGTATATTTTTTGACTTTATTGTTGTTACTAATTTGCATGTCAGAATGTCGGTTCGCTGGTTATTAAATCTACAATGGGGAAACCCTTTCGGCTGTATTGAGTAGTGAGCAGTGTATTAGAACAGTGGAAGTATTCGGGATGCATGAAGGTTTTTTGTAGAAACTATACTAGCCGAATGGCGGCTAATAACAACCAATGGCAGCCGGTTGAAGACCAGTTGATGACAAGTCAGATGGTTGAAATATATCTTGGAATTTTTGTCATATATAAAAATAAACATCATTGACATATTTATTTGTTTATTTGTCCATTTATTTATTTAGCTATTTCTTTCTTTGCCTGTTGATTGCCTGTTGAGTCTACTCATTTACGTTTTTACATACAACTTGCATCTTGATTTTTGGTACATCAAAAGGGTTGTATTCTGTTTAATGCAAATTTGAAATTGGTTTATAGCACAACTACACTTTACACCTTATTGCCACACCCTTTCTTCTGATTAATACATCTTTTTCTTTTCGTCAACAGAAAAGCCGCCAGGGCCCATATTAACGAGCAGAATAAGTCCGCCCATAATGGAAAGAATTTGGAAAAAGTCTAAGTTAGAATATTAGTATGACAAAAGCTGCAGGACACAATAAGGTTGAACATATACATACCATATTTGAGCAAATCCTTTTCAGATTCGGAAATACTTGAGTCCCACCAATTGTTAATGAGAATATTGAAAACATTAAGTATACAGACAAGAATAAAGGCGCTCCATTTAGCTTTGAAGCCAATGATGACCATGAAGCACGCAATAAGACCAAAGATTGACATAATGATACGAACGATGGTACGAGACTCCTTGAAAATGAACTCGGAAAAAAGAAAAATTATAAGGACTCGACCAACAGCAAGAAAATACTTTTTTCGATCTGTTTCTGAGATTTGAGGAAGTCCCGGAAATAAATGTGGCTTTTTCGACCACGAATCAGACAAAACCATCAAAAGAGCACCTGTAATCGATAAATTTCTACCCCAATATCATTAGCTAAATCCATAAATAAACTTGAGAAGCCAAAACAATAAAAGATATCACATAAAAGTGCTAAGTAGCTAAACAGTAAGGAAAATCGTAAAAATACAAGTTAAAACGCAATAATTGTAGTGCTCACCCCATTTTTCTATTTTTTTACTTTGTTCTATTCCCTTAGGCTTCATTTCTTTAGACTTACCGAAAAAAAAGTGTTCTATCAAAAACTAGTCCATAACCAATGGCTTGAGAAATGATGACACCAAATAGTATTCCAACAGCAATTTCAGATTTTTTGCGTATAACAACCATAATAGATCCAATTGACATAGCAATTACATTAAGGATAAGAAAAGCATGACTTAACCCACGATAAAAATGCCGATATGCATGCAAATAATATAGTTGCCCCCGCATCTGTGTTAAGATTCGTACTGTATCTTCAATAAATGTTACTACCATCAAAAAACGGCCTAATGCTGGAATATATCTATAAAATGTTAGTAAATTTTTGAACAAATTTAAATGAATTCAAAGAGCAATAAATGGAGCTTTAAAACACTGAGCAGCAGGAAATCCCCATATAATATTTTAAAAAGTTTTAAAATTCTAAGAAAAATTTAATTAAAGCATTAAATAACGCTCTTAAAGCAACCCCAGATAACTTCATCATTACAAAACTATAGTAGGTAAACCCAATATAAACTTTCTATAAAAGCTTAAAGAGCAAAAGCTTTACACAGATATAGTAATACTTCATACCATCATAATGTTGTGTTAATTAGAATTTTAAATGCAGTTTTGATAAAAATACTAGATTCCAACTGCTATATAAAATCTTTATAAAATACCAGCATAAGTATTGCAATACATTATGCTTACTAATTTTTAATCACGAATGAGTTATTGTTTTTTGTTAAATTATAATTTTTCAAAATAAAATAGTCATAAATGAACTTTAACCTAGAAAAAACTTCATAAAATCTTATTTCTTCCATTTGCTGTTTTTTAGTTTGCATTTCTTATACTACTAATATATTTCTTATAATATATATATTAAAGCAGTATAATTTGTATATAACTCATATTGTATGTAAAGCACCTAAAAACACTTTTAGAGTATATCCATGTTATTGTTGCATTGAATCCAAAGATTTACATCAAAAATAACCAACTGTTTAAAGCTATCTTATTTTTTGAATCCAAAATATATAAGAACACAAACTATATGTGTTATGTTAAATATATATATCATATATATTATATATACAGAATATGCATTGTATATATTATATGTTGTGTATATGTTGTCTATGCATTATATATACATTATATATGCGCATATATAACGCATACATAACGCATATATTCATAAAAATGCACTCTGTTTGTTTAATAGCTTCTATTTTTCCCCAGATTTGCTATTTTTTGCTACATTCTATTCTCAAGATTTCCTCTGCTTGCTAGACCTAAAAAATAACTATTCTGTTCTGTTCTTATAGTATTCTTGCTATATGCACACAGAACACCGCTCCTGTCTCTTTATTGGGACCAAACTTACGGTTTAAGAGGCGATAAAAAGGTGTCGAGATGTTCTTCAAACAGACGAAGACGTTCAGGAAATGTCTGTAAAACCTGAAGAGGAGATGCTGGAGCACTCGACAATCGAGGTGTCGATGCGCTGTATGACGGAATCGATGCAAAACTTGCCGCCATCAACGCTTTTAGCCGATCTGCTTAATCCTCAAGTTATACTTGCTTAAGTCGCCTTCCGCCATCGTCCGCACACTTTCTCTGCGCACACATCTAACGAAAATTAAGCACCGAAAATATATAAAATACTGAATATGGTTAAAAAAATTAAATAATAGACTTTTTAAATGAAAAGAGTCCTAATTATGTTAAAGAGAGCCCTTAGTGAGTTATAACATTTGAAATATATATATAATATATATAGTGTGCATACATTATGTATATAGTGTGTATATGCTGTGCATACATTATATATACAATATGTATATACTGCTTGTACATTATATTAAATAAGATTCTGATGTTTATGTTTCATATATTTTTATATATATACTTGGATGAATATGCCTTAATACATAGTTTTGTTTAATACACAAAGTCTGTATAATTTAGTATATTTCTTGCGCATACAATGACAGAACCTGGTGGATAGAATAGATGTGTTCAATAGATGCTTTTTCTTGCACTTAGTTTGTATAGAAATACTTTCATAGTGCATTTGCTGTTTATCTGGTCCATCTATTGGCACTGCTCGATACCATGATATAATCGATATATAAAATACAGATATTATTATAGAGAAAAGAAATTGGCCTTAGAAAGCTTGGAATACGTGTTGGGTGCATATATAATGCATATATAGAGCATATATAGCACATATACAGCTCGTTTTAAATGGATTTCAATGTATCACTGGATACATTGCACTATTTATATACTGGTTTTTACTCTGTCTATAATTATATAGTCTAATTTATTCGTATATTATCGAATGACCAATGTGAGTTAAGTACTTAAGTAATAGTAGTATGTATTATACTAAAACAGCAGATCAAGTAACCGCACAGAGCATATATAGAATGTATATAAAACACATATATGACATATACTCAATATGATGTTTATCTAGTCGTTGGTATATATATAACTAATAATTTGAATGAGTAAAAAGTTTATGACTCTGTTAAATGTATCGTTAAGCTAACGATAAAACACGACAGCTGCAAAAACAGCAAAAAGTGCATATATTCTGGATAAGCAGTGCATATACAGTACATTTCATATTTATATAAGAAGAAACTTGCATGTATCTGAGTTTTTAGTGGATTTACATAGAAGCCGCACTGTGTTTGAGGGATCCATAGAGTGTATATAAAACATACATAAAACGCATATAAGACGCATACAGGACGCACATAAGACGTATAAGCTCTATTTCTTGTGCTTATATAGGATAATTTAGTATTTTTGGAAATTTGTACATATTTACTAGTATTTTGGAGTATCTTCTCGCAATTTGGGTGCATACAATTCTGCAAAGAGGCGCATATATTTGCTATTTGTGCGCATATACTAAGTATTTTGAACATATATGAGTGTTTAAGGATAAATGGTTCCTTCTGATGATACACAAGCATCTTCTCAATCAGCATTGCATGATATTAAACGTATTTTACTTGTTTTGTCGGGAAAAGGGGGTGTTGGAAAATCATCTATAGCAGTACAGCTTTCATTATGTCTTCTATTACGTGGTGCACGTGTTGGACTTCTTGATATTGATCTAACAGGGCCTTCTGTCCCACGCTTACTTGGCATTGAAGAACAACGTATTCTTCAGTCATCATCTGGCTGGGTTCCCGTTCATCTTCAATGTGTAACAGCTAAGGATGATGAAACAGCAGATAATGCATCAATTTGTATTTCAAAAAACGCTTTAAATGATCGTTTTGAAGAAACCTGTGCTTACAGTGCTTCAGACATTGCAAATAATGCTTCTGAGTTTTCAAATAATATGCATATTGATATTTCAAAGGATAATTTTCTAAAAGTAGTTTCAATTGGATTTTTATTAGCTCAAAGAAGTGATTCAGTTGCTTGGCGTGGTGCTAAGAAGACATGGATGATTCAACAGATGATTTCAGGTGTTTTTTGGGGTCCTTTGGATTTTTTGGTTGTAGATACGCCACCAGGCACATCAGACGAACATATTTCAATAGTTCAGCATCTTTATGCCATAAATGCGGGTGAAAAGGCACAAGTTATTATTGTTACAACACCCCAAGCGGTGGCTCTTGCTGATGTGCGCAAAGAGATTCGTTTTTGTCATACGGCAGGGCTCCAGATTGCTGGTGTTATTGAAAATATGAGTAGTTATATTTGTCCTCATTGTACAGTTGCTACTGATATTTTTTCTACTGGCGGTGGTGAGGAATTGGCTAAAACTTATAATATTCCTTTTTTTGGTATGCTTTCCCTTGTTTTTATCGGTTTTTTTATTCTTTTATTTTCTTTGCACTAGTTACTTCATTTCTTTCATTTTATATATTCTTATTATTTTTTGCTTTGTTGAGATTTATTTTCTAACAATTGATATAGGGAAAATACCTTTGGATCCTAAATTTGTTGAATTAATTGAAAATCATGCAGCAAACAAACAAGATGATGCCATATCATCTGATTCTACTGTGTTATCTGGTATAAGAAATTGGAAATTGCCTGAAGAATATAAAAAATCTGCTTTATATCCTTTATTTAAAGAAATTGCTCAAAAAATTTCTGAATTATGACATTTTTCAAATTTATCTATATGAAATTTTAATTGATTTCTATATTTTTTTTGAATGCCCTCTAATGATTTCTAATTTGTTTTAAATGTTTCAAAGTAGTTTCTGAACGATCTCTTTTTATCCTAGAAGAAAGTAAATACACGTTATTGTTTTGGAACATTTAACTTTTAGTTATTGATGAAAAAGTTTATTCTTCCTTCTAATACTTTCGATAGCCATTAGCAACTCTCGATTCTATAAGTATATATAAAAAATTATATTTTATTTTATATATTTTGGATATTTTTTATATTTCAATATTAATAAACAAAAAATGCATTTTTATCTGGTCATATAATCAAAACATTTTTGGTTTTTTTTTCATAAAAAATTCATCAACATCAATTAAGCTTTAATTTTTAAAGTAAAAGATTTTATGATTTAAGATATAATATTCCTTCAAATAGTACTAAAAATACTTTTAAAAAGGTAAAACATTATATTGATATAATTTATATTAAATAAATCAATGTTACTTTTTATGGTTTATCTAAAATCTCAACCTTAGTTATCAAAATTTAATGATTTTACTATAGGATTAAAAGAATCGTTAAATTTAGAAAAGATGTAAAAATACATATTAATTTTATATTTAAATATTAAATATTATTAATCTTATATCTAAACATTATATATTAATTTTATATCTAAACATCAATCTTATATTTGAATATTACATATTAATCTTATATTTAAACATTATATATTAATCTTAAGCTTAAATAATATATACTTATACCTTGTGTTCAAGATTATTTTGTATTTTAAACTTATCAACTACAATATTGTGACCAGTAGTCTTGTAATACAAGGATGGAGTCGTTTGTGTTTTTAAAAAAAGCTTATTTAAATTATATTTTTCAATATTTTGTTTTTTTTCATCATACTCATTAAATTTATCTTGAAATTGCTTTTTAGCCTCTTCATTTGGAATAACAGCATTCTCATGAGACACTTTTTTCTCAATCTTTAATAAGTCTGCTGTTCCTTGAGCATCATAAACAACTTTCCATTTAGTATCTCGAGAACTTTGCTCTTCTATATAAATCCATTCATCTACTTTGTTTTCTGGGATATAATCTACCCATAAAGGTTTCCTTCCTTTTTCACATGGCCAAATAGAGTTGTGTAAAACTTCTCGTACTCTTTTTGCTTGTTTTATTGTAGAAAATACAATAAATGCATGTGTTCTAAACTTATCCATCCATATTTTTTTTAATATATCATCATTTGAATCATCAATATCTTTAATCACATCCAATAAATAAGATTTAAGCTGGGGTATCTGAAGAGGTCGAGTGAAATTACCTACATAGATAGAACATGTTAGTTGATGTATTGGGTCCGTTGTTTCTTCTGTTTTATATAAAACATTTTTATCTACTTTACTAGAACCGCTATCTTCGACTGAACCGTTGTTGAGTAATTCTTTCTTAAATATTTCTGAATCTTTCAAATCTTTTTTAATTTTTTTTGTTTCCTTAAGAGTTGTTTCTTTTATATTTAATTATGAAAATATACATTTAAAAATAATAACATACCATCATCTAGAGATTTTTGGTTCCTTTTCAAAGATTCGACAGAAGCATTTTCTTGATTTTCTGTAGATACATCATGATATGTACTGTTTTTTGAAAAACATTCCGTTTCTTCATTTTTTTCTATTTTATCAGTAAAGACTGAAGAAGACATATCTATATCTGTCTTTTCTATGTCTTTAACTGTTTTTTCATCACAATTTACAGAGATATTTTCCATTTTACCATATATTTTAGATGAATTTGTATGTATGTCTTTAATAGCTAACTTTTTGATATTTAAGAAATATTTGCTGGATTCTCCAAAAAAATAGTTCCTATTAAAATGTTACTACAATATTTACCACAAAAATATATATTTTTTTAAAACCTTTTACAATTTTTTTATTTTTTTTTGAAGAATTAATATTTGTTAAATTTATCTATTTTTTTTATAAAATCCTTTAAAATGAATTCAGATGATTTTCTTGATTCAATCTTAAAAACATACTACTTTATTCATTCTTTTTTAAACTTTATTTTTAAAAATAATTTATTATTTTTACTACAGTAAATTAGCGCTAAGAGATCTGATAATATTTTTAATTTATAAAACAATTTATAAAACAAAAATTCTTTATTAAAATAAAAAACAATGATATATTCTAACACGCTAATTATAACAGAAAATATTATAAGCCAAGTATATTAGAAAACATGCAATTCATGATAAAGTATTGGTTAGAAATAGTTGAATATATAGTATATTTAAAAGAATTATTAAATATTCACTAACTAGTTTAAATTATGGGCATTTATAATATACCACCAACAAAGTGTGAACCTAGTGTTGCACCTGCTCTAATTATATTTATTAACATGTTTTCTTTCAAAAAATATTGTCGTACGATTCTTACCCAAAGACAGCGGCATTTCCGAATTTCTTTCCAATATTACTCATTGCTTTTTTTTCTTGACTATATTGTTGTTGAGTTTGCTGTTGTTGTGATTGTTGATAATAATATCCTTTTTGAGGATATGATGTTGATTCCTTTTGTAGTCCATGTTCTTGGGGCGATTTCTGTAATAATGATGGTCTCTCATTACTTAAAAAAACTGGCAGTTTTTTCTAAACCCATTCAATCCTCAAATCATATTATTATAAGTAAATATACCACATGATTTGCAGGAAAAATTCCTTCTTTTCCATTACATGTTCCTCTCCACCAGTCTTCATTCACGTATTCTAAAACATTGATTTTATCTCCTACTTTTAATGAAAGATCGTCTTCATCTTCTCCTTCATAGTCATATAAAGCTTCTGCTTGAAACATGCCTACAATAGATGCTTTCTTTGGAACAGATGGCAAAGGTGCTCTTTGATGATGATTATTCTCTTGAGTTTGTTTGATTGACGACGGCTGAGACGGTATTCCTCCAATATTTGTATTCTGCTGAAACTTCGACGTAATTTCTGCAACATTTGACCCTGTGCTTGATCGTGCAGGAAGTGTTTTTGGATATTCATCTCGTGATGACAAAACATGGTTATTGTCTAAAATATGGTTATTCATGATTTGCTTAATTTTAGCTCAAAAAACGCACTTTGTGAGATATTTTGACTCGGAGAATGTGTTTCTTTGCATTCTGTATGTTTCTGACTAGGAAAATACCCTTAAATATTCAATATTTGCATAAAATTTATTATCTGTTTCAACATACGTCGAGGTATCTTAGTAATTACTTCTTCATAAATTGCCTCTGATATAACTCCACAATCAACAAGAAACCCAAGATCCTGCAAAAACTATTAGAAATGAATAAAAGTAATGGAATTAAGTGTTCATTATAGACTGAACCCAGAACTCTATTGATATACGCTGAATTTTCTTTCATTTTGCAAAGCTGAGAGGTTGAAAGTACGGTGAGGTTGATAGGATTTCCATGGTAACAATATATAAGAAAAAAGTACCGGAAAAATAAAATGGAAATTAAAGCAGATTAATATATGAAAATATATAAAAATATAGGAAAATACAAAAAATATAAACAATAAATAGCTGTAAATAAGAACAGGGAGTATGTTTGGTCAATGACTAGAAATTCAAAACATCCTGGTCTAGAAATGAATTTAGTCTTAAAAAAGGTTATTAAGAATACAAGACAGAACAAAATATACTTAGGCCAGCAACATAGCCATATTGAAAGGGATTAGTCATATTTTTTGCTTTGTTAAGCTGCTCTTCTGTAAAATTGATTTTTCTAGTAGTAGCGAGCTTTGGACCAAGTGCAGGAACATGAAAACCAACATTTTGAACTGCATAGCGGGAGAGAGAGTGAATACACTGAATAACTTGGTATGGATTTTTCCGTTCATATAAGTCGATGGTCTGAAACAGGTCATAGTTAGGGACCCCTAGTTTCTGGACAAAATCAAGAAATGCAGCAATATTTTCCATCTTTAGCCCATTAACCGCAATTTAACCACAACAGAGCATAAAAACCTTAACAAACGGCATGTCAGAAGCCTTGTAGCGTACCTGATGGGGCCCTATAGCGTTTGCAATTCTTGTTATAAATTAATCTACTGTGATCAAAAAACAGGAACCATGCCTGCATAGGACAACTCCATCATGCAAATTATCAATTAAATTCTTCTCAGGATCAAGTTTTTCTCCAATTACTTGCTCAATCCAATCTCTTGCCTATAAAACTTAATATTACATCAATCTACACGCAGATTTACTTCTTGTTCAAATGTTGGATTTGATCGAGCTTTATCTTCCATTTTCTTTCGTAATGACCTATCTAGAGACATTTCTTTGGAAAATATGTTGTTTTTATGCTTCTAATAAGTTGCTGATATATACTGTTAATTTATTCAATTTTTCGTTTGATTTAATGTTTTGATCGCTGACGTCAACGTGATACTCAGTAAACAAAGCAAATATATTAGCAAAAATATTAATCCATAAAGAAATGTGAAAATTGAAGAAAATTAATTGAATTCAAAGTGCTTGAAATGTATGTTTGTGTATATTTTTTATTTTGTGAAAAAATAAACACAAGTAAACAAGAAAAATATATGCACATTATGTATTTAATTCAGAATGTTTTGCTTGATATGTAAGTGTAAAATGTAAATTGCCTCTTTTCAACCTCCTTGTTAAATATTCAAGGCTGATTTATACCTTCGATTGATCTGTCGTAATTCAAATAAATGTCGCAAGTGAAATAAATATATTCTTATTTATATCCAAAGAAATATGTTTTATTTGGTGCAGAAGCCTTGTTTCTGTGTTACTATGCTTTATAAACCTCATTATTTATATGTTGCTTTGAAACTTAAATTTTCCATTACTATCCATAAATTGATTTATATTATTGCTTATTTACACACTTTAACTATATTCTCCAAATATATACATTATATTGATTTTAAATTGCTCTTTAGTTATTTTCTAAGTCCTTTTATATCATCTTAACTCTAGATACGTGTATCTTTTACTATTCGTAATATTATATAATATTCTCTACACGATAACCGCAACTCTATCATTTCTTAATTCATAGCCAGATTATTCTTGACTATATCTACAAATAAATTCTATTCTTGCTAATTGGACTCTTAAAATACCAATGTTATATATATTATCTGGCTTCCTACTTTCTGATCAGCTTTCTCTACATTACCTATTACTCTCGATGCCGCCGATCAGATGCTCTGTGTGTCCAATGCTAAAAATCAATCATTTTTTGCAGACTCTGATTAGTACTAATTTCTCTAACATTTAAAAATACAACGTTGCAACCTATTACCTATAATAATACATTTCTTATTATTTGCTGTTTATTCCTAGTTACCTCTTTTCCTTAGCAAAGCTTTAAAAATAATAAACTCATCATTGAATAAATCCCTATATATACTACAAAAAACCTTCCTATGTATAAAAATCTACTGATCCTAAAATACTACTTTTTCCTGTACATTTTTGTATTTTGCTTTACTTGACATTTTAACGTGTTTCTAGCTTTTAAGATCAGCGATCACTTGTTTGTAACCTACAAAAAATTAAAAAATACAAAATGTCTATAAATTAGCATATTTTGTTTAAATAAAATGTCAGAACTGGAGACAGTTGAGGTATAAAATGCTCTTAAATGATCAGAAACCATTTATATAGTTTAGGTCCAGGCACGGGACGTTTTATTGCGGTGGATTTATATTGGAGATAATGAAACGCTTACATGGCAGCTAAAGCCGCACAAAAAGTCTATAAGATGTGGAATATGGCGTTTGCAATCTGTTATAAAGGTTCCTATACAGGATAAAGGGGAGAGGCAGCTGCTGGCAGTTTCGCCAAAGGCAACACATCGACGTATGTTGTCAAAACAACGAGGAAACACAAGAGATGGAGTACTAAAAGAGCGTTTGAAGAGGGCTAGATTAACAGAAGTGGTGCCTTTGATGCGGTGTGAGGCAAATCTTGTTGAAAAAGGGAGTTATCATGTGGGACCCAACTGTGGAGGGCATTTTGCGCTTGTTTTTGGTAATATTGAAATTTATTAAAGAAAAGTGTTAATTTGGTACTTTGAAGACAATACATTTTCAAAGCAGACATCGAAGATTGTGACATATGTGCTGACAGCGTATTCAGCATTTCCATTACAGATTTTGTCGTCTCAAAATACATCAATGCATATGATATTTGATACTGATTCATCTTCGGTCTATTCTGGCATTTTGCTTAAAAAGAGGCGAAGAAAGCTTCAAGGATGGGCCCGTAGGTATTTTACACTTAATATTTCCACAGCAGTTCTCGCATATACTGGATCAACACGTTCAATTCTTCGTGGTGTTATCCCGCTTTCAATTGCAGCGATTAGTGTCAATCCTAAATTGAAAAATATTAATATTGATACTGGCACTGAAGTATGGAATCTTCGTGTATTATCGGATAAAGATTGGGTCGGTTGGTGTCGAGCGATTGAAAAAGCTATGAAAAATTGTCATATTAAGCGTATGGAACAGCAAAGTATTCTTGATACAGATGCAGTTTTGCCTAAAACTCAGTATGAAAATTTAAATCGCCAACTTTGGTTGAAGGTTGAAAATCTTGCGGAAAAAATTGGTCTTATTAAATTGGAAATCAGTAAGATGATTCAAGAATGTAGTGGAAATGATATGAGAAATTGTTCTAATAATGAGAACTGTCGTGAAATATTGGGATCTAGAAATAATGAACAGAATATTAATACATTGGTATCTTTAAGACATAAAAATAATTATTCCTCATCAACACTTGGTAAGTTTGCTACTAAGATTGTAGTTTTTTTTCTAACGCTTAAAGATGATTCAACGTTAGGGCTAAAATTATCAACGCTTCAAATTGAATTAATTAGTTCTGAGCTTGAAGATATTTCTACACAATTTAAATCGATATTATCCGAACATCGTGTTTTAGATCAACATACGTTATGTATATCTGCATTAAAAACGCCTGACATTTCCATAAGTTCTGTTAATTCAAGAGCTAGCATAGATACTACTCTTACAAGAGAAGCATGGTTTGATGCACAAGAAATACCAGAAAGCGCTACCCCATATATATTAATTAGTAATGCAGTTGAAGATGGCGTTGTAGAGGAATCAACAAGCGATGATGAAAATAGAGTCCCCAAATGTCTTCGACCTCATGTTATTAAAAAATTATCTCGCGATAAGAATGTGGCATGGAATAAGAATAAACGATCATTATATCCCCTTCCATATCCAAATAGAGTTCAACGTAGGAATAATATTCCCCCAATTACAGTTCCACCACCAAGTCTTTTATCTTTTTTAAGAAAGAATGTATGTTTTTTTTTGGAATATAGAGAATACATTTTAATTTTTTAGGTTGGAAAAGATCTTTCGTCAATTACTATGCCAGTGCTGGCAAATGAACCTTTAAATCTTCTTCAAAGAGCTGCAGAGGATTTAGAATATTGCGAATTAATTAATCAAGCTGTTACTCGGCCGAAAAAAGATGGTGAACGGATTCTTTTCATAGCGGCTTTTGCAATTAGTTCATTTTCTAGTATGCGATGTAAGGAACGGTTGGTCAGAAAGGTATAACTAATAATAAATGGAATCATTTTATCCTAACGTTTGATAGCCATTTAGTCCTTTATTGGGTGAAACTTTTGAACTTGTAAGAGAAGATAAAGGTTCATAACATATATAATTATTGACATAGTCTAATTAAACTAGGCTATAGATTTCTGGCTGAAAAAGTTTCTCATCGACCTGTGATAATCGCTTGTCATGCTGAATCATCTTCATGGTCATATTCTCATTCTCCTAAACCAAAACAGCACTTTTGGGGAAAAAGCGTTGAGTTAGCCACTGACGGTTGTGTTCTTCTCAGGTTAATTACTGGAGACGTTTATTCGTATAGGAAGCCTACAACATTTCTTCGAAATGTTGCATTTGGAGAAAAATATACTGAGCCAGTAGGACATATGACAATTGTAAATGTTTGTTCAGGAGAAAAAGCAGTGGTTTCATTTAAGCAAGGAGGGATATTTTCAGGAAGGAGTGAAGAATTATCTGTTCAGGCGTTTAGTGAAACTGGGGCCCTTCAGCCTTTAACACTGTCTGGTCGTTGGACAAGTTCTTTAATCTTACAAAGAACTGATGCTAAATACAAAGAAGAAGTTATATGGACTGTAGGCGAGTTAGTTGATGAACCAGGATCTCACTGTGGATTTACTAAGTTTGCAGCTACTCTTAATGAGATTACATGTATTGAAAAAGGGTTCCTTCCAAGGACTGATACTAGATTAAGAGAAGATCAAAGAAGTAGAGAAAATGGCAATATAGACGATGCAGAGAAAATAAAAATATTTTTAGAAGAAGAGCAAAGACAAAGAAGAAAAAAGATGGAAGCAGAAGGCAAAGAATGGGAACCTAGATGGTTTACATATGATAAAAATAAAGATCCCTCTTGGCTTATTAAAAATGGTGAAGATAGTTATTGGATTCAACGAAAAAAGCAAAATTGGACGGGTATACCTGAGCTTTGGTGAATATTGCATAATTTTTTCATATTTTAATCTTCATTAACTTAATTTTTTATATTACTTATGGATAATATAACATTATATATTAAAATAATGAGTGCATTGGAACTTAGGAGTCGTTATGTGCTCATATGATTTATATCTTGATATCATACATTTTTAAAAGATCATAGTTGATCAAAGTCATTAATTCATTAAATTAGTCATTATTAAACAATACATTTATCTAAGTACAAAACCGTTAACATAGAGTAGTAATTCGTGATAACTTGAAATGTTCTTAATTAGTTTAATTTGTAACAAAGAATTATGTATGAAATATGGAATGAGAGTTTTGATTTCTAACTAAATTTTTGAATTTAAAGACTTGATTTATTATCATTTCTAATAGAAAAATTAATAAATTATTTTATTTTGTCAATATTTACGTTTTATTTCTTCAATATTGTCTATTGCTTCAAATCCGAAATCAAATTGTTTAGAGCAAACAGGCTCTTTCTTTGGATCATGCCAAATAATAAGATACGGGTGTTCTAGTGCCTTTTCACATGAAATACGATCATCTGGATCGAATGTAAGTAAACGATTAAGAAGATCCAATGCTTTCAGATGTTAAAAAACACAAATTAAAATATATCTTACCATCTGGATTAGCATATGGAAATATTTTTGAATAAGATATTTTTGGTACAACAGGCAACCCTCTAATATAATTTTGAGCAGAAGTGCTTTTTATTTTAGATATAATATTCTCATCTGGTGTTCCAAGAATACAAAAGATTTGATTTAACTGATCAACGTAATTGCGGCCTTTAAAAAAGGGCTTTCTTCCAAGAAGCTCTGCCAAAATGCATCCAACTGACCAAATATCAACTAAGTCTGTTAGAAAATTATATCATACATTATTACAATAAATATACTGGCTTTGCTATAACTTTGAAAACTAAGCATAATTTCTGGTGCTCGATACCATCTTGTAGTAACATATTCAGTCATATATTCAGTTCCTTGCCCTTGGTTTAGTAACATTCCTCTAGAAAGACCAAAGTCGCATATTTTTAACTCACAATCTGCGTTGATTAAAAGATTACTAGGTTTTAAATCACGATGAAGAACATTAGCTGAATGAATGTATTTTAAACCACATAGAATTTGATAAATGAAAGATTGAAAGTGAGCATCAGTCAGCGGTTGGTTTGAACGTATAATACTATTCAGATTAGCCTGCATCTAAGCCTTGTTAATAATTTAAATATATTTATCATATTAATAAATACAAGTTCTTCATAAAGATAAAGCTCATTAAAAGCACAAGGATCAACAATATCCATATCATAAAGCATAGTTATCTACAAAAGTTTAGTTTTTATATTTTTCTTAGAATTAAAAGCTATTTTGTACATTTTTGTGGTCCCGAAAATGCTGCAATAACATAATTTCTCGCAATGCTCTTTTTGCAAGCATCTTTTTTGAAAATCTTTAATCTTTAATATATACATATCCTTTTTATATGGATTTAAATACATATTTGTAATCTTTTTAATAGCAACTTTATCATGAATGCCTCCTTGTATATTTCTTGCCGCACTAATAATTAGAAATAAAAAGGCAAAAAAACATAAGAATTATACCAAACAATGCCGTAAGAACCTTTTCCAAGATCCCTTATAACTTCATAGCCCTTTTGAACGGCAAAATCTTGACCCATCACATTGAAAACAGAATGTTCAGTATTCATCTAAAACTATACTAATTTGTCCGAAAAAAAGCATCATATAATAATAATAAATACAAGAATTCAATAAAATCTTTAAATAATGTTTAATTATACTTTCCCTTTGCTTAATGTCTCTCTGTTTTTAAATTGTGGTTATCAAAAAGCTCGATGAATGACAGATGAAAATAAATATATAAAAATTAAAAAAAATACATAAGTAATTTAAGCGGTTTATTTTGCTGTATATATTTTTAAAACAAGTTTAGTTGAATTTTAATTCCCTAGTTGAGTTCATAAAATATGAAACTGTTTCATCTGTAACTAATTTAAGTCGTTTTTGAAATTCTGAAACAAATTCTTGTAAAACTTTAATTGTAATCTCCTTTAATTCACTTGTTAACATTTTTCCCGAAGAATAATCACGTCTAATTTGTTCGAGTTGATTATCATCTTCTAAAAAATACATAAGATAATTAAATGAAACATCTATATCTAAAAATATAAAAGTAATAAATCAAAAAATAAGAAAATAATTACCTGGATTTCCTCCTTTTTCCATGTGTTCTTCAAGAGTTGCCCCTCCGCCTGAAAAGGCGTATTTTTTAATCTAAAATGTTATATTAATCATGAATAAATGATAAAAAAACCTTATTTTTAATTTGGGATGGTGTGTCAGCCATATAAATGGCAGTATGCATAAGAGAAGCACTCATTTTTGTTCCATGCCCCTAAAATATTTAAAATTAAGATATAATATCCAATAACTTATACTTGAAGAGAAGGAAAAAATTTAGTATGTATTAAAGACGGCTTTAGGTATCCAAGCCTATCTGCTGCATCTCTTGCAAGACGGAAATAAGGATCCTAGAATAATAAGTGGATATAAAACGTGTTAGTATTATACTTGATCAATGGCCATAGGAATCAAACATGGAATATTTGTTGCACTATTAAAAATTTGAGGGAAAGAGTTTGAAAAACAGGGTGCTGCTTGAATAGAAACAAAATGATATTTCCCAATGGAATCACTACATAATCCATAAAAAATGTTTAGGATATATGAAATTATATACTCTTCTCTAAATCCAAAAGTTGCTTTACATTTATTGTACGTTATATATTTAGAAATACGAACAACATTCCGATAAAAGGCCCCAGAAACGAAATCCGTATTCGCAAATATTAATGTTTTTTCCGGATCAAAGCCACACGCAATAATATCTCTTGCATTTTCTTTGGCATATTGATAAGTATCTTCTAACTTTAATTCCTGCTTAAATAGATACTTTTCATCGTCTGCAACTTTTTTAAATAAAAATTAAGATATTTTATGTGTTACCTGTAAGTTGAATCACGACAAAAGCAGAAAATACATCCTGAAGCCATCTAAACTGTAATTTAGAGGTTTTTCTGAGAAAAAAAAGGATCCAAAAAACTTGCAAAATAAAAATGGAACCATATGTCCCAAATGCATGCTTGAACTGCTAGGCCCTCTCCCTGTATAAATATAAAAAGGCTTTTTTTGTTCGTATTGATCAAGAATATTAGAAAAGTCACTGTTAAGATAAGAAAATCATCATATACGACAGAAGATAGACCGATGAGAAAAAACTATTTTTCTTCGAAGAAATACATGTGCTTTTTTGTTTGTTAACTTTTCAAATCGCTCTAAAAGTGCATCATCAAGATATTTTGTTCCAAATTTTTCAATAAGCCGATCATAATCAATTGCTTCATATTTCCCATCTACAAGTGCTCCTTCTGCCTGTAAAATCTTTAATTTAAGCCGTTTTTTCATAAAAAATACAAACTTTCCAAGGTGTAACTATCTGTTCTTTTTGTTCTTTTTTTTCACTGAATTCTTTCTTATCTTTAGAATCTAAGTGTAGAGAACAAATATCCAGTTCACAAGTGGTTTTTTCATTGGTTTTAGCATTTGGTTCTTGCATTTTGTATAATTTTATTTGCTTTTAAGATTTTTGATTTTTTATCGTTATTTGCTAAATTTTAAGATTGATAACGGTATTTTCTAATTATTTTTTGTAAAAAAAAAGGTATAAAGTATACAGTATTTTGAATATTTAATGATTTTAGTGCTTTTTACTAAGTGTTTTATGTCCTTTTGTGCAAAAACTCTGTTTTTTTGGCTTTAAATCTGTAGAATTGTTGAAAAACTATAAAAGTTATTTGGAGTTTAAAATGGTTAAATTTTATGAAAGTACCTATTATTATGAGTATGTACAGAATGCAATTAATTTTATGAAAGTTTCTTACGTTATTTTTTTTCTTTTTTAGCTATCCATGGCCTATTGTAACATTAGCATGGTTTTTGAGATATCCAAAGTATTGTTTGAAAAAAATGAAAAATTATCTTATACAGACTTTAGTCCGTATTCAAAACATGTTATTTCAGTGGATGTTATTGATCGTTATGTAAATGATCATGGTTGTCTTCGAACTACACGTTTAATTTTAAAACGTGGTAAATTGCCTAAGTGGGGTGCAAAGGTAGCTTTATGATAATTATAATACATGTATAATCATGATTTAACGTATTTCCTAAGCTTTTTAAAATTTCAGAGACATATATTCTTGAAGACTCAATAGTTGATCTTCAAACAAATCAGATGCACACATTTATTCGCAATCTTGATCATACAAAAGTGATGAAAGTGATTGAAAACCAAATATATGGCATTTCATCTAAAAATTCAAACCAGTAAGTTTTATGGGCTGTATATATATATTAAATATATGGAATATAGAACTTTTGTAAATATAACGGCACGAATTAAAAGTTCTTTTGGATGGGGTATCACAAATAAAATTGAAAAGTTTGGAATAGTAAAGTTCTCAAAGAATGTGATTAATGTATTTCAAAGAATTTATTTTTCTATGCTGATTTCTTTAGAGTCGAGCTGGTATGACATATGTTTTGAAAATGCTTCGTGACAATGGATGGGCTAAACAGATGTATTAATAATACTTAGTACAACTATGATATAGTGTATAATATGCTTTTATATTAGTTTTGATCATATATTTTATATTTATTAAATTTTATATTTATTATATTGAAATGTTAAAGATGTTTTTAAAGACAAGAATAGTATTAAAAAATTTAGTGCAATAAGTATACATTAATTGTATTTTTTTTAATATGATGTTTAAACGGATCTTGTGAAAAAAACCTATCGAAGATATGACAATTCCAATATATCAAAAAGTTATTTAAGACATGGTTTTTCTATAGAGCTATTTTCAAAGTATTCGACGTTTATTTTTATATTATCCTGTATTTGTTTTAGACATTTGATAGGCAATTTGCTTAAATTCTATAAAGTAATATATACGTTTATACTTCCTGTTTATATCAGAGTAATGCCATAAATGTTGCTTAGGATAAACTGTTTACTGTTTGGATTTAGTCTTTTGTAAAATCCGATGCTTTATAAATACATATTCCGTGTATCATGGTGTTATTTATCTTATCTTAAACATGCTCAATTGCAACGACGATGTTTATACAAGCAATTGTCTTTTAAAGAGGCGCCATCTGCATCTTTATCTATAAAAGATCGCCAAGAATCTACAGAAATAACGCGTGCTCGTCTTCTTTATCAAAGTCGCAAACGAGGTATTTTAGAAACAGATCTGATATTGTCTACTTTTGCAAAAAAATATCTGCCATTATTCACAAAAAAAGAGCTTGAAACATATGACAAAGTGCCTCTTATGTGTATGTTTTGTTTTAATTAACAATATAATAGTTCTTACAAGAGTCTGATTGGGAAATTTATTCCTGGGTTATTCGAAAAATAGATGCACCTGAAAAATGGCGTAAAAGTAGTCTTCTTCTTATGCTTCAAGAGCATTGTCAAGATAAGACAGCCCCTATTCGAAGAATGCCTGATATTTTTTGAAATTATTCCTAGACATTGGTTTAACTTGAAAATATATAATGTGTTTATATTAACAGTACAAAATGCCGTTAAAACATCCACGTAAAGAATTGAATAATAAAAGTCGTTCTCCATTTACAAGTTCAGATACTTGAATTGGGCGCTCCACTATATGTCCTCTCTCTAATAATGTTTCTCTCATGACGCCTGGAAGACAACCTTCTTTCAAAGAGGGAGTGATCCATTGATGATCTCTAAAAAAAGCGACATTACATATACTTCCTTCCATAACATATCCATGTTGATTATATAATAATACTTCCATAGCTTCGCCTATTTTTAATCGTTTTCTTGATGTTTCATAGGGATCTCTGTAGGTTGTTTTGTGGCAAAAAAATGGACGTAAAGCATCATTCATCGGAATCGTATCTAAATATACTTTCCATGGCTTTGTTTCTTGCTGCTCATTCTTAGAGAATACTCCAAAGAGGTTTTTGGGAAGTATAAAAGGTGATATTTCAATATTTATAGTTCCATTTTGAGCAATTGTTAAACGAACCTATTTAGAATAAATATATATAAAATAATTCTTTAAGAAATGTAATCACTTTAGATGATTTGCAACGAGTTACTGAATTCCATAATTCTTTCTTTACTATTTCTATATCAACAGTTTTCCATCCGAAATCCATTGATGACTTGACTAGACGCTGCATATGTTTTTCTAATAAAAAGAAATCTTTGCCATCATATAAAATGGTTTCTAAAAGCTCCCACGTTCTTCCTTGTATTATATTATTTAGCTTTTCTGTTTTTTTCATATTAATTTTGATAACTCTAATGTTCGATATTAGAAATAGAAAAATGATAAATATTGTATATAGTTTAAAATATTAAATAAAATTATTTTTGAGATATAACTTGAGTGTAAATCTCATGTTGAACAGATGGCCATAATAACTCTGATGCATCTGCATAAATCATAGATGCTTCATAACCAAGAAGTATCATTTTTTCATTAATTGTGACTTTACATGCAGCCAATGCTTTAATAATATTGCACACACGAGCTATTTCATGAAAAAGATAAGGCTCAATATCCTAATAACGATTTTAGTATTTCCTAGATTGATATTATAATAAACAAACTGACATCATTGATATCTGAGTAAATTGTTTCTGATGCTTCTTCTTCTAATCGTGTAATACTAACTCCTGACTTTTCTGAAGACATTTCTACATGCTTTCTTACCCATATATATCCATTTGTTCCAAAAATTACATCTGTTCCATTCGGCAAGCAGTAAGAATGAACATTTGATCTCACAATTAAATTAGATGGCACTTGAACAAAAGAACCATTACGAAGTTTTCCATATTTCAAAGACCGTGTATGCAATGATATTGAGCCATCTGAAAAAAATGTCTGTACTTCTGCCTAAATAAATAATTAATGTTTTATTTGATATTTAAGAAATTTATAAGATACAACTAATAAATCCCCTTCAGAAAAAAATGTCCGCATTTTCAGAACATCTGTCTCTGATTTCCTCCTCAGAATACCTCCTGGAAGATTAATAGATGATAACATCAATATTGCATCTTGTTTTGACCCAATATCAACTTTCCATCGTTTGTTACCAACCTATAAAAAATTAATATTTTAATTAGAAAGTTAATTTATACTTTAACAATTCTTCCAATTACTAAATCTCCAATCTCTGGAAGATATCTATTCTTTTTTAAGAGTCTTTTTTACCTTCAAAACAAAAATACCTTGATTTTAATGGTTTTACAGAGATAAGCTTATTTACTCGTTGAACTGTGCCTACAACTGATGCATAAACTGTATTTTTATCTCTTACATATGTTCCATGACCTCTATATGAAAAGTAAATTAAATTATAAGTATATACTTGTTCTTTCAAACCTCATAAATTGAGGATCATTTGTGATAAATTCACCTGGAGTAACTACTTTTGAGGAGGAGAAATGACGAAAATTTAATGTATTATACAAAAAACCATCATAATCATCATTTTTATTATCATCAATTTCATCTTTTCTAAAAACTTGATTTTTTGATGGCTTTATAAATTTAATCGTCATGGTTTAAAGATTGAATAGATGATAAATCTATATATTTATGTACATAAAAATAAATAAATAATGCAAAAATTAAAGAACACCACCCTTTTTTAATATTTGATTTATTGATACCATCCTAATGAATTTATATAAATAGTTATAGAATCTAGTTATTAATGAAATTTGAAAGGTTTAAGTATATATATCAATAGGAGGGATATGATCAAAAGCAAAAAGCCAGTGACCACTAGAATCTATAAGAATTTGTAAAAAAAAGAATGGATCTTACTGTTCATATTCCTCTACAAGCCATTCCGTAGGCCAAATAACTAAATGACCTTGAATGTTGGATAATTTTTCTTCTAGAACCTCTTGTGACTCGAGAAAAATATCTTCTGAATTTTTTAAACCTTTTTTATGTAAAAAGCCTGATAAAGGTTGAGAGCTAGATGCAAAATTGGCTTCAGAAATTTCTTTTGATGTATCTAGATTGGAATCTATTAATATTGTATTACTTTTAATGTTGTCTATTTCGTCAATTTTATTAGTAGGCAATTTTGTTTCTTGACAATATATTGGCAATGATTCAGAAATCTCGTGAATAGGATTTATATTTGTTTTTTCTGTTTCATATCTATGCATAAATCTTTCTGCATATTTTTTATAACGATAATAATCTTTCCATGTGCGTACTTCATTATCTGGCATACAACGGAAAACTTCGCGATATATTTCTGTATTTTTTTGAGCAATTTTGTCCCATACATCTTCAAAAAAATAGTCGGATAAAGGATCTGAAAATGCCATAGGATCTATTTTAATTTTTGGCCATTGTCCTGTTGATGATATTTTGTATTCTGTTTTTTTTTCAGGAAAGTTATCCAAATCTAATTTGTTTGCATTAACATTTATTTCGTTAAAATTGTATAAATTAGGAATTATAGATCTATAAGACTTTATTTCTGGTTTATCTAAATTCTTAATATTATCATGAACATTTTGCGATTCTGTTATAATTTTTTTATAATTTTCAGTAAATATATGCTTTTCATTTAAACTATTTATATCGTTATTAATATTGTTAGAATTTGAAATACTTTTTTTGACTTCAACACCAAATAACAAATGTGTTGTTGTCGTAGTAACTTTTGGTCTTCCAAATGGTATTTGAGATGATTCTAGTATGTGCGGAATTTTTTCTTTAAATTCAAGTATATTAGATTTTATTTGATATAAAATTTCATCTTTGTTTAAATTTTGTTGAGTATATTTTCCTTGAAAAGAAACCGCATATTCATTACATAATTTAATAATTCCTTCATTCTCTTCAGGTAAATTTTCCTTAATTGATTTCTCTTCATTCTCTAATGTCTCAAATGTAAGTGAATTATTAAAATCCCAAGTTTTTACATCTTTCCATTTACAATTCTTAGCCAAACCATCCATAAAGGGCTCTATTTTTTCCATTTCATCACAATTGATTCCAAGATGCTCTCTCATTAATCTTACTCTTAATGTATAGGAAAATTTTCCAACAAGATATGGTTTCCCTGCCATAGTTGATAACTGCATATCAGTATCTCTAATTATTGCTGCAATTTCAGAGTCTCTATTTCCACGCATTGATCTTTCGTTAATATTTGCTGATCCGATTATACAAATTCTGTCATCAACAATCATACACTATTGTTATGTAAATTTTACTATTTTTCGCAAGAAATCATACCTTTGCATGAATATAAATCATTTCACTAACAAGTCTTTCATTTTTTCCAAGCTTTGCCCAATTTCTAAGACTATATATTCGAATATATTTTATCGGATCAATTCCTTCTGCTTCTAATTTTTTAAAAATAGAACATCTATAACGACATATAGAACGATATTGACAATGCATTATCAAGCGTATACTTGTCCCTTCCTGTACATCAACATCATTTTGAAATCCAGGAATTAATGGTAGTATTATTATAGCTCTAAATGTTCTATTTAGTAATTATTTTAAAAAATACAATTAAAATATACCTCCACTTTTCATTATTTTTATGTGCTTTAATAATCCGCTTTACTAAAGCATTACCGATACCATTTTCAATAACGGTTCCTTCACATTCAGATGATGTTATAAAAAACTGATTTTCAATATATACAAAATGTTCACTAGTTTCTATACATTTAATATAAGCATTTAGAATACTATGTTCAACTTTCGTTGGTGTACCAATAGACCATGGTCCAGCCGAGCGTAATATTTGTAATTCATTAGTCCCAATAAACCCTTTTTTTTCAAGTTGTTCTTGTGTAAATTCAGGAGGAGGAACCAAAAAAGGTGTAAATCTACTTGGATTTTTAGACCTTAAATGATAATTCCATCTCTGTACAAAATGCCTAGCAATATCTCTTGCTGGTTGGCCTACAATTTGCATAGAAATATCATGCCATGCCATTCTTGGAATTAATGTACGATTATACATATCTTCGTAAGGCTTATCAAGAGTAGAAAAATCTTGAACTCTTGGATTGGAATAATCTTTACCTGGCCAAATAAGCGGCTCATCTGGAATATTTGAAATTGGGTTTTGCATTTCATCCCATCCACTTGGCTTATCATCGTATAAAACATGTTCATAAGAGTCCCATCGCCCAAAACATAGGTCGATACCACCTATAAAACCAATTTCTTCGTCTATACATATAATTTTTTCATGATGTGCCCAAAAAAAAGTATTTTGTCGTAGATGAGAAGGTGATCTTTGAACATAAATATTAGGAGAAAGTTTTATTAAACAATATTTTGTATAATTTGAATCAACTGGAACTGTTGTTCCAACATTACGGTATATAATAATATAAATTTGAACGCCCTCATCTGCTTTTTTTTTTAATAATTTATCTAACCTCCAATCTTGTGAAATGCATGCAGGGCGACGGAGATACTAGATCTAATTAGACGAAATATTAAATATTAAAAATAAAAAACCAATTCAGGGCTAAGCCACCAATCGTGTATATAAATTGTTTCTTTGGCATTTAAAATTGCTCTGCTTACATTCCAAAAATAATCTCTCTAAAAAAAATAAAAAAAAATTAAAATATAAAATAATAATACTACCCCATCAATAATCCATTGAGCTGCAACATTGGTTCTAATAGGGGAAAAACTGTCAAAACGTTTGAATTTTGTCCATATACTAAATTCATTGACAGCTTTAATGTTTTCTATGAATTGATGCATTGTCATTTCATTTTTAGCTAAGAGTTTAAGTTGTCTTTCGCAATTTTTAATTTTAAAGGTGTAACGTTTTGGTTGATATCTGTTTAAATTATCTTTTTTAATTTTAGACATATAAGCTGGTATATCTTTAGAAAAATGTTTTTTAGTAATTTCGAATCCATCATCCATAAGAAATACATCGTAAATTTTAGTAGAACTTAAATCATTTACACACACAATATATGATTCCCTTACAAGATACCATTTTGGCTGTGATCGATTTCTTACTTCAATAGGATTACATGTCATTTTGCGTGTAGAGCCTTTTGAATTGACAATTGATAATAACCCTTCCTTTCCATGATATTTCTCATATTTTCCAAGCTTTATTCCTAAAGCACTAAGCTCCAAAAATAAACAAAGTCTAATTCCTTCTGGTCTAAAAAGAAATAGTTGTATCATATTTTTTAAATACTCCTCAAGTTTTTTCCTTTGCATCTCTACGAAACTATTGCTTTTAACTATGTGCGTTTTTTCATTGACTTTAGATGATATAGGTTCTATTTCTGTGAATACGTTTTGTTTTGAAAACTTACTTAATTTTTTATTAAAACTGTTATTATTTCCTGAACTAAATCCTCTAATAGTGCGAAGATACGGTACACTAGATTTTGGAAACCTAGGTAATCCTGATGTTTTTCTAAATTGACCATTTACTGTTTCAGAAACTCGGTACCGTGTATGCAAATTAAGAAAGTCTTTCCACTCTTTGTATACAGACCATTCTACTGCATCCTCTCCATCACCGTACTTAAGCTTTATCTGAAATAATGTATGAGATCTAGATTTCATATTTTTTGCATCAAGGACATTAATTTTTAATTGATCCAAAAGAACAGGTACTCTTTGCCTACCATTATCGTCTCTTTGGAAAACAGAAGCAAGTATAATTGCAGCTGGAGTGCCTGCCTCAAGCTGAGAAACTAAATTAACTGGTATATATGTATCTTTTTTATCTTTTTTTCTAAAATTTTTTAACTTTATTCCAGATTTCAAAGCATTCCATTTCTGAAAAAAAAGTTTTTCTGGTAGTCCTAATACTTTTGAACTATAAAAAGGATATTTTCTTGTCTGCCAAAATTTTTTATTTTTTGTTTCTATGTCATTTTCTGTAATAAATTTGTCTATAGTAGTTAAAGAGCGAAAAAGAACAGAATTCCCATGTTCAGCTACATCGCTAACAACATTATCTGTTTTAATATCAGAAATAGTGCTTTTCTGGTCTTCAAATGTTTTCAAAGAGGGTTTGTGATATAACTCTTTAAAGTCACATGGCACCTGTCTTAAGCTTATACTTGAATATGATCTCCTAAGACATTTATCATAATCACTTCTTATATTTTCTAACAATTCATCGTCCTTTTGGTATTAATTAACATTTATAATACCTTTTTAATTGATATTTAATACTTACATTGTTTTGACTTGAAGACCACACAAAAATGCCTAAAGATGCCCTGTTTTTTATTTCTTTTGTTTCAGAAATATCCTGAGAGTTGTTTTCTATCATTTTCTTTATCTTTATTTCTGAAAAAGCTGTTTTTTGAGGCTCTTTACGGCATATTTTGGATTCACTATTTTGATTTATTTTTAACGGAAAAAGCTCTGTTCTTTTCGTTTTTTTTTCCATTATTTTTAGATTTTAGTAAGCAAAACTTAGAAATTTTTATTCATTAGTCTTATTATATATTATATATATGTTATTCTTGACTAAATCTTTCTTAACCACTCTACAAATGCTTATCTGAAGTTTGTCGAAATCGTGTTGGGAAACATCGATATCGAAAACAGAGGGGCCAAAGCTTAATATTAAAAAGTGGATGTCTTATACATAAGAATACAGTAAAGATGTACTAAATGATGAGTTGTATTATGGTTAAAAGAAAATTTTGCATTCCATATGATATCTGTTTAAAATTATAAATAAGTATGATAAAAATAAGGTGAAAAATAATATCTAGCTTTTTTTGAGATATGAATATGTGATTAACGGCGACGATGTCTTTGAGAACGATGTCGTTTATCTCTTGAATGCTGTGTATCATTGCGTTCGTTTCGATCAGTGTAAAAATGATTTTTTTGTTGCCCTCCACCAAGTAAAGTTTCAAAGTTGAAGGGAGAAGCACCTGATGAAACAGAAGAAATAGGAAAAGATTGTTGGATTGGTTTTTTCTGTGATTGCTGAAGCATTTGTAATATATTGCTTACATTTGCAATATTGGTAGATGAAAGGTTAGATGATGGAAGAGTAACATGCTGTACAGATTGTGGAATTGTTTGTATTGGAGGAGACGTATTAATTGTTGCTTGTCCAGAAGCATTTAGCAAATTTTGTAAAATAGAAGTTATGCTCGCCTGTGGGTTATTGATTAAAGGAGGATTAGTTAATAAAATATTATTTTGGTTGAAAGTGTTTGAAAATGCTAAATGATTTATGGATCCTTGGTTATGCTGAAATATAAAATCTGTTGTATTTAAATCCTAATAATATAAATATAAAGCCATGAAGATAAGTTAATGTATACTTTTATGTCATTAGGCAAGGGTATTGTTTTTGTTTCAACGAATGGTCCATCAGAATTTGGACCAGGCTCTGTAGGTGAATGTGGAATGTCTTTCTCATAAAGATATGATACTAAAAATACGAATCTTTCTCTCTCTTCTTGTATTTTATATTCATCGCTATTACATTTATTAATGCCACCTTTTTTAGGACCAAGTTTAGGTAACTCTGAATCCAAATGCGAAAAATCAATGTCTGTTAATATTATTACGATTTTATAGTGTTTACAATAAAAACTACCTTCTGGTTCACGCCATGTCATCATATCATCTTCCATATTATGTGTTTTGTTAAATGCAGCACGTCCTTCATAAATATCTAAATCTCTTGCATTTTTAAATTCACGAAAAATATGAATAAATGAGTTGTCCGTTTCTTCAGGTTCAAGAGATTCAAATATCCTTATTTCAACAAGATCGTTATCTGATTTCCATGAAACACATTTCCTTTTTTTCTTGGGTGCTTCATCAGGAACTATAGTAGCATCTGTTACGGTTGTTTCTGATGTTGTTTGACAACCAGGAACTTCTTCCAAAACACTTGTAAATTTTTTAGTAGTTGTCTCTATTACTTGAGGTTGTGTGACATTTGATCTAAAAATTGGTTATTTTGATAAAATGTATGGCATTATTACTTTTTAGGTGCTTTTATTTGTGCAAGAACACTGGAAAGGGAAGGCTTTTGTGAAGGTTTTGTCGTAGGAGTAGAGAGATTCTTAAAAAAATCTGTATTAACTACAGGTTGAACTTTTTGAGATTTAACCACAGGTTTTGTTGAATTAGGCTTTGAAGCTATAGTAGGTTTTGAGATAGAGTCATTTGAATTTATTTTTTGTTTTTTTTTAGATGCATCTTCTGTTGTGGAAATAGGTGGCACATTAGAAATCCTTAATAATATTAATATATACAATAATAGTTAGTTATTATACGTTAAATTTTCTGCAGGTTTTTCTAATAATAAAGATTTTTCTGCTACCTCTAGCCATTTTATGGAAAGTTGTTTAACAGCTTTTGTATTTAGTTTATTATATGTTGATCATATATTTCTTACTCTCATTTTCAGATTTTTTGGCCAAAATCATTATAGGTTTCCCCATTTTCAATTCTGCTAAAATTGGTGCATCCAATTTTAATATACTCATAATCTAATTGTGTTAAAATATATTTATTAAACATATTTTTGTATACTTTTAAAATAGCTATAATAATGGTATTTTTTTTTTCGTTTATAGCATTAACCAGCCAATTTCTTATCCTTCCTAAGACTTGTTTATTTTCAATGAATCTAGTGAATTTTAATTCATGCTAAAAATTATAAAGGCATTAATACGCAGTTATAATGTCATCTTTCATTCCCCCTTTTAATGTTTCTAACATTACAATTTTAGCTTTATCTTCAACTATATCTTTCATTAAATCATATATGGTTCTAACACAGTTTCTAGTATCTCCTGTTACTGCATAAACGCTAAAACATTTTCGTAATTCATATAAAAGTGTATCGTATGAATTCTATTTTATATTAAACTTTTTAGCAACAATAGGTATTTACTTTGGATCGAGGTTGATTCTTTGGTACTGATGTTTCATTTTTTGGTGCAGAAGTTTCGTTTTTTTGTAAAGTTTCATTTTTTGGTGTAAAAGTTTCGTTTTTCGATATAGGGATTTCATTTTTTGGTGCAGATATCTTATTTTTTGGCACAGAAGTTTCGTTTTTTAGTACAACGGTTTCGTTTTTTGGTACAGAAATTCCGTTCTTTGAAACAGAAGTTTCATTCTTTGGCATAGAAACTTCATTTTTTTTACTAACGCTTGGTTTGTTTTGCAATGGTGTTTTTTCAAAAACTGGTTGATCTGTTTGTACATCCATAATGGTAGCAAAGGGAAGATTTGGAACTAATATATATTAAATGGTAATCTTTTTACTTAAGAAAACCTACTAGCAATACCAGGAAATTTAAATGGATTATCCTTTTTATTTTCCTGAAATAGCTCATCATTACCTAAGGATATTAGTAAAAATATTAAAGTTCCACTAACACAAGCCATTGGTTTCGTAATACTTAGAAGGACATAATGCATGAGTATGTGTATCATCTATTTTATTATTATTAAGAAATAGAAGAAATGCTAAGCAACATACTGTCTTTCGGAGTTGAAGCCTCAATATTAATATTTTTAATATGTACAGTATTGCCTAATGTTCTTTTTAATTTTTCTTGAATAGTTTCTTCAAATATTTGTTTTGAATTGTTTGACAAAAAAGTATTAGGAATTTCCTGATGATATGAATTAACTGCATTTAAAATGGCGTTTGTTGAGATGTCTAGTGTAGCAGCTTTCTGGCGTTCTAGATTGGTTTGAAAAAGAGGTGCTTCTAAAGACAAATGCAAACCGGGAACTTGATATATCGATGCGTCCATAGCTGTAAAAGTATTATCCAATGTATTATTTGAATGCAATGTGGTTTCTAAGGATTTCTCTAAAAGCTGGGCATTCTCATAAAGTGTATTTGTTGGTAGCATATTTTCTAAATTACTTTGAGGGTTATTTGATGATATATTTAGGCCGGGTGATGTTATTAAATGTGGAGATATGGCCCATTCTGATGGCATTTTTGAATCCTCAGGCTTCATTTTTGTTTATAGGAAGAAATACAAATAATAGAATACCAGAATGGTTCCAAAATAATATTAACGTCTTAAAGACACAAATGTCACTGCAAATATGTTGTTAACGCTAATGAAGACGGTAAAAATATGTCAGATATTCTTAAAAAAAAGTATTTTATGCTAAAATGTGCTTTAAATTTGCAAAAATGTTTTTGCAATCAGAAAATGTTCTTTCGTCGATTATCTGCAGACAGTTGCCAAATACTCCCAAAAAAGGCGTGGCAAATGCCTGTCAGAGGCTCTAATAATGTTTACCAATGCTTTTCTGACAACAAAAGTGCAAAAATATGCCGAAAAACTCAGTTGTCTTTACTCTGCAATCCAAATGTTTAAATTTCGTTTAATGTTTTTATCACTCGATAATTCAAAAAAAAAAACTTTTTTACTGCAAAGTACAAAGAGAAATACTTGTAACCCCCATCTTTGTGCTGGAAAAACACTTATTTTCCCTCCAAATACGCTTATGTTTCTGATAGTTTTCCTTGATGTCGGTATATTTGACGTCCCCGTTTTTTCAAAAAAGGTGAAATGGTTACCAAGGCGACACTACTATGGAAACGCTTTATAATAATAATGGTTGCTAAGACGATGGTTGTTACGAGAATATACGTTTTAAAATCACGATGATTAATTAACGTTATGAAAAGTGTGCGAGAAAACAAGAGTTTATTAGAAAGATGTCGGGTGATATTTCAGCCTTTCAAACACTTTGTAACGCACAGACAGGTTAGATTTTATATCCTATGGTTTTTGAAGAGTTAAAAATGCTTATTTATAATAGCATCTCTTATAAAAGTTTTAAATTTGAATAAGACAGATGAAAAACAAAATACAGAAGATGATGAGATGCTATGGTCATTAACAGATGAAGTTGTGTGGAAAGTTCTTATTTTTGATCGTTTGGGTCAAGATATTATTTCTACTGTACTTAAAGTGAATGATCTTCGAGATCATGGTATTACACTTTTTATGTAAATATTGGGCTTTTAGTGCTATCTGTTTTTACATATGTAGGCAATTGATGACAGAGAGGCAGCCTATACCAGGAGTGCCTGCAATTTATTTTGTAGAACCTACATTGGAAAATATTCAAAAAATATCTCAGGCAAAATATTTTGTTTGTTTTGAAAAATATTGATTTTTTTCTACAGGATTTGTACAATAATCTTTATGATAGTGCTTATGTTAATTTTTCTTCGTCTATTCCATGTTCTCTTTTAGAAGAATTTGCTTCTATTACCTCATCACAAAATACATCTCAAATGATTTCCCAAGTATATGATCAATATCTTAATTTTGTAGTTCTTGAACAGGATCTTTTTAGTTTACGTCTTCCGGATGTCTATTATACGCTTAATCATCATTCTGTTTCAGAATCAACGATAGAGTCTATTGTTGATAAAATTTCTTCTGGAATTCTTTCAGTATTGGTTACAATAGGAGTAATTCCTATTATTCGATGTCCTTCAGGTAATGCTTCAGAAATGGTTGCTCAAAAATTGAGTCGTCGGTTGCGTGATTATCTTTTAAATACTAGAAGTGCTAGATTCTCTAATTCATCATCTTTTTGTCCGTATCGCCGTCCAGGTATTTTCAAAGTATATTAATTTTGCAACTAATTTATATAAAGTTTTAATTATTTTGGATCGTACAATCGATCTCGTTCCTATGCTTAGTCATTCTTGGACTTACCAGTCACTCATTAATGATGTTCTTGAAATGAAGCTAAATAGAATAAGCGTTGATGTAGGTCATTGTTATTACTTTTCATCTAAATAGAATATTAGGTTATGGAATCTAATAAGAAGATTAAAAAAAATTATGACATTTATCCTCATGATTTTTTTTGGGCAAAGAATTTAAACAATCCATTTCCTCAAGTAGCGGAAAATATTGATTTAGAACTTACTCGTTACAAGAATGATGCAAGTGAAATTTCTAAAAAAACTGGTTTAGATATTGTTGAATTGTATATAATATTGCTATATTATTTGTTATTCTGATTTTTGATAGTGATACTGCAAGCAAATCAGAAAACCTTAAAATAGCCATAACTGCTTTACCAGAACTTACATCTCGGAAACAAATTTTAGATATGCATATGAATATTGCTACTGCTTTATTACAGGGTATTAAGGATCGTCAATTAGATAATTGTTATCAAATAGAAGAATCAATTACACGACAAACAAAATTCAATATTCTTGAAATAATACGAGATCCGCAAAAGAAAGCTGAAGATAAGTTAAGGATTTTTATAATTTATTATCTTAGTATTGATAATATTAACAAAATTGATATGCTTGAATATGAAGAAGCATTAAAAAAGGCTAATTGTGATATTAAACCTTTAACTTATATTAAAAAGTAAAAGTCTACTTTTTGAAAAAAATAATTAAATTTTATAATAGAGTAAGAGAAATTACAAAAATGACTATGATGATATCACCTCCTACACAAAACTTAAGTACTTTTTCACAAAAAAGTGATAATCTTTTGAGGGGATTAAATTCTCTTAGTAATATTGTAAGAAATAGTAATTAAATATTTGTTTAATAATGCTAATAATTATTATTTTAGCTTGCAGATAAATTTAAGGATGGTGCTATTACAGGGGGGCTAGAAAATCTTATTTCTGGTGTTAGAAATTTTTTACCATCTAGTAAAGATTTTACTATAACAAAAATCGTTGAAAGTTTAATGGACCCAACTTCATCAAATACCAGCAAAACAGAAGATTATCTTTATTTTGATCCACAAAATCATGATATTCAGCAAAGTCCAATCCATCGCCAGCAATTTAATGAAGCAATTGTTTTCATAGTTGGAGGAGGGAATTATTTTGAATATGGTAATTTACTTGATTTTGCTGCACGGTATTCAGGAACAAAAAAAAGAATAATATATGGTTCTTCTGAAATATTATCTCCAAGTGCTTTTTTAAATGAATTAAGTCGCTTGTCTTCATGAATTTTATTTATTTTAAATATTAGTAATTAATATATATATAAATCATAAATAAATTAACCATTTTAAGTATAATATATTTGGAATTTAGTTATTTTGGTCCATTTATAATATTTGTCTAATTTCTTTAGATAAATATAAAATTAGTTTGGAAAGAAACCTCTAATTCCATCTGAATTGTCCATGAATCTAACTCGTTAAATAACAAATCTAGTCCACCTTCACCATTCATGCAACTATCTAAATCATACAAACTGTAACCACAACGATGATCTGTTATCCTATTTTGTGGAAAATTATATGTTCTGATTTTATCTGGTCGAGTAGTTGATGGCACTTGAGATTTACGTTGTAATCTTTGATGTTCTGCGTTTTTTTGACTTTTTAAAGCAGCAACTCTAGATTTTAGTATTATAAGGGCTTTTGCACGATTCTATATATTAATATAAGATATACTAAAATTATGATCTTACTTGATGTTGTGAGCGAGAATCTTGCATAGAAACTGTTATTCCCGTTGGTATATGGGTCATTCTTACAGCAGACTCTGTTTTATTTACCTATTCCAATTAAATTACGAAAAATGCTTATATTATTTCTAACATGTTGTCCTCCTGCTCCCCTTGATCTCATTACTTCTATTTTTACTTCTTTCATATCAATTTTATCAAACTCTTGTTTTTCATCTACCTTTGGAAGAACAATAACTGTTGCAGTGCTGGTATGTGTTCTTCCTTTGGATTCAGTAGTTGGAATTCGTTGAACTCTGTGAACTCCTGCTTCATTTTTTAATCTTCCAAACGCTCCCAGACCATCGACTTGTAGAATAGCTTCAGAAATTCCTTCGTTACCTTCATTTTTACTTATTGATAATATTTCGGGTTTCCAATTTTTTGTAATTGTATATTTTTGATACATTCTTAACAATTCTGCTGCAAATAATGATGCTTCATGACCACCTACACCTGCATGAATCTCTAAGATACATGATAAGTGTGAATGAGGATGTTTTGGAATAAGAAATTTTTTTAATTTATTAGAAATTTCTTTGAATGATATGGCTTCTTTTTCTAATTCTTCTTCTGCAAGTTTAACCATTTCATGATTTTCACTTTCATGTTTCAGTTGTTCAAGCTCATAAATTACCTAATGTCATTAGATATTTTAAAAATATTAAATTTTAAAAACAGCTAAAGATTTTTCGTAATTTTTAAAACAATTTATTGTAGGTTCTAAATCTAAAATTTCCTTATTCAACAATTCTAGAGAATTTGGTTTTGTCTCCTATAAATAATTAAAACCTTATTGATTTCTAGATAATATTTACAAAAGATGCTTTTTTTTTAAGATTGTCATATCGTTCTAATAGGAATTTTGAATATTTTATAAGTTTTTCATTTAAATTTATTTGGTTAATATTTGTGTTACCTTATAAAAAGTAAATACCGAATATAAGGGTAAAATTATAAAAATACAATTGTTTTTCATATTTTTGAATGCAGATATGTAAATGTTTTTCCTAAAAAAGTTTTTTATTACGTGATAATTCTTCTGATAAGATTTCATATTTAAAGATGTTATATACGTAAAAATGGTATCAGAAAAACAATAATAGCCATATAGAATATTTAATCCGTTAAATATATTGTGATTTAATGTTTTACAAATAGAAAAAAATATATTTAATTGGTTTTAAGTATAAATAATATACTCATTTGTATGAATCGAATATTTCGTTAAGTAGTTATAATATAACTTTATTTATAAAATTCCTTATGACTTCGTCTTACACAAAGAGTTAGATAACTAGATTATGTATTAAAGTGTCTTCTTTAATCATTATTTTGTATATCATAATATTTGTAGATCGATGTTAATTTTTTAAAAAAATGTATATTATATATATATTGGATAAAAATGTAACATTATGGGTTCTTTTGAATTTCTATATAGTTTTTTTTAATACTTAGTATAAATCCTGTTCTTTTTGAAAGCGTTAAATCTTTATTTGATAAACGTTGAAATACTGCGTGATATAAACCCAATTGAAGAATATTATTTCTATATTCTGAATAAATAAGGAGGTTTTTTAAATCTAAATCAAATGAAAGTTGATTAACTGCTTTTCGAAGGAAGCAGATTCGATGTGATACTTGAGATGTGTAAGAAAGAGGAAGATGATGATGATAAATTTGTAAAGAATCGTCAGAAATAGTGAAATTTCGTATGTCAGTTATATAAGGATTAAAATCTTTGGACATATTTAAAACCCATGCAGTGCAGATAGCAAGTGAACACCATGTAGAACAGAATTCTTTAAGTAATTTTGTGATACGTTTGTAAACAGTGTCCATTCTTTCTTGAACAGAAATATTTAAATATCGATCTTGCCAATAAAATGCAGATATTGAATCAATAAATACATAGCGAATTCTTAAATTGTTTGCAAACCATTTAAAATACTGAGACAAATATTGAAGTGTAGCTATCAAAGATATTGAATTTTGAGGCCGAAAAATATATAAAGAAGAAAGACTTTTCTCCACTATTTCGTCTACTTCTTTATCTATACATTTTTTTTCATTATTTTTGTCAAGTACATTATCTTTTTGAATTCCTTTAAATATCTTTTTCACTTTTTCAGACATAATTTCTTTTAAACGGTCTGTTTTCCATTTTCCACTACAATCTAAAAGAACAATGCCTTCATTAATACCACCAATAGGTTCTTGTTTTCCATTAAAGTTGTGAACTTTAGGAAGAAGAGTAGTTGTTGCAATAAAATAAAGTAAATGTCGTTTTCCTGAGCCATGTGGACCTTGAAATTCTAAAATATCCCCATATTTTAGTCCATTGATTTTATAAGATGCAATAATATCATCCAATAGAGGAATAGAAAATTTAATACCTCCTTTTTCATAACATAAATGAGACCGAAGTGTTTCTATGAGCTATTTTGTACATTAAAACGCTGTTAAAACAGGATAAACGATTTACATCTTTACACGACTCATATTCAAACGTGTTTGTTAATTCTTTTAGTGAAGAAGCTGCTTCCATTTTGAAGTCTAGTTTTTATATTAAAAAATGATAAAAACACCTAGTCTTTCAGCTCAAGATGTTCAAAAATTACTAAGTAAAAACGATAAAAGTAATAAAAACAGTGATTATGTGCACTTAAAACAGTTTTTATGTCATATTGAGGATCATAAGATAGTCTGTACGCCAATTCATAGATTTTTTAAAGTGTAATAGTAGATTAAAGTACTAATGAGAAAGCTAATTTTTACAGGTACGAACAGAAAAATATGATTGAAATAATAGATTTTACATATATTATAAAAAACAAATAATAGTTTTGTTTTTCTTAACAAGTTATAAATTAGAAAGTATTTTTAAATTGACGAGTATATCGGTCAGTTTCCCAGTTAACAAGACCTTTATAAGGTATATAGCCATCACTATCATATCCCATATCCTTCCATACCTTTAAAAAGAGCGCATCTTGTTTTTCTTGAGCTTTATTTTCTGTATTGAGCTCTTGTTTGTTTTCAATTTGAATAATTTTCCATAAAGCATTTTCTGCTAAACGGCTTTGCCTTGCAGACAACTCCCGAATCTCATGGGGAGACGTAGTCCGCTGTATATATATTGGAGTGCTCATGTACGTGTATTTAGGAGGAAAAACAGGAAGATGTGATAAATAATAATCGGGCTGTTTATCATTAATACCTGTCAGTTCCGGGCCCAAAAGCTTGTTCATAAGCGTTGAAGATGTGTCCATAAAACGGGACGTTACTTCAGATGCAGATACATCTGAATAATAGTTTAGTTGCTAACATGAATTGTATAATCATACAACCTTCTTTCAAATCATAATTGGTCCCCACACGTTGCTTCATTTCTGTTTCTAATGATCCTATTTTGATTCCCTCATAGAAAAACACTAACTCAATGTCATAAACTGATGCTTTATATCGTTTTTGAGACGATGCAAAACGTAAGGATCTATCTAGGATCCGCAAAATATCTACATCCATTAAACATAAAGTATCAAAAAACAGCTTCTACATAAAACAAGGAACTTTTGCAGGACAACTATACAGCTTTCTGTAGTCGATGAAAACCCAACTGACCGGAGTATTTCTATCAATGCTCGTCGTTCTAATATTCTTTCAAATCTTTCTTCTGTCATTCTTGATAAAAAGTGCTCCAAATCCCGTTCTTTTTAAAATATATTCATACTACTTAATGGAAGCGTTTTACTTGTTTTTCTTTTGCTTTTCTCCCTTAAATCTTCCTCTTTTTTTCTTTTAATACATTTTTTTTGACGTTGGCTGTGTGATCGGTCTTTCAACTACAAATAAATCTTGAAAAATCAAATAGGCCTATTCTATTCAAGTTTTCTAGCTAAAACGTTCTGAAAACACATATTCTTTCATACCTACATAGAAAAATCCTATTTAGAACGACTAGACATCTATATGGCTGTTAAACCCATCACCGGCATGCTTAAGCGTGCTCTGATTAAAGTTGCTTCTAAAAAAGACGTTTTTTCGTGCTGATCTTCAATTTAGGATGTCTCTGTTGCTCTTGGACTTGGTATTGGCGCTGCATACGTCTTTTGGCTTGGATTCCACCTTCCTTCAGTTCGAAAACGCAATATGTTTTATGAAAAGCTTTATCCTCCAAAGTCATAGAAATATTTTGTTCTTTTTTATTAAAAAACCAATGCATTTTATGTTTTTTTGTAGATTTTGCATTAAAATCTTTCTTTTTTGCTTCATTTTTGCTTTTTATTTGCTCTTTAGTTTTTTTAATATCCTCTTTTCACGTGAAAATCACGTGCTTTGTGTCTCGGCGACGACATACGAGAGATCAGACAAGACGCTGCAGTGAAAAGCATCAATAAAGCGGCAGAAAAGGTCAATTAGAAACGGATTATTAACGTATTTAATTCTATTTTTTAGTAAAATGTCGTTTTATTCATTAGTTGGGACACTGAGCGGTCTGGGAGCATCATTATTTCGTCGCCGGGGTGAAGAAGCGGGATTATTTTGGCGGGGTTTGGTGAAGTTTTATGCGCGGAATAAGCTTTTTTCATATGCTACTGGGTTATTTTTTGTGTTTGTTTCTGCTGGAAGTACATATTATTTTTATCAGAGGCTATTTAAAGATGATGGAGGATTTGTGGACAAAAAACAGCCAAAATATAAAAAAAAGACGAAGAATAAGAAAAAAAGAAAGATTAATGCAAATTCTGTGCCTCATGGGGGATCTGGTTTGTTTTTTTTTTTTTTCTAGGATATGATTGGACGGTTTTAGAAGCAACAAATTTGTCAGAGTCATCTTTGGAAGAAACACGATTATTGTCTATTACAGACGCAGAAATTGAAAAAATGAGCGAGTCTGTATGGCACTTTTGCTGATTGATGTTTTTTATTAAATATTTTTAGGAACGTAAAGCATATGCTGCACAATTAAAAACAGAAGGAAATAAAGCGTATTCAAGGAAGGATTATGAAAAGGCGATTGAGTTATATACTTGTGCAATTAATTGTTCAAAAGATCCTATTTTTTACTCTAATCGTGCTGCTTGTATTTATTATTTTAATATTTGGCGTTAATTAACAAGAAACAAGGTTATACTGCGTTGAATAAGCCTGAACAAGTGATTGAAGATACGACGACGGCTTTAAGCCTTGATTCTATGTATGTAAAAGCGTTAAATCGTCGAGCAGCGGCATATGAAACTCTCGAAAAGAATGATGAAGCACTTTTAGATTATACAACAAGTTGTATTATGGACGGGTTTTCTAATGAAAATGCAGCACAAAGTGTCGAAAGATTGTTGAGAAAGATTGCAGAAGCTAAGGCAAAGAAAATGATGATGGTGAATAAGTGTTATTTGTTTTATTATAACGGGCTAAATTCTATTAAGACGAAGAAAAAACAGTTGCCGAGTCCTACTTTTATAACGGCTTATTTGGATGCATTCCGTCCAAAACCAAATCCAAAAATAGAGAGCAAAGATGAATCTACAGGTGATTATCATCTCAAACAAGGATTTAAAGCGCTTTCTGCAAAGAATTATGATAGTGCATCTAAAAGTTTTTCTAAAGCAATTGAATTAGGTTGTTCTGAATCATTGCAATCGGTAGCATATAATATGTCAGGCACTTTTAAGTTTATTCAGGGAAATACCCATGATGCGTTAGAGGATTTTAATAAAGCAATCGAAATTGATCCTAATGATACACAGAATTATATTAAACGTGCGAGTGTTTATATGGAATTAGGTAAGAAAGTTTTTTATTTGCTATCTATTATTAATTTCATAGGCGACCGTTCTGCAACTTGGTCGGATTTTGAGACAGCACAATCAGTTAATCCAAATGATCCTGATATTTATTACCACCGTGGGCAAATGCATTTTATTACTGGAGAATTTTCAGAAGCTGCAAAAAATTATCAGAAATCAATTGATTTAGATAAGGATTTTATATTTTCTCATATTCAATATGGTGTCGTGCAATATAAATTGGGAAACATTGCATTAAGTATGTCAATTTTTCGAAAATGTTTAAAAATGTTTCAAAAATCTAGTGATGTTTATAATTATTATGGTGAACTTTTATTAGATCAAAAACGGTTTCAAGATGCAATTGAAAAGTTTGATATAGCAATACAGTTGGAAAAATCGAGTAAATTTACTATAATGAATGTTCTTCCTCTTATTAATAAAGCACTTGCTGTTTTTCAGTGGAAGAAAGATATAGTAGAAGCTGAAGCTCTTTGTAAAAAAGCTTTAGCTATAGATCCTGGATGTGATGTTGCGGTATATTGGATATATTCTTGTTTTTTAATTAATATATCTGTTTAGGTAGCAACGATAGCACAACTTCTTTTACAGCAGGGAAAGATCGTAGATGCTATTGAATATTTTGATAAATCTGCACAACTTGCGCGTACTGAATCTGAACTTGTTAATGCTCTTTCTTATTGTGAAGCGACAAAAATTCAGCTTCAAGTTACTCAAAAATATCCTCATCTTGCTGAACGTTTAAACAGTATGACTAAAGGGAATTTTTCGGCTTAATCATCATTTTTGGTTATATCTACCATTTCTAATGCTCATAATGTTTTCAAATAGATTATTGTATATCTGTATTATAATAACTATAAGTAATGTGTTATTTTTGATATTTATGTAATTTAGAGTCATTAAAGATTATTTAAATTATTTGAAGAAATGATAATAAAAATATTTTTTAATATGATTTTTTAAATTTCTAAGATTATTTGTGTTTTGCAAATTTAAAATTGTTTTTTGGAAATTATGTCTATAAATTTTAAAAATATTAATATAATATATGAAATTAACTATTAAAAATATTTTAATATTTAAAATTAATACTGTGAGCTGTTATTATGAATTTTTAATATACTTTAAATAGTTTAAATTATTATAAAAATATTCAATTTTTTTAATAATTTTATTAAGACTTATTTTGAAGAAAAGCTATGATTTAAATCTTTTTTATTTATTATTAAATAAGTAAATATTAATTAGATTTTTATAAAATATAAATAAACTTATACTAAAAAAATTTGATTTATAAACAATAAATAGATGCATAAGATTTATTATTAACTAGCTTATTTAACAGAAAAAAAAGTTAATTTAAAATAATAAAAATGAATTAATTATTTTACTAGAATTTAATTATAAAATATTTATTCCTAGATGCTAAATCTTTATTAATATAATCTTAAGGCGATCTTTCATATTATGTTCTCTTTTAATAAAAATATTTTTAGACATTAGTAATATAGTTTAAAAAAATACTATTTTGTTACAATTTATTTACAATTTATTTTTTTTGTTTATAAATTGATAAAAGCTTATTTTTTATTTACAATTGATTTACGAAGCCTTTTATTTGTATCAACTATTTCATTGTTTTCTACAGAACTATGAATAGGCCTTTTTTTATGTTTTTTGTGTTTTTCAGTATTTTCGGTATTTTCAATATTTTCTATATTTCTCAATGATTTTTGTTTTATTTCCTCAGAATCGGACTTTTGATTAGAATCTTTTTCATTGGGCAACTTTTCTTGTTTTCTTTCGAAGTCATTTGCATCTTTAATAAGCAAATTACGTCCATTTAATACATCTTCTGAACGTTTCAACGATGCCTTCATTGCCGAAAGAGATGAAAAATCTACATATGCAAAACTAACACATTAAATCCAATCTTTGTACTATTTCAGTGTCAATTACCCTTTGTTTTCTGTTTTATTTTTTTTAGGAATATGTATACGAGTAATATCATGGAACTGTATTTCTTCTCCATTTGAAATAGGCTTTTTTTCCAGAAAAAAATTTAATATATCTTTCCTTGTTGTATGAAACTCAAGATTTCCAATCCATACGCAATATTTCCCTTTATTGCCAGGTTTATTTGAAATTTTTACTTTTTTTTCAAAAGTACCCGAACTCCCTTGTATTTTTTGTTTTTTAAGCTTTCTAGAATTTTTTCTAGATAAAGGAGACGGGCTATCTAAACAAATAGTTAAGACATCTGCTTTTTCTGAAGATCTTTTTCTTTTTGTTGAAATCATTCCATTCTTGAAATTATTTAAAAATTTTTATCATCTAACTTTCTTTAGAAAAAAAGAATTTATCTAGCAATAAGAACATAAATAAATATATATATGTAATATTATTATTATATTACCTTTTTTTACCCTTATTAGCTCTAGCAAGAAAAAAGCTGAAGTTGTCGATTGCTAACGATGTCTAAGTCCTTTAAAAGAAAATATAAAAAGTGAATTTATATGTTTATTTTAGCCAATTAATTATTTATATAGGCTCTGCGAACGGTTTGATGCATTGATTGAAGAATCAGAGCAGCTTCAAGAACAGATACAAAAGGCAAAAGCTATTTCCAACCGTATTTCTGCAGAAAATACGTAAATTGTTTTTTTTCAATAAAAAATTCTAAAAATATTAAAGATATCTTCTGGATCTTATTTTATATCAGAAAAATAACTCTATAAGTCCTTCGTTATCGGCTGATTCAGAATCCGGAGCAGAATTTGATGAAAATAATTTTAAAAATCAAAATGATGCTAGCAGTGATATAAGCAGTTACTATCGGGATAAAACTCCTCCTCATTTGCTTTCTTTAAGTCCCCATTGGGACTATTCGCCTCCCCCTAGCCCAGGAAAAGAAAACGAAGATGATGAATATGAAAACCAATCTATTTTATTAACAAATTCGCTGCTTTTATACGAAAAAAATAAAGAAGCATCTGAAACAATGTTGAATTAGACGATATTTATGAGATGCCTTATAAGACAGCTTTTATTTTTGGAGTATATAATTATATATTGAGGATATTAAAATAATCATTTTATTTTCTTGATTTGCTTTTTCTGGATGCTCGGGTTGAAGATATAAAGATATGGTTTGCTTCTAATGCATGTTTATTATTTGACTTTGCATTCCCTCGTTTACTCTATTAAAATAAGTAACATGTTATCAGCTATTCTTTAAGACAAACTTTTATATTAGAACTCCGTACTTTTTTTTTGGGAAGATCATCATCTTCATCGTCTTCATCTTCGTCATCATCTGATCTATCACGCCTCCAACCTGATCTTTCCTCATTCATTTCAAGTTCGCGTTTAACAGATGTAAGAAGTGTCGCACATCTTCTTTGCAATTCTAAAGCTGTTCGGCTTTTGAAAAACCAATCAAATCTAAATAGTGGTGATATACGTATTTCTTCTCGTAAACGCTCATAAACATCTTCTGTAGCAAGCCCATACTCGTTTAATTTAACAAGAAGAAATCGATCTTCTTCTTCTGTATACGATTTTCCTTTATTTTGGTTATACATAATTTTCAATTGCTGTAATGGGGCACGATATTGTGAAATCTTTTCATGAAGAAGTTTCGTTTGACGATCTTGTTTTTGAATCCGCCCTTCTCCTGCTTCTATTTGACCAATATAACGTTCATATCCTTTAAAAATTAGATAAGGCTTTATTTAGAGCAATAACTACCGTCAATTTCAGTATATCTTTCCCAAAAAACTTTAGAATATTCTTTAATTTGAGCTAAAGTTTTGCCTTCAACTTCTTGAGCTATAGCTTTAAATGAATTACGTCCATGTTTTGCACAAGCCTGAATAAAATGATAGAAATCACGACGTTGCCAGTCATTAAATCCTTGAGAAATAAGTTCCTCTTTTTCTAACTGTTCCTCTTCTGTTAATGGAACTGCATTATCTATCTCCTTTTGCTCTAAATCCCTGTCTGCTTCTCTTTCTTCAAGGTCTTCGGGAGTTCCATCTGCAAGAGGTACTTTATAGCCTAATTCTTTCTAAAAAAAAAATTAAAAAAAAAAAAATAACAATTATTTAATGTTAATACTCTAAAATATGCGGTTTCTCGATCTTGTAAATCAATTAATCTTTGAGGATAAAATTGATGATCTTGTCTAATACAGATTAGTTTATAATAATAAATAAGAAAATATACATGTTGGTCTGTTTAGGGGGACGTGGTGCTTTAGGAGGGCCATGTGTTCGACCACCTGTTTTTAAAACACCCTTATAATATTGATCTAAAGAGTATGATTGTTGAGTTCTTTCACGTTTACTTGGATAGATCCAATTAATTGTTACTTCATTACTTTTCTTTTTTGTATAATCTTCTCCATTCCATTCATAAGCAGAATCTGTAGAGAATTTTTGTAAGTCATCTATTCCAAGACTTTCATAACGCTTGTTAAGCTCTGCAGTTCTTTTTTCTCCCTTCTTCATTATTTCTTCAATATCATCTTCTGTTATAGTTCCTCCTTCTTTTTGTTTAAAAACGTCTTCAGCTCCATGTTGAATCATAGTTATAAGTTCTTCTTTAGATGCATTATTTTTACTTTGTAACTGAGCACGACCTTGCTGTATAACTAGTTGATCTAAACGAAGTTTTTGAGCAGCACGCTCTAAGACTTTTTCTTCTACTGTATTATCTGTCACAAAACGATAAACGTAAACTTGCTTAGTTTGCCCAATACGATGGGCACGATCCATAGCTTGTAAATCAGCTTGAGGATTCCAATCACTATCATATATTACAACAACATCTGCTGTAGTAAGATTAATTCCTAAACCACCGGCTCTTGTGGTTAGTAAAAAAAGAAATTTATCGCTTCCAGGGGCATTAAATTCATCAATGGCAATAATTCTGTCTTCATGAGATGTCTGTCCATCAATTCTACAATACTTATATCCTCTTAAATAACAATAATCCTCTAATATATCAAGTACTCGGCCCATTTGACTAAAAATAAGAACTCTTGAATCTTGAGCTTTTGACCGTTTTAATAGCTTATCTAACATCACCATTTTCCCTGAATTAGTTACTATATGCTCATCAGTTGTATATGGAGGTCCAGGTTCTGCTCCGTCAAATAAATATGGATGATTACAACATTTTCTTAATTGCATTACAATATTCAATAAACGTGTTTTGCCTTCTTTTTTTCCTATAGCACCATTGACTGCATCTATGTCTTTTTCGAGAATTTTTTGATACCATTTTACTTGCATTTCAGATAAACCAACATATAAATTAATTTCTTTTTTAGGTTTGAGTGTTCTTTCTACATCTGATTTGACGCGCCGTAAAAGAAAAGGACGTAATACTTTGTGTAGTTGTTTAACAACTGTGTCGGAATCGCCATTTTGACTTTCAAACCAGCGATCAAAAACCTGAGAATCTGCAAATATATCGGGCAAAAGAAAATTTAATAAAGCCCAAAGTTCATGTAAGTTATTTTGAAGTGGAGTTCCTGTAATTAAAAGTCTATTTCTGCTATTAAGTAAACGAATAATCTTTGATAGCATAGATTCTTCATTTTTAATACGATGTGCCTACTTATTAATAATAGAAAAAGAAATATAAAACAAACCTCATCTACAATAATATATTCCCATGCAAATTTTTTAAAATGTACTTTTTCTCTTAATATAGTTTCATATGATGTAATGCAAACGTCAAAATCATTAGTAAGAAGGCGTTCATTGATTAAAATAGCCTAAATATTATTATTATTACATAAAAATAATATAAATAATATAAACCCTTTCATCTTTTGGAGCTTGAAAAACGAAAACATTAATCTCTGGAATCCAACGAGAAAACTCACGAGACCAATTATCAAGAGTTGATTTAGGTGCAGCAACAAGATGTGGCCCCTGTATACCTTTCAAAAAACGAAGATATCCTATAAACTAACTATATAAGATTTTTGAAACAAATCCATAAAATAGTTACAGATATTGTTTGCAATGTTTTCCCTAAGCCCATTTCGTCGGCTAAAATTCCATTAATCCCGTTTTCATATAAAGATATTAGCCAATTAAGTCCTTGGACTTGATAGTCTCGCATTTTTCCGCCAACAATATCTATTCTCAAATAAATAAGATAATACGGTGACTCCAAAACTTACATGGCGGACTTTCAGTAAAAATAGTTTGATTCTCCTGTTCCGGATCATTCTCCCTTAACAATTCAGCATCTTCTTCTTGCTCAGTTTTACGATGTCTATGATCTTTAGAATTTATTTCCTTTTTCGGGTCGTCTGCTGAAAGTCTATTAATAATATCTTTGGAATCTGCATTTGAGCCTGCTTGTAAATTTATAAAGTGACGAAAAAGCTCTGTTTTTTAAAATATAAGAAATACACTTAAAATTGTTTTGTCATACCGGTTTGCCCAAGGAGAAATGAAAGCCTTTTCGTTGAATCCACTGCCTGAAAAATATATCATCTTTCCTCATTATATATTTCTTCATTACCTTTGCTTTATTCAACTTAGAATGTTTTTCATTAAACTCCCTATGCCTTTCCATATTCATTGATGCTCTATAACTCCTCTGATCATCTTTATTTCGCTACATAATCCCCATGTTACATTAAATAATTGCACCATTCTTAACCCCACTTACATCTTTTATTAATTCACTTTTCTATACACAATCAGCTTTTCCTTGGCCTAATTTCCTTATAGGCTCTATCCAAACCTCTTGATCATCATATTCTATTGATGACTCTTCCATTAATACATCCTCAGTATTTATAACCATTCCTTTTTCAAAAATACACTCTTTTTCTTACTTCAAATTGCTCAATAATTCCTTTTAGTCACCTAAACTCAATAAGATCTTTCAAATACTTCATCAACTTTTTATTGCTTTGATTTTCATACCTTTTTCTAATAAAAAATATTTATTTTTTTTATAAAAAAATGCGATACTAACATTCTATATGTTATATAAAAAGACATTCAACATCGAATCTCGACCAAACGACATATCGAAAAGAAAGCTGAGCAAAAAATCTAAGAAAAAGGATTAATTTTAAGGTGTTTGATAATACAAATAAAGGCTTTTAAGTTTTGGTATTAGGCCATCATGGATATGTCATCACTTCACAATCATTTGCCTGATAAACGGAAAGAAACAAAAAGTGAACAAGATGATTTATTGTCTACATTTAAAGCAGGTATGTGGTAAAGCGTGTTTTATTGTATTTATATTGATTTGGATGCAGCTGCACTTTCAGTTACAAATTTATATCGGCAGGCATTGACGGCAGCTGAACAGGAGCGGCAAGAGGGGTTTCAGGATGCAGTGGAAGAAATGCTGATGCTTTTGAATGATGGAATTACAGATATTGAGAGTCTCCGTGAGTGGTGTATTGCTCGTCGACGCAATGAAGAGCATACTTATTCATCTTCGGATTTTTCCGAGGAGCCTTTCCGTGATACGTCGCGTGATGGTTCCTTCAATTTAAATCCAACTAAAGTGGCTTTTTCGTCAAGCCCTCCGTCTCAGCCTTTCCAGCGTGTTCTTTCTGAGTCTTCTGATACTTCACATCTCCCAAATCACCTTGTGCAACCTTCTGACGACAATTTTTCTCTTCAGTTTATCGGTTCTCCTCGTTCTTCTACAACTAAGCACCGGATCATTTTTAACGAACCAAAAATTCCTTTTTCTAAAAAATGCCGTCATTTTTAATCTTTTTGATCTCTGTTTCATCTGTTTTTATTCATCAGTTCTCAAGTCCTATTTTTTTTCTCTTTTTACATGTACTATAGCTCTTTATCTCTTTTCTGCTTGATTTCTTATATAACATACTTATTTCATGTATTTTTATTTATTATCTTTTTACTCTAAGCCTAACCCTCCTCCTTTTACCCTAACTGAGTGACTGGGCTGTGGATTAGAAAAATTGGATATCGACGTCATCAAAAAGATTTTAGCAATTTTGAGGTTAAATAAGCGTACGGGATGGATAATTTAGTTCTCCGTGCGTCTCTAGAAGGGCATTCTGGATGGGTAACAGCCATTGTATGTTCTTCAGAAAATCAGAACATGATTGTTTCTGCATCTCGAGATAAAACGATTATTGTATGGGAATTGACAGGAGATGGGGGATATGGAGTCCCAAAAAAAGCTCTTCGAGTTAAGATATTAATGTTCTTTTGTGTGTTTTCTGATGGAGATGATTGGATAGGGTCATAGTCATTTTATTCAGGATTTGGCGATTTCATCTGATGGACAGTATGTCCTTTCAGCATCATGGGACAAAACGCTTCGTTTGTGGGATTTAAGTACAGGGATGACGACGAAGCGGTTTGTTGGGCATACGGGAGATGTTTTGAGTGTTAGTTTTTCAGCGGATAACCGACAGATTGTGAGTGGATCACGGGACAAGACGATTAAGCTTTGGAATACTCTAGGAGACTGTAAAATGACAATTCAGGAGGGGGGGCACACTGATTGGGTTTCATGTGTCCGTTTTTCACCTAGTCCTAGTAATCTTATTACTGTATCAGCAGGATGGGATAAATTTGTTAAGGTTCGGGAGAGATAATTTTTATGTTTTTCTATTGGATTTTGAAGTATTGAGAGTAAGGGGTTTCTCAGAGGATGTTGATGTGTTTTATTTGCTACTTCTGAGGTTTAAGTGCCTATGAAAGTGCTATTTTCGTCGAGTGACTGATGATATATTTGAAAAACATAAATATTTATTTAGTAGAGTCAATCTAACTCTTAGTCAGGTATGGGAGCTTTCAACATGCAAGCTTAGGACGAATTATATTGGTCATACTGTAAATATTAAATTATTTATATCTTTTATGTTAAAGTTTTTATAGGGCTATATTAATGCTGTTACTGTGTCTCCAGACGGATCTCTATGTGCATCAGGCGGAAAAGACGGTACAGTTATGCTTTGGGATCTCAATGAATCAAAACACCTTTATTCTTTAGACGCTTGTGATATTATCAATGCCTTAGTCTTTTCACCGAACCGGTATTGGCTTTGTGCAGCGACGGTTACGAGTATTAAAGTTTTTGACCTTGAAACAAAGTAATTCCTTTTTTTCACAATATTCGTGATCTTAAAGCTAATGTTTTTAAAGAATTATTGTTGATGAACTTAAAGTCGAATTTACAGGTGTTGGAAAAAGATCGTCAGATCCCGAATGTATTTCTCTCTGCTGGTCTGCAGATGGACAGACTCTCTTTTCAGGTTATACTGATAACATTATCCGGTATATAGCTTTTTTTGATTCTTTTTTTTTGATTTATTTCTCTAGTGTTTGGCAGGTTACTGCATAGATGATTCATTCTTCATCTTTTTGTATTATCATTAAACAATCTAACTATTTTCCATCTTTTAATACATTTTATATATATATCTATCTTATATAATTTTTAATTTTTAATATTTCCCGTATCTTTTCTGATAATTTCATGATTTTTAAATATGTTGACTCTTTTTACTATATTTAACAAGGGTGGTATTGTGCTTTGGGAAAGATGCTTTGATCCTTTGTTTTGCAATATTATTAACAATTTTATTCATGATATTTTTGTTGAAGAACAGTCTTCTAAGACTATTTATGTAAAAGATAATTTGGTTGTAAAATGGACACTCTCTAATGAATATGATCTTATTTTTGCAGTAATGTATATGTTTTTGTGGAGTTTTTTTTAAAATACATTAGATTGTTTATTCAGAATTTGCACAAATAATTTATATTGATGAATTTCTTGAAAGTACTAAAAAGTTTTTTTGTGAATTATATTATGAAAAGCTTCAGGAAAAATGTTTTTTAGAGAAAAATTTTAGTTTTGATTCGCATTTTGATGTTAGGATTAAAGAATTTGAATTTTTGAACGTTTGTTTACAACAAAAATATTATATTTTAGTAATCAATGAGCTAGGCAAAAAATGTTGCTTCTTCTACACAAGTAAATGAAGTTTTTTTAAATGAGAACACGTCTTCTCAAGATTTTGAATTAGATAAAGATATCCTTGATGATGATATTCCAAAAACTTTAAAATCGGATTTAGAGTCTCAACTTCCTGAAACACCTCAATTTTCTGAAACAAATGTTTCTTTTTTGAAAAAAGACAGGAATAAAAGGAATTCTAATAAAAAACTTAAAAAGAATATAACGAAAGTGAATAATTTAAAGTAATTTATATTTTTTTAAACTATGTTTATTAATTTTTTTTAGTAATGATGAACCTATTAAAAAAAATAAAAAGTTGATGCGTAAATGGGAGGATGATTCTATTTTATGTAATAGTGATAAAGCTGATTTTTTGGACTATTCTGTTCATTCTGAAAAATCTTCAGCGCCTGTTCAAAATGATATTGTTCGTTTAACGCAAGAAAATTGTATGTCAAAGGATCTTCAGAATGGGTTTACTATTAGAGAATTTGGGGACGATCTTCAAAAATCTGATAAAAAGGGAGAATCTTCTAAAGAAATTCATACTGGGATGTTTAGTATATTTACAAATCTTGCCAAAAAAAGAATTCTTTCATTAAATGATCTTACACCAGCTTTGACAAAAATGAATGAATTGTTGTTGAAAAAGAACATTGCAAAAGAAGTTGCTGATAGTTTATGTGAGTCCGTTCAAAATAGCTTGGTTGGAAAAAATATTAGTACTTTTCAATGTAAAATAATTTTTTATTTATAAATATAACTAAACTTTTTAGCTATTCAAAGCATTGTTAAAACGACTATGGAGTCATCTCTTAAACAGATCCTAACACCTTCAATGTCTATAGATCTTCTTAAAGAAATTAATTTTTCTAAGAGTCAAAAAAGACCATATACTATTTCATTTGTTGGCGTTAATGGTGTTGGAAAATCTACAAGCTTATCAAAAATAGCATTTTGGCTCTTAAAAAATCACTTTAAAATTGTTATTGCTGCGTGTGATACTTTTAGAAGTGGAGCAATAGAGCAACTTCAAGTTCATGTTAAAAATTTACAGCAATTATCAGAGAAAGAAAAATGTGGGAAGATTGAATTATTTGAAAAAGGTTATGGTAAAGATGCAAGTTTAGTTGCAGGTAATGCTATTTTATATGGTATTTTGTATTTGTTCTTTTTATAGAAAAATTTGATATTTTATTTAGCAAAAAAAAAAGAATTCGATATAGTTTTAATAGATACTTCTGGAAGACGTCATAATGATCCACGTCTTATGTCCCCGTTAGAAAAGGTAGTTTTAGTTCTATTTTTACACTTTTTTTAATATTTATAGCTTGTTAATGCAAATAATATTGATAGAGTTTTCCAAGTAGCAGAAGCTTTGGCTGGGACTGATGTAGTAGCTCAAGCTAAAAATTTTAATAATGCTTTAGGTTATAAAAAAAAATTGGATGGGTTTATTATTTCTAAGGTAGATACTGTTGGAAATGCTGTTGGTACCATAGTTTCCATAATATGGGCGACAGGCATTCCAATTCTCTTTATAGGGAATGGTCAGACGTATACTGATATCCGTATTCTTTCTGTTTCATGGGTTGTAAAAATGTTAATGAGTTAGTTATTGTATAAATTATATAATATATTCATTATATTGTAAAATTATACATTTCCGTTATAATTTCTATTTTTATATTATTATTTAAAAATATATTTATAATTTAAAATATTATATATAGAAGAAATCTATTATACAAAATTAATCCATTTATTTGTATAAATATGTAAATTTAGTATTTTTTTCTATTTTTTTTACATAATATTTTCAATTTACTACTATGTTTTTATAAATGAGCTATTATTATAGAAAATTTTGAAAAATATTAAAGTAAAATTTTAAATATAAATTTAATTTATATTTTAGATAAATTGTTAATAAAAATTAGTATAATATATAAATTTTCTTTTTATACAAATTACTTTAATTTAATATCAAAATTGAACTTTAGTGTTTAGATTATAAAGTATTTATTTATTATGTTTTTAAGTTCTAAAAAGATGTTTTTAAAATTTTTTAAAATTATATATTTTAAAAAAGTTTTCTACTTTTTTAATATAAATTAAATATTAATAAATAGATGTTTCAAGACATGTAAATTTATATTTTATGTGTTTATATATACATATATTTATTTATTTTAAAAATAATTACTTAAATGATGAATTATAAAAAATTTTGTCTAAATTTAATAATTTTAGAAATAAGAAAAAATTTAATATATATATATATTAATTAAAAATGCTTAAGCCGTTTTCAATAATATATCCTACTTTTTTTTTTTTAAATAGAACATTATAAATTATTCAAATATAATTCTAATTTCATCAAAATTCATTAATGACTTTGTATTTCAATTTAAATGTTACTTTAAAATTTAAAATAAAATATTTTTTGCTTTCTCATTTTGATATTTATTTTGATCTACAATATCTGATTTTAAAAATAAAGTGATTATACACTTTAACATTTAAATGCGATTTAGACATTCGTATATCTATATTTTATGCTTTAATAAACATAAAATATTAAATATTCTTTTCTATTATTATTGAGAACTTAAATATATTTTATTTAAAATTTAATTTTAATAAACTCGTTTTTTGATCATTCTTATTAGTATCACTTCACTGATTGAATTTTTATAAATTAAAAGGGTTTTATAAAAGTCTTTTTTGTAGATTTTAATAGTATAATACTTTTTCCAAAATGTTCTTTCCTCTTTTTTAAATACTTATACAAGATTTTTAAAACATTTATATTTTTTCAAGTAATCATGTTTCCTCGAAATAAATAACTGAAACAGAATATAATCTTGAATTTAGAAAAATTAAATGGGTTTAATGTAAAAATTGGTTGAAATAGGCCATTGTTTTAGTATTTTAGATAAATGTAAACGTCACATATAACGTTCAATAAAAAAACTTATTTTTTACATTTTTAGAATGTAAATCATTTATAAAAATCCATATAACTTTTAATTTAATTTAAATAAATAGCTTTTGTTTATTTTATTTCTTTTTTCAGTAATATTCCATGTTTTTTGATTTAATATTATTCATTGTTAATTTATTTTAAAAGTAAAAAAATACTTTTTTGTTTCTAAAAATACATTTCAGTTATTTTTTACTTTATAATTCTTTTAATTCTTAAAGTTTTTTTCATTGATATTTAAAAAATTATCTGAAAAAAAGCTTTTATACAAAAATAATTTGATAAATTTGTTTTTTTTTTGTTTTTAAATAATAATTTAAATAATAAAAAAAGATATTTTTTACCTATTTTTTCTTAAATCTTCATTAAATCCGCCTTCTTGACTGTCCGTTATATCTTGGATGTTTAACGTAGTTATTACAGATAAATTATGTTACGCTTTATTTGCTCATTTAAAGCAAAGAATACATCATTTTATGATATTTTTCCTCGCAGGCGAGTATTTTGGACATACTGTTCCTCTAAATGGGATTTAAATGAAGCACCTTTACCATTTCCCATCAATAAATTTCGTAAGTTGTGTTTTTTTGTAGGGAAATGGGTTTAAACAGAAGACAGCTTTTATATTTAAGCATGCAAAAAAAGCACCGACTCGTCCTTCTTTTTTTCCTGTTTCAAAAGGCTTAAAACCTATGACATATATTTTTGATTCTTTACAACAATTTTTTGCGTCATATATTTCATATTCTTCAGCAGAAACAAGATTTGGACATGATTATTGGCCTAACGAGTTCTGTGTTGGAGGTATTTTATATTTTTTTAAGGTATTTTTTTATATTTTAAGGAACATATGCCACACGCCAGTTTTTTCATCTTCTTAAAGAACCTAAGTCAAAATTATCTAAAATTATGACTGAAGATTTACTTCTACTCCTTGATGATTATATTACAAAAGATGGTCAGCCGCCATTGAAATTACGGCCTTATATTTATTTGAATCGTGTCTACAATTCAAAAATTCGTACAGTATTTGTTAATTTTGGATCTAAAGATACATTTAAACGTCTTTCAGAACTTGAGAAGTTAAATGAAAGAGATCCTAGATATATAAGAGTACGATGGAAGACGTTTAATATTGGGTTAAAGTTAGCTCCAGATGAAAAAGATATACCTACATCATTTACTATTACGAAAAATGCAGCTTTAAGAGAAATGAAAAAAGGGATATCGTATTCTGTCGATTTGGAGATAGATGGTGAATTTGAAACGGGTTATTTTGATTCATTGGATGAAAAAGATAGCGTTGAACCCAAAATTGTAAATAGGGAACGACGTATAATAGTTGTAACATTCCAAAGTCAGCATTGTGATCCTGGAAGCAGATTATCAGTAGAAAATGTATTTTGTGATGATGAACTTGTAAATGAAGGTGTCGAGTGGAAAATATCGGTATATAAATCTGTTTATTCATAATAGTTAATAAGAATATTATAGGATATAGATTATGTGATATTTGAAAAGAAATTAGAAGAGATTACGCGGTATAATTAAAATTAATGCATTTTTATATAATTTTTATATAAACATTCCTATGAATTCAAAAATGGTTTTTGGATCACTTTTATAATAGAATTATAAATAAAGACAACATTTTAATTCATTTTTAGTTTACTAGGACTAAAAATTTTAATATCTTGTTTTCGGATAAAGACATTTAGAAAATATATATTAAATGTAGATGTATTTTCTGTAATATTAAGAATAAAATGATAAAATCATCTAAGTTAATCAGTAATTTTTAGAAGAATATACAGAATAATAAGTTATTGTAATATCGAATTAATAAATTTATTTAATATTTATATAGTTTTTATGAAAAATATATATTTCAAAAATATATCTTCATATTTTTTTATAAAATTAAATTCAGAATATTTTTAAACTTCGAAGCCAATATATTCTTTAAACAAAAATTAGTATTTTGTCTAAAACTATTTAAAATATATATACATGATACATAAAAATATGTTTAAAAATAATGACTCAACTTTTAAAATAGACCTATTTACATTTATTAAATATTACCAAAGAAATGATTAATAAAAAGACTAATATGATGTTTTTTAAAAAATAGATATTTTTACGGAAAAAATGATTCAACATATATCCATCATCATGAAAATGTAAATGTAATACCCTAAGTAAACAAAACGTTTTAATAAAATAGTTGGACAAAATATATTATTAACGATTCCTCTTAAATTTTTTAATTCAGATCAAACTTATTTATTCCAAAAATACGTTTTCTATGTGTCTAAAAAATAAGTAAAAATATTGTTTAGATTACTTATACATACAGAAGGAAGCTTTGGAACCAAAACCATTGTAAGAGCCCAAAGATTAATAAAAAACATCCAGAAATCATAATGAGTATAATGTGTACTTAAAAGAAATCTAGTTATCTAAATTAAAAAATAATTTGATGTATAAAAACATACAGAATAATAGGAACTGTAGTAAGATACTTCTTCGCAGGGGTATATTGTGCACCATTATCCATTTGTTCCCACATAGTTAAATTATCATAGGCACCAGAATTAAATTCAAATGGAATGCCTTTCACCCAATGAAACATAATATATGAACTCTACAAAAATTAACACTTCTTCATATAGAACGTCCTTATTACAAGCATATAAGTTAAATTTGTAAGTGTCCATGAAAGTTCTTGTGAAACCGCCGGAAAAGCATTATAAAATATTTTAAGACATGAAATCACAACAATATGAATAATCCATGCTCCTGTATTTCCGTATAAGTAAAATCTATCCTTTTACAATACATAATAACTTTTACCTTTAAAATTAACCCAGTTGCAGTTAAAATTACTTTGACTTGCTTGATCTAAACTATCATCTGCTGTGCATGCTTGGACATCATGAATAATTGAAGATGAACGCCGACGCATATCATCGAATAAAATACCTGATGTTTGGATCTGTTGTAGCACACTAGATGTCATTTATTTAGCTTTAAATCCAATATTTCCTTTGAATGAACAATCCTTCTGTAAATCTCTAGAAATTTGCTTTTAAAAACGCTAGAAAAAACGTCCAGCTCCTCTAAATTACGTTTTTTATGTTTTTTAAACTGTATAAGACTCAAATTTATGTTTAAAAGCTAATAAATATCTTTTTTATTGTTTTCTTAAAATATGATGTTTAATCCGGACTCGGTTACATTTATATGAGATATTAACTTCGACAGGACTATGCGGTCAAACATAGACCATGATTTTAAATTGATTGAAAATAATAAAGATAGCCCAGATAACATAAAAATAGATGAAAATATTCAAGAAAACCATAAGTTTTATTAGAAAGTTTTTTTTTCCCTATTTTTAATTGTTATTTTAGGATTAATTTATCATATTCAGTAGAACAGTATGATCAATGTGCGCTGGACGCTTTAAAAGGCGAAGAAAAGGTTAAAATAGACGTTGTTACGGATTCATTTTGTAAAGAAAATCTGTTGGTATCTGAAGAAGTAGCTGATATTGCTGTAACCGCTGTAACACTATCACCAAAGGTGACAGAAGAAGAAACAAATATAGAACAGGATTCCCGGAATCCGGAGAGTGATTCGTGCAATGGATCTGAAAATACAGAGACTAGTAATGATTGGATGCATGTAAATATTACTGAGATATGTTTTTTAAGCATGTAAAATGAGTTTAGTTAAGTAAAGGCCGATATTTTGGTATTGCAGAAGATGAGGTTATTTGTCATAAATGTGGTGAACCAGGGCATATTCTCCGTGAATGTTCTCAAGAAATGGTATTTTTTATATAGATTTATGAATAGCTAATATATTCTGAACATTAGTGTACAAACTGTGGAACAGTAAACGATCATTTGGCTTCTCGATGTCCAATGCTCCAAAGATGTCACAATTGTAATGAACTTGGTCATATTCTTGTTGTAAAGTTTTATCTTATGATTACTCTTTTTTGGTTGATAAGATTAGGATTGTAAAAAACCGTGGAAGTCAAACACGTGTAGTTTGTGTAATTCAAAATATCATCCAAACGATGTAGGTTTTATTATATATTTGGCAATATTAATAGTTTCAGATGTGTCCTAAAATTTGGAGATGTTATATATTCAGCCCAAATGCGCCTAAAGATTTTAAACCCAAGAGATACTGTTACAATTGTGCAGAATATGGACATTATGGCGATGTATTCTCTTTTCTTTTAGTAATTGGTTTATTTACATACGATAGGATTGTCGTCTTCCTCAATGTTCTAAATATATGGAACCATCTGCTTTCCGTATTGATAATGAACCCGTTTCTGCTTCTGAATATGCATATTTAAAACATCAAGAAAAAATAAAAAAAAAAAGAGCTCTTCAGGCTTATAAAGAAGAAGAAAGAGATGATTGGTTTGCCCAAAAAATGAAAAGATCTTCAAACCATAAATCATCTAGATCAAATACCTTTTCAAAAAGTAACCCGTATTGCAAAATAAGCAATTCAAATCGCTTTTATAATAAACATAAAGAAATCTTATATGGCAACACACATAAACGTGAAAATAGTATACATGATAAGAAACATTTGAAAAAAGATTTAAATAAAAAAGAATCCATTTATATTAACGTATTTTCACACTAAAACTAATAAGAGGTTATAATAGGATTACTAGTGAATATATATATAATATAATAAAAATTATATAAAAATATAGATTAATTATATATACTTTTATTGTTTCCATGTTACAGTCCAATTTAATATACTTCCTTCCAAAAATGGTACTACAGAAGTGTCTCCTGAGCCGAATTCTGAAGGAACTTGAAATGGTTGTTTTTTCAATATAATTTTTTTATCCATGCCAACATTTTTGACATTATAAAATTCTCTTCCAAAAATACATGCAAAATTTTCAAGTTTATCCAACTTTCCTATACTTTCGAATGCTTCTGCAAGGTAACTCATAAGATATGGCTGAGTAAATATTCCAGCAGCAATTCTTTTAGTGTTTATTTTGTGTGCTCGTGGATGAGGTGCAGAATCGCTTCCAAGAAAAAACTTTTTGTTCCCACTTGTAGCAATATTTAAAAGTTCTTTCCTATCAGAAGGCAATTTTGCAACAGGTTTGCAATATGCATATGCATTACCTGCCCAATCATCAATTGTTAAAAAAAGATGATGTGCTGTAATTGTCCCTACAACATTATCTCCACAGCTTTTGACTGCTTCTATAGCAGCTGCTGTTGTACAATGTTCAAGAACAATTTTGAGCTTTGGAAACCGAGCATGCAAATTATGAAGCGTTGGCAAAAACGCTTGCTCAGCTGTCAAAACAGTTACAGCCTCTTTTTCAGTAGAATAGTGAGCTTCTCCATGGATATTCAAAACAAGACCATGCTTTTCCATTGCAGAAAGGGTAGGATAATACGGTTCATAACTCTCAATCCCAAATTCTGAATTTGTTGTTACACCTTATTATATTTAACAAAATAACATTTTTTATATATTTGAAACCTTTTGGATACGCCTTTACACCTTTTTACTGTCAAATATGTTCACTTATCTTCTTGTTAACGCTGTCATTTACCCACAATTCCTACTGCTTTTGCTTGTTCAATAACTACCGGTGTAATCTCTGGACAAAGATAAAGGCTCATAAGAAACGTTGTATTACTATCTAATGCCTCTAATTCACGTTTGTAATTCATGCACATATCAATTGTTGTAATAGGTGGCATTAAATTAGGCTTTATGTTTAATTCATCAGTAAATGGTCAAAAATTTCGTAAAAAAAACACCATAACGTATACAATAGAGCATCCTCCATGATGAATAGATGGAACTATCTGCTTCATCATTTCATTTGACCTCAAATGCGTATGAAAGTCTGCGCCTGCAGACAATTCCAGGTAATTCATTTTTTATGAATTTATTGAACGTTAACGGTACAACTGCGATTAGTCGACATATATTATTTGAAACAATTGACAAAAAAAAACGTAGAAAAGCTTAAATTAAGTTATTTTCTAAGATTTATACTGTTTTTTTATATTAACTTTTATAGATTGTTGTTTCTTTTGCTTTTTTTCCATAAAATAATAAGTAAAAACAGTATATAAAAGAAAAGTACTGTTTGTAGAAAGATATTGAATTAAATCGGCTAAAATTTTATGAAATGGAATTTCATGATGTGTATGGACTTTTTTGAGTGTATAAATACATGTTAAACTTACATCAGATTAACAAATCAACCTATTTGTATTGATAATGTAGTATTTTAGTTGAAAGATTTAATGTTGATGGTTGTGCAGGGCTCTGGAGTTATAAAAGCAGGATTTGCCGGTGAAGATCAGCCTAAATGTTTTTTTCCGTCATAGTAAAATCATAAGAATAAATGTATGAATGTTTGAATGACAACGTATAGTGTTGGTCGGCCAAAACATATAAGAATCATGGCAGGAGCCATTGAAGGAGAGTTTTTTATAGGAAATAAATCACAAGAGCTTCGTGGTCTTTTGAAGATTAAATATCCGATAGAACATGGAATTGTTATTGATTGGGATGATATGGAACGAATATGGCAATTTATATATACAGAAGAACTTAAGACTGTTTCAGAGGAAGTATAGATCGTTTTTACATGTAAAATTAGTGTTTACACTGGTTAGCATCCAGTTTTGCTAACAGAGGCACCTTTAAATCCTAGGACAAATAGGGATCAAGCAGCTCAAATCTTTTTTGAAACTTTTAATGTACCTGCATTGTTTACATCGATACAAGCTGTCTTATCTCTTTATGCTTCAGGGCGTACAACGGGTGTTGTTTTGGATTCAGGCGATGGTGTAACGCATGCCGTTCCTATTTACGAAGGATTTGCAATGCCATCGGCCATAAGAAGAATAGACATAGCAGGGCGGGATGTAACAGAATATTTACAGTTATTGCTTAGAAAATCCGGGACAGCATTTCATACAAGTGCTGAAAAAGAGATCGTTAGAATTATTAAAGAAAAATGTTCTTATGTTGCATTGGACCCAAGAAAAGAGGAAAAGGAATGGATCAGTGCATCTATTTCAGGAGGACAAAATCATCCTAAAGGAGAAGAATTTAAACTCCCTGATGGAAATGTTTTACGAGTATATATCTTTCTCATAAATAGGTAATTTTTTACTCTTTGTAGCTTGGGGCAGAGCGGTTTCGAGCACCAGAAATCTTATTTGATCCAGAAATTGTTGGATCAGAATATTCCGGCATTCATCAGGTTGTGGTCGATGCCATTAGTCGAGTAGATTTAGATCTTCGGAAATCTTTGTTCGGGAATATCGTCTTATCTGGAGGATCTACCTTGACAAAAGGTAACTGAACTTACAAATCACTTGTCTTTATAACTTTGAAGGATTCGGCGACCGCCTTTTGTCTGAAATTCGCCGCCTTGCTGTAAAAGACGTTAAGATCAAGATCTTTGCGCCTCCTGAAAGAAAATACAGTACATGGATTGGCGGCTCCATCCTTGCAAGCCTTAGTACATTTAGAAAAGTATGCTTGTTTCTAGGTTGCCACATTCTAACCGTTAATTAGATGTGGGTCAGTGCAGAAGAATACCAGGAAGACCCAGATATCATCCATAGAAAAAGCATCTAGTTTGTGGCATTTTGACGCAAGAGCTAAAGTTTTGAATCTGCCATTGGGCTTCTGCCGATCGGGGTTTACGAGTAAACTTTTTTGCTACTCAAAAACACCCTAACACCTCTACACAGCTTACTCCACACTACTGCATAATCACAATAGCATGCTGTGCCCATGTAAGCTGTTCCGGTTCAGACCTGCTGTTTGGGCATCTAAACTATTCTCCACACCATATCACCATGTTTTTACAGCACCTGTTTATTCACTATACACTTTGTACTTTACATTTTGTTTTACACTCTGCTTTCTACTCATTCTACCCTACATACACTACGCTGCCTACATACACTAGCTGCAGCGCCGTATTTAATATACGCGGGTTTAATATACGCGGTAAATATACGCGGTACGCTGCGTACCGCGTCTTAGTTGCCCGGCACGCATAATATTAACGCACAATACTAACACATCCCCAATATATTTTCAATCAAAATCTATTCTAAATCTCTCTTATATACTACTTTTCATACTGCTTTTTTCCGTTTTTATACTTTTTTTCTGGTTTTTATACTTTTTGCACTGCTTCTCCCGCCAAACTCCCGAGTGCTTACGGACACGCTTAGCAGCGTGTCCTGCCCGCCTCAGCGGCATATCTGCGCCCGCTTAGTCACTCCCCCGCTCAAAACTTGACCTGCCTCTGCATCCTTCGTCGCCATGTATCGAATCAGGTCGCAGATCCCTGCCCCTGTCACTCCCTTCTCTTTTTGCCCCGCGTCTACTTACGCCTGCTGTAGCCCCACTCGTTGTCATACCATGAGACCAGCTTGAAGAAGCGGCTGTTCAGCTCAATGCTTGCCTCCGCGTCAAAGATAGAGCTACATGTGTGCCCCACAAAGTCCGACGACACCAGGCTTTCTTCCGTATACCCCATGATCCCCTGCAGATGCGTCTCCGCTGCCTTCTTGATCACCTCCTTGATCTCGTTCAGCGACGTCGCCTATGCCTGTTACTCTGTCCCGCTGCGCCCTGGCTGCGCACGCCTGCGCACGCACCTTCTCGACCCGCACCGTCAGGTCCACGACCGACACGTCTGGCCCCGTAAACGCTCTGCGCTCTCTGTGCCCGCCTCTACTTACTCGCTGTGGGCACCCGGAACGCCATCCCCGTCAGCCGCCCATTCAGCTCCGGAATCACTTTCCCGACCGCCTTCGCCGCTCCCGTTGACGACGGGATGATGTTTCCGAACACCGACCGCCCTCCTCTCCAGTCCTTTGCCGACGGCCCTGCAACACAAACACATAAGGTGAGGCCCTGGCGGGTGCGGCTGCCATCCTACCGTCGACGGTCTTCTGCGTCGCCGTGGCGGCATGCACCGTCGTCATCAGTCCCTCGACGATCCCGAAGTTGCTGCCCTCCTCAGCGCCAAGTGCCGCTACGTGTCCCATACTCATGAATGATCTTTGCCAGCGGCGCAAGACAGTTGGTTGTACACGATGCATTCGACACGACGTTCTCGCACCCGTCGTACGCGTCCAAGTTCACCCCGCAGACATACATCGGCGCATCTGCCGACGGTGCGCTAATCACGACTGCTCCTCAGCCTTGGGCCTGCCTCTGCTCTGTGCTCACCCTTGCGCGCACCGCCCGTCAGGTGCTTCCTCGCGTCGGCGACGGCTGTAAACACGCCCGTTGCTTCCACCACGTACTCTGCGCCACATGCGCCCCACGGGATGTTTGCAGGGTCGCGCTCAGCAAAGACCTTGATTGTGCGGCCGCCGACAAGCAGGCAGCCGCACTGGGCGGCGACGGTGCCGCCGTGGCGGCCATGCACGGTGTCGTACTGGAACATGTATGCCATGTAGTCGGCAGTGACGAAGGGGTCGTTCACGGCGACCACCTCGAGGTCGGTGCTGCAGAGAGCGTTTCTGGCGGTCAGCACAGCGGCAGCGCGGCGAGACATACCGCAGAACAATGCGGCCGATGCGGCCAAAGCTGCGCCGTCAGCACCGCTAGAGTAATGCGGCCTACCCGTTGATGCCTATGCGGACGCCCATCGCCCAGGTGTCCCGATGCATGCATGCATATATAGCGTGCAACAGCGGACGTACAGCGTAGCGCACAGTGTGGCGTGTAGTATGCGCAGTGCATAACGCAGTGTATAGTGTAGTGTACAGTGTAGTGTACAGTGTGCATAGTATATAGCGTGTATAGTATACGGGTACATGGTGTACATGGTGTATACGGTGCATGGTGTGCATGGCGTGTACATAATACAGAGCGTAACAGAGCGTATAACACAGATAGTGCAGACACAGCATGGCAGCGCACACAATGCATACAACGCATACACAGTGCATATAGTCGACAGAGTGCGCATATAATACATGTGTAATGCATATACTTCGTATCTGCGGCGCATACACAGGCTGGTGCTGCATACAGTGCACACCGCGCGTCCAGATGCGCCTGCACTAGGCATGCAGTGCACACTATGTGTATATACTATGCGTGTCGTATGCAACACAGCACATATAGCATGCAGCGCATACATGACGCATACATAACGCATACAACGCGCATACATAACGCATACAGCGCACAGCATATAATGCGTGCACACTGCGCATACACTATGCATACACCATGTAACGTATACACTGCATAACATGTGCATACCTGCATACACAGCGCATACAACGCGGTGTATGTGCACACTGCATACACAGCGCATGCAGTATATACAACACATATAGCATATAGTCGGCTGTGTGCATACTGTGCATGTACACTGTGTATATAACGCGTGTATGCTGTACAGATGTGCTATATATATACACCACACATATATGCTGTGCGTTGTATGCTATGCGTTGCGTGCACACACTGCGCATACTGCGTGCATACATACTGCACGTATAGCAACAACGCACTGCACATATGCACAGTGTATGTCCATAGCGCACACTGCACAATGCCCCACACTGACGCATGTATAGCGCTCTATGCACTGCGCGCATGCCATAGGGCGGTGTGCGCGGTGTATATGCTGTATATACGCTGTATATGCAGTGTATGTGCTGTATATACATTGTGTGCGCTGTATATACATTGTGTGCGCTGTGTATGCGTGTTATATACGCTGTATATGTGCTGTGTATGCATTGTATGCGCACTACACACGCGTTATATGCATACTCTGCTGATTGTATATGCTATCTGTGCTATCTATGCGTACGGCTATGCGTACGGCCATGCGTATGGCTGTGTACGGTGTATAAATGTGCACGCGGTGGTATACACATAATCTATGCTATAACGCGGTATATGCCGCCGTAGACGTGTATGCATATATATATATACATGTATACATGTATACATGTATATACTCTGTTCCATGCAGACGCTGTATGTGTGTCTGTCCACTGCACGTGCATGTTTTCTGCTGCGATGTCCCGCACTGCGCACTCCGTGCACACGCCGTGCACTGCATATACCGTGCATATACTGCGTATACATAATGGATAGTGTGTATATAACATATATAGCATATAGCACATAGTACATAGTCATAGTACATAGTATATAGTGTATAACATATAGTGTATAGCATATAGTGTATAGTGTATAGTGTATGTGTGTGTATGCTGCAGTGCAGTGCAGCCGTATGCTGTGTGTGGCAGAGCGCAGATGTGTCGCAGACAGTAGCGTAGAATCTGCATAGATAACATATATATGCAGCATGTATAGTCTGTGTGCTGTGCATAGTTTGCATGGAATGCGTAGACATATCACACTATCTGCACCACACTATCTGTACCAGACGGTAGACAACTCTGCATATTACACATAGAATGCAGATATAATGCGCATACAACGTGACATAATGTGTATACTATGCGTTATACATTAATGCCTTGCATACTATACGCTGTATGCTATATGGTATATATTCTACGCTGTTCTGTGCACGCATTCCACGTATACAGAATATACAGTATGTATTGTATACTTTTCAGATTATATGCGCATGTTGTGTATATGCTAATGCTACATATGCTATCCATATAATCCGTAAATCGCAGGTATACTATGTATATGTATATACACATACAACGGGCATAGAACATATGCTGCACATACACTGTGTATATAGCATGTATATAATATATAGTCGGCACAATGTGTAGTGTTTGTTGTGTATTATGTATGATATATCTAGAGTATATATTATAGAGTATGCATAACGCGTACAGCAGGGTGTACGCTGTATACAGTCTGATATATGTATAATATACAGTATGCGCAATGTGTATAATATGTAGTATGCGTAAGATGTGTAGTGTACTGTATACAGAGCATAATACAGCACAGTATATAGCATAACGTGTATAATGCATCGTAGATACAGTATAGTATAGGTAGTATGTATGCCGTGTAAATGATCACTAGTGTATGCACTGTCCAGTGTGTGCACTGTCCAGTGTGTGCACTGTCTGATGTGTGTACTGTAGTGCGTAGTGTGCCAGTATATCTATGGTATGAATAGTATAAGAATATATATAGTATGTACAGTGTGTACAGTGTGTATAGTGTATAGTATGATAGCACATGTATAGTATATACAATATATAATTTTATGATACGTATAGAGTGTATGGTATGTATAGTACACTCTCACGCATAGTATATATATAGTATATATACTCTATACTCTATACTTATTGTATACTATATATAATCATGTATAAGCAAAGTGTGTATAAGCAAAGTGTGTATAAGCATAGAGGGTATATATTATATAATGTAATGTGTATGATGTATAATCTAGTATATATGCATATGTCCAATATATAATATATAGTGGATCTGCAAATGTATCTCTGATAGCACAGTGACAGTATATGCTATGCAGTATACAATATACATTATGGACTACACATTCTACACTATATACTATATGTTATATACAATACGCTACGTGTTATATGGTATATATTTTACATTTATATGTTATGTATTATACTATCTATTATATACATATATTGTATATGTATACATTGTGGTACATGTTACATGTTATAGACTAATGCATTATGCTAATGCATTTACGTATTTATTATACTATTGACAGGCGTTTTACATAGCAGTAATACGCTAAAGCACCAAAGGTAGATTATAGACTTGACTTTCGAGAGATACGGCGAAATCTCCGTTGTAAACGAACGACTGCAGAGATAAGCAAATAAGAGTAATAAGAGGAATAATAAGGGTAAACATAAGGAGGAATAGAGGATAAATAAAGGAAAATATAAGGATAAATACAGGGAAAAGCATAGGAAAACATCCTAAAAAACATTGATAAAACACCGGCAAAATACTGGTAAAAAACACTGGATTAAAAGTAAGCTAAAGAGTGGGCAAAAAACAATAAAGATAAAGGTAAAAGACCTGCAGAAACAGAGAAAATCCAGTATAATATACTTTAAATACACTGTGAATACACTGTAAATACACGACAAAACAGTGACTAAGCTACGACTAAGTTGTGAAGAAACTGCAAGAACAAACAGAATAGCAGGTAACGAGTTAAAGATAGGATAAAGAGTGTCATATTAAGAAACATAAAGTCTTGTTTTATTGGTAGATTAAAGCAGGAAGTACCAGACAAAGTGTGAGACTACTGCTGATATCAGTTGAACAAAAGGCAAAATAAAAAGTTGAAGAGTGGGCTGAATTGCACTATAAAGGATCAGTGAAGTGTTGAACAAAGACAGATAACTACTAAGTGAGATACGAACAAATACAAGGCTTAGTTCGGTTAAATAGACTTCGATCTGGTTACATAGCAACTTAATAGTCTCCTAAGTGATAATTTAATTAGTATCTTAGATAGTAGATTAGATACGGAGTTGAAAATCAGGCTAAAGGCTTTCTAGAAACTGAACAAAATACAAGTTAAAGGCAGATTAAAGAGAAAATCAAGAAATAGGCGAAAGATAAGGCTAAAGACTAGTGAAATAGAAGAAACTAGGATTAAATACAAAGTAAAGCATAACTAGAATATCAAGCAAAATCAGAGTAAAACATTGGTCAAATACTGGATAAGGATCAAGTGAAATACAAGAAAGTGCAAAGTTAAATCAAGACAAATATCAAACTAAAGACAGAATAAAAGAAGGCTAAAAACAGACTAAAAATAGTATATAAAAAGTAAAGGTTGAATAAAAATTAGCTAAAATTATTCACTTAAAGATCAAATCAAAGTCATAAGGACACAGGTGAAAGAGGCTAAAAGAAAGTGAAACATACGTAAGACATACAAATATGCCACGGGCAACCAAAGGTAAATGTATTTGAGTATTAGATAATTTATACTAACACAACAGGTGTTTTGATTGAGTGGTAGGCGTCTAAGACTGAAAAAAAGGATAACTAACAGGATAGTGATCCAACAGTACGACAGATCATCTTGAATCTGGATAGCCAGACACATGACATTGTGCTAGAAGACCTAGAGGAGCGACTACTGGTACACTCACAGCAATTACCACGAATTCATGCAGAGCTTGAGCGTGTACTCGAAGAGAATGAGTTTACCTCACTTCCCACTTTTACTTAACCCCATCATTGTCAAAGCACACAGTGCATCTGCAGCACATACATATTTAATGTTTAGTAGGTGTACATTAGGTGCACAGTGAATTTACAGCGAGTGCACACTGAATACATTATAAATATACAATGAGAATGATATCGGAGCGACTCTTGAGTGATAGTGTATTGACGTATATTACTATATATCCTACTATGTATTACTATCTGTGTATGACTCTGTAGATTGAGATCGTGGATTGATAATATGAGTTGACGATGTAGAATGATAGCAAGCAGTTTTTGTCTTTCTAAGAAAATGATTAATGATATACTGTTTTGTTTGCTAAAGGGTGTTTAAAAAAAAATAAGTTACTAAAAGACAAAACTTGTCTATATTAACAGAGGTATGTTTAACATGAAGATATTTCTGGCATTGAATACAGTAATTACAATGAATACAATATTTTGGGTATGTATTAGTCTTATTTCTGCCAGGCCTTTATGGACTTTTGTAGACCTTTGTAGGTTTTTAATGGAATTTTTAGATAGATGATGTATCTTTAAGAACATATAATTATATTTTTATACAGTATAACCCTTATTTAACTTAGCTTTATTGAAAAAAATTGGTATTTTAGTTTAAACATATAATTTATATTTGACAATGCAAAAAGTAAAGGTTAAACGGTGGTTTATTTTTTATTGGATTATCGAGTAACTATCAAGTGGTTTAGAAATTGTACTGCTTTATTTTTTAAATTGTCTGTTTTTTGGATTACTTTTTTTTTGCCATGCATTACATTTGAAACACTCTTAGTACAATCTTCAATCAAAAGGAAAAATAATGCAAATAACACTAAATTTAGAAAGTGCCATTAAAGTGTCGTTAAAGCGTTATTAAAATATTGTTTTATAAGATAGCAATTGCGTTTTTTTATATGTTTTAATAGGGTTTACAATTTATTTAATAATTTTATTATAAGCGATTTATGTTTATTTAGTTCTTTATTTTGATTTTTGTAGATAATATATTTTTTAAAAAAAGATTAAGAAATTCTACTTAATGATTTATAAAGATATATTATTGCTAGACTAAACAGGAATATCAAGAGTGTAATGTTAATGATAAGATATTTATTGACGATTTAGAATTTTTTGATTCGTATGTTTAAAGATTTTTTATGAAACTATAATTTTCTTAATGTGCAAATAAACTTTATTTAATTCATAGTTATAGATTAATAATAATTTATAAATTTTATAATCTTTTATATATTATTTTATAATTATTTTATAATTATTTTGATTTATGTTAAAACAAATTCTAAATTAATGTATTTCATCATAAGTTTTAGGACTTAATAAACTTTAGTCAAAATACAAAAAAATTAACATAACTTAATATTATGTAAATTATTAATAAATAAAATATTTACATGTATTAAAATCTAAATGATAATTTATATTATTATTTGAAAAATATAAATAGTCATGAAACTTTATGATTATTTTTGATCATTGAATAAATATCAACAAAAATGAAATTCATTTAAAACATAAAACATCAACATTTTAGATTCCAAATTTTTATAAAGAGATATGTCAATAACAGTAGTAACATTAAAATGATTACCCGTTTTCCTAAAATAATAATAAAATTATCCTTATATATATAATTAATGTATTTTTATTTATTTTCTTAAAATCTACGTTTCCACTTGAATATTTAAATCTGAAGGTATTTTTAGTCTTTCTTGAGTTAGCTTTTTTTTCCATTTTCTTTTTTTTCTCCATCCTAGCAATTTGAAACAATAATCACATAACATTATACCTAGTTCAAGAATAACAACTATACAATATGAAATAGCAGCAAGAACATCTATTTTTGGTTCAAATACTAGTATATTATATTATTAAAAACAAAAAAAATATACATAAACGTACGTAAAGAAAGAAATGAAAAAACAGCACCCCCCATGTCTACCAAAAGAAAAATAAATGAAATCCCTCGAACTGATTTATGAATATAAATATCGTAATATGGGGGAAGGAGCCCAACACAAACCAAAATAGAAGAAATCACACCTACAGTTTTAATAGGCCATTCGATCCTTCGAACTATTAATTTCTTTTTAATATTAGATACATTAAATAGAATGAAAAAATAGTCATCTTGCTTTTATATAAAGAATGCTTATTGTTTCAACAAGTCCACATGCAGTTCCTGTGAGAAAAAAAATAAATATACATTTTTTTAAAGGCCATTTCTATGTATATCAGACATTTCAATCAATAAAAAAAATATACATTTTCATAATAAAGACATTGTCCCCATGTAATAAAACACAAAACCATAAATAATTGTGGCTGTAATTGCAATGGAATATTCAAATTACGTGAAATATTGTAAATACCCATAAAAACTCCCCCAACAGACCAAAGCAATAACATAAGCGGCTGTAATCCAGTTGTATTATGTCGAAGATAATTTACAATAATCTGAGGAATTAACTGAACACACCACATAATCTAAAAAATAAAAAACATATAAGCAATAAAATAATCCTCTTACGGTTCCAATTGTTCCAAGAATTGCTGCAATTACTGGATTGTGCCCCATTTTTTATAAATTTTGTTTTTAATCTATAATGTTTAATCTTAAAGATATTCTCCGGAAAAAAACTCAGTGACAAAAAAGAAACCACAAAAAATTTAAAAAATATACTGTTTCATTGAAATCAATTGTAAAATCATTTAATTATTTGCTAAATCATGACGTTGATTGACAAACCTAATCTAATCCTAAATAAAAATATTTAAGTTAGGTTTAGTTTTATAGGGTTTGTAATCAATTGAAATGTAAAAAAACAGATCAAAAAATATATAGTTTTATCTTAAATTTTAGGATGAAAAAACATAAAAAAGAATGGAGAACACAAGTAAAATATAATTTTTATTTAAATTTATATGAATTTAAGCTAATATAAAATATATAGTTAGATTATATGGAATTGGATCAAAATGGTAAAATTCAAGCAGAATATGTATGGATTGATGGATCAAATGAATTACGTTCTAAATCAAAAACACTTAGTAAGAGACCAGATAGTATTTCAGATCTCGTAGATTGGTATTTTGATGGATCATCAACAGGGCAAGCAAAAGGTCATGATTCAGATGTATATTTACGTCCAGTTGCATTTTATCCGGACCCATTTCGTCAAGGAAATAATATTATTGTTATGACAGAGTGCTGGAATGTAGACGGGACTCCAAATAAATCCAATTATCGTCATAAGTGTTCATTACTTTCTAAAAAATACGATAAACATGAGCCTTGGTTTGGCATGGAACAAGAATATACATTTTTAGATAAATATGGCTTACCATATGGATGGCCTCGTGGGGGGTTTCCTGCAGCGCAGGGGCCATATTATTGTGGTGTTGGAACAGGAAAAGTTTATTGTCGAGATATTGTAGAAATGCACTATCGAATGTGTCTTTATGCAGGAATCAATATATCAGGTGTTAATGCAGAAGTTATGCCCTCTCAGTGGGAGTTCCAAATCGGTCCATGTATTGGTGTTACTATGGGAGATGATCTTTGGATTGCAAGGTATCTTTTAATGCGAATTGCGGAGGAATTTGATATTAAAATATCTTTTCATCCCAAACCTATCAAAGAATTCAATGGCTCTGGATGTCATACGAATTTTTCGTCTCTAGAGATGAGAAAGGAGGGCGGTATAGAGCATATTTTAGAAGCAATTTCAAAACTTGAGAAAAAACATAAAGAACATATTAAAGTTTACGGAGATGATAATATTTTGCGCCTCACTGGAACTCATGAAACTGCTCATATTGATAGCTTCACATATGGAGTTGCAAATCGTTCTGCAAGTATTCGTATTCCGAGTATATGTGCAAAACAGGGTTATGGGTATTTTGAAGATCGTCGACCAGCATCCAATGTGGATCCATATCAAGTGTGTAGCATTATGATGGAAACAATTTTTTCAGACAAGGAATGAACTCTAGATTCAATTTTATTATTTTTTCTTCATACTTTCATAACAAAAAACTACATTCATTACTTTATCAAAATTATATATTTAATTTTAGCAATTCTCCCTAATATTTATATTTATTTATATTTATTTATATTTATTTATATTTATATTTATATACTAATTTAAGCATGCTTTAGTATTTACATTTATCTTTAGATTAAATGCAAAATTTTTACTATATTTTTATAATATTAGTAAATTTTAATTTAAATTATTTTCAGAATTTAAACGAAATAATTAAATAAAAATTTGAGGTTTTATGTATAATTATTTGATATTTTGAGAAAGTTTCTTCAAATTTAGAATTATTATTCATTTTTCATTTATTTTTTCCATTATTGAGTACTAAACTTTTAAAATAATTTATAATATTTGAAATATTATTTTATACTGTTTTAAATGGTTTATAAAAATATTTAAATACTATCATTTTTTATTTTTTTTATATTTTTGTTTTAAATATACTTTTTATTAAATACTTTCGAGATTTTAAATCTATGATAATTCTAAAACAGAAAAATAACTAGAGACTATTATAGAGCAATCTAATACGATTTTAGTACTTAAAAGAACTATTATATTATGAAAAATCTATATTGTTTGTCAATTTTATTTAATTGAAAAATTTTATTCAAAAATAATCTTTCAGATTTTTAACATATTTTGAAATATCATTATAAAAAGACAATTTATTCATGATTGAATGAATATTAATATATATATAAATCTTAAAACAAGATAAAATGTCAAAAGAAAATGATATTTCTAATAAATATAATTCATGTTCAAATGAAATACTTTTAGAATTTGAAGAACAAATAAAAAGCACTGACATGACTCCTTCTAAAATAATAGATATATTAATTGATACATTTAAAAAAACACAAAAAAATGAATTTGTTAGTCCAGAAGCATTGGAAGCTCTTGGTAAGAAAGAAGGTTTTGAGTGTTTTCATGATAAATATGAAAATGGTGTAACACTTAGTCTTGGAGGAAAAATTATAGTGATTGATGTAATTTTAATAAAAATGCTTTATTTTAAATTAAGATTTTATAGATAGATTTAGAAAAATTTTCTATTTACTGGAAAGTTATTCGTGTTGCAACTACATGGGCAGATTCTTCTGGGGGACAATATTTTTCGCCATCTACAGATGCTATTCTTCTAGCTAATTTTTCTGATTCATATCGTTTAAATTTATTTGAAACTAACTTTCAACGTCTTACATGTCTTGATCGCTTATCATCTCCACCTATATGGGATCTTTTTTCTATTATTAAATCTTTATATTTATCTCTTAAAAAAATTTATGATTATGAGCTTGATATATATTCTGATTCTGAAGAAGTATTATGTGAGAAATCTGGAAAGCCTGAATTTGATGTAGCAAATATTGTAGGGTTAAGTCTTTGGTATTGGAAACAAAGACATCATCATTTTGTTGAACAGAAGTCGTGGAGAGTAATAATAGAGGCTCAGGAGTATGATCCTACTTTCTCTTCTATTTTTTCTCTTAACATTGACTGGATGAATCAAAAAGTTAATTTATCAAAGTATGTCTTTTATATAATTTTAGAAAGTTAATGATTTTACAGTAATGAGCATGAATGGATAATAACTTCATCTGATTTGCCATTCTCATGTCAGTTTGTAATGATATTAGATCCTCCTATTGTAATGTGTTTGGAAGATATCAAAAAAATTTCTGAAATCATTGGATTGAATGATACCTCTGTTCTTTTTAAAGATTTCCAGGATAGTAACGATTTAATTTATGAAACTGTTTTAGTATTTTTAATATTTATATTTATTTTTTACTAACGTTACATAAGACTTCTCAATCATTACCTATACATACAAAAAGAACGATATACTTACCTTCTTCATTAACTCAAGATCAATTTTATACTATAGAAAAATCCACATTATTTCCTGTACATATTGTGAAGTGTATTCCTTTTTATCATCCTGAACATATTCATTTTGTTTTAAAGGTATATTGTTCAATAATATACTCATAGAATTTATTTCGATAGATACTTCGAAAATATACTGTTTTTCAGACTCTTGTTGAAAGCTATATAAATGATAATACATGTAAAAATTTTTTATTAGATCAGGTTAAATACAAGACGTCTATAAAAAACGAAACAAACATAAACATAATAACATTTTATGAAAAAGGCCCAGGGATTGAAATATTTTTTTCAACAATTTATGATAATTTTAAAATAAAATTATCTATTGCAGAAAATGGACATATTATTTTGCAAGATATACAGACAAATAAACTACATTTTGAAAAAATGAAGCAGCAGATTGAGCAAGTTTTTCAAGTTTCAAAAGATATAGGGATCTCCTGTGAATACATTAAGCAAATGTTGGAAAAAGATAATCATCTAAAATAATAATTAATTATATACATATATTCTAGATTGTTTTATAAGACAATATTCATTGTATGCATTTTCAAATCCATTATAAATACATATATCACTATATACTTCTTTTAAAAAAGAAATTTCATTTTTATATTCTTTATTGTCGATTAACGATTTTTAAAAATAAACTTTTGATCATTAATACCAAAATTAATATTTTTAATTAATATTTAAGAAATATCACTCTTTGTTTAAAAACATATCCTTTTTATATTCAGTTTTAAAGAAATACATTTAAAGTTTCATAAATTTGTTAAAATGCCACGTTGTAAGTAAATCATCGTAAATGAAATTTAACTGAATCATATAAAGATTATTGTGATTACTGTGATGTATTTCTAACACATGACTCTGCTTCTGTTAGAAAGGCTCATAATGCAGGAAAAAATCATATTACAAATGTCCGAGAATATTATCAAGGTAAAGTTGTTTTATAATATGATTTTAAACTTAATGCATCAGAAATAAGCCATGAAAAAGCACAAAATGTTATTGATTCTATAACTAAGGCTTATGAAAATCAATCAATTATGCCGCCAATTCCTGGGATGTTTCCTCATCCTATGATACCTGGAGTACCACGTATGATTCAAAAAATATATGTACTTTTTATTAATATATAGCGCCACCAATATCAGGTGTTCCAGGAGGATTGCCTCGTAAGTAACTGTATTTTTTTACTTATAAATATAATTATTTATTAGCACGTCCTGGTATGCTTGATGCACCACTACCGCCACCTATGCCTGGAATGCCATTTCCACCGCCATTTGGTATACCACGTATATATGAACATTTCATAGAATGGAACATTTTAATTGTTTGTAGCTCGTTTAAATTTACCGTTTTCTGGAGGATTTGCTCCATTACCCATTCCACCGCCTGGTATACCTCAAACACAGCCTAATCAACAACCTCCATTTGCACCTCAAAATATGCCACGACCTACTCCACCAATCTAAATATATTCTATATAACTAAATAGAGACTTTTTTAAAAATAAAAATGCTTATATTTACAGTAATCATAAAATGTTTCTACAATATTTTATTGCCCATAGTTATATAAAAATATTCAAAAATATTTTAGCTATTTTGCAAATTACAATAGGTTTTCAATAATTTACTATATTACTCAGAAAATTAATATTTATAAGTCCAGTAAATAGATATTATGTTTTAGAAGCCCTTTTTAATCTTATCTATTTTTTCATCCATTTAGAAAATATGCCTTTTTTTTTTTTAAATGTATAGGAATCATTTATAAAATTTTTATCATTATAATTCAAAGAAGTATTTTTTAAAAAATCGGTCAAAGATTCTTTATGTTCAATTTCTGCTTTTTTAAAATCAATAAGTCCGAAAGAATAGTCATCAGAATTTGATTCATTTATAGAATCATTTTTATAATTTATTGAACTTTGAAAACCAGGATTTCTATGATCAAAGTCTTGAGAAGAAAAAGTATAAGAATTTAAAGAAATATCGTCTAAAAGTGGAAGATTTTTTCTTTCAATAGATTCTGGTGTTTGATATGGATTGTCTGGAAAAGTATTCTTAATATAATTTGAAGATGTTATGCCTAAATAATTACTACTTTTTTGAAGTAGATTATTTTCCAAGATTACAGGTGAATCTTTTGACGATTGTGTTTTTCTAAGTAAGCTTTTGTTTTTTTTTTTATTTAATGGTACCAACTTTTGAGATCTTATGGAGTTTACAAACATATGTGGATTGTCTTTAGATATTGAATATTCTATATTAATAGGATCTGAATTTTTTAAAAATTCAATTAAAGATTCTTCTTTTTTTTGATGCATCTTCAAATACGGTTTTAATAAATCATCTAAATCATCATTGTTTTTATAATCATCAAATTCATTTCCTTTTGATACTTTTTTATATATTAGCGTTATACAAAGACTTCAAAATAGACTTACAATAATCAAACCCATTCATATTAAATGATTTTGATAAGAAATCATGTTTAATAACAGGTTTAGAATTCAAAAATGAATTATGATGAATTTCATCAAAAGATGTTTCTTCTAAAAATTCTCTAAGAGAATCAGTAGTTGATTTCCCAGGAATAGTCGGTTCCCGAGGCTCTAATTTAACCTGTTTATTTTTAGGTAAAGAAGAATTTAACGAATCGGATGCCAATAATTCTTTTGGAGTAAGCATCTTTGTGTCATCATTAAAAGCAAAATCATTCTTAGACTCGATACTATCACAATATTTATTTATGAGGTTTTTATTATACGAATTTGAAATGTTTGAAATATCTGTATGATAATGGATTTCTTGATATAATTTTTCTGCGTTAAACTAATAAATATGAGATAAAACCTATTTAAAAACCGTACAGTTTTCTTACATCAATTTCACTTAAACTTTCTGTATTTAAAGTTATTTTCATAGTTGTATTACTATTTACAAGTTTATCAAAGAGCTCGTTTTTATCATCGATTTTATTTTCTGCTCTATTTTGAAAACAGTTGGAATTTAACTCATTTGTATTTTTATATAAAATGCTACTAATCTTAAATTAAAATAAATAGAAATCATTAACTTTACCTAGATTTTAAATGATTATCTAATGCTGATATTTCTGATATCAAAGAATTGTCATGTTTAATTTTATCTATTGGGAAAATTGCCTGAGTTTTTGAAGATGTTTTTGATAAAAAATTGGGATTAATAGGATAAAGATAATTATTTTTAGTTTTTAAAAAAGATGTATCATTTACATTTTGATTTTTTGCATATATCATTGCTTCTAAATCTTTATCCACAAGACTTGTAGATGAATTACAAACATCTTGTTCAAGTTTTTGTGCCTTGTAGCTAGGTGATATTTCATTATATAATGAATTGCAAGAATGATTATGAGGTAAAACAAAATTTCGACTATTTGCATCATTTACATTATAATTATGAATGAAAAAATCTTGATGAATGTTTTTTTTTTCGTTTAAAGTATGTTCTCTATCCTGATCAATTAATGAAAGCTTTTGAATTTCTCCTAATAACTTTTCATTCTCTACAAAATTATTTTGATTTTTCAATACAATATTTGAAAACTGATCATTTGAATTTATATTAAATGGATCCATAGAATTCCCATTTATATCATTGGTGATGGACATAGTCTCTAGAAGAGAAGACTTATTCTTATAAATATTAGAATCAGATATAAAAATTTTTTTAAGAGATTTTTCGGAAGAAACATTGTTTTTAAGCAAATTTGTACTTGAATGTTTCTTTAAAATTGAAGTATTTGTTACAACCCCTAATATATTATTATAAAACTCGATCTTTTTAGATACCTGATTGCTACTTCTAGAAGTAAATGAAGAATTTATTAAACTTTTCTCTTTACAACTAAATGAACGAAATATTTTCTATTATATAATTAGAATTACAAATAATTTATATAAAAAATAAAAATGAACCTTTTTTGGGGACAAAATCTGTTGGGTTTCATTAGAATTTATTTCATATTTGTCTTCCACTTTAGAAGATATTGTTTTAGAATTAATTTTCCGGTCAACTAACTTATTTTGTTCTAGTATTTCTAGATTATGAAATCGTTTGTTTTGTTCGTCTTTTTGATAAATAGATAATCTTCCGTTAGTATCAATATTCATAGAAACATTCTTTATAGGTGTAATTAAATTTGTTTGATTATCGAAAAAAGTAGTATAATCAGAATTCTCTAATTTATGAGCTGATATTTCGTGACTAAATTCATTATGACATATATCAGTATTTGCGGTATCAGTATTAATTTCAATATTTTCATCTATTTCATGCCCCAAATTGTTAAATCTTGCTTTAGTATCTTCATATTCTTTATATGTGCTAATTTTTTCTTGTAGAAAAATTGGAACAGTAACAATAGATTCTTTAGTTAAATTTTTTTCATTGGTTTTTAAATTCATAAAATTATCTGTAAACTTCCATCTATTCCAAAGAGATATTATTGTATTATCGCATTCAAGTCCTTTATTTAGATCGCTTTCTTCAACAATTGGAAATGAACTTTTAGTTTCATTTAACCTTTGACGACATGCATTTCCTGCAACAAGTAGTATATGCTCTGCAATAAATTCAAGGATTGATGTAGTATATATTGCAATAGAAGGAGATATTAATTCGTCAACCCACGTAGCATTAGAAAAATTTTCTTTTTCTTGATCACCTAACGTAGAATATATCATACATTTTACACGAGCTTTATTCCAAATATCATCCAAACTCCAACTAACTTCTTGATAATTATCAGAAGTTAATTCGTTTGTCATATGTTCATCAATATATGTTTGCAACTCTGCTTCTGCTTCAGACATCGCTTCTACACCAAGTTGTGTTGGTAATTCATTTGATATAGCATTCCTCAAACATGAAATATTAATTGATTGAGATGCTTTTAAAAAAACCAAAAGAATGTAGTCCAGGAATTCATTAATCAGTTGCAATACCTTTGGAGAAAGATCTAAAGGAACAGAAAAAGAATTTTTAAATTCTGTAATTGATGATAAAATAACAGACACAGCTGCTTCACGAGAAATATATGCTGCTGGTGGTATATGTTGTAAGTTAGCAATTGGCGTATCTTTTCGCGTTTCCATAGATAAAATTTTATCAATATGTTTCACCTATAATAAATTAAAGAAACACGCATATAGATAATAAAAATAGTTTCAGACGTTTTTGTTTTTGTGTATTATTTTTTCTTGTTATTTAATTTCAATATTGTATGAAATGTTAAGAAATTTTTATATAAAAATTATAAATTAATTTGAATAATTCGAAACATTTCAAATTCTAATTATTAAAACAAAAAAGAATAATGTTTTAAAATTTTATATTTTAAATAAAAAAATACATATAAACATATATTTATATTTTAAATAGATTTTTTTAAAGTTATAGTCATAAAATTCATGTTATAAATTGAATATTTTAAAAAATATTCTATAAAATAATACGTAGTAAGTAGGTTAGAAAATGATCTATAATAATCTATAATAGCTATTGATGTTACTTTAGAAAGATATCTTTTTATTTTTGAAAAACAATATATATATATATTAGATAAAATAGTATTCCTAAGTTACAATTATGATTTAAATTTAATATATTTAAAACTTGAAAAATTTTAAACACTACCATATTAATTGAAGAGATATTTTATTATTTTATAAATATAACTTAAAATACAAAAAATGATTTTGTTTTTCGATAAAAAAGAAAATTGCAAAATAAAAGATTAAATAAAAACAGCTCTAAAAGTTCAACTTTTCTTTCTATATTATATTTCGAAATAACTTTATATCACTTTTTATTACAAATGAAAATACATATTAATATAATATATTTTAAATAAATAACAAGCAAAAATAAAGGGAATATATTATTTATAATAATAAAATCTTATCTTTTTTTATATATTTAATATATAAGAATTTAAAAATGGATGCTTTTATATTATTATTTCAAATTTTAAATACTCTAATATTATGAGTGATGCACGCTGATCTAAAATTAAATATGTTTAAAAAGGGAAAAAAAATATTAAATAAGTTTAAGGAAAGACGAATTTATTTAGTTTTGCATTTTGTTTTTGGTTAATTTCTAATGATGAATAATGGATTAAGTTTCAATATAATATTAAGTATATTATAATTAAAATATTAAATTATTTTTTTTATAAAATCAAAGTCAGGTTAATTATTTTAATGTTGAAAGAATTTTAACATTTAGAGTTTTGGAATGTGTTTTCACTTTTTTAATGATTCCCAAAAACATTTAAACAAACAATCAAAATCATGTTATTCATTTTCATGTTTCAACAAAAAGACATATAATGAAGCAAATGAAACAACACAACCAAATAATGAAAATAATGATTTGGATTTTTATGGTCAATTTTTTTGGGAAGGAATGCCTATATATATGGGAAAGTTACCCCGAAGTGCAAAAGTAAAAGGTTACAATATTACATCAGATATTGTTTTAAATTTCGCTCAAAAAAACTTAAATTTAGCAAACAAACATAATACTTTAATGAAGATTTTCCAATTAGATCACGAATATGAGAATAGTAATAAAAAAAAATGCTTTAAAGATATTTTTCAAGAATCTGATTCTGATATTTTTTATCCAAGTGAATTTTTTGAAGGTTATTAAAATATATCTAAAGAATACTAATAACAATATAATTATTAGAGACAAATATTGCGCAAATATTTAAAAAGAATAATTTTGATTCTTTAAATGGCAAACTTAAAACTATACCGGAAAACGAGTCTTTACACTGCTTTCATACAGAATTTTAGAAATGATTTCCGTATATAGCTTTATAAATAAATCTATAAATAATAAACTTTTTTATAGTTATTAACTATGTTGAAAATATAATATTTCATGAAATTTGAATTTTTTTTTTAATTTTTGATATTTTTACAAATTCTGAAATTAATATTCCAGAAGCTACAGATACCTAATAAAAATAAATTTCATATACATATAAATATTATTTAGATACATTTAAAGAATCTATTATAGAAAAAGGAAGTTGTAAGGATGGAATGGTAACTAGAAAATCGCATTCATTTATAATTAATGTTCTTATACCTTTACCTGGGTTTTATTAAATACTAGTTTATATATTATTAGGAATTACTTTCACTTCCCATTATAAATAAAGTGGGTGATTCAGAAAGATGTATATATAGTTCATCATATGAAATTGTTAAAATCTTATTTGCTTTTTTAGATGGTGATACAGCGCCAACTATTTTCCAATTATTTTTTTTAAGTAAACGTAAAAGAGATAATGGATTAGACGTTTTAAATATTTTTAGGAATTCACATGCACCTGAAGATGCCTTATTTACAACAGGTGATAAAGGTGCACTTTTATATTTATTATGAGTTAATATATAAAAAAATATTACCAATTTTTTGCGGAAAGAATCACTCCATTAAGTCTAAAATAATATGCATTTCTTAAGATAGCTCCCATATTCATTGGATCTGTTATTTCATCTAAAAGAAGCCATAAATTTATATAATTTTTATAATGTAAATTATTTGGTATTTTAGATTCATTATCGTTTAAATAATTGATTTGAAAATCAAGAAATTCTTTATGCGTACTAAGCGATAAACATTGTATTGGTGATGCTTCCAAAATAAATCCCTACAAAATTTTAAAAATAGAAAAAGAATTCATAATTCATACATTATGTGGTCTATTAAAAGAATAATTATTCAAAATACCCTTATTCTCTACGTATTCAACAGGAATAGACATCGACATTGATATTTTCAAAATATCACTTATACAATATTAATTTTTAAAACAACTGTATATATAGTATACTCTTCTTTTTTATTACCATAAACATATAATTTATAAAATTTTTCTCTGTTATTTGCACTTAAAGCAGCAAAAACTGGCGCTCTTCCATAAATATATTCTTTCAATAACTTATTATCTCTTTTTTTTTTACATCTTACAACAATTGATTTTGAATGGTTTGAAAAATATTTTTTGTTTAAAGAATCTTGATATAACAAATTTTTATCTAAAATTGTAAAAAAATATTAATAATAAAAAAAATACTACTTAATTGAATATTTTTAAAAATAGAACTTATCCATGATTTTATACAAAAACCATTTATTTTGAATTTATAATATATAATCATAAATAAAAATCGTTTCGAATGACACCTTTATATAGTGAACTATAAACATAATTATTTAAAATAATATTTCTATAAAAATGATATAATTTTATACACAAATAAAGAAAACTTTTATTTTTTTTCTAGCAAGTTTATAAAATCAATGGTTTAAGAATTTAACTATGTTCTTAAAGTTGAATCAATAATTAACTTATTTTTAAAAGACGTATGAAGACTAAACTAATGAAATTGATGAAAAATGATGTTTCTTTTGACAAAAAGGAAAGTTTTTCTCAAGTATTATCAGAAACTGAACATAATTTTAAAAACAATCAATTAACATTATTAAATAATTATAATTCGTTTTATAAAAATAAAGACAAGCTCTTTTATATTTTAAAAGATGATTTTAGTGAAAAGTCATCGGAATATCTTGTGAATGAAAAAAAAATATCTAATATACAAAATTCAACTCATTATTTTTTTGATCAATGTTATTCCAAAAATCAGTCTTATCAAAATTTATTCGAAACTTCAGACTTTTTTGTTATTATTTCAAAAGCTATACCAAAAGAAGGAATATATTATGATCCTACTGAACATGCTGTAAAACATATAATTACAGAAATAAGCACAAATTCTAAAAAATGGAAAGAATATATTGTTTTATTTAATGGTGGATATAAAGCTAAAGTATTTAATAAATTGTTCATTATATAAATTATAATTTATAATATTATTCTAGGCTAATTCTGAACAAATTATTAAATATCATCAAGGAAATATTGCTTTACAAAATTATATAAAAAAAACAAATTTATTGGATAAGGATTGTATAGATAAAGAAATTTCGGAAGAAAGCTACTATTCATCTGATGATATTCTTACTATTGGAAAAAAATGTTCATCTAAGCCATATGAAAGTGAATTGCCAATTATTTCCTTAAAAAAAGTATTATCTAGTGATTTAAGTACTAATATTAAAGATGAAGAAGATGAGGATGATGAAGATGACATCTTTTTGTCATCTAGATGGAAAAATATAGGATTAGGGGAAGTTTTATTCTCTAAAGCAAAAATAAATTTATCATATAATTTCGAAACTTTAGAAAAAAAGGTGCCAAAAGAATATAGAAAATTAGATAATAAGTTTCAAATAAGAAGATCAAATCGTAATAAATATCATGTTATAAGTTACAAAGAAAATATATATGAATCTTCAGATGATAATATATCTTCTGAGTTATATAAAAATAAGTCATCTGAAATGCTTTTAAAAACACTAAAGAAGGATAAAAAGGGATTAGGGATTGCATTTTTTCCTGTACTTAAAGACTTTATGGATTTTCATAAACCGTATTGTGAAAAATGTGGCGGATCTAAAGATCTCGTACCTTGTCAAAGTTGTAGTATAACGTATCATCAAGATTGTATGGGATCTAGAACTAACAAAATTGTTGTTTTAACGCTTGTCACTGATAGAGAATATGTTTTTCAATGTTATTATTGTACGGAATTAAAAAAATCTTTAAAATTAAGAAATAGATGTTATATTTGTGGAAAAGTTGGCGAAAATTGTTTAAAGCTCATTAATATCTCACAAAAAGGATTTGCATATGATAATGTCTCTGAATTAAAAAAAATAGAAAAAGATACTGAGCTTATATTAAATAATTCAAAAGAATTGCTTTGGAGATGTGATAGATGTTATCGTGCATGTCATTTTTATCATTTACCTGAAAGATTCTATAAAAACAAAGAATCTAAAATATTTCATATTAATAATTATGTTCAAGATTGGACTTGTAACGAATGTATAAAATATCCATATTATATAGATAAAATTTTGGGATGGAGGATTTCTTCTGCTAGCGAATCTATTGACATTTCTATAAATGAAAAAAATTTAGATTATACTGAATGGTATCGGGAATATCTTGTAAAATTTAAAACACAGTCTTATTTAAGAGTTGCATGGGTATCTGGACTTTGGTTATCTGGTATTTCAAAAATAAAAAGTTATTTTGATCTTCAAGAAAATATTTCTATCCAAGCCATTGAAGATGTTGTTCCTGAAGATTATTGTACTGTTGATATTATTTTCGATGTTATATACAACAATGGTCAGTCTAGGATTCAAAGGATATTTAAAAGTAAAGAAGAAGAAATAGAAGCAATAAATACTGTAGATCGTGCGTTATGTAAATGGAAAGGTTTAGAATATAATGATGGTATAAAAATTTAATTTTCATATTAGAAACCTAATCTAATTATATAGTAACGTGGGAAAAAGCTCCTCAACATAATTCGTCTCGCTGGAATGCTTTTAAAAATGCTTACATAGAATTTGTTGAAAGTCAATATATACATAGTCTTAATAGAAATATTAGACTATCTAGAGTTATGAAAAGTGTTCCATTTTCTGATCTTGAAATAAAAAATCAACCAAAATATATACAAGGAGGTAAACTTATGGAATATCAGAAAGAAGGACTTAATTGGCTATATTATATGTGTCAAAAGGGGAAATCTGTAATATTAGCAGACGAGATGGGTTTAGGAAAAACAATCCAGATAATATCTTTATGTTCAGTGCTTTTTCATAAATGGGAAAGGTGGCCATTTTTAATAGTTGCACCAAACTCTACAATATCTAATTGGAAACGAGAGTTTTCAAAATGGAATTCTTATCTCCATGTTGTTGCGTATCATGGTGAGAAAATTCAAAGAGATATTATAGCAAGTATTTATAACAATATTGTCATATTTTAATCTATTGTAGCGTCAATATCAATTATTTCATCCACAATTTAGCAAAGATCTTAAATGTCATGTTGTTTTAACTAGTTATCATACAATTATAACTGATTCAATATTAAGCAATTTTGATTGGGAATGTTTAATAGTAGACGAAGGACAACGTTTAAAAAATGAACGTTCTTTACTATTTAAAAAATTGATTAATTATAAATCTCAGAATCGTATTATCCTTACAGGTATAGTTTTTATATTATTTTAGACTATTAATTGCTAAAGGAACACCATTACAAAACAATGTTAAAGAACTTTTTAATTTATTACAGTATAAGGTTTCTTTTTTTTTTTTTACTTAAAATTATAGGTTTTTAGAGCCAGAAAAATTTGATGCAACTAAACTAAGTCTTGAATATTTAAATATGACATCTGAAAAAGTATCTCAAATGCATGATATTCTAAGGTATTATAACTTTCTATTATTTTTCAAACTAATAATTTATTTAGACCTTTACTATTACGTAGAACAAAGTTGGATGTTCTTAAATCTTTACCGCAAAAATTGGAAATTATACTTCCTGTAACAATGTCGTCTCTTCAAAAAAATTTATATAAATTAATTTTATCTAAAAATGCAAAACTACTTATGTCAATAATGTCAAAATCAACTACTGAACGGCCTTTAACAAATTATAATAATACAGCACTCTCAAATATTTTATTACAACTTAGAAAAGTATTATCACATCCATATGTTTATAATCCAAACGTTGAAGAAAAGACATCCGATGAGCACTTAGAATATGAAAGGATGGTTAAGGCTTCTGCAAAATTGAAATTTCTTAGTAAATTATTTCCAAATTTGAAAAAAAGAGGTAGGAGAGTTTTAATTTTCTGCCAATTCACTTTAACATTGGTATTTTTTTCAAAATAAAAATTTTAGTTAATGTTTTTAGGATATTCTTGAAGATTGGTTAAATTACATGGGATATAAGTTAGAAAGAATTGTATTTTTTTTAAATTTTAAATTTTTGTTTTTTATATATTTATAGGATGGAAAAACACCGACATATGATCGTCAACGTAGAATTGATAAATTTAATGCAAAAGACTCTGATTTATTTTGTTTTTTACTTTCTACAAGAGCTGGAGGAGTAGGTATTAACTTAGGTAAACAATTAATATTTATTTATTTATTTTTTAATTATTATTAGCAACAGCTGATACTATTATAATATACGATGTTGATTTTAATCCTCATCAGGATATTCAGGCTATATCACGGTCATATAGGATAGGACAAACCAAAAATGTTTTAGTATTTATATTAATAACAAGAAATACAGCAGAAGGTATAGAATCTTTAATGAGTTTATATTAATTATTATAGAAAAAATATTAGAAGAAGCAAGGCGTAAAATGGTATTAGATCATTTGATAATTGAAAGTATGGATGAAAAAAGTGAAACTGCTATTGATTATCAGTCTATTCTTAGTTTTGGTGCTAAAAGTCTTTTTGAAGATCAAAATGATGATCAAGAAATACATTATAATGATAATGAAATAGAGAATTTGTTAATTCAAAGCGAAAATGATCTTTTAAAAGAAATTAATCGGAATTCTGTAGACTCTTTCTCTTTTGCTAAAGTTTGGGAATCTTCTATAAATAAATTAGATGAAAATTTTAAAAATGCTAATGAACTAAAAAACGCAGATATAGATTTCTGGGATAAAATTGTAAATGAAAATAATAATCTAGAAAATGCATTTGAAGATCCAAACATAGAAATCGGTATGAGAGGAAGAAAAAGAAAAAAGGTTTAACTATTTTATTGTATAATTTGTTTTAATCTTATTTAAAAATGTAGATAGATTATTCACTAGACATTTCTTCAAATATAAAACCTCGAAGATCTAAAAAGAAAGCAAAAACAAGTGCTAGTTCATCTTCCGATACAGAATTTTATAAAAATATTGAAAATCATTCACATAAAGACAAAAATAATAATTTTATAAGCAAATATCAACGTATTGTTTCTAATAAAATATATGAAGATAATTCATGTTTAAGGACAATTAATAGTCAATCTAAAATCAATATGCCCAAAGAAATAAATCCAAGTATCCATCATAATTCAAAGACACATAAAAATATAAATACTTTAAAAAAAGTTAAACAGAAAAAAGAAAATTCAAAAACAACTAATTCGAATATAATTGTAGACGTTCCAAAAAATATAGCTAAAAAAATGCTTTAAATGTTACGTATCTTAATCTTTAATTTTAATTAAGATTTATTAAATAACTTCAAATTTTTATATATTACAATTCATTAAAATCATTATAGGAAATTTTAATCAATACTTAATTTGAATTTAAATTACGATCAAAAAATAATTTTGTTTTTGAAGATGAGTTGAAATTTTAGATTTAGAAACAGAAAATATGCATTTTTTCAATTTAATTGAACATTAAGGTAATGTTTATCTTTAAAATTTAAGAATTTTGAAAAAAATTTAACTTATCATTTCTTAACATCTGCAAACTCTAAAAATATTGTATAATAAAGTTTTTTTGGTATTATTTTTGGTATTATAAGGGATAATATATATTTGTGACTTTATTGTTAAAAAAAGTTAATGCATATAGTTTTTAGTTAAAGTTTAGATATTTATATGTAATTATATTTCTATAGATATCAATTTAATCCCATATGTTTATCTAGAATTATTGGAAATAAAGATTTTGTAGGAAATGGGAATGGTTTTAATTCTTTTTCATTAAAGTTTTCTATTGTATGTAAAAGATTCCTAAAATTAGTGAAATCTAAACTTATATCATGTACTATACTTTGGTGTACTTGAAATAAGATATTTTTGACGACTCATTTCTTCTGTTAATTCAATCTGATGATTATCCATTAACGTTTCATTAACAACAACAATAAGCTGTTTTTTAAGTTCTAATGCTTCTATAATAGATCCTGAACCTTTGATAAATATTAGATATTTTTAATTTGCTACTTTAATAAAATAATTACCCGCATGTGAAATAATTAAATCTGATTCTTTAAATGCTTTTTCAATATCTTTGGAATAATCAAATCCATTAACCTTTAAGCCTTCTACTGATTCCCAATTATTAAATATATTCTGTGAATTCCCATATTGAACTAAGATTTTAGAAAATCCATGTGCAATTAGTGCTTTTTGTACTTCTTTTTGTTGTATAGAAGATATTAATGCATCAAATCGTGTTGATCCTACTGTAACAAATACAGTTTTTTCTTTAACCATAAAAAGCTTAAAAAATTATATTTCTATGATTTTTATTATTTTTAAGATTAACGTTTTTTCTAAGACATATAAACATTTTATTTAGAAAATAAAGCTTTAATTGACTAAAATAATGAAATATAAATACACTTTTTTTTTTAAAGGGTTTTTTATACTAAAAATGCCAAAAAAAAACTTTTTTTTTTACTTTAAAAGATTAGAATTATCAACTTTTACTAAGAATGAGGTAAATGATAAAACTGTTGCAAAAGAAAAAGTATCAAAAATACGGCAAAATCATCGTGAATACAGAAAAAAAGATACTAAAATGGATGAACATTACGGTATTACATCTTTAGGCCATATTTATCTTAATGAACACCGTGAAATCAGAGAGTATTATCGGAAAACTGCATGGGAGCTTCCTACATTATCAAGTATGGATATAAAATAGGTGGAATTTTTGTTCTAATTAATTTGAAAAAGAGTTTTCTATTCCATATGAACCTCCTGAAAAATCTCAAGTTTTAAAGTTTAGATATACTAGTTATTTTGGAGAAAAACATCCTGCTGAATCAAAAGTAACATTGGAGATTTTATTAAATAATTTAGCCCTTACACCAACAGAACGCCATAAGTTGATTATTCTTGCAGGACCAAGATATAATCCTTTGACGGATATATTAAAATTTAGTTGTGAACTATTTCCATATCGAATTCAAAATAAAAAATACTTAAATGAACAGCTTTATAAACTTATTAAAGAGGCCAAGGTATAAATAATCTTTTAAAAAAAACTTAGTTAAATATATTTTAAAGGACACAAGTGATACATTTGAAGATATTCCTCAAGACTTTAGACATGTTAAATCAAAACGTCGTTTAGTTTTTCCTAAAGAGTGGATTAAATAAAGAATGGATTAAAATATAAATAGAATGCATTTATCATATTTGTAATTGTTAAATAATTATTTAAGTAAATTATGGTTTTTATATGATCCAGTTATAAATATTTGAATACTTTTTATATAAGATTTATTTATAATTGATATCTTGTATTCATGTTAAAAACATATAAGTTCTATAATAAAACTAACAAAGTACTTAGTGTTTTATGACTTATTCATAAGCCTAAAAATAATAAAATGCGAAAAAACAATTTTATGATAAATAATATTTAAATATTCTAAAAAATAATATATATATAGTGTTAATATGCTGATTTTCAATAATTTAGCTGTTTCGCAATATTAATGCATTTTCTACCGTTAAAATTATGTATTTAAATGGTTTTTTAAAAAATTTTTAAAAAGATTTTTCTATATTTCCCAAATAATCTTACAAATAAAAAAGATTAAATTCAATAATATTTAACTTTTCACTAACTGAATGTTATTTGTATGATTAATTAATTATTATTTTGCATTTGGTTATTTATAGAAATAACATTTTTGTTGCGTTTTGAATTTTTAAATATTTTATCTTTATATTTTTTTAAAGTAGGCAGCCTTTTTAATTCAAAATTAGGTGTGGAAATATCCATATAAGCATTATCCTCTTGGATAGAATAAATGGTATTAACTATACTTGATGTACTTTTTGCTCGTTCACTTTCAAAAGATGGTTTAGATGGTAATAATCTTGAAGTATTATAATGTATGTTTGGTGTTGATTTATTAAAATCTATTGTAATTAGCATTAAAAAAACGCAAAATTGAAATACTTGAAATTTCTAAATTAAATTTATTAAATATCCCATATCTTTTATTTGTTGATATTGAATATGAATATAAATTCAAATCCTTTATAGGGATTTTTTCGTATTCTTTTTCTACCTTATGACTAGAAACGTTATTCTTTCCTTCTTTTGTTTCTTCCAAACTCAATTGCTTTTTACTATTATTTAATTCTACCATGTACTCTAACTTTTTATAAGAAAATGGCAGTTTTATGGAATTAAATTTTCCTATAAAATTATTTTCTGTATATATATATTTTTTATTATCTTTGATAATACCATTATTTTTTATATCTTGTTTATATTCTAAAAGCGGTATACTTTTTTTTGTTTTAACAGACCTATACCTATTTATAATATTAAGTTTATTTTTCTGATGTTTAAAATATTCTGATAAATTTCGTTTAATTTTATGATCACTATTTGACAATGGTGGTTCATATTTACTTATATTATTTGCAAATTTTGGTTTGTCTTCTACTGAAGAGTTTACATGAAATGAATCAAAAGATATACGCCTATCATTTTTATTATTTTGTTCCTAAAATACAATTAATTTTAATTGATTAAATCTTTTTAATTATACTTCAACAATGATCCATTTTTTTTCCTCTAATTCAATCTCAAAAAGAACAAAATTCTCAAATATTTTTTTTTTAAATACAGGTGTTTCATCACTACAAGAGTCAATCCATACACCCCAAAAGCTTTCGTCTAAATTAATGCGGTACTTATTTGATATTATGCTTCCATTTAACCATTCAGTATTTATTTTTGTAGCTGAATTTAGCTCTGAATGATATTGATTTTTATTTATTGGTAAAGATGTTTTATCAGATGGAAATACATCACGTAAAGAAGTTTCTTTTTCTGAAGGAATAGCAGAATTTATTTTAAATTTTGATTCAAGAAAATATTCATTAGATTTATTTTCTATAAATTTTATTTAGTTTATAATCTTTTAATCATATTTTAGGTATTTTGTTACCTGAAGAAATATTATGTTTATATGTTTTACATGCTGAATCTATTTTAAGGTTTTCTAAGTCGTTTTCAATATAATCAAATCCAAAATTTAAAAAATTTTCCCATTCTTTAGATTCTGTTGAGGATGATACATTTGTTAATGTATTAGAAATACACATAAGAATTCTTTTTGACTCATCGGTTAAGGCATTTTCAATATGATTACGATGCTTCCACAATACTGAAACAATTTCATCATCTGTATCTAAACCTTGTATTGCAACACGCTGAAGAACAATAAAAGCATTAGGGCTTGGCATATTTACATGCATATCAATACATAGAGTATCTTTATGGTGAAGTGTCATCAATGAAGATACAGGCAAAGGGTATGGTGTTTGTTCAAGTAATTTAACGAGCGATAGTGCCATAGAATTTGGGACATATAATTCCGTATTACTGTGCTGCTCCTTTATACTTCTAAGATATGCAAAAAATAAATGTTCATTTGCATCTGCTGATCTAAGTTATTATTAGTATTTATTTAAAAAATTAGAAACAAAACTTTTTCCAATTATTATACGCTTTATGAAATCCTTGTTCTTTATCTTCAAAATTAAACGCCCACCAGCCAGCTGTTCTTGACAATTTGTCTCCTGAAAGTCCGTTAATTTTTGAATAAGCTGCAATGGAAGAAAGAATATTGAAAAATCCAAAAATAATATTTTCCCGAACTTTAGACCCTGCAACTACAGGAATATAATCGAAAAATGCATTACATGGGTATTTTGTATCTAAAAATGTAAATTTAGCTTAATAGATAATTTAAAAATACCTCTTTCGAGTATTGTAAATGCTTCATAAACATCCCAACCTACTACACCATCGATTAATCTTAGCCAACACCATCTAATAATTCCAATTATCACATAGATATCCATTAAAGGCAATTCTTGAATATATTGATCTTTCTGTGATTTTGAATCAATTGAAAAGAATTTTCGGATAAATAATTTTGTTGATAAAACATTAGACATAGGCCTAAATGGCAAAAATACTAAGGGAATCATTACACCTCTTGATTTAACTTCTACATAGCATGCTTCTAATAAGTCATATACTTCTTCATCTAAAACATAATCCCAAGACCATGGGTCACTATTTCTAAAATTTTTAATATCTGTTATTTCTGTATTACAATGTAGGCTTTCGGACGTATTTGTTTCAGTTGAATGATGTTTTTTAGATGAATATGGTTTTTTAAATTTATTCAAATATTTTGTCATTTTTTTAGCCTTTATTAAAATCGAAAATTTACCGTTAATAGGATATCGTATGCTGCAATATAGTATAAAAATACGTTTTCCTTAAAATTTTATCTAATCTAACATTTTTTGTTTTGAAATGTTTTATTTTGATATATTGTTTATTTTAAGAAGCTATAAATAGATTTGTTTAAAAAATATATCTAGTCTTGAATCTATTCGAAAAAGAATGTTTTATATATTTGGGTAATTTAAAAGTGTTAGAATTTTGTTAGTATTTTTATATTAAAAAGGTAAAATAATGGTATCATTAGATAAGAAATATAAACTATAATACTAAATAATCTAAGAAAATAAATATTTTTATGTTTAAGTTCTTAAAAATTTTAAAAAATAAATATAAAATAGTTTACATGATATTGATTTTTAAATTTTATAATGTGTTAGAGAAAAAACTGATAAGGATTTTAATACCCTCACGAAACTTTTCAACATTTTCACTATTAGTCAGATCTGAACGTGCAGCCATAAATCCATGGTGCATTGTCGAAAAAGTTTTAAAAATACAATCTTTTGAGAATGGCTTTGTTCTAATTATTTCTTCAAATGTATTGCAATCGTCGAGAGGCTCATCTTTGCTTATAATATTACATATTGGGACTTTTAAGTTATCTGCATCATTAGAATCAACCATACTGAAAAATTATTAAAAAGAAGAAATAAATATATTTCTTACGCAGGATGAATCATAGCAACGCTATTGATTTTATCGCTATAACATCCTCCACTAAGAACTGAAAGTTTTCCTCCCCAGCAAAAGCCAAATATTGCAAGAGATTTTGCGCCATCTTTTTTGAGATTTTCAATAATAATGCCTACAGTTTCTAAATTTTTTTCTAGATTAGCAGGGCCATTAAAAAAGCCCTTCAAAGCTCTTCTTTTTTCTTCAGTATTAGGAGGGAAAGACTCTAATGGAAATGGATTCCCCAAAAAAAAATCTGGCATAACAATTCTAGCATCCCCAAGTCCTGCACTAAGTAAATCAGCACATTGTTTTGTTTGTGGCCAATATCTTATAAACATGTTCTGTTAGTTCTATTGATATAGATATAAGGGATTAAATACCCAAAAATATCATATATACAAATTAATGTACGTTCTTTATTATCGCCTATTACATATGCATCAATGTTTGATATTTTTGTCATATAACCCTTTGGGGTATAATCTGAAACTACAGGAAGAAGAGAGCAACAAGCAGTATTTGAAAGAGACATTAGAATTTTTTAGATATTTTTTAAATATTAAAGTTTAAAATTATCGATTTAAAGTATTAAAATTATTTAAAAAATTTAAAAATAAACAAATTTTATAATTTTATATTGATATTTTCAAATTTAAAATATTTTAGTGAAAAGCTAAAAAGATTTTATGAATTTTATTAAATTCAAATTTTTATATTATAAAAGTTTTATTAGATATTAAGTTATCTATTTTATTAAAATAATTAGAACAGTTTAAAATGATTTAAATAATTTTTAAGATGTAAGATTTAAATAATATGAGTTTCTTGTACTGGAATTAATGAAAAAAGTTTATTATTTTAAAATTGATTCTTTAATACATTATGTATCTTTTGATCTATGATTAAAATTATTTTAAATCTAAAAACTATATAAAAATAAATATAATATTTTCTAAATATTAATGTGACATTAAATAATAAAGAAAATATAATTTTGAAGTTTTGATGAATTATAAAATTAATAAATTTTAATAAAAAATTATATATTTAAATTAAATAAATATAAAATTTAATATTTTTTATTTTATTGATATAAAATAAAAAATGCTAATATTAATATATAATACTAAATAAATCTTTAACTAAAGGGATAATTTTATAAAATAAAAATACATATATTAAAAATTTACAATATGAAAAATAGTTTTTTAGATACAGAAAAGAAACCTAAAATTACTGCAGCTCAGATCCGTGTTCAAAAAGGTATTAAAAATATAAAAATATCAATAAATAATAATAATAATATATTTTTAGATATAACAGAGCTTCTTTTGCCAGAAACGTTAAAATATATTTACAATAGTCGTTGTTTTAATTTTATATAGAATGAAAATAGAGTTTCCAAATCCAAATGATCTTCTAAATTTTTATCTTATAATATCACCAGATGAAGGTTATTTATAATTTTTTTTAAAGATAATATTTCTAAAAATAATAGGTTTTTACAAAAATGGATCTTTTCGCTTTAAATTTAATATTGATACAAATTATCCTCATAATCCTCCTAAAGTAAAATGTGTGCAAAAAATTTATCACCCAAATATAGATTTAAATGGAAATATTTGTTTAAATATTCTTAGAGAAGATTGGAAGCCAGTGCTTAATCTTAATGCTATTATGTTTGGTTTACAATATCTTTTTCTTGATCCGTAAGCTATTTTTTTTTTTTTTGATGTTATTAATATTCTTAGAAATGTTAAAGATCCTCTTAACAAAAGTTAGTATTTAAATATTTTACTAATTCAATAATTAATTTCAATTTTATAAAGTTGCTGCTGACGATTTAAAGAATAATCAAGAAAATTTTCGACAAAATGTACAAATTTCTATGAAGGGAGGATATGTTTATTCTGAAATGTTTGAAAATGTTATATTTTAAAATTAAAAACAAAATAAATATCATAAATTATATCTTTCGAACTTTATAAAATTAATCATATGCATATGACATTTTGCTTAAAAAGAAACATATTCTATTAATTATTTATAATATATTCAATACAAGAAAATAGTAAAACTAATAATATCTAATATTTAAAACAAATTAATATAGTCAAAATCACTTAAATATCAAATATGAAAAATCAAAAATTTCAAAAAACTATAACATAGATATTAAAGATAAATAGCTTACATTATTACTTCATTAGTATAATATATGTAACCTTGAGGGTAATAACACATTCCTTGTTCGTCACCAGAGTTATTTCTATGAGAATTATAGGATGTAATAGAATTAACCGGAAACTTTGTAGAAATATGATTAGAACGTATTGATTCAGACCTACTTGGGATATAATTGGGTGGTGTAGATATTGTAGAATATGAATAATAATATTGCATTGGATCATAGTAATATATCATAGCATTATTATCTTGTGTCATAGAAGGTGTGTTTGAAGATGAAGTAGATATCGATGGTAGAGTAGAAGAAATAGAAGTATTATATTGAGATGGTGCATTATAATAAGATACAAGATAAGAATGACCTGAATGTGTAGAAAAATAATAAAATAAAGGTTGTTGAGATGTTCGATAGTCTGAGTGAAAAGGTACTGAATATACCGCTAATTAGTTAATAATACTATTCAAAGATGAAAATAGAAATACCAGAATTGGGCAAATAAATTTCTGATGCATTTTCATTAGAAACTTGTTGCGTATTTGTTTTATCATCATTTGTAAGCTTTAAAGTATCTCCAACAGAAGGTTGTAAAGAAAAGAGAGACAAATCAACATTTAATCCTTTTACGGGCTGATGTTTATACATATCAGATACTAAAGACGGATGATCATTATGTGTATGAAAATCCAATGAACTGCTTGTAACATTCTTAGATTGACCATGCAATATTGGAAAGTTCTTTAACTGTAAATAAGAATCCAGTTCAGATTGATTATCAGAAGAAAAATTATTTAAAGTAGGATTCTGTACAGACATTTCTGAATTTGTATGCTGTATCGTAAATAATGATTCCTTAGGAACTTCAATAGAATCCGAATTATTAAAAGAATTAGGTACTTGCATGATTTTAGGAACGAATTTGAAAGAATGTTCAGGAGCTGGATAAGCAATTTTCAAAGAGCTATTAGGAAACTTAATTTTCACCGGTTTATCTTCTCTTAAAAAAAGCCGATGAAAAAGAGGATTAAAATGATTAGTTAATTCTTTCTGAAAACTCTTTGTATCATTAGAACTAGAAATCTTAACACGAATATTAAAAATCCTAGACCTATGTTTTGATATGTTTTTAGGATCTTTCTTAGTATTTGATGTACTGGAATTATATTGCTTATTAGGTTCTATCTATTTAAAATTAGTAACTAAGAAAAAAATATAAAAAATATTACACTAATCTCATCATTTATTTCAAAAGCATCATGTGTCCATACATCATCCTGTAAAGATTTTGTATGAGAACTAAAAAAAATTAGCAAGGATATTTATAATAATGTAATTACTTTTTCCATTTACTCCTTTGACGAGAGTAACTATTTCCAAAGTACTGAGGCTTTTTATGAGAAATAAACGAATTATAGCTATGACGTTTATCATGCATAAAAAAAGAACCAATATAAGGAACAAATGTGGGGTCAGCTTTATTAGGTTTCTGATAGTTTTTGCTTTCGCTCTGTATTACTTTTTCTTTTTTATTTTTTTTTTTTCTAAATTCTTTCTGAATAGTCTTTACTTTTTTTTCAAAAATATCAGACGTGTTAAACATAGTAGAATTATTAACATTTTTTTTCGTAGGCAAAAGCGACTTCTGATTTAAAACAGGAGACATGTTTCTGAAATACTTCTGACGTCTTCTAAAACTTTTTATACCATAAGTTAAAAGGATATCTTGTTTTTGAGAACTAGAGTCATGTTTGTCATTTTTTTCACTTGATTCATTACATGAAAGGGTTTCTGGTGATATAATCGCATTCTCATCTTCTGTATCATCATCATCTGTAATAATTCCATCGTTAGACTTAGACAATTCAGAATATGATGTTTCATCTGTTCCACTTGTTTCTCCATCTTCATATAATATATCTATTTCACGCTGTCTTCGAGGCTTAAGACAATGAACCATTTCTATTAAACCTTTTCTTAAAAATAAACTTAAAACCTTTAATAAAACCTCTAATTTATTTAAAACTTTTTTTTTCTTTTTTTTATATATACGTTACAACTTTTTTTACAAAGTATAAATCACGAAAAAATATTAATCATATTAATAAATTATCTAAAATATTATTTACTCTCATTCCACCACATAAACGGGAGTATTTGCATTTAAGAAGTTGCATAACCACGATTCCTAGAACCACTACCCTTCTTTCCAAAATAAAACCCAGAAATAATAGAAGAAATGATATAAACATAAAAAAGAATTAATAATAAATATGTAATAGATTGAAATTCTCGACATAACCCTTTAGAACCTAAGAAGACTCCAGTCTTTTTCACATATTCCGTATTTAAGCATGAATGAAATCCTGTTATATAAACAAGAATAATACTTGCACTAAATGTAAAGATAAGATTCAAAATATCGTTAATAAGTGGAAGAAGAGGTGTATCCAAAAATGCTAGAGCACCTTTCAAAAACTGCAAAACTGCTGTAAAGATAGCAAAACCCGCAACAAACAATATATAATAAACTGATGTTAATGGTTTATATTTGTTACGTCGACGCCGTTCATTAATATCAATAGAAAATGATAATAAAAGAAGCGCTATTATAATTACAAGTATACGAATACCCAAATACACATATTTTTCCGCCATCTTTATTTAAATAATCCTTAACGGTTTGTTTTATCAATTATAAAACTTTTTTTTAGCGCTCCATCGATTCCCTAGATTTTTTTTTTTTTCCTTTAAGTTTTTTCTCTCTATTTAAAAAAATAAAACTTTCCGAATATTTTAATTTTGCTATATATTTTTTTAAAAGTTACTATTAATGCTGATATTTTTCTATTTTTAATTTTCAAGCCTTAAAGATGTTTTTATTTCTTATCCAATTTTTTATATACATGAAAACTACACTTCGATAGCTTTAAATTTCCTGCCAAATTCTATAAATGGTAATTAAGTTTTTAAAATAATTATTTAAAAAAATCAGTTCTTGTTAATACTCTAAAATACACTTTGAAGAATACCAATAATGTGAGTAAAACTCTTTGTATCATTTTACCATTGATTTTTTTCAAAATTTGTGTTTTAACATTTTATTGCTAAACCATAAAATACATGAACCATTAGTAAAAATGGTGTATTTTTCTTAAATATCTAAAATATTTATAAAATTTTACTATTATCTACCTATAATTTTTATAATTTTTAAAGACCTTTTTTATACTAATCCACTACGTATAATTTAATCTCTATCGTTCAAACTTATAAAAGTAAAAAAATTTTAATGAAGACAGAAAAAGATTTATCTTATGCATTTAGACGAAATGCATGCGATATTTTCCTAACATCAACTGTAAATGTATTTTCAAGTGCATATATTCCCGAAAAAACTCGAACAGGGATTGCAATTTGGCAAGATGATGTGATAGATGGGGTATTTAATCAGAAATTGATATATTTGTGTCTAATTGATTAGACTGTAGTTGATATTAAGTGCATAGAGAACATGCAAACAGTATCAAATCATGTATTTAGCAATAATATTGGAAATTCCGGTGAATCAGGAATACCAAATGAATCAGGAATGTTACAAGATTCGGGAGGACCAGAGGGAACATCAATGCACAGTGTAGAAGAAGGAGTAGTATCAGGAGGGATGAGGGAAGGTGATTGGATGAATAGAACATGGTGTGGACATGGTAAAAAAAGAACAATAAACATGTCAATGAATGGCCTACGACGGCCTCTTGCTGCATTATCAACAAATACACTATCACTTAAGAAAAAAGAAATATATAGCACTATTGCAATGTATGATTCAGCTTTCCAGTATGATCCAGTATATACATGTAATAACTCAGCTACAATTTTTTCTATTACACCATCTCTTACAGAAATATACCATTCTACACCGGCTGATTTTAAAATAGCATCTTTAAGCTCTGAAAACAATGTTGAAGATATGCTTTCTAATATAAATGTTGCTAGCTCTCTTGCTGAAGATAACACGCTACAGGAAAAAGATACGCTTGCTCTTTCTTCATTTGTTCTTGCTCAATTTAGAACTAAACGTATTGCAACACTTCGAGCTACGACTCTTGGGAAACGTATTGGGCGAGAATTGACAAAACTTTCAAGTAATACTTCACATAAACGTGCTTTCCCTAACAATAAACGAACTATTATCGCTGGTCGACAGTTTCGCCGTATGCGCCAGAAAGCTACTGAAGATGAAGTTGATGATTTACCTCTTGAGTCAAATTTTTTTTATTCTAATAAACATAATGCTTATTCTATTTCTTCACAGAAACCTATGCATTCTTCATGCACATTTTCAGAAAAACAGAATTCTGACAGTAATGCAGCACTTAAAAGCGAAACATCTTCAGATTCATCTCTTTCTTCTAACATTTTCTCCCCTCTTTCTTCATCAAGACCTACATCACCTTCTACTCCACCTTTAATAAGTCAACGTTCATTTCCTGAAAATATTCCTATTCATCCGGATTTTTTTCGCTATTATCTTGCTCATCCACGCTCTACTTACTCTAATGGTAATCCTCCAATTCAATATGATGTAGACGATCTTTATAATCCACGCTATATTAAAGGTGTAGGAATAAATAAAATGGGAATGTGCCCAATCTGCTGCGAAAGTGTTGAAAGAGGTGGTCAGGGGAAAGAAGTTTGGTTGAAAATGAAAATAAGTGCCTTTTGGTATTATTTTTTACAAAACTTTTGTAAATTACTTTCTAATTATCTTTAGGTATCATATGAATTTCTTTCATGGAATTAATCCTACAACAGCATTACCATATTCTCCACCAGTATCCTTTCGAACAGTACCTTTAGGATCTGTTGTTACTAATGGTTCTTCAAAAAAGAAAAAAACTGCAGGATTTACTAGTATTCCAGATAGAAAGGAAATTCTTGAAGGCAAATGTCATAAATGTAAGAAGTGGGTACGTGTACAAGGTGTAAAAGAGCAAGAGGTTAAAGTAGCTGAAATTTTCTGGTGGAAACATGCACGTAGCTGTCATGGTACTAGTCGTATTAAAGGAGAAGGATGTGAAATGAGATAAAACCATTTAGGTCTTGTTATATTTATATATTATTTTTTAATTTTTTTCAGCTAACTAGAAAATATTCTTTGCGACATTTTTATAGATTGTTTATCTTTTAAAATTTATAAAGTTATAACAGGTTTTTAAGACATGTATTTTGCTAATCTGTTTATTATGTTGGGCATATAAATTGAATATATACATATATATATGAATATTTAATATAAATTTATTAATCTATTTTCTCTACTTTTAATTTATTTTTTATATATTCTGAATTTTGACTTTAGATTTTTTTTTTAAAGATATATTAATGTTTTTTTATTTAAAATATTTTAGCTTTTTTTTTGATATTTCGAAATATAAAAATATTATAAGCTTACTTTATTATACTAATACATCATTTTATTAGAACTAAGTTATTACCTATATATTTACAATTAAAGCCACAGTTTTAACAACATTATAACATATAATTTAAATATAATATAAATTGATTTTTATATTTTTAAATATTTTTAAATATTTAAAAAATGTTAAATTGTTAATATTAGGTTTTAATTTATAAAAAAAAATTATTATATAAATATAAAATATGCTTAATTTAAACAAAAGAAAATGAATAAGCTATTTTCAATGATAATTAGAAAACTATCTATAAATACAATTTTAATGCTTTTTACTACTTCCGCTTGGTGCAACACCATTAAGAATAATTTCAGCATCACGTTCAGTAAAATTAATAAAAGACCTAGAATTTATAGGATATTTTTGTATCTTTTTAAGTTTAGCAGGAGACAAATTAGCTATGTCTTTTAAATTAATGCTTTTAGATGGCTTATTTTTAATAGATGCTATTGAAACTGGATAATTATGTTTTGGTGAAGACCACGATGCTATTGTACTAGGAAGATAAATTTCAAATGGCATAGATGATGATGCATTCATATAATCTTGTTTTTCATTTGTAATTTGTTCGTAATTTGTGGAAGATAAGTTATTATCAAATGTAAAAGTTGAATTTGGCGATATATACGACTGTGATAACATTCTAGAGTCATCTTGAATCATTGAATTAAATGTATGATCATAAATATTATTTTTTATTGGGAACATACTTTTATTTTTTTTCAAAGATATTTTTGATGATAGATAAATATCGTCAGAAAAATCCTGAAAAGAACGCTTTTTTAAAAATAATTCATCTGAAATATAATAATTTTCCAGAAAAGTATCATTAATAAGCTGCGTATCAGTATTACAATCAAACGAATTTATTTGAGATAATTCTTCATATTCATTACAATGTAATTGTTTTGAAGTAATGTCGCCTAATTGCGTATTTATTTGTTTTAAAGAACTTTCCGCAGACAACTCTAGATCCGAAGTAAGTGGCTCCTTTAATTTATTTTCTATTAATGATGATATATGAGGTGTTGGTGGACACGTAAAAGATGGACCAAAAAAGGGAGATATATTATTAGTTAAACTAGATGGACAAGACAGTGTAGGATTATTTTTTTGATCACCAGATGCATTTTCATCCAAAACAATATTTTTATTTTCGATTGTTTTTTTATCTAATTGATTTATTCTTTCTGTTGTATCTTTAATTGAAAAATCGAATATTTGATTAGTTGATGCAGAATCACTAAGATTAACATAAATATCTGACACTTCTTCGCCTTCAGATGCATTCCCTTTTTGTAAGTCATTATGCATTAAATCTTTATCGAATATTGATTTTGTCCAAGGTATATCATATAAAGTTGATAATTGAAAAATAGAATTATTTGCCTCGAGATGAATACCCGTTGGATTTAAGAAACTAAAATCATCAAAAAAGCCAATGTCTTTTTCATCATCATATTTGCACCTATTAAAGTCCGTATTTAGGAATTTTTCAAAATTGTTAGAATGGGTATAATCTAAATTATCAGGTGGATATTGTGTAAAAATATAATCGGACTCTAAATCATCTAAGAATGGAGAAGATTTGACAAACTCTGTAGCAGGAGAACATAAAGGATCAAAAACAGTCTTCATATTTACGAATAAACTAAATCACTTAGTAAATTTAAAAACTTTTTCAAAATTTAATCTAGAAAAAGCAATATTATGTTTTATACTTTGCTTAAAGAAAAAATTTAATTGATACCGTATTTTGTAATTTTATAAAATAATCGTTATTTTCTTTATCTTAATGCTTTATAGCATAATATATTTCTCCTATTCTTTAAAAAAAATGAAATGTTAATAGTCTTTTTCAAAAAAACTGTTAAATATTTGATGCTATTTAAATTTTCAAGGTGAAATCAGCTAGCTGCCATAATTTTATTAATCAAAAAAAATTATTATGCTTATTCTTCCTTTTTCGAATAATTATGTGTTTGATTCCAGAAGTGGAATATGATGTAATAATGATAATATTAATGCAGAAGAAGCCATACAGAGCTACGATGATTTAATATTTATTTTTAGACACAATTTTATCAGCAAAAATATTCTAATTATTTTTTTATTAAATTATATAATTTTTAATTTTCGTTCGTGAGATATATATACTTTCATTTTTAGTATAAAAAATATGTAAAATATATTACTAAATAAAATTGCATATGAAATAATTAATATTTAAAATTAATATACACACTTTTTTAATTATATTGAACCCTTTTTTTATAATCTGTCTTGATTTAATAATTTGTTAATGCTTTTTAAAATTCAATAGTAATATTTTAGATTAAAAAAATTAGATAACCTAATTTTAGAAACATAATATTAAATCATGCATTAAACATATATTAAGTTGAATAAAAAATAACCTAAAATTATAAACTATAAAATTCAATTAAAATTAAAAATTATAAAAAAAGTAAATATAAATATTTATATTTTCAAATAAAAAGAATTTATTAAGCTTATTTTAAAAAAATTAACGATTTTTAATGCAATTTATTTCGACATTTTTAAAATTTTAAGCAATCGAATAAAAATATAGCAAATAAAATATTTACATTTTATATTCAACAAAAAGGAATGTTTTAAGTTTTTAAATATTACTTATTCTTAAAATAATTGATTTTTAATATATTATGTTTAAGATATATTGTAGTTATAAAAATACAATATTTTTAAGTCTATTTCTTTATGCTGATGTCTTATTCACTAATATAATGACATTGTTCCGAGTAATCTAGCCATCCTGGATATATTTTGACCTTTTACTGCAGACTCTATAGGAGTTTTCATTCTCATATATTGTTTCCACACTATTATATAATGATTAGTAATGTTTATAAAAACCATCAATTACAGAAATAAGCAAATTTACGGCCTGCCCATTTTCCGATAAATGGAATGAGGACCCAATACAGAAGCATATTTAGTTGATTTAATGATTCTTGCCACTCTCTATCAGTATCAGATGATATTATGCTTAAAGAATCAGAAATGTCAGAAGTTATATTCAACGATTGTTCAATATATTCAATCATGTTTTTTTTTTTGTATTGAGGAAATATATTTGAAAAATTTAAATCTGAATGCTTTTTTCACTAATTTATTTTTAAAATCAACTGATTTTGCATTTTATAATTGAATAGTTATAAACAAAAACGGGCATATTAAATATTTTAATAAAATTATTATTATAGTTAATTTAATAAATAAACATAATAATTAGAATAATATTATATAATTTAATAGTTTTTCAATAAAATATTCTTTTTCTAAAAAAAGTTTCAAAAAATAATATTTTTTTTAAAAATAATTTTATAAATTTTATATTAAATTATTTTATTAAATTATTTAAAAGTAAATAAATTATAATAAAATATTCAAAGTATTTCTTTAAAAAAACTACATTTTTTTGACTCCAAAAATATAATAAATTATCAACATATTAAAAACTTTTTTATAATATTAAAAATTAATGAGGTATATTCTAACAATATTAATTTTATAATGTATCGTAGATTTTTATAATTATCAAATATAAATTTAGCGTTATATTACAAAGTATATAATTATTCTTATATATCATGTTGAAATAATTTATGTTAAATATAATAACATAATGAAAGTTTTATTTGAAAATATTAACAAAATTTTTTGATTTTATCTAATAATTTTAATGTATTTTTGAAGAAAATTAAAAATTATATTAAAAAAAAGCTATATAAAAATTTTAAAACTTAAACTCTTGAATAATATTTTTTGTCTATTAGATTGATATCCAAAAAAAATTTCACTAAGTTAGGAGAGCCATAAACATTTAAATATTTGTTTTATAACTTTATTAATAGTAGCCACATGTCTATTTAAATTTTATTTAATTAGTTGTTTCGTATATTAATAGAAAGTTTACATTTGGAAAATGCTTATTAACATACTTTGAAAAAACTGAAAGATCTAAAAATTCAAATCTTTTTAGATTTTATTAAGAATTTTTTTACAATTGTATTTTTAAATAAAAACAAATTTTTAAATTTAAAATTAAAATTTCTACAAGAAAAAGTATGTCAAATCATTAAAAAATAATAACAAGTTCATCTTAAAAAATGAAATAAAAAAAAACTTAAAAAATAAGCATTTTAATTATATGACTTTAGTGGATTTTAACTTTAAAAATAAGTATAAATAAAAAAATAAAACCAAAAACTTTTTTCATTTTAAAAATTACAAATTTATATTAAAAATAGACTTTTATAACTTAATTATTTATGAGAAAGATTCGTTTATGATTATACATGAAATATTTGAATGAATTAAAACTTTATGATTTTTTTTTTTTTAATCTTCCATAATCCAAATTTATAACTTAATCTCATAACTAATAAATCAATTGCCATTCGTAAACTGTCACTTATTAAACTTAATTTGCTACCTGAAACTTCATGCCATGTTATTGGAACTTCAATCACTGGTATTAAAAATATTTCAGCTAAAATTAATATTTCTATATCAAATATCCATTTTTCTACATGTATATTTGAAAATATTACTAAAGCTGCTTTACGAGTAAATAATTTAAATCCACATTGAGTATCTTTAATATGCCTTATTCCCATAAACCATAAATATTTATGAAAAACATACATCATAAAACTCCTGATTTTAGATCTCTAAATTTATTAAAACGATTTAATCTTATATTTTATAATTAAAAATACCTTTAGAATAATATTATTCGATGCCATGTGAGAACGAGACCCTATAGCAATACCATATCCATTTTCCTCAATTTTTTTAATTTCTTTTAAAAGATAACGTAAATCAGAAAATTTAGATGCACCATCTGCATCAGCAAATATAATATATTCTCCCCGAGAATGAATCATTCCCTTTCCATATTACTAACAATAAATATACTGTTAAAAAACATACATGTGTTACAGCACCTCCTTTTCCTCTATTTTTTTTCAAAGAACATATTCTAATTTCTCCCTGTTTTAAAGTTTTACTTTTAGATAAGGCCCATTCTACAGAATACTCAAAAGTATTATCAGTGCTTCCGTCATCTATGATAAGTATTTCCCATTTTTGCTGCTTTTCAAACTTAGAAAGAAACTCTACAGTCTCTTGTAACATTTTTGAAAGTCGTAATTTTTCATTAAAAGCAGGAACCACTACTGACAGAAAAACCTCTGCAGGCACATCTAATGTATTAAAATGTACTTTATCATATTCTCCTGTTTCTGATATAACTTTACAATATAGCTCAGATTGATATGAAATCCGTGGTTGAGAAAAAGCTGATAATACTGAAATCTATAAATATTTTAAAAAAGAATAATGATTAAACATCATATAACCTACGGCAAAAAAATAAAAAAAAAAGATAATAAGAATAATTACAATAAAAATTAAAATTGGCCAAAAAGTTAATTTCATGATAATCATTTTATCATAAGTGCATAGTAAAACGTTGAAAAACACTTAAAACTGTATTTTGTATATTTGACTAATAAGAATATGCAATTATTATTAAGTCTCATAAAGACTATAAATTTTGGTTTTAAATAAACAAATTTAAAAATACTAAAATTATAATAATATAAAATTCGATTATATTAAAACATTATAAATAATCAATAAAAAATAAGACTTCACAAAAGTGTAATTTAACATCATAGAACATATATATCATAAAAATATTCAAAATAACATGCAAAGTTTAATTTGTGCAAACGTTAAAATATTACATAAGATTTAATATTAACTGGCTCGCCATATCTAAAAAAGGAAAAGGACTTGTAACTTGTTTTTCAGAAACATTTCTTATAAAAGTATTTGATGTAGAATATGTTGTATTCAAATTTCGAGAACTGGAATTTACTGTACTATCTTTCATTAATTTACTTATTCCATCGACTATTTTCCCTGTTTCACTTTCTATATCATTTAATGATAATTCTGAAATAACTGAACATATACTTTGATAGCCCCCACATTTAAAATCCACCAAAAAATTATTAGATTCTAAATGATATAATTGAATAACAATAGTTACTATAATCTTTTTTTCTTTATCAAATAATTTCGTCAAACGGCATTTAATAACATAAGGATCTTTAATTTTATCTAAAGTTGGTATACACTCTTTAGTATCATCTTCCATGATATTTTTTTCTTTTGATTTATTTGTTTTATCAGACATATCTATATCCCTAGACTCTAAATCAACCCACTCAGCGCCAAGATCTTTTAATGCTCTGTATATTTCTATCATTATTTCCAATGGAGAACTTCTACTGCGTATTCCAAAATGCCATCGATTTATACGTTTTTTTTTTTCTGAATTTATAGGCATTGATATAGTTGACCTAAATATTTTATTTTGCGACTTTTCATCTTTATTTGATGTACTGAGAGATATTTTATTCATATACATTACATGATAATTATGGAGACTAGATGGTAAAATACTAATATGAAAAGGAGTCTGTTCTTCTTCTATTCGTGTATATGATCTACTAACTGATGTTAATAGTGTATTAAATGACTCTCGTCCTATAGAAGTATTTAAGTTAGTGGATGAAGAATGACTTGATGATGATGATGAAATATTTCGTGGAGATTTAATCTGCTCAACATTCCAACTAGGCGGAGACTGGGCTAAAAACGATTGCATATTCTTTGCTGTAGTAATTCTAGCTAAAAAAGATAAAAAAAATTATATAGTAATAAAATACTTACAATCCTTGTATCTCATTTGATTTTCTGCTACTAAACGATAGGCGTCTTTTATTTCATTCCCATCTGATCTAGAAAGTGCTTCATATACGTGATCTTTATTGTAGCCCATAGCCTAACTAGTTAATAATCAAGTCTATTATAGATAATAATTTACCTGTCTGAGTTTCCCAACAATTCTATCATCAACTTCACTCTGTTCTTCAGATTCACTAAATGGACGAAGATAATCAGGTAAATTTAGATTAAACCATTTATTCTTCCGAATTTCTTGTAATGTAATTCGTTGAATAGGATCTACAATAAGCATTTGACTAAGTAACTCTTTAGCGTCTGTGCTCAAAAATGAAGGAATAGTATAAATTCCTCCATTTATTTTTTTAAACAATGTAGGTATAAATTCATCATCAAACGGTAGTCGACCAACAAGCATAACATAAAGAATAACTCCGCAAGACCAAACATCTACTTCAGGACCAGCATATAGCTTTCCAGATATGACTTCAGGTGCAGCATAATTTGGTGATCCACATGATGTCTTTAGAAAATTTCCGTCAGTCATGAGATTTGATAAACCAAAATCCGCAATTTTAACATTAAGAAAATCATCTAGTAAAAGGCTTGACTAAAATTAAAATAAATAAAAAACTTAAAAAAAATACTTTTCTGGTTTCAAATCTCTATGAACAATTTTATGACGATGACAATATTCTACAGCAGCTATAATTTGTTGGAAAAAACGTCGAGCTTCATCTTCACTCATTTTACCCCGAGAAACAATATAATCAAATAATTCACCACCAGCATACTCTATAACTATGATTATATCTGTAGGGGTAGCAATTACCTCATACAGTTTAATAATATGAGGATGTCTTAAAAGCTTTAAATATGATATTTCACGATCTACTCTTGATGACATATCTAAATTTAATAATGATTTTCGTGAAATTATTTTAAGAGCAACTTTATGTCCTGTTATAGAATGAACAGCAACTATTAGATAATTAACAATTTATCTTCATTCTATTTTGATTTCTTACGCTTTACTTTTCCAAAGCTTCCTTCTCCAAGTGTTTTTAAAATAACATAATGACCTAATCTTGGCTTTCCTGCTATGTTAAGCAATTCTTGTACATCATTACTTGATATATTTGCATTTATATCGCACATTCTTAACGTTTTGATTTTTTAATCTTTGAAAAAATCCTACGATAATCTTTAAATCATTACGTAAAAATTACAAAAAAGAACTTATAGAATTAAACAGAAAGTCTTTTTAAAAATTTAACTAATATAGCAGATATTATACGAATTGTATTTTTATATTAAACAAGAAACATGTAATAAAATCTAAATAAGATGTTTGCGTTGAAAAAAACGGCGTAAATAAATAATTTCACAAATGCCAAGGATAACTAAAGAGATCATGAATCCAAGACCATAAAACTTAACTCGATCATTTGTACTTTCATTAATATCTCGCATTTTTTGTTCTCGTACTTGCAAATATTCCATTTCGTTTGCAATTTCTCGAGAAATGCCTTCAATTTTTAATAATTCAACCTCAACAGGTCTCAAGTGACGTTGAACTTCAATATCTTCCCAATTAAGCGCATCTGTACCTTTGTTAATATCCAGTTCTACAGATCGAAAATTATTAGTATTGTTAGACCCTAAAACATGTCAATGCTTATGTGTATAAACATAAATTAAATTTTATAGAAATTTAAAATTGTTGCTTAAATTTTCCTACAAAAAGCATAAAAATTTATAATAAAATTTCATATCTTTATAAATAAATGGGTTATTACCATAGAAGAGAACATTACTTAAGCATACTATAATTGTAGATTCATCACTTGTAGTAAAAATGACCCTCTTTTCGCCAATAATTTCCTTTGAACGACTATATTCATTCCCATGAATGTCAGTAATCTGAATTGAATATTAACTTTCAATTTTTTATAATTAAAAGTAACCTACTGTCATATTTACTTTCTGGCCATCATCCTGAGACCCATAGACATTAACAAATATAGTTACTAGAGTATTAGTAGGTACAAAATTACGGATACATCGTTGATTTTGAACATTTAAAGGCATTGCTATAATATCAAACATTAACGAGGAAATTGGAACAAAGACTGTAAAGAAAAAAACTAAACTCAATAATTCTCGAATCCTAATAAAAAAAAGAACCATATTCAATTGAATTAACCAGTATTAATTTGTTTTTCTATTGTTTGTCGAATTGTGGCCTTATATCTTTGTTATATTCATAAACTCAAAGAAAATATTCAAAAAGTAAAAATTCAAATAATTATTTTATATGATTTGATACTCTCAAAAGCTGTAAAAACAATTAAGGATTTGTTTAATTCGTTTTTGATTTTTTTAAATATCTCGAATCTTCGAAAGCAAATTAATCATTTTTTATAATTTCATTTAAAAAGATTTTATTCTAAAAAAAATAAAATGGCAACATCTTTGCGTTCTGTTTCATGCATTAAGCCTTTAGGATGTCGTGTATTAGTTCAGCGACTTAAAGCTGAGCAAAAAACGGTATCAGGTATTTTTTTACCAGAAAAGTATGTAAAGATAATTTTTTATTATGATCTTTTCTCTGAGAAATTTTAATGTTTGAACAATTTAATAACTAACTTCTTATTAGGTCTTTAGAAAAATTATCAGAAGGTAAAGTAGTTGCTGTTGGCTCAGGAAATCTTGATAAAGACGGAAAATCTATTCAACCAACTGTTTCGGTAGGAGATAGAGTTATTCTTCCTGCATATGGTGGAAGCAGTGTTAAAGTTGGAGAAGAGGTTTGTCTTTTTAAGTAATATTTCTTTATAACGTTTTAGGAGTATAGCTTTTATTCTACTAGTGAAATATTGGCAATTGTATCCGAATAGCCAAATACTCATATAAATAGCCTTGTATATACTGTGGATGTAGAAGTTTAAATAAGGCACAAAACTGTAATCATTAATAATTTATAAAAGTTATATAAATTTAAAAATAAAAAATTCTCTAAATTATTTTATATTATTTAAAAATAATTTTAGTAATCTTTTATATATTAGTCTTATAAGCTTTTATAAATTTATTCTGTTTGATGTATAACTCCTCCACCTAAACACACTTTTTCTTTCCAAATTGCTACATTTTGTCCAGGGGCGATTCCTCGTTGCATTTTTTCGAACTCTATTTTTATCATATTATCTTTATACTTGCTCACATAACACCTTTCTAGAACAAATTAAAATTAACGCATAGAAAAATATTTAAAGTTTACGAGGTTCTTGCCTATGTCTTATTTGTCCGATAAATTCACCGTACTCTTCTAAAGATGAATCTATCCAATGCCATGATTTACAATATATAACATTTTTCATTAATGCAGGATTATCCCACCCTTCACACAAATACACAATACCTTTTGATGCATCTTTATTAGCAACAAACCATTTTCTATTAATCTTATTTTTTGTTTGTGATACTGAAATTCTTGATGATTCACCAATAGTAGTACTCCATATACCTTTATCTGAAGAAATAGAAATAACATTTCCAGTAGAAATATCAATATATGTTAGCTGCTGAGGGCTAAGATAGTTAGTTAAAAAATTTGCAAAATGTCTACCCGTATTTGGAGATACAAAACAAAGTCCTTGTGATTCTTTTTTATTTGCTGTTGGCAATAAAAAATTTTTTGCAATTCTACGAACTTCATGCTTTGTAAAATTAGATAAAGGAAAAAGAGTCTACATTATATTTAATTATAAAAATAAAATATTTAAAATATACTCGACGAAGAGAACTTTGAGAAATTTTTGATAAATACAAACATTGATCTTTATTCATATCTTTCGAACGCAATAAATGTGATGAAGACGTTGGAATATGTGTTTTAACTGTAGCATAATGCCCAGTTGCAATCCACCATCTATTACAATATGGATACTTCTCTTGAACTATTTGTTGAACTTTTCTAAATAAAGAGCCAAATTTAATATAACTATTACAATCCACATCAGGATTTGGAGTATATCCATTTTTATATGAATCAAGAGCTGGCTGAAAAACAAAATTCCAATAATCTCGAGAAAAGTCAACATAATAAGGTTCTGGCATTGATAATACTCTTGAAACTTTTTGAACATCTAAAAAATCTTTTTGAGAAGAACAAAAATCACCATCCTGCGTCCAATTTCGAATGAAAATGCCAACAACATCCAATCCCTATAATATTTTAATCAAAAATATTATATATATAAATATATATCTACTTTATTTTTTAACAAAGCTGCTGCAACACTAGAATCGACACCTCCTGACATTGAAACAAATACTATTTTTTAGAAATAAGTACCAGTACTATATATTCTCAATAATCGAAAATACTTTTATCTTGAGGTTTAAAGTCATGATCCATATAAACATTATTAGAACTATATCTAATAAAAGAAATTCTTTTTAAACAACGAGATGAAAAAAAAGTTGTTTTAAATAAAAAAGTTTTTTTAGTATTCTGAAACATTAAATCTATTTTTAAAATTATTTTTAAGTTTATATTTTAGAAATTATCGAAAATTTATGAATTTTAAATATTTAAACAATTGATATCTTAAATAATTTTTTAGAATTAAAATTTATTTTAAAAATTAAATATTTTAATTTTTCATAATTCAAACATTAAAAATCACAAAAACAAGAGGATAAAAAATTTTTATAATTTTATAAATATCATATATTTAAAATCATTTAAAAATATATTTATCAAACCAGAATCAATTCCTCAGAAATTCATTAATAAATATAATTGATATGAACTAGAAGCAAAAAATCAAGAATATTTTTACTAACATTTATAATTTAATATGATCAGAACTTTGCATGATATAAAAAAATGCCTATATGATAATAAGACTTTTTAAAACATAACTCCTGAATTCATAAAATATTAATTATATTTCTTCATTCGAGCATTCATTACTTTTAAACTTCAAATTCATTATCTTTTTTTTCATTTAATTCTACTTTGATTTCATCACTGTAAGATTTCTTAGTATCTTCATCATTATATTTACTCATTTTAATTGGTTTTGTTTTCCATGCAGGTATTTTTTCTTTCCATATTTGTTCAATTTCTTCTAATGATCTTCCACATGTTTCAGGAAACATCAGGTATACATGAACAGCCATAATTGTTGAAAAAACAGCAAAAATAATAAATGTTTTCCATTGAATATTTTTAAATGCAGTAGGAACAAAGATAGCTAATACAAAATTAAAAGTCCAATTTGCAAAAGTACATAATCCATTAGCTTTTGTACGTTGATTATGAGGGAAAATTTCTGAAACATAAATCCAAGCACATGGTCCCCAAGTAGAAGCAAAAACACATACAAACAAATAAGAACATGCAATTGCAGCTTTTGCTAGATTTGGATGGTCTTCCATAGTCCATCGTATATTTTCACTCCCATCATAATTAGAAATATAACGACCGCCGATAGACATAAAAGTTGATTCTGCATAGAGCAATATAGCCATTAAAATTGCACCATAAATGAATGTTGGTCGTCGCCCCCACTTATCGATAAAAAGCAGTGCTGGAATAGTCATAATAACATTAAGAACATATTGGATAGAAGAAACTAATAAATTCGAAGTGCCTTTATAGCCAGCCATTCGAAAAACATAAGCAACATAATACATGATAACGTTCATTCCAGTAAATTGTTGCCAAACATGAGTAAAAAAACCAATAGAAGTCCTTTTACGAGAGCCTTTAGCAAATAATGCTGAATAACCTACATTATCCTTATCGATTTTAACAGCCTGTCTTATCTCCTCTATTTCGGCAACGACATCTGGATTGTTATAATCAGATTTGTTGTTTACTTTAGAAATAATATATTGAGCTTCTTCCCATCGATCATGTGAAGCAAGCCATCTGGGGGATTGTGGGAGGAAGAAAACAAAGATTGAAAAAATAAGTCCAGGAACCACCTGAATACCCCAAGCAACTCTAAAAGATGTTGGTCCTTTAATCCAGGTACAACCATAAGAAATATAAAACATAATGCATATGCCCCATGTTATTGACCACTGAAAAATAGAAATAAGACATCCACGTTTATTTTTTGGACTTAACTCAGAAATCCAAACAGGAATTTGACTGGAAGAAAGGCCAATAGCTATACTAGAAATAAAACGCCCAAGAATAAGATGTATTGCATTACCAGAAGCCGACTGAATAATAGCACCAACAATCCAAATCCAAGCACTTAATTGACAAATAGCTTTGTGACCTATTCTATTTGTAATAAATCCAGAAAAAAGGGATGATATTGCAGATCCAGCAGGCATAGATGAAGTGATAACACCTTGTAAAAAAGGACTAGGACGATTAAAGTATTCTAGATATTGTGGAGCAGTAACCTAGATTTATATTAATATCAATATCGAGTTATAGAAAACATACAAATGCAGAGACAGAAGAAATATCAAATCCAAAAAGCATCGCACCAATAGTTGCTGCAGCTGCTACTGCAACAGGGTGATAAATCGTATACATTTGTATAATCTCTCTTTTAAAATTTAAAATTATATATATATTTTTTTAATTTTTTTGGATAATCGATTGTTTTTATACATTTTCGTCTTTATATATATTATATTAAAAAAATACACTAATTTTTTATCTTTAAAAATTTTATACCATTTTAAGTTATTTAAATATTTATTATAAATAATATCTAGTATTTATTAATATAAATGTTTTTTATAAAAAATAAGTTTTATCATTTTAAGTAAATTTTTCTTATTTTAGAGATACGATAAAACGCTAACAAACGCTAAAAGTTTTTACGAATCACCTGCTTTTTAGTTTCACAATATTCGAGTCTTATGATCATTATGAATTTCGGTTATAGGGGTTAAAATTAATTTTTATAAAAGTTAATGATAAAATTAGTTAAAACTTAAAAACCCCTATTTTTAATTCTAACTCTACATTTATTTTAAAACAATTAAAATTTGTAATTCATCAATGAAAAAATAAGTACATAAAAAACAAAAATATTTTAAATAAAATACTTTATATAAAAGTTTAATTTTTTTAAAGAACTTGAAAATAAGTGAGAATTATTAAAACAAAATATAGTATAAAAATTTTTTTTTGCTCTATTTATTTAATTCTAAACTTAATTCTTTAAATCGTTTTAATAAAACTTAAATATGTTTTTAGATATGTTTATTGAAGTAAATTAAATGTAATTAATTTTGTTTAAATAATTATATCTGAAGATTAAAAAATCAATCTATTGAAAATACATAGAAAAGAATAAATAAAATATTATTTTCATGCTTATAAAAAATTTAAGTATTGAATTACCTTAAATATTAAGCTTTTTAAAAAAATATTACTTCTAAAAATGTTATTTTTTAAAAATAAAAAATGTTTTTTCTTGAAATCAAATACTTTCGAAATAATGATTATTTTCTGTATAAAGTTTATGTTATTTACAAAAAAATTTTATATATTAAAAATACCTTGTTTTAGAATTAAAGTTACTTTTAAGTTAATCATTAATAATAAATGAAAAAATCACATTTTTTAACTTAATGTTATTAAAAAAAATACTTTAAACAGGAAAATTGATAATTATATTAATTTTTCCAATTAATTATATCTCAAAAAAGTGATTATAAGATAGTCAAGTAAATTTAATATAGTAAATTTGATATAAAAAAATATTCTGAAACAAAAATTCATCATAAAAACATCGTTTTAACATTATTTTTTATTTTTTGAACTATATATGAATTTAATACAAATAGTATAGGTTTTTTCTCTAAAATGACAAAAATTAAAAAAACAATAAAAACGTAAAATAATAATATTTCAAAAAATAATATTCTAACTTCAATTTTAAAACAAAATACCTTTAAAAAGATTAAGAATTTTCATTATTTCGAAATGTGCATTCAATAAAATAATTAGAAGAATTATTAATAAAATATCTCTCATGTTTAAATGCTATTTTATAATTCAAATTGATATAAATAAAAAAATTTAAAAAAATTAAAAATAAACATAAAGAAAAAAACATTTATTCAATTAAACATGTTTTTTGCTTTTGTTAAACTAATAGCTATATTAACATAAAAATAAATATGAAAATATTAAATAGAAATAATGGTTTTTAAAATCTTATTAAAAATAATGAATAAAATGTATTATTAATCCTAACATTGTTTATTCAAAATGATATAAACAGTAATTAAAAGTGCAAAAATGTATTTAAAAATAATAATATTTTAAAAAATACAAAAATATCTAAAGTTTATGCTTGTAACTATAATATTAATTAAAATATAAAAAATAAATGGATTTGATTGAAAAATAGATTGAAAAAATCAAAAATATTAAAATAAAAATTTAAAACTAGTTTATTATTTATAACATAATTAGCATCATAATATAGCATAAATCAAAATTCATTAAAAGAAATGATTATGAAAATATAAAGCTGTATTATTTTTATTCAAAATTACATAAGGATGAATTTAAAGTATTTTATATAAGTGTAAAGAACTACATCATAAAAAAGTTTATATTTCATTAACAAAGACGTAAAAGAATAAAATGCTAATTTTTGTTATTCAAATGAAATTCACCTTAAAGATTTTAAAAAGAACTAAAAAAATAAATATCATATTCAAAAACAAAAACAGAAAATTTTATTGTTTATCCAATAGAAATTGCTATATATTTTTAATTTATTTTAAACAAAACCCATTTTCCTACTAAGAAATTTATATTTATATAAAAATTAAATTTTTGGAATATTTACTCTAAAAAAGTTAAAAAAATCTAAGTATTAAAAAGAATTAAAAAAACAAGCAACTATATGGTATTATAAATTGCTATTCTAATCTTTTAAGAAATGGAAAAGAACTCTAAAAAATTAGTAAAAATATATATAAAAATATATATCTAAATATTATGCATATAAAAAATTTTTATTACTTTGAAAAATATTAAAGGTAAAAGAAATACATAAAGTTTTATTGTTAAAATATAAAGTTTTATTGTTAAAACAAAAATTAAAAAAAATGTCTAGTAGCATATAATATAAAGTTGAAAAAGGAAAAAGAACATATCATATATAATGTTAGGGTTAGTTTAAAAAAAAAATAATAAAAATCTTAATTAAATCATATGTTAACAAAAAATGCTATGGAAAATTATATTAAAAGTAAAAACCAGGGCAGAAGTTCTAGCAAGAAATAGGAAAAGATATTGAGGTAAAAATTGAATAATGGTATTTAGATGTTTATAAATGTAATAAAAAAACAAGAATATTTAAGAGAATTTTTATTATATCATAATAAAAAAGTAGTATGATATAAATTATATATAACAAATATGTATAAGAAAATATCAATACATAATATATTTTAGATAAAATAATTGAAATTGAAAATAAATCTTTAAAAATAATTAAAGACATGTTTATATCAGCATATTATAAAAAACAATGACAAAAATATTCAAAATACATATTTCAAAGTATTGAAAACTACAAATAATGTTATTTAAACCAAACTTAATTTTATAATTATCTATAGACTAAATAACTTTTTACTTAAGATATAGAGTTGATATTAATAAGAAAAATAAATATTAATCATTGTTAAAGGAAAGGTATTGTAAAATATATTTTAGACAAAATTATACTTAAAGCATCATATTTTAAAAACAATTTTATATAAAAATTTACATAAATTCGAATATAAATTTACTAGAAAATATTAAAATATAAATAAAGAAAATTGTCTATTTATTATTTTAATTATTATTGCTTAACACTATCTTCCAAAATAGTTTTTCAACATTTTTTTAATATTAAATATGAAGTATTTTTTATAAAATCTTTATTATTATTATTATAAATGAAAACATTTTTGGTAGCTACTTTTTTTGGGATAACACATGCTTTTTCAAAAAACACTGGTATTTTATTCTATTCTTTTTCCTATTTAACTTTTTTTTTAGAATTTACTTATAAAAGATCTTCATTAGATTCACTATTAGATTCATTAAATTCATCATTAGATTCATTAAGGTATAAAAGTATTTAATTAATAATAAAATTAGCAAAATTAATACTTTTTATACAGCAAAGAAAAAATTTTGGTTTTAATTCTAGAACAGAGCGCAATAAATGATCAATGTGAAATAAAATTAAAAGAATACTGTAATGATTTGAAAAGTATAAATATAAAGCCAAAGGATTTGTATCCTATATTAGAAGAGCTATGTGAAGAAAGGAAAGGAAAACAAAAATGCACTGATCTTAAAGACAAAATTACTACCATTTCTAACAAAGTCAAAGATTCTCTTGATAATATTAACAATAATATCGAAAATTTAAAATTTTATTTGGAAAAAAAACATTGTAATTACGTTCATTTTCAATGCATGTTTTTCCGAAAATTTTCTGGTTTTTCTATTGTATGTGATAATATACTCGAACAATGTTATGAAAAAATAAGTAAAAATTTAACATATGAAGTTCTTTTAAGAGCCCTTGATGGGAATTTAAAAGATAAAACAGCATGTGAAACAAAAATTAAAGATTCTTGTCAAAAGTTAAATATGGAAAACTTTTATTTAATCTGGTTTTGTTTTCAGAAAGAACGTACGTGTAATGTTCTTATTGAAAATGCAAAATATAATTGTGAAAGTCTTAAAAAAAATATCAAAAATACACTTGAAAATAATTATAAACTAAAAGAAAAATGTTATTTTTTACTTCAGGAATGCTATTTCTATTCATCAAACTGTGAAAAAGAGGACAAACAAGAATGTATGAAGCTTAAAAGTTTCTGTGAAGAAAAGAACATTATATACCCTCATTCCCATAGCTTTTCTTTTAACCCAATGATTTCATTTACACTACAAGAAAAAATAGGTCTTCAGCAACTTTATTCAGAGGCACTAGCTTTTGGCGTTTTTCTTGGTAAATCTTTGTTAACAAGTCTTTCTCGTTTCTTAGTATTTTCAAATTATTATGGAAAAAACAATGCAGAAAAATTAAATAATTTTCAGAAATGTATTAATTCTCTGAAAAATTGCACTTTTAAATACTTAACAGAAGATCTGAAAAGTATATGTAATACAGTTAGTCATGATGAAACGTGCAGAAAATTGAATAATGAATTACAAGAAGAATGTCGCTCTCTTAAATTATATCTCTACAACAATAAACTTTCTAGTGTAAATAATAATACTGAATCCAATTCCTACTCATGGGATCAACTACCAGAAACAATTTCTCAAGAAGATTGTATAAATTTCTCCACAAAATGCTATTATATAAGTTCATACTGTTCTAATGCTCTTTTAAATGCATGTCAGAATTTAAAACGAGGTTGTTCTAAATCGGCGTTTTACAAATTAGCATACGGAATATTGGAAGAAGGGTTGTTTGGCTTATTTCACAATTTAAATTCAAATAGACTTAAAAAATGTACAGATAAATTGGTAGAAAAATGCCAAACGCTCAGAAATAGAAGTATATATCTACTTTCATTATGCTTAAAACCAAAAGAAACATGCAAAGCACTTGCGAAGGACGTTGAAAAGAAAAGTCATCGTTTACAACATATTTTGGATGAAAAAAGAGATTATCCACAAGAACAAGATTGCCTTGTTTTAGAAAAAAAATGTAAAGATCTGACAAAAGACTTCAATCAACTTAATGCTCCTTGTAATACGTTAAAAAAACATTGTGATCATTTGAGGAATACAAAAAAACTGAAAGGTGCTTTATTAATCAAAAATAAAGATATTTTAGTAAATGTCGATAATTGTACAGAATATTTAAATATAAAATGTTCTCAATGGTTTAGAAGGGAAATAAATCCATTCAATCTTACGTGTGTAGCACATCGCAAATCATGCGTTATAATGACTGAAGACGTGCAAAATCATTGTTCTGCATTCCAACAAAATATGGAGGATCACAAAGTTATTGAAAAATCAAAAGAGGATGAAGAAAGAGATGATATTTGTTTTCTTTGGGAGGAATACTGCGATATGCTTATGGAAAATTGCCCCCATAAACTAAAACATGATAATAACGGTGGCAATGGGCCTTGTATGAAACTTAAAAACAATTGTAAAACATTTCGTGAAAAAAAACCTTTATTAAAAGTTCTCATGTACAATATGAAAGGCTCTTTAACAAGAAAGGATATATGTGTTAATCAACTGAATAATTATTGTAGAAATTCAATGAAATCGAACAAGACTCTTAAAAATTTATGTCAAAAATATAACAAAGATGAAAAGACAAGGAATAAAATTTGCGATAAGTTTATCAAATGGGTGAAAATATTGTGTGATACCTTACCAATTAAACTGGATAAAGCTGTTGAGGACTTAAAAAATAGAGCAAATGAATTTAAAAAAGCCAAACAAGAAACAGAAAAAGCTGTTAATGACTCGGGTTTATTCTTACTGATTTCTCAAGCAATAAATGAAAAGCAGAATTATTATCGCTTTAATACACGTAGTAATATTCACAATAATGTCACAGCTTACATTAAGCTTATGCGTCGTGAAGATGTTCTAGATACTCATCCATCAGTACGTCAAGGATTAGCGTTTGATTTAATATCTTTGGTTATAGAATTATATTTAGAAGCTAAGGCTATCTGTGATCATTCTATCCAAGAGTGTGTTTTTGAAAATGATTGTCTTAAGTTTAAGGATTCATGCAAAGAAATAGACAAATATTGCAAAGAATTTGAATTACCTGAAGCTATATCTCTAGTAATTACATCTATATCTACAGTAACGATTACAGATTCTTTAAAAGATACCCAATCAGAGTCCACTATAATAAAGATAACAGATGGAAGCTGTGTATTGCTTCATTCAAAGACAAGCTGGATAACAAGTAAGTCACTATCTACTGAAATGAAAACAAGTACATCACTTATAACATCGACACAAAAATGCAAACCAGTGCCATGTACAACAGAAAAAGCACAAACAAAAGTACCTGAAGATGGAAATAGAACAGATAGGATACTGATACCAAGTGAAGGAATAAAAATATCTAAATTGACAATAGTAAATATTGTTATATGGGCAATGAGTATCTTTATTATGATTTAAAAGGATTTTTTCTTATAATTTAGATAAAGGAAACAATATCAATTTATGTTAAACTACAAAACAAAAAGAATTTAAAAAAGATATTCTAAAAAGTAGTGCTTCAGAAAAGCATATTCTAGAGAGGGTTATGAAGAACTCAGAAAAATTAGAAGAATTCATTAGAATATCTAATTAGATATGTAATATAAAAACTTAAAAATATTTAAAAAATCTTTTTAATAAATATAAAACATTATAGAAATATATAATAAAATAAGGTAAAGATTAACTAGAACCAAAAAATCCTACTTTTGTCTATTATTTAAACTATAAGGCTTTATGTACTAAAAAAATAAGCCAGTAAAAATTAACAATTGTTTGATGACTACTTTGTATTTATTACATATTTGTTCTATACTTATTTATACGTTCTCCTAAGCCTACCTTACAGATACTCTTAGAAGACAAAATATGGAACAAAATATGAAAAAAATAAAATGTAAAAAAATAAGATCAGAAAAGAAAATATTAAAAGATAATTTTATAGGAATATATGAAAATGAAAAAAGAATAATTGAGAAAATTGATTATAATTTTGGAGAACCAAGGTAATAATTATTTATTGTAATTAAAAAATAAGAATTTTCCCTTATGTACAAATTTCTTAATATTATTAAATGTAAAAAATAGAATATATATTTTTTTTAAATAATATTGAATAATACTTTAAAAAAATAATATTAACTTTTTTTGAAACTTATTTTCATTTTTTAAATAGTTACTATTTTCTAAAATTATAAGAATTAATTTTATTTTGAAAATGATAAACAATTAATCAGATTTAAGAAACTTTATTTTAAATATTTTCAAATTATGTTTATATTGTTAACAAAAAAATAGACAGAAATCATTGTTAATAGAAAGATTTATAATATGAATATTTTTTTTCAAAAATGTATCCTTAAAAATTAATATTTTTAATATCTCTAAAACAACACGAAATAGATAATAAAGTGCATTGAAAATATTCTTTGTTAACTAACTTACACGTCTTTTTCTCATTTCAAGATCTTCTAAAATATATCATAAGGATAATATGAACAAGTAAAAGACAAATATGGTAATTAAGAGTATAAAATGACAGAAACTATCTTTTGATATCGACTTTAAAAAATACTAAAGATAGAAATAAATACAAAGATAAACAAAAAAAATACTGCAAAAAATTAAAGAATTTGAATCTAAATAAAAAATACACAAAAATAAATGATTTTTATAAAGATGCTCTAAAAAAAGTCATGAACTAAAGTTGAAAAAAATGCAATAATTTTTAAACAAAACTTAAAAACATAAGATTAATCATATAATAATCGTAGAATAAATAAATAATAATCTATGCTTTTGAAGAAATATCTCTAAAAGAAATTAAAAGTGCAATAAACTAATAAATAAATGTTATCAAAAAGAGATCACAAAAAAAATTCTTTTAAAGGCACTCAATGAAAATCATGAAAAAGATAGATATAAAAAAATAAATGAGACTTGTTTGAAAATTAAAGAATAAATAAATGGTATTATATCTTTATAAAAAAACCTGTTAAAATCTTATAAATCAATGATAATTCTAATATCCTTAAAAGGATTAATATTTCACTAAAGCATAATAAATTGGGAAAGTCTATCATTATTTAAAGAATGTTATTTTCATTATTAGAACTGTAAGTAGAGAAAATAAGTTACGATAACTTAAGATTTAAAAAAAACAAAGATAATTTACATACTAGCAGATTTAAATTTTAATCCTAAAAAAATAGATAGCTACACTAACAAGGAAATAGACTTAAAAGAGCTTTAAAGGAAAATAGTAAAGAAAAAAGTCCATATTGGAAGGTCACTATGGAAAATAGATTTGCTCTATTGCTACTATTGATTTTATATATAAACCATTTAATTCAAATTACTGAGAAAAATAAAAACTCTTAGAGTTTATAAAAACAACAGCAAAAATTCTCAAGACTGAAGTTCTGAAAAATTTATACACTAATAATAATGATATAAGAAAATTAATGATGAATTAGATAAAATTAACAAACTATACTCTAATTGTTTCTAAAAATAGCTAGGTATCCTATTGAAAGTAAATTAAACAAGGCTATTGATTAATACAAATTACTGCTATTTTTACTGAAAAAAACTAGAGAAAGTTACAATCAGACTATTTTTATTTAAAAATTCAAGCAATTATTAATGAAGAATATAAAAGTTTAAGAAAAGTATATTATAAGAGAGTTTGAAACACAAAAAAATGATGTATTGCAAAACAAATTATAAACCATAGGATTCAAATAAAAGTAATTTGATTTTTATAAAAAAATTAATAAAAGTTTATAAAAAAAGAATATAATAAGTTATTTATATTGTATATACACATAAAAAAATTACTCTTATTTTTTCAATAAATTTATATATGAGAACAGTTATTTTGTAGGATCAATTAAATAATAACAGAAATTATCCAAAAGAAAAGGATTATAAAAATAGAGAGAAACATAGTATCTTGAAAATAGATTTAAGAAAAATTATACGTTTATCTAGAAAATTTAAAAAATGATGTAGTTTTTAAAAAAAAAAAATTAGAAGACTCCAAAATATAGTTTAAAAAAACTAATGTGTTTTTATTTTTCTAGTTTGATTTAAAAATTATCTGCAACAAAATTAATGAAAATATTAAATTTAAATATATTTTATTAAAAAAACATAGAAACATATGTCTAAAAGATCTATCAAATGATAGTAAAATGGAAAAAATTTATAGATTTATAAAGGTCAATGAAAAAACAAAAAAGAAAACTAAAAAATTAAAAAAAAAAAAACAAAAGATATTGTAGAAATAGGAACTATTGTTTTATTAAGGACAAAAGTACAAGATAACAAGCTTATAAAACATATTGCACCTAATATGTATAGCTAAGGAAAAAACATAGCATGATTTAAACTTATAAAAAGAAATACAAAAGCATAGAAAGATAAAGTTAATGTATTTGATTTTCTAGAAAGATCATTTGATTTCTAAAATTGAAGATGTTTGATCATTTATTAAAAACAGTTGATTCAAAGAGTCTTTAGTTTCCAAGATTATATGTAAGATAATAGAACCTACATGTTGAGAATTAATATTATTGAAAGCAATATTATAAAAACTAACAATAATTATTCAAAACACAGCAATTATAGTAACAACCATAACAATGACTATTATTTTTAAGATAACAAAGGTAAAAAAAATCTAAAGAAAATGTACATTAACTGGTATAGCAAACATGCAAATTATTCAGATACAAATATACGCAAGAATGCTTAATATTTTAATAAAATAATTTAAAACTTTTGAATAAATTTTGAAAATTCTAGATAAAAACTATAATCATTTTATTAAAATTAAAAATTACTTATAATTGTTTAAAAAAGTACATGATTAGAAATAAACTTCATATTTATCTAAAATGTTTGTTTAGAAATTAGAGAAAAATGATTGAATTATTAAAAATTAATTGAAAGTTTAATATAAAATAAAAAAATATATAATATTCTTAAGAAAATATAATTTTTCATTAAGACAAGATTTAAAAAAAAATTGCAATATAGAAATGAATATCTTGCTTTAACTGCATATGCAAATTATTTCTTAGAATACAGTAACTTTTTAAAAACTTTTATAATTTTATAATATTAAAAAATGCATATTATAAAAATAATCTTGAAGATGAACTTAAAAAGTTCTAAACTTATTAAAAATTAACATAATCATAAAATTAAACTAGTTTTATTTTTATATCATAAACTATATTTTTTAAATAAAATGTAATTTGATTTATTATTTCTCATTGAAATATGGAATTCTAATTTAATATTAGAAAAAAATTTTATTTTTAAAAAATTTAAAAAATAAAAAAAAAACATATTTTTAAAAATACATTAATAAAATATGGAAAATATTGAAAACAAGATAATTATATTATCAAAAACAAAGTAATAGGATCAAAATTTAACTATTAAAAACCAGGTCAATTTACAAAACGTTTTTATTATCAAAATATCTAAAATATTGTTTTTTGTTATAAATACAATTTAAAAAATGAATAATAAAAATATTTTATTTTATTAAATTATTTTCTTTTTTATAAAGAATATTTAAAATAAAAATATTAAAACCAAAAACTATGATTTTTTTAAAATAATAAATAGAAAATAACAAAATTATATTCTTAATATTTTTACACAAACTGAAAATTCAATATCAATTTAAAAAAAAATAAAACCAATAATATTTAATAATAATATTTATTATATTTTTCTTTTTCAATTTCAAAAATAGCATTCGTTGAATATCAATTTTCAAATAAAAAATTGTCTTTAAAAACAAAATTTATATAGATTTATAATAAATGAAAATTTTTACGCTTATTTTCATTATTTAAGTGAATATATTATATTAGAGAAAATATACGTTTTAAATGTTTTTTATTTTTTTTGAATTCTTATTTTTTAAAATTAAAATTTATTTTAAATTCACAAAATCAATCAAATTTTTAATAAAATCCTAAATATTATTTTATACAAAAATTTTCTAAATTGAAACTTATTTGATTTTAATTTTTTAAAAAAATTATGATTATATTATAATAAATAAAAAACAATCCTTAATATTTAAAACAGAAAATATACATCTGATAACAAAAATAATGAAAAAAATTATAAAGTAAAAAATAATCTTTTTTACGTTAATTTAAAACGATTTAAAGCAAATTTAAAAAAAAAATGTACCTTATTTTTACATAGTTAATCTATATTCTTCACCTTAATATTATCTTATTACTCATACTTTTTATATTATATTTTCTATTTATTCATTTTTACGTTTATCCCACATCTACCTATGATCTACCTCTGACTTACCCCTACTAATCATCTGATAAAAATGTTCGAAAAAATTACAGGATATATACTAGAATTAGTCATTATTTATAGTTTACTTCTAGTTTTGCTTATATTAAAATCTATATATGTTAGTTCTAGAAAAAAATGAAATTTATATATAAATGTTTACATAATCATTATTATTTTTAAAAAAAATATTTAAGAAAAATATTTAAAATGATAATTTATAAAATAGTTCATTATAATAATATCTAGAACTTCAAATGAATAAAAAACTAAAGATATGAAATATAAATTAATTTGTAAAAAATATAAAACATGAACTCAAAATTAGTAACCATAAAAACAGATGTTTAAAAAATATTTGTAAGTTTGAAAAATTATAAATAACATTTTTAAATGAAATTAGAAAAATATCTATTTTTAAAGAAAATATGTCTTGTATATCATAAATAAATAAGAATAATCAACTGAATTTCTTAAAAGATTAAATATAAAATTCTTTTTAAAATCCAAAAAAGATTTTAAAAAACAGAAATTTAAAACCCAAAATTAACAAAGAATATAGAAATATAAACGAATTCTAAAGAAAATAATAATTATTATTCAAAACATATTTTTATAATTTGAATTATTATAGAATAAAAAAAATTAAAAAATTAAAAAAAAAAAAAAACACAAAATATAAATCAAAGCAAGAAAAATGAGAACAATGATATTCATATTTATAAAAGTATGATAAAAGATAAAAAAAATCATAAAAAGAGTATAAAAAAACAGGAATTATAAAAAAGATTATTAATAGAATTGTCATTTAAAGTGTTTATTATAATTTAAGAATATTTTTTCATAAAAATTTATGGGTCCAAAAATAAAAACCAGATGAAAAACAAAATATATAGCTGTAATACAAAATAATACTTATTTATTTATTATATTATTTGTTATATATCAATTATTAATATTATCGTTTATTGCTAGTTTTTTTTAGAATATTTTTTCGATGTCAAATATGAAACATTTTTTATAAAAATTATTATTTGTTGTCATTATAGATGAAAGCATTCGTATTAGCCAATTTTCTTGGTATAGCGTATGCTTTCTCAAAAAATATTGGTATTATATTTTATTTTTTCACGTTTTTAACTTTTTTTAGAATTCGTGCACAAAAAATCTGCGTCAGATCCATCACATGATCCACCATTAAACTTATTACTTGATTCATCATTAGATTCATTAGGGTATAAAGACTTTTAAGCAGCAATAAAACATACAAAATTAACATTTTTATGCAGCCAAGAAAAGATTCTGGCTTTAATTCTAAGAAAAGACGCAATAGATGCTCAATGTGAGAAGAAACTAGAAGAATACTGCAAGAATTTAGAAAATATTAATTTAGTTCCAGAGAATGTACATCCAACATTAAAAGGACTTTGTGAAAATGCAGAGAAGAAATGCAAAAATCTTAAAACTCAAATTAGTACTACCTCAAATAATGCCAAGGGTTATCTTGAAGATATTATTGTAAATATTTCAAATGGGATGCTTTTAGGAAAAACCCATTGCAATTACGCTCATATCCAATGCGTGATTTTCCGAGAATTTTCTAGTTTTTCTTCTATATGCGATGAAATAACTGAACAATGTTATCGTCAAATAAATGAAGATTTAGTTTATGAAGCTCTTTTAAGGGCTCTTCCTAGGGATTTGAAAAGTCAAGCAGCATGTGAAGAAAAAATTAAAGAATCCTGTTTCAAGTTAAATAGAGAAAGCTATTATGTGCTCTGGTCTTGTTTCCAAGAAGAATATACATGTGAAAATCTTCTTAAAAAAAAAAATGACTGCAAATCTCTTGAAAAAGATATCAAAAATACACTTCAAGGTGTTTATAAATTAGAAGTCTGTTACACTTTACTCGAGAAATGCTATTTCTACTTACCAAACTGCAAAAATGAAGAGATACAGAGCTGCGTGAACCTTAAAAAATATTGTGAAGAAAAAAATATCATATACCCCCCCCTCCACAGTCTTTCTTTTAACCCATTAGAGTTTCCACCTACGCTACAAGAAGAAATAGGTTTTTATCGGCTTCGTGATGAGGCAGCAGCTCATGGCGTCTTAATTGTCAATCCCATATCTACAGGATTCGATCGTTTTATTCTGTTAGCATACCATATTAAAAATACAGCTGGGAACAGAACTGAAAGATGCATTAAATATCTAGAAAACTGCGCTTTTAAATATTTGACAAAAGAACTAGCGGATTTATGTAATGCGACTAACCATACTGAAATATGCGAAAAAATAGATAAAGAAGTCCAGGGGGAATGCAATTCTCTTCAATTAGCTTTCCAGGAAAAAAAGCTCTTTAAGATGGAATCTGAGGCTAAATCTAAACTCTATACTTTAAATGGACTGTCAGAAATAATCTATGAAGAAAGTTATACAAGTCTTCTTTCAAAGTGTACTTACATACAATCACACTGCAATAATGATCTCATGGATGCATGCATAGTTCTAAAAGTAGCATATTATAGAGCTCAGTTTTATAAATTAGCAAAAGATGAATTAGAAAAAGAATTGTTTGGATTATTTCGTAATTTAAATTCAAGCGGGATTAGGGAATGTGCAGTCAAGTTAACAGAAAAATGTCAAATAGTTAGAAACAGCAGTATAAATCTTCTCTCAATGTGTTTAAAGCCAAAAGAGACATGCGAAGCACTTGCAGAGGATGTAGAAAGAAAGAGTCATCGTCTGCGGCATGTTTTAGATAAAACAAGAGATTATCCCCGAGAAAAGGATTGTCTCGTTCTGGAGAAACAGTGTGAAGACCTGACAAAGGATTTTGAAGAGCTTAATGGTCCTTGCGCCACGCTAAAGAGGAATTGTGCTCATTTGAGGAACACGAAAGAAGTAAAAGACAATTTGTTGAGTAAAAATACAGATATTTTGGCAAACGTCGATAATTGTACAACATATTTAAATAGGAAATGTCCTCGGTGGTTTAGGAGGGAAATAAATCCATTCAATCTTACATGTGTAGCACACCACAAATCATGTGTTATAATAATTGAAGACGTGCAAAATCATTGTTTGGCATTTAAGGAAAATATGGAAAGTCATGATGTTATTAAAAAGTCAGAAGACAATGAAAAAGATAACATTTGTTTTTTTTGGAGTGGATACTGCGATATGCTTGTGGAAAACTGTCCTGATAAACTAAAGCTCGACAATGGTGAAGAAGGGGTTTGCATGAAGCTCAAAAAAAACTGTGAGACGTTTCGCGAAAAATTACCTCTATTAAAAGCCCTCATGTACAATATAAAAGGTTCTTTAAAAGAAAAAGATACTTGCATTAAGAAACTAAATGATTATTGTGCGAAATCAACACACTCAAACAAGACTCTTGAAGATTCATGTAAAGAATATAATAAAGACGAAAACACAAGAAGTGAAACTTGTGAAAAACTTGTCAAATGGATAAAAATATTATGCAATACCTTACCAGTCAAACTGGATAAAGCAGCTAAAGATTTGGAAAATAGAGCAAATGAATTTAAGAAAACTAGACAAGAAGCTGAAAAAGCCGTTAATGATTCTGGTTTATTCTTGGCAATTTCTCAAACAGCAGATGGGAAGCAGAATCATCACCTTAGTGTACGTAGCAATATTTACAGCAATAACACGGCTTATGTTAGACTTGTACGTCGCGAGGATGCCCTGGACATAGAGCCATCAGTGCGTCAAGGGTTAGCGTTTGATCTGGTGTCTTTACTTATAGAGTTGTATTTAGAAGCCAAGGGCATCTGTGATCATTTTATCCAAGAGTGTGTCCTTGAAGATGGTTGTCCTAAGTTTAAAGATTCATGTGACAAAATACGTAAGTCTTGCAAGGAATTTGTGTTGCCTGATGCCAAGCTTCGTGCAACAGCGTCTATATCAACAACGACGCTTACAGAGTCAACAACTGTAAC